GCCTAAACCAAAACCCAAACCCAAACCCAAACCCAAACCCAAAACCCAACCCCAACCCCAAACCAAAACCCCTAAGGACATACTAAATCGATCTAATGTTTAGTTTATAGTAAAAAATAGATATCATTTATTTCATGTTCTTAAGACAAAACAATAAGATGCTGGAAATAAACGAACTAAACTGAATGGATTTCTTCGTAACCTTATTAATAACATACAGATTTTGTTTTTTGTATTATATTGAATTCAAATGAGGATTTACTATTTTCTGGAAGTGATGACAAGTCAATTAAAGTTTGGAAGGTTGATTTAAATCAAAATAAATTAACATTTCTGTATTCTTTGGATAAACATAATAATGATATTTTGTCTTTAAGTTTAAATTAATCAGAAAATTAACTAGTATCATGTGCATAAGATTAGAACTAAATAATTATTTGGGAAAGAAGAGAAAAAGATAAATATGAATTCAAATATTTTGTTAAATAATCAATTTAAGACTATGGGTTGAAAGTTAAGTTTATTAAAGAGAATTCATTTATTTGGATAACTGGTCAGAAATAAAGAGACAGGCTTTATGTATTTGAATTAAAACAAGGAGTCTATTAAGAAAATTAGGATAAGACAATTCAATTAATTATAAATAATCAAAGTTGGGACGAATATCGATTTCCAATTATTTATAATAAGGAGAGGAATCTAATATTAGTAAGACATAAGAAATATATATATATAATTAGACAAATTAATGATGGGAATTACAAAATAGAAGATTAATTGAATTGTGATACTAACTAAATTTTTGGAAATATCACAAATAATGGACAATATTTAGTGTATTGGGATGACTAAAATAAAGGATATTCAACATATGAATTGTTAAATAAATGAGCAATTAGGAATTTTTATATATTATTTATTTTATCTCTTTGAGAAAAAATAATTAAAAAAACTGATTTGTGTTTCTGATTTCCTTATCTAATTCATAAAATTTATAACTAATTAATATATGGAGAAAACTTAGAAAGAACTTTTAATTATTCATATTAATCTAATTTTTAGAATGGTAGAAGATAATCGAATTTATTAATCATTTTAGATTCGAAAATCCATCAAGATTTCGCTAACTAATTAAGATTTTTGTATAACCAATCATTAGAAATCAAGTGTTTTTTTCGGAAGTTAGATTAATCAAATCAATAAAAAATTGAATAAACTGTATGTAGGTTTTTCATTGAAAAATGCCACTATTTGATAAGATAAGATATAAACTGATTAAAATATTAATACCTTTAAATGGTCAGACACTATCAATAAAAGAGATTATCTTATAGGGTAGATTCTTTACACTCGATGAAGAATTACAATATTTGACAAATCCAGGATTTGATCACTGATAAGAAAATAGTTGTAACTTATAAATCTGTAATCTATAAAGGAGAAGTAAAGAATGAGGCTTTTATTTAAATGTGAAATCAAACATTCTTATGCATACAAAAGATATAAGAAATTATCTTTAATTATGATAAATATTCCATTTAACTATAATCCAATTCAATAATTATCTGCGTAAACTTAATAGTTTAAGAAGGTAAAGAATAATTTAAGATATAAGTAAAAGAATTAGCAAAAACACTAATCATGAATATGAAAGATTCTGAAAGAAAATGACAACTTGGAATTAAGAAATACACTCAGCCATAAAGTTTTTAGTCTTGAATGCTTTTTTGAAAATTTGTTGTTTAATACATTAGTTGACTATAATCAAGCAATTCAACTTGATTCAAATTTTGCAGATACCTACGATAATGGAGGTTAAGAATAATATATTGAATTTAGGTCTTTTATATGAATCTATGGGTGAAGACGATAAAGCAATAACCAATTTAGTTAAGTAATTCTATTTAACTCAAAAGCTAAATATACGTACATAGATAGAGGCGAATAATTCATTTAAAGTTAGGTTCTTTATATTAAAAACATCATCAGAAAATAGAGGCATAAAATGATTATAACAATATAATTGAACTTGATCCAAATTTATTCTAGGCCTACCAATAAAGAGGTGAAGGATTAATAATTTTAAATTTAGGTCGTTTATATGCATAAACTAATGATTAAGTTAAAGCATTGAATGATTTTAATCAAGTAATTCAACTTAATCCTCCTACTTAATTGAGGTGAAGAAAATACATTTAAAATTTAGCTTATGCGTACTATTCTATGGCTACATACAATAAGGCATTAATAGATTATAATTATGCAATCGAAAATAATCCTCGAATTTTACAGGCCTACACAAAGAGAGGTGAATAATAATGTATTTATAATAGATGTATTTTGTATAAACCAATGGGCGATTATGACAACGCATTAACTGAGCAATTGAACTTGATCTAAAATTTGTATTATATATGAATAGAGGTAATTCTTATAAGTTTACATATAGGTCTATTATATTATAGTATTAATAAGAAGACAAAGCTTTGACTGATTAAAATGAAGTCATCAACTAAATCCAAATTATGTTGAAGCATAAATGTATATATTTAGTGAAGTACATCATAATAAATTTTAATTTTAGACAGTTTATGTGAATAGATGGGTGAGTATGATTAAGCAATGCTTGATTATAATTAAGTAATTTAACTTGATCCAAATTTATTACAATCCTATATAAATAGAGGCGAATATTATTAAAAGTAAATTTAGGTTTTTTATATGAATACATGGGTGAGTATGACATAGCAGTTACTGATTATAATCAAGAAATTCAAATTGATCCAAATACGGGCGATGCTCACTTGAGGAGAGGCGAAAATTAATCTATGTAAAAATTAGGTATTTGTTATTAGGAAACAAATGGTAAGGAGAAAGCATTAACTGATTTTAATAAAGCAATCAAACTTGACCCAAATTTGAAAAATGCCTACAAGAAGAGAGGTAAAGAATAATAAATTTAAATTTAGCGTATATATATGAGAAAACACAGATTCATTTATTGAAATTAAATCAGAAAATGTCTTAAATCAAGAAATTTCCAACCTTGGATCATTTAAATTATTGCCATTGTCTAATCTAGAAGATTTCGTAAATATAATTTTGATCTTGATTAATTAAATGAGAATAAATTTATTAAAAGAATAAGAATTATTAACTAAATACTAATTTCTTACGTTTAAATTTATAAGAATTTGAAATTGAAGTTCAAATGGCAGCAATATCTTTGGGAATAAAATAAAAGCCGAATATGAAACTTCAAAAAAACACAGCTTTTAGTGAAAAAGTTGATTAAATATTAAAAAAAGAAAGCAGCTCTTCATAAATATATTTATTTCAGGATATATATAGGATTAATTGGATTGAAGAAATATTAATCATTTTAACTTATTTAGAAAGTAACCTATCAAAGATATTAAAGGGGTAGTAGAAAAAGCTAAGGAACATATTTGAAGATGCAGTGAAATCATATTTGTATAATACTTAAGTGCAAGAGGTTAATCTTCATAAAATAATTTGTTTTGATTCAATCAATATATTATTATCAAATAATTTCATATTCACCATCAATATTTCTCTCTTCATAAATACTTTTAATTTTATTGCGACATAGGTTTACAATTCTAATTTAACTCAGCCAACAAATATTAACATGTTTTCTTGATATTGACTAAAAACTCAAATTTTGAAAAGACAATCCTATCTTAAAGAAAAAGATAGATGAGTAAGGAAAAGGACTATGCTGTTAGCCATTTTCACTTATAACATTCTGAAAAGTTGTCTGAAGAATAATAAAGAACAGCTTTGGAATTTTTTGAAATATAATTTTTGGACTCTATGTAATTGAGATAATAAATTTTTATTCAAGGTTACAGTTTCGCATTTTTAATTTTGAAGACAGAGAAAAAAATAATTAGTTGAAGAGAATTTGAAAATAAAAGTGATAGTCAAATCACTACTGTTTTGTAAAAGTTGTTGTGTAACAAGATAGGCTTTCACTTGTTTTAGATGTTAAATTTTTCAGTTTGAAATAAAAGCAGAGACAACGATCATCCTTGCTAAACTCAAAGATAAATAAAGTTAAATAAAATTTAAGTTGAATAAATAGATTTTATAATTTATTATGAGTTTGGGTACTCTATCTTAAAGAAGTTTCAAATCTGAAAGAATGAACTAAGTACTCTTGATTATAACTATGCTGAGGCCAAAGATTATGCTATAAATCGAAAAAAGAGGTTTTTAAATCTTTTCAATTACAAAAAAAAAATAATAATTATTATTATTATTAAATATGATTTGTAAATATCTTGACATATATTATTACAATAATATCCTAGCATAATTGCTAAATAATTCTAATTTTTATTCACTCGCATTTAGGATTTATAATTCATCTAAAGCATCAAAACTTATTGAAATCGTTTCTTAAATTAAACAAGTTTTAATCCTTTTGAGTCATATCCTAGTCAACTTAGAAAGCTGAAATCATATATCTTTATTAATAGGAAAGCCAAGAATTTAGTAAATATAGAAGTTATAATTTCAAATAATCTTAAAGAAGGTTCATTTATAAGTATTTAATAGGCTCCAAAAACTATTCCAAAGAATTGCATAATTCAAATAATAAAAAAATCTTAATGAAGAAAACTAGAAAGAATATACTTAATCAAAGATTTTGATTCTATTTGAAATGTATTTTATAAGCAGATATTAATTGAAGGGCTTACAATCAAACAAGATTATAACTAATTACTTATAAAAAAATCAATTAATTATAAATAATTTTAATACAATGACTTTATTTATATTGATTTTTAATGCAACTAATATACCATTTTCCATTATTGAATTAATAGGAAACACAGTTGTTAAAAGGGGATTGTTCAATAATTTAGAAATTAGATGATTGATTAGCTCCACTAACACATTTAAGTTAAATATTATTGGCAAAAATACATCCATCTTCTTGATTTGATTCTACTATTTTCTTAAATAGAAAAGAATTATGAAATTGAGATTTGTAAATAGAAACATAAGTTACTAATTAGGATTCCTTGAAGTTATTTAAGCTTTTTTAAAATATTTTTAAATAGATTTAACAACTTCTAGAAACAAAATCAAAAATTGTTGAATTATTTAAATTTAAATTTCTAATTCCCAATATAAGATTTAACATTTTTTGGATTGGTTGCCAATTATTTGATTGAATATATGATACAATTTCTCAGTTAAACTTAATTTGCATTAATGAAATCAACATTAAGGTATCAAATTAAGTTTATTTCAAATGTAATAGATGTAAATCAAATTCTTAAGCTATATCAATAGCAGTATGGTTTAATTATAGTTCGCAATATATTTTAATTATTGCATCAATTTCCTTCTTGACATTAAGTATTATAGATTATAAACTTTAATAATCTTTAATTAAGTGTTTCAACTCGCTACCTTAAATTAAAGTAAAGTCACAACTCAAATCCCGTATTGAACTATCATCGAAATATCCAATAATATCTATTGACAATAACTCCAAATATTCTAGAGGTAATAAATCTTCAATGGAAATATTCTATTCTTAATCTTCTTAGATTAGCTTCAAATTTCCTATAAGAACATAAATATTCTCAATACTGCTCAGTAATAGCAATTTTACTATTCTTTACTTTAATAGACATATTTTTTTTAATCGTTTCATGATTGTTGTTGCATTACACATATGTAGCTACTATATCTATCATTTGGTAATCTGTGCAATTATAATCAAAATCATTAATATATTAGTGTTTATATAAAATATTATCTAATCCAGAAAAAATTTCTTTAAAAAAGGGGTTTCATAAAGTTTTTTAATATCTGCTTAACTATTTCTAAGGAATGATTTAAGAAAGAATCAAAGAAAAATGAACATTTTTAAATAAGAGGTAACAATATTATGGATGCGTAGTAATGAGCAAATGCTGATGACTTTATATTAGTTGCATATAAATGCTCTTTTAGAATTTGTACATAAAAAAAATACGGATTGATGAAGCAGAGTGATATATGATAATTCAAGAGAATCTATAGAATTTGTTTCAATTAACTTATGAGTGATATATGATATTTCAACTGAAGTATCCTCTCTCCAAACTTTAAAAATTCCACAGAATCTATCAGCTAAATATTCAAATCTTCATATCAACCGAAGGTTCACTTGAATAAAAGCCACATCCATTGCAGCATTTTGCTATGTAAAAACCATCGTAAATGTAGTCCGACAGCACAAGTTTTTCACCTGCATTAAAGCTAAAGTCTAATTATAAATAACTTTTCATATTCTATTAGCCAACCTAAAATGCATAAAGTGTGGCCAGTTATTAATAATTGCATTCACATCATAACTAACCCATATGTAAATTCCGCAAATAAGGAAGTAGAAGAAATCAAATTATCCTTCACTTAGTCTATGAATTGTGTATTTAAAGCACAGAAGTTCTTACAGCTTTAATCAATTTAGAAGATAGGACAATAATACATAAGATTAAATAGTAAATTTTTTCAGGGTTTTTCTCAAATTTATTTTCATGAGGCTCAAGAATAAAAATGTTATTTATTAACACATGGGATTTAATAAAAATAAAAATCAAACATTGTTTTGGCAAAAATTATATTTTAATTTGAAATTACAGAACGAATTGGCCAAATAAAAATTCATAATTATATAATTAATTCATTTTTTCCCTTTTTATGTCTTTGATGGAAAAACTATTCTCAATAGAGGATGATCTTAATTGCAAGCAGAATGATACTTCATTTAATTATCTCTCATTAATTACAGTCCGCAAGTGTTGCAATAATGCACAGAATCACAAATTAAGCATTTGTATAAAAATCCAAATCCTCGTTTAGAATTGCAAGATGAGCACACATAAGAATATTCTCGAATGGTTCCAACCTTATGGCCAAATGGATAAGTTAAGTTCTCTAACAAAATAGAAATTTGTTTTATCTAAGATAATTTGCAATTGCTGCCTGTGTAGTATATAACGTTGCATCTATAATTAATTTTTGCTATGTCAATTTCTTCACCCTATTATTCTAATTGCTCATTTCCACAAGAAAAACAAATTACCTCTCCCCAATAATGATTAATAAATTATTTATCTTCTTTACTTAGCTTTTTTTCACATAAAGCGCATTAATCATACAACCGTATATGATTAAGGATATCTAATTGTTATTTTATTTGATTATCTAAAAAATTCTAATCAACTCCTTTTAGTTGGATAGTCAGTGGTTCCATTATTCCATATTATTCTAAGTTTTATGAATAAACCATTTATTTTTGGGCTTAACTCCATGAAAATGCTTTTTATTCTAAACTGCTTACTGTTTCGTAACCAAAAATCAATCCATCATCAGAAAGTAATGGTATTATATCTCTTTGAATTCTCCATTTAGTTGTTGCATAACCAAGGTGTATAAAGTTGAATTTTTAATCTTAAAATAAGTTTAAACCTTCAAAACAATCGTGTAAGTGATATTCAATTTTACATATCTTTTTTAAATGGGAAAATTCTGTATTGAGCTTTTATTCAAAATACTTGATTGCATCAGGATGATGATCTACTAAATGCAACTGAATTGAAAAGAGCTTTTTCCTTTTTAACGCTAATGCCAATAAAAAAAAAGAAATATATCCTGAACCAAATCCTAAATCCAATATATTTAAATCACCTGAATTTTAAAAGTGTCTATAGGCCATCTTAAGTCCTTCGATCTCTTATTTCAAAGAAGATATTCTCATGTTTCCAACCCAAGGTTAGCTTGCCTCCCAATCCAAATCAATAGTAAAAAATTATCTAGGAACATCATTTAATAAGACATCAGTTAGATCAAGCGGTATTTCATTGTTTATCTTCCAACTTTTTACTTTATTTCCAAATATATCTAGTGAGGCTTTCACAGATATTAATTTTTGAAGCTCTTCTTAATTAATCTTCTAATTTTTTGAAACATTAATCCTTTAGATCTTATTACCTATTTATGTAATTCCCTTTCGAGCTGGTAGGATCTTAGAGCTCTTTTATTTGAGATATAATTCAAAATTTTGCATTGTATGAGGTCTATTAAGTAAGGCTCTTTCAGCATCTACTAAAGAAGTGATTAAATTTTCATTCCTCTAATTATGTTAAGTGATTATATTTTAGAACTTTTTTTTGAGGTTTCTAATAAATTTTTTTAATTCTTGAATTATTTTTATTTATTTATTATGAAATTTAACTTTTGAAACTTCTGTTAAAACAATTTCTTCATTGATTTTGGCAGCTCTTGTAATTGATAACATTTTGATCATAGAAAATATGAAATGAATGACCACTGTTGTAAATGAAACGATGAAAATTTAAATTTTGATTTGAGTTGGATTCATACCTAAGTAAACAGCTTATAAAATAAGTAATGGAGTGTCTTGAAAAAATGTTTTGATAATTGAAACTACAACTTTTTAGGGTACTTCTGATTTCAAGAAAAAAATATATATTGTATTTTATTCAGACCATTTTTCAAGTAAATTTGTGACAATATTCATTTAATAAAGAGTTGAAAACTGCGTAAAAATATCTATATAGGAAGGTTTCTTTTGATTTATATAAGGTATTAATAAATATCTAACTATTAAAGCTAAATCTAATAGTAAATTAAAACAAATTATCCCAACTCCTATCCAAGCGATAGCAACTGATATTTAACAAGAATCAACTAGCACAATGAAACAAATGCATGTGTACAATTCAAATTTGGTTAATTGACTGATTAATAGATCTTTGATAATGTAAAAATATCTTGCCAGTGTGCTACCATCAGTATATTCATTAGTAGTAACCTTAAGATTACTGATTGTTAAACCAAGATAGCCTTCGACAAGAAAGGAATAACAAGCAAAAGCAATATAAATCAAATGACCTAACCATTATTGACCAGAGCAAGCATTCACAAATATTATAGGTAGAAAGACTACTACAAAATAGTAGCTGATAAAATATATTGTAAAAAGGATAAATCCTTTATATTTGATATTTATTAATTCTTATTCTAGATTTATTATTTTAGGATTATACTCAAAGTAGGATTGTTCTACACCAAATAATTTAACAATAAACTTTCCAAAGGATGTAGTTAAGAAAGTACAAAATCCACAAGCTAAATATTTCCATAAACAGTAATTTGTACAAAAGATTCTTCTAATACAATAGAAACCTTCCTATCTGATGATTTAATAAATCCCTACAAAACATGAAAAAACTACTAAAATAATTCCTCCTAAGCAACCAAATATATAATCATTCAGCTTTTTCAGTCCTCTTGTATAATAAATTGAAATTGATGTCTCCCACACATCATCCTCCTTATTATCAACAACATATATATATAAGTTTGTTATTTTTCTTTAAACCAAAAAATCTGTTGCCGTTTTCATCGCTTATTCACAAACCTCCTTTTAAAATTAAATACATAACAATTGCAATGACATATAATTACCAGAACTAGACATTGAAGCCGATCTATCAAAAGTCTAGGAAGGTTGCTGTTCAGGCAGATTTTCAATTAATTTTTCATTTTCTCCTAAATTACTTTGCTTATCTTAAGATTTCATCTAATCTTCAAGTTCTTCTTACTATTCATTCTCTTATAAAATTCTAATATTATTTAAGAAATTTAGAAAATCATTTCTTTAAGAAGAAAATTCAATTTTATTTTACAGAATTGTTATTCTCTATAACGCCTATAAGGTCTTATCTTTAAAGGATAAATTACCAGAAACATCTAATATTTTTAATTTTTTAAACTATTGAATTTATTAAATATCCTTACATGTTTTATTTAATTCAAAATAGATTCTCCATCAATATCTGACAAATTATTAGACCTTAAGGATATTGCCTCAACTTCATCTAAAAGTCTCATAATGGCGTCAGAGTTATTGAATTTAATGGTTGAACTATCTCCTAAATTATTATGAGCTAAACTTAAGAAATCCAACAAAGTGACATTTTTTAGTTATTCTAGAATTTATAATACATCTTCAAGGTACAAAGAATTATATGAAAGGTCTAAGTATTTTAAATTTTTCATTCGTTTTAGATTGGAGAATAAATGCTATTTGAAAGGGTATCTTTCATCAAAAATGAAATTGCATTTTTATAGAACCATCAACTTAATTCTGTCATAGATAATTGTATCAGAAATTCGTTTAAAAGTGAATGAAAAATATTCAGAAAATATTTTTAAAGGTTCTTGAATTTAAATTGGATTTACTAAAATTCCACTTTGAATAAGGTTTTAAGGGGCATCAACTTATGGATTCTTTTACTGTAAATCTAATGGAGGTAATTTATTTGGTCTTTATATTGAAGAGGCTATTGTTTGTTACATTTCTGATTCATATTTTTTATATAAATAGAATGCTCTCTCCTTGTATTCGCTATAGTCTATTATTCTTTTAATTAATGGGTCAAATTTTTCGAATCCAAAAATACTTTAATTTAATTCTCTCATTTTAACGCTATCTACTCCCATGCTTTCTATGTAAAGTAATTTTTAATAATTATGCAATTCACTCTAGAATTATAACTCTTATCTTATTCGTTATTCAACCCAAAAAATGAATGGAATATATTCGAATAGCTATTCTTTTATTTTTCCGAAATAATATTTCTTTATTTGATGATCCTGCCCTACAGATATTAGATTTGGAAACTCTGAAACCTCTGTTAAAGGAAAGAAGGTTATCACTCCTTATTCATGCATTACATGAGAGTATGTCTTTAATATTTCTTTACTTTTAATGTCCAAAATATGAAAGGTACCATCCCAAGAACTAATGCATAAGTGAGAATTCGAGTTAAAGAATAAAAGCTAACTTATTTTTAATTTTGTTATCCCATTTTATGAATATATTTACTTTCCTTTTTTTAAATACACAATCTACAAGTTTCCTTACTCTTACTATGCACTTTGGTAGGCGATTGCAAGTAGAGACTGATCATTTGATACTTCTAGTTTACTGATCACAGAACTCGAGCTATTAATCGAATAAACAAATGTTTCATTCTTAGGTTTTGAATATAGCTGGGCTAAATTAATTAAAAGTGTAAATTACATGATCTAATTTGAACTATTTTATTGTTTCTCATTCCTATGTATAAATAATAATGACCATTATGATAGGACAATTTGGAAGTTGTAGCCCCTCCTAAATTTTGACTGATTTAAATCTAAGATTCATCAATGTTTTCATGTTGAATAAACTCACTTATCATTGTAACTCTAAGTTTGTCACTGCTGATCGTTAATAAATGATCTATGCTTGAGTGAAAAATTATTTGCAATGCTTTTTCATGATATTACGGGACAAATCTCATAAGATCTAACTCAAATTTCTAATTTTAAATGTCAATTGTAATTTCATATATTAGCAAATCACCCATAGTATTTCCTAAATTATATTTATTTTTACCTGCGATGATATAGTCATAACAATTCGAAAATGCAACAGTTACTATTTGATGTTTTCTAAATTGCAATTGCTTTTTATTTGATGCCTTTATAGCCTGTTTGGATATAAGGTCATATAAGATAATGATGCTCTATTATCATGATTATAAGATACAACACACCTTGCTACAACCACACACAAGCATTTCTGAATTCCTTGAGATTGCTGCGCTGTGAACAGTCAATTTATTTCTGAATTGTTGAAAGAGGACAACATCATATCTAATAAACTCCTGCCTTTTTTCAAAAGTCTTCTTCAATAAATTTAGATAACTTTTTTAAGCTTCATCCATTTTTTATTGATTTATAATTAAAATTGATAAAATAAATTATAAATAAGGTTTTATGTTGAAGGTATTCGAGTTGCTGTTAGAATATTATGACTCTCAAAACACCAACAGAAATTTGTAGTCAATAAAGAAAGGTTAAGAAAATTGAGCAATTTGTAATTTATTGAAATAAATAGAGAAATATCATATTTTTTCTTTTTTTGGGATATCGGCTAAAGATTTTCCTTTGCTGTGCACTCTGTCAAAGTCATTATAAATTCCTTTTTCAAAACTTTCTAAAAATAAACATTATTATTACTCATTGAACTATATTTCCAATAGAATGCATATGGAGGCATAGTAAATAAACAAAAGAAACCTTATTTATTATAAACAAGTCATACCTAAGGCTTTGACAATATTCTATAATTTCCACTCAATATTCATAATTAAATTTAATAAAAATATTCATAATATGTCATACACATTTTCACATAATAATACTCATAACAATACTTAAAATTTCAAATTTTACTTTATGCAACATGAGCCGGAATTTATACATCATTCTTCTAAGAAAATTTTGCTTTTTAATTTTATCTTCATAATTCACCATAGATACATAATTATATGTGATTTAACAGCTATCAATTGGATTTCCTAATCTGAATTCAATATTTTTTAGGAAGTCATTAATTTTGAATAACATCAATAGTTTTCTACTTTAAACATTATACAATTACCTATCAATCTAATTTAAGATTATTGTTATCTATTTATGTTTTTTGGCTGCCTTTTAAATCAATATAGCAATTTCATCTTAATCTTTGGGTCTTTTTAATCTGTCCGACATATTCATAGAAGTATTCATCAAATCTGAAAATCTTTTGCTTGTAACCATAGAAGCAAATAATTTATAATTTTAAGCGGCACCTAAATCAGTGGTTGCTTATTTTATGTAATCTAAATTCATTTCTAAAATGCCTTGCCATAACAAAGAGTAACTGAGTTTTGTTTTTTCATTTAAATTTGTGTAGAGACCATGATCTAATAAGACTACTTGTTGTTTTCCATTTAATTTTCTAACCATAATGTTACCTTTGTGAGGATCTGAATGTACAAATCCGTGTTTGAATATCTAATGAGCAAATGCAGTTGAAATAGTGTGAGCTATTTTAGGGTAATTGAAATCGTGTTTCTCTTTTTCTCTCAGAATATCAGACAGAGGAGTGCCATGAATGAACTCCATTACAATCACCCTGTCATTGCAATATTCCTCATAAACTTTTGGAATATAGATATCAGGAAATGGTTTAAGAATTTCTTTAATTCTTTTAGCATTATTGATTTCTCCATGAAAATCAAGCTCTTTTGGTAAATTCACTTACAATTCCTCAGCCAACCATTTGTATTTAAAACCTTTAAAGATAAACTCAGCTACGTCTGTAAACAAACTAATTAGTTTAACATCTCCATCTATTTACTCTTTCAACCAAGGATGCTATATTTTTACAGCAACTTCTCTGCCATCCTTCAAAAATGCTTAATGCACTTATGCTATTGATGCAGATGAGATAGGCTTTTTTATGAAAGATTAAAATAAATCCTCTATATTTTTACCTGTTGAAAGATGTATTTATCTCTCAATATCTTCGAAGGGTGTTTCAATATTCTAAGTGCACATAACTTCAAATGTTGCCCTATATGGCTCGGGTATAATGATGTCAAGCTACAAATATTTTCACAATTTACTGATCCTAATATCTATCCGAATTTGATGTACAAACCTTTATTCTACTAGAAGGCTGACCTCAATTAAAGGGCTCCATAATAATGCTTATCATCCATAGGTTGATCTGGCTGTGTTAGGTATGCTAAAGCCATATTAGTGCCAGCTTTTACAACTCTATAAACTCTTTAAAATGCAAGCCAAAATTATGTCGGATTGGTTCGAAATTCAGGATAAAGATACACAGTAGAGCCAGCCAATCTAGCTTTAATCTTTGAGATACGTGATTGATGGAATCATAACAGCTCCACATACTAGATAACCAAATGATTTTATCATAATTAAATTTTATTAAAACATCAACTCTATTTTGGCCAAACAAAAATGGCAGATTGTTTTGTTTAACGATATGCTGTGCTTGGGATATACATCGCAGATTTCCTAAGATTGTTAATTTTTGAAATAGCTGCTTGATTCTAGAAGGCTTAAATTTTATGGTAATTGAATTTAGGAAAGTAATGTTTAAATTAGTATGGCTTATCAAATATTTACTTTTGTTTCTATGATTGTTGATCCTATATTACTTAAACTGCATTGTTTGCTTGTTAAGCCTAGTTCTCTTGATTCTAAAATTTAATACATTATTTACCTAATTTTATTCTCTAAAACTCTCTGTTTTTTAGATCTGAGATGACGATCTTAAAATAGTGTTCCATCTTAATTTCTATTTTCTTTGATATTAACTTCGTTCCTATTCAGCATATAAACTGATTGTTAGTTCCTAAGTATGAAATTTCAAATTACCTTTGTTATTTGTGGGATATAGTGAGTTACAGGACATTACGTTGCGTAGTGAGAATCTGACTCACAATTCCAACAAATGTTATTTATTACTTTAAAGTCATTTGAATAAATCAATTTATCTCGAATCATCCAATATTTTTCAAAATCATCCTAAAAGGATCCAAGGATATCCATAAACACCTCTCTCTTTAATTTGTATAACCTGCTATAAGAAATAGAAGAGGCAGATGCCAATCTAGGTCTACCAGTCAAAAAAGACCACTCACCAAAATACTCCTGGGACTCTAATTATTTGATCCAAAAAGGCCTCTATTCTCCGGTGTTGGCGAAAATGAGAATTGAACCATAATCTATAAAATAAATAGAAAAATCATCTAAGAGATAATCAACATTGTCTAAGAAAATAATTTCATTTTAGGCAAAACTAATTTCCTCAATTTTGATTGAAATGGATCTTAAAAATTCAATTGAGAAAGTCTTAGACAAAAATGGAATTTAGTCAAACATTTTTCCATACGAATTATAAAATAATTCTTCCTTGATTTCAGGAGCCAACTCAGTGAAAATTTCCTACTCTAAGGTCAAATCCCTTGTTCCTTCTTCATACCAGTGTTCATTCAAATATCTTCTGACTCTTTCTTAGACTACCAATGGCACTGATTTGGATTGCATAAATTTATTTACTGCTATTCTTTTTTTGAATATCTTCATGGGGTGAACATTAAACTCTTCCATAATTTTAAACAGTGAATTAACGTTAACTTAGAAGATGAAAACAGCAAAAAATATTCCACCAAGACACCAGGTGCATTCAAAAACATTTAATGGAGTAATATCACCATATCCCATAGTTGTTGTCATTGTTCCTAATCCAAAGTAATATGAGAAGAAAAATTAAAATCCAGGATTCAGTTCTCCTATAACTCCAAAATTACCATCGTTTAATAACCAAGAATTATATCCTGCTTCAACACTGGACTTTCCTATTACATAAAATATACAGGAAAATATCAAAAAGCAAAATTGTAGTAATACAATAATCTTCCCTACATTGTAGATGGTTCTCAATGTTCGATATAATAATGTAGCTTCTTCAAAAAGATAATCTATTTTTATAAGTGCAGGGTATTTTAAAAAAAATAACAACAAAATTAAATTAACTGAGTCATTTGGTATGAATGACTGAATACCAAAGGCCAAAGTGCCAAGAATATCTAACGCAAAGTTTAATCTCAAATACTGATAAGCTATTCTTTCTTTATCTGTAATTAAATTTCCATGTTCATAAAAGGCTGTCAAAAATTCTAAAGCTATATCAAGTAGCAAAAAGAGGAAAGATAATGAATCTATTATGTATTTAGTGCTGGGCAAGAAAATCTTGAATTAATAGTATAAATACCCAAACATCACTACCATAACACACAGTGATTGGTACCACGAAAAAATAGAGCAGTATGATCCCAGCAATGATGGCCTTCCAAATCAACATAACAACAGAATTTGGTAAAAATACTGGAAGTTTCTAATAAACTTAGCATATACTCAAGATATTTACATATATACAAACTATTTGTGGAATTAGAGTTTTTTACTATTTAACCGTTCCTGTTTCCGGCTATTTCTTCTCCTTCATCAAAATAGTTCAATAATGCATAACCGTAATCAACGGATCCTGAATTAAAAGTACCTTTGAAACCAGGAGTGTCAATTTTATAATTGCTTGATTGAAAAGAATCACTCTTTTCGTTAATCATCAGCAAGGGTTACCTGTTAGATTTGTTGATTCCATCCTCAAGAAATGGAGATGACATCTCATACTAATCTATAGGTATATCCTCTAAGTTTCTTTAATTCATAACTAAAATATTAATTACATATTAATGACGAGAAATTGTTTAATTAATCAGTTAGATTTTAAAAAATATGTATAATAATTCATAAGCAGGAATGTCCTAGAAGTACTACTAACCTTAAAAGCCCTTCGGTTATTAAGGCCAGCCTAGTCAGTCTTAATAGATGAATAGCAGGTATGGCAACCCATATGCTTAATAAATGCCTTAAGAAGATTATTTAAGAGATTATCATTAGAGATATGATAAAAATCTAAATGAATTACAAAGCAACGGATAAATCTTATCAGATCTGGAGTTTAGATTGGATGAAGAGAGAAAGAACATGAAAAATGTGAGATAACAACTAGAAAATAATTTAGAGAACGAAAGATAAATGAGGATTGAGTTTGAAACTAAGATCATAGCACTCAGAGACGACAATTAAAGAAAGGAAAATATCATATAAGAATTGGAGTATCAAATTCACTATAATTAGTTACAAATTATAAGACACAATGATGAGAAACGACTCTCTAGAATAAGAAAATGTTGCTATGAGAAATGAATTCATAAGAGGATAGGAATCATATAACTAAAGACTAAGGGAATACGAAGACAGAAATAAGTAGTTAAATAGGTAAATGATTAGAATTATAAAAGATAATTACAATAAAACGACGAAAAATATAGAATTGAATTTGAGAGACTCATCAAATCACATGATCAAAAGTTATCGGATATGACTCAAACTTATAAAATATAGAAAGAAGATGCAGAAGCATAAATTAGAAGTCTCAAGACACAGGTTTAAGATTTAAATCAGGACATTACTAATTTAATGAATGAAAATATGAGAATAAAAATGGAAGCTGAAGAAAATATTAGAGAAACTGTTGTCAGAGTATAAGATGAAGAAATGAGAAAATATCTTGGACATTTACGAAATGTAGAATAAAAATTAAAAGCCTCTGAAGAAGGAAGGGATAAATTAGCGAAAGATTACAATAATACTCTTTCACAATTGGCCGATAAAGAAAGACTATTAAAATAGAAATAAATGGAATATGATTAAAACTACACAAGATTTAAGTAAGAAATTAGTGAACTTGATTCTTAATTCAAATAAACTAATTAGGTTAGAGAAAAGTTAAGAAATGAATTATAATCTAAAGATTAGATTATAAAACAATTGTAAGCTGAGACAATGGACTTACAAAAATAAGTCCAAAAAATCAAAGAAAATTATGCTCATCAAATGGCAGAGGCTTAAGAAATCAATGCATAAGAAAAAAGAGATTTAGAGAAGGAAAAAGATGATTATGCTAGAAAATTGAATTAATCAGAAGAAGTAATTTTATTGAAATCAATTTATATAGACAAGAAAGTAAATGGAGGAACACATCGAAAGATTGAAGTTACAACTAGAAGAATTGGGAGGGTAGATTCATCAAAACATAGAGAGATCAATTTATTAGACTATTAACTAAACTAGCTTTTCGAGTAAATTCGAAAATAGAAGACCTTATCAGCCACAGAAGTATCAATGAATATATATATTAAACTAAAAAGTATTATAACTAATATTTATTTATAAAGTGATTCGTTAAAACTAAGTGTGAGGATGTTTTAAGGGATTTATAGAAAACTATTGATTTTAGGAATAAATATTAATTTTTTTAACTGTTAAATTTAATGATTAATCGATTTGAAGATAAACTTGCTTTGGGTCTGTCAAGAACACTGAAAGATCAAGAGAATGTGATGCCAAAATCATCATAGATGAAAGATGAATAAAAGATATAGCAAATTCTGACTGTCAAACAAAAAGAAATTGAGTATAAGATGAATCAAGAGAAGGAGAGGTACTTTATAAGTAATAATATTAGATTTAAGTAATAATACGAGTTGGAGATTAAGATTCTAAAAGAAGATCTAGCCTACTAATCCCATGCAGCCGAGATGGAAAAAGAAAAGTGTGTAAAGTTGTTGAAAGATGAAATCTAAGGTTTGTAAGATGAAATTTAAAATATTAAAATCTAAAATATTGAAGAAATCAGTAATCTAAAGAGTAAACAACAAAGAGAATAATAACTGTAGATCGGTGAATTTTAGAGAGAAAAATCACAATTATTGGAAAGGAATGTGAAGGAGATCAAAAAGATGGAACAATTAAGGTGTTAGGAATTAGAATAATGGAAAAATAGAACCTTGATGGATAAAGATTAAACATTGTAATTGTTTGAAGAATAAAAACATAAGGAAATTAAGTAATTGACTGACACATTTACTTATTAATTATAATAATAAAAATAAGAAAATGAATAATCCTTAAGGTTATAGAAGACATAATATGATCAAAAACTACAAAAGATAAGTGACCAATTGGATGTTGAAAGAAGTAATTGTGAAATTCTAAGAAAACGATTATAAGAATAGAAAAAGTAATTCGATTTGGATAATGAAGCTTTGAAGAAGGAGAAGTAAATTAGAGTGGAACAATTGTAAATAGAGATATTTTAAGAAAAATAAAAATATCAACAATTACAATAAGAAATGGATTAGATGAAATTTAATTTGGCTTAGAAGGAGTAAAAGCTAATTGAAGAGATCGATTAAAAGGAAATTGACTTGAGAAACCAATACCATGAGGACATGAATCAATTGTATTAGAGATAAATTGAAGTGGCTTAAAGTTTAGAACTTCAATATAAAGAGTTAGATGAGGCTGCCGAGAAAAAATACAATAAATTGAAGAGTTAGTATGAAGAGTTATAATCAATAATGAGAGACACTTTAGATAAATAGGAAAGAAAACCTTTGAGACCTTTGCAACAACAAAGAAGTAAGAATATTTATTGATAAACAAGGAATCGGCTCCAAAGATAGATAATAAGAGGAGGAGACAGGATTATAAATGCTCAATCTTTTAGAATAGGCTTAACGAAGATCATCATAAATGTCAAATAGAAAAGAACTCAAAAAACCAATATCTTGATTTACTATTATTATATTTATTCATATACAAGTTCTTTAGTCATAGATTTAGATGTTCGAAAACCATTTTAATTTTTTCTTTTGTAGCTGGCTTAATAATCACTCCATCAAAACCTTCGTTGATACTCTTCTCCTAATCAAATATACTACAAAAAGCTGTGACTGCAATGACTGGTATGGCTCTGATCAATTATAATTGGCATTCAATCTATCTTATTATTTAAACCGCCTCCCAACCACTCATTATAGGCATATTGATATCCATTAGAATACAATGATAACCAGTGCATTTACCACTACATTTATCCTATAATTTCCTCGAAACCTTGTCTGCTGCTTATTTACCATTGAATGCAAACTCAATCTCAAATCCCATTTCCTTTATGATGTGGCCAATCACATCAATATTAAATTATTCATCATCCACAATTAAAATGGTCTAGCAATTGCATTAAAATTAAATTTTCCTTGGAATTTCAATGGATATATCATGAGAACTACGTTTCTTAAAGAAAGTCAGTCCATTTTAAGAGTGTCCCTTTTTATAATTTAAAACTTTGACAGATGCACTCTGAGCTTCTTATAATGGTATTGTTAATTATTATGACTTTTAAACTTAAGACTTTTCCTCTAAGTACTTTAAACAAAAATAAAATTAAGATCCCATATCCTTAACTGATTCTACAAATAGTTAGTTAAAATTAGAAGGTGCCAATTAACGAATAATAGATTTGCATACTTGTAAACCCAATCCTATTCCCACGGATTATTTTGAAACCTTTTCATCTTCATCTGCCCCATGCAACTATATTAAATTATAATTTGATACCTTCTTTCTTAGTGTTATTAATTCCTCTTCATCCATTCCTACTCCGCTATCTTTGATGTGGATTTCCAATAAATTAGAATCGTCCAAATAGATTTAGGATTAAACTTCATCTATTATACCAAAATAGGAAGGAACATAAGTTTTTTTTTTCACTTCCACTGTGATTTTCCCTTGTAAAGTAAATTTAATGGCATTAGTCAATAAATTTAAAATTACTTAACAGAACCTTTACCTATCCCCTGAAATAATGTAAGTACAATTGTCTGGGATATCTAATTCATAACTCAATTGTTTTCTGGATATTTGATCTTTAATTAAATCAACACATTCAGTTATTGCATTGATTAGTTCAAACTTGTCTTCTCTTAACTTTAATTTATCATCTAGTAAATATCTATAATCAAAAAAGTCTTAAACTTTGAATAACTACAATTTAGTGTATCTTAAGGCACAAGCCAATTATTCTGACATTTCCTCACCTTTTAATAACCGATCCTAACACTATTTTATGTAACCATAAGCGGCATTTAAATTGGTTAATAATTCATGTGAAATGGATCTTAATAAATTTTTCTTGACGGATTCTAATTTTTTCAAGGTAGTTTATAATAGAACTGGATTCAATTCCTGTAAATAAAATAGTTACAACTCATCATCATCATTGAACAATTTATAATTTTCTATCACATGAATCAGGAACTTCATTTCATGTTACATCGTTGACGGAGATTATGCAGGGTTTTTTTAATAAGGATTTTCCCTAATCAGTTGTTCAAAGGACATTTTTCCACTGGTTGGTGTCGAGGGTTTATTGATACTTAATCTATTTGATGATCTCTTCCTTTGTCTCCTTTTTAAACACATATAAGGCTAATGTCTTAATTCAACAAGCAATGCGATATCTGCAGTATACTGTTTTTTGATAATTGAGTCATCATCTTTTGTGGTGAATGTTGAAAAAAATTGCTATTGATATTTTAATTATGTATTTGGTTTCTGATTCTAATTTAAATTATAGATTAATTTCTTTGAACTATTTTCAGGACTTTCCTCCTCTTTTTTATATATAACTTTTCTTATTTTAAATTAATCTATTTGAAACTCATCTCCAAAATCTATTAGTGATATTCCTTTTTGATTTAGTTCTGCCAATTAAAGATTCGACAAAAAATGTAATTGAAATTTTGAATAATTCTAAATCCTATCAGGTGATTGATCAGTTTCTGAACTATTTGTCCCTTCAAGAGTTAAAGATAAATTTTCAAAACTTTTATTAGAATAAAGTAACTGACTTTTATTTTTTTATACAATACACATAGCTGAAGGAAATGAATCTATTATCAGAAACAGTGCTTGTATTTTTGAATAAATCGACATCAAATTTTGTTCTTTTCTCAAAATATGCATCAGGATCATTGATATGACAATACACAAGCATTCATTAGATTTTTCTTCAATTATCAACAGATAACCAGTCACAAAAATTCCTAAATGGATCAATTTGAAGGATACACTATATGATATATTGAACTAAACCACATTTACAGTTGTGTAAATCAATAAAAAAGAGGAGTTTGACTAGTAAAAGTAATAGCAATACCAATTTAAAAGTATAAGTTGAGATATTCGTGGTATTTCCAGGTATGCTGATTTAAAGGATTAATGGAGTTTAATTAGTAAAAATAATATCAAATGTGTTCCACAATTAATAGCAAGTTGAATATAAAGTTCTATATCACTTTAAGTTAGCAGCAATCTCGTTAAAACGAATAAAAAAGATATCAAAAGAGCAGGTTTTTATATAAAATCCAACTCTATCTAATGTTCTGACTGCTTCCACTGCTAATATGATGCAGATATAAATTTATTATAAGTGTTTTAAATAGCTCGAAAAATTGCACTTACCATCCTCAAAAATAATTAATAATTTCATAAAATATATTTCAAACATTATCTGAAAAAATTGTGATTATAAAATTACAATAAAGTTAACAATCAGGTTGATTTACATTAATAAAATTCAATAAACGAAGTTATCATCATAAATTAATTTATAAACTTTATAATCAATGGTATAATTTCACATAATCTAATGTAATTATTTTTAATTTAATCATATTTAAAATCAATCACAATAAAGATTAGTATTACAAAGACTTCAAATTCAAAGTAATATTTAAATTTTTGAATAATTTTATTTAATTATTAAAAATTAAAAATAATAGTTGAATTCAATCTTCACAACAATGCCCCAAAGATTCCAAACCTATTCTTTAAGTAAGACATACAAAATCTTCTTTCCTCTTTAAAAATCAGCCAAAACAGTTGCAATTATCGATGACGTCTTCAGTTGTAATAATATGGAGATAGGCATGGAAAAGAGGCAATTATGGTTAAATTCATATCTATTAATCTAATTTTAAAAGGAGGAAGTGATTCGAAAAGAAAAATAATCTCTCTCATTTTTAGTTGACTTTAGATGATACATTTAAGCAATAAGAATATTTGATGAAAAAAAAGCCCGGAGAGAAGTAATGGCATTCAATACGATATTATGATTAACTTAATAACTTTAATTATTAATTACAAATATTGATTCAATATTATTTTATAAGTATATAGTTAGTGAAAATCTTAATTGATAGAGGAATAGGGTATTTAATTTTAGCGAGCCAAGGAATCCAAAATCCATACAAAATGAAAAGACAGGTTGGAAGAAATTCAAGAATAATGTAAAGTTATTTTGGCAATCTAAATTTATCAATTATGTAGAATTTGAAAAAATTTAAGCAATGTAAATACATATGGATTTATTTAATTGTCGGTAGGAGTTTAGTCTATTCCTAGCTTAAATTTGAAATAACTATCAATAAAAAATGAAGTGCGATGAAAAATTATAATATCAAATTTTATTAATTCATTTAAATAGTTTATAATATAAATCGTTACTCTATTTAGTTAGATCATCTTATTAAAGCTAAATTACTAACCTTGATTGAACAAAAATAAACTTATTAATAAAAAGTTAAAAAAATCTTGACATTTTGTGCAGAAAATATAATGAAATGATAAAGTATTTCTACAATAATTATGTATTGGAATATGATTTTTCAATACGAATCAGTTGATCACTTGCATCAGACTTTTCATCTATAAGTTCATCCGTCTTTCGTTTGAATATTCAATACTAATTAAATGAATTAAGGCTCTTATGACTATAATTTAGATTCGACACAGACAGCCGTTAGGATGATATAATATAATAAAAATGATATTAATATAATTATTAACTAATATTCTGAAATAAATCAAATTTTTAGCAGAAAACTTGGCTGAAGTCTCTATCCAAAGGAATCAAAATTCAAGCATCATAGAGGCAGTAAATAAGAATTGAAATAACCTCACTCATGAAATCAAGTAAGATTGAGAAAAGAGTTGGTTGAAAATTTATGAAGGATAAAGGCTATTGATAATCAACTTTAAAAATGATATTAACAATTGACTAGAATCCATAATATAATTTCTAGAACAGCTCTATATTTAGCTTTAGATATGATCATTTTAAATAAGTCCCCATCAAGGTTTTGAACCCAAAAGCAGTTTTATATCTATATTCATTGAGAATACTAAAAACAGAATTGAATTATATCCTGGATGGCATAAATAAAGACGACTTATGCAAATGAAATTTAATTAAAAAAATAGAAAAATTATATACTAATTGGTCTTTTATTTATAATAATTTAGACAAAAAAGTCCTTGCTTTAAGGTCATCACATCAGTGATGTATCTTAGTTTTTGAGTATTAGTATTGACTAAATAATGAGAAATTAAAGTCCTTTGATTAATAATTTACCAAAAGTGATGGAAAAAGATTAATAATAATGGAGATACCATTCATTTTTGAATTTTCATTTTTAATGTTTGAATTGTTAGATTAATATCCATTTACAATAATTAAAATTTAGCACTGTAATTGTTAACATGATGATGTGTGAATTCACTATTCTAGATAAATCATTATAAATAATAAAAATTATTAACTTCTTACCATTTGAGAATGGGCTCTATTTGTTAGCAAGGATAAAAATCTTCAAACGAAAAAGAAATCCAGATTGAGATTTAGTTTACTAATTCTAAAGATAAACTTGATGCGAACCATAAGACAGCTAACAACTTATATAATTGTTAAAGCACCAGGTAACTCACATTTCGCAATGAATTCGCATCAAAATTTATTAGTTTAAGTTAATCATCTGATTCAGAACCAAATTAAGATAATGACCCTGTGGATAAAAGAACTTTTTTCTCTAATTTTTAGACATTTTAAGCGATGCCATCTCAAAAATCCTCTAGATTTGTGTCTCCTTAATTCTCATTTGTAGCAGATGAAACCTCGATTGAGAACTAGTTCCAAAATAAAGTATAGACTAAATAATTAGAGTGAGTTAATAATTTTGATGAGAGTAAAACGATTTATGTATTTAAAATTTATTTGAAATTCAAATATTTATTTTTTCAAGTATGGTCCTTTGATAATAACAATATTGAACTTAAATTAGAACACAAACTCCAGTTAATTAAATAAATGAAATATAAAGAAGTACTGAGATTTTCTGAAGACTTAGTAGTATTGGCTGAAATTATTTTCTATAGTTGGGGTATCGCAATTATTAAGAGATAGAGGAATCTTCCTCATTATTAGTAATATATTTTCTTAGTTTTATACTTGGAAGTACTATATAAAGGATTTCTTCATTTCAACAGAGATTTTCTAATTTCACAAAAATGATGCTGTTTTACCTAAGTTTTGCAATCAAGGGAATATCTGTTTGGAGTTCAACCTAAGAAAACATTTCCATCTCATTGAATGTTCATTTAATAATTCAATTTCATTTTTCAAAAGAATAAAGCATCCAACAAAGAAGTATGCCTTACTATGCATTTTTCTTAATTTGCATCAATATGTTTAATTATTTTATTTTCTCACTCGATATCATTTTAGTAGTTTTGGATGCAAATCATCTCTCTTTAATTTTAGATAAAAATTCTAGGAATTCGTAATATCACTAGCCAAATAGTACACTCAATACAACAACCAACTAATTAAAGCTAGGGCAAACATTCCAATTTGATTTATCATCTGTAAAGAGTCCAAATGCTGTACGTAATAATTATGATCGATTTTCAACCAAGAAGCTAACATTTAATACCAAAATGGAAATTTTTGAATGTACTATAGGTTTAGAAGATTATTTAAAAAAGGAGATTGAAAATGATCTTCAGAAAAGAGACTTTAAAATTCAAGAAGAATTTCTATAATTATCATTATTATACAAATATAACAATGAATCACATAAAATTAAAATATCAGACTTTCTTTCTGATTATTATGATGAATTATCAAATATTTATTATTTTTCAATTGAGGATAACGATTCATTTGATTTTAGAGATACTGTTTTACTAATTGAATAGGTAAAGAATAGTGAAAGTGAAACACTTATTTAGTTATTGTTTTTAGATGTCCCTTAAAAATATTAAAGAAAATAAAGTAGAGTTAGAAAATAACTGTTTTTTGATATGTGCAAATAGATATCACATGAACTTGGAACCAGTCTAAATTCTCTCATGACCTTTAGCAATTTAGCCGTTGAAGATGAGGGAATTTCAGAATAGATTAAAACAACCTATATTTATCCTATTCTAATTAATAGCGTGCAATTTAATCTTATTATTAATAATGTGAGAGATTTTACTCATATGGGATTGCAGATATTTCAACTTAAATTACAAGAGATGCAAATTATCCAAACTGTAGAATTTATCAATGCTTTATTTGAGGAGCCTCTTCAAAGTAAAGGCATTGAATTATCAGTTTAGTATCATTTAAAGAATCGATATTTAATTACAGATAAAGAAAGATTTGAATAAATATATTTTTAGTTATTGTAAAATGCAGTTAAATTCACTTTATCTGGATAAATCAGAGTTAGTATCTATAACAATGCTGATAAATTCATTTTATCAATTGAGGATACTGGTATTGGTTTAAGTGAAGAGGAGGAAAAAAATCTCAATTATTTATTGGATAAAGATGAGTTTATTAAGGTTTCTGATAATTCTGTTGGTTCTGGAATGGGATTAGTGATATCTAACATGATTGTCAAACAAATAAATAGAGGAGTTCCTATCAAGGTGAAGGGATTGTTGATAGGAACATAGTTTTATTTTGAATTGCCAAATGACATTCAAGAAAGTTACTTTTCTGAATCTAAGGCACTAAGAGAATATTCATCAGGTACTCAATCTATTAAGCTGCTTTCATAAAACTCTTACTTTGAAGGACCGTTGGGATAACAATCTCACGTTATTTCATAGAATATATCTTCTCAAACACTATAGTTCAAGAAAAAGAGGAAAGAAACAAAATCATTTTCTGTAGTTCATCATTTTGAAGATGAAATTGAAAGTGAGGTTTTGAGTGAATCACATAAAAATAAGTTTCAGTTTTTACCATCTTTTCAAACAAAATAAAAGAAAGACATGTTGGAGTATTGTTTACAAAGTGAATGTTACATGAGAGCATTGATTGTTGATGATGAATATTACAATATAAGATGTCTAAAATTAATAATGCAGAAGTATGGAGTAAAATGTGATCATGCATTTAATGGTTAAGAATCACTGGCTTAAATTAGTTAAAAAAAGGAGAATCCATGTTAACATTGCAATAATTAGCATTATTTACTTATATTTTTAGATATTAATATGCCAATTATGGATGGGTTTCAAACTATTAAATTAATCAAAACATAAATATAAACAGAAGAAATTAAAAGGGTTTATTGTATTGCTACAACTGGGTTATATGATCTTCAAACTAAACAAAAGTGTTACGAAAATGGAATGGATTATTTTATGTCAAAACCTCTGAACTAAGGTTTGCTTAAAGAAATTCTATTAACATTCTTTCCTACATTAGAAATTAAAGTCTATTGAATTTAATCGATATGAATTATTTTTATTTATATTTCATAATTTTTAGGCTATTTGGTTCTTTTTTGTGTGTTGATTATTTTTATAAAGGACATACAAGATGTTATATTGAAAATTATGAAGAATATGGAAGGGTTAGAAAGATACAACTTTTGTTAATTTCAATTTAATTTTATTATTATTAATAACTGCTTTTTAATTAGAATTATTGTTTGTTTTTGAACTAATTTTTATTATTAATTAAGTTTATTGCTTATGGAGTGGTTTGAGTATTTGTTTGATGCAAAGATTTTGATTGGCTTTGGAGTAGGTCTATTAACAGCCTCTCTTAGTCTATTCCCGACCCTGAGAGAACACAATCAAGAAAATGCGCAATCGAAGATGAAATTATCAAATAAATCTATTCCCTCAACTTAGGATTTAAAACAAGTATATATCAAAGTAAATTAAAAACTCATATTTTAGAACGATCCCTAGTCAAAAGACAAGAAAAAAAGTAATCAGAACACTAATCTGACGGAAACAAATAAATAAGATTTATATTTCAACTTGGATGATGGTGTTAGAAAAAAAATAAAAGTCCAAAAGACGGATGAAGAGTAATCTTCTTAGGATCATTAGTCATCCTTGAGTATAAAATAGGATGAAGAGTCTTAAAGCTCCCTTCCATTAAATAACAGTAAAATATTTTATATTATATAGTAAATAATCAAAATGAAAGTAACTAAGGTTTGAAAGAAAAATCAGAAGTCCCTTAACCTCCAGGCTAACAAGGAGGTCATTAAACTAAAAAAATTGCATCCGAGCCATCAGACAAAGAGAAACAAGATTCAGGCATTCAAGTTGAACAAGGTAGAGAATAGGAAAAAGAAGACAATTGATTATAATTCAATAATGCTATTTTTCAATTCCAATATTATATTACATCTCTTTGAATTCATATTTTAATTAATATAAAATATGTAAAGCTAAATCAAATAATTTCTGAATAAGTAATATATGAAAATAAAAGTAGCTATTTTCCTAATGTGAATTAGAGTCGTATGTTTGATTTGGATTTCATGAATGAAGAAGAACTTTTCGAATGGCTGCATTAAAGATTATTAATTTTTATAATTACTAAGGATGTATAAATTGGAGCTAAAGCATTATATCACTGGTGCTAAAAAGGATTTGGTAAGAGTTCAATGTTAATACATAGTTTATAGAGTCTGGAATCCCCATGGTGAATTAAATCTTAATAGTAATAGCGGTACTCTAGTTGAGAATCAACCCAAAGATGGTTGACGAAATAACCTAACTAATTTAAGACAAAGAAGATAAACAGAAATTAATTGATTAACTTTCATAGGCTTAATAAAAGCAAGTCAACTTAGAGGTTTCTAATGTAAAAATAGATATGAATATAGTCACCCAAAATTTTGAAATCAAAACTTGAGCAAAAGGAATCAGGTTTATTCGGTAATATCCTCACCGCTCTAAGATGTTGGGATAAGAAATAAAAATGATAAACTCACATTTAAATTTATTTTTCTATGTTTTCTATAGGTGTTTATTAATTCAAGAATAGTATTACTTGAATGATCCTCTTATCATGGTTGTTTAAATCTTTATAAAATACCTTAAAAATTAACAATAATTTCTTAAAAAGAATTTAAATCAAACTCAACCACTATTTAAGTTTTCGTATTGTGATAAGACACATAAAATGAATAGATTATTATTAGAGATAAAATAAGTAAGAAAGAAGTTGATAATTCCAAATTGTATAATCAAAAGAATTATAGGTCTAATATAATTACAATATTTATGAAATATTCGTTGAATTATTCTATTCATTCTGAAATAATTGAATAACATTTAGATCTTGTTATAAAGTATTTGAAATTGAAAAAAGACACTACTTATTAAATACTCATTGATTTAGTTATTTAATACTTAATTATAATTTTTCATATTCTCCACTTCTATCTACTCTTTAATTCTTTGTTAGTTGATTGACTCGAATATGTAATTTCAAATCCTAAGTAAGGTCAATGAGATTTTTGCAACATTATTGAAATTCATCCAAATCAATTTTGAGGTTGTTGCAATTCATTTATTCTTCTTCATAACTTGACTTAATTCTCAACTCTTTGAGTACTCTTTTTGAAAAAGTCCTTAGTTTTTCCAATTCCAGGTCTATATTTTCAGTTGTTTAGTTCATAAAATAAATATTAATAAATATAAATAATGTCTTAATTTCAAATTACTTTATCCTTCCTTAATTTTGTAGCAATAAGTTCAAACAAACAAAATTCATCTCTTAAACTTTCCTCAGCAATAATATTCCTATCTTCCTTTTCCTTCAATTCAAGGAGATGCATTTATTTCGGATCCAATGAACTGCCATCCTCAAATCGAACCAAAATATTTCTCTTTCTAACATAGGGTTTTTAATGTTCTCTTAGTAGATACCTCGCAAATTCAGTCATCAATTTTGAAGACTTCCTTATATATATCATAGACATAGCAATTACTTGTTAATGAAGGCATAGAGATATATTGAATAGGCTTGCTTTATTTACTACGCATGTAATTTAGTTTTCTTCATAATTTCGAACAGCTTTTCTTTAGGTATTTCAACAATCTCTTGGATTGAATTGATTACCTAATTTCATTTTTGATTAATTTATTACTTTATTTGGTATTATATCTTTGAAATGTTCATGCAAGATTATGGAGTCAGTAATGTCCCTCATCACTTGAAAGTCTTCAGATGGATCTTCAAGAGTAATTTATAAGCACTTCTCATCTTCCAACCCTAATTTATAGACAGTCCTCAACATTCTACTCCCATGTCCTTTTCTTTGGTATTATGGTAAGAATAGCATTTGACTCAAACGATGTCTTTGTTTATTCCATGCAATATTAAACTTAAACACAGTAGTCAAACCAACAAAGCGACGCTTTTCATATAAGGTTAAGTAAACCCATTCATTTTCATCACCTGGGTATTGGACTCCATCAATCAGAACTAAAAGAAATGCCTATAAAAATGGTTTGAATTGGATAAACCCATTTGTGGTTGCCGTTTAACATTTATATATTCTGAAGTCTCCATACTCTTCAATTAATTCTCCTAAAGGCTCTTGATTTTGTTCCTCTTCAAGGGCTTTGATGAATTGCTCTTCAGTAGAAAGGAAGCCAGCCTCGTACACTTTATTGAAGCTCTCTTAGAGATCATCTGCATCTTCCGTCTGCTCACTGTAGGATATCTAAATTAGGTAGTCTGAATGAAATACTTGAATAAAAGGCTTCAATCTAAGGGCTGTGACATGAATTGTGATTTTGAGATCCTTGTAACCGTAAATTTCATTGGTTTATCGAAATACTTGATGTACGTAACTGGGTTAAAACTTCAACCCTTAATCTGACTTATACTACTCCACAGTTTCCACTAGAATATATGTGATTGCCAAAGAGCCATTGGTAACAAATGGATCGTCTTGTCTTTAGACTTCGGGTGGTTTTTCAAGGTATTTGAGAGCATTCAATCTTAGGTATTGTCCTTACTCTTCGTCAAATAGGTTTGCCATACAATATATAAATATTATACATTTTGGCGCCAATCAAGTTAATAAATAAGAAGTGGATAGATAGCGCAATTTATTAAATTACTTAAAATAATTGGTTAATTAGAAATTCAGCTATTGTATTTGCAAAGAATCGGAATCAAATAATAATTATTTATTAATAATTTGGAATCAATCGCAATGTATATGTGATTATAAATATATTTTAAATTCATCTTATTAAATAATTTGAGTAGTATTTTCAATCCTTTTTTGTGACTAATGAGGCTTAACTCAATTCATTCTGTTAACCATATATTTTGATTATTATTAAAAATTAATGGAGAAATTAGGCAATCTTTTTGAATTCTTTGTCACTGCTGGGATCAAGACTAATGATCAAGGTAATCATAAGTCATCACCCTATTTATAGATGTGATTCTTTAATCATGCACTACTTCAAATAAGAAGGATCTTGCTATACTAACGATATTCCCAAATCCAGTGGAACGAAAGATGAACCATGTTTTAGCAGATATCGCCATGGTACATTTATGGGAATTATAATCATGTAGTGGTGCTTCCCCTTGGGAGTGAAGACCATCAAAGAGGGCGACACCAGATTTAATAAAATAGAAGAATATTTCAAAGAGGATGACATTCAGGCATCCACAAACGAGATCAATTACTTTGTTATCAATGATTTTAAATAGCACATCAAGTTTTATTGCACATCAGCATGCTTCTACGAAAAGATGTTCTTGATAATGCCCCCTAATGACAAATTGATGTAGGTCTTTGTGCCTAAGGCTTTCTGTGTCATATCTCGATATCCTGCTTTCATTACTCAAAGGAGTTTTTTGTTGCAATTGCTCAAAATCCAGAAGCTACGTCTCTCGCAAAACAGGGAAAGAGATAAAATAATTACTATCAAAAGGGGACAACAGGAATACTAAATTGAAGAAATCAAACTCTATGACTTTTATATTCGAACAGCACTTACTTAATGTCCTATCGTATAGGATAAGTATTTGTATTTCAATAAATAGCAAGCGTAGAATACAGGTTAAAGTTCAGCAGTTCTGAGATCTGGATGAACTACTATGTCTCCAACTCACATTTAACAACTCACTTTTCTATTTTTAAGTTGTCAAATAACCTCTTCGATGTTCTGATCTTCAACTAACCCATCTTTAATTTGTACAAGTTACTTTTATACATGATGCTGGAGTATCAGATTATAATAGTATCTCGCAAACCCGCAGGAATCACATTATTTTGTCAATCATTAGTGGAATTGCTTGCTCCATTGCAATGGCGTGGTCTCTTTATTCCATTTCTGAGACCTGGCTCATTTGATTTTCACAAATCCCAACTACCCTACATCATTGGTTTGGATAGAAATCTCTATGAAATAGTAAGCAAACTCATTTAAATTAGTCTGAAAAACCATTGCCCAAAGAACTAAAACGAGTCATTTATGACATTGACGATGGACGTATTCTTTCCAGATCAGATGATCCCAAATGTCCAAAATAATATCAAAATTACTTCATTCGAAAAATGAATACAGTTTTTGCAGAACTTAAATTCTATGAGAATGTAATTATATTTATTTATATATAGGAAATCTTTGAAGAAGGCATCATGAAATATCGATAAGCTTTTTATAATTTTAAGTTACTAATGTTAAATGATATCTATAAGTACTTTAGTACTGATACATCCAACTAGAAATCAGAGAAAAAGATTGTTATGTTTGATTATAAGAAATTTCTTAATTCCTTTGAGAGTTAGGATCAACTCTTTTTCTTGCAATTTCTTAAAACTTTATCATTTCAATAATTTGTAAAGGATCTCTATAAGGTTATGGAATACAGAGAAGAATTCATTAAAAACAATATCCAAAATGTAGAGTACTATTTCAGCAGTGTACTACAATTCTTTGATGATGTAAGATTTCTCAGTATCCGTTTTGGAGAATAAACCCTTGATGACAAATTAGTCATTTTAGAAAATCTGCAAAATAATTATATCAAAGCAGTTCTTGAAAGGAAAAATGAATCCAGTAATTATAAAGTAGTAGAAATGAAAACAACTGATTTCATTCCTGAATATTTGGAGCATCTTAAAAACAGTAGTCTCAATCTTAGTATGGAAATGCAAGCCTTAGCCAAATTCATTTAGACAGCTCCCTAATAGGAAGAGATTGTTGTTGAATAACAATAAAGAATAGTGTAACAAGGTGGACCAGACATGCATCAATCAGAAGAATAAGATAACATCTCTTAATAATCCTCTAAAATTCAGTCAGATAAATCAGATCAACATAGTTAATTTCATCATTCATTGCCTCCATAAGAAAAGGTTAATTGGGAATTACAAACTATAGCTGTAAGCAATGCTTCAGAATATAGAAAATAATATTAAGTTAAACATCTAAATCTAATTAGTAAAAGGAATACTTTCAGAAAAAAGAATCTACTAGAAAATGAAGAGGAAGAAGAACAAATGCAATTGAATCAGAACACAAATACAAACAACTTCATTGTGACCAATATTGCAGATAAGAATATGCTGAGTCTGCCTGTCAAAGATAATTAATCAATGGCAGCTAGATCCTATTTCAACAAGAGTATGGTTCCATTAATTGGAGATTATGGAAATGCTGAGATTATGGTACCTAATTAAGATAACATGATTTGAATATAATTTGTAATGATATTTCGATTTCCAAATTTATATAGTAATATCTCAGAAGTCTATAACCTTTTTTTCATTAGATTATTTTATTGGTCATTATTTCTATTTTCTATTGATGATGTAAATTTAATGTTCTGATGACAGTAAAATCTATAAATAGACTGAAAATTCAGAATTTATATTGAATAAATAGAAGCAATTTAATTATGATATAAATATATAGATTAAAACAAACATTTAAATGCTCCTCATTTTTAATTCTTAATGAATTGCAAATAGCCTTTATTGTTTTAACTCAATAAGTATTTAATTTTCCTAATTAAACCTAAATTAGCTAAATTATTTTTTAGTTTATTTCTGTATTCTCTCTATTCAATAAATCAATTTGAATACTTATTATCCTTCCATATCGGATTGCAATTGTTCCTGTTCAGTCTACAATTATGCAATCTTTTTTTTCAACTCAGCTTATTAATTTGTTAACTTTTCTAAATCGACAGAAGATCTTTCAAATATTTATTTAATTTAATCACACTAAATAATAGTAAATTATTATTTTACCTCAGCAGATCTTTTATCAACATCTTTTTTAAGCTCATTTCTTTCGATATTAAACAATTCTTATCTCTCATTACTGACAGCTTCGATCTCCTCTGAACTTGATTCCAAAGCAAGTTGTAATGTTTTTAACAATTGAGGAACCTCTTCAATCAAATGAGCATTTTCAGGTGCCAATAAAGGCTTTAAGGAAACTTATGTTTAAATTATGAATGTACATAACACTAAGGTATAAGGGTTATCAATAACTACAGTGTCCAACTCATTTCTAATGTCATTGCACATCGCTTTAAACTTATTCAATTCATCGTTCTATTTATTATTAGCTAAGAATGCTGGGGATTCGCTCAGATCTGGCTTTTTGGCTAAGAAATGAGCTAGGCCTTGAAATTGTTATAAAAATGAATTAATGACTTTTGAGGTTTGGTTTATTTCTTTTTTTAAATTTTAGAGTTTATCAATCTAGCAAATAATTGATTTGAAACTTACTTCATCATTACGAATAGCTTGCATTTAAGGAACAAATTTATTTTCTTCGGTTAATAATCTTTTTCTTTCCTCAAATATTTTTTCTGAAAATTCCTTTTCTTTTGTGACAATTGTAAGTTCCTCACCAACATTTTACAATTAATATTTTGATAAGAAGATCTTTTATTTCAATGCTTATTTTCTCTCAATATCTAATTTATAAATTTTGAAAATTAATACTGCTTGTATAGACAGTCTAATACTCTTTCATTGTCTTTTCACTATCCATCACAAGCTCAGATTCAAAATGATTCAGATTAATTATCAAATCGACAGGATCTTGAATATTATTTATATATAATTACTTTAACTAGATTTCAGAACTAGCTATTATTCTTTTAATACTTTTTTTCCATAATCGCTTTGAGTCAGGAAGTCAAAATCTTTGACAGAATCAGTCGCAAATGTGTATATGCACAAATATGCTAACAATACAATTCGTTTCATCCGTTTTTAATTTATATTTCATTAATATGAGCAGAAATAATTTGCATTCAATACATATATTTCTAAAAATAATTATTATCAACCATTATTGACATATAACATCATACTCCCAACACACAACTGTAGACTAAATAAAATCAGCAATTATGATTAAATAATGTAAAAAGTAAATGAGCAAAATTCATTTTATAAAAACACCATTTTCCCAATACCCCTCTATCACTTTCTCCTTGTTTTCCAATTTACCATATCCATGATACACTCCGTCATACCATTCTCCACTATACACTTTATCTTTAGAAGTGAATATCCCAAAACCTTGCTTCCTCCCCATATTGTAATTCCCCTCGTATTTATTATCATTTGGCCATGTAAATCTTCCAAATCCATGCATGTACCCTTCTTTAAATTATCCTTCATAAATCTCGCCATCTCCAAAATAGTAAGTGCCTTATCCATTTATTTAATTATCAGAAAACTCTCCCTCATACCTTGAGTCATCTTTGTACCATATAATCTTGCCTTTTCCGTGCTTCATTCCATTCTAAAAATCTCCTTCATAAAAATAATATTTGTTATAAATCTCAATTCCATGTCCAGAAGGAAGATTCTCCTTCCATTATCCTTCATATTTCAATTAATTTGATATGTACTTGCCAAAACCATGTTGTTAATCATTTTTGAACTCTCCTTCATATTATTCTCCTTCTTAAAACTTTATTTTGCCTTAGCCGTTTGCCATGTCATTTTTCCAAGTGCCTTTGAAATATGATCCGTCATGATAAAAAAACTAACCTTGTCCCTCCCTCTTTCCATCCATTAATTAACCCTGATAAACACCGTTTGGGTATTCGAAATACTCAGTGACTTAGGTTGTTGGAGATTAGGCTTGAGAATCATGGATACTTTCATAATGCAACGTTCTTTTGCGATGTAATTTAAGATTGAAAGGGACTTTTTTGACTCTCTCATGAAATTGTGATTTTGTACTGTTTAGTGAATCAAGAGATTGAAATTTTCCTAAATCAGAGGAATTAAGAAAATGAATTTTGGGATCAAATTTGTAGACCAAAAATGAGTCGGACTCATCTTCAATTTAAACAGATTTGAACTCATTATCATTGATTTCAGCATGGTTACATTAATTTCCCATTATAAAAATAATATCAAATTTTAAACTGATCCTCTTAATCACTTGGTTCATCATAATTCATCATGAAGTCATCAAGTAAAGATTCTAAGAAGGATGAATTAGTGATCTAAATAACTTTAAAATCATTACTGAAGGACTTTAGTCCATTGATAAACTTTATTTAATGGATTCACTATCCTGGGACGATGTAATTTCTTGGCCACTATTATTTAAAACCACTGAATATGGGTTCTACTGACCCAATAAAACTCTTCTTATATAAGAATAAAATCTATTTTTTACAAAATTTTCCTAATTTAATAAAAATAAATGCTTACTGGTCTTCCTTTCAATTATTTTGAGATCATACACCACTTAGGTCCATTTTCTTTGTAAAAATTCAAAATAATATTATCTTCTTCTTTAGTCCAAGAACTCATATTGATCGATGGATCTAATTTATTTATATACCTTTCCCTTATTTGTTTTCCACTTTTATCTGGGAAGTGTTTGGCTATTTCTGACCAATTTTTATCGAATTTTTAAACAAGTTAGATAATTTTTTAATCATCCTCAAATTCCCATTTCTTCTTCTTATTATTCTTCAAATAAATAATATGATATACTTCTTAAGGATTCAACCTTCTCCATCTTTATGAACACTAATTCATATTTCTTCCTGGCAATTATTCTGCTATGCTTCTCCAATTTCCATTAAATCTAATGTAAGCCTTTTTTAAAATTGCATCCTCCTTCTTATCCCAAAGTTTAGCATTGTTGACTTCTTTTTTTTAAATGCCATCCTTACTAGTATTATCCTTTGACAGCTTTTTTTCTTTTTGGATTCGTTTTTTCTCTATTTTTCCTGTTTCTAGTGATATTTGGCTTGATGATCTAAAAAGTATTGCAAATTTCTTACCTTGTCATTTAATTTTTTTTTGGGTACTCTTCTATCACTTCCAATTATGTAGTTTAAGCTAGATTATTTTACCTAATGTTTTCTATATGATATCTTACTATTGGTTTTGTTCAGACATGATCTGCTAATCAGACGTTGGTTGACTGCCTGAATTATTACCTTAATAAGGAATATTTTTGGAGCAAATTGACTTTGCCAAGATTGTGAACTAAGCTAATTAATTTATAAGATCATTTTATCTTGATTGTTCTAATGCTTCCCAACTAGCCATTTTATTGGATTTATTATCAGATAATTAGAGAAACCCTTCAACAGGTTCCACTCTTAATAGTAATTGTCAACATACCTTCCATTTCAATTGATGTTTTTACTGCTCCTTTATTTATCATACTCTAGAAGTTGTTCTGCTATTATGCTTACTATGATTGCTGTCTCTTCTCCTACGCTTCCTGTAACTTCTGCCGTAACTCTTACGATGTTGATTGCAGAGCTTTCTGTTCAAGAGGAGATGGTGCATATGCCTACCCTGTATCGAGTATTGGTTTATTGGAATCCTCCTTGATGCTTATCGGCTGATCTTAGTCTTCCTGTTTTGGCCGTCTGGCACAACAGAAATTTAACCATAAGTCGACAAACATTTCTTTTTGTCAATTAAAAATATGTAATCAAAATTAGCAAATCAACTTATCACTTACTTACCTGTATTGTTAAAGATATATCTTATTTATAAATACTCACAGAAAAGCACTTAACAAAATTATCATTCATATCAATTACACAACCTGATTTCCTATTTTATAAATCGTAATTTTTATTTATTTCTTATTAACTTTATCATCAAAACTGTGAATAACTTTATCCTCTATTTCAAATTCTCTATATTCCCCTCCATTATATTTAAATAAGCCTGATCCAATTTAATGCAATTCAAATCTACAATTTAACACAATTTCACATTTAAATTAAAATAGAAAAACACTAAAAATACATAAATAATGGCTACCCATTCGATCTCCAAATACAGGCTGACCAAATCAATTCATAAAGAATAACTCAAATTATTGAAACAATAATTGAGTGATCCAAATCCTCAAGACTATCAGACCAACATTTCATAACACAATCTCACCAATCTTACTCAATAATTGTAAAATCCCAATTCTCAAACCAAAAGTTTTAATTCTATTTTTGATGAGATTAAACAGCAACCACCCCTTACATGTAACAAATACAGTGCGTACTTCACCAAAACCTTTGATTAGTCATTAACTAAAATCCTTAGAGAATTATCATATCCCAATCAATAAGAAAAAACAGAAAGAATTTAAAGCAAGAGAAAACTCACTAAACCAATAAACAACGCTAATGAAGCAACGATAAAAGAAGATTCCAAATTTTGATTTCAAATTATTTGTTAATTTTCATATTATTTCCATTCCATTCAATATATTTTTGAACAAGATAACTTAAGTTATTAGTGAATAAAATTCTTGTAACAACTTCTAATGTCAATCCAAAAGATAATATTTTACAATTTTAGGAAAAAAAAGAATTCTATTAATAATGATTAGATGCATAAATAAATATCAAACTTAATTGTTAATTGTTTAATAAATTATGCTAGCTAATATTTCATATATTCAGATTAAAAAAAAAATTCGAAAAATTCATAAACTCCATCCTTACAAAATATGGCTATAGTTTGAGCATCACTATGTTCTTTTTTAAAATAAGTACGAACTATTCGGCTATTTGCAAAGAAAATAGCTCTTATTCAAAATGGTTAGGGTCTTGGCATTTATTCTTTTTTTGATATATTGGGAATATAAAGTGATTCGGATTCAACAATATTAAAATATAGTAATCATTTGAAACTTTGAAGCCTTTTGGCCATATCTTCTCTTAGGTTGTCTTCACTTTAATGAACAAGATCGATTCTTTTAAATAAAGACTCTGCAAAGAATTGTTAAAATTAGAATGCTTATTCTTATTTATGTATTAGTTGTTTCAATAAATCTAATAACAGTAAATGATCATTGTCATCAGATGTTATTTATAGATTAATTTGATCATTAATAATTGATTAGAAGTATTATGTTTTTAATTTCACAGAATTTGTTATACTTTGGATTTATTCAAGTTGTTTAATACTTTTAGACATTCCCTATAAACCATTGTACATTTCACAATTAAATTTGATTAATAGACAACAACTTTTTTATATGATATCTCTTAACTACTTTGTTTAAGTAATTATATTTGAAACAAGCAAATTGAATTCTTGATTAGACAATTTCTTTTCACTTTCACTAATTTCTTGAATAGTATTGGTGCTTTTATTATCAGAGATGACATTCTTTTATTGTTTTTCTGCAAATTTTTGGAATTCTTTAATTATCAAGTGTGAATTTTATTGAAAATCTTTTCCTTCTCCATCTTTGTCTAATTTTACTTTGCCATCAAACTTCTTTATTAAATCAATAATTGAATTTTAAAATTCTGATAAAAATGATTTCAATTATGATATAAGATTATTTATCAATATATTATCTGTTACGAAATTACTTTCAGACAATATGATTTTCTCGAATTCTTCAGGATTATAATCCTTTAAGATAAAACTTTCAAAATTTATGATTATTTCTTAATTTGCTTTTATTTATCCCTCTTTCTCTTCAATCTTCCTTTGAGCTTGTTATATTTTTTGTTCTAACTCTCTTATTTTCTATTTTCTTTACTCTTGTAAATCTGTCTACTCTTCATCAACTTGAATTTATTGCTTATGTCTTAAATCACCCTCACATTATTTTGAAGGAGAATGAAAATATTTATTCTTCTATTAATTTTATTTTTTTTCAGACCTGAAGGTTATATGCTAATTATCATGACCTCTGATCTCAAAATCTTATCTCGGTGTGACTTCATATTATGCATCCTAGAATCTTAAATCATTAAAACTATCAACAATTGGAGTTGATTAATTCTTTTCATTTGATTTAAACAGTTAATCAATTAAGCTATTTCTTGGCCTTTAATTATTAGGGGTTCCCTTTTCATTTTATTAGATGTGTGAATCTATCTAAAGGTTCATACTTTGATAGATATCATTATTCATTGTTTTAGTTTAATTAAGAAAAATAATTAATTTATGGTTAATAATATCATTTTTAGCTTCCTATCATATTTATTCAATTCCTAAATCCTTGTCAATTAGTCATCCAATTCTATAATTTAATCCTATTTCTTGGTTATTATTTTACTAAGATATTAGGGATTATATATTCTATTTGATAGTATTTTTATCAAAATTTTATCATCTTGAAATTAATCTTCACAAATAATTAATCTATTATTTTGGTGATTTAAAAAGAGACAGCTTTTTTCTATTACGAATTTGGAATAGCAACATTTTCTTCATCAAATTATTTAGAATTGAAATATTTTAATAATTCTGCATATTCATCCAATTATTAATTAAATGCAAATAAGTGAAGTCTTATGTTACATGTAAAAATATCATCATCTCATTTAATACTATGGAAGCCTATTCAATGAGTCTGTATATCGTTTGTCTGTGTAAAATGTACCACTATCGAGTATTCTAGTGGCTCCTGTAATCACATGTTAAGGGGGAGTGAATGCAGGCTACTAGATTGATGGATATAGGGGTTGTGATGGTTTGATATGACTAGGTGTCTTAGAATGGAAGGAAACAGCATCTGATATATTTGGACTTGGTAGAGTGTGGATTTTAATAAATTCAGGTACATCATTATGTCTAATTTTGATTATGTGACTTAAATGAGCAGCAATTTCTATTCTAAATGATACTTATTATGTATTACGCTTTTTCTTAATTGAAAATGATATCTGATGTCACCTATTCAAATCTGTTTGAGTATTAATCCAAGATATTGAAATATTTGTCATTGTCTTCAAGTAAGGATGTTCCGAAGAATTAGATAACTGAAGTCATACTATTTTCAGAATTCAAAGTCTCCAAAAAGGTTACATGAGATGACCATCTTTATTATACCTAGAAAGTCAATTGCAATAAAATACCAACTGTTTGAGTGATTCAGCATCCTTCTCTTGATTTTATTAATTCTTTTTTTGCTTATTTTGCACATCATTAATTAAAGACTTAAAGAACTGTTCTACAACCCTAATTATACGATTTTAAATGTCAAGTAATTTATTAATAGTATTATCTGTTGCATAAGCCATGCTATCGACATTGTTTTTCAAATCAAAATAACTTTTGGCAAAGAAATTAGCTAATAAGGTTAGGATAATATTTAAACTTTCTTGAACAATATTTTTATAAACAGTATTTAAGACATTCTCCAGACATTCAATTTTATTGGAAGTCTATTCCTCCTTATGTTTTATGATGTGCTCCTCTACACATTAAGGACATAATGGTAGCAAACACTAAATGCATGAGCAAAAATTAGTTAATATATTCCCTTTATGATACAAACATGGAATCTGAATATTAGAATTTGATTCATACTTTTGGGGTATTAAATCCATCATAAACAAAATTCTGACTCAATAGTGTTGGTTGTTCATTTGGTGATACGAACACTTATAAGGTTTACGATTTTATCTTTCCTTTTTCATCAGTCATTGCATTTTCGTCATAGACATTTCCTTTGTTTGATGTTAATTAACTCATCTAGTGTGTCAGTTAATAAAATAATTATATAAATGAAACTTGTTTAAGTGAATAATAAAAATTTGAATGAAATTAAACTAAAAATTATTAGAAAGACTAGACGAGTCCTTAGCTCAAAGTTTTGTTCTTAAATACCAAGAAGAGAAAAATAGAAAGGTTGTACCCGAGGAATTCATAAGTGATGATTATAAGGGAAACTTTAGAGTAAGACAAGTTGGAGATCGGCAAGAAAATATGAAGAAAAGCAAACTAGATGCTATGTCTACTGCCACATCCAATTTTTATAAGGAGACAGCCACACCAAATTCATCTAAGCCTCCTTCTTCTCTTAATTCCTCCAAATTATTAGATTAAAGCAAGATTTCCCAACTAAAGCAATCAATTATAACAAACAGAATTACATCAGCCTAGCCAACAAGGCCGTTAATGATTAAGAAGATATAAAAGAATACTGAATAATTATAAATTGAACCCAAAGAACAAAAACCTCCAATTTTTGCATTAAAAAGACTCTCATCTGCCAAATAGTAATAACAAGATGAAGAGAAGTCTATCGTACAGAATTAAGAATCAAGCCTTAATAATTCCCTTGTAGCCAAGCCTTCAATATTGAGAAGATCTTCATTGACATCACATGCTAAAAAAATTGAAATCAAAAAAGAAGAAGAAGTTGAAACAAAGAAATTGTCCTTACCAAAGAAGTAAGAATCTCAAATATCAGAACCAGTATTTTAATTTTAAATTGCCAAAAGAAAAGTTGATGACATGATTTACGATACTATGGATATTGATACTTTATAAGAAATCACAAAAAAAAATGAAGTACATATATATCTCTTAAATCTAGAGTTCGTTTGATGAAATCACATCCATCTAATTTAGATTCAATACTATGAATGATTCACTTTATATGCTAGGAGAATACTTATCAAATTTACAAGAACTTAAACTGAATAATTCATAAATAGAATCTTTGCGTTTGTTAGGCACTAAATTGAGGAACTTATCAATTCTTTGGATCAGCAATTCAAAATTAACTGATATTTCAGGTATAACTACTAAACTTATCCAATGTTAGGAATTATGAGCATGCCAAATCTTGTAGAGTTTTATTGTTCCTTCAATAATATCAAAGACATCAGTCCCTTAGCCTTTCATGAAAAGATATCCATTTTAGATATTGAAGGTAATGAATTAGCTGATGAATTCTAAATTGATTATTTAGAATCTTTGAATTTACAATAATTGATTATTAGTTCAAACCCATTAATCAAAGATGATCATTTGAGGGATAAACTCTATGAAAAGTTACCAGCCACTGAAATCTATATTGATGATAATGACTTACCAACAGAGTCTTAGATAATTTCAGATAATAGCCAAATCAAATAACTATATGATATAGCAGAAATGATGCACTCTAAATTTGATGTATGTTCTATATAATAAACTTAGCTCGGAAATGTAGAGGAATTGAAAGATCTAGAGGAGTAAGTCAAACATTAATTAGACAAGGATATGTTGGAAGAACCTGATGAAAATAGATTACTCAGTTTAGCTATCAAATAAAGGCCTCTTGAAAAGTCAAAATTAAAACGACCTTAAACTGCTTAAGTTCAACAAAATTATAATGTAAAAGTTTTCCTCTAAACTAATAGCCTGACCCCACTTCAGAATTAGTTGGATTAGAAGAGGCCTTTGCTGGGAATCCCATTAAAGCAGCTAAAAAGCACAAACAAAATAGAGAACAAATTTTTGATCCTACTGATAGAAAAAGTATTGACATATAAACTTTATTAAATAAGTTCAAATGAGTAATGTAGTTAATATAAATATATAGAAATCATTAATTTCTAAGTTCATCTATTATACCCTTTCTTTCTAGTTCATTTATTTCCTCCTTATCATACCATTTTACTCTCTTTCCTTCCACCCACTCTCCAATTCGCATTACATTATCACTTGAATAATAAATTCCAACACCATGTTATTTACCTCCATACCAAATTCCAATATATTTTCTTCCATCTTCCCAAAGGAACACTCCTTTGCCATGTTTCTTATCGTTCTCATATTCCTCATTTATTATAACTATAAATACTCCTTTGTATTGTCTTCCATCTGGCCACTTAATCTCACCTTTACCATGCATCTTGTTTCTCATCCATTCCCCTTCATACAGTCTCCCATCTGGCCATTGATAATTCCCAAAGCCTTGAATTTCGTTATCATAAAATTCACCTAAATTGTAAATGACAGTTACCTTGATAACAAGAACCATCAGCAAAATTCAACTTGCCTTTGCCATGCTTTTTACCTAATGAATAATCTCCTTCATATCTAGCTCCATCTGGCCATATCTCTATTCCTCTTCCATGTTAACTATCATTTAACCACTTACTAATGTATTAAAACCTATACTTCTCCTTGGTATTTGGCTCCGTTCACATGAATATAAATTCCTAATCCATTTGCAGCATCATCCACCCAATCTCCATCGTATACATCTCCATCAGCATGTGTGAGTTTCCCCTTTGATATTTTATTCAACTTTACCTTTCCGCAAGATTTATCCTCTTTCCATTCCCCTTCATAAACGGATCCATCTGGCCAAGATTATTTACCATATCCATCCCTCTTTCCTTCAAGCCACTCACCCTCATATTATGCACCATTCGGTAACAACATAACCTAGATTATTCATCATAGTTACTGGTAGCTTAATTCTTTCTCCTGCTCCCACAGTCTTCTGTATCAGAGGATTTTAATTTGCATCTTAATTTTGAATAGGAAGATTCTTTTCAATTTGCTTGATGGACATCTTACTATGCTGTGAGGATGCCATTAAATCAGAGACTGTATCACTTTTCTTTTTTTGTGTTTTATCCTCCACCCTTTCTTCGTCTTTATGGATTTGTTGAGAAAGTTTCGTCTTTTTCGTTTAGATTTCGAGAGATCTTCCTGAATTCTTTAAAGCTTGAATCTCTTCCTTCGTACAACAAGAGTTTATTGTACAGGTTTACCCCATTTTTCCTTTTTGAGAAATAAATATTAATACTTTGAATTGAATATAAATTTTTTGTAATCATTACTAATCTTATACCAACTGAAGATTGAACTCTTAATTATTAATAAATTTCAAGAAATGCTCATCATTAAATTAATTTATTATAGATTCCTAATTTAAATTAGGTGTTCTGTCTTTTCATCCAAAATAGGGGCAAACATCTTACATTTTATATATCAAAACATTTTCATTCAAATTTCAAATAGAAATTATATAACTAATAATCAAATCACTATTCAAGCTTTGATTTTTTATTTCAGATTTTCAATCTAATCCACAATCTTCGCGAACATCCTCTCAAATAACTACAATTTTAATTGGAATTTACTTCATTCACATTCTCCCCTCCAGCTGCACTGCATATCATCCCTTCAAACCCCTTCTTCTTAGCATATGCAAGAATGTCACCACTATCAACCTCCTTGTTCTTCAAATCCGATTTATTCCCTACCACATAAACTGCCGCTTATTTTAAATCCAATCCATTATCAGTCATCATCTTTTCCCATTTAGGTAAATTTTGAAAAGATTGCCTGTCTGTTAAATCGCAAACCAAAACCACCCCTTAAGCATCAGCGAAGAATGGATTTCGTATTTCCTTGTAATCCTCATCACCCGATAAATCGAAGAAATTTATCTAACATGAATGCAAAACTTCATACAGCAACCTTCTTATTTTAAATCATCATCTTTTTAACACCATAATCAACCCCAATTGTTGTGACATACTTATTGATGAATCTGCCTTCGCAAAATCGTTTTATCAAGCATGATTTGCCACTCTGAGTGTCACCAACTGAAATGACTTTTATTAATAATTGCTAATCTTGCATATATATATTAATGTTTTATAATATAATAATATCAAATTGTAGATAACATATTTACAAAAAAAGATTACTAAAAATTAACATCTAATTATTAGTAATATGTCAGAATCTTGCTTACATTTAATTTACAAATTAATAATTAATTGTTAAGTACTTCACCAAATATTTAAGCGCAAAAATTAATTCTTAACGTTAATATTAAAAATCAATTTTCTGCACTAATGAGTTAATTTTAGAGACCGACTTCATCAAGAAAAGGCACAAATAATCTCCCAACCCAATCAGGAGATTTAGAAGAATATATGTATCAATTGATTTTGATAGTAGACAAATATTATACGATCATTAAAAGAGCTGTGAAAAAGCTGGCAAGTATTTGGAAGCTGATCAAGCGAAGAAAAGACTGGCAGAATTAAAGAAAGAATTAGATCTAAAAAACAAAGGAGGTGTCAAAGATAGACACTACTCAGAGAAACAAGAGATTGAAAAAGCACATCTTGAAGAATTCAATTAATTTAATTAGTTTTGGGATGATAAGATGGTAGAGTTTGACAACGAAGCTCAAAAAGTGAAGGAATAAACTCTGTAAAGACAAGAAGAAGAATTAAGATAATTTTCAGAAGAATTAGAAAATAGCCTTCCTGTAAAACCAAAGGATTCAGCTGAGCTTTTGGCCTTGAAAAAGACTGAAGAATAATTGGCTAGACAAGAAAAGTACTATATATTGTTATAGAATTAGTTATTTAGAGGCTCATGTCATTCAGTCAAGAATCTAGGCCTAGGAAAGAGATGAATATGAGAAGTGGACCTCCTGTAGATAGTAAAAGATTAGAAATTTGATTACTCAATTAAGACAGAAACAAATTAATGAGTTGAATGCTCTAACATAGAGAATCTTGAGTGGATAAGAGGAATAAAGAAAAATTCGATCTCAAGAATTAGAAAAGTGAATTTGTTGATCTAATTTTAGGTTACTGTAAAAATATTAAAATGTGAGAAAAGAACTAGAAAGCCAATAAACTCAAGAGATCACTAGACTTGACAAGACAAACAAAACATAATGTATCATATTAGTTTACAATTATAGCCATTATGCAACAATCCAGAATGAATCAATCAAGGATGCAATCAAGCTAAACCAAGGATGAGAATCAGTATATAAGATGATATTTAGTTAAAATGCTTTTATTATATAAAATTAAAATTCAATATGGGTTCAGCATGCATTAAAAAGCAACCTAATACCTAAAGATAATAATAACAGCGATAAATTTAATCTCGCCAATCCTAAAGTACAAATGTATCCACTCATTAAAACACACAACGTCAAGCTTCTGAATCCCAATAACCTTTACAACAAACAAATCAGATACATGTTAAAGAAAATTCATCCAAGCCATAAATAAACAGTGGAGTAAATGTTGACTTTAAATTAGTTCACTTCACCAAGATCTGATCTAAATGATAAGTCTATAGGCAGCAAGAATGAACTAACAAAAGTTGAACCCTTGAATCATCGATTTCTCTAGCAGGAGTAGGATAATTATCTTTTCAAAAATAATGACGCCCCAGATTCTGATATTGCAATTTAAGTTAAAGAACCAGATTTTACTAATTCAAACGTAGCCAAAATATTTAAATCTCTTCCTCCCTTTTAATATGATCCTGACTTGAATAAAAAATTTAATGATTGCATTTCTCTACCTCCTCATGTAATTATTAATACTATACAAACTAGTAATTCATTAGCACAGGCATTATATATGTAGGCCAATGGAGAAATAAGCAAAAGCAAGGCAAGGGGCGTTAGTATTGGCCAGATGGCACCTACTATGAGGGCTATTGGTAAAATCACGGAGCCAATGGCAAAGGAAGATTGATTCGTTCTGACGGCTCATATTATGTATAGATTACTTTATCAATAAATTCGAGGAAGGAGAGTGGGTAGACGATTTACAATGTGGATTTGGCAAATATGTGGATAGCGAAGGTAATATTTACGAAGGAGAGTGGCAAGATGATGAAAAGCATGGCTAGGGAACAGAGACCTGGGTATCTGGAGATACTTATACAGGATAATATTAAGGAGGTATGAAGCATGGAAATGGAAAATATCTTTGGTCTAATGGAAACTGCTATGAAGGAAGTTATTTCAAAGATTACATTGATGGATTTGGCACCTACAAATGGCCAGACGGACAAGTCTATACTGGAGAGTGGTTGAAGAACCAAATGAATGGCAAAGGTACATTTATTTGGGTCAATGGCAATAAATATATTGGTGATTACAAAGAGGATAAAAAGGAAGGTTACGGAGTCTTTTCTTTCGCAGATGGGAAAACCTACAAAGGAGCATGGCATAATGGTAAATAGCATGGAAAAGGAATTTTAATTGAAGCAAACGGAACAGAGATTGTTGGTGTTTGGGATAAGGGTAAATTAGTTTAATAAGATTGAATTTTTAAATTTTAGATATTTTCCCTTAATAAATATTACTTTGTTGCTAAATTTCATATTTGACAAAAGTCTTTTATGTCTAAATATATGAGTAATAAAATTCTTTAAATTTATAATTAGAACTCTTAATATGATTAAAAATGTTAATTATATATTTTATAAAATTAAATAACTACGCTACCCTTCAGAAATTAAAATTGTGAATTCTAATAACCAATAGTGAATAAACTAATAGTAGTATTATCTCAAAATAGTCTATAATATATGTGAGTCTAAGAAGAAGACAAGGAATTTTGAAAAATATAAAAGAGAAGATCCAAACTTTTTAATGAAAATAGCCACTACGCCATCACATTAGAAGATAATCAGCTTTTAAATTAATATAACAAACAAACAAAATAAGTAAGTATAAAACTAATACAAAGTCTCGATGAATTAAGAATTATCAGAATTAATCAATTATTATAATTCAATTCTTTAAGCTTCTTACAGTTTAGATTCATTGCAACCCATATACCAACTTTTTTACCATTATTATATTCACCATGATAAGTTATTTGTTCTGATGGCTAATTGTTACTCCTAAATCCTTTACTCAACTCAATCCATTTCCCAATCTTAATGCTATCGCCTTAATATTATCCTCCAGCGCTAGGAAATGTCTATATTTTAATATTTACATTCTTTAAAATTCATTATCTTTCTAATACCAAATATCCCATCTCCCAGATCTCATATTATTTTTGTATTCACCACTATAAATGACTTTCTAGTCCTATGTGAATCTATCGCTTAATTCAATCCACTTCCCTATCTTAATGTTCAGACCTCTTTCATCATATAATCCACCACCACTAAAATTATTTATTTTATACATACATTAATTTATTCTTAGCGTAGTTTTAATACCAAATATCCCATCTTCCAATTTTTTTCCCTTTTTCATATTCACCAATAATAGTTATTAATGAATCACTTTTACTTTCTTCACACAATTCAATCCATCTCCCAACCTTAAAGCCACTACTTCCTTCGTCATAACATCCTCCACCTCTAAAGTTGTTATATTTTTAATTCCTTACATCTGTTTCCTTTCATTTTCAATTTCCCATCTCCCAATTTTTTTGCCAATATGATATTCTCCTTTGTAAAATACTTATAAGTCTTAAGAAAAATCATGACTTAGCTCTATCCATTTTCCAATCTTCAAACCCTAACCTTCCTCATCATATTATCCTCCACCTCTAAATTTTTAATGTTTAATTCTTTACATCTAATCCATTTAAGATTTAATTTCCCATTTCCCAATTTTTCGGCCAAATTGATATTCGCCTTTATAGATTACTTAGGAGAATCTAGAAAAGTTTTCGTCTAACTCAATCCATTTTCCAATCTTTAAGCCATCCCCTTCTTCACTATATGATCCTCCAGCTTGAAAAGTAAAACCATTAACATAATATTCTTTATAAAATGTCTCCCATCTCCCAATTTTTTTACCATTTCGATATTCCCCACTATGCGTTATTAATTCATTCTCACAAGACCCCTCACTTATTTCAATCCACTTCCCATTCTTAAAGCCATTTTCTCCATCGTAAGATCCTCCTCCACTATCCACATTACGTAAAAACTTTATATAATTACGTTTACATTAATAAATTTAGTTTATGACTTTGATATATACTTAACTGAGTTAACCAAATATCCCACCTGCCAGTTTTTTTCCCATTGTTATAATAGCCAATATAGGTTACTAATGTTGTTTCAAATAATCTATCACTCAATTCGATCCATCTCCCAATCTTCATACCATGGCCTCTTTCATCATATGATCCTGATCCACTAAAAATTTTGGTTTTCGATCATAAATATAATAAATTTTACATGCACCAAGTATGAGAACTACTTGAGTTTCCATATTTGTGCTTTAACCAAACGTCCCATAGGCCAATTTTAATGTCATTTTTATATTCACCAGAATAAGTTACTTATGTGTGTAACATAAAACCATCACTCAAATCTATCCATTTTCCATTTTTTTGACCCATCTAATTGTAGATACCACCTCCACTATTAAATTAATAATAGTTTGCATTACATCTTTTCTTCTTCATAGAGGTACTTCCATTCCCCCTATTTTTTGTCGCTGTAATAAACTCCACATTCATAAACCTATGCTAAACTTCAAAATTAAAAAATAATTAACTTAGAATAATTTTATATTATATCTTTCCAAAGGCCCTATTTTTTTCCATCTTAGCAGTATTAGCCTCCAACATCAATTAAAGTTTCTCCTTTCCATCTAGCCTTCCATTTTCCAATTTTTTCATTACTTTTACTATACTCTCCTTCCCATTATAAGTATTGTATCTGTTCTAAATTATATAAGATATAAGGTAACTTAAAGGGGATCATCATTTTATCTCTATTATAGCTTATAGACCTCTAAAATTTACATTCTTAAAATTTATCCATCTCTGATATAATATAGATCATTGTCTTTTGTAAAGACAACTTTAACTTTAATTCTATTATATTGAACTAGTTAATTATCTAAAATTAATTCATCTAATTTCTGTGTTTCTTCTAATAGTTGATAATTGTTAAATTCGACAGGTTATTTCATAATTTAAATATAATTTTTGTTTATTTCTTTTACAATTTTAAATCATAAATGATAATTATAAAAGATAAATTTTATTGCTGCAAAAGTTTTTAACTTCGAAGAATGTTAAGACTTTAAATTCTTCAAATTCAAATAAATAAATACATACTTATAGGTTAGAGGACTCTGTAAGATAATTTTAATCATTATAGTAATTCAAAATATTAAAATTTAATACAATGTATTTTTCTATAATTTTCTGAAATTTACATAAATGCACAAAAAAATAATGGATATAGATTTTTCACAATATTAGTATTTTTGAATTTGTAAATTTAAAACAAATTATAGTTATTCATTTTTTCGCATTTCTCTAAATTATTAGTCTAGGTATATTCAATTACTTAAACTTTAAAAACTTAAAAAATACTAATGATTTAATTTTTTAATCTAACTGTTTGATATTTTAAGTAAGTATTCTTTTTTTATAGTAAGATTTAATATATATAATTAATAAAAATCTTGGCTAATATAATTACTATTCTTAATGATCAGCTAATACATGCTCAAACTACATTCAAGTAAGCAGGGTGAAATTCATTATTTCCATCTGATAAATATGAATTACGAAAAAAGAAAATTTATTTTCCAAAATAAAATTATAATATTTGTGTTTATTAATAGACTACTTATAAACTTCACAATTTAGGTTTTTATGAGGAAACCTCCTAAATACCTAATACTTTTTCTAATGTATCCAATCCATATTTAGAGGGGGCTCCTGTTTCTTTTAATAGATTTCTATTTAATCTTTGAATTTTGAACATATTCCTTATTCATAAACTTTTGGTGCCACTCAATCATTTTATCAGTTCCAGGAGTTTAAAGACCGAGCATTTCTGAAAGATCCTATAATTGAGTATTATGATCATGTTACTTTAAGGATGCATAATCCATAAGGAATGTCTTCCCAAAAGATTCTAGCTTCTGTATTTAATTACACACCTCCCTAAACAGGTTTAGTAGGAATTTAAATAGTAGCATATCCAGCATTAGTTCTGAATACGGTTTTCAAATTAGTTTTATCTTTAACTTGATCACCATATTATTAAATAATTCTTTCCTTAATTGGTATAATTAAATCTAAATTAAAATGAGGATATCTTTTGAGAATCTCTCTTTTGATAGCTTAGATTTCATCATCCAATATTTGGAGCATGTAGGCACTAAAATCATCAAAATCTTCATAAAATGTGGGTACTTGACTAGGTTGATATACTTATTTTCCATCCCAATTCTAAAAATAAACATCATTATCATACTCTAAATACGGCATAGACTCTAGCAGGATGAATGATTTGATTGCTAGGAGTTAGGGTTAAAGTCAAAAAGTTGGGTGCTTATAGGACAGGGATTTAAAACATTTTTTCTAATAATAAAAAGAGTTCTTCTTTTCTGCTTAAATCTGAGAGTGCGCATTAAAGCTTAGTTTTTGGTCCAATTATTCTTACAGATTCTCCATATTTAAAAATTTTGCATAGCCAAGGGATGTTATAAAGACCAAAGTAAGTGATGTTATCAGTTCTGATTCTATCTCCAAAAACGCTCCTGCACATCCATTCAAATCCACCTTAAGCATACAATGTACCCTTGATTATATTGTAATCGTAATTACCACAAACGAATCCTTTGTTACAAAAGGAGCAATTTTCTACAAAATTTCATGATGGACATGAGCTGGTCCTCCTATGATCCATAATTTTGCTCCTGGAAAATCTTAAGGATTATTAGAGACTTTATTAATTTTTCCTTAAAGAATTCAACATATTAGGTCATACCAACAAAATTTCCAAGTGATTCCCATGGACTTCCTTTAGTCAAACCTACAATTTCTTGTTTCCAATCTTGAGGCTTTCTGGTAAAGACATTGACTTAAATGTTTTCAAAACGGCCTGCTGATGCTACAGTAGCATGAGAACCATTTCCACCTCCGCAAACCACAATACTTGTTGGAATCATTTAATTTTATTTGATTAATTAGATTAAAGTGAAAGTTAATAAAAAAAAATAAAAAATTTTTCCGATACCGGGGATTGAACCCGGGTCCCCAGGGTGAAAACCTGATATCCTAACCACTAGACTATACCGGAAATGTTAATAGCTGGGAGAGAATTTGAGTTTTATTTGGCAAAAATTTACATTTGATATTTCATTATCTTTATAATTTTTCAATATAATTCAACAATTCTCTGGGTGTTACTTATTTTCTATCTTCGGACAACTTAAACTTTTGCTGATAATGAGTATTATTCACAATATAAATCGTGAGTTCTAACATCTTTTCCAAATCCAATTCATAGAAGTTTTGGTTCTATAAATATAAAATAACAATAAAAACCTTCAATTAATTAAAGACTTCGATATATCTTTCAGCCTAATCCAATTAGAAATCCTTGTCAGTGTATAGTTCATCTGATTTGGAATCCAAAAGCATGACCCTGACATTTCTGGGAATGACTTGAATATCTTACTCTTCAAGTTTGAGCAGTTCCTTCAAGCTTGGGTTATTTTAGAAACACTTACTTCAATTTTCTTAGGTGTCATATTTTCCATCTTTTCCTTAATGATTTTGTCAATCTACAATTTTGGAAATATTTGTAATTTTTAAGTATCACTAGAATGTTATTCGTTATTACTAATATAAGATGTAGATAATACTTTTAAATATAATTACTTTAGGTTCTTTGTAAATAACGTGGTTGGTGTCCTGCATTTTCTGGTTGACTGTAGTATCTTTTCAATTCTAGGGGATGATTTTCTGGAATCAGATGTGATTCTTCCATAAGCTTTTCCAACAATTAAATTTGATCTCTCTTCAATCGATTAGCTTCTTCAGGATCGACATAGAATTGGAATTCTTCCATCACAGGACCATCTGGTGTGAGATGTCTTTTCTTCATAAAATTTATTCTAAATTCATCCAGGATATCCTCTCTTTATTGAAATCCTTTGACTCTCTTCCTTCCTAATTCAGCAATAACATTATTTTGAATTTCAGCAATGTCTTTGGATTATTGTTCTTTGAGCATCTACTCCTATCGTTGATATTCTTAACGATTGATATTTGAGTGACCTAATGATTGCCATTTAAATTAGTAATATTTTTGTTTGTCTCGCAATTCCCGCTGTCCCATGAGTAGTATTTACTTGAGAGTCTTGGAGTATTGGGACTCTTTGGAAGACTCATACAAAATGTCCTGCAGAATCTAAATAATTGGTGGGAATAATGAACCTATTCAATATTGATGGATTCTATGGGACATCGAATGAGATTGGCTTATTCTGGATTGCGAATGGACTCAAAGTGTATTTGGTTTGTTTGCTGTTGTTCTTTTGATTTTTTTTTTATAATAGGCAATACAGGTTAGATGTCTTCAAAGATGTCACTGTAATCGTCGTCCTTCTCTACCTTGTTGTTTTATTTACGCTTAGTATTCTTTTTACTCATATCAAAGATTTAAATATTAATATATTAAAATATTTAATTACAATTTCACTTCTTTTTTTTCGGGGTGGTTTGTAAAGTTCTGAATGCATTAATCGCAAAATATGCCAAAAAGACTCCTCCAATGATTGGGAACACAAGCAAGTAATTGAAATTCATTCCGAAAACTCCAATGGGAGGGACTGCTTATTGGATCTCACTTTGAGTTTCCTTGAGAAATTCACTTTCAAGAGTTTTGACAATGCTTGAAATGGTGTCATCCAATTATGGGTTTGGAATGAGGTCCTTGTTTTTCAGGTCCTTAATGTAATGAGTGTAATCAAAGCCCTTAACGACCTCTCGATAGGCTACATGGAAGGATTGCCCAGCTTCAAAATCTTTGATTATCTAAAAAACGCGTGTTAAATAGATGTGCTTACCTATTTGCTATCTGCGAGGGGAAGGGTAGCAAAACACTTTTTAATCATATACACTCTGATGTCATGGACAATCTTGTCTTTGTCACTCTGCGAATAACGTTTAGCCACTGAATCCACTACATGATCAAATGTCTAAAAGCATTGAGAAATTAAAATACCTTGAATTTTTGATTGTCTTGCAATGTGATAAGCCAACATGAAGTGATAACCTCGATGTTATCAGACACTCCCTTAGTTAATTAGACACAGAGACAAAGACAAAAGGCAAATATGTATGGAAACATGATTTATTGTAATTATTATTAATTTAATTATTTTGTATGCCTCCTAAAACAACAAAGGATCAAAAGGGTCGATAGTTATTTAGAGTGGGCACACCAATGAAGGACGTGATACCACAGAGTGTTAAGAATCCACCAAGAGATCCGAAACCACTCAAAGCACCAGAACAAATTAACAAATAGAATCTGCATGGTAAAGCAAATTGATCAACGTAAAAGAATATCAACCCATTCCCTGACCCTGATGAATGGCCAGGTGATGAAGCTGTTCAAGCCATAAACCTTCTATAGGGAGAAGCCCAACTTACTAAGTGTAATTTTGAAACTGACAAATATGTTCCTTTTTGGAGAAGACCAAAGAATTTTTTAAGATAAAGATGGCAATAGTAAACAAATATATAAGTGATGTTAGAGAATCTGAACATGAACCACCTTACATGGACATGAGAGAAAATAGATATAATATGAATGATGACTATTACTCGACTAGACTTGAAACAGTTGAAAAAATACATTACATGGAGAAGGAAGTTGAGCATCATTTGACTATTTGTGAGAGTTTCGAGAGAATGGAAACACCTGAAGAAGTGGAGATGAGAAGAAAGGAGTTCTTAGAAAAATAGGCAGCTTAATAAAAAAATAAAAAGGGTAATAAAAAACAAGCAGAAGAAGTGTTCGATGAAAATCCTAAGATGACCTCTGATGTCAGATTAAGTGATCTCATTTGTAGTGATGAATTACCACCCAATTCTCGTTGGATTGCTTCATAATTATAGCAGATTAAGGACAGAGATATTAAGGATTGCTTTACTCAAAAGTCACTCTCCAGCAAGATCTATCCATAAAAGGATGGGGCACCAATTTATAATCCTAATGGCAAATATATAGTCAAATTGTATTTCATGGGAAAAGAGAGAAAAATATAGGTTTCTGATCACATGCCCACAACTTATGATGGCAAAGCATTATTACCCTAAAGTGTTGATAAGAATTAATTATGGCCAATGATTATCAGTAAGGCAGTGTTATAACTATGGGATTATCAAAGCAAGGGCAGTTTGGTTGGAGATGGATTTGTCATGTATTCATTGATGGGTTTATTGACTGAGACTATTGATCTGAAGACCATCAACAGTTGGGGTATCATAGACAATATGATGAATAATAATCATTATATCTAGAAGGATGTGTTTGTATCAACTTATAGTTATAAAAATCAATCAATTTAAAATACAAATAATCGATCTAAGAAGGAATATTAATTGGAATTATTGAGAAATCCCTAAAAGGAGTTTGATAATTATGAAGTAGCCAGAAATAAAAATGGTTCGCCTTCTTAACATCAACAAATGCAATAAGAAGAATAGGATGAATAATAGGAAGAAATGTAGCAAGAGGAAAATGAGCAAAAGGTTCAAAGGTTCAGAAAAACTCAAAGGGGATTCTCTTTCGAAAGTTTGAGTCGATCATATTCCACACCTAAACCTCCTAAAGTACCAGGAGATACAAATATGAATACATGTTTTTCATATTCAATTGTAGAGCAATTTTAGAATGAGAATGGATTTAATATGGTTTATGCATAAAAGAGGAGTGATAGAGAATTGAGATTGAGATAAGAATATTTTGATCTCTGCAAAACTCCTATGAACAAGATGACGAAGGAAGAGAAACTGGATTTGAGAAGAAGAAAGAAAGAAATTAAAGAAAAGTTACAAGATGATGATAAAAAAAGGATCTCATTAATTAGTCAATAACCTGTTAAACATAGATATTTAAGATTAAAGAGTGATGTCTCAGGTAAAGATCCAGTGATTGTTTTCAGTCCTCTTGCTGCTGATGAAATATATATTGCTAAAAAGTGTATTGCTAATAAGCTGAACAAACCTCCTAATTATGATATCCCTGAAATCAAGGGAGATGATAAATCCGTGGTTTCAGCTAATATGAAAAATACTGATGATAGCTTCACAGTGAAACCTTTAGAGGATTTCTCTTCAGTTTCTAATGCTTAGGAACCGTTTAACAGAGGAGAAGGTGGATTCTGGGTGCATGAAAAAGAATTCCTAAGTCTTTTTGATTACATTCAAATAGCTTATGATCCAAAGAGATATAATATGTAAGTTTTGCAAATTCAAAGCAATCCAGACAATGATATTGCTGGTTATGACAACATTGAAATGGTAATTGTTCAAAGAGATCCAGATTCTGATGATAATGCCTAGGTTGCTTTTCTTGTTGGATTTCAACCCAAATATTCTCAGAATAAAGATTTTAATGAATAAATAAGGCCATATTCTATGTTATAACGATTTGATTTGGAGACATATGAGTCGATATTGGATTACAAATTGTTGAATTAATGTGTTAGCTCATAGATGTTATTATTAGATAATAAAAATCACATATTCAAAATGAATATATACTCACCACTCAATTTCACTATGTGGTTGACATCCAATAATAAAATCAGCACTTAAAGTGTGTTTGATTATTTGATTGACTATGAAAATTATCAAAAATAATCCTTTCAAATTGACTATCCAGCATGCGAAGCCAATAAATACTATGTGTACTTTAGATTCAAAGTGTTTTTGAATTCTAACAAGGAGAATGGGTCATTTGTTTATAGATTGAAGAGCACAACAGATAACCAATTATTAAAATTTCTCAAAATTAAATTATGTGAAATTCCTCCACCTGATAATAACCTAATGCTTACTACTATAGAAGGGGTTCATAAGAATCTATTTGAAAGTGAATCCATCATTAATGGTACTTAAAGAATGATGCTCCGAAGTTAAACTACTTATTACTTTATACTAGAAGGGACTCCTTAATACAACACTTAAGAAGGCACCTTTGAACTGGATTTCTTAGTCAATCAAGAATTCACCTTCACATAACTAGAAAATGTAGAACCCACTCGTTATTATGACAAATATGTTCCAACCAAATATGGTACTATATTTAGGGAGAGGATCTTTGCAAATGAAGCCCAAGTTAGCATCTATGTTAGATTAACAGAAGGACAACAAGCTTAATAGTAATAACAAGTGGCTAAAGGTAAATAAACAAAAGGAGGAGCTTAAGAATTAGAAATAGTTGAATCTGAAATGAGAGGAGAAAGACTCATTCGTTTAGAATTATATCATGGGGATGATTTGATTGTATATAACTACGGAATCAATTCTGTCACTCTTTCAAATATTACTTTGCCTAAGGATGAAAATTATGTAATATAAGCATCTTTTGACCTTAGAGAATGGCCGGAAGCTAAAATTAAATCTGAAGAAACAGATAATTTGTATTGGTTCACAACTATATTTGCATCAGACACTGTTGCACTTGTTAGAGATACAACAAAGGAAGACAAAGAAAAAGCAATTAAAAAATCTTGGGAAGATAAAGAGCCAGGAAGGGCAGCAAATGCTAAGAAATCGAGAACAAAATATTTAATAACATTAAAGGAAGAACTAACCCCTGAGGAATAGGCTATTGTAAATGCACCCAGAATGACAAAAAAGTAAAGGGAAGAGGAGGCCAAGTAAGCAGCCCAAAAAAAGGGACCTAAAAAGGATGATAAAAAAGTGGGTAAATAATCAAAAGTTGAGGCACCAGTTGAAACTGCTCCTTAATAAAGATAAATACCAAAATCTGAAAATCACGTTAATGAAGCCATTACATAATTCTTATAGCATTTAGAATAAGATAGAATTATGGATCATTATGCTAGACATGCTGGATTGATTAATGTAAGAAGCGATGTGTAGAAAAGAGAAATAGTGGAAGGAATTTTGATGGGAAAGGAAGAGATTGCCGGAATCATCCAAAGAAATCTTAAAATGAGAGAAGAAATTAAGCTTCTTTAAAAGTATTATTTAAATTTAGCAATTATAGGGATAATAAAGAAATCTTAATTAATGAATTCTAATCTTACAGGTCATCATACAAATAAGAACTTGCAGAGATATATTAATAACGAGATTCTATCAAATAGGATTTGACTTAATTAATGAAGAAAGAACAATAATTGTTTGATGTAAGATGTGCATTAATAATGATAGTTATGCAAACAAGAAAAAATTGGAAATCCAGAGGATGTAGAGAAATTAATAGCTGATCCTTCTTAATTAGATCCTGTTTTGGTAGGTGCTGCCAAATAGGTCATAAATAATTGGAAGATAGCAATAATTCAAGAAAAAATAAACACGGCTCTGTAAAACTTTGATGTTGATACATTGCAGAAGTGTGTTGATTAGATTTAACAATTAAATATTGAAGGTTTAGACACAAGTGCTGCAGAGGATATGTTGGATGAAGCATCAGGCAATCCGAATTTTTAGGCAGAAAAATTGGCCGAACTTAAAAAGCAAGGGAAAAAACCAAATAAAAAATGAGAATTTTATATTTAGTAATATATAATATGACACTTATTATTAATTATTTCATTCTTATGCTAGATACATTATTAATTTATATATGTAAAATAACTAAAAAGTAATTTTATGTGCTTCTGATCTTCATCTCAATTTTGAAACAGTCTAATTGTTGATAGAGAGAGAAAAACATTAACAATTCGATGCAGTTTTTTTATTGGGTGATTTTTTGAACCTGTAACATCAAGAAGGTGAGGATTCAGAGTTGGACAATTTGCGAAAGTTATTAAATCCATTTAAGTGTTTTGGTTGTCCGATATACTTTATTCCTGGAAATCATGACAGTGATGAATTACTGTAGGATACTTATCTAGAGGAAGGATTTATCAACATTCATAAAAAATCATTACAAATACGAGATGATTTATGGATAGTGGGTTTGGGGGGCAGCATTCCAGGTAGTATAGAGATTTATCCTAAGGATACAATAAGCAAGGTTTGATTTGGTAAGGATATCCATACAAGAGTGATGAGGAGTATTCGCAAGACCTTGGGAAACTGAAATTGCCTGAAGAGGGGAAGATAATACTCATTACTCACATAGGTCCTGCGTTAAGTTAAACGACAATATGCAGTGATGATGGATGGGATGATGTAATTAAATCTGGAAGTGATTCACAATCAAATTTGATCAAGAACAAGAAGAACATTATATTAAATGTGCACGGACATACACATGATGGAGTAGGGAGTAGAATGATAAGTTAATGTAAAGTGGTTAATGTTGGTCCATTGCTTCATGGTAACTATTGCATAATCAGAATATCAAATAAGGTGGATAAAATTGAACATATATTTATTTGAAAATTTATATTTTAATTACGGATGCTAAGCAAATATTCAATTAGATCGTTAACTCTATTACGTTTCCCAAGATATAAGTTTAGTTAATAGCAATAACAACAAAAAGAATAGTAGGATGAATGGGATGAGAGAACGATAGAGGCAGAAGAGGCTAACCCAACATTGGAGAATAAAGAGAAAGCATTTTCATACTTCAGATTGTTTTCAAGGATATTTTGGTGGACAACATCAGCTTTGTTTGGCTATAATTTGTATCTAAATAATTATAAAACTGATCCAACACAAGAATTGGGTAAAATGACAATATATGAGTAGGCTATTAAAAGCAGATAAATGACGCTGCCAAATATTGCTAGGATCAATACTAAGCATTTTACGATGTAAACACTTAATTCTAGCATTAGTTTATGACTAAGCCAGCAATCGATAAATTATTGCCCGATATCCCTGAGTTGCCATTTGGATATGAGATACCCAAGACTTTAGTACTGAATATCTCAGGTACTCTATTGCATATGGATTATGTGTTTGGTGTTGGGTATTTATTGAATTTGAACAATTAGAGGAGAAATCAAAAGAAGAAATGGTTTGTAGAGGTTTCTTGAAAAATTACCTAAGATGTATGAAGTGGTTATTTTGAGTGACGATGAAACCATGGTATTGGTATTTTTATTATGCAGTTTACATAACAAATTACTCAAAAATTGGATCCTACCTAGATAGATATTTGCAGGTGCCTTTGGTAGAGAATCAATGGTGTTTGAGAAAGGTAGATACATTAGGGATTTGAAATATCTCAATCGTCCTCTAAATAGAGTTATAGTTCTTGATTCTGATCCAGAGAGGATGTATTAATATCAAGACAATGGTATTTTCATCAAGCCTTTTGATGGAAAACAAAATGATGAAGTCTTGAAGGATGTTCTTTTACTCTTGGAACGTAACATATATCAAATTAATATTAGACCTCTCTAAACCTCAGGTTAAGGATATCAGAGCAGAACTCAGAAAGTTTGGCAATTTCGATCCCTAAATTAAATACCTGGATGAAGTGAAAGCTAGGGAAATAAACATTAAATAAACTATGAATAAAGGGATCTTTGGTATTATAAATCAAAGAAAGAATCCTCAATTTGAACAATCTAGAAGACAATGAAATAATTTAATTATCATATGTTTGTTATTTCTATTTATTTATCATATATAAATTATAATTAAATCACTATAGTTTCATAATTAATTTTTTCTGCTCTTACAACTTTTGTCTCTTTAAGCCCTTCTTTTTCTTTTGAATCTTCTGAAGTGCCAATCCAGCTCTATTACTCATCCACTTTAAGGCCAATAATTTCCTGTTCCTTTCAAGCAATTTATTAGCATTTTATTCAAATGTCACATTGTTTTTTTACCATTACAATAAGGTTTCAATTATTACTGATGTGTTCTTGTATTATTCATCATATTATTTAATAAACTCTGATTGGATCATCTGTTTAGATGAGTAATTTCCCCATAAAGTATTGAATTCATCTTCCTTCTTATCCAGCTGTTTTAATTGCAATGAAATAAAATGGAAATCAATTGAGTTTGTCAACAACATAGAATAGAATGTAGACAATAATATCTTTCTAATTCTAATGAATTCATTTATTATGTCAATATATTTGGATGTCTTGAATTTCCTTGAAAACTCATATTCACCAAATCCATAGAAGTAAGGGTTAACGAACTTTTCCTATTTCTACTTTTCCCTTAAAGCTGTCACTATTTTCCTTGTTTTATTTTCAAGTTCTTCACTTCTTTTTTGTATATTTGACCATTCATCTAAACAACTCTGATATGCATCATCAATCGTTTAGGCTGTTAGTTTATTTACAACATTTAAAGAATACAACTTAATGTTTTAAGCAAAGACTAATTTGATAACATTAGAATTAATAGTCAAAGCATCAAATCTTTGTTTATCAGGCAAGTTGACAGCTTTCATAATTTATGCATATTATTCCACTTCGTCTTAAGCAGTTACATTATAGATGATTTTCTTAATCTCAGTTATCACATGTGCTTTGATATCATTTAAATTAAGCACTAAAGTGTAAATTAATAGCATGATTTTAAAGCCGAATGCTTAAGGTTAATCTTTTTATAAATCTGACAATTATTCTATTATATTGGCAATTCCATCCTAATTTGATATGGGATGAAAGTTTGTTTCATTTAGATATGACTACTCATCAGGCTAAGTAATCTTATCGAAGTAAATAAAGTATCGATTAGCAATTTTGATCTAACAATTATTCTTACTTTTCAGTAAATATCCAACTATGTTATTCAAAAATAAATAAGATAATTGATAATATAATTCATCTGCAGCCATTAAATCTTTTCTAACTTCCAGATATGAAAAATAAAGATCGGTGGCATCAGAAATCACGTTAAATTTTTTACATATTAAGCATTCTAAATATTGAAGATAAGGCTCATATTTGCTAGATTATCCTTATTCAATTTTTCTGTTGATGTATTAATAGGTGAAGTGGTTATTACTAGCATAATTCATTAAATGGATGAATTTTACCATACCAGAATGGAATGAATCTGAATCTTTATGTTGTTGATTAATATATTTTAAAGCCTGGTGAGTATTATAATTTCTTGATTCAGAGGATAAACATTTAAGATAAGGATTCCTCATAAAAGAATGTTATTATTTTGAATGTTTTTGGTTTTTCTTAAATATTAATTTTATACCACCTGAATCATCCATCTATTAAATTTTCTTCTTCTCTAAGCTTTCTTGCATCTTCTAAGAACTTATTTGTAATTCCTTTTTTATCCAATCATCAACAGTTATCGAACTAGTGTCCTTTCTTGATTAATAATTTTAAGTGGAGTTTTATCTACTATATAAATAGATACTCAAATTTTCAAAGTGATCCTCATATTCATGTGGGTACAATTGATCAAAATGATATTCATCAAAAGAAGCTCTCCTTAAAGAAGTAATGGAATTCAATTCATTGCTAAGTTTCTTTGAAATCAAAAATATCACAGAAGATCTTGGGGCACTAATGAATTCAAAATCAATATCTACAAAGTAATAATCATCCAACACAATTTTATTGCCCTTCAATTGTAAATTATGTCTGTTTTCAATTAAACCCTATATGATTACAGATGATCGATTGATTATTACTGAATTAAAATATGGTTTAAGTAAAGCTACATTTTCTGGCTATCTGATTTTAAAGTAAAATAGTACACTTCTGGTAACAATTTTTGATAATTTCTACAGGCAATGTTGGTTTGTATTCAACAAACTCTTGATAAATCTAAGAGATTTTATTAGTGTAGCATATGTTTTGGCATCTAATTACGTAATCCAAGATTGAGTCTTAACCAATCCTGAGTTATGTACAACATATTAACAATAAAGTACGAGTAGAAACACAGATTGATAAATTTCTAATTCGTTATGAGGATTCTTGTAATCAAGTACAATATTACATAATTTATTAAGAATTTCTTCCGGAACTTCTGTTTTACTAATCAAGTAAAAGACTACTTCTTCAGTTAATGAATACATTTTAGGTAGATTCTACTTAGGATTTAGTTCGACTTTAATAGTTTTTTGAAGATCTAATGTATGAGGTCTATAGAATAAAGTTTGCGGAGCCTTCTGATTCATTACCATTTATGTTATTAATTCACTGTAATATTGCTCCAAGGTAATAATCGCGAATTCCATCTCCTACTAATCTTTTGGATATGTAATTGTTAGCATATCAATTCCTCTTATCATAGTTGAAAAACAAATATCAAGCTTCTTTTATATCAATATTAATGTTGTTTAATAGACTTAGGCCAAATCTTTATCTTTTTGTTCATTTTCTATAATCTTATTAGTGACCTAATGACTTAAATTACTATAATAAATGAATCTCCAATTTTTAAAATCCATAAACAATTTACAAACTAATAATGAATTTTAAACATCCATTTAGTATACAGTTTTCTTCCAAAATCCTAATAATAGCAACTATGAATAACATTCTAAGCCCAATGAATTTTGTGATGTAAGCTTAACATTATTAAATTTCAATGTAATGAACTCTGGATTAATGTTTTCAAATACATTATGGACTGCAAATGCTGAAACCAAACCTTTATCAATTTAAGCTTATCTTTGCTTCCCATTAATTAAGTATTAAACATTCAAACTAGCTGAGTGCAATGCAAGAGGTGAATATGTTGATGCAATTGAGACTAAATATCTTCCTAATTGATCGGCCAATTTGTATCTATTGCAAACAAAAATGCATAATTTGTAATTCTTGAACTATTCTAAAATATCTAAAACCAAAAAAATAAAGGAGATGTCAACCAAATCTAAATCCAACATAAAGTCAACCATATAATCAAATTAATGTTAATCAACCTATTTATTACTGAGTTATGCTGATTTACTTCTTTAATTATACAATTAATATTTAAATTCATCCGAGAACATTGAGATGTATTTAATAATTTATTACATTATTGTATCCTGAATAAAAATATCTGCTTTGGTTTTTACGAATTAAACATTCGGATTGCTATGCATTTACGCATATGAAAAAGCAGAATAATCAGATTGTTCACTCTTTTTTGATGCAATTGTTTCAATAATGGATTTGTTATCATTTCTCAACCATTAATCCTCTGGATCAAAGTGAGACAAATGTTCAAAGTTTTATTCCACTTCATCATCCTCTTTAAATGTTTTTTCCACTTAAAATGATTCAGATTCAGCAACACTAATTATTTTACTATTTTAGACTTGGTCTTATTCAATTTAAAAGCTTTATGTGTTTTATACTGAAAATGATTAGGAGTCATCAGAATTATTATTCATGCTTTCTTGCTTAACCAAAATAGATGGTTATGATTGATCAGGTAGTGATTGTATTAATTAACTACTTAATTCAATAATCTTTTCTTATTACTCTTCTTTTCCTGTCTTATTTTAAACCTTCTCCACTTAATTTTTGTCTCCATCTCCATCTCCATTTTCTTCATCCTCATCATCCTCCTCCTCATCCGAACTCTCTTCAATAATAAGTGGCTTTTTTTCTTAATTTTTTGTTAGCTATTCATTCACTTATTCAAGTTATCCAATCTAAGTAGTCATTTTATTTAGGATTATTGGCAAGTACTTCTTTAGAAATGCAGATCTAGTTTCAACTGGTATTTTATCTCTCAATTAATGAATTACATTAAATATCTGTTCATAAGCTTCTGCCTTTTCGCATGCATCTACAGCTCTAATAAAATCATTAGATTTAAAAAAATAATCAGCTGCTTCAGAATACTTTTCACATTTGTAAGCTGCTTCTCCAGCCTCATTGAACATTTCCTACTTAACATATATGCTTAATGCTTCTTCATACATCTCACCTGAATAGTAACATTAAGCTGCTTATTTGTAATTCTGAATTTTCATAAATAACTGTGCTGATTCAGTAAACTTTTCTTTCTATTGTTGCTTCAATGAGGCTAAGATTTTTTTTTTATCTTTCTTTGTCATTCCACCATTGGATGAAGTTTGGGAATATTATTATATAAGTGCATTGGCTTCTGTTGCAACCTTGAAAGCCCTTGCCTTTATGAAGAGCTGTTCATCTTTAGATTATTCAAAGCATTTTTCAGCTTATTCATAATATTTGTTTCTAAACATTTTCAACCCTTATTTTTTCCATTCCTCTTTTGATGTTTATTTGGCAAACCTTTCAACATTTTTATCCTCCTGAGTTCTCTATACAAAGAATTCAATCAAATTAAGTTTTTACCATATATTTTACATGTATTATCTGGCTTAAGGATTTTCATCATATATAATTAATCGTTGTCTCGGTCTTGTGACAGCAACATATAATTATTTGATCTCATTACATAACTAACTATAATTGTAGGTTAACTCGTCGTAGAATTTGTTTTAAGTAGCGATTCTTTTAACTATAATGTTACCATTCCTTTCCTCGAAACCTGTAAAAATGGTTGCTTCATCATCTAAGGTCTAATGTTTAGTACAACTATCAAGGAATTTCTCCTTGCTAATTTCTTCATCCAGAATATCACAAGTCATTAATAATTTCCATTAGGTATCTCCTATGTAATGATCTTAAAAGAAATTAAAGAGTATCACATCGTCAAACTCCAATCCTTTTGCTTCATAAATGGTTAATACTAAGGCGTGCTGTAAAATGGAAGGAATATTTTTCTTTGAATCTTAATCCTTTACAATTAAGACTTAATTGCAACCAAATTCAATAGGCAGTCTCTCCCCAACTTACTAATTTTTATCTGCATGTTCTCCAGATAAAAGATAAAATAACTCATCTTTATCCCCATTGACTAGGATTGGTTTTGGACCTGAAATATTGGATCTTTCTTTTTTCAATTTGTCAATCGTGTTTGGAAAGAAGATCTCCAATAAGGAAACAAGGCAGTTTGCTAATTATAAAATGTTGTTGTGTGATCTAAAATTGATTGTGAGTTAATGAATTTTTAAATCATTTTGTTTAGCATTATAAGTGATTTCAGGTTTCCTGAAAAGAGACTTCAAATCTTAAAATCTAAATCCAACACCCTTTGCGATATTTTAAGCAGTGTCTCCACTGAAGAATAAACCCTATTCAGTTATTTTACACAACAACAGTAAAACAGCATGGGGCAGATCTTGACATTCATCAATCATCAGATAATGAATGGGAATAAGATGACATTTTCCGCAGACCAATTAAACAAGAATGTGGTTGACTACATCCATAAAATCATAATATCCTTGTTAAATCTTCCATTTTTCATAATGAACATAGCATTCAAAGATTTCATCAAAAAGATTATCATTTTTGTTTAATTTCATATATACTTTCTTCGGTATAAAATGTCCAGGATATGTATGAGAAGCAGCATCACCTTTGATATGAGAGTATATTTGAGTCCAAACAAATGCTGGATTTAAATTATTATTTTAATACCTATTTTTTTTACTATACCAAAAATTATTTAGGAAAAAGTCGAAATCCACTTCCTAAGAGAGTTTGGTCATATTGTTCTCCTCCTTTTCTTACCACTAAGGTTTGTTCATCAAGTACAATTGTCTTTAATATTCCTATTCAAGTTCATATTCATCCATATCATCTAGGTCTTTTTCATTCTCATCAAATAATGCCTCATACTCCTCATCATCATATTCCATATCTTAATCTCCACCCTTTTTGTAAGTGTTTATAAATATCACTCCTGTATTCTCAGTGCTCCATTATGCATGAGTGGCAGAGTTGACTATTTTGTTTTCTTAAGTACGAGAGAAGAAAGGATTTGCAAGTGATCCATCAATTAATAACAATAACTTTTTTATTGTTAAAAAAGCTGGAAAATCAGAATCTTACATATCAGCAAATGAATGAAAAGCATCTAACTCTTATTTCAATTTCGCTTCCTCTTTTTCCCAATCCTCCTCATTTAAATCCTCTTAGAATCCTGCCTACTCTTTTTATAGATAGATTCCCTTTATTTATTATTCAAAGTAATTTTCTTCAATCTATTTAGCATCATCTACAATTTAAACTGTGCTTTAATTGAACTAATTCTCACTTTCTTATCTTTATGCTTCCTATTCTTATTGTAAACGTGTCAATCGATCTTTTTATTTCTTCCTTTCTAATTCAGCTTTGATTTATGCTGTCAACTTTTAATAATATCTTTTCACTTCTGTAGTCAATACAGGACTAGCTGTTGCAAACACACAATGCAATCCAACATTATTATCAACTTCTTAATCATCGTATTTATAATTCTAAAGAACATTCTCGTGTTTCTATTTGTATAACTCTAATCTTAGTTTAAATAAGGTTTCCATAGCGAAAAGTCTCAAGATTGAACATGTAGTCTTACCTGTCCCACTCCTACCAATAACCATAACATTTCCATCTGATCCAACCACTTCCTATTCTTCTTATGTTAACTTTATCTTAAAATTAGGGACTTTTTATAACAATTCAACAAGCTTAGCTGCTGATGAAAAATCGGCGTATCTTTTTAATAAATCCTTATTTATCTTGGCTTAATATTCCCTCATTTTCTTAGCCTATTCGATGGCCTCATAGTCTTTACTAACCCATCTTTTAATTGATTCATCGTATTTAAATGATTACTATTCCTATTTTGTTAAATAAATAGTAGGAAATCTATTTGGCATCCATTTTATAATGTCATTCTATCTTTTATTATAGTTCAATTCGCCGTGTATACTTCCTAAATCACTATTTTCAATTGAGAATAAATATTCCTAACTTGAATGCTTTATTGTTTGATAACCTTTTGAAGTTGAAATAACTGATTAATAATCTTATCTATGAATAGCAGATCTAACTTCCTAATAATAATTTGTAACGAATTTCGCAGCATTTTAGTCAACTTTGCAATCATATCTGCAATCAATGAATGTTATTGTATGAATATAATCATAACCTAACAAATCCTTTTAATATTCTTTAGCCACTCGAGCAATTTTAGGAATTTTATCTATTCCAACCTCCCAAAAAAGAGTCATATTTTTATCTGTTTTTGTATAAAAGAAGGCTTAAAGTGGACCAAGATGCTCAAAATTTATTACAGATGTAACCATAGAGGAATCGGCTTAAGAAAATAACCCCATAATGATTACTTGCATATAAGCTAGTAAATTTATAATGTCTATATCTTTTTACAAGGCATTTGTAGCAAATTTTTCTAAATGTTATTTCGATATATATACTTAGAATTTTATAACTCCAATTACTACTTTCCAATAATTTAGTATTCACGATTTAGTAATTTAAGTTAAAGCTTTTCAGTTCAACATAAGGTGCATAATGTTCATCAACGAAACCAGCCAAAAGGTTGTCAGTGCGAACTGTAGAATTTTAAATTAACCATCTTCTCGCAAAATCATTTAGAGTAATGCTTTAACTTTCAACAATGCAGAGTGTCAATTTATTGAGAATCATATCCGAAATATTTTATCTATGTACATTGACTATCCTTCTGATTCCATCCTCAAATTTGTCTTTTTTCTTCACCTAATTCTTTCTCATAAATTTTATGATGTTTTAATTTTATATTGATTTCATAATATTCTTTAACTTTTTCCACTCTTTCTACTGATTATTTCTGATTTTTAGTACTTTTTTATATATTTTTTTTTAATTCGTTAATAATGAAGCCTTCAAGACCACCTGTTTGCACAATTGCAAACCCATTCATTGTCTATGATCAAAGAGTACCCAGACCAAATTCCACTAAAAATACTACTGAGACTCGATAAGTCATTAGATGCCTATCTTCTAATCATGAGACTCAACAAGTCACTTATGCCTACTTTCCAACATAACCAAGGTACTCTGTTTTATAACTTTAGAGCCTAAAGCCCAACTGCGATGACTCGAATCCCTCATTAAGAACAAATTATTGTGAATTAATTTCAAAATTTACCAGCTGAGAGCATCCCGATGCAACATAAAAAGGCTATAAGCGTGGAATATAACCCGATACAATAAGAGCAACAATAGAAATATATACAAGAAATCAATTAAAAAAATTAAGCTATTCTTGATTTGTAAGAATAGGTTTCTGAATTGCAAAATAGATTATCAGAAAAGGTTCATGATTACTCATCTTTGAAAGAAAAATTTGATATTGAATTCAAAAAGTTTTAGGAGGAAATGTAAATCTAAATAAAAGGAATAGATTTAAACATTTAACTTAATGATTACACCACATATTTTATGTAAGAAATAGACAGAAAAGTACTCAATTTACAAGGGAATATAAATTCCTAAATTGATGAAATGAAAGCAGACTTAGAAAATAAGCTAAAATAAAATGAACATCTATCAAAGAACCTTCTGTCTAATACAACACTTAGATTAAATTAAGATGAATAACACTTTTAATAAGAACTCTAAATTTTACAAAATAAATTAGAATAAAAGATTGACCGAAACAGAGCTGAATAGATTGTTGTTTAATCCGTTACGATCCTACAACAATAATACTAAACTCAATTGCAATAGGCTCATCAATTGATAGCTAAAATTAACTCAGATAAAAACGATGAAATTAATAAAATTAGAACCACTATTAATAACTCCTTGATTTAAGTCAATCAATAAGCATAAAACTAAATCGAAACGATGCTAGAAATGGTGAAAGAAAATTCTCAAAGTTAATAAACTGCCAGATAAAACTCTTAATAACTTAAATAACAATACAATTCTCTAGTTTCTAAATTTTCTTAAATTTAATAGTAATTCACTTTAAAGATTTAAGAAAAAGATGAAAAAATAAAATCAATCTTAAAATAGAATGAAGAACTCAAGAAAGAGATTGAGTAGTCTCAATTAATCATTTAGAAATAGTAATAAGAGTTATATAAAATATCATAAAACAATAAAATTATCAAATCACCTTGTGTATAATAAATACTATCTCCTAAGAATTTGAAATCCAATAGTTTTTACACCAATTCAACAAGTGCTGGATTAAACTTTACCAAAAATAGACCTTAAAGTGTATCTAAAAAATTGAAAAAGTAGCCGAATCCACGCTAATTTGAGATTAGTCTAGAAGATTTTGTCGATTTTAATGAGAATTCAATTTTAGATTCTAATGACAGCATCGAGTTTATAACAGGAGATGGTAAATCAAGTAGAGTTCAATCACCTAAAAATCCTTTTAAATCTTCATAATTAATTAACATTAATAGATTATTGAACGAAGATTTTGCAAAGGCACCATAAATTGGAAATGCCTAAAAGAAGCAATCCGAAAACATACCCCCTTTATATTAAGCAATCAAACGAAGTAAATTATCATATTTAAACTAGGATTACTATATTTGGGCAAACAATAAAAGACACTTCTATGTACATATGCTGGAGAGCAATTATGTGATGCGGAAATGGGTATGCAACTACTAGATGACAATGGAAAACCGTTCATTATTAGTGAAGCTGAAAAGAATGAGCTAATAGCAAAATAACTTATATCACTAATTTGATTATTATTTATTTTTTAACACGTAATGTTTACTATATTTGCAATTCTATTTTATGGAGCTTTGAGCATACAGTTTACATTCCCATTAAGGTCAAAAGAGTTGAAGTGCTTTGGAGAAATCATTGGGTAAAATAGTCTGGTTGTTGGCTCAGTTCAGGCAAATTCAAGTGAATATTCATTAAAAATACATGTAAGATTAAATCAAAATATTCAAGATCCCATAAAAAAAGGCTGATAGCATTTTACAGTACTCTCATAGTTTAGAACTGAATAAGTTTTCATTTACAACTAATAACACTTAAGAAAATTATTAGTTTTGTGTACACAACTTAGCAAATGCTGGAATCAATTTCAACTTCAGTTTAGCTACAGGAATGGATGCTTAAGACTTTTCTTTAGTGGCTTAAAAGGAGGACTTGAAACCTATTGAAATACATCTTAAGAAGTTGAATGGATTAATAAATTCAGTCGAAGTATACGTTTTATTGATAATTATTCTAGCATGAATAAAAAGAAATAGAAGAAAGATAAGCTACAAGATTTTCAAATGTTAGCAAAATTTCATACAAAATCATTATTTTTAGTATAGTCACTTTGATTTTGATGTCATTAACAAATTTTGTTTAAGCTCGTTAATTGAAGAATTTTTTTAAGTAAAAGAAACTTATTTGACATAATTTCATATTTTTGTTAATATATTATAAGAAATGTATTCTTGTTAACAATTGTTATCAAAATCAAATTATTTATTATAAATATTTCATATAATTTTATTAAAACAATAAAATATTTAATTAGTAGTTGAGAAAGTTAAATAACTAGTCTTATTAAAATGTCAAAAATTCTTGATAAACATTGTTTAAAGAGGAACAATTTAAAAAAGTTTTCAATATCAATCTATTATTGGGTTATAACGTTGTTAAATGAAATTGTCTAATAAATTATTTTATAAAATTATATCGCTTATCTCTACATCTTATGTCTGTCAGACACATTAATTTAAATCAACCCACACTTACACAAATAAACTATAACTGTACCTGAATATAATTAATGTTTAGAGTAGTCCAACCATTAAATTTGTATTACAAAGGTTGATGTTTAATCATGATGAGGATATCATAATGGAATAGAAGAGAAGTAAGAGTATGTCAATAAATTTCCAATAATCAATTTCCACAAATATTATGATACGTATATTCCTAATGATCTACTATGTTCTTTAATTCATTCACAATTTCTTATAAGAAATCGTGGTTGCTTACTGAATCTCTTGCCCACAATCTCAGTTTGGGTAGGTTCGAATTTATCCATACAGTTCTATAGTCTTGAGACTACTGGTTATCAAAGGTTTTAAAAACTCCGATACTAGCGAAGTTACCTTTTTATCCTAAAATATTACTAATACAAAATTTTTAATATAATGCTATATTTAATAGAATTAAGCCATTTTATTATTTATAGTATCTTTTTACTTTTCTACATAATTCATGTATATGAATGATGAAAAACCAACCAGTCGTTATAGATAACGGATCAGGATCATGCCGAGTCGGTTTGTCTTGGGATTAAACTCCAAGCCACTGCTTCCCTGCAGTTGTAGGAAAACCAAAGAAATAAGGAATTATGATTGGTATGGACAGCAAAGATGTCTACGTTGGTGATGAGGCTTTAGCTTTGAGAAGACTCTTAAATATATAGTCCCCATTTGAGAATGGTATTATAAAAAATTGGGAAGATATGGAAAGAATTTGGCAATATGCTATTAATGAATTAAGAGTCAATCCAGAAGATCATCCAGTTCTTTTGACTGAACCAATGTTCTTCTAAGAATCCAACAGAGAGAAAATGATACAAGTCTTTTTTGAAACATTCAAAGTACCAAAATTTTAGGTTCATAACGAAGCAGCATTGGCACTCTATAGTTCTGGAAGAATCACAGGTTTTGTAGTGTCATGTGGAGAAAGTTGTACATACACAATCCCAATCTATGAGGGTAAAGTTCTTTCATATGCTGCTCTCAGAATTTGCTTGGGAGGAAATGCATGCACTGAATATTTTGTTAGGATCTTGACTGAATTGGGTCTTTCATTCGAATCATCTACTGAATTGGAAATTGCCAGAGATATTAAAGAGAAATTATGCTATGTTGCTCTTGATTATGAAGAGGAAATGAAGATATACAAGGAAAGTAAGGCCAAAAACAAACATTATGAATTACCAGATGGAAACATAATTGTAATCGAAGACCAAAGATTCCGATGTCCTGAACTACTCTTCAAACCAAAATTAATTGGTTTTGAAGTTGGAGGTATCGATGAATTAACTCACAAATAAATTTTAAAATGCTAAGAAGAAATCAGAGACAATCTGTATGAATTTTTTAATTTAAATCTTAGTTATAAAAATATTGTCCTGTCAGGAGGTACTAGCCTGTTCCCAGGACTCGAAGAAAGACTAAGGAGAGAATTATACTTTCTTGTTCTATCAAAATAGAAAATCAAAATTGTTGCCTATAGAGAAAGATTCTAAGAATGGATAGGTGGATAAATCTTATCTTCATTATCTTACTCTGAAAATATGTGGATCACAAGAAGAGAATACGATGAAAACGGTCCAACCATAGTTCACAGAAAATGTTAGACAGTCACTTGATGTAATCTTCTTTATTTAGAAATAATAAATGATATACAACATATATTATATTTTTATTTGCCATTATAAAGTTTACCAAAAAGAATAAAGATCTTAAATTGATATTAATGACAGAAAGGTTATTGAATTGGAACAACTATCAATAAAAAGTATTAACTTTATTTTGACTTTGTATTTTTCAATTTAATAACAAAATCTTCTTTATTTTTTTAAAGTATTTAATTATAATTAGTCAAATAAAGTAGTTAAAATTAAATTTGTTATTTAGATTAGAATAGACTTATCATTATGATGATAATAATTATTCCCAAACACCCTCAAAATTGTGCTTAGAGTACTATCATTATTATTAAAAAGCATTATATAATCTTCTATATACTAAAGTAATCCAAATTTAATCAATATATTGATTATATTGGTTACATTAAAGATATTCAAATTACTATTCAATAAGATTTATATATAAATTCATTATAATAATAAAGATAAGAATAAAATTATTTCAATCATATTGACTTTTAACTTATTAATGTAAGTAATCTAATAATGATGTGGCTTTTTTCAATTCGATTTCATCTAACAGTATGTTGATTTCTATATTTTGTTTGAATTCTGTTGAGAGTCTAAGGAATCCATTAATTGGCTGTGATATTTCTACGATTTCTTTTGTTATGATCTCTTACACAAGTGTCATGTTCTCAAGTACTAAAATATATTAATATGATAGTATTAGTATTTTAGAAGTATACTTAAAACATTCATGAATCGATTTAGTAGCAGATAATATTTGTCTCTGCATGTTGTTGAGTTAGGTTTCAGTTTCCTTCAAGTGAAAGCAGGTAACGATTTCGATGTCCTTATATCTTCCATTCATAAAGCCAACCAGGAAATTAACTACCTGAGCATCTAAAGCAATATACTTTTAAAAGTATTTAGATTTCTCATAGAAAATCCTTGGATATCTGATTCGGGTGTCATTTGGTTTATCATCGAAATGAGTGGCAGTCGAAACAACACCTTCGGCTGCTTTTGCACTGGCATCTAGAACTCCAGCTATAGGCTTAACAACCAAACCAGATAATCCCTTCAGGGTGCCCTTAACGAATCCTTTTAATCCATTTTTTTGAGTTTCTTGATATGGTTGGGTGACAACACCAGTAATTCCATTAGAAAATCCATTATAAAGACAATGACCTGCTTAGGATAATCCATCCAAAACATGATCAGGTCTTTTCAACATGAATATTCTTCGTTTTTCCAAATAATCATCATCCATAGTAAGTAATGAAACACTTGCACTGATAGATCCAGTGACTTTGTTAACAGAGTAGAAGGCTCCAGCAACTGTATTTTTTAATAGAGATCCTGTACCCTTGCATAATCCAACACCAAATTCAAGTGGACCATGTCGTAAACCTTGTATGGGCATTTCAACAAAGTCAACAACTCCATTTGTAATTTATTGCACAAACTTAACTGGATTTCCAATGATTTCAATGGATCCAATTATTTTTAAGATAGCTCTGATAATCTCACTCTTATAATGATCTTAAATAGATTGGAGTACAATATCTTTTGAATCATAGACTGATCTTAATCTGAAACAATCTAGGATGATTTCAGCTTCATTAAAGTTTTAGACTGTAGCTCCAATGGCTGTAGAAAATAGATTGAATACATTTTCATCATATTAAATATTTGTTCTGAATCTTTTATGAAACGAGAATCGTAAATCGATTTTGGAGAGAACAAACTCTTTGATGTAAACCTATTTCTTTGATCTTTTAATTTCTAGAGACTTCCATACAATACAAGGGTTGGATGAGTTCTATTAAAACATAGATTCCAAGTAATAATGTCTTTGTTAAGGAGTTTAGAAACATAAAGATTTGATTGAGTGAGGTGATCCATTATACTCTAATTCAAATTAGTTTTAGAGACACTATTTGACTTACTTGATGGTTTCAAGAACTACTTGAATATATTCTTCGTCAAATTGTAATTGGAATGGCTAAATGTAGATTTTGATGGAATTGTACAGTAAAATGGCTTTGACTTAATGTTCAAAGGAACAACTGGCTTCTAAAAAGTAGTAATTTCGATCATGTGTGACTTAATAGTACCTTCTCAATGTCATCAAGACGGGAGTAGTAGTATCCAAAGAAGTGTTATTATCAATATGAAAAAACTTGACTCTCAATTGAGCAGTAGTTTCATTTTCAGTCTGCATGATTCCTAATTCAATTCCACTCATATATATGTAGTTGGCTTCAAGAAGCATGTTTTACCGCTTTGTTATTATGGAAATACCTAATTGAGAGATGTACAATTTAATTAACTTGTGAATATCCTCAATTTCTCGTTTATGAGAAGTAGTCATATTGCGCATGGTTTCATTGACTTATTAAAATGTAATGACTCTGGTTTATCCTTAGAATTCAGACTTTATCCACACAAAATAATTAGAAAATTTGATCTCCTAAAGACTCTCCTATTATTAGAAATCTATGATTTCAATATGTTCAACTTTCTGATTGTAAACAAATTTGACTTTAAGCTTGAATGAATGACTAGGTTGTTCCCAAGAAAAAGGCACTGTTTAATCGCAATCCAACACCCACTCTTAAAAGCTGTTATAACTATCTTATCCATAATGTATTTTGAATGGCCTACACTTGTTGACCAATTTGTAGAGCTGATTCTCCTCATTTTGTTGTTCCAGTAAAATGAAATTGGTGGCCTTGACCTTCGTAATTTCAGCAGTCAAGAACAAGCAATCCTTAAAGAAATCCTAACTTGATTAGCAAAGCATTGAGGTTTGCAATGGCAATGATTCTTTATAATTGAGAAACTCTTAAGGATCGTATTTCTTCAGATTGAACTATTTGTAGATGCCTGATTTCTCAAATATTCGACTCTTCTGCTGTTCTATGGAAATGTTGCTTAATTATTAACTATTTTCATTAGTGCCAGAAGAAAAGAAGTTTGTACTTCTAATTTCATTAATAAACAAGTCTCCACTCCAATTGTATTTACCGCACTTCTAGACTCTGATTGATTTCTCTAATCTGCAATCAGGCCAAATCAAATGATATCTCTCGTTCGGATTTAATCGTTTTGGTTATGACTCATATCCCGATTAACAAATATTGATTTGTACACCTGTATTATTCAACACCACAAATCTCGGCATAATCTCAATGACTTTGGTATAGACACCCTTTCTAATTACGTTGTTTGCCAATGAAATGTGAATACCGAACTCGTTTAATGAAACGATACCTCCATGTTTTTACTTCAATTGCAATCCCAAAGAACCCAAGATACCAACATTAACCTCATTGGAGATGCAATCCTCCACTCCTATCATCAAATATTTAATGGTGTCAGTTATTTAGATCTTTTCATAATTGCTCTCAAAACTCTCTTTGTCTGGTTTAGGTTCCTTGTTTTATCCTGATAATAGTAGTGGCTTTTCATCTTTCAAAGTGTAATATTTTAATCGTTGATTTGTTGTGTTAATAATACAAGTTTGGACTGAAAAATAAATCAATTTGGTCTATTTAGCCTGTTCCTTTTCTACCTTGATGTGGCAACTTTAACTATTATTAGTGTCTCTCAATTCAAATTCAGTGGCTTATGTAATATCTTATTACTAACTTAATTCGAAGCCACTGACATGTAAATTGATTCCCAAATGATCCCCATTCTTCAACCAATGCAACTATAATTGCCCTTAAGGAACTACTTCTATCAATCCTGATTCTACTTTAATTGTTGCTGTGTAATTAAATTCTGTAATTGTTACTGATCTCACTAGGTTATCATGTTAATCATTCTACAAATGTGACAATGAATTCCCTCTGGACAATGCCGATTATTGCTTTTCGTATTGAATTACGTTGTTGGGTCTCTTGTAATGATTGATGATGAATTTTTGAATTTCCAGATTCTCATTTGAGTGAAACAGAAACTAAAGAGGAACTGGTAATAAATTGTATAAAATAAAGGCTGGTTTAAATTCAATATATTTGACATTCTAAACTAAGGTAGTATTGAGAGTGGCTAAGGTGTAACATGGGTAGTGATGTATTAAAATGGTAATGTCATGGAATATCCTCTTAATGAATATGGGTTCGTTTGGTTGAGTTAATTTGGTGTATTTGGAATCTGAGAAATGAATCACAATAAAACTATCGTCCTTATACAATTCTTGAGGCATGGCCGCTTGTTCTCCTGGTTTGAGGATAAAGTTCTTTGTAATTTTGATGCAAGATAATTTGATGGACAAATCACAATCTGTTTGATTAACAAACATGTACGGAGAATAAATGGTAATTGTTTTCTACAAGTTCTCAATTTAAGTACTGAGTACATAGTATTATGCTTGGTCATTCCATTATAATTTTTTAACTCCAGCATAATTGATAGGAACATTACTAATAGCATTTTGAGCCATTGAAGCATCTAAAAATTTAATCATTAGTCTTGTGTCACTTTCAAAGGTCTTAGCATAATCCTCATCATGAGATTGTACCTCATAATTTTTAGAATCATTATTTGATATTTCTATTAAACCATCATTTCCATTCTTCTAAACCTTCAGAGCATACCCACTCTTATTATGAAGTGAAAAGAGAGTCACATTATCTTGGTTTTCTTTGAAAGAGATACCCTTCATACTAGCCAATCTCGTAATCTTCTTGGATTCATTTCTTCTGAAGGTGTCCTCTTCATCATCCTAGTCTAATTACTGCCATTGAGTCAACGTCTTGTATAGATTGAGGATCATATCAGTGGATAGATTCATATCCAAAATGGGTGTAAGGCCATTAATATGGATTGTTTGCATATATTGATTTTGTTGTACAATCAACAATTCTGATAGATAGGGTTCTATGATGGGTTCCATCTTACTCACAACAGGATTGAAATACATCAATTCAATTTGGAATAAACATTTCAATGCTTTGCTGATGTAGTTTTGATCAAACATAAATTTCTTCACATTAAATCTAAAGAGTAATAATGGAGCGAATGATTTGTTAATATCATTAACCAATACTATCTCCAGAAGATCCAACTTTATCTTCATTCTATTTATTTTCACCTATGGCTTTATTGTTTCATATTGGTACTCCTATTCAGACAAAATCTCCTCCTCTTTAACCATCTCCATGTCTTAATCTACTCCTGCATAAAACACCTACATTACTTCATCCTTCTATTGAGACCCTTAGAGCACACTTGATTTTAACCTGCTTAATTGCGATTTTCCAGGCAAGAAACTCTTTCTTTTTGTATCATTCCTACTCAGAATCGTCAATTCAGTCACTAATGATGGCTTAATAGGCAACTAACGAATTATGGTTTCATTAACAGAAGATTCTTGATCATCACTGAAAAATTAGTCGCACAACTTAACCTATTCTTGTTAATACTAGACTGTTTGTAGTATCAGAGCATAATCATTGTGTGAAGTATTGATTCTAATTTTATCAAACCTTAATTAATCCTATGTTATGATATTAGATATTTATTCATGCTGGCCATCTAACTTATAATTAGAGTAATTTATATCACACTCACAAGTAAATTGGTTTCTATTGAACTCAATTTTTATTGGATATAATATCATCTTTTTCTTAGTCTATTTTGATATCTTTTAGATAGCTGCAAAGTTGGCATTAAACACTGATATTGTGAGACTCCAACTCCAATTTTCTATTCTTTATATTCTATTGATTTGAATATATTTCTTTATTCTTTAAATGGTAGTTACGATGAGCTTCGTTATTTAATTCATCATTCAACTTTGATAAACGAATCCAATTGCAAAACCAAACAGTTTTTTAATGCTTCATTATGAGTGATTATTAGAGTCTTGAGTAAAATAATGTTCACATTTAATAGAGGCTATTTTTACTTGTATTAAGCTTGAATAGTTTATTGTGAAGGTGGAGATTATTAACTTTTCATTTCATCTTCATATTTAGGTATTTCAAAAAACAAAGCGATTGTCTTAAGGTAATACGCATTAATCAAGTATTTCTATTCACCAATATTAATACTGACATCTGTAGAGTCCTCACCTAATATTGCTTTGACACTCAATTTGTCATCTATATCAAATCTACTCACTGGTTACTCATTATAAAATTCCATCTTCATCTCATTGATCAGTTCCTTCACTTCCTTAACCTTTTCCTCCAAAATGTCCTCATCCAAAAATTCCTCTAATTTTTTCCGTTCCAAATATATATTATTGATGCACATGTTATATTCTCACTGTCAAATTGTTATCATCTTATAGCGGATACTGGTAGTATGTGCTTTTTAGATCTTAAACTTGCAAGGATATATTCGTCTTAAATTGAAATACAATGTCTAATAAACTTAAATCCACCAAAGGTCTGAGAAATTGACCTTGTGAGGCAAACTAATTGCATTCATCCATTAGTCTGATGGTGATTTTTGATAGTTTGAATATCAATGCAGCTTGATTCTGCTATTTCTTCACTTACTATTACTGCTTTCTCTTCTTCTAAGTCTTTAAACTCTAAATTTCATATTAGGTTTGCATAACCTGCAATAAGAATAAATAATGATTCCTTAAGATGTTCAGTTGAATATCAGTTACTTTGATTCTGATCTCTTGGTTCCTATTAAGAACTATGTTAGGAAATATAGTTTCGTATTCACTCACAAACATAGGTGTTTGGATACGTAACACTCCAGAAAATGGGTTTGATATGTATTGCAATTCAGAGGAACTTCTAATCTAGATTCTCATTGTGTCTGCAGAGACAACTATGATTTACCACCACAGCGAATCCAATTTGTCAACTATTTGGATCTATTTCTTATTGGCCCTTACAGACATCTCAAGAATTTTATTTTTCTCTTAGCTAGCATCCAACTCAAAACTTACTTACTTAATTTGAAGTTCAAAGGACTGATTAATATTCCCAGCAGGTTTAATAAGTATCTTTGGGTTTTCGAGTAAGACTTTAATCTTGAAAAATGAAGGAGAATTGAGTTTCTATTTGATAAGTTCTAAATCTTACTCATTTTCTTCCTGATTGGCCTGCTTTTTCTTCTAAGCAATCTCTAATAAACTTAGAACCTTTATAATTGTAGCATGCAAGTAATCTATGAAACAATCTCTGACTATCAAATAAAGATCATCTGAAACATCATTGTTATTGCTTGGGATTTTGAATTTAGAATATTTAAATTACACCATCTCTTTTTCAATTTATTGCTTATTTGAGAATATAGTTAATCCTGGAATGCCAATATTTTTCTTGATCTTCTCTTCATTAGTTTTTTTCCTCTCTTTTTGTTCCTTCTTCCCCAAAAACATATGCCGATTTCCTTGCAATGACTTTAAATCAATAATTTCTATTTTCTAAATATGTCCTTCGATAAAGTATTCGTCATCACTAATGGTCAACACTGCACCTATTTAATTTACTTGCAATTATAAAAATTCGTTAGGCTTTTCTTTGTCTTTCTCTTTCTCTAAAACAATCACAATCAACTTAATATCTTGAGTTAGAATGGAAACCTTTATGACACTCTCAGGTAATTTCTCATTGCTTTCAGCATATTGACCTTCATGCAATTCAGAATCTGAGACTGAAGACTTTTGCAATGTAAATGATCTCACACTCTTAATATTCACTTTTGTCAAAATCCTATCTAGTCTACATGAACTTGGTTTTCACTAACTGGTATTTGAGTGTATTTCATGGTTGTAGTTTGTTGTGTAGTATCTGTAAATTCACTTAAATCAGTAGCACTTTCTTTGCTCTTCTACAAAGATGGACGGACTAAGAATAAGTTGATTTTGGCAAGAAAGGACTCTAGATAATGAGCTTCCAAAGAGGAAAGCTAAGCTACTATGTACGATTAAGGTTGATTGGGTTGATGAGAGTCTGTGTTGCACATTCGAACTCTTATAGCTCCATGAATTTGCTAGGCTTCCTCTTCCTTATAATCTGTAACCTATTTAATCTTTCTTAGTAATTTATTTTCAGCTATACTTGGCCTTACTTTCATTATGTTAGGAGTGTTTGGTTGAGAATAATGGATGGATCTCAAAATGGATTGTCCATGATCTTCAATTGAAATGGAAGAAATTGTAAATTCTTAGTAATTATCATTTATTCCTGAGAGACTCAGCAACTTAATTTAATCGAATGTTATTAAGATCTCAGATTATTGATTGTACTTCAATTCAATTTAAAACCTCTTGATTTGGAATCTATATTTGGTCTACAATTCATCATTCACTTTTGGCATTTGCTTTGCTGTTTATTCAAATTCCCTCTTACTCTTATCATTTTATTGTGGCACTGTATTATCTGATCCAATTTTGAGATTATTTGTTTTGGTTTTGATGTCATGAATCTTCTATTGAATGAATTTGAACCACCTGTTCTTCTCCTATGGTGATTTGGCCTAGAAGTAGATGATCTCCTTCTTAGATTTGATCTTGAACGAGTTCTACACTCCTATATCTTATTATGCTTCAGATACCACTACATCTCGTAGTCCAACATATTGATTATAGTCAACATCACTCTCATTCTGATACAAGTATATGTACCATCCAGACAATACTGCAAAGTAGGATGACCAAGATCTTAAGAATTTGCCTCTCTTTCTCAGGATCCCTTTGCATGAACTATATTTAATCAACTTGGATTTCTCCTATTGTAATATGCTACTTAAGGATTGATCAGCACTTAAATCATTTATTGTTTGCATCAACTTTTAAAATGTGTAAGGCACTTCAGGATTGATTGAAGCAGTCAAAGAGGGCAATTCAAAATTGATCTTTGTTTAAGGGAGATTGGCTTGACTGCTCTTTTTGAAATAAAGATTCAATTCCATAGAGAAATCCTCCAAGACATCATACTTTTTGGATCTCATCCTCAATGGATTATTCAAGATCTCCATTCCCCTTGAAGTTTAACTCAATTTCTAGTAATTGTAAAAGTAGTGAATGGATGAAAAATATTGCAATTACACTGATTTTAATTTCATAACATAATTATCGTAATTCTAAGATTTATGATGCTTTCTTTAATGTTGCTATTAGAGAGAATGCTATTATGGCTATTATAAATGTTGGAGTGACGATGATTTTTCCAATGGATTAATCGAATTAACCTGAGTAAAATTAAACTAACTAACAAGCTAATTCTTTTCATTGTGAACAGTCAATAAAGGCTATTATTATTCCACTATTCGTGATTTCCCCATGCTTTCTCCACTCACGCCCAATCTTCTGTAATGATCAGATCCTAATTTAATGAAACCAGGTACTTGTCTATCATCGACAGTAATTATTTCCAGGTCTCCCAATTTCAATACCCAACAATCTGAATGTAAATCATTGATCTATTGATTTGGAATAATAACAATTGGAGATTAAATAGTGATACTGATATAGTTTTTGGTTTGAGTTTCTATTTTCTTATCAGAATCTGGGTCATCATTCTTGTTCTTCTGCTCCTTCTTATTCTTGCTTATGTTCTCTTTCACTTTGCCCTCTTATTGCTTATCATCTTGGGGAGGCATTCTGAAATAGGCAATTACTCGTTATAATGATGCTACAAACACCATGAATTCGATCTTTTGAACATCCAAATAAATGCTAGTGAAGTAATTGGGTCTGGATAGGGGATGCTTCTCCAATTTGAAATAGATGAGAGGTTTCTCCTAAATATCATAACTCTTTATCTTCTTAACTATAGGTACAATTATATCGTTCTTCTCTTCAACGCTAAACATCTAAACCTCCATATCTTGTATTATTTACTCCACTTCAAAATTATTTCTTCTCTTCTGCAAAAAGTAATCAAAATTCTTCCACAAAAGGGTGAATCCCTCTTCTAAATTCTTGTGTTTTCGTAATAATTTTAAACTGCCTTTAACAATTGACAATCTAAACTCTAAATAAACATAGGTTTCCTCATCCATAAAAGCTGATGGTTTATATGCTTTTTCTATTTCCTTCTTGAAAGCCTACTCAATTTGATGGTGCTCTTTGGCTCGCTCATATATTTCCAAAGCTTGTTTGGCCCACATCTATAATGTAGTTATTGAAGTCTTGATCACAATTTATTGATACTATCTTAACTCTCTATGCTAAGATTTCAATAATGCTGATGGTGTAGTTTTTCTTTAGAGGGCATTCATCTCGAACTCAAGAAATCTTTTCCTTCTTATTTCCATGATCTATGCTTTAACAAGATATTAAAATAAGGATCTGAGGTAGAGAGAGTTAGTTTCCATCTTCAGGAAATCTTATGGCTAAGGTCGCAGAACAGTAGTGAGATACTAGTCCATCTGCTATTTGGCACTGTATTAGTAAAGATTGAATATGGAGACAAGTTTTAAGATCTCTTTATATTGGGTATGCTTGATTTTGAAATCCATTTCCTGTAATTCCACTTTAATCTTGTATTCTGGGACTTTCCTAAAATTCTGATAGGTTTGTACAACATTAGCTACTGCATTAAGACAGAATATGTATTTTGAGGATTTGGATGTTTTAATTCCCATGGTCAGATTATCTGGCTCGTATACCAATTCCTACTATAATCTGGACTATATCCTAGCCTGCATTTTTTCATCAATCTGATACACTGTACGTTGATGAAGATCCAAGTCAATTTTATATGGGTCCATTTTGCCAATGACTTTTTGAACATCTATATTTTTGTCATGCTATGGTTTGATAATGCTACTCAAAATGAGATAATGATCATCGGAGTTCCAATACATTGCCAGTTTCGATAATTGTATCTGTTTGTTCACAAAGGTAGAGTCCTTGCCGTTCATGAATGTAGGGAGATGTTTATGAAATTTTCCACTCAGGATCCACTGTCTATTTAGGTGATAATGGTTTATAGTGATGCCCCACGAAAAAGAATGTTTGCTAATACAATGTTCATAACGGAAATGCACATCGGAAATTGAAATGTAAAGATTATCAACTATTCTGGTTATTTATTTTTGAAAAAACCCTGCCTCCTTTTGATCACGTTCCTAGTTATCTGGCGTAGTTTCCTACTTCCTTATTTCCTCATCCATCACTTTCTTTATGTAGGCTCTCACTTGAGCTGCTTTTGGTTTATAATAATTGATCTCCTCCAATCCCCACATGTCTTCAGACACAGTGGTGACCAACAAGAAGACACTATGGATCTTTATTTCTGTTCTTTAAGTAGTCAATTTATTCCACGGAAGATTTATTTCAATTCTCTGGATCGAACTGTACACTAATTCAATTGGTAATTGCAAGGCCTCAAGAGCTTCCTTCTTTATCGAAACGTTCTCGATTACCAAATTACCCTTCAAAAACGACAAATTGATTTGTTTCTTATCCAGTCCATCTATAAACCTTCCGAAGATGGCTAACAATACTTTCTAAATAAGACCTTCAAACATTTAATATATATTAATTCATAAACAACTGACTACCCTCACTACTTTCAAAATCACTCAAACACTCACATTTCATTCCCATATTCATCTGCGTATATTCTAATTTCCTATAATTCTATACTATTTTAGAATTCCTCAGTTTCAAATCAAGACTTTCTTAATTATCGAAATTTTATCCAAAAGTGAAACATTCGGTATTCTTACATTGTTCTTCCCCTTAAATTTTGCTATTATTTGATTTTCACAATAATTTGAAAGTGTAATATTAACAAATAATTCTACTGAAAGAAATCTGATTTATAATAATGAGCATATATATATAATAATGAAAAAAATGTCAACGTTTTATTTTTTTAGATATGGACTTTTTTGCCTTATCCATCTCTTGCAATACTCTCTGCATGTTTTCACGATGTTCCAACTTATCGATATTGACAACTTCCATCACTTGCACTTGGAATCTATTGTTTGTTTCTGCTATCATCTCCACTTCATTTGATAAATTGTTCAATCTATCATCGAGTGTCTTGAGTAGTTGTTACACTGCTCCCAGATCCCCTTCTGAACCCTCGTTGCTCTTCCTTTTTTAATTCCTTTTATTGATCTATTCACTCTTCTCCAAATTGGCTGTGAGTTGTGAGAGTATCTTCTCACTTTGTTAAAGAACATTGGTTAATTGGTTATTCAATTGGGTATTTTACTCAATCAATGGCCTGATGGCTTTTTCTTGATCGTTGATCACACTCTAGAAGTCATTGAATTTGACCACCATCATCTGTTGGAGTTGCTCCAAAATGCGATAGACTTCTGATATTTGAGGTACTTGTTGTTCTTAATAGAAGGACTCATTTAGATTTTGTCTTTTAGTGGAACCAAGAAATTGGCTAATATTCTCCTTCTCATATTGAGTTTGAGAGAAGGATTTTGTTTGTTGGGCTTACAATTAACTAAATAACCTCAGTTTCTTACTTATGGAACGAAATATTCATCGGTTATTGCTACTATTGTAAAGGTTATTGACCTCGTCTGAAAGCTTATGAAAACATTTTACTTCAAAAATTAAATTAAAAATAATTTCTATTTAAAATCTAATCAACAATGCTAATTTAGGAGTTTAATCCCAACTTAATATTTAGTAATAATATTTTAAGTGCAAGTGATAGTATAAATTATAATGATATTAAAGTGTGTGAAGGCATTGTATTAATTTATAATATAACAATTTCAATTAAGGTGAATTAAATTATAATATATAAGAACTATTTTTGGTGGTATATTAAATACGATTTAACAGTAATGTAGTATGATCATATAATATTTATAACAAATTTGTATGCAATAGTCATTTTTATTATTAGCAAATCAAACAAAAATCATGAAATATTGAAAAGTTCAATATTAAAGAGAGAAATATATAATTAAAATAAATAATAATAAATTTAGTGGTTATATAAATAGATAGGGATTAGAAATAATCAGGAACAAGTGGAGACATCCAAATATAAATATAAATTGATTTAGTGATTTATTTTGTATAAATATTTTTATTAAATATTAAAGAATTAATTCATGGAAACTTTTAAAAAAGGAACTCAACGTTTAACAGATAATGAAGTTGACTAATTGATGAAACGCTAACCACATTTGTTGAAATAAAGTTATGAACAAATACCAAATTTGACTCCTAATTCACAAGAAGTAATTAGTAGATAGGCTACTATAAATGTGGGTACAATTGGACATGTGGCTCACGGAAAGTCAACTCTAGTGAGATCTGTATCAACTATTAAGTATTTGATATGCTAATACTTTAAAGCACTGTGCGTTTCAGATAAGAGAGAGTGAGAAACATCACAATTAGATTGGGCTATGCCAATGCGAAAATCTTTAAATGTCCAAAATGTCCTGAGCCTCAATGCTATTAATCATTTTCAAGTGAGAAGGAAGACAATGCTCAATGCGAATTATGCAAGGAAGTAATGACTTTGGTCAGACACATATCCTTTGTCGATTGTCCAGGACATGATATTTTGATGTCAACAATGTTGACTGGTGCTGCTGTCATGGATTGTGCATTACTTATCGTAGCTGCCAACATGCCTTGTCCTCAACCTCAAACTCAAGAGCATCTGGTTGCCTTGGTCATCACTAAATTGAAATATGTCATCGTCATCCAAAACAAAGTAGATATTATCTTTAGAGATCAACAGGTAATTTCATTAATAGTGAAGCAAGGCTGCTCTCAGAAATTATGAAGAAATTACTAGATTTATTAAAGGAACCATAGCAGAAGATTCACCAATCATACCAGTATCCGCTTAATTGAAATATAATATTGATTGTGTTCTCTAACAAATTTGCAACTTTTTCCCCATCCCAGATAGATAATTGCAAGTACCACCCAAAATGATCATTATCAGGTAATACATATATTTATAATTATAGATCCTTTGATGTCAATAAGCCTGGTGAAAAACCAGAAAATTTACATGGAGGTGTAGTAGGAGGTTCAATCCTTTAGGGAATCCTCTCTGTTGGAGATGAAGTTGAAATCAGACCAGGAAGACAATCTAAGAATGGAAATCAAACTACTTGGCATCCTATTACTACAAGAGTTGTTTCTCTCTATGCTGAATAAAATGAATTAGTCTATGCTGTCCCAGGAGGACTTATTGGTGTTGGATTATTGATCGACCCATCCTTAACTCGTAATGACAATCTTGTTGGATGCGTTTTAGGATTCCCTAAATAATTACCTGAACTCTATAGAGAATTAGAAGTAAGATAGTATATAACATATTATTTAGATAAATTATTATTTGATGGTCTCAGTCGTAGGTGCTCAATAACAAGATGGAAAAACACAAAAGATCGCTAAGATTTAATAAGATGAAATGTTGAAATTCAATGTCTTGTCAAATGAAACACCAGGAAGAGTCATTGAAGTCAGAGAAGATGTATAATTAATATTCATTTTATTAGAAAATAATGAGAGTGGCTCTCAATAATCCAGTGTGTACTGGTTTGTAAGAGAAAGTGGCATTCAGCAGAAGATTAAGTAATAAATTTAGATTGATTGGTTGGGGTATTATAACAGACGGAAGAACAATCACATTATGAAATGTAAAAATATAAAATATATATTTAAAATTTCAATCAAACTCCTGTTATGATATTAAAATTTCGTTATTAATCATCTTTAACTAAAGATCTTCCCATTTTAGGTATATGCTCAACAAATAACCTTTATTACGAATCACTATTTTGCATTCCCTTCTAAGTTTTTAAACTGGTAATTTGTTATTAAATTTATCGTTTATCGGTTAATGACTAATTTTTTGAAGTTCTTCGATTATTTACTTGTGTATCTCTTGGAGTTATGGAATTGCTCTTAAAGCTCTCGGATGTGAGTTATTTTTATGTCTAATTGTTCAATTGGGGTATTTCTTTCTGTTATTAAAGTATCACTTGAGATTGATAATTGGTGAGCAATTTCTGGGTTTGAGCAATTTTCTCCTATAATAAGGATTGTTAATTGGATTTATGAGTAGACAAAATGAATTCAATCAATTTGGATGCCAATTCTTTGTACTATTTGTCTTAAGCCATTTGTTCTGCATTATTGTGGGTTGTAAATATTTTGTTAAATTCCCTTGAGAGGAAGAAATTCGCATCCAAAAGAGAGAAAAGTTAATGTATTAATTATTACAATTTATCCATTTTCTTTTATTCCAAATTAAATAATAAAAAGCAATTAAATTTTCTATTTTATGGAAAATTATCAATTTGATGTTTAAGATTCCCTTACTCAAAGTAATGAATCAACGCCTCAATGTAAAATTGAAATATTGGAATAATTATAATTCATTTCAACTGAAACTCTATCCCTCATTAACATAGAAGAATCTGACGAAGAGATGGACATAGTTAAACAGAAGCAAAGGTAAACACAAATATTCGGCAGGAGAGCTTCCATTCAAGAATCTCAACAAAGTTCACAATAATCAAATGAGAATTATCATAATCAAATTTTAATCAAGCAAATTGATCAGTAAATTTAATAAAACAAATAGCTAGACTATTAACAATTAAAGAGATCCATGAAAAGGAGTCAAACGGCCTTTAAAAAAGATTTTGGTCATTTGGCTAAATAACACAGATCTAAAATATTTTTGAAGCGAGCCAATTAGGCAATCGTCAACAATTTTGAACAAATCAGAAAACAAAAATCAATTATCACCTACAATATTAACTCTATCGGAAAATAACATTTACGCACTATCCAAGTCAAATATTTCAGAACCAACCTCTCAAAAGTCCTATTCATCGAAAAAGAAATGACAGCCATTGAATTCATTGTACTTGCATTAAAAGAATATAGTCTTGAACGCAGATTCGATTAAAATCTATACGAATACAAGAATTATACTCTAGCTTATTAATTGGAAACCTTGGAAGATCAAATGGAAATGGATGAGGATCGCTTCAGAAAACCTATATAACGTGCAAAAAGCTTTATTGAAAAGGATGAAGATAACATTGCTGCTAGAAGAGTCAGTTGCGATGAAGTATGATAAGAATATTTATATAAAGAGAGCAATCACATCCTAGGTGGAGTATTCTTTTGCAGATATTGAAGATAGAACAATAACTATTGATTATCCATCTGTTTTAAGTTGTAAACAAGTTGATATTGTAGTCAATTCAACATGTCAATTACAATTTGGCATAGATTTACTAACTCTTAAAAAGACTTATGAATTATACCCATAATATATAATACTCATGGTTGAGGATGCTCAAACTCAGTCTAGTTAATAAATTAGTTGTCCCAATACATCAACATTAGAAAATGTGTTTGATTTATTAAACAGTTCAACAAACAAAAAATCCAAGAATGACTATTATTTAAGATTGAAATACCCCTGTATACACACTGATATCAGCCCATTATGCTTGACTACACCAATCAAAGAATTGCCAATTCATTGGTTAATACTAGAAAAAAAATATTCAATTGAAACTTAGACCCCTGAACTTATAGATATTAGCAATAAATTTTCAAATTTCAAACAACCTAATTATATTGAAGATGGATTCTAATCTTATAATCCATAAGAATCTCTATTTAAAATGGAATCTAGGAATTTTTTATCTTCCATATATTCTTACCAAGAGTATGAACTGACACAATTAAAAAGAGATTAGCAATATTAAGTAATAATAGGAATTGATTATTTTGACATTCGAATCATCTACATCAATTAATAGAATAACTTATCCTAAAATTATTCTTTGTTCTAGTATATAACAAATTATATTGTAGATATGTTCAAGAATCATAAGGAATCTGAGAAAATTATTAAAATAAAGGCTATTAAAGAAAGTTCTTAAGATAAAAAGTAAAACAAATTTTATATCACATACAAGAATTCTGTTCGAAATTTTAAATAATTATGCTTTATTCCATAATAAAGTAATGATAAAAGAACATAAGCTAAATTAAATAAATAATTTTTTGAAATTTATTAAAAATTAGATAAATTATTAGCAATTAGGAAGAATCAATTAGGAATCTATGAAGCATTATAGTGATTTCAATTAATATAAATATTATTATTATGGATAATTTTTATCTAAAAATCTGTGAGCAACCAATCAAATGGAAAAAAGAACCTAAAATTCCACTCTACACTAGTCAAAAAGAAAATTTAGACCTCAATTGGAATGATTTTGAGAACCTTTACAGGCAATGCTATGAATAAGAATAGAGTTCAAACGTTACTAATCTTATTAAAAACAGCTAGGATTTTGAACTGAATACCAATGTAAACAGATTAATAAGAACAAATAATCAGAGTAGTTGGAGTGAAATCATTGAAAATCAAAATATTCAAAAGATTAATGATGATTAAAAAGATTAATAAGAAGAATATCATTAAAAACCTGTTCTAAAGAGAAGTAACACCTCCTTTCGAACGCATAATAAATCCTTCACTTAATTGATATCAGAAAATGAGAAACTTAAGCGCTATAGAAATAATAAAAGGAGTGTTAAGACTCTTTCTATGATGTCCTTAAAAAGATCACTTTTTACACCTATTTTGAAAAACAATTTTAAGTATGGCTTCAAAGAAGTTCAGATCAAATACTTGAATTCAGAATATAGTAAGATGATTATAGTTGATGAAAATATATTGGTTTGCGAATTAATTGTTTTAGCAATTTAAGAATTTCAAAGAACATCAAAATGTGATCAAAATTTGCTAAAGTACTCAAATTTTTCTTTAGCTTATAAATTAACAAGTTTTGATGACTTTTTTGACCTTTGCAATTCTTAGGCAGATAGTGTAATCGAGGATAAAACTCAATAATATTAGGAATTTCCTTATGTGATAGATGAAGAAAATTCATTTTCAAGCAAAAAGATTGATTTAGATCTGGGCCAGAAAATATTTTATAAAGTTTTAAATCTAGAAGTGGTGGATAAAATTAGATATGGTATAGATTTATATACAATTGAAATAACGAAATAGCAATTTCCTAATTCCATAATTTTATTAGTTGAAGATACAAAAAATGAGATATTTTATAATCTAAATAATCGATTAGATGCAACATTAGAAGATATTTATAACTAGTTGCAAAGAAGATCTGGTAATAAATACAATAAAAATGACTGGTATTTTAATTTGAAATTTCCTTGTATTAATATTGATTACAAAGAACCTTTGCATTTTCAATTCCCTCTTCACTTATTACCTATTCATTGGCTCTAAATATCATTCAAATTTGACAATATTCATAATACAGCAGCAGGAAGCATAAGAGAATTATACAACTAATCAGGAGTCAAAGATTCCTTTATAATATCTTAATCTTTAACTGATATGAATTGTCAAATAGAAAAGAAACTTGAAATGTTCAATTATAAAGAGTTTAAGGTGATTAAGTTAGAGAATGACGGTTATCAAAATGAAGTGGTGATTGGAATAGATTATTTTGATTTTTATTTTTCTTATTTGACCACAAAGAATTCTAAATTTTCCCTTTATAAACTTGCAAAATGTTTTGTTCAAATTGTATTGGAAAATCATTAGTCTGGACAGACCAAAGACTACAAGAGGATTCCAACTTCATCAATACTTTCTATATTGTTACAGGATAACTAGAAAATAGAGATTAAATATCAAAAAAATGAGGATAAGGTAAAGAAATTAAAATTCATTTTACCCAAAAGAGATGAATCAGAAGAAGAACCTAAAAAGAAGGATGAAAAGATAATTAATATTAATGAAATTGTTCAGAAGTTATCCTATATCATTGAGTAAAGAAGAATTAGTCCAACTTAAAGAATTAATTGATTAAATTCATTTCTCAAAAATAATTATTGTTAGGCATCCAAACCTTTTTTTCTTTAATTTTTGGTAAACTTAACACTCTACTTAATTATCTTTGAGTAATAGGGTTCTCAGATATTAAAGAGATATTTTTATCAAAATATCTTAAGCATTAATCCGTAGGCTTAAATACCTTTGCTTCCCTTTATTCAATAAGCTACTTCTTTATTTTTCCAATTAACAGACTACTTTTCTATTGGGTTTATCAATATTTTACATACTTCCTTCTATTCTATTTCCTACAATTGACTGAAGTTTTTATCCCAAAATTCTATCCGATTAATCTCCTTCTAACTTAAGAATCGCTTCCTTATAGGTGGAAATTCGCTTTTTTATTTATTTGTTGGTCTATCCAATTAATGTATTACTAATATCATTCATAATAATACTAGAGGATGGATTCTAGTTTCTATCAGGGGTTATCAATTATGATTTTTAGAGATTAGTCAACTGCGGAACATCTTTATTAATAAAAACAGATTAGTTCTCAAATAAATCCCTCTCTTTGATCTAATTTATAAATTAAGGTCTATGCAAGGAGTTAGTGAAACTTGAAAATCTATTCTTATGATGCTTCTTAGCTAGTTCATTTCTGACTTTTTATAATTTTTTTTTCTCTTATTCCTTTTCATGTTCAACAAATTATAGAGCTAAATACTCTTATAACTCTTTGATCTTTTTCTTAGTTTCCTCAACCTTTAATTAAGACTAGTCAAATTTCAAAAACAGTTACAGTCTCTCTAATTGAATTGGGAACTTCCATTGATGTAAATATTTATATAGTTCTAAATAAAAAGTTTTAATAATATTAATTGATATATATATTTATTAAACAATAGGGATTCTTGCAGTCAAGGATTTACTGGATAAAATGGCTTAGAATTCAAGTTCAATTTTCTAATGAAATAAATAGATTAAAAATTACTTTCTTTATCTTGGTTGCCCATCAGCATTTTAATATTGATAATTCATTTGATCACTATTGATATCATTTCCATTTTTTATTTCATTGTTCTTTTTAGTTTAAGACATATATTTTTCAGATTCTTACATATAAGCATCAGGATGTTAGGCTTGGGATAGATTTGGGAAATTTTGATTAGAAAACACTTACATAGGGGTTGGCATTTACAACATCCCATCATTTGGCATCCAATTCTAATCAAAATCATCATCAAAGGGCATCATTGGGGGCATTCCTAATATTGGCCCAGAATTCATTAAATTAGGAGGGAACTATTATCCCATAGGAATTTATGGGGGAAAGTCTGAAAAATGATTACCCATGGGAGGAGGCATCATGGGGGGACAATACACTTAGCCATCAAACTAATTTGGAGGAGGTTGCATCATCATATGATTTTTATTAGATTGCTTTTTCATCTAAGGAGGAGGTGCCATTTACATTGGCATAGGCATTGGAGCCATATTTGGCATCTGATTAAACTTTGGAGGCATCATTTGATTCATTCTCATAGGTCCAATATTGGGTCCCATTGGAAATGTTGGGTCTAAGGGATCCATTCCCAAAGAAGGTCCAGGAGGGAATCCTAGAGACTGTGGTGCCCCTAACATATTAGAATTAAATGGAGCAATTTATGGACCTAAACCCATCATTCCAGGAGGGGCAAATCCTAATGGAGTTGTAAATGTTGGTCCTTAAATGTTAAGAGGATCTGGTAAATTGTTTCGACCCATTTATTGTTAAGGAAATGAAAATGGAGCAACTTTGAAAGGATCAAAGATTTCAGCAGAATTTTAGTTCATAAAATCAGGTTAGCTATTAATTATATCCCATTTAATTTTTATTGGTTTTAGGGCTTTTTCTTTTTATTTTTTTTCTTCTTTTCCTTGTTTTTCTAATCATTAGAACTATTTGGAAAATTTTGATTATTGTTAGGGATTAGATTTTTATTATTAAATTAATTTTATGGTTAGGTCTAAATAGGAAAGGCTCCTCTAGTTAGAACTGAGGAGGAAAAATGCTAATCATAATTCATTTGACCATCTGAATCATTATCTTATAATTGATTTAAGATGTCAACAAAATCAGAGGATTTATCTTTATCTATTAGACCTGGAGGAGGTGCTACCATAGATCTACTTGGGATGGATAATGGCTTATTGAAATCAGGAGGTAGGACAAGATCAGAATGATTATTTTCTTAATCCTAAGTTATGGAAATGCCACAATTTATAAGATGCTATTGTAGTTTTTCTAATTCGCCTAATTATTAGATAGATATTTCTTTTCTAATTTATTACAATATATTTGTACTATTGCTACGATTATTACTAAAACTTATTGCTTTTCTTCTCTGGCTTTTTCTTGGGTTGCTAATCTTTTTTTGGTAAATATTCTTTCTTTTCTTGTTAGAGTGGCTATTATTTTTTTGGCTCATAGATGTATTATTTTTTGGGTTCGTCTAATTAAATTGTAGAAATAGCATACTTTTGGGTTTTGTGAATACGAAGCCACCAAATTTATCAGATTAATTCTCATCATCATCTTCTTAATGATCTTCTATTTGATCATCTCTGTTGCATATTGCGGCGTTTAGGCTATTAAACATACGCTTACAAATCATTTCTATTTTCTCATGATTAGATACCTTTGAATTTTATTATATTTATTTTCTTGTCTTTAAGCAAAATCCTATTCGCCTTCTTGAGGTGAATTTCTTCTTCTCTATTTCACTTAAAGATTATCTGACATCACAATTTAAAATAAAATAGATAATAATAATAATTTTCTTGATTATTTATATTAAATTTACACATTTTCCATGTCTTTCTGGTTATTAAATAAGCCATCCAATTATCCTATTTTCAATTTCACCATCGATTCATTTTGATGTAATTGTAAGTTAAACAAACTGAAACTCATTATGATAACTTTATATGGGGTGCAAAATAATTTTACTCTAACCTACTATAATAATCCTATCCATATATGTATACTAATGAATTCTTATTCATAATTGTCTCATAATCTTATCTTTAATTCGTTACCCATCATCGAAAAAACCATACATTTGACAATTTGTATTATTATTAAACTAACAACTTGAGAGTTGATTTAATGAATTTATGTTTCTGGTTATTTGAAAGTCTTTGGATTCGTTTGATATTATTTATTGAAATGGAAAACTTAGAGAATCTAATCTTAATTCTAATAATTATTAGATATTATTAATGACATAAACAAAGCTTGTTTTATCAATGTTTTCAGGGCTTTAACTTATTTCATCCAAGTGCTTCCTATATACTTTAGAATAAATGGGTAAATTTTCTTTTCATATTTTTTACTATCATGTCTTTATTGTTATAGAGATTGAATTTATTCAATTAATATTATTTTTGATGAATAAAGTGGTAATGATTTAATTGGGATAAAATTTTAAACTTCCTTGATGGGGTTAAATCTGTATCGCATTTAGTGTTAGACATAATTAAATAAATTATTTTATATTATGAATGATCAAAAACCTTATTTAATCTTGGAGCATCCTCATGCACATAATCCAGTCTTGAGTTTCAAACACTAAACGTTATCAAACAATGATAAAATATGGATCTCTCATATTAAAATTAAAAATCCCTTGGAAAATAATCAGTAAACCTTAAATAAATGCTTCTTAGAAGTCTTGCCTTCAAGGTTATGTCTACGGCTGCAGAACAGATTAAATCCTATCCCTTCGTTGGAATATTAAAGGCAGGAGAAAGCAAAACAATCAAATTGATTACCAAAGAGCCTATTTTCGATAGTATCTGCTTTTATTATTTTAGAGGCTGTTAAAGTCAGGATAATCTCCATGAATATTGATAAACCGTAAGAAATTAAGGATTAGTATGAAATAATGGACTAATTTAAATTGCTCAAGGATTAAATTAAGGATCTTCCCTCGATCTTCCTCTAAGTATCAGATTTCATTTAATCTGAAACTGTCTCTTATGTATCATCTTTAAAGTACTAATAGTGAATGCAGATTACTTTGCCAAGCGATAGAAGAATCCCTATGTTTACATCGCATGCTTCATAAATCCAAAATGGAGATGGCACTCCTGCTTCTGCTGTTTTGAAATCTACGATTAGTTAACGAAAGCAAAAGGATTCTTTGCAGATATCCCAAAACTTTTAAATGGAACAAAATATAGGGGCTCTTCAGGATCAACAATAAGCTCTCATCAATGAGACTAGGGAATTGAACAAATAGATAGTTCTTATTAAAGCCAAATAAAATATACCATTTGAAGAGGAGAAGGATGACTAAGTTAAATTTACTTTGTTTTAATTAATTGTAATAGCCTTAATTAGCCTATTGATAGGGTTTTGTATGCCTGAGTTTTGAATAAACTATTTTAGATAAATTGATTAATTATCAAAATTATAATTCAAAATTGCCAATTCTTTAAGAGATGTTAATAAATTCTATAAGAAAAATTAAGGAATATATTTAAAATTAATAATTAGATTTTATAATAAGGTTCAACTGAAATATAATTTATTCCCTTAAATTTTATTCTAATAAGTTGAAACTTGCTTTTCCCTTATAAACCAAACTTTATCCACTATCTAGACAAATGTAACAATTTAGATTACAAAAAATTTGTCTTTCTCTATACGGAGCATATCATGTATTTTTAAATTTGTCAACACCATGATGACCAAAATTAAGTGAACCAAAAATACTTATATAAAGTTAAAAAGGAAAAATAATCAAGTTTAATAAAAATGTTCAAGCTTAACTAAAGAAGAGTTCTTTAAAATAGATCGAGAGGGAATAGCAGATCCGCCATTCAGGACAGGGTTGATCCAATTGATATTTTTGTATCCTTTAAGTTTTTCAATCGTTTTTTATAATTGTATCACATTTTGCCAAGGTTTGTAACTGCAAACAATCATTCTTTCATTAAATGTTATTTTAGTATTTTCTTCGAACTCGAATATCTCTTCATCCGGTTCATCTTCAATAAGATATTTCTAATGAACACTGAGAGGAGTCATTTATTTCATTTTGAAATTAGGTGATTAGGCTAGCATTGAGAAATTTTAATTTTAAAGATTAAATAAATTGGAATTTTCTAGATTTGAATAAATATTCTAGATGATGCGTATTATTCTAAATCTACACGATGATTCTAAATTTTATTAATAGAAAATGAATATTGAGGAATGATTTTATAAACATTATAATCTAGATTTATTCATTAAGACTGGATATATATATAAACATATTTTCAATCCAATAAAGTTAATCAGATATTGGCAGTGCATTAGTGTTGATAGTTATCAACAATTTGTCACTGTAGAAAATATTATAAAATGAGTAACGAATTTTTAACAGGTAAAATGAATTATCATAAGAGCAATCATCATTCACTTAATCCCCAGATTTCAAGTATCTATATACTAAAATCGTTAGAATTTGACAAAATTTCGTTTTTGTAAGTCTCGCATTAATTGGTGTTTCCATGCATCAAAGAATGATTAACATATAAACCGAACTTTTCTCCACATCCAACTGCCAAACCATCTGATTCACAAAATATGAAGTAATTGTTAGTTTCTGTCCAATTATAAGTTTTGAAATTATTATCCTAAAGTTATTCATAAGACAATACTTTAAAAGTCCATAGAAAGGTTTCTCCATTTCCAAAAAACTTTCCAAATGTTAATTATGGAGATTCATTTAAATATGCTCCAAACTTGCATTCATTAAAATCCTTAATTGCTAAAATTAATGGAGAATGGTTTTCACAATTATTAAGCAATGTCAAGAAAGAAGAGCCATGTATAACATTTGAAAAAATTAATTTCCAATTGGAAGTTTTAAAGATAGATGGAACATTTGCAATTATCTAATTCATACCAATTATAATTACTTAAATCAATTCATCATTGTCCATAATTTAAGAATCTGAAACCATCTATGGAATGAAATCCTATCCTCCCCAAAGTTGATTAGTCCTTTCGATAAACTTCTCGATTAGAGTAGCATCCTAAACATCATAAAAAGGAATGATGGTTAAATCTTGTTCCTTCTTCTTCTATTCATCTAACATCCTTTCTGATTTTGTTTTAACGACATCAGCCAAGGTCTCACATAAATCTATACTTTGAACTTTGAATTCCTTTTGATCCTCGTCATTTTGTATCTATATATGTAATTAGAAACACTTACTCTGAAAGTCAGAATGGGCAACACTTCAAGTAACTTCTTACAGGAAACATTTGCACTTATATGTACCATCACTAAGTAGTCTTTGAAGCATTTTGAAGTAGATTTTGCAATTCTCATAGGTAACTCATTTAAATCAACTGATATCACGTCTTCAGTCATAAGACAAGCCTAAAAATTGAGAATACTTTATTCTAGAATATATATTAATTTGGATATTTACTATGACACTTTTAAACTAATTCTTTATTTCTATCCACAAAACTAGGATCAAATAATATGACATCGCTATTCACTGTTAGAACCCCCTCTATACAACCATAATTAGTCACGTAATAAACATTGACTTTCTATTAAAATGGAATATACATTTTTTTGTTTATCCTCTGGACATGATTTCATCCATCAAGTTTCGTCCGTAAAAGGAAGACTAATTCAATTGCAAATCATTAATTTCACTCTCTTAAAAGTAAGGTTGACTTTGTTCTGATTGGACAGCAGGAACTTTAATTCTCATTCCAGGGACAAAGCACTCTGGTGAAATGTCATTTATTTTTAAAATCCTGTTCTAACTTCGGAATTAACATTTTGATTACCTAATGTTGAATTTCAATTCTAATCCAAATAGAGTGTCATCTTCCTATACAATATAATCTATTAAGTTTGTCTCCTCCTATTAAAATTTTAGCTATTAGTCGTAGTTATTTAAATAAATGTCCTCTATGTCTTACAACTTGAAATCTAAATTAAGAATAACAAAGGACCTATATATTCTTGTTCCTCTCCCTTAGTCCATTTCTCATAGAGAGGGAAATATTCATTCGAAGTAAATTCAAAAATAAATGTTTCAAATTGTTAATCAAGTTTTGGATCTTTCACTTCAGTGCTTTTGCTTTCCTACTGTAGTTAATAACATTTACAGATGATCCGTAAAAATAACTCAATATATTTTTCATTAATAATAATAATAATAAGTTTGAATTTATAAAATAAAAGCACTCCCCCTTTGTCTCACCTGAATCAGGGCATTTAAATTGTTCTAGAACAAATTAAACAACTCATTGTGCGAATCAAAGACATAATCAACTTCGATATATTATTATTATTATGTGTAAATGCTATATCTATATCAATGATGGTGATGACCGTGAGCTTTGGGTGTAGGATTTCCAGATTTAACATATCCCAAAACTTGAGCTGCCTTTAAATAAGGAGCGCCTGAACATTTCTTGTTCAAACAGAATTAAACATACTCTTTCTCTTGAATTTTGAAGCATGTTCTATAGCATAATTCTAATCATAATGGAAATGCATTACTATCTTCCCAATTATTATCGTGGAGATATTAATGTCTTAGCTTATCCTAAATTGTTTGTTATTAAACTGGGTAGTCAGGTTGATCCTCCAAACCATGAAATGATGACAATAAATCGAAGAAATGGATGTGTCCCTTGTGAAAGATTTCTGGATTCTATGGTGTATAAGCTGTTGAGTTTGATCTCATGATTAATTTTAATATTAATATTAGTTTTTATTTTATTTCTCATACTCTTATTGGCTATCCCCATTTATTATTTTATTGATCCTCGACTCATTTCAAAAACATTAAAACTAATTTCATTTAGTGTTGTTATCTCCTTACATAATTCAATGGAGTTTATTTGCTAATATTTGTAAATAAATATATTTATTTCATGAAAACAAAAATAGTGTCATTATTTCTAAAAAGAGAGCACCTTATTCTATTATCAAAAATGCTTTAGTTAAGTGAAAATGTTACAGAATCAGATGCTCAAATTTTAAAACTTGATATTCAAAACTAATAAAGTGAAAATAAAATATTAAAAACCGAAAGATGGACTTAATATGACCTAGACTATTTTCAGAACCACTTTCTCTAAATTGCAAACTTATCATTCTCATACTTCAAATTGCACTTCCCTGCTAATTCTGCCATCCACATTAAAGACCACATCAAATTTATTTAGATTTTAAAGTAAATTAACTATGGAGGTGTCACCATCGAAGATGCTTTCAAATAACAACGAGTATACCATTCATTTTTATTCCTAGTCTCGTCTACAACTAGAAGTATCAAAAATAACGAAATCAATTAAAACTGTAGATGAACCAATAATGCCTAAAATTATGAATTACAAGATAGATATCGAATAGATCTAAACTATTCAAGATAAATATTTCTATCCCAGAAATTGTGATTTCTTAAATCCCTACTTAATTCTTAATTTGAAAATGACTCTTCCAAAATCAACTGCCAGACCTCTCAACAAAGAACTTTATCAAAGTATAACGAGTTTAGAAGATGTACCGTCATTTTAATTTATGAATTCCACTCTCATTTAACCTATTCTCAATTATGATATGCTCAAAAATTCATTTGAATACCGAATGAATAAGCTAATGCAAAGAAATCAGCAAATTTCATACACTATTAAAAGATATTAGCAATCTATTAAGAATTATGATATTATCGATGACGATATCTAAGATGGTTAACTTAAAGAAATAAAAAAAGAGTTTTGTTCCTCCATTAAATAAGTCTATGAAAAAAGGAGCAAAGACATTATCAATGAATAAAATAAAAAAATCGCTCTAGATGACCCAATTTCAAAACGATCTACCCCACATCAAACAGAGATCTTCAAAGAAAACGACTCTCTTCTTTATAAACCTATATAAGAAGATGAATAATAATAATAAGATATTGTAACATGTACAAATTACAATGAGAGATCTTAGGAGTAATTACCTGATTTAGATGCTGAATCGCCAAAGCTACATTCATTAAGATTAACACCATATGACTTTATGGAAAAGACTTATCAATAGACATTGTCCTAAAAAATGGTACCCCTAGATCATTAACATTAATTTACTCAAAGTCCTTTAAGGGCAGCACCAAAATACAAATGTTCTTATAAATCTTTAGATCTTCAATAATCTCTAATTTTGAGTCCAAGTACTTTAAGATGTCCTAAAAGAATATTTGCATATTAAAAAATTCAAGCATAGAATTAATAAAACTCACAAAATGATCCAGTTGCAAAAGTTATTCAGGACCCGCCGATTTAAACTTCAGAAAATTTAGAATAATCTATCGAAACTTAAACACTAGATACTTAAAAAACAATTTTAACGAATAGGAATACACAAAAGACATCTTTAGATAAAATGCCATTAAAACCAATTGCAATATAGTAAATTAGATTGAAAAAATTGAAAGATAAATTTATTGATAAAAAAGAAACTACTTTTCCTTATGTAAGGGAATCTCTACCAAGAGTTTAAGAAGTACTTTTGTTTTAAAAAAAAAATAATATGAAGAACCAATTGTAACACTAATTAATATTATTGACTCGATCTGAATAAATATTGACCTCCTTAATGTCGAATGGACAAATTCGAGGAACAGAACTTTATCAATAATTATTATAACCTATAAAATTATCTACCAGTCAAAAGTTTTTAAGTCCCAAAAGTAATACTTTGATATCAAGAACCAAATTCAAAAAAATATAACAAGAAACTAAAATGTTTAATTTGAAATGATCTAATTGTTAATACCTAATTTGTCATAAAATATTTATATAAATAAATAAATGAAAACAATTTCTTTGATTCCTTGGACTGAATAAGTTGTGACAGGATAAACTTGGATTGGTGGTCCTACTTACGAATTATAAAAGCAACACGTACCTGGGTATGCAGGACATGTAAGAGGATTGAAAGCTGGTACTCATTTAATTATATTTTAGAATCATAATATGGAAAACCTTTTGCAAAGATAACAGCTGAATGTATGGAAGACAGATTAGCTAGATGCACAAATTCTGAAGAGAGAGAAAGATTGTAAACAAGTTACAAGATTGAGTTTGGAGTATCAATTTAACAGTTACCTAGGAACCCAATCTAAGAAAACCACAACTTCAAACTGCAGCTGAAAGAATTTTGGAAGATGCTCATCGTTAGGAAAAAGCTGTTAACGAAAGAAATTATCGCACATACTAGTAATTCTTTATTTGAAGTTGTTAGATCTATGCCTAAAACAATTAATGATATCCCTCCAATCGATAGATTGCCAGTCGTTGGTTATCAAGGATTCAGGCCTGTGTTTAGACATCCATTGAAATAAGTTGTGCCTCCTGAAAAACCTTAACCTTTTGTACACCCCTTAAATCAAATGGATCAAGAAATGGCAAAGACCATGCTAGACACTAATGATAAATTCAGACAAACTGTATCAGACATTTTTATTCTAGTTTGAAACACAAAAGCCACCGATCGTTGGATATACTGGATTTATGACTGGCATTAAAGCAGAGAATATGTATGGTGAATCCTACAAAGACATCAGTCATTAAGTTTTATAGAGGAAGTAAAGATGAATATTATAAACCTATTTCATATAATTCATTCTAAATACTGATTTCGGAAATTTAATTACACATTCTCAAAATGAGCATCGAAATCTACAATTTTCCAATGAAGACCAGCCTTTAAACGATCCTGAATAACCCACCATTCTAAGGCACTTGTAGAGTTAATCACATATTTGACATTTTCATTCAATGAAACAATCTTATAGTATAAAAATTTGTTACTTTAGCATTCAAAATAGGAGCATCATCCACCTCTATTTATGAAATTCTCATTAAAATTGCTTATTTTTAATTTATATTTTTTAGCATTTCCTCACCTATCTCACTCATAATTCCCCTAGAATTTGCTTTTGCCTCATATACTCCAATAATCTTTCTATCATTTTACAATTCACTTGATATCTAATTTTATGATTGAACATTCATTTACAATATCTAAAGAAACTTCCAAAGTGTTTAAACTAACTCTTGAATGGAATAAAGGGTATGCATCTACAATATTAATATTTTTATCATTAATTTAGCCAATCAAAATTCCTACCTCATTTTATTAATAAATACCTATAACGTCTTCAGTGGAATATTTACAAGCATGTAGCATTGCTTTTTTATATACTATTTTCTGAATATCAACACTCATTTATTCTAATTGTTAATCCATAAATAATATTTATTAAATTTAATTAATTATTTTACAAATTGATGTATTAACTAAACTTTGGGATTGTAATAATCACAAACTTAATCCTTAATTAGGATAAATTTAATAAACATAAATAATAATTTCGGAAAAGCCATAAATTCTTTTCATCTTGCCTTTCCCTTTTATTAAAGAACAAAAGCCATTCTTTAACTAAATTCAAAAATGTTTAGACATTCAAATTCAAAGTTAATCAAAAAGTTAACTAATTTTAACTAAAGTAAATCACTAATCATCATTTAGTAATGAGTTAGACAATTTTAATTTTTTATCATTTAAGTATTTGTTTTATTTTATTAAAAAAATCAATTTTATTGTAATCATAGTCAAGAAATATTAAGTTGTTATTAGTTATAATGATTGATAATTATATAATCTAATAAAAATGATAGTTTTGGATACAACCTATGATAGTTCATAATAATAATACAATGAATGAAGAATTTATTTCTCAAATGGAGTATGAATCTAAATTTGAAATTCACATTTCTTATTTTTAACTGATTAATAAATTATAAATTTATATTAATTTATAATATCAGATTAGTTATTCTCAAAATATCTTAATTTTCTTGATTATAATAAGAATATAATTTGAAAATTATAATGTATTCCATTCAAAAAAATAATAATGATGTATATATTAATATGGGAATTTGAATTCAAATTCTATGTTAGACAAATCTAGTAGGTCTTTATCTCAATTAGATTGTTTGATTGCGGTTTTCCAAATTCCTAGTTGTTCTGTGGTTCTTTTGAACATGTCCTCCGAGACTCTGTGATGAAGGAAAAATTCTTCCACAATATCCACATTGATATTCATAGTGACAATTTTTTTTTATAATGAAGTTGTCTTTTTTAGTTTTCACATCAAAGGTTTCCTCGAATATATCATACGAGCCTTCTCTTTCCTAAGGGGAATCTGAAAGGTTAAGGTAATCATAGATATTCTCTGTTACACCTTAAGCTGTTGTGTCTTGAATTACTCTGTCTTAGAGCGTTAGACTAGCTATTTAGAGAGTATTCAAGTCTTCGCACTCTATTTCCATATCAAAAGAAGGAGAAATCATATATTTTTTAATTAAAAAAAAAGTTCTTTATACAGGATTTATAATGTTAAAAAAATCTTTTTTTCAAAAAGTAAAGGCGCGTAAAAATCCCTCTAAGGAGTTCTAAAAATGATAAAGTTTATTTCTTTAACAAAATTCTCGATGAAGCTCAAAAATGGTAAAATTTTATTTAGTTTACTATTGAACTCCATAGAACTCTGCTTGAAGTAAGGAGATGCTTAACTTGGAGCATCCGATTGGGCAAATATTCATGGATGACATCTTTGATGATCTCTAAAAGGATTAAAGATGGTTATCGCAATTTGTATCTTTGGTTATGTTTTCGAATAATTTTCAAGTATGCTCACCTAATTGTTTAGAAATGAAAATAAATGTGATTTAATAATCAAAAGTTCCTTTTCTACAATTATTAACAATAAATTGTAAAAGCAGGTTCTTGCGATTGAATAAAAATCAAACCCTGATTAATTAGGTAGGATGATCAATCTAATGAGTATCATTAATTAAATTTCTAATCTTAGATTGGATTAATCTGATCAAAATTTATTTGATTCTTAGGGGAATTAAAATTCCTTCAAATCTCTTCAGCATGTGTAGTAACCTCTGATTTTTAGTATTTTGAATTGATTAAAATTTTTTCAAAGAATTTATTAAGTATATTACATTTTATCAAAGATAAAGTTAAACTATTTGAATAAATAAAAAACGAGCGAAACAGATTTCTCTGCTCCCCTTCTCCAGCCAATTCATTAAGTAAGATCTATAAGTAGAGATATTCAACATGTAAAGATATTGATCATCAACAATTGAATTTGGAGGAGCTTTAAAATTTAAATTTAAAAATCAAAAAGGGTGTCAGACCCTTGCTTTTCTCTTTAAAAGCAATGTAATTATCAGTTTAACAGAGGAGTTGGAGGGTTTGAGGGAAAAAAGGTGAAGTCAAATTTTTAGAAGGATTTTTTTTCAAATTAGTACTTATAATGAAACTAAATTGATAAATTAGATCCATATATAATTTGCTCATTATTTCATTATTTATTAAATGATGTAAAAATTTGAAACTAAATTTGATCATATGACTTTCTTTTTTTCAAAGAATTGCAATCTTTCACTTAGATGACGGCTATGTTTAGTCGATGAACCAGAAGATTATTCAGTGGAAGTAGAATGATATACTTATTGAAATTCATATCCTTGGAATTGATCTATTAACATTTTATATCTAAGTACCTTAAATAAGTTAATCTCTCAAGACTAAAATGTTTTATTAGATTAGCTCATTGTTTTCTTCGTCTTCAACAATAATTTATTTCTAATCAAAATTATCTTCTGTTTGCTTTTAACATATTTTGGTACACATACATTAGGAATGAAAGGTGGAACTAATGATTAATTCTATAATTTATCCCAAGCAAAATTAGCGAACCAAGGATGCTCTTTGATTTCTTAACTTCCATTGAAGCCCAATCTATTTTATGGTTTACGTTGAAGTAGCTAAGATATTAGCGTATAAGCATACTCTATTTATAAAATCGACAGCCTCAACGGACCAATCATTAGGTATTTCATTTCTTTTAATTTAAACTTATTTGGCTAAAATTTAATCTCTAATTTCTTGTCTTGATCTTCCAACATATGGTCTCTAAGTTAGAATATAAAGATTACTCTCCCTATCATAAATTCATAGGCAATCACTCCAACAGCAAAATAATCAACTGCATAAGTATGATTCTATTTGCACATAACTTCAGGAGCTAAAATGTAAAACTGCATATTTACCCATGTACCCAGGAGTTCCACTAGTATCACAGCTATTTTCAGCCTTGAATACTCTAGCAATACCAAAATCTGTAATATGCACATATCCTTTTTCATCAAGTACCAAATTTTCAGGTTTGATATCTCTATGAATTATATTATTTGAATGTATGTATTCTAATCCTTAAACAATACAGGCTATAAAAAACTCTTAATAATAATATTGCATCAATACTTGTTGAGTTTTCATCGAATTTCCTCATTCTACCTATGTGATATCTAAGATCACCTCCTTTCATGTAGTCCATCAATAGGTATAGATTTTCTCTATCCTAATAAGCGAGGTTCATATTAACTAACAATGGATGCTTCAATTGACTTAATAATGTTCGTTCATTCATCACAGAATGGACACTCTTCTTTGTCACAATTCTAAATAACACTGAATTTATACAAGGCTTTTGACATTTCTTTCATGGCGAATATCTAACCTGTTTTTTTGTGCTCAACTTTCCACACTTTACCAAATCCACCAATTCCTATGACAAACTCAAAATTAAATGAATTTCTGCAGAAGAACATTTCTTGTTAGATCTTGGTGGAGGTAGAATTATGAAGTAAGTCTTTAAAGTTTACAAATTATTAACTCTGCAATTTAACATGCTTTTTTGCAGCTTAGGATTTAGAGTCTGTCGTTATTTTTGCTATTTCCCTAGCTTTTGCAAGTAAAGCTTATATCTATTGGCTATTTACTGACTATCTTATATAAGCTATTTTACCTCATTAATTTTCGTAGATTTTATTAATCGGGTTAGGTTGGTGACATCAATCTGAGATCCTTTGGGACTATGAAGATTTTTCAAACTATTGAGTCCAGAAGCTACAGGGGAAACTTATTAACTCGATGGAACTACTATGGGACTTCTAAAAGTAGACAAACTATTTTGTTTGAGTTTTCGTTAACCTGTTGAATTAAGTAGCATTTTACAACAATTAATATATATATTTACAAATTAAATTTATTATTAATTGAGATATTAGCCCTGAGTTAACAAAATCTACATAAATAATCAATTAATTATTCTATTATCCTAAGATTATCAGACTCATTCAATCATATATATGATTTCTGAATAAAATATTATTAACCGACTGAAATATCAGATTAGAGGATGGATTCTTTGATAAACTTTAAACTATTTAAATCAATTCTAATTCAATCTTAAATAAAATAGTGTTGATTAAAGATTCATTATAAAAAAGGTGATTTAACAGAATATAGTGATTTTAGAAGCATTTACAAAAGCAATTCTAATAAAAATATAAATAAAAAATTCCCCTTGATCATAAAGAAGGATTAATTAATGAAATATCATCATTTATTTTTAATAGATAGACTAAATGAAGGAATAGAAATAAATATTGTATTAGAAACAAAAAAAATAAAGTGATATGTTTAAATCATATCAAAATATTATCAATTTTATAACAGGAATTGAACATAAAGATGAAAATGGATAAAGAGAAGAAATAATTACAGTTTATTTGTCCTGGTTCTCAACATTTGTTGAACATGGAGTAGAGAGGAAAAGAAAGCGAAGTCTTAATAGTTTTTAATTTTATATGATGTGTTTTCTTTTTATGAATAAAATATCTCTGAATTATATTTTGTATGAGTCAGTTTGAAATCAATTCGCAATCCTAGATACCAGTTTAAGAAAGAAGCAAATTCAATTCGAATCGATATTTAGGGACTAACTCTTTAAATGGTTATAATCAAAATACTCTTGAGTAAAATGAGTAATGATTGATATATATTGTAATAATTATAGATCGGTTCCTTAAGCCTCTTCATAACCAAATAAGTATAGAGCCACATAAATTTAAACTTAGAAATTAATAAACAGGGTCAAAATTAGCCTCGGATACTTTATATGACTACTCTTAGATTGGATAGCCATTAATTAAAGATCAGGATTAGTCGGAGTAAATACAAAAGTTAACAAAAGAAATCGATACATTGAAGTATGAGAGATAATTATGTGTAGATATTAGTGGAGAGCTCTCGAATAGGAAAATCAACGATTAAAGTATGATAAGTAATTTTCAAATATAAACAATAGCATTCAATTGAATTAAAGAAACAAATCGAGTATGAATGAAATACAAGAATTATAGTAATATCATTAATTATTAAGCTAGAGATCAAATATTAATTTCAAAAAATGAAAATAAAAGATTGACAAGTATCGTTTAAGAAGATCAATTCTTATTGATAGATGTACAGAAATTAAGGAAATAAGTAGAATTAAATAGAGGACTTGATTTTAAGATTATTGATTTAGATTAGTAACTTATAAGCCTCAATAAATAACTTTTAGAATCAAAAAAACAAAATGCGTTTTTAGAATCTGAACTTCAGAATCAAAAAGAAATCATTGAAAAATACAAATCATAAATAAGAGATTAAACTCTAGCATATGAATCATAAGTCTTAAAAAACGAGTAATTATTGAATGATAATCGAAAAATGAAACTCGCCTTAGATTCAATTAACTAAGACTTAAATTAGGAACAGGAGCAAAACTAAATCCTTAACTAAAAACTCAGTTAAATTTCATTAGGAGCAAAAGATCAAATATCTAATTTATAAAAAAGTTAATCCAATCTAAATTTATAGAATGAGTAATTGAAGAACTAAATCAATCTATTATAGTAAAAGGAGAAAGAATTGCAGGTTTCCCAAACTCTGAATATTTAATAGGAAAGTAAAATAGGATAGATAAATCAATAATTAAATGAATGTATCTTTACTGTATGTATATAATAGAATAGAGATAAATTGAGGAAAGTAAAGCAGCAATTTCAAGTGCAAAAGCTGAATATAATAAATTGGCAACTACATGCCAATAATAGGATTAAGAAATAAAGAAATTAAAAGAAAAAATAAATTCTATGACTTAACAAAACACGATCATATCAAATAAATGTACTTAGTTGGAGAAGAGTCTGGAAGAAGGCTAATAAAAATCGTAGATGCTGTCATAAGATCTAAAGGGGAAACTGGAAAAATGGAAGAACTATGGGACTCAGTTGGAATAAGAATTAAAGAAAAGGGAGACAGCTTTAGTCAATTTAGGGAATGACTATATTAAGTCAGAATCTCAATTAAAAGCAGCTCTGGATATGTAATCTCAATTAAGAAATGAAAGAACTACTTCGATAGGAAAATTAAAAGAAATGCATGCTGACTTATTGACTTATGAGAAAAAAAGTGATTCGTTAGAGAGAAGTAAATTTTTAATATAAAATGTAGATATTGTGGCACTTCAAGCTCAAATTCAAAGTTCATATTAACATTAAGAAAGATTAGAATAGGAAAAATAGGTACTAAATTAAGAACTTAAATAATTGGTAGATGAACTGCGTAGAATATAAAATTAATGTGATTTAAGAGATAGAGATATTTAAGATCTGAGATCTCAAAATTCACTTTTGGCTGAAAGGAACATTACTTTAGAACATGAATTGAGTCTAGAAAGAGTAAATTCTACATTGATAACATTAGGATAAATAATTATAATTAGATTCTAAGGTTAGGACTTTAGAAAATGAAATTCATAAATTAAATTTTTAGCATACCCTTCGACAATAATATTCTTGGAATATTGACCCTCAATAAAGTCTTGGTAATTCGAAACCTTTGTTCCCAGATTTAAGCCAGGACTTTTATTCTCCATAAACAAATATATAAGGAATTAATTCTCCAAAGTATCCTTAGTATGGAATTTAAGTTTAACCCAATCACAAGTCTACTGAAGTTTAAAATTCTGGGTTTGAAAATTTAAGCAGCAATCCAATTCATTAAATAAAAAACAAAAATTACAATTCAAAGTTCTAAATTTAACCTGAAAATTAATTAAATTGATAGGTGGAACATTATAAAATAATTTAAATATTTATTCTTATTCGAATATAGTCATATATATCGAATAGCTATCTTTTTCATTTTTGAATTTTGGTTTTATTAAAGAGATCTTTCTCTTTTTGGATTTCTCTATAAAATAGGCTTGATTAAATCTTTTGTCAAATATCATTAAATATCAATCAATGAATTTGATAAATAAAGTTAAATTTCTAAATTTATTAGAATTAATAAACTAACTTTAGGACCAAGTTGAAAGCTGATATGATAGAAATAATCTTAAATAAATCGAAAGAAGTGTAATAAAAATAATTGAACGAATTATATTTAGAAGAATTATAGGAAGCAACCCATCGAAATTTTAATTTAACTCTCATAAACATTTTTAATTGAAATTTATTACTACTTTCATTTAAATCAATATGCCATAATAACTAATTATATTTATTGTTTGAGTATAATTTAATACTGGTTAAGAGTCTACTTTCTAACTCTTTAATTGAAGTTTAAATAGAGCCATCCGTATAAAAGTTAGTATTACGAAAGTATTAATATGTTTCAATTTAAACGAAATTAAAGATAAGGTTACTGTAGTAAATTAATATTTAAAAGTAATTGAAATACAAATACTTTTCTTTGAATTCAGTATATTCTAATAGAAAATGAGTTAAAGAAAGAATATATATATATAATTATTTATTCCCTTAATAATAATTTAATAGAAAATCAAGAATATAATATTATTAAAAAAGGGATACAAATTTATCCTAATCAATACAATATAAAGATTGACAATTTGAAATAAAAATCAATTAAATATCTATATTAAAAAATAATAACTGATATTAATTAAGGAGTATGAAAAATATGGAATTAGTTTTAATTTGAATTATCTATTTTTAAATGAATGAATTCTCAATGAAAGCAGAGGAAGTTATAAAAAATAATTGAAAATAAAAGATGGAATAAGAGTTTTGAACAGATCATTTGTATATCTGCCTTAAATAGTTTAGAGAATGTATTTGTATATCAACTATAAACATCCACTCAATCCCGATAGCAAATATCAGAAAAAATCTTACGATTCCTATTAGAGGATCAATGCATCTAAAAAGATGTTTTTTCTAACAGATCTTATATCATTTTTGGATGAAATAGTTGTTCTATTGTTGATATATTTAGGAGAGATTCTCAAGACATCTCCTAGAATGGGTATTTTTGTTTTTGGTGAATTAATGATGTTTCTATGAGTTGATTGTGATCTGGGTCTTCTTCTTTCAGCTGACGATTTAATTGGTTTTATAAATGGTTGGGTATACAATTTTTCTTGGGTAAAAATGGTTAGATTGATTTATTAAGCTGCTTGATTGTTTTTGTAGAGTCTAAATATTTAATCATGCAATTCTAGCTTATCTTTCTTTTAAATTTTGTTCAATTCCATTCTATCTCTATAAAATTGCTAAAATTTAAGTTAAAATAAGGTATTATTGGTATTTTATTTTTTGGCAATGATTTAATTGATGACATCGATCCTGGAGCATCTCTAGTTGTAGCATGTTTGGTTGGATGTAATAGTTGTATTATTAATTGATGATTACATATTTTTTATTATATAATTAATAACTCAACTCTTGATGATGATAACTTTCAAATGATGTTTAGCAGGGGGGAGTTCATTGACATGAATTCTAATGAAATCCAAATGTTTTTCATAACCACCTGAAACAGATCCGAAGGTGTGTCCTGGGAAAGAGTAAACGAAATGAACACCATTCTTAACTCCAAAAGATTCCTCCTTTCCTTTGTATGTCTTGAACTTCAACTCATTGATTCTGGCACCAGCGTGTCCTGAAATTTCAAGGATTTCATCATCTAAATGATTATTATTGAACAATTACCATCATCAATCTTGAAGTGCTTCTTGTGCACCTTACCGAACAAATGTCCAAAAGGCTTGAATTTTTCAATATCGTGACCATCGATGGTGTGTCCCTTGGCATCAGCATATTTGAAGACTGTTCCAAGGATATGTTCATCGGTGTATTAGACTATTCATCTTAATATAAAATTATACCTTCGATTTCCTTGATTCTATATGGAGCTGGGTGCTTGGCCAATTCTGTATGATCATCAAAAGATTGTAATCCTTCTCTTGGAAGTCCGATGGTAACATGTTCAGGAACTGCGTGCATTTCTTAAAATATATTATTAAAGATAGGGATTTAGGATATTCGTATTTAAGGTTGAGATGTTAGGATAAACAGAATTTTGGTCAATTTTCTTCAATAATTTTTATTTCCAGATTATTCTTTTGGATACGTTGGTGTAATATTATTAAACATAGAATATTAATTGAGATTTTTAATAAAATTGATGACGGACGTTGTGATTAATTACTTAATATTTTAATTCATGTATAATTTATTTTAAATTTACTTTTTATCATTCTTATTATACAGAGATCTCTGAATTCAAAAACGATGGATGAAATTAAACAAGCATACATATATTATTTGGATGATAAATCTAAGAGAGGCAGCATATCATATACATATTAAATACTAATGATCATTCATTATTAATAATTAGGAAAGAATGTAGTAGGTTGATAGGAATATAATAATACAAATATTAACCAAATCCACAATAACTAGAAGAATAGAAATAACAAATAAAATTTAGTAACTGTATTCTTATTATCAATAGAGATGAATACTCATGGATAACGTAAATTATGATTCAGATATTAAATAATATATATAGAAGATTAAAAATGAAATATGCAGCTTTAGAATCAAATTTTAAATTATCAAAAGCATTTAGAATTACGATTTCTCCTTAACATATTTTATAAAGAAGTATACTTTTGATCTTTGATTATTAATTAATGATTAATAAATTACAATAATTTGAGAAATCTAGAAAGCTAGAAAATCAAAGATTCAGATGGTAGAATAAATGAATTGTATTTTCACTTTATTCTTTGGTAATGCAAAATAAAGAATGAAAAATACTAGATTTGAGTTGTAAAGTAGATGGAAATTGATTATGTGGATGTGATTATTTATGAGTGATATTTAAATATAATTGAGATTTGAATAAAGAATTGCGCAAATTGCATTCGTTGTTATTTAATTATTTTTCAAATTCAAAATGTAATTTCTACAATACCCTCCAGATAAGAAAATTCAGAATTATCAGTTTAGTTTCAAAGCAAAATTAGGAAAGGGTGCCTATGGTACAGTTTATGGTGGAAGAAACATCGTTGATAGTAATTTTTAATTGTTATCTATTACAGATAAGATTGTTGCATTAAAAATAGTGGACAAAAAAATATTACTAACAGATTATGCAAGTTAACTCATTGCTTCAGAAATTGAGATTATGAAATTGATTGAAGATAAGAATATTGTTAGATTGATTGATGTATTATAAAGTGTGAATAATACCTACATCATCACTGAGTTTTGTAACGGTGGCGATCTCAGGGAATACCTCAAAAAGAGAAAGTATGACTTATTCCATAATATTAGGTCGATCCCAGAAAATGATGCAATCAATGTTTTAAAGGATTTACTCCATGGCATTAAAGCATTACTAAAAATAGGAATCATTCACAGAGATATTAAACCTGCCAATATAATGATCCATGATGGTGTATTCAAAATAACAGATTTTGGATTTGCCAAATAAGTTGATTCTCATATTGACACCATTATGAATTCATTAGTTGGTACGCCACTTTACATGAGTCCTCAAATCTTAAAAAGACAATCCTATACCTCTAAATGCGATATCTGGTCCCTTGGTCTCATATTTTATGAATTGATTTATGGTATCACTCCTTGGCATTCTTAAAATCTAGTTGAATTAATGGGCAAATTGGATACAAAAGTACATTTTCTATTTTATTCATCAAGCCTTTAGAATTTCCTCCTTTTCCAAAAGTCTCCGAATAAACCATCAAGATCATCAAAGGATGTTTACAAATCAATGAAGAAAAAAGAATTTCTTGGGATCAACTCTTTTCTTTGGTTGGAATGCAAGAACAAACCACAACTCTGCCAGAAATCAATCAAGCACTACCTGTTATTCAAAAGAATACGTATTCCTAATATTAAAGTCAATAATAAGAATCAACACAAATTAAATAAAATTTAAGTTTCGTGGAAATCAGACCTCATCAAAGAGCCAAGCAAAGAACTGAAAGCATGGGAACTTATCATTTTGTTAGTAGACACAATAGAAGTATGAGCAATGCCACTCCGACTAATGATGCAGACAAATCAAGTGAGAGATAGAAAGGCAAATTTTACACAAAAACTAAAATCTCTTATCTACAACCTGATAATCGAAGAGTTACTCCTTAAAGAAATATTACTGCCTACACCCAAGAATCAGAAAGAGATAGAAACAATAATTCCTTTGTAAAATTCACCACTCAAAGAGTCGAACTTATCAAATTCTTAGAAAATGCACATACTCCTCCTCTTCCAAATAAAAAATACTCAACTAATAATAATGATTCATATAGAACTCCTAGTAATTTGTAATCTAATTCAACAAATACTTCTAATAAATATGTTCATGAATAAGAAAACTCATCTAATGTTGTCAAAGTAAATGAATTCCAAATCGAAGAAAAATCCAGAGAACCACTTAACCACATAATAGCTAATGGATATTTTAATGCTTGTTCAAACTTAAGATTAAAAAGAACATTTAGCAATCATTTCTAAGATAATGCCTTGTCTCCTATAAGCCAATAAAAAAATAGTATCCTACAATTACTGAAAATCATTCAAATACAATTTGACTTCATTCCAAATCATATAGCAATCAAAAAGGATATTGAGTCTTTGTTAAATCAACATAAGATCACTATTAATAATGTGAGAGAATAGCTCTATACACCTCAAGATATTAAAGATTTAAAAATCATTATTAATTGTCTTGTAGACTATCTAAATAATAATCCTTAAGATAATTTTGTAACATAACTATCTGTTATGCTGCTGCTGTTGCTTAATTATAATTAAATTATACTCTTCAATGTTCAAACTAAATCGTTACAATTATCGAAATCTTTGATTGAGTAAATCAAAAAGAATTAAAAATTACAATAGCAATAATTATTGTTAAGTCCAGAAATCTTGAGAGAGCAAATCAAAAAATTGCTTAAATGAATTTTGTGAGTTATTTTTTAATTAATTTTTCTTTTTTTGTTTGATTTTGAATATTAATATACAAATAAAAAAGATCCTCAATCATATACTAAACCCTCTTTCTCATTAATCTCCTATTAGATCTTACTCAAATGAATAAATATATGCTCAAGTGAACTAGTTAATAATAAATGATAAATTTACTTTTCATTAATTTGAAAATCTTCAATTAGCATCTCTTTTATCAGCGTTTCAAAATATTAGAATGTTCTATAAAAACTGAAATCTTCATCATCAAACTTAAAGGTCATGAATCCAGTCCTTTTATCTTCCATCATTTATGAGTTTGGAAACATTTTAGCAACTGACTCAGCTATATCTTAGGTCTGTTCATTATTGTTATGCTTAATCTCAATTTGATATCCTTTGCTATATTTTCTAAATGAATAAAATAATTAATTTACTGTCTAAGGTACTATGGAGTTCCTAAACATTTAAATTGTCCAGCAATTAGAATTCCCAAGCGTTGACTTAAGCTTTCAGCCTCTTCAATTGTGTGAGTAGTCATAATAGCAGAACAATTTCTCAATCGAATATTTCTCTAAAGAGTATTAAAGAGAAATCTCCTTGAGATAGGATCGACTCCTGTACTGGGTTCATCAAAAAAGGTAATGTCACTTCCTCCTATCAAGGCATCTGCAACACAGAGTTTTCTCTTATTTCCTCCACTTAATTACCCTGCCTTTGTCTTTACAAATAAGTTCAATTACATAGTCTTGATAAAGTACTTCACTGCTTATGAAAGATCCTATCCAGATAATCCTTTGATTCTACCAAAGAGTTGTAAATGCTCTATTGGGGTTAGATTCTCCCAAATACAATCAAATTATGGGCAAATGCCTACATGTTACATAACCTTTTGATTGCGTTGATTAGGTTCGACTCCCTTTATTAAAGCAAGTCCTTTAGTGGGAGAGTTGATTCCAGTAAATACGTTGATAAGTGTAGACTTACCTGCACCATTGGGACCTATAATTCCAAATATCTCGCCCTTCTTAACGCCAAATGTTAACTGTTATAATGTTGGTTTATCCTTAATGTATTCCTTTTCTAAAAATTTGCAAACTATGGGGTCGTATTTTTTAGATTTTTGAATTCTAGTTCTTTCTTCTAGGACTTCTTATTCTAATTGATCTGTTAATGGTTTTTAATTTGAGTTGCCTCTTGGGACAGTTAGACTTTTTGATTCGATTAGATAAAGGATTAATATTTGAATGATGATTTACCCAAGTAAGATTAATTGGAATATATAAGTTCTTTGAATTAGTTATGGAGTAGAGTATAGATTTAAATCATAAATTTTTTAAAAATTATCTGCTAAAAATGTGCAAGCTTCAAAAAAGGCATAAAATGGAGATACAACTACAAAGAGCACTTAAAATATATATATGAATTATTTGGCAATTTCATTATTGAACTCCTAATAAAAGAAATCAACAAAAGCTATTACAATAAAAGGAACACAAAAGTTAGCAAAAAAGCAAAACATTGCATATAATTTTAATGCGTTCTCCAGAGTTTTAAACAAAAATCCCATCAGATAAGCAAAGAGAATATAACTGAACCCAAAGAGTAAGTAACATGATAATCCTGTCATCCAATATTTAAATGCTATATCTAATTTCAATAAGGCCGAAATGATATAAAATAAGGCTACGTAACATAAGTATACCATATAGTCAAAGATTAAAGTACCAAACCAGTACGGAAAAGATCTGCATCCCATTCCTATTAAGGCTTACTTTAAGTAAGTCTCTTTCTCTAAGACTGGTTATGATATGTAGACAGTTGCATTAAAACAAAATGCCAACACACTGCAACTAGCAAGCAATGAAATCTTAAAAAATTCTACAGCTTCTGATAAATTTTCAATGTCCATATCAGGGAATACATTATGTAATAATTCATCAAAATCTACACCAGCTACTGTACTCATACCTAAAACAAAAGTAATCATTGGGATTATGATGGAGAAGTAATTAGTGCTAGTTCTGATCACAGTATAGTATCTTCTTAAAAAGATAGCTAGTAATTGTGATGAAAATTTATAAGTAGGTTCATTTTTTAAGCATTCTGGGACATCTTAAAGTAGTTGTTTTTCCTAATGAAACTCTGTGACATTATGGTCATCTTCAGCGTTTTACCCTTCTTCTAGGATATCTTAATATTCCTTTTCAAATTCTTCTGCGTCTTCGGTATTCTCTGGAATTCCCATACTTTATTTAGCAATTTTGATTTCACTCTTTCTGGCATCATTCAAGTGGGTCTTTTCATCCTCAAGTCCAATTTTTACAAAGGCATCCTCCAAGGTTTTCATCTCTAAACCAATTTTAACATCTAACGATTCCAAATTATAAAATAAATCACTTAATTTGCCTTTAGATGAAAATGGAATATTGAATACAAGTTTATTATTATTAGAGTGTTCTGATTCTAAATAGCTATTAGGAACCATTTAATAAACCTTCTCTTAGATTGTGTTTCTTAGATTTGCATCATCGAATGATAATTTTAAATTATATCCTTCCCCAAATTTCCTTTTTATGTAATCCGATGATCCTACTGCTAATAATTGACCTTTTGACATTATTCCAATTCTATTAGCTAGTATTTCTGCTTCATCTAGATGATGTGTAGTCAATATGATAGTTCTCTTATCTTCTCTAATCCTCTCTAAAATATTCCAAATTGATCTTCTCGCATAAGCATCCATCCCTGAAGTTGGTTCATCTAAAAATATGATTTTTGAATCTCCAACCAAACTCATAGCCAAAGATAATTTTCTTTTTGAACCTCCTGAAAGTTCTTACACTTATTTATCTTATTCATCTAATAATTCAGTTGTCTTCATAATAAGGATCATTTCCTCTTTGTCAATTCTTCCCTTGATACCACTGATGAATAGTAAATGTTCCTTCACTGTTAATTCATTGTACAAACAATCTTTCTAAGTACATAATCCTAATGATTTTCTTATATCAGATAACTGTCTGTCCAAATTCATCCCATACATGGTCACTTAACCTGAAGTTTTTTGAATCATTCCTGTCAATAGACTAATGGCTGTAGTCTTGCCAGCTCCATTATGTCCAAGTAAACAGAATATTTGGGATTCATATAAAGCGAGACTCAAATTATTTACAGCATTCAAATCTCCAAACTTTTTCAACAAGTTCTAAATTGTTATGCTTGGTGATTTATTCATTTTTATTTCCTCTGTGTACATAGCAGAACTTAAAGGAGTATCACTATTGTTAAGTGCCAAATTAGCTTCAGGGTCAATTTATCTGACTTTTGCTTTTTTCTGAGAAGAGACTCCAAATATAAATAATGGGTGCTTAGCTATTCCATATTCATTTGGAACTACCTATTCACAATATAAAAACAATATAAAATATGCAACTAGTTAAACTCCCAGTTGGATTCCAGCCATCTAAGTTGGATATGTACTACTTATGATATCAGTAGGGAATAAATTCAATTTCGTTAAGTCATTACCACTTGAACTATTGATTGCTGATATATATGAGAAGGCTATTCCACATTATGGACTTATGAGAGTCAAAATAATGTAAAATATCGTCTTGTTAGCCAATTTAGCTACAAAAGAGAAATATATGAAAAAAGTGAAAGCCACCTAAATAAATGATTGCATCTCTCCAGCAATTTTAACTTCATTGAACAAACTGGATAAAAAAAAATTCTAATTCATAGCCTATCAATTTTATTATAAAGTCTTACGGCGAAAGCAAATAATACGTATGGCCACAACATAGATAGAAAAGATACATGAAATTCTTCATCCCATTCAATATTAAATATAATGTTACACACATACCAGCAGACTTCAAATATTATTAATGACTAGAATATATTAAGTACACTTACAATTGCAATTCTTATATAACCAGTTATTAACCAACCGAAAAGATATGCGTTATCTTTCATGCCCATAATCTAATGAGTAATTTATTGATATACTTACTTTCTATAATTCTTTATACCTTTTACTTTTCTCTTCTACCAGCTTAATCATCATAGATCTTTATGTAGAATTCAATGCAAGACAATATAGCAAAGGCATCAATTACTAAATAGCTTATATTTGAGCTAATCATCATGATCTCTAATATACCTTTTAATGAAAGCATTGCTGCCACAACAATTGGTAAAATAGACTCAACGAGGAACTCTTTGTTTCTCACACTGATCAACAAATTTTTTTTAACCAGATAGCCGATTTGTTGCCATGTACTCATTTGTAAGAAAAAAATAGAGTTTTGGATTTTCTTAAATTTTATTATTGCAAAAATTAAATATAAATATAATTTATCAATTGACTGATATGATATCACCTTTTTAATATATTATCACTTGTACACTATTCCTATTAAAATACTCATTTGTTTCAATAGAATTTAAAATATCAAATAATAGATGTTCTACTTATGAATTCTTAATATATATTTAGGTTATTATTATTAAGAATATTAATTCAACAAGTAAAAACAACTCTATGCCTTAATAAGATGGCATGATGAAATTCATTATTTGTTGATTGAATAGTAGAAATCTTTATTATGGTGATATTCGTAAAATAATTAAGTGTTATGATTCCAAAATTTTGAGTTCTGAAAATAATGGTCAAATCGTCTTTTCTCTTTATTCTATTTTAGAAAAGGAATTCGTAATACATTAATCAAGGGCTTAAACCTTATTTGAGAGAAAATTTTAAATAATAAACATTTGGCAAGATTTAATTTTTAATTAAAAACAATAAGCTGCTATGGGCTTTTTATAATTAATTGGTAAATAAGAAAAATTAAACTAGAATTTTTGAAGTTGTTTAAATTTCATTTCTTCGAGCTAATTCTATGTTGCATAAACACTTCTATATTATAATTAGCAATTGACAGACAGATGATAAAAAACTAAAGGATCCTTCGAGGAAAAAGTTTTAAAATTAGTAAATAGTATTATTTTTAATATCTTAGATATATTAGTGCAACGGCAAAATTAATTTTGCTATCAGATGATTTCAAATAACCACTGAAGAGTGGGAGACACTATAAACAACAAATTAATTATTATAAATTGAACTAAAATTTATTTAGTGAGATTTTTGAGATACTTAACAAATTTGGTAAAAATTTTAGGAAAAATAGTTAGGCCCCGTAGACAAAATTAGAAATTATAGGAAATAAAGAGAGAATTAAGAGAGGGGACTAATCTTTAATGATTCACAATACATAAATTTAGTATAAAATAAATATTGTAGCCATACTAAAATTAAAGAATTGTGTTTAATGATAATAAGATTGGATAATAATTTTTATTTGTCATCTAAATTTAAATTTTTGTACAATTATTTTTTTATAATTTCTTGTTTAATATATGTTGCCACTCACCCAAGTAAGCAGAAGTCTATTTCATCTTAGAACATTTACCATAGATAGTCAACTTCCTTATTGTAAAAGCATTTTGAAACAAGAAAAAACTCTCCTGTTACTATCATCAGAGCTCCTGCTCTACCTAATAAGTAACCAATTAGTGGATCTACTTTGTGTATAAGAACTCCCTACTCTGATATTAAATTAAGGATGTTTACGTAGGTTGTTTATTCCTTTTATTTCAAGCAAGCAGAGGAATCGAAGTTCAATTCTACAATGAAGAATGATGATTCATAAAATTAATAGATGAGTTCTCTCGTGGATATACGGACAGATAAATTAAGTTGCACAAAAACTACTGTAGCAGAGAGTATAGAGGAGGAGAAGCAATAAGTCAAAAGTAATTTTGTAATTTAATTAGCTCAAAGAAAATGTTGTAAAATAATCAAATCTACAAATGTAAAAATAATTACTCGATCGTGATTTGGAAATAATTTAATTGTAAAGAACTATCAAAAATCTCAAAGATTAAAATGTAATAATTAAAGTGAAGTTAGAAAAAACTATTAACAGAAAATTCTTTATTGACTAAAGAAAATATTCAAATGAAAACTAAGATTGATTCCCTTGAGAAAAGGATAGAAGGATCTCCAACACACGCCAGAACATCAGAATATATATCTGCTTTAACCGAAGTTGACAAAATTAAAATAGAGTCACTTTTAAACTGAAAAATTGATATCAAGTATAAATAAATATCTGAATAAATCATGAAGTTTATATGTAAATACAACAATAAATAACTTAAACAATCCTTCTATTCATTTTGTCTACTTATTGATTTAATAAATATTAGGTAAAATGTCTATAATTTAACAGAGTCATTCAATTAGAAATCTTAAATTTTTACAATCAAAATAAATACATACTTCCAATCATCATTTAGATAATATTTAAAAATATATTTCTGTTAATTTATTATAATTCTCTCAAATGATTAATAAATTCTAATTAAGTTTCGCAGAATCCTATATTTGTTTAAAGAATCTGTTGTTAAAATTGTAGATTTAATAGAAGAAACTATGAATTAATAGGAGATCTCAGAACTTCTTATAACTAAATCAACTAAATTTTAAGTATGAACAATCTAATATAGAATTTACTTACTATAAACTTTTTATTTTTCTCTTGATTCTAAGACATATGCGACATATTTAACTAGAATATGGAAGATGGCTATTAGAAATAGAGGATATCTCTTAAGCTGAACATGGAATAAATGAAGGGAAATATTAATATTTGTTAATAAATTCTTAAAAACCATAAATATCTTTATTTTATATTATGAGTCATCATCATAAGGCCCATGACATAGCAAAGGTTGCAGCAGCTCGATTGAATGCAGCTGCAGCTACAAGGAATTATAATGTGACACCCAGAGTTGATTATAGAACAGTTGTGAAGGTGGATGGTCCATTGGTTATTTTGGACAATGTGAAATTCCCAAGATATGCAGAAATTGTTAATGTTTGTTTAGGAGATGGATCAGTGAGAAAAGGGTAATCATAAATGTCATAATTCTAGTTAAGTTTTGGAAATTGCTGGAAAGAAGGCTGTCGTCTAAATCTTTGAGGGAACATCAGGAATTGATAATTTATACACTCATTGTGAATTCACAGGTTCAACACTCTAGATGCCAATCTCTGAAGAGATGCTTGGAAGAGCATTCAATGGATCAGGAGTTCCAATCGATAAAGGTCCCCCTGTATTGGCAGAAGAGTTCTTAGACATTCAGGGTCAACCCATCAATCCATTCTCAAGAGTGTATCCCTAAGAAATGATTCAAACAGGTATTTCAGCTATTGATTGCATGAACTCAATTGCTAGAGGATAAAAAATTCCCTTGTTTTTCTGCTAACGGTTTGCCACACAACGAAATAGGAGCGTATGATTTCATAACCATAATTTTAGTTAAATTGTGCGTTAAGCTTCATTGGTAAAAGGAAAGGATGTTCTTGATCATTCTGATGAAAATTTTGCAGTCGTCTTTGGTGCTATGGGTGTCAATATGGAAACAGCTAGATTTTTCTAAACAGATTTTGAATAGAATGGTTCAATGGAAAGAGTCGTATTGTTCATGAACTTGGCTAATGATCCAACAATTGAAAGAATTATTACTCCAAGATTGGCATTAACAACTGCAGAATATTTGGCTTACGAGAAGGAATTACATGTGTTGGTTATCTTAACAGATATGTCAGCCTATGCAGATTCACTAAGAGAAGTCTCTGCAGCCAGAGAAGAAGTGCCAGGAAGACGTTCTTTCCCTGGTTATTTATATACAGATCTTTCAACCATTTATGAAAGAGCTGGTAGAGTCTAAGGCAAAAATGGATCAATTACTTAAATTCCAATTTTGACAATGCCTAATGACGATATTACACATCCCATCCCAGATCTTACAGGATATATTACAGAAGGACAAATTTTCATTGATAGATAATTGAATAACAAATAAGTTTACCCACCCATCAATGTGTTGCCATCATTATCAAGATTGATGAAGTCTGCCATTGGTAAGGGTATGACCAGAGAAGATCATCCTGAAGTCTCAAATCAAGTATTTTTATGATTATTAACATCACCCATAGTTGTATGCTAACTATGCCATTGGTAAGGATACTGCAGCTATGAAGGCAGTCGTAGGAGAGGAAGCCTTGTCTGCTGAAGATCTTTTGTATTTAGAGTTTTTGAAGAAATTCGAAAATAATTTCATCAGTTAAGGAGCTTATGAAGTCAGATCTATATTCAAATCCTTGGATTTGGCTTGGAGATTATTGAGAATCTTCCCACCTGAAAAATTAAAGAAGGTAATGAAGTTGTTTATATTTTCCTATAGATCAACAAAAAAAATCTTGAGACTTATTATTATAGAAGAAAGGAGGATGAAGATGATTTTGATGGACCTTAATAATAAAAAGAAGAAAAATGATTGTGATGTATCAAGTAAAAATAAGCATAATCATATAATACCAAATTATAGAATTTTTCTATTTTGTTTATTAATATACTGATTTATTTATCAAATAATTTCTACAAAAGCCTTTGGGTGTTAGAAGGTTGTTTATTTTGGAATGACAACGGCAGCTCCTCTTGGTTATACTGGTTATCTTTTGGTTGAAATGACTTATTTATTTTTCTTGGCTTCAGTCTTCTTTTTGTCATTCTCTTGGACTCTTTTAACAAATTCTTATCTGCATTTTGATGGTCTCAAATGATCAGCTCTAACATGGGATCGTTTCTCCACATATCTTCCTCTGACTCTTCTTTATAATGAGACACCAATTCCTCTTGGATTGACATTGAATACTCTTGCAGTTCTGCCATGATAATATTAAAATGGAACTCCCTTGTGTTAAGCACCATCAACCAAAATATCGACAAAATCACCTTGAATTTAATTGCATGTAATTCTTACCTCTTTTGAATGTCTGAAGGGTCTTACGAATTGAGATATTTCCATGTCCTCTAAAAGGTTTTGCAAATTTGCTTCTTGTACCCTTCTTCAAACCATAACTATGAGTCATTTATTGATAATTTAATTTATAGATTTGTAATCACATTTAAATACTTAATATATATAATGCTATATCAATAATATTCTCATCCTATATTTATTTTCCTCACCTTAATAGTATCTTGTTTGTCAGCCAATTCCCTTAACAAAGGTTTATTATGCATCAACTCTTCGTTGTTCATTTTGTTCCTTGGTCTTTGTTATGACTTCTTCTCATCGATTTGTTACTTCAAGATCTCTTGATGCTTCGCATTCACATCCTTTATGTAATCATATTTAGATTTCTCATGTTTTTGGAATGTCTATAGGTCCTATTGCCAAACTTAGGCCTGTTTCTTATTTAACTCTTCTTCTTCTTTCAGTCTCTATCTAAAATCATAATGATATACTTACTTCTTATCCTCCATTTACTTATGTGAGGTATTTTCTCATCTCCAACTATTATGATTTGATTTGTCTCTTCTTCATCTCTTCATCTTACTATTCTATCTCATTTTGCATTAATATAGCTTTCATCATTTTATCATCTTCAGCCCTATTTGTTAATGTATTTTTCATACTTTATCTAATCTTTCTGATTCTTGACTACAGTCTATGAAAAATCACTCATTATCTTTTTAATTTTGTCTTCTCTTTCTTTCTTTCTCCATTTCTCGCTCTTCTTCCAACTTTTATTGTAATTAGATATACTTCCTTTGCATGTCAACTTCTAATTGTTTATCTGTTTATTCATCTTAGATTTATTTGCATCTGTTTTTTTCATTTTCATCCATCATTTCTATGAACTTTCTTTTCTCCATTTCTTTTTTTTACAATGTTTCTCTTTATTCCTATTTTAATTCTTCCTGGATTCTTTAAACTAAAATGGCATCTAATTCTGACTATTTCTTCTTCTCCAAATACTTTCTCTTTTCTTCTTCTCTGACTTACCTATCTCTTTATTCTTTCTCCATTTATTATTTCTATGCTATCTCTCTCTTCTTTTGCTCTTCTCTTTAATCATAAACATTCATCTAAAAATCTCTTAATTTGACATAAGCTTCTTCTTGTTTCTTCTCCATTTCCAACCTTCGCTTCTTCTCTGCCAACTGTCTATCTAATTCTGTCTTCATCTTTTTCTTAAACTCAGCCTACCTCTATTACTCAAGTTGCTACTCTTTAGTATATAGTTCTGTATCAAATTTAACTAATGCAGCCCATTCATCCTCCTCGTCTACTACATATACAGATTTCGGTTGTTTTTCAAATTCAGAAGACGTTACCGAATACTAATCTTGATCAACTTCCGATTTCGCTGAATTCCTGACAGACTGAGGTCGAGGAATTTATGATTTCTACTCACTTTTATTGTCAACATGAGAATTATTATTATTCTAGGATATATGCTATGTCTGACTCAGAGCCTTCTATTTTTGAACAACCTCAATTACTCTTGCTTTCAATTGCTTTAGAGAGTTTTCTGTAACCTAATTTACTAGATGCTGATTACTTGCTCATTTGTAAAGTATTCATTAACTATTTATTATATTAGAAGTTCTTTATTTTTATTCCCCTGAGCATAATCTTTGCTAAATTTGCTTATAAGCATCTCGCGCAATTACTCTCTTTGTTGGAGCAAACCAGCTCTTTCAATAGCTGATCTCACCCTTGCAGAGCCAGATCGAACAGATTTGCTTTTTTCGGAATTATTCATTTAATATTTATAAATAATATAAATATACATCATTTTCTTCCAGATATGTTGCATATCTTATTAACCATTAAGTTTTAATATATTAATTTTATGCCAAAGATGAATTCTAAACACTTAATCTGAACAATTTTAATCTTTACAATACCCTATTGAATAAGGATAGGAATAGCTTAATAAATACATTAATATAATTTATTTCAATCACAGAAAAAATTGTCAATGATTAAGTAACTTAAGTTAAGTACAACTCACGATATTTATAAATTCTTTAATTAAAGTTTTAATTTTGTATTTATTTTTGATTTAATTTCATAAATTTAGAGAAGTTCTGCAAGAAGGACAGATTTTTTCATTTAGAAGCCATAAATCCAGACAAGCCTTATGGAACGAGTGATGACAAGGAGTTATGATCTACAACAAAATAGGAATGGGCATTAAACAGATTGGACATTAAGCTAGTTCCTAGGTTTATAAGCAGAGAGACTCTAATTACACATTCTATTATTAATAAGCAGCCTCTGACTGTTGTCTCACCTATGCCATTTTTCTTTATTAATGTCTTAAATAAAAATATCTAATCAAACACGAGAGTATCCCAAGTACTGCTAATCCAATGCATAGGGCTATAATTATTATTATGGCCTTGTGGGTTGGGCTGTCTTCTTCATCATGATCATCTCTGTAGTCATTTTCCCTCTCTTCTCCAAGAATTCGCGGGAATACTTGGGTGACGGAGGATGCTGCTTGAGATTCGTATTCTAGTTACAAATTTGGTTTCATCATATAAATAGAGGATTTACTTAAAAAGAATAATTAATGATATTATTTACATTTAGATCTAAAAATAGTCTCTCACAGTTTATATAGAATTAGCATAATGTGATTATAATGTTAAGGTAGAAATTTAAAAGGTAATTGTAATTAACAATAAAAAAAATTAACAATAAAAAAATTGATACAGTTAAAAGATGAAATTATATATTGTTGTTTAATTGTTATTCAAATCAGCAACATCCCCCATTCTTTTTTTCATCAGCAGCGTGGTTATTTTGTGTTAAGTTTATAGATGCATTCTAAGGAGCACTTGGATTGGGCGTTTTTTCATTTGATAGATTTGCTTTGACTGCCTTGGCAATTGCATAAAAGGCATCCGACACTTATGTCCCCTCCTTTGCTGAAGTTTCAAAAAAAGAAACTCCATATGATTTGGCTAATTCTTCTCCCTCTTCTTTAGTGACTTATCTATTTGGCACATCAATTTTATTTCCTAGGGTAAACGAATAAATTAAAATATAAACCTATCAGTAATTTACATACATTTTCACTTGCATGTTACTTAATTTGACTCATCCAATTCTAAATATTTTTAAATGATTCTCTGTCGTCTATAGAATATACGAGGATGATCCCCATAGCTCCTTTGTAATAGGTTTAGGTAATCGTCTTAAATCTCTCTTATCCTGCAGTATCCCATATTTGCATCTTTATTTTCTTACCTTCAACATCAATCGATTTTATTTTGAAATCTATTCCAATTGTTGATAAGTAGGTTGGTTGGAAATTGTTTTCACAAAATCTTAACAGCACATTTGTTTTTCCGACACCAGAATCTCCTATCAATAGAACTTTAATAAGCCAATCAAAATTTTCCTTCTTATTTGCCATAGAAGAGGCCATAATATTAAAAATGATTATTATTATAATCAGAATATAATAGTAAATTTATATTTAAATACCTCTGTACTGACCAAATAAATGTTAATCACGTAATAACACCCCTCCCATTTAGGGTTTTTTAAATGAATACAATCAGAATTCATTAAATTCTGAGTGAAAAACATATAATAATGTAATTTTATTCTTTTTGATCAAAATCAAACCACAATTAACAAACAAATGAACTCCTCTCTTCTCGCTGCCATTAATATATTACTCTTAGAATAAATGACATTAAATTGACTCATTTTTAATTCAAATATTTTTGAATATTTTAGAACTTCTTCATCTCTAACCATTTCTATAAACTCCCTATGACCATAAGAATTTTATCAAATTAAGAGATGAAGATATGATCTATTTTTGATCAATAATTATACAAAGATTTAAATTGGTTTTTATTATATTATCCATATCAAAATATTATTAAATATTTAATAGATATATATACAAAGTATTGGTTAAATATGAGGGACTGGAACTTTAGTAATTAATGATTGATATTCACTATTATAATTAAGTATTTGGATTATAATCATTATTCTAATTAAAAGGCTTAAGATGTTTGATCTAAATATATTTATTACCTTTGTTTTTTACCAAATTTTCTCTTTCTTAAACAAATCCAATCACTCAAAGAAGTTATCCCAAATAGTCCTCTTTAAAACATTAATAGTAAGTTACTTATAAATATAAAAAAATAGAATAGCCCCAACAGTCAAGTGCAATTCAAATCCTAAGTTTAAGACTTAATAAAATATATAGAAAAAGTAGTTCATCTAATCTTGAGGGCAATAGTTTTAATCGTTAGAATCAGTGTCTTGCAATCTAATGTTATTCATCCTGTCCATACCTGATTAAGAAATTTACAAGCCATGCTAAGAAGTAAAGTAAGGGGAATAGAAGCATTGATTGGATCCTTAAGGCAGGATATCTCAATTCTTTTTTGTATTACAGGCGATGCCAATAGCAGCAATTCTATTTTTAGTTAAGTAGTTTTACAAAGATTGAAAACAATATTGAAAAAAAGAACAGAGTTGATACTGGGGCAATCCAAAATCCAACTATTTAATGATTAATAACTAAATTAAAATGCAATTCTACATCCACAAAAAATAAAATTGAATTCTCCATTTTATAGATACCATCCCGAAGGACCAAAACCATCATCTAGATATACTCTAAGTAGAAATCCGTATGGTATTAGATAGAGTATAGCCAATATGATGTAGAGGTACTTCATTATAAGGTTGAATAAAAATTCTGACTATCAATAGATGCAAATTTTACTCGAATCAAAACAAAGTATATTAGGCATTAGAATAGCATAAATATCAAAGAGGCTAGCCAATTAGAATGCATGAAATATCCAATTAGTTTGCACGCTTTTGGCCAGCATGAACTATTAATGGTAAAGGTTAAAGCCAACACGAGATCAATGCATTCAGATATAACTTAACAAAAAATTAACTTAAATGGCCAAAATTATTTTTTTTTACTCATTATGATCATCATGAGAACTAAAAGACTTGAGTAAATAGAAATCGCCAATACTATCAACCTCAATATGAAGGTGACAATCTTATCTGCGCTATCAAAATTATCATCACAATGCTCCTTATAAATGTCTTCAAGGGGTTTAACTTCACATTCCACCATCTCAAATAAATATATTTATGCAAATAATTGAATTATTTGGATGTTTAATCTCGAATTAAATTTAAGATAAGTAATACACTTAATTCAAGAGTTGCTATATTTTTTCATTATTTTGGTCATGTAGACAGCATTGATGCATATAATACATTATTATGAGATATAAGTGAGCATATGAAGTTGATATGGTTGTACTTGTTCATAAGCTTCTCTCATTTTTTTGATAATAATTACATAAGGATTATTCAGTAAATATAGGCGTGACAATGGTTCGAATGAAGTAACCAATAAGTTTCAGTAGTGGAATTCTAATTCAAGAGGGATGTAAATGAAAAATTAGTATTGAATTTGAAGCCATTAATCATGTTAATGGAAGTTAAATGAGAAATAAATTGTTTTTTAGTGTAAATGGAAAAATGAATTTAAAATCATGAGAGAGAGGTGCATATTTTTGAATTGAGTTCAATCTTCTTAATCTGAATTACAAATTAGTATCGTTTTTTCTAGGTCATCATCAATCTTAATTTTTTTTCTGTTTATTTTCTTTTCCAAAATAACCAAGTGATCTTTTAGGTACTCCAAGTTTTTCAATACAACACAGAAATCAAGAGATTTGCTTTCTTTTTTTTCAATTAATTTGTTCATATTATTGATATTAATATGTGTTAATGAAATCCCATTAATTAAATAATGTAAAGAATCGGTTAAACAGTTTTTTCTGTGTAAATGAATTCATACATCCGTAGTATGGAGGAGACTAAGAAAAACTTATTGTAAATTATTAGATTTCCAGTTTAGATTTGATTGAGTTTAAATCCAATAGGGAGAGTGAGATGAAATGGGGCAGTAAATGGGATTGCAGAGGCATTAGTAGAGACAAAATATATATACAAAAAATATCATGATTGATACAATAAAAAAATTAAAGAAAATTTTGAATATAATTTATATATATTTATATAATAATGATAAGATTGACTTTGCTATTTTTGTTGATTACTTATAATTAATGTGCCACAGTGTCGATAAGTGATTAATGTAATTGTGAATAAATAAAATCGAAATCTGACTGTGTTTAGGATAGCTGCCTATGGAAAGATGAGAAATGTGTTAAAAATGAGGATCAATAAAGTGATGAAACTGTAAGTGTATATTGCAGTGCTTTGGACGTGACTAGTTGCTAATAATGGAAAGGGTGTGCATGGAATTCGGGTAGTTGTGAACAATTTAGTGGATGTTCTGCATTCAGTGGAATTTCAAATGAAGCCTGTTAATAGATATCTCAATACTGCACATCTGATGGAACTTAATGCATCGACCCTTTAAATTGTAGCGATTATACTGACTAGGGACTTTGCAATTCAAATATTAACGCATAAGGTCGTAGATGCAAATGGGAAGATTCGAAATGTCGAGATTTGAAATGCATAGAAGCGAATACGACTCTGAGTACAGATAGTGATTGCAATGCATTCTACCCAGGATGCCTTACAAATGGGAAGGGTTGTGTGGAGAAAAGAGGAGAGTGTTCTACTTACGGCGAATCTTGTGTCGATATGATAGGCAGTGATGGTTATTGTGAGAAAACAAGCAGTGGATGCACTCCAAAGCTATGTACAGCAGCCTCATAAGATTTGACAACAAATGAATAATGTGCAAAATTTCAATTGGGATGTGTGACAACAGGAAAAGGATGCTCAAAATATCCTTTGAGTAGTTGCAGTACTTACACCGGAGATGCTACTGTTTGTCAGTAGATGATAGGATCGGAAGGTAGATGTGATGGAGGTGTATCTAATTAATGTCAGGAGAGAAAATGTGACAATGCTAACAAAACCAATAATACAGATTAGTTGTGTTAGCAATATCTAAGTACTTGCATAACAAATGGGAGAGGGTGTGTGATTCAATTGAAGTTGTGTAATACTTATACAGGCACTGCTGACGAGTGCAATCATTATATTGGAAGTGATGGGAAGTGTACTATAGGGACGAGTGGATGCAAGGTTAGAGTTTGTAGTGAGGCTCCTGATACTTTGAAAACGGATGTAGATTGTAAAGATTACTAGTATGGATGTGTGACAACTGGTTTAGGGTGTGTCAGTAATAGGTAGTCTTGTACTACTTACAGTGGGACAGCAACAAGTTGTGCTAAGTTAATAGGAACTGAAGGAAATTGTTATGGGGTTGGGGATACAGCAACGGCTTGCAAAGCTTAGATTTGTTCGAATGCCCCAGCGACATTCACAAGTCATGATTAGTGTTCTGGATTTTAGAGTGGATGTTTGACAAATGGCAGTGGTTGTGTTGATAAGACAGTGTGCACATCAACAATAGCAGAGATAAGTTGTTTAGGTACAAAAACTTGTTAATGGAATTAAATTTGTGTTACTAAAACAAATTGTCAATTTTATAACACTCTAAGTTTGTGTAGTAATAATTTGGCTGATGGTGGTGTAAAATGTTAATGGGTCAATGGCATTTGCAGACAGAAACTTTGTAGTGATGCTCCTACGACATTCATTAAGAATGAGGATTGCAATAGCTTCCTCGAGAATTGTGTCACAAATTCATAAGGATGTATATCATCTACTGCTCCATGCAATCAATATACTGGGAATAAGGATACCTGTATCAATTTTAGAGGCAATGGAATCAAATGTACTAGTACTAGTGTTAGTAATGCTGCATGTGTTGATGTGACATGTGTGAGTAATACTACTGCAACTGCTCAAAGTCAATGTGATGATCATATGACTGGATGCAAATTCTAAGGCGTTGCTGGATGCATTGATAGTTCAGCTGAGTGTAACAAATATTCTGGAAATCAGGAGAGTTGTAGTACTTATAATGGAGTCAATGGCACAGTTAAGTGTTATCAAGATGTTGGAGTGACAGCCAGTTGTAGGAATCTGTAATGCAGTGACAATACTACAGCAACTGACGATGTCCAATGTAATCAATTTTTGGGCAATTGTCTAACTAAAGGAACAGGATGCATTAGTAAAACTGAACCATGCACATCTTACCCAGGAAGTAGTACTACTGATTGTCAAGCATTCAAGGGGAACAATAAGAGATGTTGGTGGAATGGTGGTTCTAATTGCGTTGATAAGTAGTGTTCATTAGATAGTATTTCCACGACTAACGAAGCTTGTAATTAGTTTCTGGCAGGTTGTGTTACCAAAGGTATCGGATGTATTGAAAATACTGAGTTATGTCCATCTTATTAAGGGAATGAAGATCAGTGTTAAATATTTTAAGGAAACTTACAACCCTGTGTTCGTAAGAATAACTGTCAGAACAGGAAATGTACCGATGTTTCCTCGCCAGCCAACAACAGTGCTTGCACTAGTTATTTATCAACATGCAGATTTAATGGCACTGCATGTATTGATGCTGAAACATCTTGCACATCTTATAATTTGAATTATACAATCTGTCAGTAGATTACAACAGTGTCAGGAGGATTATGCTATTTAGCTAGTGGCAGTGGTGCCTGTTAAACAAGAACTTGTGCCTAAAAGGGACCAGCCAATAATCAGATTGAATGTGATTAATTTCTGACTGGTTGTGTATTTACTGGAGCCTATTGTGTTGAGAAATAAGCAACATGTGATTTATATACTAATTTTACATCTGTGGCATGTAGGAGTGCTGTGACTACCAGTTCATAATAATGCTGGAACAAATCAACGACTACTGATAATTGTTAGGCGAGAACATGTTCAGCTATTACCGCATAATTGATTGCTCCTAATACATTCTCTGCAGAGTTTTGTTCAACTTATCTAAGCACATGTGTATATGATGGAACTCAATGTGTTGCTAAATAGAGTTCCTGCACTTCATTTACTAGTTTTAGAGTGGCTGCATGTAAAATAGCTACGACAATTTCAGCTGAGAAATGTTGGTTAGAAGATGTAAATTTAACCACTTGTGAAGTCAGGCAATGTAGTAATACAGTGAGTGCACCCAATCTAATTAATTGTGCAGCACACAAATAGTCATGTAGATATGATGGAACATCCTGTACAGATGCACAAACTGCTTGCAATTTATATACATCATTCACTTAAAATGCATGCAGAGAAACCACCTTAGCTGATGGAGTCACTTAATGTTGGAAAACAACTGCTGATCCTGGAACATGTGAAAGTAGAGTATGCACTAATGTGTTACTGACATATTCTGCTACAAAATGTGTTTAACATATCTCAACTTGTAGATACAATGGAACCTCATGTGTTAGTCAACAGAATGACTGTAGTTCATACACTGGATTCTCTTCTGAGGCTTGTAAATAAGTAACTACTACATCTGGTGGATTATGTTGGATTCCCTTCAATGTACCTCAATAATGCACTGCAAGATCATGCAGTAATACAGTTGATAATGCAAGTGCTTAAACTTGTGTTACACATCTCTCCAGTTGCAGATTCAATGGATTAATTTGTGTCGATAGTTTAGCTAGTTGCACTTCATACACCAGTTTCACTCAAAGTGCTTGCTAAAGTACCACTACAACTGCTGGAGTAAAATGCTGGAAATCTTCATCTTCTGTTGGTGCTTGTGAAAACAGAAACTGTGCCAATAGTGTCATCAATCCCAATTATACCACTTGTACCGATCATCTATCAACCTGTACCTATGATGGTGTTAGTTGTTATACTATGCAGGATAATTGTTCCTAATACACAAATGTTGCTGCCTCACAATGTCAAAATCTCAGGACAACCTCTGGAGGGCGATGTTGGTTAGCCTATGGTTAAGGAACTTGTGTGGTTAGACAGTGCACTCACAATACTACTGCAATGACAGATCAAGAATGTGAGGCCTTTTTAACAGGATGCAGAACTTCTGGTAAAGGTTGTGTTGATTCGACAGTCACTTGTGCATAATACATTGGAACCACGTCAAGTTGTCTCTCCTTTGTGGGAAATTCAATTAAATGTAAAGGTGCAGATTCAACTGGTGCTTGTACAGTCAAAAATTGTTATGACAACATGGATGGTGTTAATGACATTTAATGCAATACATATATGGCTGGATGTGTAACAAGAGGGAAAGGATGCATTGCAAAAACAGAACCTTGTACCAGTTACATTGGCAATTAATCGACTTGTTCTTAATTCACAGGCAATTCCAAAAAATGCTGGAATAGTAGTGCTGCCACTGCCACTCAACAATGCAGAGATCGATTGTGCGCAGATGATACTACTTCAAACACTGATGATTTATGCTTAGAATTTCAAGTCGGATGTGTGACCAAAGGCAGGGGATGCATTGATGCAACAGCAAAATGTACTCAGTATACAGGAACACAAGCAGAATGCAGTAAGTTCAAGGGGGAAAACGGAACGAGATAATGTTGGAACTCTAGTACAGCTACACCCTTGATTGCTTGTGTCAATAGGGTTTGCACTCACAATCTAAGTGCCACCACTGATTAAGAATGTGATGATTTTCTTAAGGGATGTGTTACTAAAGGGTAAGGTTGTGTATCTCCATAACCATGTTCATCTTTCTAAGGTACCATCAAATCCTGTGCAATGTTCTCGGCTACTGATAAACCATGTAAAGGTACAACTTCAACTACCATCTCCTCCTGTGTTGCTGTGTAATGTAATGAAGCTCCCAACAATTATGAAACTGATGAACTATGTAACACATTTAAGGAAGGATGTGTGACAAATGGGTTTGGTTGTGTTGCAAGTGTGTAATGTGAAGATGTCTAAACTGAAAAAGCTTGTAAAAGTAAAGCTTCATGTGGCTATGTTGGAAATTGCAGAGACTTGTAAACTGAATGCAGTGCTCTCAAATCCTAATCAGTTTGTGTTAACACTCCTGTCAGTACTGCAATCGGTATGTGTGCATGGGAGATTAACAAAACAACCAATGTTGGACTTTGTAGGAATTGGAAATGCGAAGATGCTTCAGAGAGTTTGACCACTCATGAAGATTGCTATTAACTCTACAAAACCTGTACAAGTAAAGGCAAAGGATGCATCACCATTGGTGCCTGTTCATCTTACACTACATCAGCCATTTGTTCTGCAGCCAAAACTACTGACAAAGGAGGTATTTGTGTTTGGAATAAGACTTACTGTCGACCATTAGATTGCTCTGATGCAAGTAAGTAACTCACCACTGACACCAAATGCTAAGAATTCTTAAGCAATTGTGTAACCAATGGCAAAGGATGCATTAATGTCCAGTACAAATGTGAGGAGGTGTTGATTCAAGACAAATGTACTATTGATTATAAGGGTAATACTTGTTTATGGTTCTAATCTCAATGTATTACATACTCTAAATGCACTGACATAAGTGGACTATCATATTCACAATGTAATAAATATTCCAAAAATTGTACAAGCAATGGAAACAATTGTATTGCTATTGCTCCATGTGCTAAATATACAAATCCAACTAGTTGCTAAATTGGTACCAATGGACAATGTGGATGGGTAGCTGCCACTTTAAATAGTGCAGCCCATTGCACATAATTCACAAAATGTAGTGATGCCGCTGGAACTACGAAAGACCTTTGTCAATAATTCTCAACCTTGTGTATCTCTGATGGTGTTGCTTGCATTGAAAAATCTACTTGTTAAGGCTATATTACAGAAATCAGTTGTGGTGCTGGTGGCACTGATGGAGTGTGCATTTGGTAAAGTGCAAAATGTAATCTGAGAAAATGCACTGATGCTACAGTAGCAACAGCCATCGAAATCACAAGTCATTCAAAATGTAATGCATTCTAGGCAGATACATAATGTACAACAAATGGCACCAATTGTGTCCAAATGGGTCTATGCAGTTCATACAAAGAATAAGGGTGTTACTATGGTACAGATGGAGAGTGCATATACACATTCCCATCAGGATAAGTGTAAGGTGTGAAATCCTGCAGAGTCAAGGTTTGCACAGATTTCAATGATGTGACATCAGAAATTTGTAAACTAAGGAATGTATCATGTATCTCAAATGGAACCAATTGCATTACTAAGGGCGAATGCACTACTTACAAAACCAAAATTGCTTGTAATTCAGGTGGAGTAGATGGAATTTGTGTATTCACGCCATCCAAAAATGATGCCAATAGTGGAACTTGTGCTTTAATGACTTCATGCGAATAAGCCAATTCTGATGCTGTAGCTTGCAAATCCAAATTCAATACTTGCCAATTCTTGACTTCAACTCAAAATACAACTACTTGCATCAGTCATACATGTGCAACTGTAGCTAATGGATAAATCTGTAAACCAGTATATAGTTTTGATGAAAAGTCAATCACTATTTGTATAGCAACTGCCTCTGGTTGTGTCGTTGGTGATTCGACCTCGTTGTCAGCTTCCACTTGTTTCGATTCTAGTCTCTATACATATACTTGGAATAGTGCCTCGAATATATGTGAAAAATGTAAATCTGTTGTTACCCCACCCAACAATACTAATAGCACAAACAATGTCACAACAGACAATTTTGCTTAGATCCTGCTCGTGCTTCCATTGATAATGTTCTAATTATGATATATTCTAAGAAACAAATAGATTATTTAATATATATATTATATATATATAGCCATGATGTAACAGGAACTAATGAACCTCTTACTAAATAATGATACCATATTTAGACCTTAGATTTAAATTAGACATGCATCATCTCACAAAGATTCAGAGTGCATTTCGCATCACATCCTTGATAGATAGACTAATAAAAATATTGGAAGTGAAATCAATGTTTGTTTAAGGGAGAAATATAGTATCATTTTTATGAGAGGTCATCACACCTATAGAGTAACGGAGGTTATATGTTTATCAAAATAAGATCAAACCATCTTCAACTTAAAGTTATTAGTTTAATAAGACCACAGAAAGTAACTATCTAATGAGATAGGGTGTTATATATAATATTCACATCTGTAAGCAAGAAATAACAAGACTATATTTGAAATTTATGATTCTTTAATTTAAAAATTTGGAATCAATTGAATCCTAATCTAATGAATAATTAAAGTATAATTATGAAATCAAGTATATGAAAAAGTTTAGTCAGATTAGCACTCTTTGATAATTTTGTAAATGCAATTGTGTATGATAATTATCACAAATATATATGTATTAGTATTCAAAACTGAAAGTTGATTATTTTGTACTCGAATAGAAAATAGCTATGTATTAAAAGCAATAAAGAATTATATATTAATTTATGGTAATTAAATATTATTATTAATATAAATTATTTCTAATATTTATATTTAATTAAATAGTAAATAAAAACTTGATTTTTATTAAAGAATGTTCTAATAAACTTATTAATCGTATGGCGAATAATAATAAAACAAAAAAATTCCAAATCAGAACAATTTTAGGGGTTGGGGTTGAAATCAATTCTCCCTCCCCTTTGGAATACAGAATATTGTTAAAAGATGGAGTACAGATGATGAAGATAAGTCAGATCCTAAGAAATTTTAAGAGAATAATTGATAGTATTCACAAATTCAAATCTTTACTCGTTTTGTTGTTTGGATTCCCTTCTATGACTGATTTTTTATCGAATTTTCATCATCCTCAATTATTATATTTTCTTAATTTAAGAAGGGATGTGCTAAACATTCTCTAGCACTAGGACGGTTACGAGCATCCTTCTAAAGCATCTTAATAAGTAGATCATATCCGAGTGGATTGTTTATTTTAACACTAGCCAAGTGATTTTCATCGTAGAGTCCACTTATATTTCTTTTGATGATGTCTTGCATGTTTTTTGAATTACCGAAAGGGTTTTTAAGAGTTAACCTAAAAATATATAAGTTAGAATATGTACATATTATATAGAATGATTCCAGCACTATAAATGTCTACTTTTTCGTCGTATATGCATTGTTGAGCAAATACTTCTGGAGCAGTGTATCCAGGAGTTCCACATCTACAAAAATATTAAATCTATTCATACCTTGGGTTGTAATACGGAATTTATTATTTCAAGCAGGAGAGACCGAAATCAGCAATTTTTAAAGTATTGCCATCTTAAGTATCTAAAAACAATATGTTTTGAAGCTTGATATCTCGATGGACGATGTTTAGATCATGAAGGTGTTTTAAACCTAGTTAATTATTAGGACAATTGAGTACCTTAAAGTAAGTTTACCATAACCAGAGGAATATCTATTTTATTAGTTTTCTTATTCAGTAATTTTAAGAGATCTCCTCCTTAGCAATTCTCCAAAATGATAGACACATATTCATTGTCGGTCACGATTTCTTCCAATTTAATTATATTTTAATGTTCATGCTCTTTCAATAGGGAGAGGATATCAGCTTCTTGCTTCAATTAACCCTTACAATTATATAACATCTCTTACAAGTCGGCTAATAGAGGCAGAATCTTGCATAGTTTTTGGGAAGGTGGCTATTTTTTCGATCATTACTTTGTCTTGTGTTTGAATCAGTTCTAATATAAGTATCTTTTTTTACAGATTCCTGGGGCTATTTAAGCCAATATTCGAGGATTTGAAGAACGATAGAACACTTGCTTTCCTCTCAATTGGTTTTAAAGTTCTTAACTATCCTTTTAACTCAACAGAAAAGACACTTTAATTTGTGTTTCAGGATTCTCCAGGTCCAGTGTACTCATCTCTTGATCTACGATTATACGATAAATGTACTTTCAGTGATTTCTTTACCAAAGTACAGTATTGTGTCCATCGAACCAGCTGGCAAATACACCATCTATTAGTCGTTTGGAACAGTCTTTTAAATTTTCAATATAATGCTTACTTTTATTAGCAAAGAGCCAGAATTTGAGATAATGGTAACTTGTTGACTTTCGCCATCAACACCAATGTATAAGGCTGAGCAAGAGTATTGTTTCATTCCTATTTTGAAGAGTAAAAAAAAAAGAAAACTTTAAAAAAATATATTCATTTAAGCATTCGAAAGGATTCCCTTAAACTGCGTAACTAAAGGTACCCCCATCATCAAATTAGCATAGTGTTGGATAGAAGAATCAATTTTGTTGTAAGAATTCATGTTTTTCACATTATAAATTGATATTTTGATTGTTAATTAAAAATAAAAGATTTGTTGCTTCCTGTATATATGATTAAATTAAAATCTTAGTTTCGTTATTACTTGATAAAAATTTTACATAGGCTTATTTGAATTCGCCAAAATTGTACACCAGATTAATAAAACAACCAAAAGTATTATGCAATTCTAATATTACCACTATTTTTCAGACACTTTATTTCAGATCATAAATTAATAAAATTATTTCAAATCCTCAGAATAACCTCTACATTTCATAAATAATGATTAGTAAACACAACTAACTAAATTCTCTTCAAATTTAACTATTTATTACAACTAAATTATTTCATAATTAAGGTTTAAAAATTTAAGTTACATTTCTTCATCTAATTTTCCTTAATTGTTGTAATGCTAGAATAGTGATTACCTTCAATAATACTTGCAACTTTTGGAAAACAATGGTTATAATACTCACATAAAGGTCAATAAGTTGCACTTTTAGATGCTAATTAATTTAAATTCAATTAATTAGTGATTAAAGATTTTTCAAAAGAATTAACTCATATTAATACTCATACAACTATAAATATTATTGGATTATCATATACATAGATTAAAGGATAATGAGAATAAAAGTTCTTTTAGAAAAAAACTACAACTTATTGATGATTAAAATTTTTATGTTTCTGCTGATTTATCATGATTTATTTACCTTCGATTAGAACTATAAATTATATTAATTCAAACTTATAATATTCTCATGAAATTTTAATAAATAAATAGTTAATATATATTAAAATTCAATATGTTCTACTACAATGATGATAAATATCTAATTTACTTGTTGTTTATAAGAAATAAAATTTGTGAAAAATTAGATCTAACGAAAAAATAAAAATGTTAAAAAATATTTGTAGATCAATGGCATCATGTTAATGTTTGGTTTAATTTTGTTAAATTTTAATCTTATCAATATTCTTAATAGTAGACTAAACAATCTTATAATTTGATTATTTACTTTTGGATAATAAGTTAATTTAATAATAGAACAATCTTAAAATTTAGCACATTTATAAAACTATAGCTAAGGAAGGAAACAACAAAGTATTATAATTGAAAAAAAAATTGTAAAATACCTTGAAGCAATTTAGAGATAAATTAGAATTTTATTAATATATGATGAAGATGAAAAAAAATTAATCTAAAATTATAAAATCATTTCTAATATTAAAAATATCAAAGACTAGTCTAATAATTATAATTCATTAACAGATACCCTCGAAATTAAGCAGTAAGAATGATTGAAAATGAGAGGTTCTTTCAATTCAAATGAATCAGTCTTCTTAATTTTCTGATTATAATGAATTTGTTGGATTTTTTGGTTCAAAAAAGTATAAAATTATATAGATATCATGTTATTTATGATTAATTAATAATATGAATTATTATATATATCATAGTGTTATTTTAGTGTATTTATATTTTTAATTGAATCATATGTTGGGAATTGTGCCAAAGTTATAGCAATATATTTGTGCTTGGAATTTTTGGCCTGCCTTCATGAAAAAATTCATGATGAGCAAAAAAGGTCCCTTCACGATCTTTTTCTGGACTCCATTAGCCAAATGGGGAATTTCTATTGCCAATATTGGAGACATGCGCAAACCAGTTGAATAAGTTAACACTCTGTAACAATGCGTTATTACCTTGACTGGATTACTATTTACAAGGTACAGACTATCATAACATATATATCATAGATGGTGCTTTATTATTAGACCAAGAGTTTATAATTTAGTTCTGTGTAATTTTTGCATGGCTTAAACAGGAATATATCAGCTTTACAGAAAACAGTAATTTAGTTAATTATTAGTAGTTCACAAGGGAAACTTTTTACAAAATGAAATAAATATAAATATATTACAATATATAATTTCAAGTAATCTTAATAATATACGAATTTTACAATCGACACAGGTTTTCCTAACAAAATTGTAGTTTTTCTGGTTAAGAGTGAGATCAAGAGATTTCCTGGCAGATTGAATGATCAGAATTATGCTAGATCATTCACATATTAAAATTTAAGGAAATGGTAGTTCGGATGTATAATTCAAATAGATAAGTTGAATGAGAGAATGGATTTTGAAGGTTAGAAAGTTTGAATTCTTGTATTTTGGACTGATAAAATTAAATTGCTGAACAATTATAAATTCTCATTAAAATTAAACCATTGATTTTTAAATTATGTTCAATTCTATTTTAGTAAACTAACAGAAGTTGTAGATTTTTGAATAAGTGATTTAACAGATTTAAAAACGATATAGCAAAAAGGTTTTGGGCATTATTATAATTAATGAGAACAGTTCTTTTAGTGGTTTTACTCCTGAGTGTTGCCTCTGCTGGTGCATCCAAGAATAGGTTTGATTACTCCAAGAAGAGATCCATTACATCAGTGATGGCTGAAGTGGAAGCTAAGATTCAAACAAAGGCTCCATTAGATGCCATCTTGAATGTTTTGAGAGATTTCAGGGATTCAGTAAATTTCGAATAAGTGAATCATGACGAAATATACTAAATTTAAGTGAGTGAATGTGAATCTGAAGATGAATTCAGAAGCAAGGAAGTCTAAGATGCCAAGAACATCCTTAGAGATTCCACAGCTTAGTTGAATGTTTGCTAAACATCAAAAATCAGAGCCACCAATTAATAAGAAGTCAACTAACAATAAACATTCACTGCAGAGAAACACTTGAATATGGTCATGACTGCTGCTGAATAAGAAGCAAGTTATTTCAAGAAGAGAGGAAGAGATTATGAAGACGCTCTCCATGCTATCGATGAAGCATCAGACATCTTGGCCGCCATCTATAGTGGATCAGGAAGCTTTGCTGAAATCAGCAGAGTCTCAAAGGTGATGCTCTAAACATCATTCAGCATCAAGGAAACTGCAAGATTTGCCCCAATCCTTTATGCCTTCGCTTAATTGGCATCCTCTAAGGATTTCGATGAGACTTCCCTTGAAAGAGTTGCTCAATTGTTGGAAACTTTGAAATAAAATATTCATGAAGCCTACAATGAATATGCTGATTCAAATGCTTAATCAATTGCTGCCTTCAACGACCAAAAGGAAAGAATCGGCCAAACTCTTGCCAGACTTAATGCTTAAGCTGAAAGATTACAAGACAAACTAGATCATTTGGCATAATGCATTGGAACCAATTCTGCTATTGCTTAGACTGCCTCAGGAAAACTCTAAAGAAATTAATAACTTTGGGATTAAGCAACTGCTTTATGTGCAACCTTCTAAAATGAATATAACTTTGCCACTCAAGCCAGAAGAAACGAACTTTAATTAGTCAGTTAATTAGAAGAGATGGTTGAGGATAGATTCAATCAAGTAGAAGATGAGAATCACGAAAGAAAAGCTAGAATAAGTTAAAATTGATATATAAATTTTATCAAATATAATCATTACAAATTTGTTAATATCACGTAATACAATAATTTTTATTACTATTATGAATTACCAGAAGAAACCCAAGCCAAAGTTGTAGTTAAATGTTGCAATTGCTGATGTTTAACCTGAAAGCACTCACTCTTCTGATGGTTGGAAGTAACAAACAGACATATTTTTCCATGAACCCATGTATTATTCAATTTATTAATAGTTAGTGATTAGTCTTTATAATTTTCACAAAATGGAAAGACAGTTGCTGATGTGGCTCAACTTAAGTGTGGTAGAAAGTATCAAGAAGATAGAGTACTTAATCTTCTTAATTTAAGTTTGTTGCCATTCCCAATCTTAATCAAAACAAAGAGGCATAATTCTTTTATGCAGTCTATGATGGTCATGCAGGTCATTCTGTGTCTACTATTCTCGAAAATAATCTGCATAAATATCTATAAGAGGAAAACGATTTCAGTGATAATTTGGAGAAGGCAATTATAAATAGCTTTGAGAAAATGAATCAATACATCCTTGATTGTCAAGAAGAAAACCAGTTGCAAGGGGGTTCTACTGCAATTTGTGTTATAAACAGACATAAAGATCTCTATATTGTAAATTTGGGGGATTCTGCTTGTGTTTTAATCAATGAGGAATGTGAGATTAAGAAATTGAATCTTGAGCATAAACTCAATAGAGAAGATGAACTCAAACGAGTAGAACAAATGGCAACTATTCTGGACAGACAGTATTCACATTTACTAATTTTAGTTCTATCCCAAGGATCAATGGAGAATTAGCAGTAACCAGGGCTTTTGGAGATAAAAAACATATACAAGCAGGTTTGATTGCCATACCTGAAATCAAAATACATCAAATAGATTAAAAAGATAAATACTTGATTTTGGCATCTGATGGTTTCTGGGATGTAAGATTATAAATTTAATTAGATTATTAAAAATGATGAGTTAAAACAATTGATTGAAAATTGGAATAGAAAGGAAATAGATTAATTAGCATAATATCTCTTGGACAAAGCAGCCTCCAAAAATACTAACTATAAAAAAGATAATATGACTTTAATTGTCGTAGATATCTAATCTTATTGGAAATGAATGTTAACTAAATTTTTATTTGCTATTATTAAGGAATATATAGAACCTTATATATATTTAATATCTTAACTTCAGATATAATATTATTATCATTTAATTTCCTGCTTTAGTTTGTCCTTGAATAATTTGACTATTTTTTCTAATTTTGGTTTAATCACTACCTTGCAATATCCTTCATTTTTATTATTATCATAATAGTCCTAATGATAATTCTCTGCTTTATAAAAGTCCTAAAATTGGACTATCTCTGTAACGATAGGATTTTTATACGATTTGCTTAGTTCCTTAATTAAATCGACTGCTATTAATCTTTATTGTTCATTATGATAAAAAATAATTGATCTGTATTAATGTCCCTAATCATTGCCTTGTCGATTTAAGGTAGTGGGATCATGAGAATTAAAAAACACAGTTAGAAGATCATAATATTTAAGTTTTGATTCATCATAGGTGATTTATACAACTTCTGCATGTCCACTATCTCCTCTACATACATCTTTATAATTAGCAGTATTTTTGTTTGCACCTCCAGCATATCCTGAGTAGACTTCATTTACTCCTTTAATTCTCTTGAATACTGCTTCTATGCACCAAAAACATCCTCCTCCCAAAGTAGCTTTATTAATGGTTGTCATTTTAAGAAAATTGATAATCCTAAAAAATATATATATAAAAACAAAATTAATAATTCATGCAAAATCATTAATAGCTATTATACTATTAATGAATGAAATAAATCTTTAACTATAAAATTAAGGATCAACGCATGAAATATTTTAACCCTTTCTTTTCAAATAAAACTTGTAAAAGGACTCTAATTTCTTTGATAGAGTGAACCGTTATGTATAATCTATTAGACCAAAGCAATAGCATCTATTACTATTACAGTATATGCGATTTTCGTCTTAAATCTTAGAGTTACATACAGCAATAAGCAAGGAATAGTCCATGATATTATTTTTAAGTAGGAATTCAATATCCTCCTTCAGAATTGTAAATAAAGCATCTCTATTTTATTAATTCAATTATATAAATATGTCTGTAGATTTTATGAAATTTTGATCCTTTAAAACTCCTTGCGAAGGTAAATATTACGCATAAGAACTAGTAAGATCAACAACTTGACTGCCTTTGACACTTTATTTCCTATTCACAAGGCTTCCTTTCAAATCATAAACCACTCTTTGATCGGGTATTTGTTAAAATATGTTTTCCATTAATAATAAATGAATCTAAGAGAAACCTTCTATGCTAATTGAAAACATTCCATAAAATTTAGCCAGGAATGTTTAATTATTAATTATATATTTATAATAGTCTTCCAAAACTACAAAATTTACTCAATAACATACACTCTTAAATTAGTTTAATTTCTGACTATTTAATGGTCTTCAACACAAATGCATTATCATAAGTATAGAAGAAGAATGATCCACTTTTCCCTAGAGATTCTTAAGTATTTTTGATTTGATCCTAATTATAATCTAGCCTTAATGACTTTTGAAACTATTCATAAGAAATGCCATTTTTCAATCTGATGTCTTAAAACACTGCTGGAGCATACTCTTAGATTTGAAAAGTCAACGTTAATTCAAATGAGTAATTTATTGAATTTAATAAAGGAGATTCTTAATTAATTTAAAATTAATCCATCTTATCAGGTGAAAATCTGAATTACTTCTTATATTTACACTGTTGATGTAAATCTGTAATTTTCTCTTCATAACTCACAACTTTCAGAATTGAACTTAAAATATTTGAAACAGTCTCCTAGTTGGTTTGAACTTAAACTAGCTTGTTAAGGGGGAGTTAACATTACTCCATTATGCTATCATCTACATTTTTACTATAATATTATCCTATATACTTTACTCCTTGTTTTCTTTCCACCTCCTTCTGCAGAAGATTGTTGCAAGTAAAAGTACACATCTACTCCTAAAGTAAGGTTCTCTAAGTCGAATCTATAACAAAATGGTTGCTGCCTTTATAAAATATAATGATACGATGCAATAACATTATGGCTATATAGATTCTATTCAATATTTTTTGGGCTGCACCATATTCACTTAATAAGGCAATTAATTAAGGCAAACTCCACAGTATAAACAGAGTGAAAAATAAATACTAAATTAGGTAAATGTATTAGTGTACTAAATGATTGTAAAACAATTTTTTCCTATTTTCTTTAACGTCAATATTAATTTTATTCATTCTATTAAGGTCCTTTTTACCCACATAAAATGATATCACTAATAATGTAGTTATTACCAACAACTAGACTTTAAGAACTTCAGAAACCTTACTAGTATTAATACCGTGACAATTTCCTTCGAGAGAATGTGTTACAAAAGAAAACATAGTTATTGTCACCAGGCATGCGCCTAGATTATATGAAAGCAATTTCATTTTAGTATTCCAGAAGGGTTTAGTTAAGGTTAGTATAAAATCTAATGTTAGAATTGCATAATAGTTAAGTTGTGCTAAGAATCCAAAGAATATGAGACTCTAATTTATTGAACATAGTGTTTCATCAGATATCTCACCTTAACCAAACAAATAATATTCTCTCATTTTATTGTAACCTATAAGTTTGTTCAAAAATTCAATCAACTCTTCAAAGTGAACGCTATCTAAAAACCATTAATAGCATGTTATCATCTCCAATATACCTAAAATATAAAAGATCCTACATAATATTAGAAGAATTTATGCAGGATGGTGTCTACATTTTGGTGAGTATAAGTAAATTATAGGTATCACTGATGCTGAGCATAAAGAGAAGAAGAGTATCACCACATATATATATTTCCAATGTTTCTCAACTGAATATTCCTTTGAATCCAAATTCATAGAATTCATAGAGAAATATTATTATTATTTGATAAATTAATATTAAATTTTATTCAATTTCCATGTCTATCATATAAATCTAATCTTAACAACAAATATCAATCCATAGTTCTCAATTATTTAATAAGATCTTCTTAAAATAAAAGATAATTAACTCTAATATGATCTAATAAACCTATTCCAATTACTAAATTAAAGTTTTTCTAATATTTGATAAAACTCAAATAGGAATAGTTTTGTTATTTTATAAGATATTTTTGATTAAAATTATCTACAATTAGACAATTTTTAGAGACAAATTACAGCTGAAAAAGAAGAGAATATTATTTTTTTTGAATTGCTTATTTCTTTTTAACTAAGAATATTAATTCATTATAAAAATGAATTTTTTTTAAATCTAAATTAGGCAGGATAAACCAATGGATTGTGATAAGGTTTTACTTTATTGTAAATTTATTCAAAATGTATTAACAATATCCAGTTACTTTCACTTCAAAAGCTTTTAATTTTTTAATCTTTCTAACATGATTATTTTTTATATCAATAAATAGAATAAATAGGAAGATTAGCTTCAGTAATATTTTGAAAATTAATAATTCAATATTGTTATACATTCTCCTAAAGTCAATAAACGTTTAGGATTTCACTTTATTTTTCTATAGTTTTATTTTTTAAGGTTTGGAAGTTGATACTTTATATTTTTTTGTAAATTTTTCTTTACGTTTATTAAAATTATTTATTATATATCCATAATATCTTAATTTCATCTGAACCTTTTTCTACTTGTTTTGGTCTATACTTTGATGTTGCCTATTTCTTTTCAAATTACAGAAATCAGATCTTGTATTATCTTTTAATCATAAGATCAAGTTCAGGCAATTAATTTAATATGTTCTAATGTTTTTCTTTAGTTTTAGCTTTAGTATTTGTAATCCTTCCTATTTTGTTTAAGAAATATTTAGATTTTTTAAAAAATAAAAGGAAAAATTACAAAAACCTAAACTTAAACTAAGGAAGTAACAATCAATTAAACAGGAATTATAAAAAAGACATAACAAAATCCGATAGTTTTTACGGTATTCCAATTATTATTTTTATTATTTAAAATCAATAATTTTAGAGCAGTCAGATTTATTTTGTGATTACATAATTTATAATAGATGGTTATTATTAAAGAAAATAACTTAATAAAAAAAATATAATATTCAAGGAAGAAAGAAGTTATAAAATGGCTTTGCTTTTTTCTAAATACTATTATTAAAACGTTTGAGGAACCAAATTCTCTATATATATTCATAATGATTTATAATGGAGAGTTTTTATTACTCTATCTTCCAAAATCATCGAATAAATAGTTTAACTCTTTTAGTTAACAAGCTAAGTATATAGCTAAAATTTCAAATACTATAATTGAAACTAAAAGAGTTATCTAGGATTTTGAAGACCTCATAAAGTGACTTTAGCTTATTATTTTAATAAATATGACTACTCTTTATAAAAGATATTTAACATGAAACTTTTCATGAAAATATTATTGATTTAATAAATTCATATTGTAAGTCAGTAAGTAAGATTAAATTTAAAATGTAAATTTAGATATATAAATGGATGAATTTATGAATACATTTTAGCTACTTATTGATTTTAATTTATATAAAGTATAATAATTAGACTGACTTTTTGTTGTTAAATTAGTTCGTTTACAAATTATAATCTTGAACTATGATGATGTAGCTAAGGAATATTTGAGTTTACTTTTTGTTTTTTAGAATGCAATTTGTAAGTAAATAAAATTATTTATTTTAATTAAGATAAAAAATTAAATAAAATTTATTGCTAAGAAAGTTCCTCTTTATTCAAGTTAATCACTTGGTTTTAATAATTTTAAAAAGTGTTTTAGGTTATTAGAAACACTAAAAATTAATATAAGATTACATAATAGTGATTATTAATATTTATTTAATAAATAAATTAACAGATTCATGCCACAAGAGGACATAGTGTAGAAATTATTGCAAAGAATATAAATTCTTGTAGACGAAGTGGAAACTTTGACTGCGTTAGTGGATAGCAATGCTTTAGAATAATAAGAGATGAATTAAAAATATTAGAATTTAATGGAGCTTTATCGATAAAAGGAACTAGAATGTTCAGAATTGTAAAACAAGCTAAATCAGCAATTCAGTATTTCATTAGGTTAATTTAGGACTGAATGTGAAGGATCATTTGCATCAGATTAGTGAAGAGAGATAACACATAACTTCTTTATTAGTGCAATAAAGAAATGATATACCAGAAACATAAAATTAAGCATTGTATCAATTATGCCAATAGAAAACTGCAGAAAATCAATTGTTAAGAAATAGACAAGATTAATTGGAATAAGAAAATGCATTTTTACATTCTGAAAATATAAGATTGAGAACATATATTCAGCATGAAAAGATGTTCAGATAATTGGAGTATTTTAATGGGAATTACAACCCATAAACAGTGGCACCTGGATAGAATGTGGAGATTCCTAATATAGTTTTGGATCCTATGTATGAGCAGAAGTACTTGTAAGAATATTTACAGTCAAGACAAGTAGTTTAGTGAGGAATATTTTTGTGATAATTTTATATAAATAATAATCCAATGTTCTTGCAAGCTATGAAATTCAAAGATAATAGGTATGATACACAATAATAAAGATTGGAGCCTATTCAATTAAAGTACAGTCCAAAGGAACCTCGATAACATACTCCAGAAGGTTTCTCTAAGATTGGTTTGTTCAACAGCACTTAATTCTAAAGGAAACAATCAATTGAAAAGCGTAAACGTAGCAGTTAAGCAGAAGGAAAAAGGCCTTAATCATCAGTGTAAAGAATACCAAGAACTGCTTTTTTGAAAAATACGTTTGCTACTTAATATGTTGTAATGATAATTATAAAAACAGGTAGTTCTTTTGTGAGAATGGAAATAACGGTGCTTTAGTTAGGAGGATCCTATAAGGACGAAGTTGGTTTGCAGAATAATAGACAAGTTTTAAGTAAGTTCTGGATAATAAATTGTAGTGTGAATTTTATATGGAAACAATCGAATAAGGGATTTAATTACTCCAATCTTACTTAGAAGAAAGTTTGCATAAATCATTTGGAACATCACCATGAAATATCAAACAAAAATAAATTGCATGACAATCTAAAAATGCATTGTTAAAGAATTAATAAGAATATGGATGATTTTGTACCAATAACATTCTCAATAAATTTGGATTCAATGACACTTTAATGGGATCTCAAGAAATTTGTGGATTTTTTCATTTAAATTAAGAAAGAAGGCAATTAGAAGAATATATGGCTATTGAAACCACCAGATCTTAATAGAGGAAGAGGGATCTAATTATTTTCTGATTTAAAGGTGTTTATCAATTAAGTAGAGGAATTCTGTAAAATTAGAAGTGCCAATTAAAAAACTAAAAGTTCGTCAAAAGGAGCACGAGGAGTTACAATTACATATCCAGACTAAAATGAAAGTAAACTATATTGTTCATTTAGAAGAGTCAGGTTAGGCTTAGATAAGTTTTACAATTGATTAATCTGGTTCTAATGATCGCATTATAGTTTTATAAAAGTATTTAGAAACTCCTCTTTTGTATAATGGTAGAAAATTCGATTTTCGAGTTTGGGTACTAATTGATCATACTTCAAAATACTATTTTTTTAAGGAAGGGTAGAACAAATCTATTATTATTATAGATATCTGCGTTTAGCTAGTGAACATTTTGATGTTAATAATTTAAAATCTCTGTATATTCATTTAACAAATAATGCTATATAAAAGAATCATCCTGGTTACGGAAAATACGAATTGGGAAATCAATTAAGCTTTTAAGATTTGCAGCATTATTTAAATTAATAGAGAAATACTAAAGTGACCTCAGCTGGAATTGTACTTAAAATGAAAGAATTGATTCACTAAACAATTCATTGTGCTTGTTCTAAATTGCGAGACAGTTGATATATGTACCTTAATTTTAGATCGCAAGGATTTCTAGTTTGAAATATTTGGGTACGATTTTATGGTTGATAAAAATGGCCATATTTGGTTAATTGAAATAAATACTAATCCTTGTATTGAAGAGAGTAGTCCACTTCTATAAAAATTAATTCCAAGAATGTTAAGTAAACGTTTGAATTAGATTTAGATGACGCATTTAGGCTAACAATTGATAAAATATTTCCTCCCTTCAAAACCACACAAGAGAACTTTCTTCCAAACTTACACGAGTATGCCATCCCTGGATATAGTGACAAGGACAACCTTTGGGATTACATGGGATAAATTTGATTTAAAAAACAATAAATAATATCAATACTATATAAAATGGGATTTTCATGTTCTAAACAAAAAAATGATCATGTTGAAATAAGAATTGAAACGAAAAAGCAGGGGTACATTCTTCAAAGTTAGAGTACCAGTAAAGAAGCAATTGACTTTATAGAAAGTACTTCTTTGGCTAATACAATGAGAACTAAACCCATCAAATCTTATTTAGCTGAACAAATTGAGAAATAATAAATTCAGTTGGATTCATGTGAAATCTTGGTTGACAGGATAGAGGCCAAATCAAAATTGATATTACGAAGCTATAATCATTTTACTGAAAAAGCTTTGAAGATAAAGTCTATAGTACTAGATTTTTATAGAAATGAATATGTAAATTATATAAATTCCAATCTTGATACAATTACTAATAAAGGATTTATATAAAAAGAAACGATTCAAGTAAGGTTATTGTGATTACAATTCATAGTTGCTTATAGAAACTACAATCATTTTGAATTGTCTTATGGACAAGAACTTTGATGATGAAGTTGAACTCTGGTGGGGAAACGATTACTTTAGCGATCGAATCTAACTTTTAGCTCTTTCTTGTACTGATTGTGAAGATAACGCAGACAATATCACGTTCCCCATAATCAAGTATATAAAGGCATTGAAAAATAAAATAATCTATGTGATGCCGGTGCAATCTAATCAACCTAAATCAATATCTAACAGTGTTGCTATAACTAATGTTCATCTAACTCAATTCTACAAAGATCTCAAAATGGAATTTGCCAAAAAGGTCGACGATGAAGATATCAGTCCTTGAATAAAGATTATTAATTTATTATAAGTCTTTATAATAATAATTGATATAATTAATTCATTGTGTTTGTTAGTGATTATGGTCTTCATGTTACTCAGAACCAAGAATCACTTCTATATTACAGACTGGACACTTTTTGTGATTCAAGAGCCACGCTTTTATACACTTTGAATGATAAATGTGATTGCATGGTAGTTGTCTATATACATTGCCAGTTTATATTTGATCATAACAGATGGTACAGCTATTCATATTTAGAATTAAAATATTTTACATTTCTTCCACATTGTCATTTGCTTCTTTCGTTCTTTTCGGAATCTCTTTTATTTGCAATTTGGTTAATCCTACATTTTGATTGCTAACAATAGTGAATATATAAATACCCAATTCTCTCTTGCAAGTTTAAAATTTATTCATATGTCATATTGTCAATATTAACATTCAACTAATTTTGAGCTTATTGATTTAAATATTGCATTTCTTAGACAATGGATTCATGCATTCCTAATTGCAGTAAAATTTATCTTAGTTCCTCTAATTATAAAAATGGAGTATTCTATTCTATTTTCATGATTTCACTTACATTAGGCATCAGTGTATCTACCATAAAAGTAATTCAAAGCATCTATTATTCTCCTTTTATACATTTTTTTCTTGTCTCTGCTGTTTCGAAATTTATTTGACACCTGTTGGAGTTTAGTTTATGTATCTTTAACTTTGATCCAATAATCAGAAACAGTCTAAAATTAATTTAAAAAGTACTGAATTGGCCTTTCTCAATCTTTACTCTAATAGCTCATTTTATTTCTTTAACTCTGCTATTTGATTTTAAAGTAATCTTATCTCAGAAGTCTGGTCGGCCAGTCGTTATTCCAATGCTAAAATTAACTATTTATGTACTATCTTAAGTTGAAGGCATTTAACTTAGATTATTCTTGAAATTAGGACTCAATTTAAATGTCTAGACTATTGTTTTTCATATAAATGTATACTTCTAAAAACTTGTCTATTATTTCCTTTCGCATTTTTGGGTTATTACTATTCTTTGGCAAACTAAGGAGTTTATACTTTATGACATGATGGTGGCCTGAAAATATTACTATTATTATTCATATATTATAAAAATTATTTAAAACCAATTTAATTATCACTACTTCTTTTCACCCTACAAAATACCCACAACCTCAACTAAGCTTTCCCGATTCTCAACTCCTTAAACTATTAATGTGTGAGTTACAGGTTTCCTACACAACAAACACATATTGCTCTTGGACAACATTTATTATGAACATTCCTAACAAAATCCTCCATGACCACAAGGTTAATTGATCATATTGCTCTCTTTTTCATAGCAAATTAAACAGAGCTATATCTATTTTGGTTGTCCTCTGCTAGACAATTCAGCACCAATACTTTCACTGACTTCCAATTTTAATCGAGGAGAGGACAATAAATGATCAAACCTTTTTGTAAGTTCTTCATCAAAATCCTAAGATGCTTGCTTTTTAATAACGTCGTTTTTCTTGATCTCTGAAAAACTGATGGACCTATATTTCTTATCTTAAGACAATACTGAACCAATCTATTGCTTTTTAGAATCAATTAACTCCTTTTTCTTATAATAAGTGGCAGATAATTTTATCATAAATTAAGGAATTTGAGTAATACTTAATCTATGTATTTGTTTTATTCTCTCCTTAAAACTTGTTTAATCATTATTTATTTCTTAACTCTAAGACAAAGTTTAATTTTCTGAAATATTTAGAAATGAACTAGGTTTAATGAATAACCTTACATTAAGTCTTCCTTATTCTTTATATAGAAGCATGTTTCGAGCATGTAATATATTATTGTTGATATTACTCCCCCAAAATTGATTTAAGAAATCTAATAATCGAGCAATAATCCTAAACCCAAAAATGTTAGTAAAGAAGTCGAGATAAAACCAATGAATACTATGTTAACCCACATACTACCATAAACTTATATAATTATACTCTTACTTATTTACTTTTTATTTTCTAATTAAGCATTGCAACACTTCATTACAAAATCAATAAATAGACATATTTCAATCAATATCAAAGTACCTATGCTGAACCATATGATAACTAAGGTCTGCATCCAACCCCAATTAATTTAATTACTCCATTTCAAACTTACAAAAACAATTTATAAAGAGCCTATACTCTTAATTGCTGAGACTAACTAACATCATATCATAAGTACTATTTCTTAGATTTGCTTAGATTAATCGTGCCCTTCACCATCAATGTTCTATCTACTTATTAGAACTGTTATTGCTAGTATGAGAAATTGCAGTATCAGAAGAGTGTAACTAATGAAGTTGATATTAATTGGAGAAACTTCTTTGTTATATACTATTCCCAGTAAATAAGTAATTAATAATGTGCTTTCCATTATGGCAAAACAACAATATGAATTGATCCTAATTTAATATTGTACCAGATGTACCCTTTACTAGAGAGTAATTTCGAAATCATAAAGGCAAATTGTGTTATACAAGCATACACTATAATTATTTTGTAGTCCCATCCGAAACAAACATTTGAATTAAATAAAAAGCAAAATCCCATAAATAGAGAAACTAATACATATATCTTATTCAAGCCAAATATGTTACAGATTATAAATCTTATTTTGCTTTGACTCTCTAAACATCTATATCTGCAGACTATTGCATTCAACAATTAAAATTTAATTAATAATTTTATATTATAAATTGTTATCATTATAGTGTAAGTAATATATTGTGTATTTTGATATCACATCAAATTCATATGACTTTCAGCATTGTAAATTCGTAATTAATTTCTTGAATTTTCAATTAAATTTATAAATGCTTAAATTTCATTATAAACATTTAAGTCTTCCTCAATATGTTCAACATAATCTCCATTCCTCAGTTCACTTTTCATTTTAACCGACTATCATTAAGATTTAATGAATTATCCAATTTAATTTAATCAAGATATCAAAAGCAGCATTTAATTTAAAAGCATTTTAGAAAGATCATTTCTAAAATTATTTGAAATTATTTTCACAATTTTAATTCAGGATCAATATCATCATGACATAGATAGATATTTATAAAATTTTGATATGCTTATGAATCAAATGAATATTATCTTTGATGATATTGAAAATGTTAATAATGATTTAATGTTGTTGTGTAATAATAGTTTTGATTTCTCTACTTTAAAAAAATTTAATTATCTACATAATACTTTTATATAATTATGATTGTAATATATCATTAATCCACTGTTTCGATCTCTTTCCAAACAATTTCTCTCTACAAATTTTTATCGGGAAACCCTAAGTTATACTTTTCACAAATTCCAATAAACTTCTATAGAGCTTCTTTACTATTATTTTAAATGTCTTCAGGATTTCTTTCTCTTTAAATAATTTTTAAAAGCTCAAGAGCTTCGTCTCTGAGGACCTAATCCATCTATACATCTTCATTTGTAAAAGGAACGTAAAACACTTTATTAAATGGTAACTTATCAATCTAAGTATAATTAAGATATCTTTACTTAGACTTTGTTAAAGAATGAGAAAAAGAATAATACTACGGATGCTACTTTTTCTTTATTACCAACCAGAGTTTCATGATTTTCTCTTTTAATTGCCCTTTGAACACATGATACGAGATAAGTAATTGAAAACAGATTATTTCCAAGAGGCTTACCGATTTTGGGAATCAATCCAATTGAAGTAAACTATTTAAAATAGTCTTTAACTATGTCTAAAGGGCCTTTCAAAGCATTTTCAGGATGATTTTTATCAAAAATTATTACGATGAATTGTTATTCACAAGCTAGTAGATTTCAAATGAATGAATACCTTATGCTTTTTAACACACAGCCCTAATTTCATTATCATATCTCGTTCTATATTTTTTTCTTGTTTCTTAATAAGCATCCTCTTTGGAAACATTTGGATTAGCAGCAATATGTTCATTCATCAATTGTAATGAGACTTAATCGCTTGATACAATAAACAATTTAGTTTTCCCTTCATGCTTTTCGTGATAATATTATTCAATGCTCTCAAATAAAACTGTTTTCCCGGAAGCTGGAATAGCCATAGGAAAGAAAACCAACACTTTCTTAAATTTCTAAATACAATACCTTTTATTCCATGAATAATAAAGGAATTAATTAATAAAGTAACCAAAAAATAAGTGTAAAATATAAGAGTGAATAGATTGAAATAATGAATAATATCAATAAAACTATCAATGGAGCCTTATTTAAAAGATAAATTTGCTGTACAAGGAACTTTTTTATCATCGAATTGCTTTCTAATTTTGACAGAGGGCACCATATACATTTATGATAGTGAAAAAGCCTATAGTAATGGAGAGATACCTGCAGAAATACTCAATCTCAAAATGTATAAAATTTAAATTGCCCAAAAAGAGGGTAAAGTTCTAACTTTAGTTAATATCAAGAATTAAGAGAAATAATATGTCTTTTATAGTAATAGGAGGGAATAAATAGATGTATTATCATATAATATTAATTTAGTGTTGGTACAATATGATGAAAAAATGGAAAGAATAATATGAACAGTTCTTGCAAAATGTTAATGAACAAAAAATTGATGTTGTTCCTTTTGAGATGATGGAATTAAAATATTCAATTGATTTAAAAAATGATTCACTTGATTCCGCATTAATTTAATAATGAATCTATTTCATCAAAATCTTTATCTAGATCATTTAATTCTTATTTAATATGTTAATTAAACTCTTATTATTGTAATTATTATTTTGAAATATTTTATTCATCCTTTTAGTATTAATCCAATTCTTATTATATTTTTTATTTCAAATTTGCTGTTACCTGTTCATTCTAATCACTCTATGGATCTTATTGTGCAGATTCTTAATCTTTTGAAATTTCATCTATTTCGGCTAGTTAAGCTTTCCATTAAGTAAGTTTGAGCAAGAGATCATCATCAAGTTTATTAAGATTAAGTTAATTAATTGGGTAGTTTTCTAGGTTTTCTAATCTTTGGGAGCTTTCTTATAATTTTTGGGTTACTTCTTATGTTTTTTATTCACTCGCCATATATTTTGGAATTTTAAGGTATTCCTTCATATATTCTTGTCTAATTTTCTGCAATTTCTTATTTAGATCTGCTTATTATTAGAGCAATTCTTCTTATCTTGTGTCCTCTTCTTCTTCTTCATCAATTTCATATCCACTTTTATAGATGATTTTCTTTGTTTGTTAGTTTTCCATTAGTTGTTTTTTCAAATCAAGATTCTCATTCTTTTTCCATTCTCTCAAGTCTTCAATTGCAGAATCGATTTCTTCCATTAATTGTTTGTTTTAAGCAGAACGTTAAGAGGATGCGCTCATAGTCCTCAAGGTTTTGATGCTGTTTGGATTGAACATAATTTTAAAAGTAATGTTAATAATCAAATAAAATAATAAAATTATGGATGTCTTGGAGCAGGACCTTTTTTCATTGTAACATATCTATCAATATAAGATTCAAGTTCTTTTTTGATTTTTTTATCATTTTCTTTTTCTTCAGGAACATACTCAAGAAGATTGGCGAATTTATTATCATCCTAAAATCGTTATTTAGTTAAGATCAACGCTTATTGGATCTTGAAAGTGTTCATCCTAGATAGGAAATGAATAGTAGGAATACTTTTCAAGAAAAAGGTCATATTATTCATTGGCTTTAATGGCTTCATGAAAATAATTATCTTCCTTGCTTCTGGGCAATTATCTGATGTGTTTAATGACCTAGACTGATTATGATAGAGTGTACTTTCTATTGCTTCTCAGCGACTATCTTTTTGGTGCCAATTCTATGACCAAAGATCATATCATTGTTTGGCTAGTTGGTTTAACATTAATGTAGTTTCATTTTTTTATTTATTAAATTTGTTTATGGACTAAGATTACATAATACTCATATTAATTGGATTAGTTTCCATAATACTACTTGGGATATTGTACTTTATAGTAAGAAAAAAACAATAATAAATCCCAAAGACACAACTCAATAATTCGACTCATATAGAAATAACTTAAATGGAACAAAAACCTTAAAAAAAGTTATTAAAGAATGATCAAAAAATAATTGAAAATAAACATACCCAATAGCTCATTTGACCCTTGATCAATTTTTTATAATATTATAAATATATATTTAACGAATACATGTCTTTTACTTATCTGCCATTTCATAATCTTGCTTACTGTCCAAAGTAAGTCATAGAATTTGTTCAAAATCCAAATCTCAATCTCCAAGATTTGAATCATATGATAGAATAATTGAGGATGCCCAAAAATCATCTAAAAGCAATTTAGAAAATGCAAATATTAGCATCACGGTAAGAATAATTCTTATAGGATGAAAATACAATGCAAAATTAGGAGGAGGAAATCCATTCTCCAAAACAACTCTTAAGTTAAATTCCATACTGAAAACTTATATATATATATTTTATAATAAATTTTAATCATAAAACTTTATATTATCTTGCTTCGTTCACCTCAATAGCCAAATCACAATTCAATTCATTATATATTAATGGATGTAAACAATTCCAAAAAAATGTTACGAAATCAACAATCTATTCATCACTCATTCCATTTCCTGTTTTTAGTCTCATCTCCTTTTCTGCCTCTAATCTCCATTTTAAACTTAACTCAAAAGGATTAGGTTTCAATTGAATTAATAAATCAAACTATTCCCATATAGGTTCATAGAGTTTCAATTAATCATTAATAAAATCTTCTAAATTCTCGTCATAATCTTTTCCATTTAATTGTAATTTTGGCATTTATTTTTATTTAAACTCCTATAAACATTTGCTCCTATAACCAACAAACCATCCCTCGAATAATAAAACCTAGCACTTTATTGTTTTTTATCCCACTCTATCTCCTTGCCCATTATGCAAACTTTTATCGAAAATTGGAACCTCAATACTGTTACCTTCTTTAAATGATTTAAGTGTATTAGTTATCATTTGATAATCATGAGTTCCTGGAGGTCCTCTATATTTGTATTTTGTTTTATCTAACTTCTCCCGATCCAAATAACTCAGATAAAAATCATCTATGCTAATACTGTCAAATTGGATATTTTATTATGAGAATAGGGTTTTCATTTGAACTCCAAGAGTTGTCTTACCAACGCCTTGCATTCCTTGTAATCCAATCAAAAGAGGACTTCCTTTATATTTTTCTTAAATTAGAACTTTTAGTTGTTCCATTAATTATTAAATATAATCATAAATTGTACTACTGCAAATTTATTTAGAAATTTGGATCAAATATAGAAGTTCCATTAAAGGATTGCTTTTACTCTTTATAATTTTTATCGATTCTCCTTCTATAAGATTTCGAGGTTGTTTATCGAGTTTTCTTCTCCTGGGATAAGAAATCCTAAGTCATGTAAATGCCTGATGTACTTTCACTAAACGAGGACGATCAAATTCTTTTTAGTCATTTGCTTCTACAGGTTTTAATTTTTTTATAACCCATCTTGGACCTGCTCTTTATGTAATTTACGATAAATGAACACCAAATTGTTTTTCTAATACTTTATTCGCCCAACCAGATCCATACGGATTTTTCCTTCTTTCTCTGTGTACTATAAACTAGATTATTACAGCTAATGCCTACTTTTGTTTGAATTCTCTTTCCTCTCACTTTTATTCGAGATTTCTAATTTATCCTAATAACTTGCTTGCTTCTAATTTTCATTTTCATTGTTTTCCAAAAACTATAAGATAGTCAAAGGTTCATTCAAAACTACAATGTATAATTAGGATTGGAAAAACAGATTGTCGCTTTACTGTTTCATAATTAATAAATACTTAATATTTGATAATTCATATTTCATTTCAGGATCAGGTGAAGAAATTTATTACTTAACTTAAGACCCAAGCACCCACTAAGACAACCCAAAATTCAAACTTAAACAACACATTCTAGGTTGATTATGGCTACTATTATTACTATTGCTATTCCAAAAATGCCATATCTTCTTTAGTGACTGTGCTTCCTTCGTTTGATTATAATTCTTTAAACTTAGCAATAACATTGTCTCTCTATTGTGTGACATGATTTAATGAGGTGTGTAGATCCTAAATTTCTTTTTGATATTTATTTGAAGTTTCTTATTAGAAAATGCATTAATCTTTTAAATTTTACAATTGACTTTCAGTTTCTGTAATCTTACTCATCAAATTTTAAAGTGCCTTATTTTATTCCAACTCTCTTTATTCTGCCTATTGTTTTTGTTAAAATTAGGATTTTGCGAATTCAAGTGCTAACTCTTCTTTTATTTTTTCCTTTTGCAAATCCAAAGCTTATTAATTGAACTATTGATTTTATTAGGGCTATTCTTATTTCGATTATTCTTAACGAAGTTATTGTTATTCTAGTCTTTTTTATTCTTATTTGAGCTATTCTTATCTGAGTTACTCTTATTTTAATTAGTCTTATCTTAATTATTCTTATCTAAGTTATTCTTATCTTAATTACTCCTATCGTAGTTATTCTTATCTCTGTTATTCTTATTTTAATAAATCTTATCTTAATTATTCTTATCTTATTTAATCTTATTTCAATTATTCTTATCTCTATTATTCTTAATTTAATAAATTTTATTTCAATTATTCTTATCTAAGATACTCCTCTTAGAATATTTATTACTCTTTTCTTTACTACTAAAGCAATTCCTATTATTATTTTTATTGTTTTTCTTCTTATTCTTTTTACTATTACTAAAAAATATATAGATATTATTTACTTATCTTTATTAGTACTCCAATTATTGTTTAGCTTCAGCTAATAATTTCTACTTCAACTCCTCCTCTCTTTATTAAGCCTCTTCTCTCTCCTTTAATTATTTTTTTCTTTATTCTTCTTATTATCTTAAAAATTCTTATTGCTATTGTAGTTATTTTTATCTTTAATCTTCTTATTACCTTTTAGCAATTTCCTATAGTTTTTCTTATTCAAGTCTCTTTCTCTAAATTTCATCATCATCATTTTAGGAAAATATCTGTGTAAATTTCTAGACGTCTTAAGATGTCAATTCTGTACCAGTTAAATAAAATAATTAGGCGTAGTTGCTTGATATTAATTCAACCTATCAAATCGATATGTTTTTATACACTATCGCTATCCACTTCATCCTCAAACACGAGGTACCAAACATTATTTATTTACTTAATTTTAGTCACTTTTCCAATCGTTTTTATCCTCTGTAATACATCCTGTTCGCTAGTATTCTCTGGTAAACCCCAAATTTTAAGATAATTAGATTTTTGATCCATAAAATAATTTAATTATATATAGAGATACTTTTAAATCAATTTAATCTAATTTGGATTAAGCCTTAAGTGATTCCACCATTTCCATTATTATGTTGTCTTAGAAATTAAACATTCTATCCATAAATAAAGGGAATCATCAATCTATTTTAAATAGGTAGTAAATATCCTAAACTTTTGAAAAACACACAATTGAAGAATATAGAATAAACTTTGGAATAGAATTTATGATTTTAGAATTTATGCTTATTAAACTGAATAATGCTAACTAGAGTTATGTTTAGTATAAAACTGGATAAAAATATTTAGGTGTTTGCTTGGAGTAGTATTAAATTGATTATAGCTTAAGTATTCTAAATAATTAATACAATAGATGCACCATCCATTTAAATTTAAAAAATCAGGGACTAAACTTAAGAATCATCTTTAATATAGCTCTCAAATTACTTTTTAATGATCCTCGACCCTATTTAAAACAAATATATTAGTAATTTCCTTGAATATTTATGGAGGTAGATAGAATATTGTTGAAAAGTTGGGTTATGAGATTGTTAACAGATTACAAGGAAAATATTTGAATCTTTATTTCACAATCTTGTAAAAATGAAATCATCAATAGTAAATGCCAAAATTAAGGATTTATATCTATATCATTAAAGAAAAATGCAATTGGAAAGAATATATTGAAGAACCGATTATATCTATATTAGTTGTTGCCTTAGTTATTAATATATTATTGTAAATTCATAGATTAGATTAGGTGCAAAAGAGAATAAAATTTATATAAAATTCAGGTTGTTATTTATGATATAGAAGAAAATGAAAGAACTAACCAAAAATAGAATAATAGAAATAATATCATATAAAATAAGAATTAATAATCTGAATTATTGAGAATTCATAGAAAATAAATGAATTAATTTCTGTTAAATTAAATTTGAAATTTAAAATAAAGTATTGAATTTAAATACAGATAGACAAGAATCAAAGAAATTGTTAATGCATACAATTAAAGAATAGAACATAAGCAAGCAGATGACTGATCATATTGGAAATATATGATGAACTTAATAAATTATTGATGAGAAATAAAAAATTATCAAAGAACTAACAACAATATATAGGAACAAAATATTATATATAATAGATAAGTGTCAGATTTTGAAATATATCAAATTGATCATGAATGTGTATTCTTAACTAAGACTTTTGATATAATAAGAAATAAGTTAAATATTAAATTTAAATACATAAATGAGACCATCTATAGGAAAAAAAGTAAAATAAGACGATTCTGATAATAAATTTAGAGAGAAGGTATATCGTTCTATGTATCCATCTCCATGCTCGTCATAGTATATATATAATGTTGAATGGTTAGTGATCCGAACAAATGGCTGTAAAATAATGATATCTCGTGGTTGTCTCACTCGTTGGAATAGGACATTGATAAAATTCTCTAAATTGCTGCTCCTTAACCACTAAAACCACAAAATAATAGGAGAGCTAGTGCAAACGATATCAGGGAAGAATTTGATGACAAAATAGGAAAATAAAAGAGAAACACTTGGTATGTTGACAAGCAGCATGATGAATAACCTAAAAATAGTAAACTCAAGATAAATATGAGTTCTATAATTTGTGAATTCCCAATTTAAAAAGTTTCGCGGTAATCTATTTCTGATCAGCCTAAAACACCAAATTGTTAAAAGTCCTTTATGGAGGCCATTATTTCAAGATATTAGCAATAAAACGAATAATAGGAAGATTAGTTTGAAAAAGAAAAAAAATTTTTATTTTAAAGTGATAAAGAATTCTAAAGTGATAAGAAGTTGTTCTAAAGTGACAAAAAATAACAAATCCTTGAACCTGAAATTCATGTTAATGAAATAGATGACAACATTTTGAATGAAGAATAATAAAACACATCTCTCAATGAGGAGAATCCTAACAAATAAAAGAAATAAAAACCTACCAAAGGCAGGAAGGTCGGAAGAAAAAAGAAATCAATTATGCCAGCACCCAAAAGAAAGACTAGATAGACTAAAAAACAAGAAAGAATATAACAACTACCTGAACCTGCATAAACCGAATTATATCAAGAAAAAACTAAATACATCAGACCAGCAACTACTATTGATCATCCTATATTTAATACAAATTAATGCTGGGCTAGAATGTAATTTAGAAAGGAAGCCAAAAAGTACGAGAAATATTAAACGCAAGAATTCTAAGATTTATTACATTCTTTACCTGGATGTTATATTCATAAATGTGAAGGAGATTTGAGAATTGATAAGATCAGACCAATGTAAAACGCAAAAGGAAAATTCTTTTAATCTTTTGAAATGTGGATAAATCCATTAGTACTTATCGGTCCAATTAAAATGAATAACTCAGTTAAATTAGTAAATATACTTATTAATCTTAGCATGTAAGATTTAAAAAAGGCTATTCTGGACAAGTTTACTGTGACAGTGCATTGTAGGAAACTCTGCCTCTAAATTAAGTTGATGGAAAAACATTCCACAAATAAAAATTAATGCTAGCCAATAATTCTGACCATGTGATTAAATTGGTCTGTTGCTTAGTTAATATATCAATTAGGGGTCCATCAAAAAGATGTAAATGAATAATTAGTATTATAATTCTTCAGTTTTTTTTTTAAATTATCAATTATATAATACTACTTTAAAATTGCTATATGCCATTAAAGTTATTTTATTTATCAACCAAATTTTATTCATTGTTTGAGTATATTCAATCAAAAATCATTTATCACTGAAATATTGTTTAAATTTTAAATCTAAAATATTCATTGAACTCAAAAGTAGTTCTATTATTTATTTTGTGAAAATTTCGAAGTACATGAGTCTAAGATTAGATATGTTAAGGTGGGTCAATGAAAAGTGTCCATCTATGAGAGCAATTAATATTGAAAGCCTTTCCGATGGAAGACATTTCTTATGCCTATTAAGGAAATACTTCCCAGAAATATAGGTTCCTTAATTTAAGAAAAACTCTTCAATAGTTTAAAGAATGGAATCTTTGAATCTTGTAATGGTTTATTGTCAAAAATTGGACGCATCTTTCAAATTAGATATGCTTAAAATAGCAAACAAAGAATCAATTACAATTTTAAATATGCTAAAATTTCTTAAATCAATTCTAGATAAAACACCTATTAAATTTTCTTTTATTTAAGAAGAATTTTAAACTACTTTGAAAGTAAAGGAAAAAGACAATCGTTAGATTTGTGAGGAAATTGTAATCCCTAAAGTCCAATAAGCTTAAGATGATGAAACTCAAACCCCAGAAATTTAAGAAGATTTGATTCCATTACAAAAGTTTTAAACTCAACTTAAAAGGCTAATGTCATTTAAATTATAACATCCATATTTAGAACTGGAACTACTTAGATTGTTAGAAAATGATCAAGAGGTCGCTGATATGATATAACATTATTAACTAGCAGTCTAAAAAAGAAGTAAGAATTCAAAATATACTGATTATCATTCAATTAATAGCAGCTAGTTTTATTATAGAGGTGAACCCAATTTGCTTGATGTAGATTATTCATTCGATTAATAATATGCAAGTAAAAGAAGCATGGAATTTGATAATTTATTTTAAGTGAGTGATGAAAAGTTTAACGTTTGATTAATCAATAAATATCAGGTTTAAATTTTAATGATTCTCAAAACTTAGAGCAGCTAAAGTATCGAAATTAAATTTATATTATTTTAATAGGCATATTACACAATTAATGATTCATTTCTTTTTGATTTTCTATTATTTTTCTCTTTTATTAACACTCTTTGACTATGCTTTATTTTATTGGATACTCAAAGAAGCCTAGTGTCTAGTCTTTATGATTTCTCTTTGCTTAGGTTTCTGATCTTACTAAGAACTGTTCTAAAGGTCTTCTTTCTTTTATAGATTTTTAGTTTTCTTTGAAATCAAATTTTTGGTCTTTTTCTGCTTTTTCTTATGTTCTTTAGTTGATGAAATTTCAATCGATTGATTTATTTTTGGGTTAATTTTATCTGTGCTTTATGAAAATTTGGGAGGATTTTTTTTTTTATTAGTTTATAAAAAATGATTACTAATTTATTTGACTTCGGTTGCTAATTCCTCTTGATAAAAATTGGGTTTATTTTTTTCTTCTCTAGTTTCAGAAATAATTGAATTCTATTTAATATTTCTACTTTGTGATCTAGTATGTGTTTATTTTTTAGTTTTTTTTTATTAAAAACTTTCGTTAAATACTTTATCTTTATTTGGTTTTACTTTTTTTTGAAGTAGTTTAAATAGAACATTTTCTTTTTCTTCCTCATTGATTTCAAGAGAAACATTGGCTGGTTTTTCTTCTTAGTTTTCTTAGATTTCTTCGTTTTAATGTAAAATCTATTATTATTGGAATTAGAGTTGAACAAATTAATCTTATGAATTGTCATATTAATCTATTTATTAATGAGTATTCCCAATGTTTTAGATTTCTAATTAAAATATGCTCATTTCATCTTGTTAATTAAATTCTACCTAATTATTCGGATGGTCATCAGAGGTGAACATAGGTTAAATATCAGGGTATCCTGAATAGTTGTTTACCATACAATTATAATCAGGGTCAATTGGATTCTGAAATGATTACAAGAATTGGGATTTCTATGATATTTCTTAGCTTTCAATGCACACTTTTTTTGAAATCATTTCCATATCGGATTCTAGGGCAACTGATAAATCATTTGGATTGATTTCAATATATTATTGTTCTTTTTATCTCTTAATGAAAGCCTCATAAACTTTCGGTTTGAATCTCTACATAAAATATTATCTTAAGTTTCGCTTCTCATTTCGATATTCCTCCTTACGAATAAGCCCTGCCAAATTTGCCTATCTTAATCTTTCCAAAGATTTGCTATATAAATATTCAAGACAAACATCCTTATGAAAAAGCATTCCTAACATGCCTAGTTTTTTTTAACACCATAAACACTTTACCATATTTTTTTATTAAAATTCTCAAATGATACATATATTATAAAATGAAATAGGTCTTGAATTATTTTGTCAAAATGAAATTGTTGAACTACATGTGCTAGAATTTGGATGGCAATAAGCAGAAAGAAATAAACTCACTGAGTTTACAGTGAAGAATGATTAATAAGATAACCAAAAAGAAAGGGGGAAAGTTGTTTAAAAATGATCGTAATTTTTTATTTAGAAATATATTAATTTATAATTAATTTTAATAGAAATAATTAATTGATATAAAGTCTATGAGGTTAAAGAGGGAAGATGATAGTTGTATAGATGTTATGAATTTCATTCATTAATTTAATAATATTAGCATAGCAGTCATGTTGTCACAACCATATCCAGTAGAAGTGTCGGCAGCCAAGGAAGTATCAAGTAATTGTTCCAAAATAATGGACGGTTCTTGTTTCTCAGCCACACGCTCGGAGATGAACTCCATCACCTTATAACTGTTTTAGGTTTCGAATACACCATCGCATCCCAAAAAGAGAAAACTATTGCAACATAGATCAAAACAAGTTACCGATCATCTTTGTTTAATTTAATTTTCCTGATTTCAGGTTCTGCTATAACCATTTACTAATTAGCAGGTAATGGCTCCTGCTTGAATTCAAAATCACCAAAAGCTCTGGAAACTGATAAGGTACCATTTAGACGACCTTATTCATCCACAAAACCTCCAGCATATCTAATTCGCGCCAATTCATTGCTTGGAAGGTGATCTTTAGTGAGTTCAATGGTTTCGTCATCTCTCATCAATAGACATCGAGAGTCTCCTAAATTGGCCACATAGAGCATTTTATCTGCTATTAAGGCGACAACTGCAGTAGAACCTATAAAAGTATCTATATGTTTTATTATAAAATATATACTTTTGATTTCATTATTTTTAATCATATCGTCTAGCTATAAAAATGTATCATGAAGTGATTGCATAAAATCCATTTTTTCAAATGCAGGTTAAGAAATAAGCACATTCATGAAATTTTCAGCCAGAAATTAAGAAATCCCAGAACCACCATGACCATCAAATACAGCAAATAGTGAAATATTTTCGATAAAATTTGGTTTCATCAGATGGGCATCCTCCATTTGCAATCTCCATCCTATTGTTTTTAATTAATGATTTACCTTGCATGGCAGTAGTATAACACGACAAATAACCATTAAATTGATATTCATGGGATTTCTGGGTGTTTGGTTGGGATAAAAAAGATCCCATATATATTATTTATAAATAATAATAAAGTGCTGGCTTATTGAATTTTGCATTTAACTTGTATAATATCAAGTAATAATTAATTTGATATCATCTGTTTATGACAATTTATAATATCAAATATTATATATTAATAATTGTCGTATTATTACACAATTTTATAAAATTCTCATATTCCTACTTCCATTCTTCTTCATGAATTTTTCATTTGAGTTATGTTCAAAACATTATTTTCAATAATTATTCGTTTTTACTTAGTGAAATCAATAAATTTTAAACCAAATAATTATATATATAAACAATCAATCAGTTATCTTTGTAACAACTCTGAGAGTTGAAAAGGTTTACAGAATCTCAAGATTTAGGTTTCAACAACAATTGAGTATTTGTTAAATATATAATTAATTATAATATTAATAAATCAACATTTAACAATTACTTATTTTGATAAATAAGGTTATAATTTTAATAGTAAATTCGGTCTTCTTTTCATCAAGCTTCTATCTGACCAAGATTGGTGATTTGTATTCTTTTCACGAACTGTTTATGTCTTTTTCTCGATCAATTAATTTAATGGTTTTAACAAAAGGGATTAATATTCAGAATTCTAAGTTACTGCCTTATTCGAAATATAAGATGTGATTATACTATGTGATTTCTTTTTAAACTAACCAGATAAAAAGCATTTCTTTTTCTGTTAAGCTATTTTGAATGACTATTTTAAATCAGTAAAGTTCACTCGTCTTTGATAAACTAGAATTTAATCTAAAGCAGGGGAAAATTCAACTTGACTTTCAGTTTTGACTAATTTATCAGATATTTATTTTTAGTAATTTATTAATTTTTCTTTTGAAACTAATACGCTCTTTTTTGGCATCTAAAAACAAGTATGTCTTCGCATTGCACTCTTTCTTAATACTACAAGCATGTTTATCTTTCTTTTCAATGATTCCTCTAAATTTAATATAGGACCTTGATGCTAATCTTCAGCAAACGTTTTTGCCCTAGTATGTCTCATCCGAATGAATTGAGATAAGGGGAGCGTTTTACTTCTAAGTTTTCTAAATTTATTTTTTTGTAGTCGACTAATGAATTCTTTAATTACAGAAAATATTACTATACTGCATCCTCAATCGATTTAGTTTTTTCTTTTTTTCTTTTTCTGCAGTTACATAATGATATTTAATAATATTTTTCGGAGCCTTATTATTCAGACGCTTATATTTCTCGCCTTGTATTTGAAGATAACTCCATCTTCTTTTAATTTTTATTTATAGAGCGCTGCTTCTTCTTTAAGAGCTGGTAATTGATTTTTCACTCTTCCCCTATTCATCAGATGGATTAGGTTTAGAAGGAAGTTTTCTTAAGCCATTCTTTTCTATTCGTGGCTTCAAAAGCATAGGACTCTTGGTTTAATTATTTTTAGGGTTCGATAATAATAGTGCATGTTGTTCAGTCTTAAAACTTGTTGATCTAAATAATCTTTTAGGTTTCGTTTTTTTTTCATTCATATCCTGTGGTGATTTGAGTAATATTTTCTACTTTTTTACAAGCCACTCCAATTGATTTGACGTTATTAAATTACCAAAGACTAGGTTTTAATGGATCATTTAATTTTATATTGATGTTAAATCAATTATATAACAGAAATCAATCAATATTTAAGTATGAGAATGCAACACCACTTTATAATAAAATTATATAAATTTATCTCATTCTTCTTTATCGCTAGATTGTGGTGATGATTCTGAATGGCTAACCGATGAGGTACTCTAAGGGCGATGTTTTTCTTAAGTTATTATTAAAGAAACTTACAAGAGACGCTAAATTTATTTTATTGTAAAATTAAAGGGGATGTGTTCATTTATTGGATTTATTCTGGAGTAACAAACAATTGAATATTAGATTTGGCTTAGGCTATGTTTTGAAAATTGGGAGTTTGAGGCTGGGTGTTATGATCAGAATTATTGAATTGATTGGGCTTGCTATTTTCTGAATCTTGTGGTTATGAAAATTAACTATCAGTATCCTGTTACTCTAGAGGAGGTTAAATTTTGACGATTTTTCTCAATTAATCATTGAATTCAATTCTTCTTTGGATTTGTTAAGGGATTTGATTTTATTGAAATGCTTTTTTAATGTCAGGAGTTGAGGGTAGGAATTTCTTGGTAGGTTAATTCTATTATGGATTCTTATTCTACTTATTTTGGAAGATTTTATTCGTGAGAACTTGAGATCCAATGTATCCTATTCCCATACCTAGAAGAGTGTAAAATATTGGGTCCATAATATTATAAAAATTAAATTATTGGTTGAACAAAGAAAATAACTGAATAATCCAATTATTGTATACGTGTTATATTGTAAAATCACTTTTTGCCTTTGTTGGCTTTAGCAGCACCCTTTTAAGCTTTTTGTTGAGCTTTGACTTCTGCCTTTTATGCTACTTTTTAAGCTGCAGCAGGTTTCTTCTTTGAAGCTTCAATTTACTTTTGCTTTCTGTCCTTAATTTCTCTGGCTGCCTATTCAGCTTATGCCTTTCTTGTTTCTAGTAGTCATTAGAGAAATGTATTACTATCATCTTCCTTTCTTCTTCTTCTGATTTCTTCTAATGAAATACCAACAATGGCTCTTTGCACTTTAAGATTTCTGATTCTTCTCTTCTTGGCTCCTTCGTCTGTCTTAATTTTCTTGTTCAATCTTCTCCAAGCCACAGTCCATTGAATTTCTTGTGATTTAATCTAAACATTGATGATTGAAATACTTTTCTTGCACTAAAAGCTCTACTCTTTTAATTCAAGTAGTAGAAGAGTCTGCCATCCTTGGCAACGAATCTTCTTCCATGTCCGGGGTAGATTCTCCATTCGCTAAAGGAGCACAAATCTGTCTTGATAACCATTATTTAAAAAATATTTAAATCTTAATTTTCATTCCATTACCGAGTGTTCCAATGTTTTATCTTCAGGATCTTCATTCTCTCCAGTCCATTTCTTAGTTTTTAATTTCCCTTGCAATTCATTAGCCACATCCTATGTCTCCCCCTAAGGTTCATTCAGCTTTTCCAACTGTCCCAATTTCTCTTCAATTTCTTCTAATTTAGCAAGTTCGATCATCTATTTAACCTGTTTGTCTTCATCCACCTCCTCCATCTCTTCCTTATGTTCTATCTGTTCTGTTAACTTGTCAATGATTTCATTCTGCTTGAGTAGAGCATTCAAATCCTCAACCAAATCATATTCTTCAATTTCATTATCCTATAACCCAACATAAGTTAATCCAATGTCCTCCTTCTCAAGCACATTTATAAAGTCATATATGGCCTTATCGGTTAAATGATTATTCCACAATTACAATTTCTTTAGATATTTCAGACTGGGCCATAAAACTGATGCAGCACTATCTGAGAATCCTGTGTTCCCCAAATTTAAATCTTCAAGGGTTTTGTTTTTCTTCAAACAAAGTGCCAATTATTTGATTGTAGTCAATTCCATTCCAATATCATTTAGATAGAGAATTTTAATGGTTTTGTTTTTCTTCATCGCCTAAAAGAATGGGACCAGAGATTTTGAAGTCAATGGATTGTTGCCAAAATGAATCACTGTAAGATTTGGTAGACAATTGGTTGCCAACAATGTGGAAAAGCACACCAATCCTATTAAAATAGTCAGCTCATTACCATAATCGGATATATTGTTGCCAGGCACTTGCAATAACTGTAGATTCTTTAATTCTGGCAATGCAAAGCAAAGTTAAATGAACGTTGAATCATCAATTGAACAAGCACTCATACTCAAGATTTTCAATTATTTGAAGCAACTTGAAATCTCTATCAAACCTTAAACACCAACCTAATGACATAGGTCACAATTTTGCTACTTCAGTAATTTCATTATTCCCAATATAGATTTCCTTTAATTTGTCATGCCATTGCAATCCGGTCAACATGTCAATTAATCCTCTATCAGTTATTTAATTGGCTCCAATGTGGAACACTGTTAGTTCTGTCTGACATTCATGAAGAAAGAGAGCAATCTAATTAAATTTGAATATATATATCATTACAGTCAAAGCATCCAGATCATCTAATTTCTTTGCACTAACATCTAAAAACTTTCCACAGCTCTTCAATTCTTCCAATAACCATTGTTTACGTTTTTCGACCTTCTCCTCGAATTCCTTCTTAAACTATTCCTCATCTATTTCCTTGGTGTCTTAATCCATTTATAAATATATTATTATTTTGTAACTTAAACCTCCAAATATATGATCAAGACAATATGAACCTCTTATATCTGAGATTCTTTCGTATCACATGATAATTCAATTATTGTTATGGAAATCACAAATACAAAATATAATGCCATCTTTTCTTTTAAATAAACATAAATATTTTTAAAAATGCAAGGTCACGATGATATTACCAAAGTTTATACTTTCGAGAAGACTTTAGGAGAGTAAGCCATGGGTTTTAATAAATTAGAGGTGCCTTTGGAGTTGTGAAGAGAGCAAAAAAGAAGTCTAATGGAGATATGTATGCTGTCAAAATCATCAATAAGTACTTCCTTTAGTGATTATTAATTAGGGACAATTTATCAAATGAAGATTAACAAGCCTTACAAACTGAAGTCGAGATTCTAACCTAAGTATATCATTTCGTTTATCTCTAGATTGACCACCCAAATGTAGTGAAACTCTATGAAATTTACGAGGATGACACCAATTTTTATATGGTATTGGAGTTGATGACTGGAGGCGAAGTAATATTTCAACTAAAACTCTCAGCTTTTCGAAAGAATAGTGGAAAAAGATCATTTTAGTGAAAAAGAAGCTGCTGCTACATTGAGACCCATAATTGATGCTCTTAACTATTGTCACAAAATGGGTATAGTGCACAGAGATCTAAAACCTGAAAATCTTCTATTTTCAAGCAGAGACCCAGGAGCATTGCTAAAAGTAAGCGATTTTGGACTTGCTCGTTTTGTTACAAATGATGAAGTTATGATGACTTAGTGTGGTACTCCTGGATATGTCGCTCCGGAAATCCTTTCAGGTCATGGATATTCAGAAGCAATTGACTTTTGGTCAGTTGGTGTAATACTCTATATCATGTATATGAATATGTAATTCAATAGGTTATGCGGATTCCCACCTTTTTATGATGAGGATAATGACAAGCTATTTAAAATCATTAAAACAGGATAGTTCTCATTCCCATCTCCATATTGGGACACTATTAGCAATGATGGTAAGCATTATTATGGTATATTCGTGTAGCTAAGGATCTAATCAAAGGTCTGTTAACAGTAGATTCAACTAAGAGATTTGGAACTGAAAAAATTTTGAAACATCCTTGGTTAGTGAACAATACAGCTCAATCCATTCCTAACATTTAAAATAAGATGAAGGAATTTTATGGAAGTGCAACCATGAAGGTATAATTAAATTATATTATTTCAATTAGAAAATGGGTAACTTTGTTAAGCTAGCATAAAGATGGGGTAAATTATCATAGATAAAAAAGAAATGATCTATTATATCATCAAGATAATTATCGATTATTTAATATATAAAATTCTGGTTAACCCTGTCGATTCTTGATTTTTAATACATCAAAACTAGTTTTAATATATATAATAATTATATTAATGATTCCAGCAAAGGCATTCTAACTACTACCAGTGGCTCTTAATAAGACTGAGGAGGCATTTACAGGATTTCTTTATACATCTAAGAATACACATGCTCAATTGAAATAAAGATATAATGTTTAAGGAGATTTATTTATATAGATTAATGGCTATGTTTTTTAATTGCAAGGAGTAAGTGAGTATTTAGATAGTTTAGGAAAATGGATACAAAGACGATTCCATTGCAGGGAGCAAATACGTAAGATAATTGCTGAGAATGTCATTCACAGATAAGATTGACGTGGCAGTGTTTTCACTTCCAAAAGATAAAGAATACAGATTGGGAGTTCTTGATGTTGAATTGGATATCGTCTAATAATCAGGAACTCTAGACAGACTTGAATTGAATTCTGAAGACTTAGCCCCATTCTTGAAAAGAGCATATAGTGGTTAATTCTTCAGAGCAGGTTAAATTCAGCTATTTTTGTTTGAAGGCAACACTTACTTATTTAAAGTATGTAGATCCAATATAACTCATAGGTTACTCGTACTGATGTATTGAGTGTGGGAGTGGAATCATAGCAAGTCAAATTTATGGGAGGAGGAATGTTGGTTGATGAAACTGAAGTTGAATTCAGTATCAGACAAGGAGTAAACCAATTGAAAATGAAGAATGCTTCAACACATACAGCTAGTATATTTAGAGAAGATTTTTCATTTGATAAATTGGGAGTTGGAGGTTTAGATAAAGAATTGGCAAACATATTTAGAAGAGCATTCTCATCAAGAAGATTCCCATAAGCCTTCCTTGAAAAATATGGTATCAAGCATATCAAAGGTCTCTTGTTGTATGGTCCTCCAGGAACTGGTAAAACCTTGATTGCAAGATAATTGGCTAAAGTGTTGAAGGCTAAGCCTCCAAAGATTGTTAATGGACCAGAGATTTTCAGTAAATTTGTAGGAGAGGCCGAAGAAAATGTCAGAAAACTATTTGCTGAGGCTATTGCAGATCAAGAGACAAAGGGTGATTAAAGTGATTTGCATATCATTGTCTTTGATGAAATGGATGCCATATGTAAATAAAGAGGATCCATTAACTCTGGATCAGGAGCCTATGATAACGTTGTAAATCAATTGTTATCCATGATTGATGGAGTCAATTCTCTTAACAATATATTGGTCATTGGTATGACTAATAGAAAAGACTTAATTGATGAGGCTGTTCTAAGACCAGGAAGATTTGAAGTACATATTGAGGTTGGATTGCCGGATGAATAAGGTAGATAATAGATTTTAAACATTCATACTGATAATCTCAAAAAGAATAATGCCCTCGATAAAGATGTGAATTTAGAAGAGTTAGCTTAAATTACTAAGAATTATACAGGGGCTGAAATCGAAGCTGTAGTGAAATCTGCATCCTCCTTTGCATTTTAGAGAATGTAGAGTATTTTTGATTTCTAAAAGAAATTAACTAAATAAGACGAACTTCAAGTCAGAAGATGTGATTTCATGAATGCCTTAGATGAAGTCAAACCTTAATTTGGTATTGATACAAATAAATTTGATTTGCTACTCAAAAATAGATTAATCGATTTTGGTGAAGAATTCAGAAAACTTCAAAAAATCCTAAAAAATACTATTGATTAAACTAGATTTGGTAAGAATTCTCAATTGAATTCTGTTTTATTGGAAGGAGAACAAGGTTCAGGCAAAACAAGTGTAGCAGCATGGTTGGCAGTTGAATGTGGATTCCCATATGTTAAGTTAATATCTCCTGAAACATTCATCGGTTTAACTGAAGGTGCTATCATCAATCAGATGGTTAGAATCTTCAATGATGCATACAAATCATCACTTTCATGCATTTTGATTGACAACATTGAAAGACTCATTGAATACGTAGATATCGGTCCCAGATTCTCCAATGCTATCTTATAGGCTCTATTAGTATTAATCAAGAGACTACCAGATAAAGTAAGATATATTGTATTAATCATTTTAGTCTTAATGTAGACTCCTTATTATAGGCACAACATCACAATATCAAATAATGAAATAATTGGAAGTAGTCTCTTGTTTCAATGTTGCCTTTAAAGTTCCTAATCTGATCAAGCCTGATGAAATCAATTTGGTTATCAAAGATTACTTGACCACTTCACCTTAATCTTCAAACAAAATTTAATTATCTTAATAGTAGGAATAGTCAGTCAATACGATTGCTACTTAAATCAAGGACATTCCAATCAAGAGATTATTGATGTTGCTTGATATGGTAGGTGCTTAAGAGAAGGGTTTGAATGTTGAGGAGTTCATGATTTGTTACACCACTGTTATGATGAATCACCTTTGAGGATTATTTATTATTAGTAGCAAAAAATATATATATATTATATTCTTCATTACTTCTGATTAATAAGAATTCTAATCAATATATTAATATAATTCAATTATCACTCAACAAATTCATTAATTAATAGATTTGGACTTTGCTTCTTTTTTAATTCATGCTGTATCTATAACAATTTTATTAAATTTGGATCCATCAAAGAAATAAGTTTATTAGTAATGGGATCTTCTAAATTTTCAAGTAATTAATCCAGTACTTATTGAGCTTCTAATGATTTTTCTTTTAGTCCCTTATAGGGTTTTAGTAATGAGGAGTACTGATAATTCTCACTTAATTATTGATTTGAGGGATCTAGACAAATTAATGGCTTAGGGAGGAAATCAAACAGTTGCACTTACTCTTTCGATAACAAGATCATTTTTAATTTATCTATTTCTTGTAACTTGTCGATAATAAAAAGGATATCAAGACACTTATCTAATTTTTAGATTGAATAACTTAATTGTTTATACTTTCCTTCCTTCTTTCTTTAAAATATTGATGACATTATTACCCACACTTCATATATCTAAAATAATCTAAGGGATTAAATTATAATTTAAGTGTTGCAACATTAAAGAACTTTCTGAAGGCAACATTAATTCCTTTCTTAAGTATTTTTTCATTTCCAGGAGAGTTAGTAAATACTTAAGAGGATTTTTCAGTTTAAGCAGAGTTGATTCCATCTACTTTAACAGTTTTCAATTTTGCTCTTCCTCTTGGAAATCTTGAACTTGCTTTTGATTTCAATGAGTTTAACATTACTGAAACATCATTCTCATTTGTTTAAATATTCTCTTAAAATCCATTGAGTTTATCAAATCGTTTATGTTTATTTTCAGATTCATCTTGATCTATTAGTTTTTGGCCTTCGAAATTGAATAAACTATTTATGATTTCCATTTTGAATGACATTTGAGAAAAGGGTTTTACAATAATCGAAAAGGCAAGCAACAACAACTCCCATAAACCACCTGCTTAAGCCAAGATATCTTATAATTTTGGATATATTCTATAACTAACATTCTCAGTATTTGCTAATCTAATGTAAACCGTTGCCAAGGATTCATCACTATTAAAGTCAATAATCTCTTAACTTTTTTAATACCTTATATTAGCATCTTTTCGAATCAATTCATCCAACAATCCATCTTCAGTCAATGTAGTAATTGGTTGCATAAATAAAGTAATGTCTTTCATCACTTAACTTGATATCGTTGTTTAGATTTCTTCAACCTTCGGAACATTTGGCTATTGATAATTCCTCAAATCAATATTGTATGAGGATATCTGAAATTAAATGTAATTCCTCCTTAATTTTTCTTGAATTTCTTCCCTCGACTTACATATCACACTCTCGCCTATTTATATAATAAAAACTACTATTGGTTGTATCATTCACGCAAATTTGGAAATTTACGTATATATAAGTGTAGTTATCCTAGTCAGGAGTACCAGTCAAACTTAAACTCTGAAATTTTCTCCCAGTCTATGCAATACGTATTATTGAAATCCACATTATCTAATTACTCCTCAATTTCCTCGAAAGTTATTCCAATCTTAGCGCATTTACTTAGGGGTATCTCTGTTTTTTTGACATCTTAAGTTGTTTTATTATTCACTCTGCTATCTATATTAAATCATACGTTCTTTAAACTCTATTAACCATAAATGCATTGACACTATAAACTGATTCGTCTATGTAGTTCTTCTAATTGTAGTTCTGAAATGCGAATTGTAAAGTGAAATTTTGAGAAATCAATGGATATACTGGTATCTCTTCATAATAAATTTCTGAATACAGAGTTTAGAATTCCTTTCTCATCCCTAGTTATACAAATTTGTTAACGATATATGTTATTATGCACCCAAACATTAATAGTGTCATTATTGCTCCAAAGAAGGATTAATGCAAACGTTTCTTTTAAATCATTAGTTCAACAGGTGATGCAAAAATATCTATTTTTTTAATTTAACGCTGGATTTTCTATAATTTATTTTGTTTCATCTAGAGAAATTAAATTTATATTATATATCATTTATTGTACAAATATAAATATCAATAGTTCCTTATTATTTCTAATATTACAAAATTTTGATTTGTTTATTTCATAACTTATTTCTCATTAATTAATAAAGATGCAAATGTTTAAAGATAGTGGAGACATGATCACTACTTTAATTCTGAAAGCTATTCCTATGCAACTAAGAAATTAGAGGATATGCTTTGATATTTAAAGTAGTATTCATTTTTAATAAACTATTTAATTGATCACTGAACTAAGATATCCTAAGAACAGATCAAACGAATTCATTGATATATATGATTCAAATTATACTTATTAGCTCAAATGAGAAATTCAAAAAATAATTTTAAATTAAAAATTATATATATACTATCCATTTAGGAATTTCAGACATTTCCTAAATAGATTAGAATTATGAATCGTCAAATTCAAACAGGTAAGAAAATTAAAAGCATCTGTAGTGTTGATTGTATAAATTAGTATTTTCGATTATTTTAAACTACAATGAGTAAAGGAATGGTTATTTGATAAAGGACTTAGATTAAAATTTATAACATCTATACTATAATAATAATAATTATTATATATAGATAATGTCTAATTGGTCTAATTTAACTAATTATAGTCCTATTTCTGAAATTTTAAGAAATTCTGAATGATTCATATTCAACGCCATTTTATAGTATTATTAGAATATTTACAATGAATAAATTCATAATTACTTATATATAATATCACAATTTAACTTTTTTAGCTGACTCTGAACCATCCTGGATTTCATCTTCTTCATTTTTCATTTTCTTTTTTTATGAATCCTATTGAACTTTTGGTTTATCAACATATGTAGTTTTAACAGGGAGAACGACCCATAGAGTTATTTTCTTTTTCTTTATCGAGTACTTTAACTAAAGAAATAACCCTATTTTTGAGTTCGTTTTCGCTTTTGCATTTGAATGCATGATCAAATCTGAACATTGGTTCTTTTCTTATGGATTATTTGAGTAAGGTCCAATTTCCATATCCAACTTCATTGGTCATATAGATAAGATATTTATCATTTTCTAAGCTAAAATATTTACTTTTGAATTTGTTATAGAGTTGTGGAGTAAAGACAAGTTCATATTTTGGTTAATGAAAATGTTTGCATTTTTCCTCAATTAATTTTTACCCATTGGTTTTCTATTCAATCAACTTTTGACCTCTTTCAATTTACTTAACAATTTTATCCTTCTCGCTTAAGCCATCTATTCTTTCCCAAAATGCTTAAGCATAAGCTTTGACTTCATCGAGAGTTTTGGATTTAACGAACTCTTAAATTTTCTCATAAGCATCTTTGCCATATTTCTCATTAGCAGTGATGAAATCAGAAAACTCCTGTTTGTTCCAATTTTTAAATCCTGTTTCAAGTAATTATTTTTATTCTTGTCTTTCTTCTTAGGTGAGTCCTCCAAAATCCACATTCTCCTCATTTTCAATACCTTTCTTTTGAGTCTTTTGTTAGGCGATAAAATCTTCTTCCTTTTACAATAGAAATTATAATCTGTCTTTACTCTCATATAAATGATGCTCTGATAATTTAATTTATTTTCCCTAGATTTTCTTAGAATTGCCTCCAAGCATCATGGCTCTTTTATCTCTATTTCTAGTTTTGTTCTCATTGAAATGATGATTAGCAATTGCATCTTCAAGAGCATCCTCATCCATTTTATTTTGCTTTTCTTCATTAAAATAATCAAAAATATTAATTTATCCCAACCCTAGATCAAGTGATTACATTTTATCTTTGAAACTCTCAAATCTTCTTCTCAAGTTCTCTCATTCATCTACTGTGTTAATTGTTCACCTCTCTTTAAAAGGATATCAATATCTTCATCCTTGATATCATCCCCATCTAATTTAAAGATCTAAGAGGCTCCATGAGTAGTCAACTCTTTGAGATCCTCCTTCGATAATAATTTTCCACTTTGCTTCTATGATAACCGACCTTATTAGATCATCAGGGAATCCCAACGTAACTTAATCTGTTATCTTTCTATGATTTTCTCTTCAATAGTATGTTCACATGCCATTCTATAAACCATCACTCTATTCTTTTAGCCAATTCTATGTGCTCTATCCATAGCTTGCATGTCCATTTAAGGATTGAAATCAGAATCATAAATAATGACAGTGTCTGCAGTAGCCAAGTTGATTCCTAAACCACCTGCTCTAGTGGAGAGTAGGAAAATGAACTTTTTACTGTCAGGTTTAGTGAATTCAGCAATTTGATCATCTCTTTATTGGATCTCTGTTTCACCATCTATTCTACAATAGTCATATTTTCTGTAATTACAATAATCTTCAAGAATGTTGAGCATCATTGTAAATTATGAGAATATTAAGACCTGATGTGTGCCATCACTTAATTTCTTTAAAAAGATATCCAACACTCTCATTTTCCCAGCAACTTCGACTAAGTGTTCTCCCAAAGGAGGTAGGGATTTATCCTCAACTTCAGGGAACAAATAAGGATGAAGACAGATTTTACGTAGTTACATTAGTTTATTCATGTAAAAGCCTTTGTCATCGCCTTCATGGGGATTGTTGTGTAAAAGAATATTCTAATACATTTATTTTTAGAGATTTGTCATTTTGATGAAAAGATGGATTTCTTATTTGGGAGGTAAGATTCTTTCAACTTCAGCCTTGGTTCTTCTTAACATAAAAGGTCTTAGAATTTTTTGGAATTTTTAGCACATCTCAAGATTTCTTTAATCCAATTCTTCTTGTTTGATTGTCTCATTTCCTTCCTTCAATTTTGCTTCAGTATTGACTTCAAACCATTTATCAAAGACTTCAGAGGAATCGAATAAGTCTGGTAAGAGATAGTTCAATAAACTCCATAATTCATGGGGTGTGTTTTATAGTGGAGTACCAGTCAATAACAATTTATAATTGGTTCTGATTTTACGCAGATTTTAACTAATGATGGCATCTTCATTTTTAATTTTATGTGCTTCGTCTATTATAATGTATTTGTATTAAAATCTTCGGATGTGTTTTAAACAGATGTTGACTCCTTCATAACTTGTTAAACAAACATCAAATTTGCCAGGTTGGAATGACTTATTGATGATATCCTCTCTTTCTTCTTTCACAGCTATTAATTTAAGTACTCTTGCACAAGGCAGCCATTTCTTGAATTCTCTCATCCAATTACCTAGGGTTGATTTGGGAGCCACAATTAAATGTGGTCCACTGATCTTAGTATATTCTTTTAGAAATGCTATGAATCCTATAGTTTATATAGTTTTGCCCAAACCCATTTCATCAGCCAAAATACCATTGATTCCCTCTTCAAACAAGGAAATCATCCAATTAACCCCTGTCATTTGATATTGCTTGAGTTGTCCTCCCTTCAAAATGGTGGGTTGTTTATCAAGTACAGTTGGCGCATCATCAAGATCCTCCTCTTCACTTGCATCGTCAATCATTTGTCTATGTTTACCTCTCTGTTAAGTTAAGGCCTTCTATTTGGACTCCTAGGTACGCTTGTGACGATGCAATAGGAACATGGCATACTTCTCTGCATTTTCAAGTAATGTATTTATCTTTGACTCAATATTATCAAATTTGATCTATTGAATGTATATTCATTTAAATACATTTGCATTCAATTTGGTTGTCTGTTTGATTGAACTCATGAATGTTTTCTTATCTTATTCTAATTTCTTTATTCTTTCCTCCTCTTATTGTATTTTTTAATCCTCATCACTTCCCTCCTCTACTTGCATGACTTCATTTTCATCCTCACTTGAAATACTCATTTAATTAAATTATGATTTTAAGAGGCATCAATTAACCATTTAATTCATCAAATTATTTGATCCTAAATTTAATGAAAAAATATAAAAAACTACTTAAACCCTTTCGATCCCTCGATCTCTTCAATAAGCCAGTTTCCCTACTAATCAAAGACTAAGAGCGTCATAAAACTTATTGTGGTGCCTTTCTCACACTAATTATAATAACAATGATGAGTGTCCTTTTATGCACGAACTTCATCAATTTAGATAAAAATCCTCGTTCTTATCAATATTAGATCTACCATCAAGTCTTAAACTCCACTCAATTTATGAATTTTAAAATCCTCATAAATGGATTAGATGAACAAAACTTGAATGTCAGTACTAAGGATGGGCCACTTTCTTTCACTCAGAATCTTTACCAATATTCAAAATAGGTCAGTCTATATGAATCAGATCAAAATGTGTAGTATGTTATCGTTGAAATATCTCTGAAGAATGCCACTTAAGTACCTAAATAAGAGGAAAGTCTTGAATTTTAGTTGTAAATACCAACTTTTTATTATGATTTGAAAGATGTCAAAGATCCTGTAAAATCTAGAATAGAGAAAATAGAAACAACACTAAGTAGAAACATTTATAAAAGAATTGATATTTACATGAGTCCATTTACTGTAATTTCAGATGGTGGTATGGTATTTAAAGATGAGACCTAAGAGAGTGTATTAGCGTATTAGTACCATTAAGAAACATATGATGTTGGTAATGGCTAAAAACTACTTCAGTTTAGAATTCGACTCAATAAGACCGAGCTTGTTAATTATCGATCCTATCCAAAACTATAGTAAATTCTGGGAGAGGCTGGTGGATTGTGGAATGTAATTTTCACATTAGCCATGTTCTTTTAATTACCATTTAGTAATTTATCGTATCGATTGCAAATTGTTAACTCTCTCTTTAATTTCTCCAATGATGATGATGCAACCACTGAAAATGATAAGATTTAGATTGTTAACGAGAAAATTAATGAAAAAGCCACCAGTCCTTAATAGCAATTAGATAAGAAAATTCCATTGTGTTAGAGTGAAGTGAATATTCCAATTGTACCAATTTTGAAGAAGCAGAAATCCTGGAGTCAGCTCAATTAATTGAATATTAAGAAACGATTATATAGTATACAAAGGAAGAGTCAAATGATCACAGAGGCTGACACTGACAATCAGAAGGCACATATAACAAATGAGATTTCAGCATCTATTAAACGATTCTTCAGAGTTGTGACCAAGAAACTGAATTTGAATGTCTTTGAATACATAACCTTTCAATTTCCTAAAAGGAGAAACAAGAATAACATAAAGCATTCATAATTTCAATTTGCTGTTAATCGGATTTAAAAATCCCTTGATATTTTGTATATTATCAACAAATTACACGAAGTAGATAAATTGAAATTCATACTACTCAATAAAGCCTAAATTTAAATGTTTGATTATTTACCAAAACCCTTTATTGGGGCAGACCCTTAGGATATTTCAGAGGATAATTTCTGCTCACTTTTGAAACCTGCCAAGACTCCGTATCAAAAGGCATTAGAGGCCTAACAGGCATTTAAAGAGATTATAACCAATTATTAGGATCCCATAAATCAGAAATTAATAAACAGCATGGACGAACCTATAATAGACTTAATGAAACTATAATTGAATCAAGACATTCAGATATTAGACACATCAGTGATTAATTAGTTAGTACAGAGTGCAGACTATAGGTTAGATACAGCAAGATAATGAAATACAGAGTGAATATATTTTATCTTATCAATTTTGATTTCCTAAATTAATTTCTACTTCTGCGTATTTCTAAGTCATTTTCGCAGTGATCAATTTCTCGTAAAATACAATTGTAATTCCTACTACAATATTGACTACTAGAATTTGGATCTTAAAATCCGTTGGAAATTCCACTTCCAAAGATAAAAATCCAGTCAAATTCGGGAAGAATATCAACACTATTTATCCAGCAATCCCCATACAGATGACTATCATATAATAGAAATTCTGAGAGATGGCCTCTCTGAAAGGCGGTCCTTAAGTATATGCTAGACCTACAGCCAAAATCTCAGTGCTGGATGTTATTAGCAAAATAGAATTAGTATAATTAGGTTGCATATAATAGTCATCATTAACCAATTCGATTACCATTTACTGATAGAAATCTTAGTGTTTCAATATTTGATGCATAATCATTTAAGCAAGAAAGGATATGAAAATAATCACACAGACAGAAGACAGAACTGGCAATGAGATTAAATTGCTTATTGGTCGATAATTAGCTAATTTATTATATGATTTTGTTAAATCCATTGTAAAAGCTAATGGGATGATCAACCAGAGATCCTAATAAAGATATTGAACTTAAGTGAAGTCTGTATCATAAAAATAGCATTACAACACAGCAGCAGATTAAATGCATGAGTACAAAGTCATAAATTTGAAGCATTCCACACAAGTAACTAAACAGGCTCTCCCTTCTTTAATTAAATTGATCATATTTGAAATATTGAATATAGTGCTCGTAAACGGAGATGCTAAAGAGGCATCTTCTAAAGATAAAGCTAAACCAACATCTGCTTATCTCAAAGCACAAGTATCATTAGTGCCATCTCCACAAAAAGCAATAAAATTCAAATTGTCCTATCTCAAGAGAAGCATAAGATCACCTTTGTTGTTGGGTTTCATTCTTGAGTAAATGTATGTTTTTTATAATAGATTTAGGACCCATTGTTGATTATCCAGTAAGGCAGCATATTAATACTACAAATATTCGAACACCTATCCAGTAATTGCTAGTTAAAGGTGACAACTTAGTTTCATAATCTAATTGGTTTCTAAGTTCTGAGCTTAATTTGAATCTAAACTATAACAACTTCTATTCTCATCGACTTTATCTGTTTTCAATTGCATTAATCTCATTCCAATATAATACTCCCTCATTGAGCTATCCCAAAAAGATTCTGCTATTCTGATCCAAAATATTGCATTACAAACCAATATTAATTGCAGTATATGGATTATCACCTGTCACCATAATAGATTTGATGTTGCTGTACTTCAAACTTAATATAGTAGATTGAGTTTCTGCTTTTAATTTGTTCTCAAAAATCAGAAATCCCAAGAATGACATACTTTACTCATAGATTTCTCTCTTATGTAACTATTGCATATTCAAAATGTGTAACATCTCTATAACAACAAGCAATTATTCTGAAACCCTAACTACTGTACTTCTATAACATATTGTTATAATTAATAGGAATATTCCTACAGATGCTCTTTATCTACTCAGGTGATCCTTTACAATATAAGATACATTGATTTGTAATGACTGACATCCTCTATAACTCTGCCTAGAAATCAAATCGTTTCAACACTGATACTTCCTTTCCCTCCTTTTCTTGCCTTACTCTCTTCCACTAACTCCCATCCAGTCTCTTAAAACATACATAGATCAATTGGATCTCCCATAATCTCATTATTTATTATTGATAATGAATGACAAATACCCATACACTCATTAAACTGTTCTGGAAACATCTTTAATCATTTATAATCTATTAAACCCTTAATCCTTGATTTCTCTACATCCCAACACATCAAGTCCTAATTCAGTCAGTGTTCCTGTTTTATCAAAAGCTACTAAATTGACTTTGCTTGCCACATTTATTTTGTCAGGCTTTACACATTGGATAGATTTATCTTCTAAACGCTTCAAAGCAAGACTAATACCAGCTCCTAAAGCAGTTGGTAATGTGGCAGGAACTATTATCGTTACTATTTCTAAAGCATTTATTATGCTTTCCCCAAGAGCAACTCCTTGAGCCCCACTAATTAAGATTGTAATATTTGCTTGTATCAATCCTAATGTGGCCAATACAAAGAGATATCTTAATGAATCTCTGTAGAAGCTAAATGTTTGAGTTCTATTAAACATGATTGATCTAGCCAGACTGCCTTTTAATGTTTAGAATCCAGTTTAGTATACAATTGCTTTAGCATGTTCTCCATTTTATGAATAACTTCTTAAACAAGTAGTACCACAAAATAGCATCTTATTTTCATTCCCTTTTTATAGAAACAATTGTTCATTCTTTTCCAAACTGGATTTATTAATTGGCACACTCTCACCTGTCAACACAGCTTCATTCATAACACAGTTGCCTTCAATCAAAATACAATCGCAACTGATTTTAGTATGTCCTTCAATTATCAATAAATCTCCTGGAATCAATTCTTTAGATTCTATAGTAATTTAATTGTTATTTCTTATTACTTTGACATCTACGTTGAATCTAATCATTTTTTGGATTTTCTATAAGTTTTATCTCACATCTCTCAATTCAATTCCGATTTAAATGATAGTGATTGCTAAAATAAATAGCGAATAATTTAAGTAATCATCATAAGCCCACAACGCAAGAGCACTAAATTGAAAGATATTGAAGGGTGTTAATATTTCATCAAGTAATAGGAGTGGAATTGGTTTGATTGGTATTTCCATGATATTCTATCCATAAATAGTAGTCAACTCTGAAAGGCCTTTCATATTGCAGATTCTTTCTTAGGTGTACTAAGAGAATGAATTCCTCATCTAGACTAATGCTTTTGAATAAGTGTCAATGAAATAATCACTTAGCTCATAATTAAAGACTCGTGCATGTTTGGAAAAGGGATGATCCTAAACAACGGTAACTTCGCATAATTGATCATCTGCAATTGGAATTATGTTCTTGGTCTTGATCACTAAAACATGTGTCATTGTACCAAATTCACATTTTTCAAATCTTTTTACATGATTTAAGCTTACAATAGAAACAATCTCAAATTTATAAACCATCTTTGAAATAAGTACAATAATCCAAGAGTTAGAAATAGCAAAACATAATAAATGATCTATTTGCACTTGTTGATCCTATAATAGATTGCTGTTAGTTTATATTGATCATCATATTCACCCTGATATTCCAAGGTGGATTATCTAACAAATAGAGAAGCACTCTTTACCCAAAGTCGATTTCCTCTTTTGGACTAGTCTCTTGCAATTCAATCATAATTAATTAATCATTAATAAATAGGTTTTACAATTTAAACAAAATCTCAGAATGAAATATATAATAACTTTTAAGGCTTATATAAGGGTATTTATGTATTTAGGAGAGAATGCGGAGAACAAGAAACCTTTAGAATGCCAATTATTGATATTCCTTGTTATTATTGATAATATCTTTTCAAGAGTCTTGTTCATCCTTTGGAAATCCCTTCCACTTAAAATTGTCAGCATATTTTCTCTTAGAAGTGTAACGAAAGTGGGGATATTGTATAATATATCCATACCCATCTTATTGGCAAAATTCTAGTGCAGCTTCCAAACTGAGGAACTTATAAACTTCTCTGCTCTTCTAATCCTTTGAAAATGTCCAACCACTCCAAGGCATTCTGTGGATGGGTCCTCTCTCAATCTAGACATTCCAATGATATCCTTATCTCATTGTGGGAGCTAAGTGTATTCGCAACAGTAAATTACTTTGATGCATGCGATTATCGTCCATGATGTAGACACGAGCAATCTTGGACTCTGGAGGAGGCAATGGGTTCATGTCATAGTATCTATGGTCTGATCTATTGTCAAGACGAGATGCTGAAAATTGGTATAAGACAAAATTACATCTGAAAAATCCAAATTTGCTTTTGCTTGCATCTATAGGCACAACTTAATTGTAGACTGATATTCCATGTGCCAAGACTTCTTGGTTTTTACTCTCTATCTCTTTGCGAATCACAATCAGAGAATTAAAAGCCTTTTTGGCTATTTCTTGAATCCCTACAAATTGTCGAATAGACATTTATATTAAAATAATAATTTAAGTCATCCCAATCGATATTTGGTTATGCTTTCAATCGTATCCGTATGCATTCTCTAACCTCTCTTTTACGAAGACTTCTAAATGACAAGTTACGAAGACTACAATTTGTTTTACTTTGGTTTAATGTTACGTACTTAATTCATCAGAAAGAATCTTTATGAATTAAGTTTTGCTTTTGTGACTGCCAACTAATCTACTTTCAGAGGAGATAGAGTGCTCAATTTATTTTCTTTTGATTTCCCTTTTTGAATTACAACTTAAGATAGCACTCTACGATGAATGCGTCTTAATTGACTGTTGAGATCGTACACATCTACTTATAAGGAACTATATGATCTATCTGGCGAATATTCGAATTGATCAGCTCCTCTAGGGAAATTGTACTATTGTGGAGGTTTGCTTTCAAGGGTTTATGTAAGTTTTTTAAGTCTCATTCCCATGTAAATTAATTAAACTATTTTTGCAATTTTATTATTATGTAAGATCAATAAAAGATTGTCATACTTGCCAATCAACTTGAAGAACTCAGGAAGTTAAATAAGGATTAGAAGGAATTGATATTTCAGTATGAAGAATAGAATGGAGCTGCTGAAAGTAATTTAATTATAATACATATAATTAGAGAAGATCAATGCTTTAAATTAAATACATCAGGATAAGGTTCGTAATCTAATGAATTCGATCACCCTCTTGAAAAAGGAGAATGCACAATTGAAAAACATGAATAAGGAACACAAACGATCACAATTAATTGAGTAACTGAATCAAGAAATTGCAGATTAAGATCTAGTTATTTAAACATTGCGTTCCATAGTCAACAACGATTAAAGATGTGATAATCAAATTATCGAGGCATTGAACAAAGGACCTCCAAAGATCAAGGCTCTAACTAGGGAAGAATTGAAAATTGAAAACAAGAGGTTAGATAATTAATTGAGAGCCCTGAAAGAACAGATGAACAAGAAATAACAAGAGTTGATGCAATCTGAGCAAAGTGAAAATGCCAGCACATTCTCTATGGATGCTCAATTTGAAGTACACACCAAGAAAATAGCTCAATTAACTGAAGATAACTCCAATTTCAAAGCTGAAATTGCTGCTTTATAAGATAAGAATTTCAAATTGGAAGAAACATTAGATGAAAAAAGTAGATAGATTACAGTCTTGAATGAATAAAAGGGCTAATTAGTTATACTAACCAAAAAATATGAATAACTTCAAAAATTGATGGAAGATTACAAAAGAAGAGAAAATCAATAGGAATTCCATGATATCACAAAAGAAGTTGATATTGAAGAATAGAAGATGCTTAATAAGGTTTAGGAGACCAAATTAGAAAGTGTGGAAAAACAATTGAGAGCAGAGGTTGATATAATAAAATTAGAAAAACAAGGAGTGTAAAGAGACTTAGAAAATAAATCTACTGAATTAGGAAAAGCCATTAAGAAGAACTAATAATTAGAGAAGAGATTAATGGAATAAGAAAAGGAATTGAATGCTAAATCGTATTTATATTAATATTAATTATTAGAAAAGAATTGCGAGAGAGAATAGAGGAATTTACTAAAAAAGAGGCTGATTATTTGACTTAACTTAGTTAATTGAAATAATCATTAGCTTAAAAGGAAAATGAAATTTCATAAAACCTATTAGATTAGGGATAGTTGAAAGCCACAATCACTAAATTAGAGCAAGACATAGAATAATTGTAGGCTAAATTATAAAGAGCAGGAGCATATAAGTAGGTCGATGACATCTCTTATGATGTAAAGATTAACAAGGAAATCTAAAATAAATTAAAGCAATAAACTATTTCTGATGATCCAAAAGTATTAAAACAAGCTCTAAAATAATAATAACAATACTATGAGCAAGTTATTGCAGTTTTGTAATAAAGAGTGTTGTAATAGAAATAAGATAACCTATCTGACGTAAGTTCAAATATATCTAAATTAATAAAATAGGAAGATAATTAAGAAATAGATATGTTAAGTTCAGACATTTCTTAATTTGAAAATAAGTAATAGGACTATGATGTGGATTCTAATATTGAAGATCAAAATATACCTTCTGATATTCATTCTTCTGTTACATCAATTTTAAATGCGCCAAAACCAAGCAAAAAATAAATTGACTCTAACTTTTCAAGGTTTGAATCTATGAAATCCTCTGACATTGATAAGATATCATCTAATCTATCAGACTAATAAAATGCTTCACTATCCAAAGTTAGTTCTAATTTGTCAAAAATATCCTTTACTTCATCTATGCAGAGAGCCGTAAAAAGATATTGAATAACATAATACAAATATCCATATATATCATAACAGCATTGCTTATATAATTCCATATTAACTATTATTCTCAGAGACTCCTCAAATTCTTAAATATAAGTTTGATAATCAATCATTAATTTGTATACATCGGAATCTGTATATATATTACATCAAATGTAATAACTGTTATAAAACAGAATTGAATGATTATAGTCGTTGTTCAATAATTGAGCACTCTATTTTGCTTCTTTTACTTTAATATATGAATTTTATTATAATAATTATATTAGTATACGACATATAATAAGAGCATGATATCTCTATGGAATGATTTGGACACCAATAATTATTACTTAATCAATAATGAAACTGGAGAAAAACAAAAAGTCTATAAAACTGCCGATTATATTAAAGAATTTGATGCTTCTTTGACTGGATCTGTTGGTTATAAGGATAGAATTAAACTAGCGAAAAAACCAAGTTATATGCCTTTAAAAGCTAAATCTCTCTAAAAAAATTTTACTAGCTATACCCCTTCGATAAATAAATTAGTTTGGTATTCTCAATTGCCTCGACCTACAAAATTACCCAATTTGGAACATTTTAAAACTGAAAAGAAATAAATCCACATAAATTTATCAAAGGATGAGAAATCCTTATTGTAAACATAGAGCTACTAAACTTTGCCACATATTCCCCAATCTACAGTTGCATCCCAATATTAAAGTTTATTAGATCCACAGTAGGCGAGATCAATTTCAACCATTCAACATTATGATCTTAATGATTAAGATCATTTTAAAGAAATGAGTCATTTGTTTGAGTCCAAATCCTATGACTATAAAAGTTTTAATATACCTCCAAAGGAAAGTTTAAATTGCAGATCAATCAAAGACTTTGAATAGGTCTTGAAAGAAGAAAAGTAATAATTGGAAATGTTCAAAGTAATGAAACCTTATAATAATTAAGTTACCTGAATAGAAACCACAATTAGTCAATACCAAAGGAAGATTCCCAGGACAGCTGAAAATTGCCAAAGATTTCATGACTGAAGATAAATCTATTGCAAGATTATGTTAGACCAAATAATATATTTTTAGTGTATCCTGATCTTTTTAAGGAGAAGATTATAGATTAAAAGTAAGAAGAACTAAGAAGAAAAATAAATAAATTAAAGGAACAAGAAATGCTCCAAAGGAATCTCAAGAATAAGGCTTGAATAATATTTTATCCAATTTAAATAATGAATAAATACTTGATTTTACACATTAAATAGACTCTCTTTATCAAAGTTAAGCTTTCTGATTTAAACTATCATAATAAACCTTATTATTAGAATATTCTATCAGGTTTTTACATTATAATCATTATTGATTATTCTATAAGCATAATATTATGAATAATTTTAACTAATCATTTATGTATTAGAACCAGACTTCATTTGCTATTTATTTGCTTTATCTCCTCCTTTTAGCTACATATTATTATTTGTCAATTTTTAATTTATTATCTTTTAAATTCGCTTCTAGTTTAGTCAACAGAAGAATCTATTTCAAATCATATTTAAAATTAATTACTTAAACAAACAAATAAATAAGGAAAATAATTTGTATTCTTCCATATAATTAAATAATATTCAAAGTTCCTTTAAAGTTTTTTCTAAATTATTTAATTCATTTAAGATGATGAGAGATTTTCAGGTAATCTTAAACTTTCAATTCTATTCAAACTTTTTTTCTTCTGTATTTTATGATCAAATATCCTAATCTATCTTTTATGTTTTATCTATTTATTTCTATGCACTTTTCAATAAATCTGTCATTCGTTTCATTAAATAATAACATATTTGGTATATTATCCTTTTGTTTGATTATCAAAACAGATTAAAACCATGTTTCATAACGGTATCCTTATTAATGCTAAAGATTATAAATCATTTTGATATGAGCATAAAACTGAAATTTTAGAGGAGAACAAGGGTTGACTGATTAAATTATTAATAATTTTAATTAAATTAATTTCTATGCCGAACGAATTCATTTTACAACAAACATCACACCCAGAAAAGAAATTCAACTCTAAAACATTAGTTGGTAATTGGTATGAAGAAAGATGCGAACCAAAATCAAAATATTCAACCTTTTATAAAGAATAAAAAGTTGAGAAAAATTAATATAATGTTAGCAAACTTACATAAGTATTCTTTGTTATTATTATAGGAATCATTTATGAAGTGCTCATAAAATTGGTTAAACTTTCAAAACAATTAGTCTAATCATTTCTAAACTACAAATCAGTAATAATAACAGTTATACTTTTTCTAGATAAGAGTTCAAGAATCCAAAAGATTAATTTCGAACTTCTGAACTCAAGAAATTTATCATTAAAAAAGGAGTCTTTGAAAAGAATCCCTAGTAAATGTCAGACTACAGAAATAAGTGGACTTCAGCACCTCATTTTTTTGATAGAACTTACCTTGGTCAATAAAAATGATAATTATAATTATTATTCAAGTAAAACCTTTTTATAAGTATTCAATTTAATGACATTAGATTGATATCTCTTTGATATTAAAACTAATTTTAAAGATAATAAATTATAAAGCTATCAAATAACCTATGTATTAACAATTTTAATTGTTTTTAATGTCTAAAATTTATGTTTGTATTTAATTTTTGATAAAGTATCTCTCTATAATCTGAAAATAAGAATTTTTAGTCATTTTACATAAAAGGAAATGAATATTATTTCAGATGATGATAATATGTCAAAAAGAATCCTAGGTTATTATCTAATTTGTTTCAATAATAGTTTTTGTTAGATTAAGTTGATAAATAACATATGGTTTACGTGTTTTAATATAAATAATAAATTTTTCTTAAATGTATTTTCTAGATGACTCTAAAAGTAAATCATCAATTGTGATATTAGGAACACAGGAATCGGAATGGGTTTTCTCACTATCAGTCTTTTGCTATTTGTCTTAGGGATTATGTTTTTCCTTGACAGAGCTCTATTAGTGTTGGGGAATTTATCATTTTTGATTGGTCTTTGTTTATTGATAGGAATTAAAAGTACATTGTCATTCTTCCTAAAGAAAGGTATTTAATTTTTGTTTAGTGTTAGGCAAAATTAAGGGAAGCATTTTCTTTTTTTTGGGATTCTTCATTATCATATTTTTAAGATTATCAATTATTGGATTTCCATTGTAAATTTATGGACTTTTCCAGATGTTTAAGTCTTTCCTTCCATTCCTATATGACGGTGCAACCAAACTCCCTATTATTGGCAGATATTTGAGTATGATAATTAATAATTATTAAAGGAAATCCATAATTAAAGAAAATGGTTGATGAAGTGTCAGCCAAGGGTCCTTCAGTTTGAGATAGATAAATTTTATATTATTGTTAATTGATAGATATAAATAAATAATTATAAATATGGTTTTTAGAAATCTTTCTTAATAATTCTAGTTCTATTTAAATCAAATCTATTAAATTATTTAACCATTAGAACTCTTCAATTTTTAAAGTATGTAAATCCTTAAAAAGTGCTGAAATAAGATACTGCCCTTAATAATAAATATAGGACTAATTATATATTACAAGGTACAAGTAGGATAATTCTGAATATAAAGAATATTTGATAAACTGAGGGAGAATTTCAAAATAATATTAATAATATAAAGTTATATGATAATTTAATTTATCATATAAATCAAATAAATTTATTGATGATCAAATTTTATTTTCAAGATAATAAAATATCAAGGTTATTAAAAAAAATAGATCAACTCTTTAACACTTTCTAATTGATTCTGTAAATTTTCAACAGCTTTCAACTATGAGATATACTCTAAAAGTTTGAGATCTAAACACGTTTGACACAGACATTAATTTGCATTTTAATCAATTCTTGAACTTTGAGACTTGTTGTCCCTCTTTTTCTTAAAGTCTAAGCAATTCTTTTTGATTTTCTTAATTTATATCTTCGGATATTTTATTTGGCAAGTTCGAGCACAAATGTTGTGTAGTTTGTTACAAATAACATTTATTAGAATTTGAGAATTTTCATTTTTTTATTCCTAAAGGTTCTGATTCTTCAATTACTCCTTGTTAATCTACATAAGGTAAGTTGTAAAAGTGGATTTTAGAAATATGATTTAAAAAATATTAATTCTGATTTTTTTGTACAAATTACCCGTTTTATATTTTATGTCCATTAATTATGACAACTGTGAAAAATTTATGCTTTATACTTTACGATGAAATTTTGAAAAAGTTTTATTTGATACTCAACTGACGTAATTAAGTTATTTAATGCTTAAATTTAGGAAATTAATTAAAAATTATTTACTTAATGATGCTTTAAGAAAAGTATTAATACGTAAAATAAAGAAGATTTTCTTCTTTTCTTTTTTGCTATTTTCTTCATTTAACTATTGACAAAATGAAAAAGCTAAAAATACTTTTTCATGGATGAATTTTAAATTATTATAAATATAAAGATTATTCTAGGATGAAAAATTAATATGTGCTTTCTTGCAAATCATAGTAATTATGTTTTACTATTATTTCTGTTATTTAATAATTTAGGAATTCATCATGAATTATACTTGATTATATTAAGAAAATATTAATAAACACTAAAATAGATAAACGCAATGCCACCCGAAACCTAAAACCTATAGCAAATATAGAATAGTCGGAGGAATTTTAGATATTGATTAAATGTAAATGCTTCCCCCACCTAAGAAAGTCAATAATTGGACTATTAGATAAAATTAAGAATTGAAAGAATAAGTTAATCGTTTAAATTTTGAATTAAATGCTACCTATAAAGTATCTTCTCATTAAAAATGTAATTAGAATCTCGTACTTGATACAGAAACTCATTTCAATTTTGAAGTTTTGTTAAAAATGCCTTAATTGGCTAAAAGATGATTTATCAAAAATAAAGGTAATAAGATCATTAGTTTTAGGATCTTCATTATGTTATATTTATAGAAACTCATATCATCAAGTTTTAAGCCAATAACTAAATTATTATCTATTTATCATAAGAGATGGAATCAAATTAATTTATTTTATCCTCATTAATTTATTATGTATTTCGATATATCATATCTTTATTATCAGCATTCAACTCCTACATAAGATTTATAAAATACTCCTACGAGATTTTAACCTCTTATTATTATTTTCTTTTACTATGGCATTTTCCAGTTTAATATCCCTCAGTGTTAAATAACATTCCTTATTTTGAAAAATAATATTAATAAAAATAAAATGTATTTAGAATAAAAAAAAAGCAATAAATAAATGAATTAAATATTCACCCATTTGCAGCTGTTTACACTCTTTACTTTTTGATTTTCCCTCCTTTTAACCTCTTAAATCCATATCGTTCTCTATATTATTAATATTTAAATTTACAGCATTTTACTCCAATTAGTATCAAGAGCATCTGGCTAGGCAAACTTCTTTATCTCATTATTGCTATCAAGTATTCTCTAATAATCTAATCTATATACACCTAAATTATACTTAATTTTCCATACTTTTATTACTGATACAATAAGTACTCAATATCCCTGTTAATTTCTTATTCATCATAAGGTTCCTCTTTTTGAAGTTTCTTCACTATAAACCTATTTCAAATACCATGTTCTCCTTCTTTTGAATCTCAATCTAAGCAAAAATACTTCTTTAATATGCCTTATCTCTACTTATGGTTCTCTAGAAATCAGGTGAATTGTCATTTCTTTTCATAAATTGGAAATCATAAAAGTCCCTTTAACAAATTGGAGATGGAGACTTTCTCATTTATGGACTTTTATTAAATTCCATAGATTGACCTGGTTCAGTGATTAACAATTAATCTGAGTAGACTCCAGGCCCAGGAGTGTGAGTCTATCATACCTTAAACAATTCAATATGTACATCTCTATAAAAATGTTCTCTCCTAGGAGTTAAGAAGGCTCTGCTTAGCTGAGTTTTCGGAATATACTATTTTTTGTATTCTCTAAACTGTTTAATGAAGCCTTAATCAGCTTGAAGATTGATTTTAAAATTTCTGAGCCTTTGTCTCAAGGAGACTGCTTTGTCCATCGGAGTTATATCTCTTTTTTTAAGACCCAGTAAATAAGTAGTGCTTAACTGGTGAGCAAGACTAACATGAGGTACAGTTTCTTTGCCTTTTGCAAGTAAGACTACTTATTGACTTTTAAGGAAGTGAAATTTAGAGGTAGTGTCATTACTTTTTGTTCTTTGGATTAATTTCCCAATTGAGTTTCTTTCATTTTAGAAGGGTTGAAATTTATTTTTAGTATCGTTTTTACTCATTATTGATTGAGTATCCTACTCTAAATCCAATTAAAGAGCAATTGGAGACATGTTGCCATCCAAAATTTATTCTAATCCTCCTTATTCAATTGAACTTCTTTTTATTTACATAATATTACAAATAATAAATTAATCCTAAAATTCATCATCAAATCCAATTACCAGAGAGTAAAAACAGAATTATGAAACTAAAATTTATTAAAATACTTTAAAGAAAATCATGATAACAAACAAATTAATCATTTCCTAATGTTCTTAAAAGAGACCGTCTACATTTTCAAAATAAAATCTTTGATTGCTATTAGTAAAACAGAAAAATTGAATAAAAACGCTATTCCATCTCAAAAGAATAAACAATGAAAAATTTAGAATGAAATTAATTCCTATATATGTTAGAATCTCCTCTAAATATTAGTGAATTTAAATAATATTAATAAACAAATGAGTTAAAACCATGTTAGATCAAGTATAATAAAGTGTTAATCGCATTATTTTAATCAAATAAGTAAAACATTGAATTAGATTTTATATTAAAAACCATACTTTGAGAATATATGATTAATTACCCAAAAGAACAATAAATGAGATTCTATAATGCAAGCTATTTATTAAAGTAATCCAAAATGATGGGAATAAAGAGAAGATTAAGATTATTAGTGATTGTTCTTAAATTTATTAGAAGGTTATAAAAAGTTACAATAGAATCACCTTATTAACATAGTATTGAAAATTTAAAAAAAGTTAAAAAACAACTTTGAAGCTTCCTTAAACTATAAATGAGTAATTCAAATCTTGGTTTTGGGGATTTTTTAAATCTTTTTTGACCATCCCCTCAAAACTCTTTAATTATTTAAGATCTCCAGGTAATAAAATCAAAGAAGACAACCTTTAATAATTATAAATGCAATCAAATTTTTTATTGAAAATATGGAATATTCCCTAATCCAGATATTTTGAGTATAGAATGAAATGCCACTTTTTTTCACAATTATTTTTAACTGAGAAGGCATAATTTATAGAGTTTGTACCTAGAAGAACTCCATTAAGAAAGTAAAAGTATAATTTATTGATAAATATCTCATTTGAATAATTGAAATAACATTAGATTAATAATCTATGATTGTGATGGAAGTGTTACTTTTTTTTAGATTTGCTTTATTCTTTTTGAATGCCCAAAACCAAACATTTTTGCTTTTATTATGTTGGTTAGTAAACTTAAAATGTCAATATCAATCTCAACAAATTTGGTCTAATTAAATATTAAGGAAACTTAGAATAAAGCTTCTTTTAAAAATTGAATCTCATAAGACATCATGTTCAAATAACTAAATAATTTAAGGTATCTATCCTGCCGAAGAAATTGAAAAACTAATAAGTTTAAGACCAAAATTAAATGAAAAAATATCATAGTATTTTGATATAACGATCGAGCATCTATAATTGTTTCTAATAGACTTCTATTAATGATTATATTTTATAACTTTACTTTAGCTTAGAAATAAGTTTAACAATTTTACATATTATTAAATTATATATTAAATGCATTACAAAAAATACTATTTTTAGAAATAAAATTTATTAAGTTAAAGTTCTTATATAAATATGCTTTAAATGATAACATATAATTTTACAAAGGCTATCCTATTCTAATATTTACTTGGATGTTTAACTATAATTCTTTATAGGGAGGTTAATAAAATTTTGGTATCAAATTAATTACAATAAATTGAGTAATGAAGACAGAATCTATCCATCTGACTGATAATGAACAGCCTCTATTACAATTCTCGAATAGGTAAAGTAGAAATCTCTTCATATCTGATTTTAATTTTGAGATTAGTCCTTAAAAAAAGTCAGGAAAATCAATGTCTCCTAAAAGATAGTTGATGAAAGTATGCCCATAGACTCAAAGTCTTAAATTTATTATGAGCCAAAACTTACTCTAATTATAAAATTTAAACTCTCTAAAGAAAATTTTCAAAAGAAGTGTGATTGTTGTAAGAGCATGCATAAGATTACACAAATTTTAAAAGAAACCAAATTTAGTTTTGAAAGTACCTTTGAGTGGAAAAGAGTCATTAATTGACACAGTCTTGAATGAAACAGTATTAAGTTGGTGCAGAGGAATATGCAAAAAGTCGTTGTCTTCCATAAAAATGCCTGTGTTTGATTATTTAAAAAATCCTAATTGCAATATTAAAGCAGATACTTCTAAGGTGTAGTTGATTAATGCAATTAAATTTTTAGTTGAAAGTCTTGCGTATTATACACATCCTCATTATTTAAATTATGAATTAAAAAGCTTTCTATGTTCTTAATTGTATGAAGATTATAAATTATACTTTACACACTATGTTTCAGAAAGAACCAAATACAAAATAGCTATTTTGGATGAGTTATAGGATAAAGAAGCTGCTATCATTAGTTTAGAAATAATAATATTTAATCTCACAGAAGCAATAATTTAAGACTCGTTGTCTTGTAATTTTAGCAAACTTGTTTTAATTAGTGTTCTTTAATTACTATTTAAATAGTATTTTGATGAAATGAATTGTTCCATATGCCATTAAAATTGTATTTAGGGCTAAATAAAGTTAAATAATAATAAATTTTATCTTACATTTGTTAATTAACATTCGGGCTCTTTGAATTTAATAGATGGTGTCTATAATGATTAATAAATTATTGACTTATTAGATTTCAATAGATGCTAATTTGGAAAAATTCAAGAATACTTTAGAATAGCTGTAAAACATTTGGAGAAATAAATTATATGATATTAATATATGTTCATGTGCCATTTAGAATTATTATTTCTAAATTACAATTATTATTCCTAATTGATATATCATTATATTTCTCATTTAAAGGGTTAGCAGCTCTATTAATATAAACATTACCTAATGTTAATGATAACATAATATCTATAAATAGGGTGGAATAAATTTTGGAAGGGATTTCCTTATCATATTAATTAATTTTAAATATTAAGATTGATATAAAAGAACATCATAATATAAATGAATTTTACTCTGGTTTGATAGAATTTAACCATTAAATGTTAAAATTAAGAAATAATTTTATAATCATTTTTATATAAATTTTTATATAACAAAGATTTATGGATTCAGAATAAGCAGAACTAAACATTCCTGCATAAATATCTTATTCGCATTAGGAAAATGAATAAATCTAAATTGCTCATAGTATTTATCCAAATTAGTTGAATAATCTCAACCATCTGTTAGCTGCTCTCGATAATATGTTGGAAAAGGCTGGATAATAACATTCATTAAAGAAATTAAAAAATTAATTTCTAATTGTAAAAAGAAATACTGAGACTATTTTAACTCACACAACTCCTTATGTTTGATTCAATAAAATAACGGCCCTTTATGGCAATACTATCTATGATTAATTTGAAGGTAAATGAGATAATAAATTAGTTATTTTTTTAGTTTATGAGGCAAAATAAATTATTTCATTTTCATTGAATGGTTTTTAAACAATGCTTATTTTTGGAGATGCATTTGAATAGCTTTAAAAATAGGTTCTATTTTAGAATCATTCAAAATGTCTATTTATTTTTTATATTTCCTTATTAATATAACAATATGTCCTTTATTGCATAGTTTAGATTCGCATTTAAAGTTACTCATTGTCAAAAATAACTTGAAATATAATATCATTAGCAAATTCATTTGAAGAAACTAAAAAAAATAAATATTATTCAAGAATTAGTATAAAATAAAATCATATCTTCATACTTCCTATAGAAAATTTTGAATAAAATTAATATCAATTTTGTCTTGTTTGTAGATCCAAATTAATTTGAGCAATAATCTATATTTAATTAATTCTAACCCTTAAACATTTATCCAATTATAAAATACAAAAAAATATAGAAGATTCTTCCAAAACCATAATTTGTTATTTACTAAAAGAAAATTTACTCTTTTTTATAAATTTTTTGGAAAATACAATAATAATTAATAAAATTAGACACTAAAAAGTAATAAGTTCTCTTTATTAAGACTTTAATATGGATGACTTATTTTACCCAGTCTCTGAATATTTTCATAGGTTATTCAGTTAAAATATCATATTATGAATGAGCCAAAAGCATCATAATTAAAAATTAAATAGGCTTTATTAAATTGTCTTAGTTAATGCATCAATTTAAAATAGAAAAATGAATTGATCCCTTTCCTTATAATTGAATACTCTGATAATCCTAAGCATAGTGTTAGGTATTATGCATGGCCTAACTGAACCAAATTTATTTTTTTGGATGAAAAAATTTCATCATTGAAAACCATCTATAAAAAAAATAACAATAATAATACTATTCCTTAAATATTTTCTATTTTCAGAACGTAGTTTCTTTTATATGAATTAAATCAAATTTCTCTTTTCAAATAATAAAATATTCAAAAAATTATAATTAAAATCAAAAATTTTATTCTTATGAAAAATTTTTCTTTAACTTTAACTTAATAGAATTTCATTTATAAATATAAGAAAATGAAACTACTTAAGCAAGTTATCATATAAAACAATAAACTCAGCTTTTCTTTGTTGACTCTTCTTTGAAGGAGAGTTCCCCATCTGATTCTTATGTCTCTGGATTCAAATTACTATAATCTCAATTATTTTTTTGTTATTTTACTAAAATATGATGTAAACAGATGACTTATTCATTTAAGATTCATCAATTGTATTTAGAGATTTTATGCAGAATTAAATTCTAAATTTTACATTGATACTTATTAAGATGAATTTCCACTATACTTTTTTAATCTATTTATTTAAGGAAACTATTTTTAGACCAAATCAATTATCCAATCGAAATCCAAATTTTTACATCCTTTAAAAACAGCTTTCAAACTATCATAATTAACAGGCAAATATAAAGGGTTTAAGATTGATCTTATTAGCGATAAGATTGATCTTATTAGCGAAATCAGTAAAACAAGGAAGAAAATGTTTAACTGAGAAATACCACTATAATTTTTTGCTCTTTTTTAAATTATTTTGATTAATCGAAGAATTCTCCTTCTGTCAAGAGTTATATTCTAAATCATCTTTAGGATATAATTTTAATGATTTATTTAGTAATTGTTACATATCCCAAAATGCTGTCCTACACTTGAATATTTATTTAAATGAAATACTATCTTAGAGTTTGGTTTGAACAAAATAGAATTCTAAAAGTTGCCTAAGGAAATTCTCTTCAAATTTTCCAAGCATGTTAAATACTTTGCAAATTTAAATTGGCATGGACAAAGTTAGCAGAATGCAATAATTTTAATGCATCAATCTAAAATATTAACAAATAATACAGTTTTTAAAGTTATTAAAATTATGCATTCTAATGAAAACTTTGATTTCCAAAAATAGAGTCAGAACTTTAAATTGGGGCTAGTTTTATTTAAGACTTAGTAATTGTATTGATTCATGAAAATCACATGCTCAATCAATTTAACTAGATAATATTAAAAGTCCTAAGGTATTTATCCAACTTGATTTTTCTCCTCATTGTGATTCTCAAAATAAGCTTTAAAATACAATTAAATTTAATCTCATGACCGGAACGATAGTATTTTAGTGCTATTATCACTTTTGGATATTAGAGACATTCTTACACACATTCTTGCTTTTATTATAAATTGATCGCTTAAATAACAATAGTTTTATACCTTCAAAGATTGTTGAAGCCTTTCCTTAATATATTAAATTAAGTAATATGTATTTTTGATCGACAATAACAGGATTTTGATTATTTTTATTTTGCATTTGTGTAAATTTCTTCTAATACAAATAGTTTACTCTTGAGTAGATAGATGATTTTTTATTTTTGTTTTCTTTTGTAGTTTTTTTTGGTTGATTGATGTATTTTGCCCGTTAGAATCCACATCTTTATTTCATTAATGGATGGATCGAATATTTAATATACATTATTATCACTATATAAAACTTAAGAGATTGAAGATTTAAAAACAGTTCTAATAGATACTTGATGATAAATTAAATTTATTTTTGTAAAGTAATCAAATACAAAATTATATAAATTAAGGCGATCATCAATGTGAGAATTTATTTAATTTTCAGATTCTTTTTTAAAGTAAATTGTTATAGTCAGTTGGAAAATTGTGATTCTCACTGAATTGTAAATCATCTTGTAGTTGTTGTTCAATAGGACCAAAGCTTTTAAAAAGAAGATTTCTGGATTCAGCAACAGTAGAATTAATAGTTTTATTTTTAACAGATTCATTTTTATTTTATTTTTCTTATTTGATGGGATCTATTGAATTTTTTCTTGAAACATTCTAAGATTTTTAATAGATTGAATCGACCAAACTGAATTTCAACAAATCATCAAAGCAATTAGAATCTAGACTTTCCCGAAAAAAGTCTTGTTCTAGACATTCCTTTAATGTGAATCTATATTTAGGTTAGATTCGAGTCATTTAGATAATGAGATTTTTTAATGATTAGGGCAACTTGATCTTCTCATTGAAACAAAGACTGCCAGAATTAGATAATTTAAAAGGGTGAACCCCATAGAAACTAATTATTAATAAAGAATTTACATTTCATAAACTATGATACCCAAACTGAAAACATCACATTAAGTGGTATACATTTTTTATTTTTCCTTGTATTCCTGAACTTCAGGTGCTGCATATCCAGGAGTACCACAATTATATAATACATGCTCTTAATATTTATAATTAGTCGAAAATCCGAAATCAATTATGGCTACATCAGTGCTGGTAGGGTCTTTGTCTTTGTACATGATATTTTATGGTTTCAAGTCTCGATGCATAATTTATTATGAATGGACATAATTCATAGTTTCTAGAATATCTCTTACTAATTGTTATTTTTGTTTAAGTGAAAAATTCTATAGCTTTTCATATAAATGACCACCTTCATAATAAGTCATTAATAATTCTACAGAATCTAAGTTTTAATTATGAAAAGATACCATCACTTTCATATACTTCATATAATTTCGGAATATTTGGATTGTCGAGACTTCGCATAATAAATATTTCTTCAGCCAAACTTTTTGCTTGTTTCTCTCTCATTTTGTGTCCTAATGGGGCTTTTATCACTTTTTTAATTGCAAATTTTTCATTATTTAGATGATTTATCACAAATACCTAGAACAAATAATCTTGAAAAATTACCTCTGAAGTAATACCTTCCCCTATTTTTTACCTTAAATATTAGAAAGCAAGGGGTATTGATTCTTGGATGCAATTCTGTTTCAATTCAACAATAAAATTGTCAACTTCTTCCGATTTATTTCCGGTTTGTAGGACTATTTACTAAAACTCATGAGATAGAGTAATAAGAATAGTATTGTCTTTGTTGCGAAAAGAACAATATACATTTTTAAGTAGGAGAAAGCCTCCAATTTCACCACTCTTTATTAAATCACTTATAAAATAAATACCTTACCTTTCGAAAATAGAATAAGTGCTGTCTATAAATCTTGTATCTCCGAGGAGTTATCATCTTGAGGATTTGGCCTTGTTTAATCAATACGATAGTCTTTTAATTTTCAGACAATTCACGAAAATCGTAATTAACTAAGGCATTTAAATCTCTATTCCAAAACGATTACTACTTAGAGGATACAAAATATAAAGAGTGTTTCATAATAAATTATAATTAATAAAAATCATACTCAATTATGATGATATCCAATCATATATTTCTGATTATAGTATGTATTTAATCAATACGAGTTTAACCAAAATAAAAATGTCTAAATTTTAAGTAAATTCAAGCCCTAACATTAATCAGAGCTCTAAATTCAATAAATTAGATGAACTTAAAATTTAATCAGTTTTAATTATTTTTTTTGCATTAATTATAAATAATTATTTTCAATTTTATATCATTGGAATTAATATTTAAATCATAATTCATAACCTGCTCAAGCATTTAATTTCCTATTAAGCTTTTCAAGAGCAGCCTTGTTTTCTGCTTCATAATTTGATGCTTCCTTCATAAAAAACTCAATGGTCTTTTCCAAAGCTGTTATCAAAGGAGTGAATTTTATATCCAATTCCTTGATTTTTTTATTGCTAATAATTCCACAATCAACTGAAGGATAGAATTTGCTCGCTTCTACTACATGTTTGATATTGAGTTATTTTTGTGATATTTTATCAAGCTAAAATTAGTATTAAAGTATTACTATCACCTAAGTTAATTCAATATATGAAATTGTCTCATCAAAACAAACATTATAAATTTAATTTTATTATGGAATATTTTAAATGAAATATTTAATGCAATTCACAACATCTGTGCTAAATACAAGACTAATTTATTCTGATTGCACAGCTTAATCCTAACTAATTAATTATCATATTTACCACTTAAATAGGATGCTTGTCATTTTATTGAAGCCATTTTACTAAAGCGAAAAACCTTCCAGAATCATCAAAAGGCCCAATAACATCTGGAAGTCTCAAAATGACATATCTAAATGAACCTTCGATTACATAATTTTATAGAAACTCTTCGCATTTCAATTTATTCTAAATATTCAAATTAATATTATTACATGGCCATAACTCTCTCCCTTCTTTTACGATTCTGTTAATTCTTTTCTTTGATCCTAATCTTCTGTTATTGGAATTTTTCTTATCTTGCATACATCATATATTGAATCAGTTGATATAAATATGTATAAATTGCACAATCCTCTTAAAGCAACATACACAGATTTCACTTAACTACTGTAAAATGCAGAGAAATCAACAACAGCTTCCCAAATTCTACCATTAACTCCAACCCCGAGTTTTTTTGAGAGATACCTTATCAAAGTAGTAAAATCATTTGTATCCTCTCGATTACCGTATGTATAATAAGCATTCTTTATCTGATTTACTGCATTGTTCCAATAATTTTTCCCTCTATTTATAAAGTGAACTTCATATGACTCATTCTAAGAAAGGTCCTACAATAATTCCTTTCCCATGAAAGTAGAACCGCCAAGTACAAGTATTAACTTTTTCATGATACTTCTGAATTAAATAATTAATAAAATGGAATTATGTGAGTAATTCAAAGAAACTGTAAAATTGTCTTAAAAATATAGCTTTAAGAATAGGATGACAATAGAAGATAAACCTTGATGTTTAGCGTATGTAGAAAATTGAGTAGAATGTTGCCTTTTCCTTCAATTATCTCAGTGTTGTAATAAAAACCTAATATATTGAAATATTTACTGATCGCCAGTCAATTATATGAAAATAGTGTATCAATAAATTCATTATAGGCCTTATTATTATTATATGCTTTATAAGATAGGTATTGGGAAGAATAGGACTACGTCAAACTGTATTTTGATTGCGTTACTAAATGTCTCATTAACCAGGAGAGTATTGTACCGATTATTGACATTTTTAGTATATTGTTAAACTGTGAGTGATAATGAAACCAAACTTAGATGGTTTCTACTAGAGAACTCCAAAAATTTTATCTATAAAATCTAACTGCCCTTTTTTGACAATGAATTTGTTTGTTAAAAGGTAAACGATTTCTTTAAGAGTTTCATAAAATATAATTCTAATTTTGACATGCTTAATTCATGTTTCCAATTTGCTTTAGAAAGAAGAAATGTATGGGTTTTGTTACGAGAATTGGATTCGTAGTTTGAAATCGATGTTGAAGATTGTATTATCATATATCAAATATTTAAGAATTGGTAGCCTTAAGTTAAGTGATGAGTTCAAAGAACTTAGATTTTATAAGTGAAAAAATAGAATAAAAAAGAGAAGAAGCATCAAATTATGGATTAACAAAAAAAGAATTAAAATAATAAATGTTGGAAGAATGGTTATTTCAACCAAGTGAAGTACCTTTATTAGTAGCTAATCATGCAACTGTTGATTAATTGAGCAGCGAAGTTTTTAAGTCTAATATGCTCCTAGACTTGTTTTTGTCATTTCTATTGTTTCCAACAAAAAACCCTTAAGTAATTCCAAATGTAAATATATCATTTTAATTGTAGAAATTATATAATTTTTATGTAGATATGAATCCTCCAGATCCTCCTTCTTTTAGACAATTAAATGTTAATGTTTCATAAGAAAGAAGACCCTTGATCCAATTTAGGGCTTTTAGAACTATGCAAGTGATAACTGATAATAGAAATAACTTTTTGCTTACCAGAGTTAACAAGGAATATTATTAAAGAGCATATTCAATGATTTATGAATGTCTAAAATAGGATTTGGTAGCCATCACTATTTGTCCAGAAATTATTGTATAATACCTATCCTTCCTTTTACATCAAGACCCTGAAATGTCAATATTCTTCCTGATTTTTTATAATATTCCTTATAGATTGATGCTATTTTTAGATATTCCAGAGATCTCTTAATTTTTCACATAATTAATGAATTTTCTACAAACTCCTTATAATAAAGTTCATATTTAATCTAGTTAATTAATTTGGAAGTATTTTGAGCTTTCTAATTTTTTTTCTGATTTACTAAAAATGACTATATTTGATTCAAAAACCATAGATGATGTTATCACTTTAAAATCAAATGAGTTATATAGACCTAAGAAATTAGAAGAAATATTAAAACGACCTGATTTTACTCCCTTATAAGTTGAAAAGCAATTTCCTTAACCAGAATAAAAGAAAGTAGCCGAAGAAATAGATGAATTGGATTAGGATCTTGATAAAATTTTCCATTATCTCCCCAATAAATGTTAAAAAACGCTAAAGATCTTTGAAAGAATGTTAGATCAAGCATCAAAGAAAAAAGAAAGCAAAGCGAAACAAAGAATGTCTCTTGCAGCTACTCCACCTTAATTTTTATAGACCAAAAATCTAAAAATTGAAGAATAAACTACAACGATATTCAGTCCTACTAGAAGAAGAACAATTTTAGCACCGAAATTAGCATCTATGCTTGATGGTAGTCTTAAGCGATCATTAGTTGTTAATCCTGTTGAATTTGATAATATGCCTTAAACTACTACAAATAGTACCACAAGAAGTCAATTATAAGCTTTGACTAATCCAAATAATTTGTTTGGAGTGTTGACTGAATAAATTTAATTAATCAGCAAAAAGAATCCCTAAGAAATAGTGTAAAAACCTATGTTTTAAAGAATGCTAGTTAAAAGACCAACTCAAATGATCATGCTTCATAGTAGATCATTATCTAATCAAAAAAGATTAAGTCAATAATCATCCTAGATTAACATAACTGAATCCGTGAATAAGTCAAGAATCTAAAACTCTATTATTTTAAATAAATTCAACCATTTAGTGGGATCCATCAAAGGCTATGATATAGACAAAGAGTTTTGTATTTATCCCCCAGAGTTAAAAGATTAATAAATTAATGATTTTGAAAAATTGGCCTTTGATGATGAATTCCAGAAACTTTCATAAAGAAATGAGAATTATTCAAAGGGAGTGTTATAATGCATCTACGATATCCTTCATATGATTTTCACTTAAAGGAAGTTTATTTTATAAAATAACCATCATTTTGAACATCCAGAATTCTATCTAAATATCTTAATTGGGGAAAATAAATCCTGTTTTATAGATATCATAGCGAAGAATTATTTATTGAAATAGAAGTAAGAAGAAGATTTCCTATGTACTTTCCTTCTTGCAGGTAGAATTTATAATTTAATATTGTCATAGTATAACCATAAAATATTTAAATTTAATTTTAATGAACATTTAACATTAATATGTAAGATACTTTTAACTTAACTTCTTACATCAAGATTATCAATTAGAGCAATTACATTATTGGAAAGTGTCACATTGATAGTAGAAAACACAAAATAATAATTACTCTCTTATATTCCAATATCATTTTGGCACTTATTAATTGAAACTTATTCAATTCACAATTCCAATTAAATATTTATAAATTACTTTAGACGAATATTAATAACTGCGTTCATATATGGGAATTTAGTTATTTACAACAGAATTCTTTTAAAAATCAATTTTCTCTCCTATTTTAAAAATAATCCTGAATAAATTAAAGGGATTTTTCTGATTTTATATATGATGTTTAAATTAAGACAAGATGGGTTAAAACAATTAAAGAGATAAATTATATTATTATCATCTTGGACTGCTTTAGCAAATTGGTTCTAAAAGTAAGTATTCTGATTAATTATTTAAAGAGACCTATAATGCCTTGAATAATAAAAGTTTTAAGAGTATACAAAGGGCCTTAGAAGTGAAGATATTACTAGGATTTAAATACTTATTGAAAACAAAGATTCTAAAAAGAATAAATTTTGTAAACCTTGATTACATATGAAATATATATAAATTTTAAACTTATAAAATTCATTTAAAATGGATTCTTATATTACACAGAGATAAGATTTGCTTTATTGGATTATAATCTTATCTCTGTATAGCTATTATTATATTCCTATTCTTGATGATACTTATATATGGGGGTCACTTGAAATGATAGACATTAAATAAATAACAGTTAGAACCATCTGTTGTAGTTTTGTTTATTAATAAGTAGAATTTTACAATTAAATTGTTATTAAAATATCTTACATAAATAAAAAGTTTTAATTGCCAAAAAGTATTGAATCGTTTTAATTTGCAAATTTTGCGAACTAACTTAAAGTGCTTCAAATTTATATTTAGAGGTGTATAAAGGGCATTTATAATATTATAATTTCTTAACTTTATTGATAAAATTCCACTTTCTATTTATTATTAATAATAGATGCAGAATTACTAAATTTTAGAGAAAATTTATGAATCAAAGTCTACAATAATTCATAAAGTTAGAAATATAAAGGATAACAACACATACGCAATGAAAGAGTTTGTCGGATTCTATAACTAAGGTATCAGATTAAATTGATATTTAGCTTTAAGTGAAATATAAATAATGAAGAAATGCTAAATACCTTTTGTTATCAAACTAAAAGAAGTATTTAGATTAGATGATAATGTAATAATAATAATGGAATATGCAGATTAAGGAAATTTAAAATAGTTCATAAGTGAGCATCTCGGAAGTTTCATTTCAGAAAGAGTGATTTGTAAAATTCTTATACAAATCATGTTTGTTCTGATATACTTGAGAGAGAATAAGATATGTTATAAAGGTTTGAACCCTGAAAATATATTGATACATTAGGAATAAGTTAGGATTTGTGATTTTGGAATTGATAACTTAATATAGCATCAAAAACCTAGTTACAGGCCTCCAGAATTGTTATTTCAGAATAATTTTACTTACAAATCTATGATGTATCAATTTGGTCTTGTGTTATATGAATTGACTACACAGAGACAATTATTTAAGTCTGAGATAATAGAGCAAATCAAAGCAGTTATTCTTAACGGAGGAGCGTAATTGAAATTATCATTTAAGAATTGTAAAGATTCCCTCGATGTATTCCAAGGAGCTTCGATTCATAATCACAACTTGCCTTGATCTTCAAGAAACTGGTAGATTTGATATTCGAGAATTAGTACACAATGAAAACTTCAAAATATTATTAAAGTAAAAGCATTTCACTTTTACCTATGAATAATAAGACACTTTTGAGTTTTGGTGTAATAGTAAGTAGCAGAAATAGAACAGGAAGAGTGTTTTTACTGATAATTTAGATTTAGAAGCTAAAGAACCCAATTCAAATGGAAATGATTAGCAAATTATTTAATAAGATAAACCAAACAACAATAAAACTATTAACATAGAATCTAAAAATAGAAGTAATCTAATTATACCTAAGCTGAATTAATAAACATTAAATGAAACACTTACTGTTAGACCAATATCTTAATAAACTAAAGGAACTTAATCTAATACTATTATTAGAAGTAATACATTCAGTAGATAAAATTTCCCCTCATTCACTAATCGAAAATTGCTTTCTCCAAAACCGAAACCTTAATTCATTGACTTCATCTAAAAACCTCAATATTTGGATGCTCCTACCAAACCATAAAATGCTATAAATAATTTAATCAAACTAAAAATGGAATAATGTGTTGAAACTATTGGAATTGAAGAAACTAGATAAACTCTTAATAGATTAAAATAAGGAGGGTCACTTAAAGAATTTATTTCTAAATATCAAGATGCTAAGCATTATTGCATAGCTAGACATATGTAAGATATTATTTCATTTACATAATTATGATATCAATATATAGATTTAAATTTATACATCATTCTGCTGATAATTATTCTTAAATTGCTTTCTCTTCTTGTAATGCTATTTCTAGTCTTCCTTCTAAGAACTTAGACCAACTTGGTGCTTAAGCCTGCTTGTATAGTTTTATCATAAGCTGATCCTTTTTTATAATCTTTTATAAATCGCTAAAATAGCCCTCCATATCATTTATTAATTTATTTTTTAATTTATTTTATTATCTATAACAATCCTCCCATAATTTTTAAACAAATCTTTATTATAACCTCTAAGAGGGGTCTTGTTTTAATTCAACTGTCTTATTTTGTAAAAAAGGTGCATATTACACTAAAAAATAATAAACACTTCCTTTTAATGGATTTTCTGGGTTCAACAAATCTTCTTATAACTATGGCATTTTTTCTCCAAGCTTTTTAACATTTTAATATTATTCATCGTCCTCTTAATGATTTAGAAGCTAATTAAATTAATACTAAATACAATTAATTAATCTGGTTATAATTATGGACCTTAACAGCCTTCATCTTCCTCAACTTATTATTATTATTATTATTGTTATTATTACTGTTATTATAATTATTATTATGGTTACTAAATTTCTTACTTTTGCTACTGCTAAGGAACTGGTTCATTTGGTATTTCTTTTAATTTTTATTCTAAGTATTAATCCAAACCATTTTTTTTATCAAATTTTGGGTATGTTTTAAGTATTTATGCTGTTGTTACACTTTTTTTCTTATTTAATGATTCTCTCAACAAGATACAATATTGTAATACTGTCTTCTCATTTAAAAGTAGATCTCCTTCTATTGTAGACATATCGAGTAAATCATTTAATTAAATTTTTCCTTATCCTTTTAAGTCATTTGATATCCATCCTTTTTTAAATAGTTTAATTTCAATTGCGCTTAAATGAATCTCTTTTGTGCCATTCTTGAAGTCCTTAAGATTGATATCTTAAACGTAACCTAATCTTCCAGTACTGTCAGCTTACTCAGTTTTACCTTAATAAGGTTAACTAATTTTTATTGAATAATAGTTTACTTTCCTATTGTAAGTTCGTATTATAATAGCATTTTATCTCCATTAACAAAATTTTTAAATTGAATTCTTAATGTGCCATTTGGAACATCTTTATTTACAGTTGACACATCTCTATTTTCTAATTCCATTTTAAAAATTGGTAAAGGAGTCCAACTTTCATTTTTTTAACCTGATAAATATTTCTATAATTCTTCATATCTGGCAAAATATTGCTTGCATATATCAGCTGGACTAACTTTCTGCATTTATTTAGTACCAGGAATGACTTAAATAATAGGTTTAGCAAGTGAAGCAACTTTATAATATAGTTATTCCTCTTTCAAAGCTTAATTCACTTAATCCAACATATTTTAAATCTTTGCCTAATATTCTATCTTAGGAATCCCAAGAAATTAATCCTCAGTTATATCTTTAAATTCAGTAATGAAGAATTTTGAAAAATCAACATTTTTGCCTTCTTTCAAATCATTTTAAATTGCTTTGCTTTTTTCTAATTTTCCAATCAAGAATTCTATCAAGTCTCTTTTTTCATCTTTCATATGAATACTTAAATATTATGTTAAATTTAAATATTCTTTATGTCTAATAAGTAATTCCTTTGCTTTTTCTTTATACGGCTTTTCTTAGAATTCTTCAAACAAAAATTTCTATGTCAAATCAGGACCGCAACCAAATTCTTAACAAATTTTGCCAAATAAATTTTTCTTCAAATTTTCTAATTCTTAATTCAATGTTTTGCATCTGAGACCTATTCTATTTTTCATAGCTGGTGCAGCAGTCTTAAACTTAATTTACTCCTATTGAAATGTATCATTCACCATTTTTATATATTGATTTTCTTAAATCTTCTCATCTTTAATTTATTAAACAATCGTAGTAAGTTACTTTTACAATTCGGATACCTATATATTACAATAATATCAATTACTAGATTTTTATAGAAATTAGTCAATTCAGGATTTTTTTTAAAGTTTGGTAAAATGTTCTAATTAATGTACCCAATGTCGAATTTAATTACGCTCATAGACTTTAAGTTGGATGGAATGGTCAATTGATTTTCTAATTCTTGGAGATCTATGCCTCCCTTTTTATTTTTTGCTGGCCCTTATTATTATTATGGATTCTATGTCTAATTTGACTTTTATGGAGCATTTTAGTTCTAGGGATTTTCGTATTGTGAAAGCATTTAATCATAGAGGTCAGTTGATTTAGCAGCTTTTTCAATTTGGTTGTTTGCTTTGCCAACATCGATATTTCAAGAATAGAATATATACTCTTACAATTATTATTAAAGTTTTCTCATTTCTGGATCATCATCGAAAGCATTTCCTTCATTTACTTAAGAGTCTCCATCATCGAAATCTTCACCCAATTCTTTTGAATATTCCGCTAGAAGATCATTAATACTTCTTTTTGGCTACATCATATTATTAATAATTATGAATTGAAAAATAGTATAAGTTTATCATATGGAAATCATAATAATTTAAAGTCATAGAGATTGTGATATTTTCTAATTTTATAATTTGATTTAATTAAATTTGTGACAATAATTATTGTGTTCCTTCTTCTTTTATGAAAAATAAAATCCCGCTCTTAAATTGTATTCGCGAACAAAGAATAAAATTTGATATCAATCAGTATGTCTTCGAAGATATAGAAATATTAAATTTTCAAAATTGAATATATCATCAAACCAGTGCTTGTTATTATTGGTTGTTTTCTAATTCTTTTTAATCTATGCTATCTTGTTTTTCATCTGAGGATTGAGTTCTCGTGGACTTTAAAATTAATTTCTCATCAGTGAATTTTTCTTTAAATTAACTTAAGTAATTTTTGCGTATTTGGTTTCGATATTAATTTTAATTTTTTCCATTTATTTGGTATATTTTTTTTTGTTAGGGCTTGTATTCCTCTTCATTCCTGTCCATAGCTGCCAAAAAATTATTATGACAATATGAGTATTATGATGGTTCTGTTTAATCAGATTCTCTACTTAAACTTTCATCTTTGACAATCTATTTGGTAAGTAATTTAGTGTATTTTTTATTTGATTTGGAAGGGACTAATCTAAGTCTGCTTTTCTATTATGAAACACTTTCTGGTATCTAATTAATACTTATTATTTATTCAAATTTCTGTTATGGTTCTGTTTAAGTTTCTTAGTTCATAGTTAATTTTCTTCTTTTATTTATTTGATCAAATTCTTTAAGATGAACTGTTTCTACTATCGACTCTTAGCAGAAAGCAAGAGGCTCTATAAAAATATTATCAACCTTATTGGTTTAGGATTTCATAGTCTTGAGAGTATTAATGATATTTTGAGGTATCATCATTATTTTTTGCAAAAATTCCATTAAAATAATTCTGAATATATATTAATAAAAATAAATAAATAATTATTGGTTTATTTAATGGAGAAAATGAGGGGTAATTAAACAAGATATTTGTATATTAAAGATAAATAACAATCTTGTATGATGCTATTAATCATAATGGTAAGATTCTGTTTACCAATTTTTGTTTAAATCTTTTCCCATATCTATTTGGTTCTTATGCAGAGGTATCTAATTATAAATTCATTTTAATAATCTTTTTTGTTTTTCTTTCAAGAGATTTATTCACATTCCATTATTATAAATAATCAATAATACCAATATGATAATAAATCTAATAATATTATACAATTTACATTTTATTCTTTAATTGAAGGATTCACATTGATTTATTGGTTGCCCTAATGTTTATACAACAATTATTATTGATCTTTCCAATCTATCTTCATAACCAACAAAGAATAATCAATTAGATGTTATTTTTCTAGGAAATCAGAGTCCTTAATTAAATTCTAATTTAATTCTAGATTTATTTAACTATATTACTTTACATAATTGATTATTCTACCCAAATTTATTGTTCTATTTTGAAAAAATCTAAATCCTTAAGAGTCAATTTCGATAAATCAGTTTCAGATCTTTTAGCAAGAACTTCACGATCATATTCAGACCCTTTTAAATCATAGATTCTTAATATGTAATTCCTTGGGATGCCTAAAGATAGATTCTTCATTATTAAAAAGTGTATCTTTGCTTCAGATTTTTCAACTCTTTCAAACGTATACATTCCATATATCTTATTTAATAAAGATTCTGGATTATTTGCTTAATAAGTAGCAAAGTTTAATAAACGCTTTTTGTAAGTATTTACTTCAGCTTATCTCATTGTTTTAATAATCAATTCATTATTGTGAGAGAAGAAAAAAAATTCACCACTTTTTCCACCATCTGGACCTGTGAATTATTCAATATTCTATAAGTTCTTATTAACATCAAAAGAATCCTCTAGATCAACATTATCTAATGTCAGAAAATAGTTAAATATCTTTGGAGCGTATAAAATACATCTTGTTTAAAACACTTAAATATTTAGGGTATCATGAAATTAGGATTTTATTAGATCATTATTCAAATTGACAACCCAACATTATTCTATCTCTTGAGGAGTAAATGGTTTTAGGGAGACCTCAATTAATTCACTTAAATCTCCAGAGCATGTTCCTTCACCATCATCTTAATCATCAATAATTTCTAGATCCTTATATAATATTGTATTTTCTTAATTCTATTTTATTAACATCTAAATCCCAGCTAACATGGAAATCATTTGAGTTTTTTTCATTTCTTTTTACAACTATTCTAAAAGGTTAAATTCTAAAATAATCAAAATAAAATTCTTTACATTACATAGCAATCTCAGGTTTTGTGTCATTTGGTGAATCTAAATCTTGCAAGTTCTCAGAAGATTCTTAATGATGAAATTTAGGTATTAGTAGTGGATCTTTTGTGATAATAATAACCTAGCCTAAAATACAAAGTGCTTATGTAACGTTGTCACATGTTTCAGAAGGTAAAAGATAGGCCTTCAAAAAGATATAACAATTGAGTAAATTAATTCCACTGAAAATTCCAAGAAAAAATTTCATTACAAGGCTAAATATAATGAATTTTTAATAATATCTCAAATATTTGCCTCTTAATTCTTTAATTGATGACATTTTAGGAACTAACCTTTTGAATGTAAAAACGTAAATTATTGACATTGTTGCAAATAAAAGGAAAACAAACAAATAAAATGAGGCTATAATATAATCCCAAAAGGATTAATGAGTAGCTGAAATTGCACACATACTAAAAATTATCAAATTATTAATACCCATTTAACGTAATTGAAATTATATTGTCATTAAACAGAAACCCCAATATAACTAAGATAATTATAAGAGCTGTCAGAGTGTAATTGAATATTCTGATAAATTTAACAGTTTTCTCCAATGTATTATAAACTAAAGCAAGAGGGTAAGCAGAGAATATAAAAATGTTTATATTCGAAATTACAAATACAATCGATGTTGTTATCCCTGTAATCTAATTTATGTTCATAATTACATCACAGAATAATTTGACTGGAGCTGAATCCTCTATTAATACATACAATGCTGTAGAAAACTGAGTTAATGATTGAATTCCATTCGTTAATGTTATCACAAAGATTACATCTCCAGGACCTCCGAAAAGTGTTAAATCTTTAAGGAACTCATAGATAATTCGGACGGAAATCGAAAATGTAATAGGGGCTTTGAATGATCATTCAACTTATACATAGTAATACAAAGGTCCAACAATCGATTGGAAACAGTTTAAGCTTTTAATAGTTTATTAGAAATTATTCACCATAACTGTCTTCTTAACAGTTAAATATTTTGCTCTCATCGTACATATCAGCCTTTAATTCTACGTTTAAAAGAAGGAGTATCATAATGCAGAATAGATTCATCATCAAAAATATAATTTATTTATTGCATAATTTTATAAGTTTATTGCGAAATCAAATAATAAATCTTAAATCATATCTATACTTATCTTTGAACTACTTATAAATGAATGTAATTAACTATGTAGTATGAATATGGGAATCTAAGACGTTCAATTAAACTCAAGATAATCGTATTTTATCAACTTAGTTTAAGAAATTTATGACTTGCTAATCAAATTAAAATAATATAATTAATTATCAATAGAAGAATTACTTTGATTTTTTTATCAAGATTATTAATTCAAACCTTATGTGAACTTAATTGCATTACATATTAAAATATAAAATTATTGAAATTATTATTATTGCCTAAAATAAAATAAATATTAATTTAATGTCATGATAACTACTATGGACACAAAAGTGATCATAAAATTAGACAAAATTCTGTAAAAAACTCTTATTGCTTTTACAAATTAAATTTTAGTCAATAGAAAATAGAATTGAACATATTAAATGTTATATTTTGCTTTATGAGCATAAATATTCTAAAAATTAATAATAATGGCCATTTAACGTCAAGATTAGTTAATAATTTAAATACTATACTATTGTTATTTCAGCATAATTCATATAATCCAATATCTTTTTAGGAATCACTTAGTAAATAAAATGAACTTCTATTTTTGAAAAATGTTTAAATAACATTTTTTCCTGATTTAGCTGGATATTCAAGCAATTCGCCAATCATTTCTATTGGATTTATTTTGTTCTCTTAAATCATAATGCCTTTTATCTATTTTACACTTTCACCAAAGGCCACTAATATAAAATGCTTATTCTGCTTAACAATTATCATCTCTTGTATTTTAGAATTAAATAACTTAAAATATGTATCAATATATTACCTAATATTCAGCAATTAAGATATTTTTAATAACATTAAACAATTTGACTGATCCATCAGTACACCCATAGCAGATGATTATGTCATTCAAGTATTCTGTGGCTATGCATGAGCTGATATTTGAGATTGGAAGGGCTGATTGAGTATATTCTAACTCACAATTAACTAATAACATTGCTCCTTATAAATTGTTATTCATTTTTAAACTGTATATAGAAACTATATTTCCTTAACATATTGTTGCAAATTTTTCGTATTTACTTACATAAAGGAAATCAATGAGTTTGGTTTTAAATTCAAAAGAATAGGCGATTCTGTTATCATGATAATTGATGATTTATAGATTCGTATCACTCTAACAAATAAGGTGAGAAGAATCTGCTACATCCATAATTCTATTCAATTTGGATTTGAATCCAATTAGCTTTCTTTCTGGATAAGGCACATAATTTTCTCCCAAAGTCCAAATAATGGCATAGTTTTCTTCACTTAAGGATGCCAATCTTGTTCCCTTATTTTATTTCAAGATCAATAGTTGAGAGACAGGTTTGGTATGTTGAATATAGGTATTAGGGTAAAAGCTAACTTTGCTAGTTGTCATATCTAATAATTTAACTGTTCCATCAGCCAATCCTAATGCTACTGAGACATTGCTAACGAGAGCCAATGAAGTCACTTGGAATTCAATACTTAACTTTTTCTTAATTTTGAATCTTTGATTTGATTGATTCTAGATATGTAAGATTAACATTACCTTAGATTAATTAGTATCTTCAATAATTCTATTATCCAATATTAAGACATTAATATTAGGAATGACCTATGTTTATAATTAACTAACAACTGAGATCTTAGAATCTACTGCAGAAATCACAGTCTTATTATCATCTAACATTGTTGCTTTATCGGCATTTGATATATCCATTAATTTGCTTTTAATTGGAGGAGATGATAATGTTTGAACAGTAGGCTGCATGTTTGTTTGTTGCTATATTTCAATTTATGTTTGATTGGGAATACTGACATTTTTGATATAGAAGTCGTTGATTGAATTCTTTGCATCAGTCAATAATTTATTAAAATTCTCATTGTTATATTACAATTCTTAAGCCTTTTTTACTTTATCAAGAATTTGTTTTAAATTATCAGGTTTTTTAATAATCGACATTTATTTGATTGACAACTTGAGTTATGATCCTAAATCAGGTTTAGTATGAAGTTTTTACTATAATAGTGATTATCCTTACTTTTAAGTTATTTTCATTTGAATAATATTTACATTTTGTCAGAAGGAAATGTATGGGTTCTAATTATTCTTTAAGTATAAAAAAGTTGTTTTCGTATATTTTAAGATATTGATCTAACTTTTTAATCAGTTCTGTTTTATGTAAATCAAACAGTTATGTGATGGATTCTAAGGCTTAATTGACATCAGATTCAATTTATTGCTTTTAAGATCTTACATATCCTTCCATATTATTCAAATGCTCGTCTGATAATAATATTTGTTAGACAACTTGAGATTCTTTGTTGAAGAGATCAATGAATTTATTGGCATCATGAAGTTAATCTTCTATTTATTTACTTACCAATGTTACGTATTACTGGTAGGGTATCAAACATTGATTGTGTTTTGTATGTTAAGAAATAGTTTTTTAGTCTGTCATACACACTTTACACATAAAAGGGAATACAGAGCAATCTAAATCGATGCAAGCTTGGATAACTTGTTATTTGTGTTAAGGACAGATTAAATTAACATTCATATTAAAATATATTTATTAATTTACACATCAATCTCGTTGTTCTTTTTATCATTAATATACTCTGTTCTACTAAAGCAAAATATATTATTAATTAAACACTTCACAATGCTTTCTCGAAGCATGTCTGATCCAAGACATCCTTTTATCAAAACAATTTTAAAATAATTGGTTTTTTCTTTTTTGACAACCTATTCTCTTTCTTATTTATTTTTAAATCTTCACTGATTATTAAATATTCGCCTATTAAGAATACAAATTATGTGTTCCAACTAATTTGAACTTGAATCTTTCTATTTCTATTTCTCATTCAATTTCAAATTTATATAAATTAATCAATTGTCAATTGTTTAATCTACTTTTTAGTAATTTACCCCAGTTTCTGTTTTTATTGGTATATTATTTAGAATAAAACAACTCTTTATACAGATCCAAAAGTATGAGTTTGATAGCTTCAATTATAGTTGTAATTAATAGTTATTGAATAAAACATGGCAAATTGGAGTAAATGCTCTAATTTAACTTTACTTAGTCCTTTTCCAATGTCATTCAATTTGAATATGTATAATCATATTAGTTAGAATCCATGAAATGATCATTTAGCATTTTAGAAATTAACTTAATTATTAAAATTATATTATATTTCAATAATTTGATCGATTCTTTCATAATTTATTTTATTTATTTTCATATTTATATTCTATGGACTTTGTTACCTTCCCCAACATATAATTCATTTCCCCTTCCATACACATATTTGATCTTGTGTGCATAGGTTTACTTTAGAACAATGTACCATCTATTATCCTTTTTCATCCATATTAATATGTTTCCATTAAAATCATAATTTATCAATGATTCATTAAAATTTATCAAATTAGATATCCTATATTCATTATGATTTACCTATTCTATGCATTAACCACTTTTTCTATCTATGATTTAGATGTAATTTTCAAATTAAACAATTAGATTCTTTAGACCATAAAATTAAATAGCCATAATTTTCTTTGAATGAACATTTATCACTTAAAACTCCTCCCATTATTATTCGAAATACTTCCATAAAATCAATTACTTATCTTCTCCTCCACTACACAACACCGTATTATCATTATTTAACACTATTGCATATACTGGTCCTACGTGTCGATTAAGCGTCTGAATGCATTTAATTGAATCTTCGTGTTTAAACCATATCTTAACAGTAGAATCTTCACTGCATGTTACTATAATATTCTCCAACTCGCTTGTGATTATATTCCAAATGAAATTTAAATGTTCTTATTTCAACTTATTCTGAACCCAAGTATTCTATTGTTTTCGCCAAAATACTATATTACTGTCCATACTTACAGATATGAACCAATCATCCTTCTTACTATAATAAATGTGATGAACAGAGGAATTATGATGTTATAAAATTTATTCCAATTCCCAATTTCCTTTGTCATTTTTTTAATACACAACTAGGTTATCTTACATAGTCTCTGCTTTGTCCTATAAACCAATAACTAGTATAGATTCATCATGATTAATTCCAAAAGACAAGATATTTTAATTTGTTTACAAGATCTGACAGGAATGCTTTGATAATTTAGCATGTTAATGATTATGCTCATATTATTATTGAATGCTCTTTTAGATTTGATTCTCTATTTATTTATTGCAATTAATATTTCTGAACAATTATAATAGCAGTTCCAAATCAGTGAATTTCTATTGTATATATTATCTATGATTTTGAGTTACTATTTTATTAAAGTCAAGAACAAATTGATCCTCTTCAATCACTATATTCTCAGCTAATAGTTATCCTAATTCTTAAAAATCTTTTAAGGATAATGTTGATTCAGGTACCAAATAATAATCGAATTTTTCTTTTTAATTTATTATTGGATGCATAAAATCGTCTAGTTCCCTTTTAAAATGCTCCAATTCTTCAATGATTTATTGTTTGATTGTATTATATTGATGATTGATGTGCTAAATGAATTGAGATGTGGTTTGTAAATGTTTTTCATTTAATTAATGTCTTTGAGGCAAGGTTTCCACTTGCTCGATATCCAATTTTAATCCATCTGCTGGACACTTTTTGCAAAGCACTCTTTGATTGAGAGGACAATGTTTTTCAATATTGAATGATATTATTTTCTCCTTATGTTAAGGACAATGTATTAATTGTTAATGTAATTTTAACATTTTTATATAATAGGATGATTAATCATAAATGTTAATGCTTTGTAATTGGTACAAATTTAAAGCTCTTCAAACCTTGGATTGTCATTTGTCCATCAATAACGACATTATCATTCCCCCATTCAAAATTGGTCCATTTCAATTTTTCAAAGGTTAATTTCTTAAATTCTTTAGGCAATGGAACCTAACTAATTAGATCAATTGATTTACTCCATATTTTTATAACATCTCAATATCTGATTGTTAAGGTACTATAATTTCAGAGACCATAAAAACTTATGAATCTAAAAAGACTTCATCAGCAATTTTATTGGGATCCATTGAAATCTCAAATCTAATGAATAAATTTGATTCTAAACTTCTTAATGCTAGTTTCAATGTATAGACAGTTGGTTTTTAGTTTATATGAAGTTCTACTAGGAATTCCTTAGGCTGTTTGTCTATCTAAGAATGTAAGTAGATTGTATTTCTAACTAGGTTCATTGCACATATCCCATACAATCCAGCCTTCATTTAAAGGAGGTAAATTATTAACTAGCAGATTTTCTGGAAGACTGGTTTAAGGAGGTTCATGTAAGAATACGTTTAGATGAGTTCTTTTGGTCAGTCTTCTATTGGGAGGCAAAGACATTTTTCTTGCCCAACTTATCAATTATTCAGGAGATCCCAATTGGGGCAACCAATTCACTTTCTCGGGTTTCAAACAATGAGCACAAGGAGTTTTAAGAGATCTTGATAGGATAGGCACTTTTAATTAACCATTTAATGATTTTTTGCCTTTAATGACTTTGCAGGATAGACTAACTCCTTAATAGAAGGTCCCTGTTAATTTGAGATCTCCAAGAGCCAAGAGACCTGCATGTATGCCAATACAGACTGCATCACTGTGACTAGCATAGACACCATTGGATCCCCAAATCTATCGAAGTATTAAAGCTTGGTTGTATTTGTTGATATATTCACAAGCAATTCGAATTTCTATAGTCTAATTGATGAAATTGGATAGATTGGGTAATTCTGCTCCCGGTTTGTATAGAAATGATGTTGCCGCTGGTGCAGAGACAGAATTTGGTTTTTTGAGTTTATTTTCTCTTCTGTTAAATCTACCAGGACCCAATAAGGGTTGTTGTTTATTTTTGGATCTGATGCCTAAAATGAATTGAAATTAGATACCCTCATATTAAGATACATCTTCATCTTCAATGGGACTGTCATATTCATCAGAGTTATTCTTCTTTCTTTTGTCTCTCTAAGGTCTTTTTGTATTAGGTTTTTGAGAAGAACTTCTTGATGATTGACTGCTCCGAGATAAGTTTGACATTTTATTGTTTAATATTTATTTGTTTTATCACTCTTTATTTAAATTCAATAGTTTAGCCAAATCAGTGCAGAATTGTTTCTAATCATATTTTTGTATTTTTGAATTGTTCATCACTAGACTTTCCACCAATTTCTCTTGTCTTTTCTATTTTAGATCATCTTCTAATAACAAAGAGACAACCACTCCTTCATCTTTTGCTCTTCCAGTTCTACCTGAACGTTGATAATAACTAAATACATAAATAATGTAAGAGTACCTCTCTTCTTTAAACTCTCCTGCAGGTGTTATTGGTAATCCATAATGAATGATGACTCTCACCTTTCTAAAATCCATTCCTCTTTGTAAAACATCAGTACAAAGTAAAATCTTCTTTTTTCCATCTTTAAATTCCTTTCTCACTGTTTCTCTATCCACTTAATTGGTATCTCCTGTACATTCCCCAATCCAATTATTTTTAACTATGTATTCCAATTTCTATGACTTTTTAAATAAATTTATTAATTCATTAACAATTGTTTTCTTGTTAAAGAATATCATAACCTGGGCCTCTGTAAATTTATCAAAAACATCCTTCAATAAATCCACCAAAATCTACTCCGGTTATTCCGCAGCTTCTTTATACATATGAACTATTGTATAAGGAGATATCTGTTATTAAATTGATGGAATAACTCTTAAATTACAAACAACTTCTTAGATATCATCTTCATCTTTATGCAAGAATCTAGAATCAACTTTCTTACTTGCATCTATATTATTTTAAACACATTCCTTAATCAGATTTTAAATTTCTTCAGGTTTCAAACTAGCACTCACAAACACAATTTAATAACTTTAATTATTTGTTTATCCTAAGATGAACTAGATCAATTGCATAGTCTCAACTCTAGCCTAATTTTGTTCATTCTTCTCTAATAATTGATCAGCCTCATCAATTATCAAATATCTAAGATTTGACACATTTATTATACGGTTTTTCAACCCCACTAACATTTTACTAGGATGGCAAAGGTAAACTGAACAATCAGCCTCTTCAATTCGATTCTCCTTTACTTATTGAAATTACTACACATATAATGATATATAATACATTGTCTTTTGTAAATGCAAAGAAAGTTTAAAATTTTAAATTTTAATTCTTCAATCTCTCTGGTAAATGCTTTCTAAAGTACTCCTCATGTTATTTCAAGTATATAGTCTATCCTAAGACTATTGTGTAAGGATATAACATTCTGACTTCCTTCATTGTATTATCTTTCTACTTGATTTATTTCTGTTCACTGATTTTCTGATGTTTATCTTTGAATTCTTAATAAATGAGAGATTGGAAACACAATGTCTTTCCACTTCCAGTTTGACTTCGTAGAGCAATCACTGGAGATTATTAATTGACATCCTATCCTAAACAGTAATTTATGAATTCATATTGATGACTATAAACTTTTGGACCAACTTCTTTAAATTTATTAATGATGTCTTCTGCTAATACTCCTTTTAAGTCATCCCAATCTCTATCTTATTCAGGGTTTTGATCCATAAATTAATTAATATAAAATAATCTAAAAAAGTGCTATTAATTATTCATAATGTTTATAAGAATTATTGCATCTAAAACTATGAATTAAAGAATGCATGCATTAATGAATTAAATGAGTCTCTAATTGAAATTATGATGAGCAATTAGAGATAGTTAATTATAATATACTTGGTAGATCTCTTAACAATTTAACTTCAGAATAAGGTAATCCTTTTCAATATATGCATATACTTTATAAACATCTATTGGGAACATACAAAGCATCAAACAAAATTCATCTATAATAATGGTCAGAATTATTGTATTATTCTAATCTATATCAAAATTTGAGTGTGAATTAACCAAAATTATTTCTGATTGCATCATATAAGCTATCAATATTTTGCTATTCAATAACAGATAATCTTATAATAATGTGGTTATGTCGTTAATGGAAATTGTTTTTGGTTTATCATAAAAGATTCTTATAGATATTTCATTTTAATAGAGACTAAATTCAATTAACAGAAACCTTAAAAGAATATTAAGTTCCATTAATATTTCATTAATTATTAATGTTAGCAAATGGCTAAATAATAGTTTAAATGGAAAATGAGATGTTATATGTAATTGAAATATGAACCTAACCATTTATGCCTCAATGTGATTATTATTCTCTCATGCATACATATATAATATATAAAATAAATGTAATAAAAGCAATCGAAAAAATCCAAAGAAGAAGAACCGTTATTTAATGGGTCATTCAAGGATAATAGTGATAATGAAACTGACGATAAAAGAAAAAAGATCAAACTGATTATGAATGTGTCAGGTAATTTTGAATTTTAATAGAGATACAAAATATGATGTAGTCAAGTTTGTAGGGAAAAAGCTATTCAAATGGATATTGTAAATATGAACCAGATGGTGTTAATTGGGATATGTTTTGGACAGATGCAGCAGTTTAACCAGAAACCTTAGGTAAAATGTAACGTAAGTTTGTTAAACAATATTTGAAAAGCTCATCAAAAGATAAACCATTTTCCAGGAATGTATTCACTTGCTCGCAAAAATCATCTTGGAAGAAATTTGATGAAGATGAGAAAACAATTCCCAAATGATTTTAAATTTTTTCCGTAAACATGGTTATTACCAGCTGAATATGGGGATTTTAAAAATTAATTCGTCAAAGGAAAAGTAAGAACATTCATAGTAAAACCAGAAGCAAGTTGTTAAGGAAGGGGAATATTCCTGACCAGAAATATAAATGATATAAATCCAACTGATCACTATGTGGCATAAAGATATATGCATAGACCATTTTTGATAGATGGTTTGAAATTTGATTTAAGAGTCTATGTATTATTGGCTGGAACAGATCCTATGAGAATTTACGTATATTAGGATGGATTAGTTAGATTTGCAACTGAGCCATACGTTACTCCAACTGCAAATAATTTGGAGGATGTTTGCATGCACTTAACAAATTATGCTATAAATAAAGAAAATCCTAACTTTGTTTTCAATAATGATGCTACTAAGATGGATGTTGGTCACAAGAGGTCAATTAAATCAGTGTTTGGTAAATTATAGGAGGAAGGACATAACATCCAACAATTGTGGTAGGATATGTATAATTTATTTATAAAAACATTCTGCACCGTTTAACCAATTCTTAGTCATCACTACAAATCATGCTAACCTGACAATTATGCAAATAATATGTGCTTTGAAATTCTTGGATTTGATATCTTCATTAATGATAAATTAAAACCCTTTTTATTAGAAGTCAATCATACGCCTAGCTTTACTACAGATACACCATTAGATTCGTTAATTAAGAAGAATCTCATTAGGGATACTTTAAAATTGATGAATTTAAGTCTTAAAGCTAAAGAAGAAATAATAGCATCAAGGAAAGAATAATTGTAATAAAGAGTTCTAACAGGCAAGAAATAAAAATTAACACAAGAATAAAAATAACTTCTTATTTAATAAAGTTCTGAATAACGAGACAAACATGAAAATAATAATTTAGGAGATTATGTCAAAATATTCCCATTAGAAGATGCTCATGAATATAATAAATTCATTGAATTTGCTTCTTAATTATAAGATAATTGGACTGGAGCAAGTATTTATAGTATATAATTTAATAGATATTAAAAGAAATTAAAAGAAGGAGCAATCTGAAACTCCCTTAACTTAGATAAGTAAACCCCCGGCCATCCCAGTTAAGAAAATAAATACTCCTTAAATGTTACCTAAAATTAATAAAAAATAGAGCAAAATTGATAAGTTAACTGAATCTGATAGAAATACAGAAACTAAAAGTAAGACGTAATCAAGTTCAAGAAAAAATACAAAAGAATAAACCAGATAAGTATCCTATCCACAACTCCCAAAACATCATCAAAGTATGAAAAATTTATAGTTACAACAATAATAACAAGTTATTCCAACATACTAATAATAGCAAAAAAAGTCATGTCTATAACCTAAATTATTTGAATTAGATATGGCAAGTCCCCAAAAAAGATCTTTTTCTCAAAATAAAAAATTACATTAATTTAAGCTGCAATGAAATCATTATAATGACAATTTTACATTATTTTCACTATAAATGTTGATAATGATTATAATTATACTTATTATTTTATTTCCAAAATATAAGAGTATTATTATCCAAATAAGCTCAATCTCTTTAAAAAATGAAACTAAATTTTATTGCACAAATAATAAGTTAAAGATTTCCCATTAATATAAATGATTAAACAATAGATGATGCAGAAGATTTGTAGTTAATTACTATAAAGTCCTCTTACAACAAGTTCAATCATAATAGTAACCTCCAAGTTTTATAAATCATGAATTTGAATTTTTTATTATTGGATATGATGTTTAGCTACTGACATAAATTTCAGAGATAGATCTAAATCTTTCAAAATAGAACCTAAAAGTCAGGGTAATGTAATTTCAGTATAACTCTTGATAGATTTTGATAGACAACTTAAGCTTTCAAGTATAGACAATAAAACTAATATTCCACGAATTTTAATGATTTTAGATGCTTCCTTGAATTGATTAAGGTTTCTCTTAAAAAATTTGGAGACATCATACATATTTATTAATTTAGTTCTTGTATGAGTTATTTAACTATAGGTAATCTTTAATGAAAGGTATTTATATTAAATCCTTTATTATATTGGTAACAATATATTAACTTAAAAATACAATTAAATGTTCTTCTCTCTCTTATATCATAACAAATTAGCCAATGAAAAGTATTTAAATATTAATGAAAACCGATAATAATATATTTTACCAAATCAAAATTGTTAAAATTGATAATAAAAAATGTCAGAACAAGTGATCTAGATAATATTGTTAATAAACTATGAGGTCTGTATGATACTGTTGCAATATGAAGGTATTTATAGATGAAAAAATTATCATAGCATTTCAATATAAAATATCACTCATCATAAAAATTATAGATATAATTATAATGGCATTATGTGCTCGCATTTTATTTTATCTGAAAGAATAAAAGAAGCCGGGTTATCCTTTAACAATTCTTTGCTTAATAAGAATTTTAGCATAACTAACTTTGAATTATTTTTGTAAACCGTAAATTTTATCAGTCATCATAAACTTACACTTAATTCACACATTATTTTAAGAATAATTGGTAGGTAATTCCAAATTAGCCAATTTGCCATCTTTATACGCTATAGGAAATGTGTTTTTTGAATAACAATTTTCCAATTATTTTATCAATGTTGGAATAGGATTAACTTGTTTATCAATAATCTTCTCATTTCGCTATAGTAATAATTCTCACTAAAAAATTGAAAAGAGTACTGAAAAGATATAAAAGGATTTTGATATTTGCATATCAGCTTTGCCTTAGAAAGAATTTGATGCTTATAAATCAGATGATTTAAATGTTTCTAACTGTAAAAGTCCTGTTTATGGAGGGTTTTCACCTTTGAAAGAACTATCGAAATCGATGGACTCTGTATTATTAGATGAATAGTAAATAAATTAATCTATTAGTAATAAGTGCTTGGATTAAGGGACAGCAATTTATTGTTCTAGACGATTCAGACAATGTTATAATCCAAACATTTAATGTAGCTGATTTTTCTAGAAACTCATTTAGTAATTCAATGGATAATGAGAGTGTGGCTTCAATTTTGAATTTAGCGATAGTGTAGGGCAATAGAGACTTTTAAGATTTGATTGCAAGCAGTGGAACAATTAATCAGAGTAGGTTTACATTAAAAGATTTAGTAAATAAATTAGTTGGAGATTATGAACTTTATAAGAATAATATGTTTATTATAAATAAAGTGGATGCAACATGGATGAATGACTGGATGATCAAGATATTTTTGGTAGGCAAGAATAAGAAAACATTTGTATTTATTTAAATTGAATAGAGGGAAGTAGTGTATCAACCTTCATTTCAAGCATTCTCTTAATTCACCACTTACATAACTCCAAGTTTGAATTCTATAATGACAATCTCAGTGTTGGCTGAATCAGATCCTTAGATAAGTGATTATATACTAGAGAAGTATATGTATCCAATTAGAGTTTCAAGTGTAATCGTATATTTGTAATTGGCAAATATGAGAGATTTCAACCTTCATAATTAAAAAAAACTGCTATTGAAAATAGGGACGGTGGATATCCAATCTATTTGTGAAGATCTAATGATTATGGTGCAAGATTCCTCTAAAGCTAAAGGGATTGATATCAAATTAGAACATGAATAAACTGACAATATCATAGAAACAGATGCAGAAAGAGTAATGTAAAATTTTCAATATTTTAGTTAAAACAATTGATGTTACCATTGATCAAATTTTGTATCAAACAAAGTAAAGATGAAAGTATCACAATATCTTGGAAGATGTTCTCCACTAAGAATTATCAAGTTATAATGCATACTCCCATAAACATAGATGAAAAAGATTTAAGAATAATAAGATTAAACTTAAAGAAACCAAATCTATAGTTTTCAGAATTCAGTATCTGCCACATACTTGCTTAATATTTATCAGGGTCACTGAAAAAAGGATTGGAAATTGCATAAGTGGAACCATATGGAACAGCATTCAAATTTACATTATAATCATTCAATGTTAATAATGAGGAGATGAAAGCAATACGATTGATTGGATAATATCACTATCAAGAGACTTCATTAAGTCAATTATTGGCATAGCAAGACACATCCAAATAAAATGAGAAAACCTAAACTTTATTCAGGGAAGAATCTAATAAGGTTTCAATGGATCACTCTCTTCATTTTTCTCAATCTAGAATTTCGAAATAATTTAGTTAAAAGTACTCAGAATACTAGAGTAACTATGTTTCCCAAATATCTAAGGTGAAGGCTGATTCGGTTAACATTCCTAATTCTAAATAGAAAGATTCTCATTCCTTTGAACAGATATCCAACATCTTTTATTAGGATGAAGAAACCAAACATTAGAAAAGAGTTAATTATTAGACCACGCCTTCATAAACCAAATATCAATTACCCCATTTCCCAGAGGCTACTATTAATAATAGTCTTGGCAACAGTGGAAACGGAAATAATAGTGGAGGAAATGTAAACACTCTGTTAAATGATGCTAGAGAAAGAGAGTAAACCTTTTTGAGTCAACCCTAATTAACTGAATTAAAATAATAGCCTACATCATCCAATCTTTTCTTGGATTTTGGCACTGACACTCTTTCTCCTATACAAATACCAGTTTCTGTAGCAGCAAAAATGCAGGGAGAGATCATTAAGTTTTCAACTACAGGGAGATGTTGTTCCAGGGTGTTGATTGCAGATTGTGAATTTCAGAATATATAAATACTGGAAATGATTTTATCCAGATTCAAAGTCAATTCTTCACGAGCTTTTAGTACTGAGGAAGTAATCAAATTATTAGAAACAAAAAAAAAGTGTAAATGTGGTAATATTGGGTTTGTTTTGTATTTTATTAATGTTGATTTACCAAAAAGAGGAGGCTTATGGCTAAGTAGGTATATAAAAGAGAAAATGACATAGAAGGGATATATAATAGGAACTACGGGTCTTGTTGAATATTATTCGAAAATTGAGTACTATCGTAATGGAATAGATCAGTATATAAGTTTACCTTTTGACTTGGCCGAAGTAAGTAAGATTTTATAAATATCTCAAAATTCTTGATTCATAATATATAATATTATAACAACCATTTTTCTCTATTATTTCAAGCTTTTATAACAGAAATATCATATATGGTAATTTTCATTATAGTATATAATTCTTGATTATTTTATTACTTAATGAATTGAAACTGGAATACAGTTTAATGATATATATTTATAATAACTAATCAATTACAATAGTGTCTTCTTAAATCTTGAACCTTTTATAATTCAGCAACTCTTTCAATAATTTCATCTTTGATTCTTTATTTCAATTTTGGTTCATTAAGATGTTCAATTTCTTAAAGAAATTCCTGTCTTTCTTCTATTTCTTTCATAATCGACGAAAAAAGGACTTCTAATTCAATTTAAGGATCTCCTTATAAAGTAGTTGCATCAGATTAATTGTCAGATTTAAGTCCTGTAAAATATAAGTCTTTTTTATGCATTTTCTTTATGGCATTTGATGTTGTTTCAGAATCTTTTAAGAAAGCATCATCATTCTTAATATTGATTTCAGGTAGTTCTGCACCCTTAGGCAATGCTCCTCTTTTATATTTAAATACTCTCTATAATTATTCAATCAATTTTTTTCTGTCTTATCCCTAGACAGCAGGCCTAAAAAACTTTCTACCTTCATAGTATTTTTCAATTTCTTTTCTGATTTCTGCTTCTGGTTTTCTTTTTTAAACAAAATCAATGGGATAATATTATTATCTTTGTTTAGGTTCTTCCTTTGGATATTCAATAATAGTTTTTTGTGGACAAGTCTTCTAAGTTTTGATTTTTTCAGAATCCAACTACTCTTAGGTTTTTTATTTAGGCTTGGGATAATTGATTTTTGTTTTTTCATGAGCATTGTATAATCCAAAAAGTTCCTTGCCTAAAGAAGTTTCCTTTCCAAAAATTTTGTACAATTTCTTCCTTTCTTCTTTGAGTTAAGGATCATCATCATGAGGTAAAAATTAATTATTCATTTATATTATTAAAAAATGCAAGAAAGATAAATGAGTGAAGAAGTAAGGAATGACAATCCTTACAGCAGATTGATGGCATTAAAGAGAATGGGAATTGTTCAGAATTATCAATAGATAAAGGAGTTCACAGTATTAGTAGTTGGTGTTGGTGGAGTAGGATCAGTTTTATGCGAAATGTTAACACGTTGTGGAATTGGTAAATTGATTATGTATGATTATGATAAGGTTGAATTAGCAAATATGAATAGGTAATCAATAGTTCTAATATTTAGGTTATTTTTCACTCCACAATAAGTAGGATTATCAAAGGTTGAGGCAGCAAAATAAACATTATTGAATATTAATCCAGATGTTGTGATTGAAGCATACAATGAAAATATCACATCAGGAACAGGTTTTAACTAATTATTGGAGAGATTGCAAAACGGTGCTCTCAAAGGAGGACCTGTTAATCTAGTTTTAAGTTGCGTTGATAATTATGCTGCACGTATGACAATTAATAGTGCATGTAATGAACTTGATTAAGTTTGGATGGAGAGTGGTGTATCTGAAGATGCAATGTCTGCACATATTTAATTGATGATTCCAGGTGAAACAGCATGTTTTGCATGTGCTGTACCTGTGGCTGTAGTTGAAAATACTGAATAGTAAATTAAAAGAGAGGGTGTATGTGCAGCCTCTTTGCCAACTACCATGGGGATAACTGCTGGATTTCTAGCTTAGAATACACTCAAATATTTATTAGGTTTTGGTTAAACTACATTTCTCCTTGGATATAATGCTTTGGCTGACTTTTTCTAGAATTATGCTATTATGCCTAACCCTGAATGTAAGGATCATAATTGCTTGAAAAGATAACAGCTGAATTCTGAAAAACTTAGATTGAATAAATTATAAAAGAGAAAAGAATAATCAGAATAGAAATAGGATATTGTTCATGTTGAAAATGAATGGGGTATTGAAGTTGTGGCTGATGATACTCCAATTAATGAAGCATAAATTTAATAATAATTATTGAATTAATAATAATCATAATAATCATAATAATAGTCTACTGACACAACAAAAGAAAGTACCAATCTAGAAGATTTAATGAATCAATTAAAGAGTTTACAATGAATTATATGTTCTATTGTTCATTATTTTATTAAAATTAATTTTTATTTTTAAATGAAGACTCATTTACTTTTTGCATTAATTCTAGGATCTATTTTTCACTTCGTTGTAGATTTAGATTTCGTAAAAGGAGTAACAAAAATTGAAAACTATTCTGGATGTGAATATCTAAATTTAGACATTCCAGGCGCAGAAGATATTCTCCAATATGGAAATCATCTCATTTTTGCATCTGGTAATTTGGCTGAAATCTTTGCTAAAGGCACTCCTGAATTAAAATAAGCATCCTTTTATATTGTGTAAAATGCTCATCAACAATCAACACCAATCTAAATGCATATTGAAGGATTTCCATCAAATGTTGCATTTTATCCTCATGGATTGCATCTATGGAAAAATAATTAAATTTATTATATTTTTGCAGTTAATCATGCTTATATTTATGGTGGAGAAAGAGTTGAAGTATTTCGAATAATTGATGATCTACATCTTGAATATCAGCATTCATTTATTATGGGTTAGCAATATACAGGAACTCTAAAAGATTTGATTGTAGTATCTCCGGATAGATTCTTGATCACCAAATTAATGCCATACACTGATCCAATTGAAGGGTAATCTATATTTTATTTGTTAGTCGTAATTAATGGGGATTTGGAATGAAAATAAAAAATTTAGGAGTAATAACTCTTAAATTCCAATATACAAATATATTAGATTGTACATTTGATTTGAAACACATTCAAGTTATCCCAAATTGTCATGTTATATCCTCGTAATAATTTAGTTGGGCAGGAGGTATAACATGGGATTAGGATAAGACTGTTTGGGTGGGCGATAATCTAAGAAAAACCATTTATTAATTTAAATTAGAGGAAGAAGGCTTAAAAAAAGAACATACAATAAAATTACCTCATCAAATAGATAACATTAATTATGATGAAATTAACAATAAGTTGATTTTTGCAATGAATCCAAAAGGTTATTAAACAATACTTTTAAACTTACACTTAAAAGGTAATGATTTAAGTAGACAATCAACCTATTCAACATGGAGTAGCGTAGGTGAGTATTCCTTATAGACTAACCAAACAACAATAATTTATTAATCAAATTAATACATAAGAGGAATTTCAAATGCATTAATAATGCAAAACAAATTGTATTTGAGCAGTTGGGCAGATATAGCTCCTATGGTCTGTTATAAATGAATGAGTTATTTCATGTATTTGACAAGATAATATACTGAACTATTATTTTTATGTCTTTAAAAGACTTTGATAAATAAATATTAATGAATTAAATATACTTAAAACCACTTGATGAGACTTGTGATAATCCTTAGTTACACGAGGCAACGAAAATGTTTCTTACAATGAATAAGGAAAATCATACTAGAGAAGAATTACACTACATTTTATAAAGGATGGAAGAACTGCCATACTTTAAATAATTCGTTTCAGAGAAATTGCAGAAAGGAACGCAAAGGAATGATATTTTGGAAGTAGTTTTGTGTTTTTTATTTTGTAGTTGTGCTCTCGATTGAGGATGGAATATTTTAAAGGAGGAGAAGTGTTGTTCCAAGAGAATGATACATCAAATGATAAACTTTATATCATATAATATGGAGAAGTTATGTTAATGAGACAGAAAAAGATGGATTAGTTGATGATTTTGTAGAGATAGAATTCAGAACAGGTTCAATAACCATAACTAAAAATGGCATAAATTCTAAATGCTAAGAAATTTACAAATAAAATTATAAGACATCATAATATTCATAAGGAGACAACGATATCTAAGGAGGAGAAATAATAATTAGAATAATAATTTGGAGAATCGATAAGGTTGTTAGGTGTAGGTACAGGATTTGGAGAGAAAGCTTTGGTTGAAAAATATTCCTAGGTCACTAACAGTAGCATCTTATAGTCATGAATTATTTGTGATAGTTTTAAAGAAAGATGATTTCTTTACATATTAGATGACGTTTGAAAAAACAAAGAAAGAGAAGTAACAATTAATGTTCAAAATATTCAAAAGTAAGTAAATAATTAAATGATTTAGATGTGAATAATGAATACTCATCTTAGAGATTAGAGAGTATGATATACAGTTGCTAAACCATTACTTATGACAGAGCAACTTAGTTAGCTACAGAGGATGACGATGGAGATGCATTTTATTTAGTGATAAATGGAGATTTGACTTTACAAAAAAGGATTGATAATCGAAATGTTTCTTTATGTATAATATCTTCAGGACATTTGATTGGGGAGGAAATTATTATTAATAAGAATGGAACCTATGAATATAGCTGCGTTGTGACATCCTTATTAGCTACAGTAATTGTGATTGATGCAAATGAGTTCATCCATAAGTTTCCAGAAGAATGCAGATTACAATTAATGGAAGATTATGGCCCTAAAACTGCTAATAGATAGAGATTGTTGTAATTATTGTTGTAGAAGAGGAGAGCATAGAATTTATCAAATAAAGATTTGACAAACGAATAGGTAAGATTATTGACAGAGATAGATGATGTAATTATTGATTAGAGTAAAATTCATATTGTTGAAAGTTTCAAAAAATCAAAGGAAATTTAATTGAATCAGCATTTTTTAACTAAATATTCAAATCCCAGCGTATAAAATTTTTGCATAGCTAAAATAATAGACAGAGAAAAAACATTTCATAAGTTAATAAAAAGTTGTGAATTTTAAGAATTTGATTTTGGGAATGGGAGCAATGATCTTATCAAGAGAAGAAGATTTATGCTAGAAAACAAATTAAATTTGAAGAAGCCCCATGAAAATTATCTTAAACCATAATTTCATATTCTGCCTCTCACTGTTAAGAGAGACTTGGTCAAAAACTTCAAACTCAATTCCAAAAAAGGTGTCTGTTATTCTAATTTCAATATAACAACGCTAAAAAAAGGGTTAAAGAATAAAAAATAATCCCCTTTGAAAATAAAGGAATTAGTGACAGCAAGACCTTCGCAATAGCAATTTGATAGTTATAGTACACATATGTTTACTTAGATTGATGATAGGCAATCACTTTGATTATAGTTTTATATGATGTATAATGATTACATATTTTAATTTATTTTATGTCTAGATCATCATCCAGAAGAAATAGTTAAGCCATTGGTTCTCTCATTAATTACGCAAACTCTGACGATACATATAACGTCAAGGCAATCCTTTATGAAAATCACAATCATAATCTGTTAATACTTAAAACCCAAAAGCTATATACTTGTATAAGATTTGATAATAAAAGTAATTCATCTGTCTTGTTACAACAACAACGAACAATTAAGTGAATTGTATTTTTAATACATCTAAGCATAAATAGATAAAAACATTCATACAAAACAAGAAGTTGAACAATGGATTAATTAACAAAATGATGAAGGGTTCACAGCATTACATTTAGCAGCTTATCGAGGATCATTAGTATTCATATTTACAATATTAGAAAACCATCAAACTCCTTGAATAATATGGTGCAGATTACAAAATAAAAAATTATAATGGTAAATCATAACTTCCTATTAAAGAGTTAACTGTCTTACACACAGCTTCTTAAGGTGACTGCCCATTGACTATTTACTATTATCTCCAGAAAGGGATTGATATTAATGTGATTGATAATAAAGGATCATCTCCTCTCCATTGGGCTGCATATTCAGGATCATATAATGCTGTAAATTTTTTGATCTCGTGGAATGCTAATTTAAATCTTTAAGATACAGATACTTCTGTTACTCCATTGCATTTAGCTACAATGTAAGCGAATTCTAGAATTGTCCGAAAACTATTAATGAAAGGAGCTGATCGCTCAATTAAAGACTCCAATGGAAAAACACCTTTAGATTTAGCGATAGAAAATGATTTCAAAACAGTTGAAATAATGATCGTAATTTTATTATAAATTCTAGCGAGACAAAAATGATATTCTTATCTTTTGCAATGTTAGATAGCCATTCAGACCAGTGACTTAATAAAGGAATAGTCAGATTGCCTTTCTTTCTATGTATATGACTTGTTTTATTTGTACTATTCTATTTACTTTCCCATGTAACTATTTAATTCTATACATTTTAGTTGTTATTAGCACTATTTGGATGTGGACATTCTTTTCTTTAACTAGTATAACTGTTATATTTTTCTTTATTTCGTGTGCCAAAGATGCTGGAGTAGTGAGAACAGACAATAAATTAAACATGTTCTAAATGTTAGAAAGATATGACTGTTCAAACATTTGTGCAGATTGTAAGGTATATATAAAAACACTTATAGTAGTTAGTCAGACCTAAAAGATCTAAGCATTGCGATGTTTGCTAATAATGTGTTATGGTATATGACCATCATTGTCCTTGGATAAATAATTGCGTTGGAGCAAAGTAATTTAATTTATTAAACTAGAAACCATTTTGTGTTTTATTTTTTCATTATCAGTTTATTTTCTGAATTCATTTTGCAGCTTTTCATGTAATCTTCTCATTATAAATCCAATACTCTTTAGAGATGGTTTATAAATACTACTTTAAGTGAAGAATGGCTTTTAATTGGAAAAAAGGTTACGTTTTTTTATGTTATCGTTTATTGTTTACTCTTTATTGTACCTTTGGGGTAATTTACATTTATAATTAAGAATTCTGATTTACATCTAAACCGTCAATTTATTGACAGGACAAACCACTTTTGAAAGGCACAGTTTAGGCGCTCCAGGTTCAAAAGATGAAAAATCCAATGAAAAAAGTGCCATAAATCGAAGTGAAGATTAATCTATGGAATCCACAGAATAAGGTTAAGGTGGTACTTAACAATCAAATAATGATTAATAATTGAAAATGGAATAATCACATATTAGCTTAGGAAATTGTTTTGAAATGTGTTTTATAAATAAAAAGAAAAAAGAATATAGTAGTGAATTAGCAACAGAATTTATTGAACTATGAATTATTATATAAATAAAATTAAAATGCAAAAATTTGAAGAATTAAAAATTGCAATTACTGGAGGTGCTGGTAATTTAGCTTCTGCATTGTAATACTGAAAATATTGAAATGTAGTTATCCTCTTTTGGGATCTGGCTAAGTTTTTGGATCAACTTAAAAATTCTCATTGTAACTATTGGAATTACCAGAAAAACTACAAGAATTAGAAGGAATCAAGATGTAAATATAAGATTGTGCATTCCCACTTCTAAATAATGTCACAGTGTCAAGTGATCCTGCAATTGCATTTAAAGATGCAGATGTAGCAATATTTTTAGGAGCCATGCCTCGAAAACCAGGAATGGAAAGAAGCGATCTGTTATAAATGAACAGAGAAATATTTATACAACAGGTTCGATATTGAAATTATAAACACAGGGTTAAATCTTGAATGAATAAGCCAAATCTACAGTTAAAGTTTTAGTTGTGGCAAATCCAAGTAACACTAATTGTGCTACTTTGGCTCATTAATGCACCAAAATTCCATAACAAAATTTTACATCTCTCATGTAACTAGATCACAATAGATGTGTCTCAACTGTATGTCAAATTTTAATAATTTAGCTTGCAAGAGAAGCAAATACAACTATTGACTAAATCAAAAAAGTAATTATTTGGGGAAATCACTCTCTAACCTAATACCCAGATATGACTCATTCAATTATTAATGGTAAACAAGCATCAGAAACATTTTCAAAGGATTTCTTGAGAAATGCTCTTATTCAGTAAGTCTAGTAAAGAGGAGGATAGATTTTATAACTCTCTAGAGGAGCAAGTACAATATCCGGAGCAATTGCTGTGAAAGATCATTTAAGAACGTGGTTTTTAGGCACTTCTTAAGACAACTGGACTTCCTTTGGAGTATCACAATTTATTAGTCTAGGTAATTTCTGATGGAAATCATTACGGAATTCCAAAAGGCATTTGCTTTTCATTGCCTGTGACTTGTAAAGAATTTGAATTTAAAGTCGTTGGGGATGTAGAATTAGATGACTTCTCTAAATAAAGGATCCAATTATCGCTAGTCGAATTGCAAAAAGAATAGTAATGATTAATAAAAAATGATAATTATTTATAATGGTTCAGAATTAGAATTATGATAATGAAGACATAATAATATTTGTCAAATCTATAAGTTTATTGATCTTATTCTTAATCATTTTATTTACAGCTAATCTTCCCTACAAATCTAAAACTTTTAGGCAAAAAAGTATAAAACCATATTATCTTTTTGCCATTGTTCCCTAATTTCTCAGACCTTCACAGGATGTTTATTTTTATCAGTTGCTCTTTTGTATTATTGCCTGGATCACAAAACAATATGAATTATCACTATATTTTGGATTAAATTCAAAAACAGACATTTTCCATTATCATTTCTTGTCGCGGTTCATAGCTTTGCTTTGATTTTATTTATTGAAAAGATTGTTCCTAATCATAAACTTCAAAATTCGTCTTAGGTCTCAATGAAATAGATAATTTCCAATTATTTTTCTTTATTTAAAATTTATATACAACCTACATAAAATATTAAATTTTTTATTAAGTCATATGCGAGTGTTAGTTGTATAACAAATACTTTACTATTTTTCGTAATTATTCAATGAATATATCAATTTTGAATGAGAAAGATGATTTCATATAATTAATATTAGGAGTGTCTTTAAATTTAATAGAAATACACAGATATGTTTTATGAGTAAAACTTTATTAGTTAGTAATTAAGTTGAAAGTTAAGCTTAAGAAGATTTATTAAGAAATGCCATTTCCTCCTAAGTAAAAATGGCACAAAGAGTAGGATTTAATGAAATATACAAAACAAGTAAACTAACAAATCTTCCAACCTAACTCCCTATTTATTGCAATTAGCTGTTGGAATTTATGCAATCTTTGAAGTACTAGCTGTAGATTTGGAATCAAATCTTAGTAGATGTACAGGTATCGCATTACCTGTATTTTGTTATAAATGGGTAAATATTATTTAAATTTGCTTAAAGACCGAAGGATTAAATATAGGTTCCTCATTCTAAAGCCAAGATGCTTATAGTTCTCTAAGAATTGATGAATCAATTAGATATTTCGATATGATGATATGATGGATTTTATCATCAAATAGAGAGATTATAGTGAGTATTTTTTATGCAATATTGGAACATACATTTCTACAATTGAAGTTATTATGTCAGAATACAAACTTCTCAAATTCAAAGCATTTTTAATAGCTCTAGCCTTTGCTAGTTCAATATAGTTATTGGACAAATTGATTTTCGAAGATACTAATATATAGTTTAAATAAATCAATTAATATTAATCTTTTACTTTAAATGATTCTTTATTTATAGATCAAAAGCTGTTTCTAACACACTTAATGTAATTCTGATTTTCGAGTTAATCTAATAGAAATCATACCAAAAAATGACCAAACAATTAAAGCCAGTAATTATTTATATTAAGAATATATACCCATAAATATCACACTATTTAGTACAAAAGGTAATATCAGTTTAGTTGAATGGAACTTTAAATTATTTCTATGTTTCAAGTTTTTGAAAAAATTAAGCTTATCATTACTAAAAGATTAAGAGATCCATATATTCAAAAACACTTTATTAGAGAAGTAAACCATTATGTAGAATGCAAAAGTATATCATCTTCAGAAAGTTAAGCAGGAAGTTACAATTCGCAATTGATTTATGGTAAATTAATATAATAAAGAATTTGCGATTTGAAAATTTATTTATAATTTAAAAATAACATTTGGAGGTCTTCTACTTTTGTTAATTTAATTCATTGTAGATATCTTATGTTTTGTATTCTTTTAAAAAATGGTATGATTATGTGACAGAATATTAGATTTTTTAAATGATTAAAATTCAAAAAACGAAGTATATTAATGTTAAATTTCAGTAATCCTTATTTTATGAGATGCAGAGATGAAAGATAAAATAAGAATTAGATAGTTGATATCTATAGTATGCTTGTGAGGTTTCTTTTAATTTTCAAATATAGTCTTTTTTCGATTTATGTAGATAAATAATACTTATAATTTTGTACAAAATCTTTTTAAAAATCTTATAATTCGAATAGAATTATAAAAAAGAGGAGCAATCTGTATTTATAAAAATGAAGTCAATTTATAAACATAATCTAATCATATTTGAACCTTATGAGCATTGGATAATTGGAATTATCTTTTCGATTTGCTATTTTAAATATTTTTAAATATTCTTCTGCACACTGGACATAATTGTTTGTAGCTCTTCCATTTTCCAATACAATATAAATGAAAAATATGATTGCAAGGGAGTTGTACATATTTTTCCATTTGCCTTATTTCTTCCATGCAGATTGAACATTCAATTTCCTCATCTCCAATATATTCCTCAAATTAGTCTTCTTAATGTAATTGGAGATTTCTTTTTATCAATTATTAAAATAATTTGATCTAGCATGTACAAACAGTTATAAGCGTGAGCATAAAGATTGCAGGTAACATAGTAGCAAAGTTTAACCAACAACATGATTTATAAATCATTTCATTAATTTGGCAAAACAAAATTTATAATTTAGTATTATCATTATTTTCTTAGTCAACCATATTTTATGAGGTCTGCTTGAGCATCACAAAAAATTGTAAACTTACAAACATAATTGTGTAAATGGAAAAAGTCTCAGAAATTAACCAACTAAGCACACCAATTCCATTTTCTAATCCGATTATTAAGAGTATAACATTTGTAATAATTATCCAATTATCTGTTTCATCTTAGTCTCTATAAAGAAAGTATAAAATTAAAATTATTACAGGCAAGACTAGTTTATAAATTACAATAACTTTCACCCATAAATAATAGTTAAAATCTCGGAGTTCTGGCATAAAGCAGTCAAAGTATTACCTTAAAATACTCATTAAAATAATTAATAAAATTTTATAGAAAATAATATACTTTGGAGGAACTTTCTATATAATACAAGTAGAAATAGACTTTAAAGTTCAATCATTAAAAGCACTACAATAACAATAATTTTACTGAATCCTATAATTATTTTGATATTATATACTCTACAATAATTAGAAATAAATTATTTCCAACCTAAATTTAGACTACAAACTATCACTTACAAATTGTATATAACTTCAAGAAAAAAGAAAATATTTGATCTAGAAATAATGTTTTTTTTTTGTTCAGTTTTAACATAACTAAATCGAGTTTTTTGATTTGCAACAAAAATCTTCATTTATTTTCCCTTTCTAATTTAATGATATTAAACCAAATAATAAATAAGATTTCTAAAAAATTTAATAATCTAGTTATCTTATTATGATATTCATTATATTATTTTTATTTTCTATATTATTAAAAATACTAAAGCACAAATAGAAAATTTTCGAATGAGCACTAGGAATAAACCATTTGAATACCTTATTGTCCCAAAAGCGGGAGATATCTAATAATAGTACACAAAATAAACAATGAGATAATTAGTTTCCATAACCAATGAATAATAATCAGATAGAAAAAAAAAACACTTAGTCAAAATTAACCATATACTAATTAGGAAATATGCACAAGGTTCATCATTCTTAAAAATTAAGTAGAAGATGAGAAAAAGAGTTGAGAATAAAACAAACAAAAATATAAATATCTCACCTTATATTTTCACAAAATACGCATTAATAATTATTAAACTCTCATAATATATAAAAATAGTAAAAATACTTGGCAAAAATTTTTAATTTGATAAATTAAAATATAATAGAATATTATCATATAATTTCCAATAACAATGTTCTAAATAAATTAAGAAAAATAATAACAATAAAATTCAAATAACCACCATGTCCATTTTCAAAAAAGAGATAAATAAATAAATTTATAAAAATATGATTCAATAATTTTCATTATATAGAAAAATAGTAAAATTAATTGCAGTAATTAAATAGTAAAAATAAAATTTTAAAGAATATTTGTGATATGAGCTTCCAATTAAAAATTGGAAAAGATAGCTGAGTCAACCAACCAAAAAAAGCTAGATTAGAGCCAAATTGGTGACCTATTGGCATAAAAATAATAATAATTAATAGAGGATAATTTAAGTAGGTAAATTGGGAAAACTTTAGAAAGTATACGAGAAATGACTCTCTAAATCAAGCCTTTGCTTAAAAAGAGGAATATCAATAATTTAAGCCTCTAAATAATTAGCATAGAACCGAAGAAGTAGGGATATTGAGAATGCAGGATGTGTGGGACAACTACTAAGATATTTTATAACACTTTTCAAACATACTCATATGGTCATTAATTCATTTCCACTTCTAAGATAAGTCGAATTGTAATAATTAATAGAAAACAAAAAAATATGCTAAAGAAATGGTTTTAAGCATAAACAGGAATTAATTAGATTATCTCAGCTGTGCTTCTGTCTAGACTTAAACAAATTTTATCCAAAAAGTGGAAATATTTTAAAGTAAATTAATCAAACTTATAAAATTTAAATAGAGTATTTAATAAAACAATAAGGGTACAGCAGTCAGAACTAAATTAGTAATTTCAAAGAAAAACCTAGTGATCTGATTCTTTTTAGGTTCTAGTTTACAACTCTAAAACATGGTAACACTGAAGGAAAAAGTATGAAATCATAAACTCATTCTTCTGATAAAAATGCTAGGTTATTATTAGAAAATAAGGAAATGAAATCCCTAATGTAATTAAGAAGAATTGATCAAATAATTATCATAAGAATAAGAATAAAATGGCAATTATAATAATAAAAAACAGTTCACAAAGACCCTTAGAGGCAAATGGTAAGTGGAAGATTTGAAAGAAAAATTCAAGAATGGATATAGCCTGAAAATTCACAACACAAGAAAACATAATAAAGTTTTTGAGGGGAGGAAAAATGAACTTGTGCTATCATCCTGGCACATCAAACAATAGTATGAATACTAGAGAGAGCATATGCTCGCAAAATATAAAATCATATACTCTAAATACAGAATTAATTTAACTTTCGTGGCACATATATTATGTTTATAGGAAACAAGAAAAGAAAAGGAATTGATAACTCTCCTTCATATACATTTCATATAAAATAAAAAAGTCTTAACTCAAATAGAGGAGGAATAACAGTTGGAATATATAAGCAATTCTTTTCAAAGAATATATCACAAATTTACTTCCTAAGGTTCCTGAATTATTAGATTGCATACTAATCCAAGTAACAGGTTAATAATTAGAGGTTTTGATACTAAATATATACTCCCTTTAGTATTATAAAATATTAAAAAGGCACAAGACAATTATATACTATATTTAATGTCAACAAAACCTTAAGCATTACATATAATACCTGGAGATATATAATAATGACCCAATAAATTAAATGTATTTAATGAAGGATGTTATTTCAAGATAATAATAAACTTTCAAAAATATTATTAAAGAAAAGAAGTTAAAAGCAAAACAGACTATATACTAATAAATGAAATATTTTTTGCCAATCTCAGTATATATGAGACAGGCTACTCAGATCAACTTATTTTAATGGCAAAAATCCAACTAAAGAAGTCACATTTATCAGCTAAACAATGTCAGTAATATCCAATTAAATAAAATATATACTACTTAAACTCTCTCTATTGAGTTAAATAAATCGTTTAAATAGTATAATATTCAGAGATATAAAAGAAAACTAACTAAATTCAATGATTTTTAAGAAGAGCATAAAAACTAAAAAGCATTAATTACAGTTATAACCAACCAATAAATCGCGCTCTATATAATATTGAAAGTTAATAAGAAATAATTAATCAGAAGAAGCATTCAAATCAATCAATAAACTCCTAATTTCGAATCCTTTCAAAAGAGATGGTGGCATCATGCACTGTTTCATAAATGGTGAATCGCTTATAAGCTGTAATAAATAAATTCTTTAGAATTGCTTATAATAGCTTTCCATATTTTAAGAGTTATAAGGATATAATCAGCTACAACTACCTAAATTAAATCCAATATCAATAGGAGAATTTTGATTTATGAAATAAAGAGTGTCATAAAATAAAGGGTTAACATTTGATCTTATATCTGATAAATGATTAAACAACAAGGAGCATAAGGTGTGCTCTCTGATTTGTGGCCTTAAGAAACTGCTGATTTAGTGTTGAATTTGCAGAAAATCATCTAGTTCCCTTATATAAAAAAAATACAAATATTCCAAAATAAGACCTATTCAGTCCTACAATAGTGTAAAGTCCAATTATAAAATGGCTAGAAATTAGACTCCACACATTATATGAACATTTGATTAAAGAATAATTTGGTTTCATTAAAAATATTGGAACTTCACCTAAAATACTCAAACTAATTTCAGATATATAATAGGTTTGGGAAAAAATATCAAAGAGTAGTTATATTTATTGATTTGCAATCGGCCTATAACTGTGCAGATCCCTCAACACTGTTTATATTTTTGAATTTGATGTAATTCTAGACAAAGAGTTCATTTAAATTTAATTCGTTGGTAGTATATACAATTGGATTACAAAAAAATAGCCTTAATTTTTGAGTTTCATCAGGAATTGTATTATCATCAATTCGATTTTACATAAACGACCAAATACTTATTAAAAAGCTGGAGTAGCATTTTGATTCAAGAAAAATAAATCATTTTTATCTCTAAACAAATGATTTAGCATTTACCTTTAAGGAATAATTACTATTAAGAATTTCTAGGCAAAATTTAAATTTAAAAGAATTATAAATATGATGATTATCCAAAGAATTTTCATTAAGGTATAAATTTCTATTTGTGCATAATATGTATATCTTAAATGTCATAGAACTTACAATAAAATTATTAATAAAAATACAATTATTTAATATTGATTGAAAAATTAAAAATTTGCATTTTATGATTAATATTTCTAGAATTATTCTTAATTAATAAAAAATGATAAAATGGAATTACATGAATAATATTATTTTTATTTCTATTAACTTACATAAAATATTATTAATGCACATACCATTTTTATATATATATATAATGTAAATTAATAATAATAGTATGTAGATTAATAATATTTTAAATAAATTAAAAATAGTAGTATATAAATTAAGACTAGATTTTTTAATATCAGCATTTTTATATTGAATTCAAAAACAAGTTGAATGCAGTTAGTTTCTTCAGAAGATGCCCTTTCACAAGTTTGCTCAGAATTGCAAAAACATATTATTGAGCTAGCAGAATTTTCTCCAACATGAACGCGTGACGAATTATATAACTATAGAATTTTTTATTTATTTATTAGATACTCTGAAGGCTGTATCAATGATACATCATATGTTAATCTTGGATGATCAAACTCTTTACCTAATATTTAGAAATTGAAATAACATTATAATTATATTGTAATTATTCAAAAATATTCCAAAATATCTTGAAACTTTTATATTGTAAAAATACTATTTTACAGAATTAAAATATATTATTGAATTAACAAATTTATTTTTTCTATTTTAAATCATTTAATAACATTAAATTTAATCCTCATATAGATTACAATCATTCTAGTTATTGAAAAATATTTTCAATTATCATAAATTATTAATTATTTTATATATATTTCGTTACAACTTTTGTACCCTTTTTATGCTACTCTAAAAGTAATTATCAATACAAGTTGACGTGGCCGAGTGGTCTAAGGCGGTGGATTAAGGCTCCATTCCGAAAGGGCGCGAGTTCGAACCTCGCCGTCAACATTTTTTATAAATTTATAAATAATTTTATGTTTGATATAATTTAATTTATCACTTTTAAAGAGGATATTGCATTTTCATCGGTATTAGTATATCTCAAAATTAATTGGGAGGGCTTAAAATTTTATCTAACTTTAAAAATGGATATGCTTTTAATACTTTATATAATATTTTTTATGATGATAAAAACATTAGATAGATATGATAATTTTAAGTCACTCAAGCAGAATATATATTGATGTTAATCAAATTTGTTATTTTTATCATACTTCTTTGATTTATTAAATCTGTAGCATAAAACTAGTCAGCATGCGATATTCTAATTGAATTTCGAGTGTTTACTTTTAATCACAATACCGCTTCTCCATATCTGCTCCATAAATTCAGCATAAATCAACATTGCTCTAAAGAAATACATATGAAAAATTCTATTAGTTGTAATTCAATTCGACTTATAATAATTCACAAAGCAAAGACATGGAGGATTATTTCTAATGGCTAATGCAATAACAGCTTTATCTGAAATTGTTTACAGAAACATGGTTAAACATAAATTATAAATTAGCAATTATAATATATTATAGTTTAATATTATTAATGTAAAATATATAAAGATTGCTCATAGCTCCAATTTCATCAAGAAAGTACCTAATTAAATAAGATGCAATGAATTTGCTTCTCAGCATTATCTTCTGTTTGCTTTGCATCGATAACTTAATGAATAATAAATTGCCATATTCCGCAGCATGGTTTAAATGCTCATTCTTATTCCTGCTTTTTATCAGCAATCTGTGTGCTATATTTTTATACGTACTAATAATACCTCAATTAATAACATTGAAATAAGAGTAGAATAAAAAGGATTAAATAATGTAATTGAGAACATTATTACGATATAAACTGCATCAATATTTAGATATCAATTAATGTTTGATTAATATTTTATATTTTGCTGGAATCATATTAGTAATTTTGGATTTTTTTGGAGAATCTCCAGAATCATGTCAAAATATTAAGTAAGTTTTACTTAATATGTAGAAAAATACTCAGATATTCAGTTTGTGGATAATTATTAAATCGCATCATTATTACAGGATAATTTGAAAACACACTTGAGGAGTAAACTATTGTTGAGTTTAAAGAAAGCTTCATCAAAATAGAAGAACTTAAAGAACTTTCACTTAGTACTTTGGATGTTTGTCCCATATGTTATGAAGAATTTAAAGTCAAGGAACATATTGCTGAATATCAATGTAAAGGAAGGCACACCTTTCATCAAGATTGTGTTTTATAATGGTTAAAAACTCCAATGAATACAAACAAGGTTTGTCCATACTGTAAACAATTACCAGATTCAATAAATAAATATGTCTGATAATATCATTTTTCAAGCTTGTGTGATTTATAATATAACTTTTATTATTCTTAATAGTATTTTATTTTTCTCTATATAAATCAAAATCGCTTTCTAAATGGTAAGCAAAAAAATGTATAGTTGCAATTATCACCTCTAATAATTATATTTGTATAAAATTAACTGCAAATAATATGCCTAACACTAAGAACTTGAAATTTAGATGTTATTATAAAAATTGTCTATTTATCATTTAATTTTACTTTAAACCCACTTTATGGCTAAAGAAAACAATAATCTAATCATTAGAATCGAAAAGAATACTTTTTGGCTTTAAAATTAGCTATGAATGGATTGAATAAAATGCAAAGAACTTGAGATATTAATAAATTCAAAAGTCATCAATAATTTTCTTAATAAATATTCTACGTATAATTCACTTAACAATAATTTCCAATAAAGTATCCTAGCAAATCAAAAATTGATCATATCAATGCTAGTGTATCCAATGTCCATTGTAATTCGTTTATAAAATCCCATATTTTAAATAAATGCCCTAAATATACTAAGGTAAGAGCAAAAATGATAAAATTAACCTTTTGATTTGGTTCTTATCTTTTGTTTACTTCTAAATAAAATTTATTAAGCAATATTTTTACTTACTCTTGACTAAAGTAAATTTTATTAAGAGATTTTCTGAATAGAATTCTATTGTTAAAGCTTCAATTTTTTGTAATGTAACATGGTATTTCTTGAGAATTAGTTGATTTTCAATTAAGATTTCGTTTTAATATGAAATACTGTCTAAATACCAAGTGTTAATAGCAAAGAATACAAACAAATTTATCAATGAAAAAGGAATCCACATTATAATTAAGTTAAAGTTATATTGTTCTTTAAAAATCATATGAAAAGCAGATGAAACCAAAATGAACTGAGTCAATACTAATAAAATGTCATTATAAAACCGACAGCTGTAATAAATACAAACTAATGGCAGTTGACATCCCTTATACAAAAAAGCATTTAAAAAATAAATGTTAACCAAATATATTTTAATAGACAATGTCCTCAAAATGCAAGGATATATAATTTGGATATCAAATAGTGTTCCTTGAATAAAGTAAGAAAATGTTATAAGCAAAAGAAAAAACAAACAAAAAACGCAAAAATTGAAATAATATTTTAAATTACAACTTAATGAATAAATGGTTATGATAGTTCATTCAAAAAAGTCAATGAGCTGCCGTATTGCTTATTCTAAAATAAAATGTGGATAATCATACTTTTCAATTTTGCGTCTGTTTTTTGTCCCTATTGAATTTCATTCACAATATCTGCAAAAGTGGGTCTTTCGTCTGGATTTTTCTTTAAACACTTCTTTGCCAAATGAAGCAAAATAGGAGGGTTGCTCTGAAATGGTATTGGCACTTGATCTTAACCATACCCTACAGAACCAATTATCTAAGTTTAGGATAAGCCTTCATAAGGAATTTATTAGGTTATAATTTCCCATAAGATCATCCCAAAACTGTAGACATCAGCTTTTTCTTAATATGTTTCTCCTCTCATAATTTCTGGAGCCATCCAATGTGGTGTACCAATTCTAGCTCCCTTATTAATTTTATGATCAATTTTTTTATTTATTCTTGATAAACCAAAATCACATAACTTTACATTCCAATTTTGATCTATCAAAACATTAGATGATTTTAAATCACAATGCATAACCTTTCTGCCGTGAAGATAATTCATTCCTAAAGCTATATCCTCAACTATTTACATTAAAGCCTTTTGATCGATATGTGTTTTCTTTTTATGTAAATGATCAAAAAGACTACCTTCTTCTAGATATTCAGTGATTAAATAATAATTCTATTTTCTAATACAAACTCCCATATATAAAACAATATTTGGATGGCGAAGATTTGAGATGACTTCAACTTCTTTTAAGAAATCTGCCATTTATATTTTATATTTCAAATTTCCTTGAGATTTCCTTTTACCATAAGATTTAATAGCAACATCTTAACCAAGCCACTTACCTTTATGCACTACTCCATATCCCCCTTCCCCTATTATTTATCCTATAATCAATTCATGGAAAACTATAAGAACTCTCTCATTTATGCCAAACTCTTTAAGCATAAATAACAATTTTTTGGGCAAATGATGCTGCTATCTGTCATCTTTTTCTTTTTCCTTTCTAATTTCTTTTTATCTCCTTTATTTTTTTTTTATTTTTTCATCATCAGAAGAATCTGAGCTTGAATCATTTCCAGATACATCTGATTCTTAACTTGAGGAATCTTGATCTTAGAACTTGTTCCCATTAGGTTCTGATTTCTAACGAGACAATTATAAAGTTATAGATTATAATTTTTCTAATTGAAGTTGGTTTAGTTCATCATTCGTTACATTAATTTATGGAGGGCTTTTAGAAGATACAAACTCGGAAAATTCTTATTTATTTGTTGATTATTGTCTCGAAAAATCAAATGTTACATTAGATTCTTTATCTTTAATATCTTCAGTTCCATTTATGCAATCATTTAAAGTAAGCATGTCTACTTTCTAATCGCTTGTGTTATTATTCATTTTATTTGGGGATTCTATGTAATATATAAATTAACTACATTTTGGGGATGATAAATGCTATTTGCCTTCTTCATCGTCAGCAGAATCTCCAGATTTTTATAAGTCTAATGTAACCTTTCTTTATTATTTTCTACTTTTCTTACTTTTCTATCTTTTTAATTTTACAGACTTATCATTATCACTAAGACTGCTCTAATCAGAATCATTAGAGATCGACCTTGCGGGAGACATTTGGGATTCTTTTGTATTTCTCTTTTTTCTATAACTGTTATAAGAATCACTGCTTGATTCTTTCTTATTGTTATCCGGATATTCATTTTATTCCTCATCAATCTTCTCCATATATGAGAATATGCTTTTAAATCGTTATTATTCAATTGATGTATATAAACCTTTTCTTTCTTCTAAGGATTCTAAGGGCTTTTTAAATCTGATTTTGCCCTCCATAAATTTCATATAGTATTTTTTATACTCTTCTATCGATTAAAGAATCTTTTTTCTATGTCCTAAAACAGAAATCCCTAAATCTTGTTTCAATTCATTATCTGTTAATCCGTAAAGTGTCCTTCCAGTCATTTAATTTTTTATGAATTCATCTTTGTATTCTCCTAGGTCAAGTGAATCAAGCCATCCACATACTTCTTATAGTTGCCATTCCTACACTGAATTTTTAATAATGAAAATTACTATTCTTTTGATTCTCAAATTAATCAATCTTTTCCAGAACCTATAAGCTTAAAAATCCATGTTGATGTGAACTGGTTAGTTATATAGATTAGCAATCCACCTTTTATTGCTAATCTTATTCTCCTTATTAATTTATAACTTAATCTTTCTATTTATCGCTATCCACTTAAATAGGAGGACTTGTCACAATATTAATCATATAATTTTCCATTTTCTCTCTTTCAATATGAGTTTTCTCAGCCTTTACATGGAACTTCTCTAATACAAGTTAAGGTGGTTCATCTATTTATACATTATCCAATAGATTATCTTATTCATACTGTTGTTTATAATATTTTCTCTCCCTTGAATTAAACAAATAGCCCATTCCAAATTTTTTATTCATTCTGAATAATCCTATAGTTACTTTGTATGGATACCATAAAAAGTATTGTTGTCTGATTGATAAATTAACCCCATCCCATCTCTTTAATCATCTTTCCATTCTCCTACATATCTATCACCATTAATATAAAAATGCATTCCTTCACCACATTTTTTATTCTCTATCCAATCACCTATATATAATTCTCCATTTTTATAGTATAATTTCCCTTTTCCATGCTTTTAATGATTTTTCCATTCTCCTTCATAACGATTGCCAGAGACGAATTTATATGTCCCTTAACCATGCCGTTTATCGTTTACTAATTCTCCTTAATATTCATCATCATTTGAATAAATAACATGTTTTATCAACTTTTGGTTCACCTCATGCTTAATAGGTTCTCTATATAAGAACTTGAAAAAATTCATTAATAAAATAACAAATACACTATTTGTCAAAACCAAAGAATTAAGATTTTTATTAGATAATTTTCGAATCAAAAATCTCAAACCTAAGTATAACTTGTCATTTATAAATCATAATCAAGTGCAAATAGTTGTTGTAGTCAGTATTTATAACTATAAAATTGAGGATATTCATTTAATGGCAGCAGGATTATATTATATTGAAATTAAAATTAGAATAAAGACATAGAAAAAAATGAGGATGGATTTATTGATGTAGAGTAACGAATAGTTAAAATATATCTGAATTAGCTTAAGAAAAATTTTCAAAGTGATTCAGACTTATTATTTTTTTAAAATGGTGGAAATGTTTGCAGATTCAATTACAAGGATGAAGTGATGGACGATTCAAATTTTTTCAAGAGTGATGAATTTAGTAAAATTTAAATTAACAATATTTAAAAAAAAATTAAGGTCTTACCAGGACTCGAACCTGGGTTAAAGGAGTCAGAATCCTTTGTGATAACCGCTACACTACAAGACCCAATCTGGCTTATGAGTTTAAGTATTAGTTATATAATTAGTTGAACAAATTATTAGTTTACAAAATTAAAAAGATAAGAGTTACCCGCTTACTTATCTAACTATTAAAAGAAATCTATAATTTAAATTTACTAATACTTTTAAGTTCATTGTTTGGATTGAATAATGAGAAATTGCTGTATGCTGATGATTAAGATGCCGATTCTTATTTACTAAATAATCTTTGCTTACTTGACTTTGAGGAAGGAGGAATTTGAAAAAGATAATGTAATTTCGTCAATGTTAAATAATTTTCTTTTTATACTAGTATTTGAATCTTATAATTGATTTTAATGTTGTTTTGAACTACATACTTATCCACATTCCAAATGAATAGACTAGCAAGGCTAAAACAAATTATATTAAGGAGTATTATTAAATGGATTCAATTAACTATTCTCTATGTTAATTGTTGATTCATCTTCTTTTTAGGTGTGATTAGATCGTTATTGTTCCTTACATTATTATATTTGTTCTTTAATTTTGATTAAACTTTTCTAAGATGTTTTGGTACAGCACATCCTTAAGGAGTCTTATTCTCTTTTTTACATTATTTAAATTAAGGAGAGTTTCTATTGTGCAAACTGCCAATCTAACTTGTATGATATGAAGATCGCTATTTTTTTAATGAACACTATTTCTCTTTATCAAAATAGATGAAATCATCTTATGAATTATTTCGAGGTAAATACTATGGTAGAACTGATTATGAATCATTTGTTTGTTTTCCTTAAGGTATATGTTATGAATCGTTATTATAGTATAATAGAATAGAATATTGTTATTGATTCCATAATATTGATTTGCTAAACTATTTATTAACGGGTTTAAATATCTCTGAACCATCTAAACAATGCTTGAAAGGTGTAGCTTTTTTAACATTTTATTAAATTTGGAGTTAATTTGGGAGACAATAGTTTAGGTTTGCTATGATTTGAAATTTATCTTTCAAGTTAAAATGCTTTTCTATTTAAAGTACTTTCTTGAGTAAACTTTTTAATTCTTATTGTATTGACTTTTCTTTGTAAGAATCTAAATAAACTATTAAAATATTTGCTAAATTGTTTTTGCTTCAAAATATAATATCATTTAGCTACTGCTTTGCTAAACAGACACTCAAGATAACCAAGTATTTTATTAATTAATGTTTCTTTTCTAATTATTATTCTTAGATAAATTTATTCAGTTGCTTCAATTCCATTTATTTTTCTAACAGCTTATTTATTTAATGAAATGCACTACAATCAATATTTCAATTTTAGTAAAGATTAGGGAAAAGAGTGAAATTATTACTTTGAATATCATCATGATCATATTTGATTTTTTAGAAACCTTTATCATCGCATTATTTTATTGTAAGAACATAAATAAGACTAAAATATAATAAAATACATTGGAATTTCAAACCCAAATCTTTCTAATATTTCAAAATATAATAAGAAGAACTTATACTAGATGAGCATGATTAATTCTATTCATTCTTTAATGAAATTAGGATTTTAAATGAGGCCTAACAATAACATCTAAATATTTGGCTTCTTTGAATTTTAGTGAAAAATGATAAGTATTTATTACAATTAGACAGAGTATTGAACATATTTGGATTTAAATCATAAATTATATTAAAATAATCTACTTTTAGTTAAGTTTGATTCTTATTATTATTAATTAACGAATGAATAAATCTAAGAGCCCTAATTAAAGAGATGTCCCAAATGATAATAGCAAAGTTAGAATAGCAGTTCGAGTCAGACCCACCTTAAATAGTGAAAGTGAAGAAGACTTTGTATAGTTGATCGATGATAATACAATAAAAGTGACTAGAATTGGGAATACTCTCCGAATGAAATTCAGTGACATACTTCCTAAAACAGCCAATCAATAAGATGTTCAACGATTAGTTTCTGAATCTATTAAATCGTTCATATAAGGAATAAACAACACTATTTTTGCTTATGGATAAACAGGAGCTGGTAAAACTTATACAATAATGGGTGGATTACCTGAAAACGTAGCTAATGTTTCTACTGAAAAGTTTCATTAAGTTATTAGATGCAATGAAAGAGGAATTCTACCTAGAGCAGTGCAATCAATCATGTCTCAATTATAAACTTAAATAGAAGAAGATTAATGTCGACTTTACTTATCATTCTATGAAATTTACAATGAAAAAGTATATAGATCAAATTTATTAATAGATTTTTGATCTTTTTAATCTAAAATCTCAAGGATTGGATATTCGTGAAAATAAAAATGGTGATGTAAACATTCCAGATTTATCATAAATACGAATTATGGATATAGATACTGCTTATGAATATTTGATTCTTGGATTAAGAAATAGAGTTGTTGGATGCAGTCATGCCAATTCAAAAAGTTCAAGATCTCATTGTTGTTTTTAAATGACTCTTTAATAAGTTTCAGTTATAAATGGAGAACCTGTATTACAAGAGTCATCCCTTAAAATTGTTGATTTGGCTGGATCAGAAAAGTTTAAAATTCCGACTGACTTGACACCTGAAGAAAAGGAACTCCACATCTAAGAATTGACGTCCATCAATGGGAGTCTATCTTGTTTAGGACATTGCATATCAGCACTGATTGATAGAAATAGAACACATATTCCATTTAGAAATTCTAAATTGACTAGAGTTCTAAGTGACTCTTTAAGTGGCAGTGGGAAGATTTTATTCATTGTTTGTGTTTCACCTTCTATATCTTCCAGTGCTGAAACCTTCTCTACATTGTAGTTCGCTAATCGAGCCAAGAGAGCTGTATTAGATGGTAGAAATATCTAATAACCAAAAACCAATAAGCCTAAAGGTGTATCCTTAGAAGAGTATCAAGAATTAATGAAATAATATCAAAAGGAGAAACAAATGAGGGAAGAACTTGAAGGTATTGTTCAAAAGAGGAATCAAGGAGAATTATTATAACAAATATCAAAATTAAAATAATAAAATTAAGACCTTTAAGATCAACTTTATTCAATATAACAACAACAATAATAATAGTCTATAATTATCCCTTAGTAATAATAATAATAGTAATAATAACAATATTCACCTTTGTTTTCAGAAAATAAAAAAGCTTTAGCTATTAATTCAAATGACAAAAAAGTTAGATTTGCAGATGATTTCTTAACTGTTCATATTAATAATATGGACAGAGAAGAAAGTTAAGTATTTGAAAATCTTGCTATATTTTAAGAATTAAAATAGTTAGAAAACAAGGATAAAAAAAAAATAATTGTATTTATTTGATATTTAAATATAGAACTTTGAGGAAAAATTTAAAAGCTATTTTGGGTAGTCTGAATATTAAACTAATGATTTAGCTTAATTTAATACAGGGAAATAGTTCGGTAATTGATTATTTAAGCATTAATAGATTCAATAATAAGAAAAGTGAATGATAAATAAAACAACATTTCTAATATTGTTTAAGATCTTAAAAAAGAAATGTCCAAAGCTGTGAATCAATTAGAATAGTTATAAAGTATGAATAATCTTATTATAATAGAGGAAGACAGAGAACTGAAGAGTACTGACTCGTGTAAAGAAAAGTAAGTTTATTCGTGTTATTTTTAGTTTCCTTTAATACTGATTAATATATATAAGTTATTTATAAAAAATTAAATTAATTTAAAAATGGGGCTAGCTTGTTCTTCTGGCAGTCATAAATCAAATAAATCCCAATTACAGGAAATTAAGTTCCCTTTATTGATTGCTGAGAATTTCATTAAAATCATTGGATAATTATAGTTATCTGATGAAGTTATTGGCGATCTTCGTTACAATTTGAACTAGCTAATAATTATGAGAAGCAAGTTAGCACACTGTATTGCTCGTTTGTAAAAGAGATACTCTGATTATCTCTTATCAGATCTAGAAAATGAATTACAAACACTATTAAATACTGTGGAGACAGTGTTATAGGATTCATAACTGAAAATTTAGTTTCCAGCAATAGAATAATACTTGTTGGAATAGTTAGAATTACATCGTTATCATATGAAATAACAAATATGAAATGATTAAAGTTTAAATAAAATACAAAACTATAAATTTAAACTACTTTATATATATAATAATAATATAATCATTTTTCCTTCCTATTTTCATCGCCAAATATTTGACTATTAAATTATTAATTATTTCATACTCTGCCTCGACTGAAGCCAAATAGTTAAGATTACTTTCAGTTGTATTTACTGATATAAACCAGCCTAATACAGTAAGAACAGTAATTGCTATCTATGTATAAGTCCAAAAATTGTATAATGCAGACCCATCAATTACAGATTAAACTTGATCATTTGTATCATCCTGAGTGATTCCACTTGATAATTAAACTATATTTTTATGTCCTATCACCCATAACAGATAAGCAATATTATAAACTATTTTAAAATGAATATATTACAAAGAGCACTAATTATTGATTGGATAAAGAACTTTTTATCTTAATTGTTCTTTGTCTTTTCTTACTAATCTTTTAATTGAATGCAAACAAACAAGCTACCAAATGCACTGATTAATATTATGATATGAAAAACTTAATCTACTCTTAAACAGTATTTAGCATATAATTTAAAGAATGTTGTTAATCCTTCTTTATCTGTACTCTATCCGAGAAAAATAATGAAAACATGCATCAATGTCATTCCCTTGTTAATTTTAAATGTAACCTGCCAATAATCCTTAGAAAAAGAAGATAAATCTGTCTATTAATTTAACAGCCTCATGAATTAATTTGTTCAAAACTAGCAACACATTTTCAGTTTGAATTTACTATTTTCTGCTTTCTTCCATCATTTGAATTTTCCTTCTTAATGCTTGTTCATTCAATTCAATGAAACTACCATTTGTCAAATCTATTTGATTAAATTGTCAAATACTTTCGATGAATATTTTAGTGATCTCCGGTTGCAAATCTAAAACCTTTAATAGATTGCTCTCATAATCTTAGGAAGCATCTTCATTTATTTTATCAGCCTCATCAATTTAATTCAAATGGATCTCTCCTCCAGTTATATTTCTCTTATTTTTTCTTGATGATTAATATCTAATTATTACTTTGCTTATAGATTATGTTTCATTTATGCAATTGTTATTTTAATATATATAAATAAATGCTCTATATCATAAAAATATGTTAATTATACTCATTTTCTTTTAGCTCTATAATTCTTTCTTTTCTGTTGGCTCTCCAAGTATGCTTCATCGAGACCATTCTCACAATTATCGCATTAACAATCCATTGTACATTTTGATTTTCTCAAAAAACATTCACAATAACCTGTTTGACACCTAGTCTTCTTACAATTGCAACCAAAACAATCTTTGAGTTTAAATAGAGCATCTTTTGGTACATTCTTATTTCTATGGCATTTCTCATTAACATGCTTTATTGCATCATTGCGTTATTCTAAATGATCATGATTATTCAAACATCCTTCAACACATTAACAATCTTTTAAACACATTCTTCCACTATGAAAACATCTACAATATCTTTTTAAACAACCACTATTTCTGCAAAAGCAAGGTTATTGTTCTAATTCACTATTTCTTTTTTTCTTTATTTTTTTTTGTATTTACAACCTTTTGAAGTTTTATTATTATTTTTTTCTCTTTATTTGTTCTCTTTCTTCTTGCTCATTTGATTCTACTTATTCTATTTATTCTAATTATTCTTCTTATTCTAATTTTTCTTTCTCTTTAGGTATTATTTCTACTTTCTACTTTGCTTCAATAATTTATGATTTTTAGGATTATAAATGTTAAAGCTGGGGCGGATAATTTTGATAGGTAACTGATCTTCTGGGCCCTAAGGGTATCCCAGAATCGTATAAAAAGAAACTTGACATTCTACTAAAAGGTGGCTGCCTTTATTCATAGTCATTGAAACAATCAGATGATCTAATTATGATATTATTCTATACGAAAATTTTTATAATAAAGGAGGTTTATAAGGGTCCTCCATTGAAACTATGCTTGGTCCTTTTAAGAGAGAAGGAAGCTTGAATTAATAATCTCTAGACATTATATTGGCAAATTTAAATGTTAATTTATTTATTTTTCAGAATCATCAATGCAAAACCTTAATTATCTAAAGATGTTAGAAAAATATAGAAAATATACAAAATAACATTATAATATTTTCTCTATTTAATACATAACCTTTTATATCATTTTTGATTTTAACTTAAGTACATTTCAAGTTATGCTCTAGCTTAATTATCATTTATTGATCCTCTGATATCTTGTATCAATTGTGACTTCTTATTGTTAATGGCTACTTGAACAGCATGGCGTTATTACCCAATTTTTAATAACATATAGCAAGATTCCTATATTATATAACTTCTATGTTACTTCTGGATCTGGCATCTTCATTATCATTTGTAGACCTCTTTCTTCTTAGTCTGCTTTGATCAACATATCTGCAACTAATTCATAGGGGATGGATACATTCTTTTTGTTCCTTTCATTTATAAATCTTTCCAATTCATCCCAATTCTTATTATTAATTAACGATTTAACTCTTGTTATATTAAATCTATTTGATAATTAGTGATGATAATTACCTTCTTTCTGGAATTTTATATGTCTTTGCAAACTCTTAGGCTAATTGAATATTATCTTTAGATAGAAAAGTTTCCATAATTGAATTCAAAGGTCTTTCTTCCATTACTGCTTTGCTCTTCTCCTTTTTCTCTCTTTCAACTTCTTATTTCAAATCGGTCAATGTTCGTATTTATTCTTATAATATTTTACTATAGAAAGAATCTTTGCTTTCTTCCTCAAAGTATTTCTATGCAAATTCCAAAAACCTAATTTTCTCTCCTAAATTACTTTATTGATATGCTTAATTAATGGCTAATAAACCACATTCATCATATTTTTTTAAATACTATAAATATTTCTACAAGTATTTATCATCAAAATTTCTAAGGTAATATATTAAATGAGCTTGGGCAACAGGATTTTATGATAGAATACCAAATTTATAGGTTTCGTCCATGTCTGTTTTCAAAAACTTCATAAGAACAAGATAAATCAGATTTGAATCCTTAGAGGCAATTGCATCGATCAAGGCTTTCTCATAATAGGAATTGTTGTTCCCTTGTTAATAATTCGCCATCCAAATTAGAACTGGAATACGTTTAGATAAACTTTGTTCATTGTCTAGAAGTTTTAATGCCAATTATGATTTGCCTATTTCTATTGATTTCTATGCAATCTAAGTAAAGGATACACCTTTTTCTTCCTTAATCTTCTCCTTTATAATCTAACAAAGTTAATCATCGTCTATTTGGCTTTCCACTTTACAACATGCCCAATGAGTATAAATTGTAGATTTTTATTTAATTTAGAATTTAAGAAAACGTGAAATTTCAATAGCCAAATAATGTAAATTGTATCTTAGCATAAGATTTATAAATAGATCTGGATTCTTTATCAATTACAAGACTTGTTCGTATGTAACAACTCTACCACCTACACTTCCATTTCTTCGCAAAGCATTTGACACTCTGAGATATTTACAAGTTTCATTTAAGAGGTTTGGATCAATCAATTAATTTCCTAAAAATGTCTTCCCATAACTAGCTGCTTTTAATAATTTCATTTAATATTCAGGATTAATCTCAAATTATCCACTTTTAATGCAATCATTAACTGCTTCTCCTAGTTCTGTTTTTTTGGATCTTAATTCATCATCTTCAATAGGATTCTTTTATTCAAATGACTCATATGCAGAATGCAATTAAGCACCTGGTTTAATGGAAAGTGGTAAAAATACATTAACATACGCTTCAGGTAATTTACGTAAAATCTCATTTTTCTTTTAAGTTAAAATTCTGACTCCATCAACTTCCTACTTAAGTGCAAAATGTGGATTGCTCATTTTGACTTTAATGTAAGAATCCTAAGAAACTAAGACTAGGTATTATTGTAATTGGAGAACAACACAATCATCACCACACCAAAGCATTCTTCTAGGTCTTTCAATTTTGCTTATATCTTTTTCTGCACTTTCTTCTTTTTTCACGTCCTCTTCTTTGAGATCGATTGGTATTTATTTACAATCTGTTGAATCAAAGAAATCAGAAATGAATGTTACAACCCATCTTTAATTTATGTATTAGAGTAATGATAGGTTTTTGTAATTAGATGATAGGCTTATCATTTTGATGTTTCTGAGATCAGGTAGTTTCTTATCGATCTCATTAACTATTTTATCCTTATTGTAATAGATCTTCCATTTTTCATCTTCAATTATATGAATAATTCCACCATCAGGATTGGCAATCAAGAGTTCCATCTTTCCACTCTATGTTTTTTGAGGTGGAATAACTTACCAATGTTCAGGTTCTTAAGTGAGATTAGATGGTTTCATTTTATGAACTTAAGGTTCATACGCATTAGGTATATAGAAGAATTCAAAATTTGTTGTCATCAATACAAATCCATTGTTAACAATTAAACCTTTATGGATTTATTATTGTTTAAATTGATCCATCAAATCATACGTCTTTTTAGTACCTTTGATGGGATCTACTATATAATATGAACCGTTTGCTTTAAGCAGTAATAGTTGTTCATCCTCAAGAAAATCGAATAATGCAATCTACATAATTTAATTGTTATACTCTATCGATTTCTTTATACTAAGCTTTGGAAATGATCTTGCCATTGTTGGAGAAGAACACAATAGAGTCTTTTAGCAGGTCATCTGTACGCATGAGGATAACCTGATTATAATTTTTAGTAGCAGCCAAAGGACCACCCCACTTGGATACTGCTATGCGTTAATAGAAAAAGTCAAGACTCTTCTGCTCGCCTGTGATAGTATTAAATTGATGGAATTTGTAATACTTTCTATTAAGTTCTTTCCAATGTGCACTTGGATCCATATAAAATAATTAATTAAATAAGAAAGAGTAATAAAAATGAGAGTGTTTACATTTAAAAAATTATTATTACAATAGCACTAAATTATTAACAGAGTACATATTGTAGTTTATTAAACTGCGAAGATCAAGTCATTTATACATTTTATTTCTTATTTTATTATAAATAAGTAATTAAATTAGTAACAATCATTTAAGTATAGGATACTTCAACTAGAAATTATTTGATTTTAAATGCAATGTAGATACCCTTAAGGACATGATGTAAATCAAATTAATGGAGATCAGCCATAAGAGAACAGAATAATAATGCTACCAAATTTATAAAATGAAGAAAGTTCCATAAATGAATCTGCCAAAGAAATAAAAATCTAGTTTAATTTCATCTTAGAGATAGAAAGAACTTTAGATATAAAAAATAACAAAATCATCGCCTCTGATAATACCTAACTTACTCAAAAATTAACAATATCAAGCTAACAATAAAAAATATATAGGTTTTTAAAATTTTAAATGCAACTCTTTTAGAATTTGGATTTCTTTTTACAGTAAATGCAAGCTTCATATAATTTGATGCAAGTTTTCCCTCCAATTTAGAATGACTTATGAGTTTCAAATCTAATTGATCTATTAATCATGCGAAATGGAATGAGGTTATAATTTGATTGAACACTGCAACTAAAATTTCCAATATATTTTTATATTTTAATTTTCATATTCATTAATATAAATGTACATGAATTCATTTTTTCAAACATTAAGTCAGTTTCAAATTCAACTTGGTTTAAAAGCTATGATATTCCTAATCCAGGCTTCTTAACATTCTGTTAGAAATTCTGAATTTCTACAGTATAGTTGTCTTGATTGATTCATTATCTTTAAGGGTGTTATCATATTTTTAAATGAATTTAATCAAATCTTTTTCATTATCGATATTGAAAAATTCACTTTTTATCAACTGTCCTAGATAATGCAGAATATCATCAAACTCCAAATTTAATAAATGTTGCTATAACAACCAAAGGAGATAGAATGTAGTTTTGAAAAAACCTATTACATATTAGAAAATAGATACCTTTCCATTCTTCTGCCAAAAAAATATCCCATATAATATTTAAAAGTGCTGATCGTTAAATATACTAAAAAACATTCGAATACAATGTTATGAACCAAGATGCAACATAATATGATGGATCTATCTTCTAATCCTTTAGATGTTATGACAATTCAGGTAAAAATATTTGTAGTAGTCGATCAAATTGATAGAACCCAATTTTCTATAAATAAAAGATTTGTAAATACAAGTTTTGAGAAATCATTAATATAAAGGTCTTTGAAATAGAGATTCATCATTCTATCAAAAGCCTTATATGCAACTTCTTGATCTTAAAAGTTTAAATACAAATAGCCTGCAATATAATTCATTCCTTAACAATATCCAACTTCTTAATGATAAAATGCATATATTCTTAATAAACTCTATAGTACAGAAGAATTAATTTTATCCTTGTGAAGATGTAGACTTCTTTGAACATCCAACTTAATGGTTTCCTCATATAATTAATTGATATCCATTTCTAATCCAACTTTAGTCTTCATTTCAACATAATCAATTTTCATTTATTCCAATTTCAAAACTTAAGCTATTAATTTTAATCTAAATTAATGAGTTTGTTCACAAAAAAATATCTGCCCATTAGCTAAATAAAACTTTTTTATCTTATTTTTTAACTGCATGTTGAATTTTCTATTTATTAATAGCAAATGCCATGGTTAATCATCAAGAGTTAAATATCTAATAGCATTTGAATATTTACTTCATTGCTGCACCACAGACTTGTACAACTTTGTTTTAATATTCTTCCATGTTCTTTCGATCATACTTTTCTGATTTTTGGGTCAACACAATCTTCCCTGATTTAAACAATTTTTTCCATTGAGTATTATGAAGATCTTCTTGTTTCTCTAATAGCTTTTTGACATGTTCTTTATCAAATCTTGGCTATTAAAATGCTATTTGTATTATGATTTCGGTGGATAAATCTGATGGTAATTTTAATGAAGTCAAAAATAAGTTGATTTCTTCCATTATCATGTAACATATCTCACTCTCATTAAGTTCAAATTGAGATTGTTGGTTAGTTCCTGAATTCTTAAAAATTGATCCTATCATTTTGAAGCCTTTCTAGACTATATTATTTTGATTCTATTATTTCAATAATTCAACTTGCTTTCGCTTTTCATCTACTTTCTTCGCATTGATATACTAAAATAGTTCTATCCATTTTTCTATCTTCCTCCATAATGTAATATCTGATAATTGAGATGCAAGATTGATTCGATCTCTTCCATCTTTTCGGGCTATCCTTATAGATTTAAGTAATAAATCATAAAGGTCTTCTGATTCATACAAATTGTTCAAATCAATGTAATTTAACCAATGTCTTATCAATTATGTTATCTCCTAAAATTGTTCATTTGATAATGTCAAATAAAATGCTAAGGTATAATTAATATATACAGGATTATTTCTCCTCAATCGATTTCGAATGAAATTGAATTAATTAATTAATAAAGTAGTTTCTGCCTGACTATTTTTCAAGAATTTGCTTAATTTTAATAAGTAACTCACTTTTATCAGTGGTATCAAGTGTAAACAACGAAGTGAGGTACTTTTCAACTATTTTCTTCTCATCGTCTAAGATTTTGTCTCCTACTATCGACCAAGAGGGCTGGATCTGTTAAATCGGAACACTATATTCTGAATTGATGTTTATCTTCTTCCACTACTCATAGCTAATGAATTCCTCAAATTAAAACTTAAATGCTAATTATATTACTTAATGCCTACTATCTTTGATTTCCATTTTTTTTTCTATTAATTTACGTATTGGTATTTTAGGATCCTCTTTCAATTTAATTTCTAAATCTGTAACCTTTTCTTCTATTTGAGTTAAATCTTTATCAAAGGGTAATAATTTTAATAATGAACTCACAGTTTACTTTGTAAACATTATTCTATATAGTATAAATTTGATTTTGAATACCTACTTTATTCATTCAACCCCACATTTGCAAAGATGTTATCCCATTCTTCATGGAATGATTTCCATTTGTCATTTGTTAATGTTAATAACTTTTTATAATCTTTTTCTGACTCATCAACCAATTCCTACAATTTCAAAGAACTGGCAAATTATTTCTAAAAATCTTCTCTTGTAGCACTGCCTTTCTCTATCAAATCTATCATCTCTTGTGTCTATTAACTTTTTTATTCAAATTATTTCATTATTTTCCAATATTCATCTTAGGTTTTACACAACTCTTTTCTGGTTTCCCATATTTCAGTAACCTGTTTTTTTGATTCTGAGTTCAAATTTCGATTCGTTTATCTAAAATTTAACACAAATTGAGTGTATGGTTCTGCAATTTCACTTTTTAGCTTCTAAGCTGTAAGCTCCCAATTTTATGATAATCTCAATAAGTAATTGCTCACTTATTGATATAAACAAACTAAAATATCAGGTTCATTTCCGCAACTGATTTAAGTATGCAGTTTCTCACCAACCATTTTTATTTCCTAACTAAATGCATGCAAACATTTGATCAAATCTTAAAACTATAATTACAATTAAACTTACTATCTTCTCCACTCCAGTCACATTCTGAGTTAGGCTAACCATGTATTCATATAGCTTTTATTACTGCTTATTATAATAATCTATAGAATGGTTCATTAATTAAGAAGGTGTCAAATAATTAAATAAATTATATTCTTTCCTTAAATGAGATCACAACATAGAAAAGCAACTTTAAACATCCCAACTATTTTAGACTTACAGAATCCGGAATGGGATGTCATTTTAAAATCTTGGGCTTACATCAATGTAAAGTATACTAACTTAATATGTTTTTGAAAATAGAACCTATGAATTAACTATTAATAAAGGGTCTATTGTAAACAAGAAAATCCTTTATTTGAATCTAAAAGAAGAATCAATTAATTATAAAATATGTTCCAGCATGCCAAATATCATAGAAGTGAAAACAGAAACTATTAGTCTATAAAAAGAGTGTAAGTTTAATAATATTTTTCTAGAAAAAGACTACATTAAATTATTAATTAAGGCTCCATTGACTCCTTGCAAATTACATGTGAAAATTGCAATGATGGATATCAAGGGTGACACAGTTTTTGAAGGGATGGAATTTGATCTCATTATCGCAAATATAACTTCAAAATGAATTATTTCATGTGGTATACTTACTTCCAATCTAATTGAAATTCAATTACTGATTAGTTCATCCTTTAACCAACACTTCATTTAATTAATAATTAAAATTCAATTATTTTTTTATATTCAAAACTAATTTTCATAAATCTTTCTTTTACAAAATGAGCCATCCCTATTAAATTTATTAAGCAAATTTAATTTCTCTCCTTTTTTTCAATGTTGAAATCTTTTTTTTACTCTTTAGTAAGTAAATGAAGTAAATCAGAGAAAACTTTCATTTAATGTTAATAGCAAAGAATAGATTATATTGGGCTGCTCAAAAGATTTGATAAAAATTATAATAATTCAATTTTCATTTTCCTTAGCCGTCAGTGAAACATTACCAATTTCATTTTATGGTTTGCTTCTTCTTTTTACTATTGGATTTTCTGAGATGACAAACTTTACTTTAGATAAATCATTTTCTTCATCGTTTTTAAAATCTAAGGAGAATTGAATAATCTCTGCAGTGCTTTATTTAAATTTAGCTTTAAATTCTCTTAACCTTTGAAGATATAAAGCTTTTTGTAATTCTTTTTCTGATGATTTCGAAGAGCATACGCCCATGATTTTGAAATATTTATTAATGAAAATATCCAATTTAATTCTTTTATGACTAAAAATTACAAAAAAGAAACAAATTAAGTGTCCTCTTATTAAATTTGAAAAATCAATAGAACCATGGAATCACATGTAATAATAAAAATTAGTAAAAATGAAATATAGTATTTTTATATATAGTGTCAGAAATGATGCTACATTAATAATTAATTAAAGTATTTATCAATAATAAGCAGATTTAAGTTTTTCGTTTTGACTTGCAATTGAAGAAGCAAGCAATGCAGACTAATTGGTTATAGATTATTGTGATGCAGTTGCTATAGAAGTTACATTTAAAGTTTATAAAAGTGTTTCAGATACGGATAATAAGACATATTGTGTTGAAATAGGATCTCATATAGCTTTTATGTGAAAAATTCAAAAAGAAAATCAAGATTTGTATTTATCTAAACACTACATTACAAGCTTAAAGAATTATCCAGTTACTTGAGAACAATACAATAACCCTTCAGAATATGGCAAAAATGAAAAGATTCAAATCAAATTATATAGGCAAAAGCCAATTATAAAAACTCTATGAAGATCATAAGGCCACCATATTTCTAAATCCAGATTGTTAAGGGATAGAAGTCTTTTATTTTGTGCTCAACATTACAAATAGTGCAATATTGATAATCGAAATACAGATTTTGAAGGTTGCAGTTTCTTATGTGTTCTTTGGTAAAATAGAGTCTAAATTATAATGATATTTAAGATGTTTCTTAATTGTTATTATTATTTTGAGATTTTATATAAAAATGATGATATAAGTTTATTAGATTATTACCTATCTCCATAGAAAACCCTTTTTAATTCCCTTTTAATAAAATCACCAATTTCATAGATTAAAATATTTGTTCTAGAAATTATAAAATTTGGATTTTCTAAAAATGGCAAATGAATACTCTTTATTTGGTTAATCTATCCTATATTATTAAACATAAGAATATGGTCTTTTGTTTTATTTATTTAATGCAATAATTAATCATCATAAATTGTATTTCTTTTAGCACTCCTTGAAAATATCCATATATGGCTAGCATCTTGTGATGTCTTAGTTTGTTTGTAAGCACTAGCCTTAAATAATAAAATTTTACATTTGAAAACATCTGGCTTTCACTTTGGCATGTTTATTATTGCTATTATGGAGCCTATTGTTAAGCTGGTTGTTCAGCTGCTTAAGAATGGCCTATTTTTAAATTACTAAGAAATCATACCTGAGCCTCCCATGACTGATCTAATAGCTTAATGAGCTACTTCAGATCCTGCACCAAAGGCCATTCCTTACATTAAAGTTGATCCAAGGCCAGAAAACATACCTCCTGATCTTGCTGGTGCTTATGGTGGAGCTTAAGTTTAAGGGGCTGGTCTGGCAGCTGTAGCTGTGCTTCTTGATGGACTTGCTGTTGATCTTGAGGATGATCCACTTCTTCTTGGCATTTTTAAAATATTATATATATTAATGAATTATTTCTAAAGATTCAATGATCTCTATAATACAATGCCATTTATTAACCTTAAATAAATTAATTTAATTTCTAGATTTATTTAGCTCTAATGTACAAAAAAGCATTTAATGAATCAACCTTTTTACCATTTTTCTGATGATTATTTTATATCCTTAGTATCAATAGAAGGATTGCATGAATATTGATATTAATGAAATATTATTTGTCAATAATAAATATTAATAATTTGCATATAAACTCATAATTTTAATCAGATAATAATTTATTGAATACAAATACTAAAATAAAAAAAGTGCCACCTCCAGGAATTGAACCTGGGCTTTAGCGGCCACAACCGCTAAGTACTAACCACTATACGAAGATGGCATCTCGAGAATATATCTATGATTCTTTTCTATTAATATTGCTCAAAATATCTAGATAAAAAGTGTCAATTATAATTCATTCCATTACCTTTTACAAATTTTAACCACAAAATGATGATAATTAATATGTATATTTGCTTATCCTGTATTTAGAGTTTATATATGATAATAATTAATTTTAAATATTCAAAGTCTCATTCGTAATAGACACCAAAAACAATTGCCACTCCATAAATTGTTTCCTTAATTATTAAATTGAGATTACATTCTAAAAGATATAAGAAGCGTAATTATCCCAAGTAGGATCCCAAAGGTTCTTTGATGTGACTTGACACCCTTATCCTTTAACTTCTCCAATTACTACCTATACTGCAATTTTGAATCTTGGCATTTTGATGGCTACATATAAATTGAATCTTCGTACAATCTCTAACTTTGCTTCTGATTCTCTTTACTAGTTCCTCTGCTAGATTAGGTGTATTGTTTGCATCATAAGTTTCGCTTTTTAATTTGTCATCCATAATCTCCTAAATAACTTTTCTAACCTTTGATGGATAAAATCTAAACAAAACTCATTTAATTTTTACTTTTCTTCATCTTTTGGTTCAACTACAAAGGTATTAGCTCCTCCTGAGTCCATTTTATATTATAATAATAATAAATTAAATAAAATATCACATTATTTAAAGATTGAATTTCTGATTTGATTATAATAAGAATATATATTAAATATATTTAAGAATAAGCATTCATTTTTCTCAAATTTATTACTTAAGCGCTATTATTGTGTAAAATATTTTCAAATATTTGAATTTCATGATGAATATAAGTCCCTAAAAATATTCATTTTATCTGTCATTCAAAAGATTAGCAATATGAATTATACATTCTAGATAAATTAAATCTTATATTGATCTAGCACATCAATTTAGTGACTCGAAAGAGTGTTACATCAATTAATAGAATCTACAGAATATGATTATATGAAAGATCAAATAATAAAATTGGGTCTGAAATTACAGAATATGAAGTGATTGCATTAATTGTTATTTGTTTATTAAAAAGGATATGATAAAAATATATTCAAACATAATATAAATATTTAATAGTAGCATTTAATAAGAAATGAGCAATAATAAATTGCTCCAAAAAACAGTTATCTAAAAATTAGAGAGAGGCAAGGATAAAGTTTATTCACAAATTCAATTTCAATGAAATTTTCATGAATTATCTGCATACTGTCATTTTATCTATTTTAGTTAAATTTAAGTAAATTTTAGTTGAATATCTTATTCACTACAGTAAAGACTTTCGAAAAAAATGGTTCTTATTAAATAAAAAAGAGAAAATAGCTTTTTAAACAACTTAATTAATATAAATTAATAAATTCAGTTTATTGTGTCAGATTCAAATTTCCTTAATTCTTCATATCTTAATTGTTTCGTATTTGATATTACTAGTAAATAAATGTCATAAATGAATCTACAGTTTATTCTCTTGTTAAAATAGACTTAATCATAAATTAAATACAGAAATATTTAGAATTGTGTATCTAATTTATATGCGTTCAAAACGAGATCTTGGAGAATTGGATTAATAAAATTTAAAATATGATTTCTGAGAGTTCGTAGCTTTCTAATTCAAGTTTTCCTTTAAGTCAAGAGGAAAACTCTATCTAAACAGAATAGCATCTTTAATCAATCTCTTAATAAGATGAAGGAATCTTTAGATCAAAGCATATTAGGTAAAGAAGAAAGACAATCTAATATGGTTAAAAAGATCGAAGCAGCGCAATTTATAAATACATTAAGGAGAAATAAATGGCTTTCCTTGATTATAAGCCAAGAGCTTAAATTTCTTAATTTTCAGCCGAAGAAGACAGAATCCTAATTTTGCTTGTAAAAAAGCTAGGACCTAAATTCAACAAAATCACGAGGTATTTCTCAGGAAAAACAGTCAATATGATTAAAAACAGATATTATAAGTCCCTTCGTCATATTGAATCTTAAGAAATTCCAAAAGAAGTGGGGGATGAGTTGTTTTCAAACAATAATTAATCCAGAATTATTGGTCGGAAAATATTGAACTTGTGGCCCGAACAAAAATAAATGAGCTTAGTAATAGAAGGCAGCCCTCTCTTCCCTGAAGCCAAAGAAATATTGCATACTTTTTTATCCTCTTTCTAACAGTTAATTAGCAACTGCAAAAAATAAAAATGATTCTATCCACATATTTATAAAAACATTATTAACAGCATTAATAAAATCAAGATTATATGTAGAATTCTATAAATAATTTTCAGGATGTCTAGAAGACATTTAAAACTTCAATAATATAAATTCAAGTATTTAGAAATCTTTGATTATTTGTTGGCATAAAGAATGTTTTTAAATAAATTCTTCATTACCCAACAAAATAAAATTTGTTAAAATTACAAAATAAATTTATCAAGTGAGACTATTCACTTAATTCTTCAAAATTATTTTTTAAAATATGATCACAAAAATTGGTAGTAAGTTATATAAACTAGATGATTTTTAAAATGATTATTTTGACATTTACAATAATAAATTGTTATATAATAAAGTAATATTTTCATCCTCAATCATTTTTCTTATCAGACTAAGCGAAATTAAACAGTTCGATAGAATTTCAAACCTTAAAGTTTCAGAGTAACTATTCTGTTTAACAATTTTACTAATGTTTTAAAATTTTTATTTTACCAACTGTTTAGGTTAAATCTAAATATTTACTAATTCTTAAGCAGATTTTTAATAGTATTACTCTCTGATTTCTAATACTTACAACTATTTCTTAATTAATTTTATATACTGATTTATTCATATGATTCAAAATCTTCAAATAATCGATTAATTTTGATGAGAATTAAACTGTAAGCGATTTATACTGAGATCATTTTGTTTATTTAATAAAATGAAATACTAAGCACTAGAAAGTGATTTTCTTGTAAAAACACTTCTCATTAAAAAATTTATAATAAATGCAAGCTCTAGTAATTTTTAAATATAAAAAAAGGAAATTTTGAAAAAGACTTCAACCTAAATTAAGAAAATGGCAAAATATGGATGCTATAAAATGTTTAAAACAAAAAGTATTATTTAGTACTATATAAATTAAGATATTTTCTCATTTTTTTTAATAATTAAATTAAATGATTTGCCTTGAACAACATCGTCAGGATTCTTCTATTATAGATGAGTGCTTAAGATATACTGAATCCTTATAATTAATCAACTAGGCTGCTCAAAATTCAGAAACATCTCTAAATTTCCCTAAATTTAAGCCTAAATAATCTAGATAAAGAAGAAAGCCGATTCTCTATGGTGATAAGGATAGAAGTAGTGCCATATATAAATACATTAAAGAAAAACAAAGAAGCTATCTGGATTCTAAGCTTAAAGTCTCAAATTCAATTTTCTCACCAGAAGAAGATAGAATCCTTTTGTTATTGGTCAAAAAATTAGGTCCTAAATTCCAAAAGATTACTAAGTATTTCCCTGGGAAAACCATGAACATGCTTAAGAATCGCTACTATAAAAGTCTTAAAGATTCGGAAGCTTCAATGGTACCAAGGGAAATTGAAGAAGAACTTGCAATTAAGGACAAGGAGAAAAGAGTGATGGGAAGGAAAATTATTAAAATCTGGCCAGAGGAATAAAGAATGACAGCTCTTATTGAAAATAGTGTTCTATTTCCTGAAGCTAAATAGAAGATTTAAGATTTGTTTTTAACTTTCACTTCAATAATTGGGAACTGTATGAAAAATGTTTGAGTTCTTTCTTAATATATAATAACATAATATACAGTTTTAAATAAAATTTAATCATAACGTAAAAACTAACATAATTACATATAATTATTTATTATTTTATTTTATTTATTTTTGGGTAAAAAAAACTATTATTTTAGAATCAAAACTTAAACATGGTCTCTTTAATGTATTTATTTTCAAATCTTAATTTAAACTAATTTGATGAGAATTATGATCCAAACAATTAATTCAATATTTGGTTTGTTGTATATGTAAAAATATAGATCAATGAAAAATGAAAATTTATGAATCTCATTCATTCTTTTGAAGATTGTTAAACATCTATGAAATTATAAATGAAAACTTAGTTTATATTTTGATTTTTCAAATATAAAAAGAAACTTAGTCTTATAAAGTTAAAAAACAGAATATATATATTATATTTGATCAGTAACATTTTCATCATATAAAATCAATTAAAATATGTTCAATATAATCAATTTCAGAGAAAATGCCATATGTCAAAGCTAGACGTGAAACGAAATTTCTTCTTAATTATTAGTTATACCAGGTTGTTCGAATTTCTATTTTTCGAGAACGATCAAACATTCAGGAATTAGAATCATCAAGAAAATAAGCTATCAAATAAATCATATTCTCATAATGACTTAGACATAGAGATTTAATTCATGATTTAGCCATTTTATGTTCATATAGAGTGAACTCTTTTTTACAATTATTAATAACAGAATTCTCATATTATATATTAACAAAATTCATTCTAAATATTCTGCACTTAATTGATAATTTCAGTTTCACATTTTGAATTCTTATTGTACTCTTCTTGAAACTTTGAGTCAATTCTAGAATATCATTCTAGGTTGTAATATAATAAGTGCTGAATATTGGGATATTAACATAAATATTTTGATATATTAATAATTTTTTACTATGATTTAGATCATGATTGGCACTTCTGACATTCTTGATCTCCTGGATACCAAGTATATTATTAAAAGGATTATGAATAACAATCTTTCCTACCTAATTCTTCAGGATCAGATGTTACACACTATCCATCTTCGCTTATTTCACAGTACATAACCTAATCAGTTTCAATATCTAAGTAACTTGAACATAGTTTGACTCCTTCTTATACAAAGGATGAATATTGTCCATCTTCACATGTTCTTTTTACACATGAATTATTCTTCCAAGCACATTAGGAATTGACTTATAAACATTATTTTTCTGTTAAACTTGAACAAGATGATAATGATTGACCAACACATGCAGACCCATTCCAATTACATATGGTTTTCTTATATAATATATACATTCTTTGGCAATCTTCTTCAAAGGCTATTTGTTCACATGATTATTCACCACGTCCAATTAGATCAAAAGTGCAGGATGTGCCATTATCTAAACAATTAATTCCCTCACAAGATTGAGATAGAATACTTTTCTCAAATTAGTAATCTGAACATTTGGTAAATGTCTGACATGCGCCATTATACCATGCACATGAAGGTAGATTTCCACATATTTTTTAATCAAGCGCACTACAAGGAACTACAACATCTTTAAGGAGATCCAAGCATTATCCTTCGTTCCAAATACAAACTTTAAGATCAAACAAATCTTGGCTGGCTGCCTAAAATTTGACTGCATTTTCGCAGTCGTACTTTGTCTATAGATTTGAACATAGACATGTTTGAACGTCTGCTGAGTTGATGAATAGGATGAGTGAAAATAGAATAAATATTTTCATATTATAAATATTAAAATTGAGTGATATTGAAATTGGTCAAAAAGTGTATAATGATAATTGTTTGATGAATATGTTATAAATATAATTATATTTCAGATTATTTTTAATATCGTTTTTCGATATGATAATTTTAATACTTATATCGGTTGTATATGCTCAATTGGATCAGCTGCGAGAAACAGAATTGGGATTAACGTTATTAGAAACAGTTTAACTACACATTCAAGCAGATGAGCCTACTGGAGATTTATTGTAATTATTGAATGGGATTCATGGTAATAATAAATTATTATAAACTTTCAGAGAAATTGGTTAAGCAAAGGAACAATACTAATAAACTGTAGAAATCTAAATTGGATGAGTGCATGGTAAATGTTGAATCGTTAGAGGAATTGATTGCAAAACTGAAGGAGGATAAAGTAGTTGTGAAAATAATAAAATTAGTATGATGTACGAGAAGAGATCTATGCACATAAGCCTCACATTGAATAATTCGAACACATGAAGTCAACTAAAAACAAAGAGAAGGAATCGTTGATAAAAAATATAGAGATTTGTTAAAACAGAGAGAATTTGCAAAAAGAATAATATCATAAGTTAACAATCTAATTACAAGAAAGGAGATATGATTATGTGAATCAAAAGTAACATTTATTATATTCTTAAGTTTAGAAATCCCTTGTCTCTGAAAATTGATCAATAAAGTTTGAAACCTTTGTTAAACGATCTGATCGATTTTACAACAGACATGATGTCATTAGAAGACAAGTATTTTGATGAGAAAGAACAACAAACCAAAAATTTAATATCATTATACTAATCACAATTAGATAGTGTCATACAATTTTTGGATGAAATCTAAGAGAACATCAACGAAACTGATCACTTAGTAAAGCAATTAGAATTGGAATACAATGAAATCAATCATAGAATTAATGTACTCATCAATTAATATTAGTTAAAACAAGAATAAGTTAATGATATCAAGCAAGAGTGCAATAATATATTTTAATAAACTAAATTTTAATCATAACGAATCACAAAAGAAATTGAAGTTGTCAATTAAATTATCTAACTAATTGAACACAATTTTGGATGGCTGCGTTCACAATTAGGATTATGAAGGCATAAATATTATTACCCAAATATCATATTATTTATTATAATTCATTTTTAATACTTGTCTAAAAACTCTTATAGAGATTAAGGAACTGATTTTGCTGTTGAAAACAATTCTCTATCTGCCATATAACATAACAATATAGTATCGATTCCCATTCCATAAACATTCATAAATATGCTGGATAATGTTAATGAGATAAAGGCAAAGAAAACAGTTGGTAACACAGGAGATGAAATCTGGTTTGAATAATGATCAATCTAAGTGATCATTATAAATCCAATGAATGTTGCTGTGATCCCTATTGATAAATTAGCCACTGTGCTAAATATCTCACCTATGCCATCAGTAATTGCTACTGCTGTCTTATGACGAAATATTAGATAATAAGCATCATGAGCTGATTTACAAAATGATTTCCCTGTAATTGCAACCATTATGTAGGCATTCTAAGTTATAAATCTAATAAATCTCTCAAAACAATGTATTATACATCCATAATAACCAAACCAACATTTCAGACAACCAGTAGCAGCCTTATTCTATTGAACTCCTTGTTTAAACATTTTCTAACCCATACCATCAATTTAATACATGTAACAAATCAAATGTAAATCTTAACACTGCCACAAATGTTAAAATCAAAGATCCCAGAGCCAAAGACCCACTGTGATGCATCAACCCTCGTTTTATACTCTTGAATACTGGACGATGTAAATTCACTCCCATATGATGGAAATACCACATGCAACAACAACTAGCTACCACGTATTAACTGAAAGCCATTGCGAATTAACAATTCCAATAAAATGCTATTGAATTACCAATAATCATCCCTATTACTCCAGAATGAAGATCAACTTCAGGAAATGGAGTGTTATCCAAATAATCTGAAGTCCCATATGACATTAAGTAAGTAGTACTGTATATCCAAAACAGTAGAAACCCTATCATTACTCCAAATATGCTTAATGGTACCATTACAACCTACCAAACATCTCGAGTAAAATCTGCTGCAGCCTTTATTACAGCTATAGCCAAGTAGATCCTTTTATAATAGCATCCCAACATCAACAAGGACATTCTAAATTATTCAATTATTCTACCCTGCAATACTCCAAAATATTATTGCTATTGTCAAACACCATCCATAACTATTACCAAAATGTGCATTTGAAAAGTCTCCTTTACCGCTATAATAAAACAAAAAACCAAATAAAATTAACAATGTAAAATACAAGATGAGCACTCCCCAAACTAAGCATGATGCACACTTCTTAACCAAAAACATTATGAAATTACTATTAACATTTATTTTATATTTACGCCAAGATCAATGTTATAATGCAAACAAATAAGGATATTGACCATGTCTTACCAATATCTTAGAAATCAGCTTCACTTGCAGAATAACTAAAGAAATCCTTTGTTACATTCCAAAAAGGGTCACTTTTGTATGGAGAACAAATTGACATATCTAATTTTAGTGTTCTATATTTATTTTTACAATCGTATGTTCCATATGATGATAATTATGTTTCATCTCCAGATACTGTGCAATAAGATATTTCTGTATTCGCCTTTGATGGACAACTTTGTACACAAATAAACTAAAAATTTCCATCCTAATTTTCCTCAATCGAAGTTGTATTCATTAAATATGAATATGGACAATCTTCGAAATTTTTACTCACCCCACATTGTTGACCATCCTTTCATATTTAATGTATTAATACACTATTGTAAGGTAAAAATAAACTGTCAGGGGATCCATTCGACAATGCAATTATACCTATTGTGATCAATCCTCCCCACATTATTAAATATAGAAAGCACCATATACAGTCTGTACATCCTCTATCTTCAATCGGACCCTATTCCAATCTCTTATCTAAATCATTTCCTTTATAATCTGGATTCTACTCTGGGTATTCCCATTCAGATGGTAACAATTGTGCATTATTGCTCATAAGATTATTAATATTATTATAATTTTAGTCACTACTTAATTAATTAAAATTAATAAAGATTTCTATCTTAATTCAATTTTAATCATATAATCTCATTAATCCATTGCAAATTCTGTAATTGAAATTAATTGCTAAAGACTTCTTAGACTACTCTTTCAGTTAAACGTTATTTCAGAAGAGTTAAATGTTTAATATTGTTATTAATATTGTTAGCATTCATAAAGTTGGCATCATTTCGAAAATATTATTATAAAAACTTCATTTGTTATTATAATGCCACTATGGCAGTTTGTCTAATATCACTCTTATTGAGATCAAGCTTAAATTGATTGAAACTTTCAATCTATTGTGTAATTATCTAATCAATAAAGTCGTTATCCAAATTGTCGAATTCATTTTCATATGGCGTATATTAAATCTCTTTTTCTGGGCTTTAAGATATAAATAACAAGGTGGATTTTCTAAATTCCTTTGTAATTTTTGGCAGAGTTTGGTATAAATAATATTCATATATATACCAATTATTAATAGAATAATACCTTTTTATCAGAATTTCAAGATTTGATTAAACAAAACCTTTGAACATGTTTCGTTTATAATTCAAATGCATAAATTATTTATCTAAGTTAGTTAAGGCCTATTATTAATTATTGATATAAGCAGATGAAATAAAATGTTCTTCAATTATATGAATGAAACTATTGAATGAACTATTGAGTGTCATCCTTAATAACTCGGTAATACTAGGAAATGTTTGATCATTTCTGGCTTATTTCATTGAATAACTCTCTGTGTAATCTATTATTTTATTGACTATAGATTTAATTGCTTCTGAGTCTTAAATTGTATAATCCTCATAGTTCTCTCTTTCATAGAATGGACAATCATATCCTGTAAAATGAATATCATAAGTAAAGGTAGATGGTATTATAAAGAGTCCTTCACTTTTTGTATGCAACGATAATAAAACTCTGTTCAAATCCAAATAATTATGTTCTATTGAATTTGATTACAATTTTTAGTATTTTTTTACGATTTCCAAACAAAGTTAAATTAGTTATGCAATGGTGAGTCTTAAATATTTAATTTTCTTATTAATAATGTAATAAATTTACAAAAAGGTATAGTAAATTGTCCAATCGAATGACTCTTTCATTATTAATCGTGTATTTGATTATATTTTCTGATTTTATAATTTCGACATCCTTAAAACCATCTTCATTAAGTATCAAACACATTTCATCATATGATTTTGTATAAGAGTAAGTCAAATAACTTTAGTATTTGAACCCTATCATTATTATTTTATTATTTATAAAATAAAGAAAATTATAACTATTTGTATATAATACTCGAAGATATTATTAATGAATATATTGGATAATAAGGATATCTTGATATTAAATATTATTAAATTTAATTCCAAATAATTTAATGGATCAATATCACTTTCTATTTAAATACATTATAGTTGGTGATACGAGTGTTGGAAAATCATGCATATTGTTAAATTATACTGAGAAGAAATTTAATGAGGACCATGAAACAACAATCGGAGTAGAATTTGGAAGTTAATTATTAAAAATCAATGACAAGACAATAAAGATTTAAATTTGGGACACTGTATTTTTGTATATATAATTTGAAGGCTGGATAAGAGAGCTTTAGATCCATAACTAGATCGTATTATAAAGGGTATGATTGAAATAAATTAGATCTATTGGAGTAGTTCTAGTTTTTGATTTAACCAAAAAAGACAGTTATTATAATGTGATGAAATGGCATAATGAAATATTAGATTGCACACATGAATTCGTTGAGATTAGTTTAGTTGGGAATAAATTAGATTTAGAATCAGAGTACAAATATATTGATCTATAAAGTCGTCAAGTTTCGACTAAAGAGGCCCTTGAATATGCCCAGTCAAATAAAATGAATTATGTTGAAACGTCTGCAAAAACTGGTTAGAATGTAGATAAAGTATTCGAAGACATAGCTCAGCGAATATTAGTAAAAATTGAGAATAAGGCAATTGATTACACATAAGAAGTAATCATTATTTTGACTAAAGGTGTATGGAATTAAATTAGGACCTTTCTTTCAGAATCCAAAATAAGTAACAAATACATCTTCAACTCTAAAGTCAGAACCAGAGAAGAAGGATAAAACATGTTGTTGATAAATATATAATAAATTAATATTAATAATCAATCATAAATCTTAAAAATGTTGGACCATAACATTGGATAAAGATGTAAATACAGCATATGCAGACAAAAGGACTTTCTTCCTTATGAGTGTTCACTCTGTAAAGATGTATATTGCTAAGAACATCGCACCCAAGAGGCTCATGAATGCCCAAAATTATCAATAAAAAAATCAGTCATTTTATGTCCACTTTGTAAAAAGGGACTCTGTTACACTTCAGATCAGAATGAAAATACGATATGGGAAGAACATTTTGAAAAGGATTGCCCCTAACAACCAAAAGAGAAAAAGGTGTGTCCTATTTGTAAAGATAAATTAACAGATGTGACAAACTTCAAATGTAAAGATTGTGGCATGGAAGTCTGTCTCAAACATAGATACAGAGAGGATCATAAATGTCCTACTTTGAAGAAGATTGAAAGCTAGGAAAATCAAAGTCCAAATTCCAAAGATACTTCTAATGAGAATGTGAAGACATTTTAATAATTATTGAAAGAAAAATTAGAGTATTAACAACATTATTAACAAAAAAATTCAACTTAATCATGCCCTGTCTGTGAGTAGAAATTTCCAAACATTATGTTAGTTATTCGCCATGTAGAATCTCATCATTCTTGATTAATAAAATATATTTATATCAATATAACCTCATTAATGGTGATATTTTTCTAAAATTTAAGAGTAATTTGCATCATTTACTTTATCCTCAATCATCTTTTTACAAGCTGCAAAGTCATCTAATTAAATAAGCCTAGTAGAATTATTTATCTGAAAAATTAAATTTATCCCATTTTGTAATCCTTGTTGTTTTTTAGCTTCTCTAAATTTAGTTATTCTTGTTAATATAAAGAATGGTAAACTATTTGTTGAGAATAAGCTAGGGTAACAATATAAAATATTGCAGAATTCCTAATAGAAATATAAAATTATTTAAATATTTTATATTACAAAAATAAATAAATAATTAATAATGTTAATTCTCATTATTCTATTAAGTATTTATTTTTTAATAACTTTATTTATGAGTTTCAGTTAATTTTTGATTTTAAGCGTACTTAAGCATTTAAAGGAAAGTGGAAGGATTATATAAATACTTTAAGAACTAATTTGATTGAAAATAGAATTTTCTATTTCTACTTGATCGATTATATTCCTTAAAGATTATTAGTTTAAATAGATTAATATCTTAAAAACAATATCAATAGTGCAAGCAAACTTTTTGTTAAATTTATAATAAATTATATTTTCAGATTTATATATTACAATTAAGACCCTTTAAGATAGGGAGACTTAAATAAACATTTAAATTTGAAAAGGATAAATAAATTTCAATTTTGATTCATAATTAAGGTATATAAAGTCCTCAATAAAAAGAATTAAAAAGTGCAATTCTAAATAAAGTGCTCAGGTTTTACATATTACCTATAGTAAATTTTATTGTTTAATTAAAATAATCATTATCTGAATTGAAAATCACTTAAAAGTTGAATGATATTAATCATTATTTTTTGAATAAGAATTTAATGAAGATGATATAGATATTTATAACTCAAATAATTAATATATACAATAGCATTATTGAAAGAGTAAAAATAGTTCTGGATTTATAAATTATTTAACAAATATTTGAAACAATCTTATTATATTAGTAAATGCTAATATTTTATATAATTGGCATCCTAAAATTATTTCAATAGTGTTCAAAAAGCTAACTAAATGTATATTCATTAAAATTATAATTTCTATGATGTCATATGTACAGATGCTAAGAATCCTTACCTATCGTATACCCCGCATTCCTCCTGAGCAATTCCATTAATTTAGCATTCTTATTAACCTGTTGCACATTAATCTTTCATCAGTTTTTAGTGTAATTTAATCAGTTGATTTTTAAACTTATTATTATTTTGATATTGAAACTACTTAAATTTTCATTCCTTTCCAAACTATTTCGGTTTTTAATTAAATAATAGCCTAATTTGTAAAACTATTAATGACTTAAACTGGTGTTACAGTTTTATTAAATCCTTTGCCAATAAAAAAGACTTCAATATTAGTAAAAAATGTAGATTTACTTGAATGACTTAGTTCAAGAACAAATAAATCGTTTGAGTCCAAGTTTGAAATATCTTTCAAAAATTTCGAACATTTTAGATCAGAGCACAATCTTAAGGAATATTAGTCTATTTATTAAGCTGTTATTGCAGTTGTAGTCTGTATAATTATTTAAAGTAATGGAAATATCAAAGATGAATTCATATTTAAAAGATACTTAATTAGTTGATTCAAAAATTATTAAAAAGTGAGAATAACTAATATTATTAGCCTCGCTAGACTTATCTAATTATGAAATTGGTATTTTGAATGAATATTATCTCTATTAGGAAGTATTTGATGATATTATTTTTCAATCATATGTTAATTCAGGATAATGGCATTTATTGTCAATATAGCATATTAATATATGAAGCTTAAGACATGTTGTTTCTGATGTCTTCCATCTTCTTAAACTAACCCAAAATAAAGTTGGTCTTCAAAGAGAACATCGGTATATTTCAAATTAATTTAGACTTCTTTAGAATCCTAAAAATAATCTACATCTCCACTAAAAATAGTTTGTGATTCCTAAGTATCCAATTTAGAGAAATATTTATTGCAATCAATTGAATCATCCATTTAACTAATTGCAATTACGATGAATTAGATGAATACTATGATTTCTTTCAGTAATTTTTTTAATTCATTTCCTAATTAAATTAATTCTACATCTGTTTTTTATTCTATTTATAATTCTCATAGTATAGAATTTTAGCTTTAAGGATTAGTCACCCTGAGATGAATTACTTATTGCCCATGGAACCATTATTTTACAAGCAATTGGAAGAATCTAAAAATATTGATATCAAAGAGAGTATCGTAACTTACAAATTTATAAGTTATTCAGAATATAATTTGTTATCATCGATGAGCAACCAAATATTTTCATTGACCCAATTTTCCAGAAACATCTTTACAATTAGATTAAAGGCAAGAGATATTTATTCATTATTAATGGATTCAGCTTGTTATGAAATATATCTATATTTTATATCATTAAACTTTAATTGTCCATGAATGTATTGTTTTGAAAAAAGGAAGTAATGGCAAAGTGGTAAAGAAGAGATTGACAAGTGAGTTATTTTTCAAATTTAGATTAATTGAGAGCTTTGAATTAGTAAAGAAGAATCATGATTCTTCTTTTAATTGTTTTATTATTTTGTTGTTAAAGTTCAAAATTATGCATATTTCTTTTTATAATTAATTTTAAATAGACTTATTACCCAAACATAATTTGTGCATTTGCTTATCATTTAATTTTTATTATCCATTATTTCACTAAACTTATAAGAAAAAGGACTTGATTAGTTTTGTTAGGCTGATACCTTCAATAAGTTAATTTTTATCTCTCTGCATTTTCAATTCCTCCAACTTAAATTATGCCTTAAATGAAGTGCATTAAATTATGGCAATCCTTCTTATCAACTAGCATATTCTTCAATGTCATTTTAAATGCTATCAGTTTTCAAATTCATAAAATTATTGATATTAATATTGGTGAATGTCCCTATTTTTGGATTAAATAATTGTATTTATATAGTATCCTATTGAGTATTTAAGCTAAATTGGTTCCTTGTATTAAATAAGATTAACGTTCACAAAGTCTTAATTTATAGTATTCAAAATGATTTAATTTTCGCTTAATTAGATGCAAAAGTTCAGAATAGATTTTACAACTTTTTGATAGGATAAAATGTTTGATTACTAAAGAGAACTGAAATTAAATAAAGGGAGTCTACTAATTAGTAATAAGATTTGATTTACTTTTTAGAATAGTCACTATTCTATTGAGGATGGAGTAGAGAAAGAATGCAGGAAATTGATTGATAAATAGACAATATCATATCTTTATGTGAGCGGGTAGAGTGTGTATTTTGAATAAAGAAATGGGAGGTGATAGAGAACCTCTATTCATCTGGTGAATTGGGTATGTAAAATACAGATGTTATTTATGAATAATTTTTTTGTAGTAATGCAGTTATCTTATATTGATTTGGTTGTTCATTAATTTCTAACATAATCCAGAGTAGTGAGTTAAGGAAAAAATCTATAAAAGTAAGGGAAGTTCTAATCCGTTTTTATATAAATTAATTAAATGAAATATATGTTATTGGCTTTGGTGCTAGTAATGGCACTAGGTACATCAAGCGAGGAAAACGTATTACAATTGTTGGCTGAGTTAAAGCACAACGCCGAATTAGAATTAGAGGGATTAGAGCTAGCTTGGCAAAGAAGAATTGGTGAGAAATAGAGTGTTGCTGATTCTCTTAATCAATCTGTGTTCAATTAAAGAGCTGAGTGCCAAAACAAAGAAGATGACATAGCTTAAAAGCAAAGTGATATATTGGCTAGTGAGAGTTTCATCAATTGGATGAGTGGAAGATAAAAGTCAAATACAAAGAAAATTGGAGTGTTGGAAGCAAGCATGTAAGAGTATTCTAAATATGAAGATGTGCATTAACAAACAATTATGTGAATGACATAAGAAATTTCAGGTATGCCTTGGCCTTAGTGAAGTTTTTGAGAGAAGAACTGGCATAATTGGAAGCAGGAGCATCATCCTTAGCCTAAGTGACATAATTCCACGATAGAGTTAGCAAATTCGTTAAGCTATATCGTAGTGGACAATTAGTCAATTTAATGGAAAAGATCGATGATAAATCAGATCTCATTGTTCCTGAGATTGAATAAGGCACTTTTGATGAAATTTCACTTATCCAAAGAATCAGACCAAAGGCATTGACCTAATTGGACTAGGCTGCTGATGATGATGATAAGGCTAACAATGCAGTTGTTCTTATTCCAGGTTGTGATAATTAAATTGGAACCGTTGTTGTTGTTTAAAATGATGATGGAACAACTGATTCTGGAGATCTCAATGTTAAAATCACAAATGGAGGTGGAGTAAGTACAAAACCAACTGGTGGTAAATCAGGATCTGGTTCTGGTTCTGGTTCTCCACAAATTCACAAGGATCCAATATCAAAGAAGGAAGAAACAAATCATTAGGAAGAACATGTCAATTCAGGTGATTCAGATGATTCAGATGATTAAGGTGATTCTGGAGATAATCAAGATGCTGGTGATAATAATGATTCTGATAATTCTGATGATACTAAACACTCTGATGATACTACTCACTCAGATGATGGTGATAATACCAGTGATGAAGATCATCCTCAAATTGTTATTGATGATAAATAACCAGATCATCATGTTGATGAACAACCCAATATTGCTGTTCCTACCAAGGATCCTCATGGAACTGGAGCTGTTGTTCCACCTGGAGAAGAAGAATTTGCAGACAATTGGGAAGTATTTATTATTGCTAAATATAATAGGGATTCAGAAAATTGTTAGATGCTATTGAAAATCACACCAAAAAATCTTTAGAGACTGGAGCCAATGATGAAGTGAGATCCAATTTAGGATTCATTGATTTCAAATTACACATCGAATTGGAAAATCAATTCTTTGATAAAACTATCTAATATGAAAAAGATTATTTGGTATTCTACTTAGTTATCAATATAGGTTAAATAAGTGAACTAATTAACTGGTAGAAGACAAGCATCCATATTATGTGGAGCTAGATTAAAGTAGATTACAGTGGCTCATTAGGTTGCTTTGAAAGTATGTGTATGCATTAATTAAAGGATATCGATGCTGCTAAATAATTCTATGAAGAACAAAGAAAGTTGAAGCAAGAAGAAGTCAATACCTTTGATGATGTCTATCGCATCTATACCACATAAGTGAATCATTGATAAATCTATATTATTTGGATCAAAATTATATTACAAAATATAAATTACTCCTCAATATTAATTTAATCATTTTGTTCGAAATAAATTGAAGTAAAGAATTGGATGAAGTAAGATAACCATACTGTGTTATAATCATTTAATTAATTATGGATAGCACCTAGTATGCATTACAACCTCATCACTATCGTTGGCTAAATGGTATTTGTATACAATAAGTCTTTGTAAGGCAACGAGTATGAAGATTTATTGATGAATGGTAGAGATCACTAAATACCTATGTTTGATGAACATCCCGAAGATATTTATTATGAACCCAAAAGTATATCTTATTTCAATTCATTATTATAGATGGTTATTTATACTTCTTAAGAAAAGCCTCTCTACGAAATTTAGGATTTCCAAGACTAAAAGATAATTCAAAAAAAGTGTTCAAATGGAAAAAAATGAACTTTTAAACACCACTTCCAAAACATTGTCCTAAAGTATCCTACATCGTATGCAGTACTACTACATGTCTTGATGTTCCTCATTATCGCATGCATATTGTTTAACTTTTTAACTAACGCGATGAAGAAGGTGTTCTCCTATGCCATGTGCTACAGATTTGCAATAGACTTTCTCCAATCCAGCAAATCAAAGATGAACCTCCAGTGTCTTTTGAAGAGTATGAAGAAATCAGAAATTGTAAGAAACGCCTGAGTGATTGCATGGAGAAGTCTATGGATATCATACTTGAAGTTAAAGATTTGTAAATGAGAACAGCCTTACTTGATGATGATACTAACTACATACAATAAAAATTGCAATCTAAGGAATAAAGATTGGAAAATATGAAATTATATGGGGATATGTTATAGAAATATGAACGATACATTAATGCTGTTATGGAAGGATACGAAGTTATTCGTAGATATGATGATCTCTGATATGCATTTATAATAATTAATTATGTAACGAAAGCTTAATGATAGATCAAGTTCCACTGCAGAGACAAATATTCGACGCAAAGATCTAGTCGATCAAACTTATGACAAAATTTTCTTCCATGATGATCGAGAACGCATGTAATAGGAATTGTAACAAATCAAAGTTGAAAACAATAAGCTAATCAATGAGAACACTAAATTGAAGACTTAAATTATATTATTTGATAAAGATCTAGTTAGGTATGAAAAATTGTGTGTTGGATCACTTAACAAATCCTCTGATTTACTACTAATTCAATTGCGGAAACACAATAAAGAATTGTCATAATAATTAAAGGAAAAAATTGATTAGATTGAACACTTAAAAAGAAGTGCTAAGATAACTAGAATAGCTGAATTAGAATGCGAAAACAAAGTCTAAATTGAAGAATATGCAAAGTTGAAATCTTGTTATGAAAATGCTATTAAATAAATAAACGATTTGAATCAAAAATTGTAATGGTTCCAAAACCTTTAAGTGGACATTTAAAAATTATAAAGGCTTAATGAAAATAATGTTAATGAGAACAAGAATTTGAATACAAAAATCACTTAACTTGAAGAAATGTTAAAACAATAGCAAGTAATTTTAACTTAGTTATATATTTATAGATTCTGAATAAGACAAGTATCTAGTAACATGAAAAGAAGATTAACACGTTGTAAGCACAAAACAAGAAATTAATTTCAGAAAAAACAAATCTAAAAGTCACTATAAAAATGCTCTAAGATAGAGAAAAAGCTTTTGTCATTTTAAAGAAACCTTCGTCTCACTTAAAATTAAGTGCACTTCATTAACTAATTTTAACCGAATTAAAGTTTAAATTAATCCTCAGGGGTATTACAGTGAAATAATTAAATGAAATGTTTGATGGATTGAAACAATAAGCCAAAGAATAGAACGTCTAAATCAGATTAGATGATTTTCATCATATTTTGAGTCAGTAATAATATGATTATTAAATTAGAGAGCCATTCTCATTCACTGATAATAAAAAGATTCTCTAAATTCTCAATTGTCTCACAGGAAATGGGGATGTACTGATCGAGTAATTCTTAAATTTGATTGGTATCTATGAAACATTTAATAATTTCGATTTTGAATAGGAATAACAAACTATGTAAGAATAATTAAATCAAAACAAACAAAAAATAAAAGAATATTGGAATTAGAAACAAGTGGTTGACTACCATGATGTATAGAAGATGGTCTTGTCTGTAGGGCTATCATTCAACAATTCTAGTTTACTCTATTATAATTTGAATGTAAGCAATAATTACATACTTAGCTATTTGAAAAATCAAATGAGGACTTACAAAATATCAAAGTGTCTGATACGTTGGATCCATTTTTAGATGAGGATTAGGAAATCTTGGAATTTAACAGTTATAAGAAATAAACCAATCAACCACCAAGAATATCAGAAGTTTCAGATGAAGAACATTATGAGTAACAAGATTGATGAATTTCAAATGTATATAAATTTGCTATATTCAAATATAAGTGATTCTAAATAAAAAACAATCAAATGCATCTCTTGATCTATCTTCATCACTAATAAACACTTTTGCTTTATCAATTTCACCTACTCTATGAATTTATAAAGTAACATCTTATATCGATTATGCTTTGAATAAATATCTAGTTTTGATACTACAACTTAAGTAAATGATTACTTTTAATATTTATGTATTGGATGATTAAAAAATTAAAAGAACCTCGTTATTTTCTTTATTACCATATTTAACAATATAAGTCTTCATTGAACCTCATGGAGCCTGGATATCAAATTACCTAACTGATTAGAGGAAAGTTGGCGAAATATTTAAGATTCATCCTCTGACTAATTCATGAGATTTGTCATCTACACAGCTCACCATTACCTTATGAATCTGTTCAGTGAATAATCTCATGCTAATTAAGAATCTCGATAAACCCCCTTTTTAAAGTGTATTTACTTCTTAACCAATATCCCCTAAACACTAACCAATAATCTATCTATTTTATATAATTTGATCCTTTTTCTTTAAATATTTAGATTACCAATAAGCTTAAGTATTAAATCATTATCATTAATACTATTAAATGTTGAATACTTAAAATATTATATATTTGAGAATACCAAACAACACAATTTCTGCAGCAACTTAAATAGATTCAATTTAACGTAAATGAAAATAACAAAATACTTCTGGGTGTTCCAATAATTGATTTGCTTATTAGTAATTCAATTCCAATTATGGAGATTCATAAGTTCTACCAAAATATTCTTTTGTGTTTGAATTGTATAAATTTAACAGCATTCCTATTGATTATTATATATCCTTTTTTGTGAAATATTAGAGAGACATCCCTAATTTTGATTCTGTAACAAAGTGATTCAAGACGACTATCCTCTTAGGAGGTGGAATCGTTTTGTGTATTTTAGCAAACTTATATCATCTCTTCAGATAAGCTTGTTCATCATCAAGTATTTCAGACATTATTTTAATTATAAGAGCGAATTTATAAAATTGAATGATGAATAAATAATCAAATAAGGCATTTTCAACAAAAAGTTCAGAGTCAATGTAGAATAGCTCTTTTATAATCCAATTTATCACTAAACATACAATAAGATTATTAATATATTTTAGAGCACTCTAAAACCATCAATGATAATCAAGACTAAAATGAAAATCGGAGATAATACAATCTTAGATATTTGAATAGCAAAAACACAATTCTAAAGGATAAAGAAATCCAATATTTATAATAATGGATGTGGGAACGAATTTACTCAATGAATTGAACTTTTTGAAACTGATAAAATTATTACAAAATAACTATAATTGCTTTAATCCAAAATTGAATGGTAGAATAAATTGATTCTTGATTGTATAACAGTTTATTGATTAAGTTGAAGAGATTTTATTATAATTCAAGTGATTTTTTAAGTATCATTTCAATTTGACTAACCAAAAGCTATTGATTGGATCAAATTTAGTTAGCGCTACTCTTCTATGATTTTCCATTGAACCATTTTCATTTGTTCTTGACAAATATAACTTAGATTATGAATGACGTAATTCTACTTTAGAATAATTAATTTACTAACTAATGTATTTTCACATAGAATATCTGAGCCTATTTCTAATTGCCACATAGCCTAATCTTTCATTGTCTTGCTAGCTATAGAACCAACCTTGTACTCTCCTTACAAAGACTCTTCAGCCACCAACAAACTTTCTGTCAACAAATGACGTAGCTAAAGATTTATATGTACTTCGTATTACCACAAATCTATCGAAATTTACTATAGGTCCATCATGATTCAGAATGAATTCCCATTCTTCATACATATCTATGCATTCCTTACCCACTGATACTTCATACATTCCTCCATGTTTTATTATATGTGCCTGTAAACTCCAAGTTCCTGCTGGATTTTTGATCATCAAAGGAATCTACTGAGACACCTATTTCATATCTTTTGATTCTTGAGGTGATGTGGCTGTAGATTAGTATTAAATTGATCGATCTTATTGTATAATACTTTCCTCTGCGATAGTTTTTAAATTATCCTATATTATCACAGTCTCATATTTATAAGGAACACTATTCAATTAGTGGGTATCCTATTTGAACTGATCTTTAGAAGAATGAGAAGATTTTATGAAACTATCAGTTCTTTGCTTACTTATATGTTCTGTCTCTCTACTTTCACATAATCCCATTAATTAATAATAAAATAAGAGTATATTTTCACATCTTTTTAAAAATTACATTAAATAGGAATGACGTAAGCATACATCACTAAATGCATAAGATAATAAATCTAACTTTATTATGCTTTATTATAAATCATTAGTTCTTAGGATTTAGAGGATCTGTCTTCCACTGTTATTATATTGTATGACTTTTACCTATTTATAAATCATTTCCATTATTTAAGAATGTCTTAGTAAAGGATTGTCCTTCTAAACCTTCTATAATCTTTTGCGACAATATTCTTTGAATTTCTATTATAATATTCCTATTCAATTACCAATTACTAAGGGCCTTTCCCATCTATAGCATCTATAAACTAATCAATTCCATCTGCATCGATGATTTATTCATATTTTTCCTTATCTTTTTTTTATTAATCTCTTAAAATATGATTCTAATTTTATCCAATCGTCTATTAGGATGATTATACATTAATTTACTTCATCGAAATCTTCTTTGTCTGAATCCCAAATTTCTTGAAGTTTCTCTAAATTTATTTATTGTTCTTATTAATTTTATTAAAGAAATTAATTATTGTCTTACTATTCTAATTATTCCTATTCAACTTCCTCATTCTCACTCTATTCGCTCTCTATTTCTACATTCTACAAACGTTCAGCCAATCGCTATTACTATTCTTCCTTTAATTGCTTCTTAGATATAGCCCCCTTATATTATTTATCAATTTATATTTGTATTCATACTTGATTCTATTGCATTCATCTCACTCTCATACAGCATTTTTTTCTCCTCTTGCTTCTTTCTCTTACTCTCTTCCTCTAATTCCTTCTATCTCTATCTCTCTTATTTTGATATGACATTCTTATCTGTCTCCTTCCAATATTCTTCTTCCTCCTTCTATTTCTTTTTACTCTTGGCAGTCTCCTTCTTCTCAACCTCTTTCTCTCTAGCAGCTTGAGCTCTTCGATTATTGATAAGAACCAATTATTTACTTGGGGTTTATAGAAAACTTCTTAGGCATTAAATATGGTTGTGTATATTAAATAATATATATAACCATAACAGTTCAATTGTAAGTTAATCTCACAAATTCTTTAAGTGAGAAAAATGGTCAGGATCCTTCACCCCCTTATATATTTATAATCTATATCTCATATGCCAATTGTATTAGACAATTTTCGAATTAAATATATAATTAATAGCCTATTTCTTTATAAAGATTTGACTACTGATATTTCTATAATAATACCTAATTATGCGAAATGCTCTTCTATATTCCTCTTCCTCAGGATCATCAGACTTTTACAATAAATTACTAAAAATCTTAATATTTAGTAATTGTTTTTTATACTGGGAGATCTTATCTACAAATTTCACAACCTTCAACTAGTCTTTTAAAATTTCAAGACAAAGGTTATCTTGATTCTTACATGCAAAGGTTATTATGCTTTTACAGTAGTTTTTCGGTATATTTTTTGAGTCTTTCTGATCCTACATAAAACTTATCTATCTTTTCTTTTGAATAGGGAGTTATATCTTAGGACACTGAGGAATAGCCTAAGTATGATAGCAAGGAACATAATAGTTTTGAGGCGAAAAGATAAACTCACCTATGCCACAGGTATCAGTTTTTAATTTTCCAAAATCAACCTATTTAATAGATAGAATGTACCATAATGTGATCAGATGACATTTATATTAAAATAGGATATTTTATAGATTTGTTAGGTTAGCTTTGGGCAATCTACAATTAGTGTAGGGCTTTCAGGAATTTTTCTATTACCTAGTAGCGCCTTTGTATTTCTCTCGTATTTTGACTAACATAAATCCATCAAATACTTATAATTTGGGAACAAACAAATCTATTTTGGTATGTTCAATATATTAGGCTCTTGTTGATTCTCATACTATATATACAAGGGAATCATTAAAATTAATAAAATCAAATCTTATTATATAACACTAATCAAATTAATTAGTTAGCAAACTTAGGTTTTTATTATCTATCACTTTTTAAATCAAATCCACAATTATGGATGCTGAATCTCAATCCATTCTTATCTAATCCTTATTTTTTATTTCCAAAAAACGCTGGCTAACTAAGAAATTTGAAATTGATTTATTTCTTAAACCTTTCTTACAATTTAATTTTAATTTAAAATTATCAACGTCATCAGATCTCCCTAAACAAGGAATTATATGATTTCCCCAGAAATTTACCATGTTTACAGTCAAAAAAGTAATTAATTTAATTTTGTTGACATCTAGCTTAAATTAAGAAAGCTTACTTGTAATATAGAAATTGAGGAATAAATCTTTGTTTTAAGCTTAGAGAAGCGTCTATTATTTCCTTTAGAGAAGTAATAGAAATCAATCAGAACTTTTAATCAGAAAAATAGATATTGAATATAATTAATTAATAAAGTATATTAATAATTTATTGAATGGTAATAAGGAGAGAGCAACAATTGAATTACATACAAAATTATCTGAGATGATTTACGAAATATAAAATATATTATTTAAGCTTTTATTCGAGCTTACCAAAACTTTTCCTATTTCTTGATAATAAAATATTGCTCTTATAATAATTAATTTGCATTGTTTCAAAAGTATCATAGCTTAAGAAGAGAAGTTACGATAGGATAAAATCAAAGTTATATTATTAGACATTCAAGATAATTTCGTAAAATTGATTTTATTATTGAAATGTTTAATAAATTATCTATTATGTAATTATGAATAATAATATTATACTACAAGGGGAAGAAGGTTATTTTGGTACAGGTTATAAATGGAAAGAATGAATTTAAAGTATTGCTCTTTAAAATCTGAGAATCAAGAAGCTATAGATATAAAGGATTTCTACATCAAATTGATATTATTTTATATATTTAGAAGTAGAATATTTATAGAAAGAAGATTCTTAAGACTTTTCAAGCAAAATCAGAATAATTAGTCTACATATATTTATGAAGGGGATTGTTAAGTGAATTTCAGTATTTGTAATCACACTGCAATTTTCGGACTTGATGTATGATATTCAAATTATCTGACAATAAAAATTATATAATTAATATATATATTTATACAAATGAGTGCAGGATTGACTAAGATGAATCCATATTGTTAGATAAACCGTGTACAATTAAGAAATGGGAGTGTAGGGCCCAAAGTTTAAGCAAAGAAGAGGTTGGACTCTGATCTCAATTCATCATAAGTCACTCCTTCTTATAAAGTAGGTTTTATTTAGATTTAGCATACACCAACGAATTTCGAGAGATGCAATTTAGATTTGTTTGAGGATAAGGTAATGTAATTAACGATGATGAATAGTCGAAACCAACAGATTCATCAATGAATTCAACTCAGTTGCGAAAGAGTCCTTCATTTAGGATGAAGAATTATCGTCATATAACACCAGGAGCCAGAGATGATATAAGGAGACAAACGAATTTTTAAAGTTCTGTAAGTCTATATTATATGAATCTTAAGGCAGGCTTTCAAATAGAGAGTGAGTGCGATGGAATTACTCTAATTTCAACTAGGGACTGATGATGAATAGTAAGTTAGACAAAAATAACCTATAAAGAAGATAGTCGCAACTCCTTCCTCATCTAGTTAAACAACTTCTGTTCCAAAATATAATATTGATCAAACAATATTGGAAGACAATAAGGATGCCAATCTAGAGGAAGTTCATTTTTTTTAAGTAGAAATGTAATAGAAGTACAAAAAATGGTTAGAGAACATTGAAAAGAAGTTAAAAAAGTGAAATTCATCTACTTATATTAAAATCAATTAAAATGAACATCTGTGCTATCCGTCACATTCCATACTCAAATAAACACAACAGAAGATAAATTCTAGTTGATTAAAATAGAGCCAAGAGTTCCCAAGGATCAAGATTGAACTCAGCAACTCACTATAGATGTTCAACCCAACAGAGCAATAATTAAACACAAAATCAAGGCAAAATGCAATTATACGAAGTATGATCAGATATCTTTTGAATCTTAGATTCAACCCATAGTTGGCCAACTCATCAAGGTACTAATTATCTCAATTCAATTTAGAATTAGTAATAATAGTTCACCTCCACTTAACTAACTAAGAGTCCATCATTTCGAGTGAAAAATTATCATCCATAAGAAATAATGAAAATTTAATCAGAAAAATCAAGTTAAAACTAATTGTAATCCAAGTAAACATTGAATAAATTGAAGCATCGAAAAGATTGAAAGAATGAATCGAATAAATTTTTTAGGGGATTTGTTACAACAAATGGATGGAAAAATATAGCACACTAGATAATCAATTGCTACAGATTTGGCAACTGTACCTAAAAATAAAATTGACATTTTCAATATAAAAAATGAACAAGAATAGAACATTGAAGAATTACATTTTTATTTAGTTGAATCCTAATAAAGAATCAAATAACATGCCTTTGTCATAGAATAATAAAAGTATCTTAGTTGAAAATCAAGTATGCATTAAATTTATCTATATATTTACTATTATTCAAATTGTAAAAATTCATACTCTATTCTGAGATATTCAACAATAAATGAGTTTGTATCTCAAAATATTTGAATTTTTAATAAAATATTCTTATAGATATTATTCGATAATCTATTATAATTTATTTATAAAATAATAATTCATTATAATAATGAGTGACTAATTCAAAAATGATATAGAAAGAATCCAGAAACTTATTGTTTCAATCAAATAGGATATGAATAAAAGGGAACAAAAATAGAAAGGAGGATAACAGTTAACTATGATTGAAGGAGAAATTAGAGGCTAATTAGCAAGTTTGGGTAATGCATTTAGAAAGACATTAATAGATCGTGAATTGGTGTTAATTGCAGATGTTTTGAAATATCAAGAAAACAATTAGATGCAAAAGGAAAATGAAAAAAGAAAAAACCAGATCTAAGAATTGAAAAATCAAAGAGATTTAATTAAGGAGTAATTTAATAAGTCTGTTGCAGATACTAAATAAGAAGTGGCAATGCAAAATCTTTAAAGAGATGATGCTAAGCTAGCTGTTATGAATAATTAAGAGCTCTACAAAAATCAAAAGGACTTACAACTTCAATAAGATAAGTTATTGGATAGAACCAATGATTAGGTATAATTATTTATAAATTTAATAGGCAGATTAATTAAAATAGTAAGGCAAACAAATTAATTTAACACTTGATGAGCAAAATAAATAGCTCGATAAATTAAACATAGATGTGGATAAGACAAATTAGTAGATGATGACTACAAATAACAAGTTAGTTAAACTTATAGCTAAGTCTTCAAACTGCGGATTATTAATCTTTATAGTAATAGAAGTAGTTATTTTTGGTGTTTTGCTATGGTGGGCATTAACATGATTAAATATCCTCATTTTTTAAAACAATAAAATAAATTATCAATTAAGTGATATTAAAAAGAATTATATATTTCATTACTTTTTCAAGAGAATGCACTTCTCGAACTTAGGAAAGTATTAAAGGCACTAAGCAGAATAAACTATCAGTGTCGAAACACTTAGGTAAACCTTAATCAATGTTTATAATTCTAAAGACAAGAACTGTTGGGATAGAAATACTAATACTCAAATAAATATTGAGAAAATAAAACTAAATTTAAATCTGCAATAAAATCTATGTCTATAATACTGGAGCATACATTTAATTGAATATTAACTCAACTATTTAGTTTAACAATATCATTTGTTGTCTAACAAAAAATCATGAACGTCATAGTTGTATCAAAATAACCAAAAAGGAGAGTATTAGTGTTTAAATTAAGTTAATCATGAGAGTAGAAATGAATATTATGAATTTCAAAAACTGAAAACTTGGCTGATAAAAAAAGAGAGTTTTACGTAGCGAGACTAGAATTTAAGGATCAAATTAAGATTATGAGGATTGGATTAGAAAATTAAAACAAGGAAAATGAAAGTTAGAGTGAAAATACAAAAAAGTAAGATTTATTACTAGTAAAAGGACAAGGGCTATCCTCAGAAATTAAGAGGCTAAAGCTTATAAAGCAAGAGATGAAGAATTAGAAGACTAGAAAGCTAGATATGCAGAATAAGAATCTCAAGGATTAACCGTTGTTCGAAAAAAAAGAATTATTTTAATTTATAACAATGAATCATGTTTAAAAAAAATGTTAAGAAGAGTTATCTATGTACTAAACTTAGTTGGAAACCTTAAAGAAAGGCTAGCAAAATAAGTAAGCTTATTTACAACTTATAGGATGTCATTGTTATAACATCAGAGGTTATATCAAAACTGTTGAAACCAAAACTACTTAACTCATTAGTTAAACAGTAGAAAAAGTAAGTTGTTTTAACCATGAAAGGAACAATAAAAACAGATATATAAAAGTAAAATGTATAATTTCCAAATAAATAATTTAAAATCTTTAATATATCGAATTAATTGAAATGGAGGATTCTTTAGCATACAAATTATGTACTCCCTTGCCTTTACCACCTCTAAAAAACACTTTGACGCAATAATAAATCACAAAAGTGTGTTCTGACATAACTTGCGATAAAAGACCATTTATTCAATCTCCAGAGGACCCATAGTTGTTTCATAACGATCATCTGACAAAGATTATCGATGTCGAAGCATTTGTATATCTTTATTTTAATTAAGGCCTCACAATTTTGTGAAGAAATGTCGAGATTGGCTAACCAAAACATCGTTTTATATTAGGAATTTATGTAAAATAAAGAGAATATCAGTTTGTTGTAGATTTTGGAATAAGGAGAAGCACATTTATAAAAGATTGATGAAATGGTTATTAGATAGAAAGTAATAGTATTATTAATAATTCTAAGACTGAATTGGCGATTGATATTACAAATCTTCAAGAAAAAATTATGGTTGTAATTTAATCGATAAAAGAAGAGAATATGAAGAGACTAGATAGTTTCAATGAACAATACAAATAATCATTTATCACATTAAAAGCGAATATAGATTAGTTTTTCCTTTTGTCAAGGCAAAACTTTTATTATTCCAATTAAAATACATTTTAATATAAGTTGGCATCTTTAGGAACACCAGAAGCCCAATAATTTTTATCCAATTTAAAGAATCATCTGAATAAGAGCAAGTAGCTATCATAAGGAAATGTTACTCCACTATAAATGTTAACAGATTTACAAACTTTGGCAAGATTCCTATTGTAAATGACTAATTCTCCTCCAAACTATGATAAGTTATAAAATCCGCAGACGAACATATTAGATTCAGTAGTGAATGAGGTTGGATTTGTGTTGAATAATGTTGTGTCAGCGAGATTATACATTCCTTTTGGCAGTAACAAAGAATTATCTTAAGTTCAAACCGGAGAAAATAATCTACAGTTATAGATGGCAGCCAGAAACATAGATAAGTATATTAAATTTTATTAATTTAGTTTCTAATTGAAACCAACTAAAAAGTTTACAATAGGAACTTAAATAACATGTATTCTATCAATTTTAGATAATTTGTTTGCAATTGGTTCATAAAATGACAGCTAATTAAGAATATTCGATACAACATAAAAGAAGATAGCAACATATTTAGGTCACACTTAGAACATAGTTTATCTTGAGAAGATTTGTACGAGTGAAGCAAATAGCAGATAGTTTGTGTCTTTGGGTTAGGATAAGCAATTGATTGTTTGGAATATCGACGATATAATGATATCTACTCAACCCAGAGTGTTTAGGAAGATCCAATTATCATAAATGCCAAATAATGCCTTAGATTTGAAAGACAATACTCATATAGCATTTAGTGATTTAAATAGAGATATCAATATTTGCAATTTCTACACTCAGAAGATTGGAACAAATAATACTAAACATTTGAATAAGATAAATGGATTGACACTTTTAAAGAAAGGAGAGAAGTTTATATCCTATTCTTCAGATTCAATAATCAATATTTGGAGACTTATGAAATATGGTTCATCTTAAGATCCTGTTTTAATTTGTGATTAGAATTTGCATGATCCTCTTTATGGGTCTATTAGTCAGATTTTCATCACAACTTAATGGCCAGGTCATTGCATAATTGTTTCAAATGAAGGCGCAGTTAAGTTATTTGATTTCAATAAGTATTTTAAATTAATAATTATTTAGAAACTGCATTGTTTTTTCAAAATTCGGCAATAGAAAAATTTAGAGCACTTTAATGGAAAGCGTTTTGATTGAAGTTTCTGATTAGAAAAGTATAATTGTTTTAATTAATTTAAGTTAATCCCCCTGTTTGGCTAATTACATTTAGTTTCAATGATAATATAGCTACATAACATCATTTGAGTATGTCTCCTTATGCTATGCATTCCTCAGACATCAAATTGGGACATCAATTAACAGTGGGATAATAAATTTATGGTAAGCATAAGCTTTAATTATTTACTTAATCATCTCCTGCTTCAAGTGGAAGTGGCAAAATTGGCTCTAACATACTTCTGTTTAGCAGTGATACGTCAGATGAATTATTGATGTATGAATTGAAAGGAATTTGAAGATTGTTAAAGTATTCATAAATAGTATATGCATAAAATTTATATTAAATATATTTTTATTTATAATATGTAAAGCTAAAAAATATGTATTTATTTTCTCAGAAATAAATGCAACAAAGGAGATCAATGTCCTTTTAAGCATGATAATACAGAAGCCGAAAAATATTAAAAGAGCTTTTAATAATTAAAAAATAGAATTCCTGACGGATATAAATAATAAAATAATTAAAGGGATGATTAACAAAGTAGGACTTAAAATCAATTCAGATTCGATGGTAATATTACATATTCATAAAAGGATTGAAATAAAGATAATAATAAAACAACACAAATAATAATCCTTTTTAAAGAGATAGATAATAAAATGATTTTCAAGGAAGATAATAAAATGATATACAAGGCAGATAATAATAGGATACTCAAGGAAGATAATAATAGGATAATCAAGGAAGATAATAATCAGATAATCAAGGAAGATAGCAAAATGATAATCAAGGAAGATAGTTTAATTTTAATTAAGACAGGCAAAATAATTAAGGAAGATAATAATATCAAGGCAGAGATTAAAATATGTTCTAAAATAACAGAGATCAGAAATTTAATTAACCTAATAATGAATCTAACAATAATCAATAGAAATATTAAAATTTTAGACAATTCAATTAACAAAATAATGAATCAAATTCTAATACTTTCTAATAGCCAAGGAGATTCAATCAAAGACCAGAAAATGAAGATCAATAGAATAATAGATTTTAATCAAATACATAGAATTATCAACAAAGAAATGATTACAGATATTAAAATACAAGATAAAATCACAATGAATTCTAAAATAATGCAAGATAACTTGAATGCGAAAATAAAATACTTACACAAATCTAAACTCTTGAAATCAGTGACTTCATTTAATCTATTTATGATGAAGAATTTAAAGTCTTAGGAATTGCAAAGAAAAATGCAATCATTTTTTATAGAGTTAATGAATAAATTGATGTTAACAACAAAACTTAAATTTAATTACCTGAAAATACATGTTATATTTACTAAATTTGGAGTTAAGTTATCGATAATTAACTTGTATTAATTGTTTGCTATTAAACCAAGAAAATATCATTGAGGAATATTGCAATTTACCCTAATTTGTGGTTCAATTATCAACATTTTACAATATTGGATGTAAGTATTAAAGAAATCATATATTGCAAAATTTAAGGAAGTTTATGTTTGGTCTTTAGTAATGATGGAAATCTAAGGGTATATGTAATTCAAAAAAATGCAGTGATATATCCTCCTAGAATTTACAATTTTGAGAATCCTATTGAATCTGTCCTAAGTATTTAGAACTAAAACTCTGAAGATACATACTATATTGGATTGTAAAATGGGTGTTTGTTGACATTTAATAATGGGCAATTCATATCCATTCCACATGAATTGAATAACTAGAAATTTGCTTTAGTAGATATAAAACATGATATTTAAAATCAACAACTCTTTTTATTATTTTGGCATTTAGATGAGGATTTATGCTATGTATTACTTTTAAATTTAAGTACTATGATAGCAAGGTAAATTTATAAATAAAATATGAAAATATCTTAAATAGAATTGATTAAAGAATATGTGCTATGCTCAAATTCTTTAGGAATTGTTGATATATTGAAATTCGATTAAAATATGTATTTATCTCCCTATTCATACTATCCTCATTAAATAGAGCAATGTAAGAATTTAATAATATTTAGCAAAAACATATAATAAAATTTCCAGTTTTAATAAAATCACTTTAAAAAATCAGAATCAAGTGGAGATTTAATTGTTGCTTCTTGGGAGAACTTGCCCAGCAAATTAGACCCAACAGAATATCGAATTACTTTATTTTAATTGAATTTGATTTGTTTTTAGTAAATATATAATGTTTAAATATTGAAATAATAAATAAATTTATATTGTTATAACTTAAATACTTGTTTTCCATAAACAAAGAAAGGATATATGCCTTTAAAATAATTATGAATTTCATTAATAGAAATGAGTTCATGATAGAACATTGTATCAAAAGGATTAATAAATATAAATTACACTATTGAATTAATATTGTATAAATTATTTGAGCATCAAAGTTAGTGGAAAGATATGGAAATCGGATACAATTATAAATGAATTTTATAATTGGTATCAATGATATACATATTTTTGAGAATTAAATATCATAAATAATTTATATATATTGAAAAATGACTCTTTCTCACACAATTTAACATTAAGAGGACATTTAATGTTTAAAGTCAGAGAATTTATAAATTGTCATTCAGACCTCTGAATAGGTTGTCTTAGATAAAATTGGATGCAAGAATTTAACTCTTGTTGTTGAGTATGAATAACATATTTACATTTTTAGGGGATTTTTAAATTATTAGCATTACTCAACTTTAATCCTATCGTTAAACCATTTGGATTTGAGCAGTTTTAAATTGAAATATGGGTATGAGTATTTTTTGATTTTTAGAGCTAATAATCAATTTTCAGATGAAGATGGAAGAATTTTGGCTTAATTTATTCTAAATTAAAAAAATCTAAAATCTCTTGACATTCATTTTGATTTGAATAATCCAATTAAGTAAATATCACCAATTTTGGAAGCAATATAAAATCATGACAATCAACTTGTGCATTTAAAATTAAATTTCGAGTAAGTAGTATATATATTAATAGGGATGAATTACCACTTTGTTTGAAGGATCTATAATTTATTACATCTAAAAAATTGGAATCCATTTCGTTGTAGATTGGATAAGGCGTTTGCGTGAATCAGAATTGGTCACACTTTGAAGAAGCACAAAAGGATTCGATTCTAAAGGAATTTACATTGCTTATTAGTCCATTTAATAAGTTAGATACATCATTTCATTCTTTCTTTAAATGGTTGGCATCATAACCCAATATAGAAAAATTGAATCTATCAATAGGTGCTTAAACCGAAATAGATGAATAAGCAATCACTTAATTAGGTTTAGCACTTTAAAAAATTGAACAACTTAGACTACTCAATTTGTTTTTGCATGACACCAGAAATTTAACATAAAATTCTTTTGATTAAATTGTGAAATCATTTGGAAAATTAGAAAATTTAGAATTAAACTTAGGGTATGATTATATTTCTAATACATTAGTAACAATTATGGCATTAACAATTATGACATCTTATACAAAGAAGTAAAAAACATAAAATAAGTTAAATTGTCTTTGGGAACTCATCACAAATTGATTTCAAGTGAATTATTTTAAGATTGCAATATTAAGATATTGGATATTAAGTTGTAGAAGGGTAGTACAATAAAGCAAGGAAGCTTTAAATCTATTGAGCCTTTTCTTGAACGAACAGAGAAGTTACTTATCGAATTAAGTGAAGGAAAGGATTGTTCAGATTTGGATTTAATAGATTTGATAGGTCAAATCACACCTAACAGTGACTTAAGAGTAACCACAAATACATAGTAGATTAGAAAGATCAAATAGACACTTCAAATTTAATTGGATACTATTCAATCAATAAAAATACTGTTTAACACTTTAAGTTAAAAAATGGATTTGTTTTAAAATTTAAAAATCTTCATTAAATCCACAAGTATTGAGTAAGAGTCAGTAGATTCAATTATTAAATAATTATAATAATCCCAATTAAAGGTTTTAAGTTTGATAATTAAGAAAATAAACAATTTTCAATGCAATTAGATGATAGATTTATTTTAGTAAATAGTTGTTCTTAAATAATGGACATTCTTGTCAATTGAAGTTGTGTAAAAATGTATTATGTAACTATATGGGAAATCATTGACTAATCAATAAGTGAATTTTCAAGTGCATTCAGGATTGAAATTAGGATCTTAGGGGATGGAATATATAGCTAAGTCATTGAAAAGCATAAACATCACAAAGTTAAGATTAACAATATTGTAAATATCATTAAATATTAATTGTTAGATTGGACAATTCATTAAATGAGCAAGGATTGAAATAAATCACTTTGGCGTTGTTAAATAGTGTAAATCTCTAGAAAGCATCGCTTCAGATTTTGGATTCTAATTAATAATTACAATAGTATATGAGCAAAATGCAAGCCACCATCAACCAATACATCAAGGATAAGACAAAGCTATAGAAATCCTATTGTTTATTTTTATAAAAAGAACTTAACAATAATAAGAAATAGATATCATAACAGATGTTGTCAGGAGTTGCAGATTATCTGATTGAAGATGTCGTATTACCTGTTCCTGCAGCAGGACAGTATCATAATCAACAAGGGGGATTCGGATCTAGTTGGAATCCCCAATAAATCGTAGAGATATTTGGATAATGAAAGATACAAAAATTTATTCAATTATTAATAATTAATTCATGCGAATTACTTTTAAGATTAGGATTTCTTAGATCTGGGAGGTGTAAACTATCTTTTTCTCCATTATAATTCATCATTATCTATAACTACATATTTGGCAAATCCTTTCTTCCTTTGGATTGCTTCTTCTAGATCCATCCATCTTGATTCCGAAGTAGAATTTGCAGGTAAAATAACTTTGGGAATAATCTCACCTCTCTTGGAAATAGTGAGCATGGCTTAAGTCTTAATAAAATAGGGTACATCCTTTGTTATTTTGAGAATTGGGACCATAATCTGGACAAGAGAACACTGTAATGACATTATTATTTTGTCTTTCGAATCCTTCTTGAGTGGGTTCGTGCGATCTTATAATGATGTTCAAATTGTTTTCTTATAAGAATTTACTTACCCTATTTGTACCAAACCTTATAATTTGTCTATTTTAGAATATATCTCTCTCTGGATTTGGTTGATTCTCTAATTCCTCTTCAGACAAACACGGATCTGACCATAACAATTCCAAAGCAATCTTTTGTTAGTACTAAAATTAAATTAATTCAAATACAGTTTTTGGATCATGTACAATTTCCAATGGTCTTTAAATAAGTTCGATTTCATCTACTGTTCGCATAGTCTAGCCTATACCACCATGAACACATAAGATTTTATCTTCTATCACTGCTGCTAATGGCAAATATTGAAAAACTCTATTGATTCTCTAATATATGCTATTAGGATCCATGATATCTTCTGCAAATTTTAGAAAGCACTCATCTGCGAATCCATAAATTTTGTTGATTTTAGCATCTTCATGATGTCCTCTAAGTAGATGAATTTGATCTGCATATTTTAATTTCAATGTGAATAATAATAGCACAATTTCTAAAGATCTTGTTCCTCTATCTACATAATCACCCAGAAACAAATAATCTTAAGAATCAATGTCTCCGTTATACAAATTATCATATGGAGCTTTAAAATGATCAAAAAATCTCATCAAGTCTAAAAATTAACCATTTAGATTTCCATATATTTTGATAGGTCTTCTCAGTCTTAAAACTATTGGTTCCTTATCTAAAACTCGTTGAACCTCATCGCACAATTTAATTATCATCTCTTTTCTTATCCCAGTCAACAAATTAGAATTAGGTGGAATTGATTGATAATCTTTTGGTATCAATAAATTTTAAACGAAAGGTTGGCATAATTAATCTAAGAACTATGATTTATTTTGAGAATTTGGATCATGAAATCCAGCTCCCAATTTCTTATGTTCATCCTGTAATTTGTCAATTGGTACTTTCTTGACCTAATTTGTTATATCCTCTTCTGGTCCATAAGTCATAGCAACAATAGCCTGATTTGCTAATCTGATATTTTTGTTAGTTGCACTTGATACTCGAACTTACTAATTATTATTTTAATCTAATATGATAGTTAATTATACTTCTGGCCTATGGTTATTATTAATTTGTTCTTCTAAATTAATCTTAAGTCTATGTTTGGTTGGTTGGAGGTCTTGGGTTGAATGATTATGTGAATGATTGATCAGTCCTTAGAGTATTCATTTGTCTTAACAATTAAGGAGTCTAAGCAAATCTTGTATTCAAATTCAATCGTAAAATGCCCTCTGTTGGAATGTTTGGTTAATCAGAGTCGAATCCTCCATGCAAATATAGAAATTAATCAATCAACCAAGAGGAGTGTCTGAATCTTTGAATTGCCTGAAACTTATACCAATCTGAGGTTTCAGTATCGTAAATTTCGAAAGGCAAAGTTTCCCCAACATTATTTGATCTGCCTCCTATCACCATCATCAATGTCCCCAAAAATAGAGTTGAATGCTGATATCTTTATAATGGCTACTCAGTTTAATTTCTATATGGAGCTCTCACCCAATCCCATCTTCCATCTCTATGTTTCCTCAATCCCCAAGTATCATTTAAAGCTCCTTGATCATTTGTTCTACCTCCAAATGCTACCATCATTCCATTTGCTGAACCTGTTGTACATAATGCAGCAGAATGATAAACTCTTACGTTCGGCTATTCAGAAGAACACTCCAACTTCTACCAAGAATAAGGAGATTTCTCTAAATTAAAACTCCAAACATCATTAACAGGTTCCTAACCTGTATTACCACCAAACACTATTAAATGTGGTTTAATCAAAACCATTGTATGTCCATATCTTCTACCAGGGGTTGTACCTATTACTGGTACTGTTACCCAGGTTCCTGTATCATCTCTTAGTTCAAAAACATATAAATTATCATCTGCTAATCCTCCTCCACCTACAGCTCCTCCAAATATAATCATTTAATTCAATTCTATTGCTAATGCTTAATGTGCTGCTCTATTTGTTGGCACACTTCCACTTGCTTCAATTCTCTTCCATTTCTTCGTTGTCATGTCTCCTATATACACATCGCCCGTGATCACATATCTTCCTGTGTCTCCTACTGCTCCTATTCAAATACTACTAATAGCTTCTACCCCCGAATAATGCAATCTTGTTAGGTGCTATTACACATATTGTATGACCGAAACGTGGCTACGGATTATCACCACCAAAATTCACACTTTCCATTTTTATTTTAAATATTTATTTAACGATTTATGGATTCTAGACTAATCAGACCATCCACACCCAAAAAGCCTTTTGATCCTGCGTTATTAAGATAATCAGCAAAGAAACCATTCCAATTAAGAACCTAGCAACCAAAAATACTAGTTATAGAAAACTACTACTTAAAAACTTGAATCATATATTTATAATATGAAAACTCCATATATAAACTCTATTAACCAACAACTTAATCACCCTTGTTTTCTTCTCGTTCCCCAACATTAATAAAACAAATTGACTAATTATATTTCTTAAAATATTTATTTTATTTAACAACATCTATCATTTAAACTATCAAATCAACTCTTTTTATACAATCTCTGATATCTTTAATTTCCATCTCATGCCTATTTTAATAGATTAAATTTGTTTTTATAATTATTAATGGTCTAAAGAAAGTTAATTAAGTTTTTATATTTGATTTAGCTTATGATGCAAACTTTCATACCATTAAAAGATGAATTTCTACTACTTGTTATATATCTACATTAATTTAATAATTTAATGAAATTTCCTAACGATAGTCAAAACGAATAATTTCTATCAATTTCAAAAGTATTATCATCAAAAAGCATAACTTCTTTCAAATGAATTTAATAATCTATTTCTTAAAATTATTTAATTTGAACTTTTTTTTATTCTTAAAGATTTTCTTTATTTCTACTTTCTTTAAAAATAGATAAAAAATAGAAACACTCTAAAGTAACAAAATTTTAATAAGTCTAATATCAAAAGCCCATTTTTCAGAATACTTAAAAGTTATAATTGAGCATTTAGTTAATCTTTTATAAGGTTATATACAATTATGGAATTTCGATAAAATTACATAAGACGTACTCAAAGCATCTTATTCGTTTTCTACAGAACTACCTACGACTAGTTATTAGCTTTAATATAATTAATAAATAAATTGGTACTTAAATAAAGTACTATAATTAAATTTATAATATAGAAAATTCATAATCATCTTTTTATGGATTTTTGCAAGAAATAAAAATATCTAATTAATAATTTATCTTCTAAACATCAGCTTACTGGTCAGGCTAGAACGCAAATCATTAATAATTATAATTATAATTTTTTTATCAAAATTCTTTGAAATTAGAAAATTGCACTAAAACTGAAATATTATCAATTTAAAATGAATATATTATTAATAAAAATATAATCAAGCACTATGTTAGAGTAGTAGAATTACAAAAATTTTATCCTGCATATTAATTTCACTTAACAGATAATCTTCAGAATAATAATTTATTATGATATTTTAATTCTAAAACGATATATTTAAATGTTTGATTGTTAAAACTAAATACATCAATTGATTAAGAGTGTCATTATCCATAATTTTCATCCCATAATTCTTTTAACATAATTTTTGGATTTCTTAATAATTTCCTGTTTTACAATTTTTGAATTGATTCAGGTTAGTTTTTTTAATCTAAACATAAGGTTTCTGATTTGTTCCTAAATTCAGGTCTTTAGAGGCTTCTTGCTACCATAGTGTTTTTTTTTTTCTCCCATTATTTTTAGTGCTATTAATTATTTTCAACAAAGGAGTGATGATGAGCTTCTTTACCCTTTTCATTTACACACGAGTGCATTCTAAAAGAATGATTCCGAAGAGACTATTATTTTTCAGTTTTTAATTTTTTTGGATTCGAATATAAACTTTCAAATTAGCTTTTGTTCATTAAGTAAAATATATCTCTGTTTTCTATTCTAAATGGGCTTTTATTTTTTATAATTCCAAGTTATCTATAACTGTCATCCATCGTTATTGGTGTTAATTTAGGTAATTAAAGCAGATATGTATTAAAATTCATTTAGTATTACAGTTTATTATAATTATATAATTCAATAAGTGTTTAAGTAACTAAATTATTCATACTATTAAATAGAACCATAAAGTGAAATTTATATTATTATTTATGAACTTTTAGATACTTAGTAGACTTAAAACTTGCTTAACAGATGCTAATATATTATGGTTAAAATTTGCTGTGAACATTCCTTTAAGAAACCCATATTAACAAATAATAATCTTGAGATATCTATATAAAAAATATACACAATTTGAATTTAAAGAGAGTAAATATAACTTTTCTAATAATAATTGAAATAAAATGAAATAAATTTCTTTAATAAAATACAAAGAATTGATTCTGAATGAGATAATGCATAATCATCAAAATGAAATGATTGAGAATTGCTTTACTTAATAACTATGTTAGTTTTTTCATTATATTGTTGTAATCTTGTTTTATATTGTTTATAGTTCTTATTTATATATAAGATATATTATTAAAAATCATATTTAATTTACATATAAATGCTTATCAAAATTGCTCCTCTTTTTCTGCTTGGTTTAACAATAAATAAAACATCTAATTTTTATTTTTTAAACAATGTTAAATTAATAAAAAAATCTAACCACTTTAGATATTATATTTTATAAATATCATAATTATAACTATAAATCATGGGATACAAGGGATAATCATATTTATGTATACTAGAATAACCCCAATAAAATGCTAGTCTCTTTTCAACTTGAACTATTTGAATAGTAATGTTATCATACCTTTCCTCTGTAGACTTATAACAAACTATTTATATAAAATAATGTGAAGATATAGGACCAAATAAGCTCATAAAATAGTAGCATTGAGGCCGCATCAATACCAAATAAGGCTGTTATCAGAAATAGGATTCCAATTGGGCCAATTATAATACTCTTTATGAATTCTTAATTTTGAGATATAAAAATACCTTTTATTCGCATCTCCTCTTCTTTAAAATTTTTAATTTGAAATTAAAACTAAATAAGCATTATTAAAATTCCTATAGTTCCAATAAAGTAAAGAAATCCAATTAAAAAGTAGGTTTTCTACTAATAATAACTTAAGTGACTAGATGAAACAATCCCACTTATGAAAATTGAATATACAATTGCATAAATAAGATAAATTATTGATTAATATCCTCTCATCTAATATTTATAAAATATAAATTACTTTCCATAAAGATTTAGCGAATCTAATAGCTATCATATATCCAAATGATAAAAATAGGAAAACATAAATTGTTGCTCTATATTACACAGTGGAATAATCAAAAAACAAACTATCATATGAATAACTTGCCATATTGATTATACATAATATAATTTATATGGTTTATTGGATAATCCAGAAGAAGTTTATTTTATAGATTAAATTTCTTCTTAGATGTTCACTCATAATTTCATCAGTATTTTAATCTTCTGGTTAAAAAAAGGGAGTGGCAATTTATTAATTTACATAAACGTATTGGGTTTAAGCAGGATTATTATTATCTAATTATTGATATGGTTATTATTGTTAAGTTACTTATTATTATTATTACTACTATTATTATTGTTATTATAAATAATCATTATGTATAATTTGATCTGGTTAATCTTGGCAAAAGGATTCTTTTTCAAAATTTAATACTGGGTAATTAGCTGGTTGTACCATGTTATATTAATAGTTATTGTTGTTCTGATTTGAAATTTACTATCCATTTTAGTATTGTTAAGGATACTAATTTTAAGTATTATTTGAATAATTCTATGAATTGCCATATTGAGCATAGTTTTAATAATTCATTATTTGTAGCTTTAGAGTTTATAAATATAATTTTCATTTTTAATACTTATATTCTAAATTTATGTACAATATATAATATTCATATTTTGCAAATTTAAGTATACACAATGATATTATCATACACCTTAACTTCAGTTTAAAAAGCCAATTAAAATTATTAAAATTGTATAACAAAATATCATGTCTTATTTAATTTAATCGTATATTTTATTATCAAATATCCCCCTTTAATTGAAATTGCCACCTAGAATAAAAATAGATTCACAAATAATACCAAGTAAATCTTTCATATATGTTTCTTAAGAAGATATTAATATTCTAAATGATTATTAGATATTATTATATCTCAATAGAGTTTAGGAATTGAATCATTTGATGGTCTCAAAAATTATCTTTAATTTTATTTGAAATATACTAGTTAGATGAGAGTGAAAGCTAAATTTGGACAAACATAAAGTATTTTGTGATATTAACAGCATATGAAATTTAGAGATCTAAATTGAGATACACAACGTGTTTTATTAAATCATTATTAATGAACTGGAATAAAATTTACAAACTAGAGGAACTAAATAAGTAGGATTAAATGAGGTTGTGTATATGTGGAAGAAAAGAAATCAAAACAGTTAAGGAAGGAGTTTATTGATAAGGAATTAAATTAAATTTAATGGGATGGTTTTATCGATGTATAAAAATGGATAAAATGAGGTAGATTATGACAGTAGTAACATTAATATATAATGTATATTAAAATATCACACGCCTTATTTATTAATTCTTTACTTCTAATGGGCTAACTAATATAATCGATCGTAAATTCGTTCACTTATAAGAGTGTAATAATGCTTGGATTGGTAACCTTTACAATAATAATGCATTACTACAATTAATCATAAGAAAGGAAGTGGGTAGTTGTAATACAAATTTTATTGACATACGCTTTGCATATAGAGATTTAAATTCCGCAATTCGATTTTGCTCATCCACTCTATTACGGTTATTTAATATGTAGAAATAAGGTAAAATTGTGGTTGATGTGTGTGAATTTGTTATTTATTGCGTTTTATTGTATTATAAGACTTTTCTATGAATTGGAATAATAGGTAATTTGGACGGTAATACATTATACATCTACGTATGCAATTTTCATAATCTTCAACCTCCAACTATAGAAGGAGGACAATTAGAAGGCTGCTTCTTAGTTAGTAGAAATATTTTCAAACACGGAAAGATATCGATGGAAAGAATCAAGTTGTCAGGAGAATTTCTAAGAGAATTATGCTAGACATCTGTGTTTTAATCAAATCAGAGAAGGTGTCATACTTTTTGAATAGGGTTATGAAAAATAACCAACATTTATAAATAAATCAGCGAAGAAAATGTTTTAATTTACAGATGAAACACAGCTTCAATAAATATTTTAAAACTATGTCAAAATAGATAAAATGGAACCCAAAAGATCAATGTAGTCTATCAAGAGTTTTGGAGTTGACAGATAGAATTCAATATTCCATTAATTGAGTGGGTCTCTATCTTAACACTCAAGATAGCAAAGTGCTTATAAGCCACAATAAAGAGAAGTCTCATTTTCTCAACTTCTTGATAAAGCTTGGAATAATCCCAATAAAGAAAAGCATTTATTTTACTTACAATAATGCAAGTAGAGTTCACAGGTATTGCTATTAGACATATATTTTAGTCTCAATACTCTCCAATATTTGAGGTGAATGTGTATATTAATTCGCAATTTAGAAGGATTATGACTTTGGTTTGTAGAGACTTGAGTTATAAACAATATATTTAATAGCTTCAATGTCATAGCAATTACAATTCAAAAATGATCTCATTTGTCTCCCATGAATTTAGAGCACCTTTAGGTTGTATGATAACTATGTTAGAATACGTTGCAAAAGATTTAAATAATGCATATATTTAGGCATCTATTGAGAATTCCAAATACTTATTAAACTTATGTAACGATCTTCTTGATTTGGCTCAAATTAAAGCTAACAAGTTTTAATTAAAAATAGAAAAGTTTAATCTAAAGAAGTTATGTTAGGAATGCTTTTAAATGTTCAATCTTTAAGCTGAAAAAAAGAATCTCAAATTGATTTTGCAATATTCAACTCAATGTCCAATTATTATAGAATCTGATTAAGGTAGAATAAAGCAAATTGTGATTAATCTGCTTGGAAATGCTTTCAAATTTACTCAAGAAGGTCAAATCCTTATAAATATTGAGGCTTTGTAGGAAACTGTAATTGAGATAACAATATAAGACACAGGGATTGGAATTTAAGAATAGGATAAAGAAATCCTTATGATGGCTTTTGGTAAAATCAATTCAGAGGAGAGTAAAAAGCTAAATGCATAAGGTGTTGGATTAGGATTGTTAATTAGTAATAAGATTGCTTTATTATTGGGAAATGGATTGAAATTTGAATCAACCTATCACAAAGGCTCTAACTTTTCATTTACAATTAATCTACCAGAGAGAGAGAGCTATTAATCTGACATTTTAAAATAATTGTGTAATAAATAGTAGGTTTTGAAGGACAGTGAATTTTTAGAAAATTTAAATGAAGTGGAAGAAAGTTCAAAAGAAATTTAAATCATATTAAGTCAACCAAAAAAATCATTAGTGTAAGTAGTTGAATGTTGTACCAAAATTCTAATTGTCGACGATACTCAATTCAATATTGATACTTTATAAATATTGTTATCAAAAATGTATTTTATATAATATTATTTAGAGGCATTCATTAAGTTGATTATTCGATAAATGGATATAAGGCAATAGAAAAAATAAAATAGAAAGAAAAATGCTCCAGATGTGAGAGTAGAATGTATAAATTGATATTCATGGATCTGGAAATGTTGGGAATCAATGGAATTAATGCATCCAAATTAATATTTGCATATTGCGAAGAAAATTCCATATAATTGCCAATAATAGTTGCTTGCTCTGGACATTAAAAAGAGATTGAATTTCCGAAATGTCAACAAATTGGAATGAAATTTTATTTAGAGAAACCTGTGTAAATAAAAGCATTATAAGGCATTATCGATCATTATCGAAATTCACTTTGAATTATTATATTCTAAACTTACTAATTATATTATTAAAAAAATAATGGACCAATTTGAGACCATTGAAGGCAAGATTCTATACATCACCTATAATTTATATAAGCAAAATCGTATTTGTATAGAGTAGAAGAATGAAATAAAAGGTTGATAATATTCAACAATTATTAGACCTGTTGATTAGTAGAAATCATCGAATTGAAAGATTAATTTAAGAACTAAGAGGAGGATTAAGTGTAACCCACATCGAAAATACCCTTGAAACAATTAATGTAAGATGCTTTTATTTAATCATTTTATTTTAGGATTTAAGTCCAAGAGACTTAGATGACAGTCTTAGTATCACATATAAAAATAAAAGACCACTAAGATTTAACTTCCTAAAATCAAATTTCCCGAGAAATTTAAATAACAAAGAAATTAGAGCAAATGAAGATACTGATTCATTGTCTCGAAATTCAAATTATCACTTTGAATTTGATACAAGGAAACGAGTATACTCTTAGGCGGCTGATTCATGTTGATTGAGGCTATAAATATATGTTTTCATGATCTCATAGATTTGGTGATATAATGATTCTTATAATTTTATAATTAATTATTTTTTAATTTCTTTGTAATTTATAATCATTCGTTATCATAAAATGGACTGATCATTAACATATGTAAAATAGATGCCACGGCATAAAAATCATTAGTATGATGTTTGTTCTAAATATACTTAAATAAATTTACATATCCCAATTTATTTATTCTTCTAAATAGTAATATCACTCCCAAGGCTAGAAATACAACGACGATTCCCCATAATACCAATGGTAAGTAAAATCTCTGGACACAAATCAGTTAAAGCAGGAATATGATGCTTGGAGGAGCAATTATGGCTGGTAAATAAGTGCTCAAGGATAAATTTATTCCTTTTTATTAAATAAAATAGCAGACTGATATTAAGCTTGCAGTAAGCATAAAATAGAAGAAAAAGAAATAGTTCCAAAAGAAGTACTCATAGCCTTATATTGCTATTTACAATCCTTATAATAGCAAGGAATATAAAATTACATGTATAACATATACGAACTTTTAATGATTGTTCTAGAATTTATTATAAATGAATACTTATAAGATTAGCTTTGGATTAGTCAATATAAATAAATTCAACAAAATGTATAGACCTATAACCACCCATAGTTCACTGCTCCAGTGCCAATAATGATTAATAATCTTCATTCGAAACAATGCTGAAACACAATTAAGCAATAAAGAAATAGATAATTCTAGCGAAAAATATTTAGCTAGATTTTAATTGAAAAATTAAACTTCGCGTTCACCAGCAACTTCAACTTCTTTATGTTACAAGATTACTATTTCTTTTTATACTTAATTTTAATTTAAATTTTGATTATATTATTATAAAAGTAATTGCTAAGGTGTGTAGTAATACTATTGTTATTATTAATTTGGGTTATTATTAATAGGATTTGAAGGGATTGGTGATTATGTCTCAATCTTATTATTGTTTTATTATTGTTAATAATTCTGATATTGTAAATAGGGATGTTGATATATTTATTATTGTTACTCATACTTTTTTTGTTGCAATTACTATAAGAGTTATTGCTACATATAATCTGGTTATTTCATTATTTCATTATATTCCTCCTGAGTAACCAAAATAGGCACTATTGTTTCATTTCGCTATTGCTAAGCCATTAGATAAATATATTATTAGATATCTATAGAACTAAATATTAATATAAATTATGAATATTGTTTTATAATTTTCCTCATTGTACATTTATTTCTTCAGAATGTTCGTTCTGAGTAGTCTCATAGTTTAGACAAATGAATCTTTAGAGTAAAATGAAAAATATACAACACTCCCATCAATTGGTTTTCTTTTGATTGTAATTTCAGCTAAATAATTATTTATTGTTTAATTTCTTAGAATTTATTCTTATCTTCCATGGGAATTGCTAATAAGTCTAAAAATTTAAGCCAAAGATCCTTTGATGCTTATAATATCATAGTTGTAACAGAGGAGATCAATATACAAACCAAAAAGTATACTTTTAGTGAAATTATATTTCAAATGAGTTTAGAATTAAAATTATTAAATTTATCAATTTGTGATTAATCCTCAAGCACTCTGTATAATTTGTGAAAATTTTGAGTAAGTTTAAAAATTGATGAGACAAATCACAATTATTAAACCCAAATCATCACTAATATTATAAAAATAACTTTCATATCGTTTAAAAGTATTATAAAAAATAAGTAGATAATTAATTATATTTACTCTTAACTTATTTATCAAAATGTCAACCAAATCAAAATTTATAAATTGCATCTTAATGTTTTCGTCTACCATAACATCAGTTCAATTCTATAAGTCAAATCTTTAAATAATTTATTGAAATTAATCTGACACCACTGTAAGTCTTGAATTAACTATCATCCAATCAATGGACCAATTTTGCTAAATAAAAAATACATCCAATCATTTTTCGAAAACCCTCATATCGTTCTGAATATTTTAGATGCATAAGATATGATACTTATTTAGATTTAAAATGTATTTCATCTAAGAATAAAAAAATAATAAAAATACCTTATACAAAAGGATAATTATGAATACCTTATAAAGATGATAATAAAATAAAAAAATTAGGCGAAATAGTAAAAAGAAGAGTATGGGATATATTAAAAGTCAATAATCGTATTATGAGAATATCAATTATAATAAAAGAAATCACAATGTACATTTGTAATACCATTTTCAAGTATAAACTACTGAATATGAACAAACTATTTAACTGATATAATATTTATTATTCAATGCAATAGATTTCATTAATATTAAAAAATTAAAAGATTGATTCTCTGTATTTTTGAGAAAAGATATTAGAGATTAATTTTGACTAGATTTTCAAATAAAAAACTGAAATAAAGTAAGTAAACGATAAAGAGATAAATATATTTAAATCTTTAGCAAAGGCGGATCGTTCTCCTTAATCACTTAAGTATAGTCACAATATAATTATCTCCTTTATGAGTTTAATAATACTCAAAAAAATTTTCTGGAGGATTATCTTTCTAAAATCAACTTTGAATTGACCACACTGTTAATACCATGTAACGGCTAACTGCATTTTAATTTTTAGATGATACTGAAAACTTTGAATAAAATAGTATCAGGAGAAAATATTTAAGATTTGATTCCATATTTAAAGGGTTATAATTATGAAAAATCAAATTTATATATGTAGGAACTAAAATATTTGTCTATTATGATCTTAAATGAGTGACTTTAAATAGTATCATTAATATTCATAATTCTAACAATAGCATTTTTTTTTTTATTGATTCCATCAATAGTTTATCACCTTTTAGCTTACTCTTTGTGTATGCTTATTTAGACTCTCTTTCCAACCTTTTATGTTAGGGTATAAAATCTTTACCTGTCTGCTTAAAATCTGATGTCAAGGGGAGTTTACGGAGTCTTTTTCTTGGAATGCTGTCGAATTTCTGATAGATAGTCTCGCTTTATTGTAGATGATGATGATTGATCTGCCACAGCCTAAGATTAAATTCTAGGTCTTCTGGGTAATTTTCTAATTTATCTTAAATATAAATTTCCCAGAACCCTAGAATCACTTTTGATTGGAGACATTTGATTGCTTGATTTTTAATTGATGATAGTTTGACTAGTTAAATCAATGCTATGAGAGATTTTAGGCAAAAAGTGTTCTTTGACAAAATTATCATACGCAAATCTTTCTTTAATTTGTCTTCTTAATCTCTCTACATTATCTTTTCTTTTTTATTCTTCTTCCTTCATAATTTCAAGTTAAGCTTAATATGTTCTACTCCTCAATCTGGATTAAACTTATTGTGAGAAGTAAGTGTCTTATAATTTTTTTTGATCTCTCAAGATTGTCAATTATTATTAATGTTCTTGTTAATATTTCTTATATTTATATTGATGCTCCTTTATTTCTTCAGTTGTCAATAATTTGAATTTCTCCTTTATTTGTAATAGTTTTTGTTTGATCACTTCCTCTTTCTGCTGTTCTAACTACTTTTATTGTATTTCTTATTGTAGTCTTTCCTTTCTAAATTATTCTAATAATTATTTGACTCTTTTATTTTATTCCTTTACCTTTTGAGATCGTTCATCCGACTTCAATTAAATATATGACACATTTAATTTAGATTGCAATCTGCGAGAATCCTGAAGTTCCTTTAATTATAATAACTTAATTGTCTCTAGTTACTAGAGTGATTGTTATTTGATTTTCTCCTCTTCTAAGAGTCTTTGTTTGCGTCTTAGGAACCTAAATTAAAATATTACTATTCATCTCGAATCCTTCTCTCTTCAGTTATCTTTTCAATGTATTAAAGATGCTCCATTCGATAATTATTTATATTAAAAATAATTACACTAACATTATATAAAACAATACATATGTGATAATAGTCTCAGACCATCCTGAATTATGGTCTCTAATGGATGGGAACATAATACTGCAATGTAGGGTTTTCAATTCCAATTAGAATTATTAAAATTATGTTGGCATGAACAATTTCTTGTAAAATGAACTTTAATAAATATTTTTAATAGAAATTGAGGCTTCAAAGATTAAAATTTTGAATTTTAATATATATTTTATGAATTAAAGAAATCTCAAGCAAAAGATATCTGTTAAATTAATACTTTAGCTTCTCCAACATCCTTATAAAAGATGAATCTAACATTCCTATCCCATTGATGAGGTGAAAAATATGTAAATTGAATCTTGTGGTTTGATAATTGATAGTTTGATTTTAATATAAAGAAGAAATATATATTTTGGCTATGAACAAAATTATAGAGATGAGGGTTAATAAATTTGTTTAATTGTATGAGCAATTCAAATTATTGCTAATGAATAATAAATTTAATGATTGCATGAAATAATAATTTTCAATTGATTTTCAAAGAACTAGATGAATAAAAGTTATAGGTAAATTAAAGCATATTGTAAAAAGAATAATTTTTTGGAAATTAATGCATAATTCTTTAACTAATTAAAATAAATTAATTCCAATTAAAATTATGAAAGCTTACATAATTTAATCATTCTTTTTTACTTTTACTTTTCTCACTTTTACCAGACTTTTTGGCTGGAGATGATTCCTTTACCTCCTTATTTTCAGTGTTTGATTTTGTTGATTCCTTTTTTTCATTCTTTACTGATTTTTTGTCTGAACTCTTCTTATCATTTTTATCTCTAGACTTACAGCAAACTTAAAAATTATTCATAGAATTACCATTTGATATCAAAACGATTGGCACTAAAATAAAGATAGCAAAAATCAAGTATTCCTTGTTTTTAAGAAGTATATGTTTCAATGAAAATTTTGTGAGATCAAATTATTCTACTATTGGTACTTCATTCAATTAATCTAAGATTTCTTGATCCATTTCTTCGGATTCTCGTTATTCTTACCTTCTCTTTTCAACATCTGGTCTCTTCTACCACTGTGTTTGAATCAATTCTTCAACATCTTTTATTATTTCAGTCAATTAATTTAGCTTAGCTAATTCTTGCTTATTATTGATGAATCTATCATATTAAATATTATCATGGAGATGAGTGTATTTTTCCAATTCTAATTACTAATTTTACAATCCATCCAAAATCTTAGATTATAAGAGATAATGATTACTCTGGTGACTTCTCTTTATTTGATATTAATTAAGCATTTATCAAGTGCTGCTGCTTATACTACGTAAATGGCATCATCCTAATTATAATTCTATTCCTTAATCAATTTTCCAATCTGTGGACTTGCTTATTGTGATTGAATCTGGAGTATATATCTGGAAAATATAACGCAAGCAGCTTCTCTCAATTCTTCCTCATTAGTTTTAGCCGAAACCAATGCAAAAAGAATAATATGAATAAAATTGATCATATAATAATTATTTATGTAATTGTTATTGATACTCATTTATCTGTTAAGTTTCTAAATGCTGATTTGATCTCGTCGACGAATTTAGTGAAATAATTCATTAATTCTTATTTAGGTTATTTTGGATCCTATATTAATTATAATTAGGTAATACCTCAAACTTCATTTATGATAATTTGACAAATTATGGCTTAGTTTGATTCAAGATGATATTCCAAGTGATTTTGGCATCTCCTGATGATTCAAGGATGGCTTTCTTACCACACTCAAAGAATGAGACGATGCATCTCATCATACCAATAGTTTTATAGAGTGGACAATTATAATCATACTTACTGAAAGCATCTTATTATAAGAAATCTTCTCTAATGATTTTAGCAATCTAAAAGTAGAAATAATGGATTATACTTCCAAAGATAATTTTTAATCTTCAGATAGAGAATCTCTACCGACCAATTGGACAATTTCATTCAATTCTGATTCTTCGTGCAAGATTTATTTGAACATGACTCTCAAATGAGAAAACTCTGGATCAAAAGCATTGAAATATGGTTCAAGAATCTTTTCATAATTAGAGTTGGATATAGTCCAATTTACAGATGGGAAATGCTTTCTCTAAGCCAACTTCTTATCTAATCCCCAAAACACTTACACAATAGTGAGTGTGGCAGTTGTGACTGGATCTGTGAAATCCTAAAGATATTAAATTAGTATATACTCCTCCTGGAGGTGAGACGGCTCCGACAATTGTAATAGATCCTTCTCTATCAGGTGAACCTCTGCATCTGACTCTTCCTGCTCTTTCGTAGAATTGAGCCAATTTAGATGCCAAATAAGCAGGATAACCTTAATCTGCAGGCATTTCAGCCAATCTACCAGAGATTTCTCTCAATGCTTCTGCCCATCTTGAAGTTGAATCAGCCATCATAGATACATTGAAACCCATATCTCTGAAATATTCAGCCAAAGTAATTCCTGTATAGATGGATGCTTCTCTGGCAGCCACAGGCATATTAGAAGTGTTGGCGACTAAGCAAGTACGCTACATAATGTTTTCCTCCTTTCCTTTCATTTGAATAGTCAATTCTGGGAATTCACTGAGCACTTCAGCCATTTCATTTCCTCTTTCTCCACAACCAACGTAGATGATACATTCAGAATTGGAATATTTGGAAAGTGCCTAAGAAATACAAGTTTTTCCACAACCAAAGGCTCCTGGGATACAACATGTACCACCCAAGACTGAGGGATAGAGTGCATCAAGAACTCTTTGTCCTGTAAGGAGTGGTGTATTACCTTACAATTTCTCAATGATAGGTCTTGGTTGTCTGACAGGCCAGAAGTGACTCATTCCATATTAGTGTTTCTTGCCATCCAATTCTACTTCCAAAACTTTATCTTTTAAGGTGTAATTGCCTTCAGAGGCAATGTAAGTGACTCTTCCTTGGACTCTTGGTGCTGTCAATATTTTATGTTCATCAAACAGATTATTTTCAAAGACTGAGCCGTAGATATCACCACCGCTAATCATTGAGCCTACTTTGATTGTAGATGAGGGTTTGAACTCCCAAATTCTGTCTTAATCCAATGCAGGAATGTCAACACCTCTTGGTACAAAAATGGAAGAAGATTGTTCAGCAATGACTTAAAGGGGTCTTTGAATTCCGTCGAAAATTTGAGTCAAAATACCTACATAGGTTTGGTATGAATACCTGGTCCCAATTCAACGGAGAGTGGGGACTTTGTTCTCATGACAGGATCACCGACTGTCAATCCAGCTAATCATTTATAAATGAGCTTTAAGTACATGTGTCTTCATAACATTGAATAGATGCATTATCACCTTCTAATTTAATGATTTCACCCACTAACTTATCCCAACCGACTTTCACTAACTCAAACATCTTAGCTCCTGCCATTTTCTCAGCCACGACCACTATTCATATTAGAGAACACTATTTACATGGACCAGCCACTTTGAATACTCTACCAAAGCTACTCTCTTTCTCCTGCAACTCTTCCAATTGAGTCTTACGCTATTTATTCATATCTTTTTTTAATAAAATTTATATTTAATGAACATCATTATTCACATCCTAAAACTGGAAAAGATTTCTGATAATTCTCGATTAGCTATTCGTTTGCACCTTTCAAAATTCTTAAATTCCTTATCCTTGTATGCTTCGTTATGAAAACACTCATAAGTTTTTTATTTCCAATACATAATACCATATTCTTTTCATCATTATAATCATCTCATTACCAAGTCTTTTTAATGCTCAATATGATCGTTCAACATTCTTTTACATACACTCAACATATTTCTACTCATTATCTAAATTCTTATTCAAACACTCCTTCTCTTTCATCTTCTAAACCATATCATAGTTCTCCTTTACAACTGGAGCTATCTCATTTTGAATCTGTCAAATTACTCCCCTTCACAACCATACTTGTCTAATTCAAAGTAGTCTCCAATAGTCTTCAATACACCAGCCATTTTATAATAATAATTATTATTAGTTATTAAAATATAATCACTTAAATCTCTTCTAGATATTTGAAACATTATTACTCTTCTTAGTATCGGCTTTCGATTTCGGTCTATCAACCTCACTTATTGTTTGTAATTGTTCTGTTTCTATCATTGTTTTCCCAAGAGTTGATTTGTTTCCACATGTATCATAATCTACAGAGGCATTCATCATTCTTTATCTTTTTACTATTGGACTCACTGATTGAATTGGAGACTGTCCTGAATTCGGTCTTACTTTCTACACATTAGGTATTCGTTTCACATTCTATTCATAAGTGGACACACTCTACTATTGTCTCGTTTATATCGTTGCTTTCTTTATTTCATCCTACTGCTATTAAACCTCTTTCTTATTTGCTATTATAAAACCAAACAGATGCAATTATGGATCTATGAACTTCTCTATTCTACTCTTTGCACCATTATTGCTTTTCTCAAATTTAATGAACTTTACACCTTTCTTCCACACCTTGTCTCTCTAATTCTCAAAATACCAACATAAAGGATAATTTAACTCATTATCAAATGGAATCTAAGCACTTTTAATTGTCTCGAATATCTCAGCCAAATGCTTGGACTGACTCAACAATGATTATGGTATTTTGTTTACACAAATCTAAATTTATCTATTCTTACTTTGCCATCCATAGGTAAAATATTTGAAACCTCACAAAATCCTTTCTAAACTGTTGGATTATCAAAAACTAGTTCACATAAAAATGCTGCAGATGTCTTTCTCATTACTTAATTTTTATCCTCAAAATTTGTAAGTATTTTTTAAACATCAATTGGTGTAAGAGATTGAAAGATCTCCTCTTAATGTTATTTACTATCATTCATATGACTCATTGATAAAATTAGCACATTTACTCAATCAGTTTCTGCATTGATTCAATCAAAAGATCAGATTCTCCTTTCGTTTGCTTTTTCATTTTTAATATTAATAATAACACTGAATACTCAACTCTCTAATGTAAAACAAATATCTCATTTCTAATTGAAATTGAATGAATACGAAATTGTTTATGATCAAACAAGGTAAAGATGTGCTGGATAACTTATACATATGAGAAGAGGGGTAAACAAGAATTATATACTCTTTGATGTATCCATAATTAAGCTGTTTAGTATCCTTTAAGATGTGAAATTATCCTGAATTTAACAATTTCACTTGCATTAATTCAGGATATTATGCTACTCTGTAATATTGACTATAGCTTAGAATCATGGAATTCTTTTAATGAAAATTTCAATTTGAATAGCAGCTATTTCAAGACTTAACAAATCACAATTATAATAAGGAATCTTCTGCTTAGAAATAGTATCCTATATAGGACTTTGTCTATTCAATATTACTAAATTTCAACTTTTGATAGTTAAATTCTATGGATTCATTTAAAATTTTATCCATTAGATATCATATTTTGTATGATTACCTTTTTCTCACAAAAAGTGGAGTATCATAGAGATGAGAATACACAATAAGATTGATAACTTGAGATGTAATTTGATTGAATAGAGAGAATTGAGTGAAGGAGAGTGGTGTGTTTCAGAAACCAAACGAAGTAGAATTCAAAGTGAGAAATTATGAATGAAGTTAGTTATTTTAATGAGGATTCAGTTGATGAATGTATAAGGTTGTAATATCTGGGGATAGGCATTTAGGATTGTGAAAAGGCGCCATGTAAATCTGAGTATTGTTGAATATAATTAAATAAAATAACTATGTTACAAGCTAAACCCAAGATTATTGCGCAGTAACCTGTTTACAAAGATTTTAAGTATACCAAGTCCTCCAAGTCTTTTAATCCAATAAACACACTCTTTGGAAATTAGCAAACTCCCATTCTTCAAAACAATCTAGGTTTAAATTTAATTACAAAATTTAGCTATACCTTTATACAAGGGGCATTTCATTAATTTCCATCACGAGGAGATCCAACTTGATAATTCTATCACTCTGAGCGGTATTTAGGAAAGCTTTTTGTACTTTGTTTTTAACTAAAGATATTTGCGATTTTATTTTTATTCACCCACTCAGGCTGATCTCAACTATTATTACAACACAGTATTGACATTTATCATTATTTAGGATGACAAGAAGTACAAATTCCCAATTAGAATGAAAGAACAATAAATCAATCATACAGAATATATTTCGGCGGTAGCCTTTTAATATCAAGATGAATAATGGACCATGGCTATTGCTTCTGAGTTTTACATCTTTTTATACACTTTTAATGGTGATCTGGATAACTTTCAAATGCTAAAAAAAGGGTTCAATATTAATGGAGAAATTGTAAACCAGATCATATTTTACCAAGAGAACCTCATTTATGGAGGCAGCTTGGGATATCTAACATGTAAGTCTATTGACACTGCTCAGAATTACACTTCTTAATTGAAAGAAAGAATTAAAAAATAATTTAATAGAATATTCAAAGATTTTACTCCATGGGCTTCAACTCAAGGATTAATACAATTGAAAGTGCAAGAAGAATTCAACATCTGTTATGGTTTATTCGAACAATATGATCAAGAAGACAAAGTATGTGACACATATGTAGCCATCTATGATATTGGTTTAAAGGACCAATAATTTACAGAGATAGTACGCATCAAATAATCCAATGTCTACAATTACAATACTGAATTGAAGAACACCTTTGACTTAGGCAATCTTTAATTCTAGCATGTTCATTTTGAAAAGCAATGGCATACAAATAACATACTGATGATAATCACAACCAAGGATCAACTCCAAATCTATTTCACATTCGAAGTATAAGATAGAACTCTTAATGATGCCAGCTTGTATCAATCCCGAATTGTTAATTCAAATAAATCCCAAGATTCTATCAAACTGAAATCTGAGTATTCCATCCACCAAATCAAATATCCATACATGAAATTTGATCAAGAAATACCATATGGTGTTTGTCTAGATGAAAGTAGGGCCTAATACAAGCAAAAGGAAATGTTGAGCATTCAACAAAAACATTAGCTCAAATCAGTCTTTAGAGATGACCATGTGGCTTTGTATCATTTGGACAACTACATTATTGCTTAATTTATTGATTTGGCTCATATATAATACATCAAGAACTTAGAGTAACAATTGACTAAATACAATTCTTACAATCAATTACAATATTCCCTGTATAGAGATTCTTCAAAAGAAGCAGTTGAAAATATAGAATTGCATTAAGTCAATTTGAATGAGGAATTCCCAGAAAATCTATACAATCTTGGAAGGTACTCAATTAAACAAGTATTCAATCACTCAGACATCAATGAATCATAATTGTACAATCTACCAGAACATTACGTATGTATTGCTGACCATACAATAGAATTTATTGTAAGAATGAGACCGATCGATTTCTTTTTCACTGCCATTAAAGTTACTCATTATGATTTCATTAATCAAGTTTATGAAGATTTCCCATTAGAAAAATTGATAAGAGCATTTGGAATTGAAGAAAGTTGTGCCTAAATTTTGTAAATAATAATCTAAGAAGATTCTACATTTTACATTAATGTAGAACTATAACATCAATATTAACTTGATCTATAAAAAGCATATTAAAGAATACATTTCTCAGAAAACATTGATAAGTTTTTTGATGACAATGAAAAAATACCTCTTTGGGTTACAGGCTAAGTCTATGTCAGCAAAGGATCTATAATTAAGGATAAGGCAATGAAAGCTTACTTCTCATTAATCAAGAGATCACTATTAAGTGAAGATAGAAATTAGAAGTCTAAAAAGGTGTTTAGTACTACTTAATTGATTTGGAAAATCTTGGCACCATTGACCACTAAGAAGTTCATTGACGAGAAGGTATATAATTTGGAATGCAATCAACCAATAGAAAGTTATTCAATACAATAACTCTAAATGGCTTATAAATAAATAGAGAAATTATTGAAACTATTTGAGAATGAGCCGAATTATTTCCAGAAGAGAAAACATCAAATAGTTGAACCATCTTAGGATGAATAAATTGCATAGATCAATTACAAAAAAGGATTCAATAAACATATTTATGAATCCTTTGATTTGAGTTCAAAATTAGATATGTCAAGAAGTACCAACTATTCTGATCAATCTCTTGTTCAAAGTGTCAATGTTGATATAGAACATGTATTTTCATTCATTATTTTAATTAGACCTAAATGAAAGGACTCTTTGATTTCTGTCTACAAATCAAACAATTATTGCAATTTTTCATCTACTTTTTTGGAGACCTCAACGGAATCAGAAACATCATTAATAGTTATTCCAATAAATAATAGTTATTTGATTTATCAGTCAAAACTATACTCAATGCAGACCCTTCAAGTCTGCTGACATTGAAATAATTAATGATCCATATCATTAAAAGTGATAAGTCTAAATTCAGAGACATGGCACAATACATGCATGTTAACTTCTCAGAGTATTTCACTATTCAAGACTTCAAAATTAGTCTAGCTCAGAACTTATTTGATGAAATTCTGTAATTTGCTGCCCAAAAGAGTATCAGATTTTATTTAATCTTTAGACATAATCAAATTAAACCCCAATGAATAGATTCATGAAAAAATAAAACGAATACTAAAACTTTCAAAGGCCCCTTAAATCACTTTTGAAAAAGTTCTTGAGAAAAGAGAAATTTTTATCTATTATAAAGAATTGTAAGCTGAATTGTAGGAACAACTAAAAGAAGCATTGAAATCGATCGAAGAAGTCATATTTGCTATTTCTCATTCTTATCTATCTTAGAGCTTTTTGAATTACATGTTTCCCTTTGGCACCTTTAAGTATTACATACAATTTTTGGCTTCAAAGTGTCAGCAATATGAAAAAGATCAATTCAATGATGAACATAGAATTTGCTTTTTGGATCTCATTCAATAATACAACAATCTCATACAATATTATTTAGATCCACCTAAAGGTTTAACTAAAACCTAGGTCTATGATATATTAAAAGATTCTCTATAAATATTGAACTAATATCAATTAATTACTGCAACTGAAGTGGTTATAAACAGTTTAATTAAATAAAAACTAAAAGAATTCATAGCCTACATCGATTATAATTAAGATTTAGAATTGTAATGTAATGAACTTGAAAAATTGTAAATCCAAAAGAAGCAATTACTAGTAAAATCAGTAAAGGGAGACGATGAAGCAGTCCATTAATTAATACAATTATTACTCAAATTGGCACAATTTTCTCTAGTTTAGAATTCAGAAATGACTTTGGAGGATATTTAGGCAATCTTGCCATTAAGAAAACGCTTGAGATATATATCAAAGGCATAAGAATTCATAAAATCTAGTTAGAAAAACGATGTACCAAATGACATTCTGCAATTTGAGAAATAAGCATAGGACTTAAGCAAATTACTATTTCTTTAAGATATTATGTATGATTATATAGCAACCAATGATAATGAAGGTATATATATAATGATAAGACTTTTTAGATTATTTGAGCTAGAAAAGAAAAATATTAATTGAGATCTTAGACTGCAATATTATCATGCAATTTTTTGAGGATAATAATATTTGTTTTGGCTAGATCTTATGTATGGATTATCTGGAATAAAAACAATAGAAATAGTTATACAATGAATTTTTTATTGATTAAGTTTGGACTAATTTTATTGTCTATTCATATTAAGATGCTAGATAATGGCCTTCTGAATTATTCAAAATGTAGGTGAAATTAGTATTGGAGAATCTAACAAACAAAGACAAATACATTCGAATCTAAAAAATCACAGAGACCTTTGAGTTGGTGAATAGCAAGGAATGCTAAGAACGTAAAATTACTTAACTTTCCACTTGGTTCTTTTTTGAAGTGCTGTTAAATCATAAGATAAGTGAAATGGAACTCGCATCCATATATGTGAATAATTTAATCAATAGTGTGATGGTATAGGATAATCCTGCGTACGAAAGGTTGCAGATTGACTAGTTGCATTTATATAAATTGCAATTGATTTAGCAGATTTTAATTCTATTTAATACTATTAAAAAAAATAAGCATGATAAAACTTAGTTTAATGAATTACTAACATAGTTTAGAAATGCTTTCAAAGTATATATTTGATATTTATGATTTTAGAATGAGTATAGTTAATTTATTGATGACGATGTTTATGATTAGACAGTGATTGAAGATTTAAAGAAATAAATTGATTCATTATGATAATTTTTTTTGTTTTTATAGCTCAATTTTAGGTTGACAAATTATAGTTATTTTATTTTTAAATTCAAATGTAGTAAGAATCATATTCTTAAGACGCAAATATATCCCCAAACAATTATCAATTAAGCACCCCTACCAAAGAAAAGAAGCAAAATAAAACCAATCAATCAACCACAATACAATCTCCTAATAATAATGATTTTTATTCTCCAAAAAATGTCAACCCTTGGAAAACTCCAAAGTCCTTATTAAAGAGCAATCAGAAACAAACTACTCCTGATCATTCCTAATAGGCATCTCCCTATGGCGATCGCTATATTCCACTTAACGTCTCTAGAAATCTATTCAATAAACAAATACAACCCTTTGAGATTGAAGAAGAGAATGCCTACGAGGAACTCTTGAGTGAAAATGTATTAGAAATAGATGAGAACAAACATTCAAGCATTTTGAATTTTAACAAACAAAAACCTGAGAAATTATAGACTAATAAATAGTTAGAAAATCCAAAAAGAAAAATTGATACCTTGCCAATCAAAGTACTTGATGCCCCAGGCTTGGATGATGATTTCTATTAAGACATCTTGCATTGGGGCAAGAACAACCTCATTGCCATAGGATTATAGAGGAGTGTCTATTTATACAGTGTAGACACTTCTAAAGTTTTTTAACTAACACAACGATTCAACAATTAAGTTAATCAAATACAATACACTTCCTTGTAATGGAATGCAAATGGGCAGATCCTAGCCATGGGAAGCTATGATGGGCAATTAAAACTGTGGGATTACAATAAAAATGCCTATACAGGAACCATGAATATGTCTTCGAAAAGAATCAGTACTATAAGTTGGGCCAACTCTAATATATTTGCCTATGGTAGCAAAGATAAAACTATCCATATATGTGACATCAGAGTACCCACATACTCGGTGTTTTAATTACATGGACATACCTAAGAGGTTTGTGGGGTCACTTTTGATGGAAATGAACTATAACTGGCTTCAGGAGGCAATGATAATAGGGTTTTCATTTGGTAGTTAAGGGGAGGGAATACATATGCGGATAGTCAATATGTCTCATGGGAAATTAAATCGCATAAGGCAGCCATCAGGGCTTTGGCTTGGAACCCTAATTCAAGTGGAATTCTAGCAACAGGAGGGGGAAATCAAGATAAAACTATTAAAATTCATAGTTCGTTAACCAATACGGAAATCAATAGTGTTAATTGTGATTCTCAGGTTTGCAAATTAAGATTCTCTAAAATTATCAATGAATTGGTTTCAACACATGGTTACGAAAAAAACTAAATATGTTTATGGCAATATCCAACAATGAAAAAAATCCATTAGCTAGAAGGACATTCTGAAAGAGTGTTATATTTATCGGCAAGTCCTGGTATTTTTATATTTCATATTTATAGACGAATCTACTATATTGACAGGGTCTGGAGATGAAACATTAAAATTCTGGAAAATTTTCCCATCTTAAATTTCCAATAATATGTCTTCACTTCTTACAATGTGTGAAATTAGATGATTTAATTAATATGTATAATCACATATCTTTTAGTTGTTTTTACAACAACTTCACTAATTATTCCTTCTCCTATAATTCTTTATTCTGCTTAGATATTTACTCTTTCACGATTAACAATTTATCCTAGTAATCCTCTAATTCTCTATTTATCATAAACATATTACTCTTATTTAACTTGAGATTAGCAATGTATTTGGCCTATTTTATCCTCTAATGACTTTTTGGTTTCCAATAACTGCTTCCATTGCATTTCAAAATTCTCAATTGAGATTTCCTGCTTCTTTGGTTTTATCTAATTCTGCTATTGTAATTCATTCAATTCCTTAAGCAAATCCTTATATTAATCAATTAACATCTAATGCTCCAATTCTACCGAGTCTATCGATTCATCAGAATCGGACATTTTATTCTTAAAATAATTAAAAATTATTAAATTAATAATATTAGATGGAACTCATCTGATGAAGAATACTAATTTAATACTAAATAGTCATTATTCCTATTATTAATACAAACGATAAAAATACATTATAAAACCTAAACAAATACTAATTAGCTATGAATTACAATATATTATAGTATAAATAATTAATTAATGGACGATTTTAATGATTTATTCCCTGTCAACGATTTGTAAAGTAGTTGGAAGAAGAAGAATGAAAAGAAAGCACCCATGAAACAAGGCAAATTTACAGAAGATGAAATCGAAAAAGTAAAAGAAAGTTTGATTTCTTATGCATTATCTTAAAACTTATCAGAAGAATAATTTGCTAATTTATTTAGCAATTCTCAAAAAACAACTATGCCAAAAGCTTGGTTACAAATAGCTAAAGTACTTCCAGAGAGATCCGTGGACAGTGTCTATAAATTCATTAAAGCAAGATTCAACCCAGACAATTACTAAGGACATTGGACTAAGGAGGATGAGTAGCATCTACTTCAATTAGTTAATTAATTTGGTCGGAACTACACTTAAATAAGCAAAATTCTCAACAGAACACCTCAAAATATTAGGGATAAATATAGGCAATTGGGAGATCATAATCATGAACTTAGAGAACTAGTCTGGACTTTAGGAGAGGCAGTTCATTTATTGAGATTGATTTCAAAGAAAGTAAACAATTATTTTTAAGTTATAGAATAATGCAAATTTTATTAAGGAGGACTGGTTAGACACATTAACATAATCATTTGGTGAAGACTGGCAAGATGTAATTCTAACTACTCAATCATGTATTCATTATTATTTATAAAATAAGAGAAAAAGAAGTTTCGTAAAAGAACTTATTATGAAATTTAATAAGAGGACACTTAGACTTAATAATTACTAAAGATCATTGATTTGAAAAAACTGTATTCTACTTCTCATAAAGATATTCCTTGGACCTCAATAGCTACCAAAATTCCAACCAAAAGTCATGATGATCTTAGAAACTTTTGGATGCAATCTTTAAATTAGTGGCAATTACAAGTCAAACTCAAAATCGATGATGAATAATTATTTAATGATATTATTCTTTAAGATCCATAAGAGGAATAAGATATCGATTTTAATCTGGTCTTAAAGAATTTCAATCTAACAAAGAATGAAAAAAAAAATGCCTGGGAAACTTTAAAAAAGAGAGTCTAAGTGAGAGATTAACTTGAATTTGAAGAACTTTTAACTAAAATAAGACAATTATTTTGTAAGTCAAAAAAGGAATAAAAATAGATGAAACTTGAATAGAAAAATTTGAATGTTACTTCATTCAATAAATTAGTTGATGAATTTAAGGCGTTAAAAGAAGTATATTGATTTAAGATAATTATTCGAATTTATATTCATTATAAATTATTTATATTCATTATAATTAATATATATTTGTTAAGTTATGACATTTAGAGAGAACGTAAATGCATTGATTAACATAAAAGAGCACTAAATAACAATTAATTTGAGCGGGCTTTTTAAGAAATGAGGTAAGGTTCTACTTTTTATACAATAAATAATTATGCATTTTACTTAGCTTAATTATATTTGAAAAAAAATTACATTTTTGTATTTATCATCTTTTGTTTTTTTATATATTTTCTCATCTAATTCTATGTCTTTTCAAAAAGTACACATTTCTTTTTTGAATCATCAAAATTTTCAACAACAAAAAGATAAATAAAATAATAAGGATTTGATGCAACTGAAAATGTTTTTTACATTCAGTTACATCACAGCAAATTTTAAAAGTGGAATAGATTCTATTGAAATTAAGGATATGAATAATGGATATTAAAATGTCTATCTCTCTTTATAGATTAAAAAATAGAAATTTTATTATCATCTAAGTACGATCAATATTTTAATGTTGAAGATAATTCGTATGAGATTATAATAAGAATTCAGATGCCTTTTTTGATAGCTAGATTTTGATCAGTTAAAATAATTGTGATTTTTAAGGCAAAGAAACGCAAATAAATTCATTAATTAATTTTACAAAACCAAACATACTCAATGTATAATTACTCTTTTCCCTATCCATAGGTGTTTTGCTATTATCCACTGCAAGCTTACACACCATATATCATCTATCCTTAATAAATTTTAGTTCAACCCTAAGTTTAGACCAATGAAATTGATGAATCAAATAAGAATAACATTAAAATGGTTACAAAACAACATTTAGAAGAAACAAAACCTCCTGAGAACTATGAGAATTAAGATTTAGATTTGGCAGATGAACACTCAGATGGAAATGATGAAGATTACAGTGCAAAAGGCTTGAATGAGAATCAAGAAAAAAGTTATGCTGTTAATTAGTTGAATGGATCAACAAATATTTAGAAAAATTACGCGAAAGCTGTCATCCTATACATTAAATAATAAAATGCAACTGTTATTTCTCAATTAGGGGATAAAAAAGCCTCGAAGTTCTATCGGTTAGTAAAAAAGATGCAAAATAATATCAGAAACTTATCTCATATAAGCAAGTATACACGAGACGAAGATTTCATTCAACTTTTTAGAATTTTATGGTAAATATATAAAAATAGTATTTAGTAATAAGTTTTTGAGAAAAGATTGCATCAGTTACATTTACAACTCAAAAATCTAATAGAAGACAAGCCATTTGAAGGGCAAACATATTATTAAAAAAAACCTATTTAAAATCTGATTACCTTAAGCTTTTTCAATGATATAAATAATTATTATTAACAAATATTTGTTTTTAACTTAATTTGAATTATAAAAATATCACAAAAATAATAGTAAGAAATAATGTTATTTATTATCAAAATAAACGCAAAATGCATTATAAAAATACTTTAAATAATTAAACTATATACTATTTTTATTATTTACCTTAATATGTTCTATTCTTAATAACCTTACATCTACTTTCCATTCTATTAGACCTAAATGTGCTATCCAATCTATTATTGCCCAATTTAACCTTCACCTCAGATATAATCTGCCGAATAGGAAAAACTTTCATCATAAACCGATTAGTTAAATTACAACCCTTAAAGCAATCCAACTTTTGAAGTTAATGAGGAAAAGAGCTTTGATTCATTTGTGGAAAATGAAAAGCCTAGTTTCATCACAAATGAAAAAAAGGAATAATCAAAATCTAAAAAAACCTTTAAAGTTCTTGATACTACTAATTTACATAAAAACTTTTCAAAAGCCATTGTTGCTTATGCAATTAGACAACAATTTCTTATTTTTAGAATTTTAGGAGAACAAAAAGGATAGGAATTTCTTGAACTACTCTAATCTCTAAAAAATAAACTAAGCAATTTGACTCATTTTGTTAAACATACAAGCAATTTAGACTTCTAAAAAACATTTCGCATTCTAGGGTAAGAATATAATCTAAATTTTAGAATGAATTTCCTTAAAAAAGAATCTATCCAATATATCTATAATTCTAAAATCTAAGAAAAGTCTAGCCATTTAAAGCATAAAAAGATCATTAAGAAAACTCTTCTAAGAATTTGAATCTAATTTTATTTTTTATTCTTTATTCAAAACAAAAAAAACATTAAATTTGATTTTAATTAGAAATTAATTAAAATTCATATTATGTGTTAAAATTTTATAATAATCATTAAACACTAAATTCATAATTTTAACATTAATTTAGAATTTTAAGACACAATCAAATGATAAAAGTCTGAATTAATCGATAATTATAATATTTAGGGATAAGTAAAATATTTTAATCACAAAACTTCCATAACTTTTTATTTGTAATTTTTTCTATATTCCAAGTAAGAATGTTATCTCATGAGAGTTAAATACAATTATATGATATTAAAATATACAAACAATGAAGTTAGAATAATTATATGCATATCATCATTGTTTTAATTTTTATTGTAATATTTCTAAATTCTTGTTGATTTCTTCGGATAAATATTTAAGCTCTGGGTACAATTCACCAATCTAAACCCATAAGGGGAGAACCAGAGATTCTAATTTTATGTATATCAAATTACTTGAAAAAAACATCTATCCTCCATAATAAGTGGGTTTGTCTTTATAGATTAGAAATCCAGTCACATCTACTCCAATTTTAGCTTCTTTGATTGTCTAGGTAATTATTATAGTAATTATACTTAATCATTAAATTCTTAGGTTAATAAATAGGACCAATTCATATAATTATTGAATTTCATCGTTGGATTTGATATATCACAAGCATGAACCATGATATTAAGAATAAAGATTCTATCTTCAAGTCTTTCATTTGAGAATCGCTGCATCTCTATTAAATCATTTTTTTCTCCTTGATCATATTATTTAGTGCATTCTACTCTTTTTTAAAGTTTAGCTAAAAGTTTTGCATGTTTACTCTATTTTAGAATATACAAAAATGAATACCATATCGGTTGCCAAAATTGATGTAATAATCAATCTCTTTGCTAGAGTTTTTTCCTCATCATTTGACATGTATTGAAAGAAATCATGTTTTCTGTTGAGTTAAATGATATTAAAGAAAGTAGCGCAATGCATATTTTCTAGAACAGCAATTTCGGATGTTAGAATGTTGAATTTCTTTGACTTTTTAATCTTATACATATTGTTTACCCCCTCTAAAATATAAATGATTTGATTTTTTACTATGGTTTAAATCATGTCCCAAACCAGCAAGAATTGCAGAAAATATTTCAAGTTGAGTACAAAATTTCTTCAGGTCTGATTTCATATAGCATGAAAATAGCAATTAGGATAATTGGAAGGCATGGGTAAAATTATGATAAGGTACAACATTATAATTCATGACAATTTCATTTATCAAATCACCTAAAATTTCTTTTGGCACTTTGATCTAATCCAAATTTAAGAAATCAAACAATTATAGAGCAAACTGACCTAATTCTTTTTTTGTATAAATATGATGAACCATATTCGAATCTAATAAGGTTTCCAAATCTATTCTTTCCTACTTCTAAGCCTCCAATATAAGATCTTTGTAAACAGGAACAAGTTTAGTTTAAGTTCGTTCAAATTTCTCGAGTGTGGCTGCATAATCAGTTTTATCAAAATAGATTCTGTTTTCCAATTTTCTTTTGAATTTCTTGACTGTTTATAAGAAAAATCCATAAACTGAAAATAAACCATCATCATTCATAAAATTGGACTGTATTATATAAATGTAATCTTACTTTGTACGCCTCATCAATATATTTGTAGACCTTTTTAAATTTCTATATAACTTAAGCATCATTTTGATCTGCCTGTTATATATAATATTAATCAATGAAATCCAGCTATTATCCTATCGAATCCAAGTATTCAGTTGCAGATTTATTGTTTTACATTATTATATGGGAAATAAAAACAAAAAAAACAAAATAAATTAAAAATAAATCAAATATCTTGAAGATTTTCAAAACCATTACTAAGTTAACTACTCCTAATACTATCTTCAAAGTTATTAGACATCATATTTTTCGCATTAATCCTATCCACCTCCACCTTATCTAAGGTTTTCAGTTATTTTCTCGTTATCTAACTGTTAACCAAATAAACTAAACTGTTAAAGAACCCCTGCAAAAAACTTAAACCGTATTGAACTATCCTAATATACTAATATACTCCACTTCCGGATATAAAATAATTTATTTGAATCTCTTAAAACCATTCATTGTTGAAAGTGAATATCAAAAATACAATTAATGAAGGCAGCCAGCAAATACACAATCCAAATGGATAAAATATTAGCGTTTTAGCAAATATTAATTGAATGTTGATCTGTTTAGTGAGCAATTCATATTGACTTTTAATTTTTTTAATTTTAAAATACGATCTCATTATGAAATATACCGAAATTAACACTGTAAAAATTAATGGTATGTAGAACAACATTAGATTTAAATACAAACTTAGATTGCGATTTTCATCTAATGACTTATTTTCATCATTTGAACTGATTGAACAGGTAACTGGTACTTTTTAAGGAGTTGGAGCATAGGAATCGAAGAATAATGGCGGAGTTGACATTAATATTGGAATAGCAAAGCCTACTTTTGTTTTTATGCTTACCTGATATAAAGATTGTCTTCTGATATCTCTCTAATTTTGCAATTCTTTATTATCCTTAAATGATTGAAATGTATAACAAATATGCTATAGATGTGCTCCACAAAAAAGCACTTATTGTTCCAAATTGAGTTATTACTCCTTAAATAGTACATCTAAATCATTTATCATTACAAAACCTAAATTTATTGTAGTCACTAAAAGCAGGCTCTACGTACAATAATAATCCTATTGAGTAAAGAAAATCTGATATTGAGAGAAAAAATAAAATCCTTTAAGCTAATACTCTCATATTATCGAAAAAGTACAAATGAGTCAACATAAGTGTTGACCCTCCAACTGATAGTGATATGAATATATAAAATAATAATTTCATTAAATAATACATAATAACATAAGTCAAATTAGACATCTAAGTGTAATGAAACTAAGGTACTAAGACCATTCTGATTTTAATTACATTATTTCACATCGATCTTCTGTGTACTTGTAATTTATCCTTTGAATAAGATGTTCAACTCTAAAATATAACATTAACATGCTGTGTTACATAAGAATCAAAAACTTACAAATAATAATATAGATCTAATTTAATAGAAAATATTCAAATGCATGTGTTGATAGAAATATAAATCATTAAGAAGATAATAATTTGATATAAATTATTCCTTATCCTTTATTATAAGTTTTATAACGAATTCTCTAAATTGATAAGAGATAATAAAATTTAATAAATATTATCCTCTAATTTAAAAAAGAGTACTTCTAATGAGATTTATAATACTATATTTCAGATTTTGTTTTTAGAAGCTTATTTTTATGAGATGATTTAAAGCCACTAATTTTAACTTATGAGATGATAAAATTTGTCATGAATTTTACAAAAAAGTAATTATCGCCATAGACTAAACAATGATGAGTTGAACAAATTCAAATTATTGTAGATACTGATTATAAAGTTAAATTAATATAAAATGAATAAAATTAAACTATCCTTATATTGAAAGCAATCAAAATGTTCAAGTCAGAAGAAGAGTAGCTTTACACTGGAATAACAGTTTGTTTAAAATTTAGTAACTAAATAAAGCATATCAAATTCAAAAGCTGCTTAATGCATAATACAATATCTGGGTATAAAAGGCAAAAAGAGAGATAGAGATTAGAATATGAATTCATATGTTTTATTTATATTTAAATTCAGAAGATTTCAATTGATCAAGAAGAATTGTATAAAGAAATCAAACTGTAGTATAAGTATACCATGTCGGAATCATCATAATAATATATATTAAACATTGATATATATAATTTCCATTTTATTTTATTTAGGAATTGTTTAAAGTATTATTTAGAATAATTATTTATATTATTTTGAATTTTTAGATATAAAATAACTTTCTAAATTATGTCTCTAAAGTATCAATTTGCCTTGGTGGTTGGTTCAGAAATTTGGGGTTTGAGATACCTCTTGGAGATGGGAATTTCTATGTTTTTTATTATAACCCAGATTCAAAATATATAACAAAAATTTGGAATATTTTCAATTAGAAATTAAGTAGGTAGCATTGATCAACATTGTAAGAAACTTTGAGGAAGATGAAAAGAAAGGCCTTAAAATATAAATTGATATTTTTAAATTGTGAAATAATAAGTTTTTATATTAATATTTTATCCAAAGCTAAGGACATTATAATATGATAGACAGATCCTTTTTGAAAGTACAAGCAATTCATTGGATGTCGTTTTGTTACTCCATTTATTTCTATATTTCGGATAGAAATTCAACTAATTTAATATGTTTGGGAATTATATGCTTAGTATTTCCAGTGGTAATAGTATTTTAATATGCCAAAATGCGTACATAAATCATTGGAACCATATTTTGTATACAAATAGACTTGATATGCCTTATAATTCTGAATTAATAAAACTTAAACCATGCTTCATATGCTTAATTAATAATAAGTTAAAACATTTCGAAAGATCTCATCAAGAAGGTACATGCACAAAACTAGTATTCAATAAGCATGATGTCCATGTATTATGGTTTGATAGCAGTTGTATGTGCATTTCAATAAATATACTTGCATACTCAGAATGAGTTTCTATTATAGTACCCACAATTGATGCTATGTTTATTGGTGTCCTTATTAGATAGCATATTATTGAAAAACAAAAATTAAAGTTAGTTGAATACGACGATGCCAATGGAGATAGGACCAATTCAGAAATTAGAAAGTTTAGGAAAGAGAGCCGTTTCAGTAGTTGACAGTGTTAAAAATTTGATTTTAGACCAATCAAAGGAAAGCCAAGGAATGTTATGCAATAATTTTAGCAACATATAATAACATTATATCAATTCAGAAATAATTTATAATTCACTTGAAATCTTACAAGAAGGTCTCATAGTATTAGACATAATAGATGAAAAGACTTAATAGTTCAAGATACAATACATGAATAATGCGACTAGAGGTTTATTTGGTAGAGAATAGGACGGAGAGATTCTATATATTTTGGAGAGTTTCAATACATTGCATGTTTAGAGTTAAGACGTCTTGGATGATCCCAACATATAATAAAGATTATCAAATTTACAGTATTCTCGTATTAGCAAATCCATCTTTTTATAAAAGGACTTGTTTACTTCAGTTAAGTAACCATTATTAGATTGTCAAATGTTCGAGAAATATCAAACAATAAGTATGAAGGAGTTACTTGAGAAAATGATAAAGACAAAGAAACCAGATGTTATAACAGTGAATACACATTTTAGTGGCAGTATTCAATTAAATACAAATAAAAACATAACAACTTCTCAATCTAATGGGGGAGGCTAATCGAGACAAGAATAGAGTGAAAGATTGATTGAATTCACTTTAACTCTTACAAGGGATCGAAGCATTTTGATAATTTGTAGAGATGTAACACATAGATAAAAAATAAGATATTTGAGAGATTACGACATTTAGAAATCAAAGATGTTGTCATTTGTGAGTCATGAATATCGGCAACCATTAAGCTGTATTATTTAGATGATTGAATGTGTGCTAATGTAGCCAATCATAACCTCAAATACAGACATAGCAGATAATCTGCAAATAGCATTGGACAATTCGAAATACATGTTGAATTTGTCCAATGATTTATTGGATTTGGCTTAAATAAAGAATGGAAAATTCAAAATAAAGAAGGTATCTTTCTATTTTGAAAATCTAATTAATGATTGCATGAAAATGTTCACTTTAAAAGCTAAATTGAAGAATCTGTAATTAGTCAAAAATATTGGTGACAATATCCCAAAGTTCGTTGTATCAGATTAGAATAGGTTGAAACAAATTATTGTCAATCTGCTAAGCAATGCTTTCAAATTCACTTATAGCAAAGTAGAAATCATTGTCTCGCTTTAGTCTGCTTCGTTGAGAATTGGAGTTAGAGATGATGGAATTGGGATCAGTAAAGAGGATTAGTAGATGTTGTTTAAGGCATTTTCTAAGGTAAATTCGGAAGAAAGCAGGAAATTAAATGAATAAGGCGTAGGGTTAGGGTTAGTTATTAGCAATCAGATTGCGTTGACTATAGGATGCAGTGGATTGAACATAGAATCGAGAAAGGATCAAGACAATCATTATTCCTTATTTTATTTCGATATGTTAATAGAATAGACAGAAAAAAAGAGAGTGGCTAGTTTTAAAATTCCTGAAATCTATCCTCTGTATCAGGAAGTTGATGAAATACTAACATTCAATCGTGAATAATAGAAAATAACTCGAGATGCTATTTCGAAATGTTCTCATTGTTTGATTGTTGATGATGAATTCTTCAATGCCTACACCTTCAATTAAATTCTACAGGGAGTTCTGAAAAACAATTTTTAATCAATTGATATAGAGACTGCTCTATCTGGTAAGGAGACCATCGATAAAGTGAAAAACAAGAAGTGTAACAACAATTCATGCCAAGGATACAAACTAATATTCATGGATGTAGAAATGCCCATTATGAATGGAATACAAACTACTAAATAAATATTGGCTTTTCATCCCAGCCAGATCATAATAGGTTGTAGTGGTTATACAGATAACTAAGAGAAAAAGAAATGTCTCGATGCAGGAATGTCAGATTATATCACCAAACCTGTCACCGAAACAGAACTTCAAGAAATACTCAAGAGATATTTATGAATAAATATTATTATTATTTCTAATCGTTTTTTTCAATAACCCAACATGCCAAATCATCTTTCATATAATTCACTTGATCCACCATAACGAGCTTGGATATCCCAGAAGATATTTTGGAGTGCTTGTGTTAATGACAATGGTCTAACGCATAATTCATCTATTGTTTTTGATCCAGCTTAAACTACCATATCGTCTCCATGCTTTAAGATGTAATCTATATTGAAATACTTCCAATTTGGAATATATTAAGCTAATTCATATAATATCTCATATTTACCAATTTTTAATAATAATTGCTTGTCCACATGAGCCAATTTTGGTGGTCTCTGAACAATATTATGAAACATCTCGTAACATTCCAACAAAGTATACACATGAGGACCTCCCAATTCATATGTTTGTCCAATGGTTTCAGGCATTTTTAAAGCATTTAACATAGCTTATGCTACATCTTGAACAAAGATCTAATTATATTTAAACATCACTTACAGGTTGTCTTTTTGCTTAGCAATTATCTGGCACAATATTAAAATTATGGAAGTATCTCTTTTGAACCTACCAATGATAAGCGAAATCATCATTATCTCCAACCATTACACTTGGTCTGAAAATAGTGGCATTTGGAAAGGCATTTAAGACCTATTTTAATCTTTTGCTCTACCTCCTATTCTCCTATGTATTTAGTCTGTAAATCCAAAGACTAAGCATGAGGATTGGCTCCACAAGCAGAAAAATGAATCAATCTGATCACTCCTGGGTTTTTAGCACATGCCTCAGCTATCCTTTTGGGCACTGTGATATTGATCCATTCAAAATCCTTTCTGTTCTTTAAATGCTTTCTTGGTCCCAATAAATTAACAACAACATTTGAATTCTTCATTGTCCACTCTATCATCTCTTTGTTATCATAATTCATATCGTGCAATAACCAATTTTAACCAGGTCCTGATGTTGTCTTCAATTCTCTAACATGATCTTCATAATTATATCTTCATCTAAATTTAATCCTTACTAGTGATTGTGAGGAAATATTAATTCTGATCCTATATTTCCAAGCATACCACCCATGTAAATCCCTGAAAAACTGGTACCCCCATGAATTGTAGCCCTGATTCCAGATGGTGTATGTTTACTACCATTATCAAAAATGTGCAATTTTGGTCTTTACAATGCCCCAAAGTTGAATCTCAACACCTTTTACATTATTAATAATATATTTATTCTTTAAAAACTTAATAACAGAACCTCATTTTAATAAAAAAAAATATGCCTTTGGTGGGGGTCGATCCCACGACCTCGAGATTATGAGACTCGCGCTCTAACCAACTGAGCTACAAGGGCATCTCTGATATTTCTCCACTTAATTCCAAGATATACGCTTTATTATTTAAATTTAATTCAAATTACTCAGTTTTCTAGGGTTCTTCGTTTTTTACAACCTCCAATGCACAATATATAAAGAACATTTTGAGGATTTAGCTTTATCTTTTGATTTTTGAATTCAAATTCTGAATGATTAGCCATCTTAATTATTTCAGAACCATGAATCACCCTTAAAAAATGAAACAGTGATCTATTCTTTTAAATATAATATATATAAAATATCTTTGTGAAATTCAGATGTTGTTTATAATGAATTATTATTATTAAATATGTATTTAATTTTCTTTTCGCTACTATTTTTATCATATTGTCAAGATCCTACAGTTTTTAAGGCATCTGACAAGGTCTCATATATAATAAAGGATAGAATATAGAGACCAAATGACTTGCTTTTCTTTACAGAAGGTCTGACATTTATTGCAGATGACATGTTATTGGAGAGCACAGGGTTGTATGGAGATTCCGAGATACATTACATTGACAATATATTTGATAAATAGAATATTGGACTGAAAGCACGATAGCCCATTGGCAAATAATATTTTGGGGAGGGGTGTTCAAAAATAAAAAACAAAAACGGAAAAGATGAGATCTATATGTTAACTTGGAAAGAGAGAAAAGCATTTCTATTGAATAGCAATTTGCAATTGGTTTAGGAATTAGAAATCCCAGGAGAAATCTAGGAAGGGTGGGGAATGACATCTTATAGGAATAGCGATGATGAAGACATATTGTTAATTTCTGATGGAACAAATAGATTGTATCATTTAGACCCAAGCGATTTTAAAGTGAAGAAAACTGTAAGTGTTCGTTTGGAGAATGGAAGTGATCTCAATAAATTAAATGAACTAGAAATTATTGGAGATGGAACAATTTTAGCAAACATTTATGAAACCCCTTTTATTGCCTAAATAGATCCACATGACGGAAAGTTAATTGACATTCTTGACTTTACTGCATTGATCTAGGATGTAGAGAGTGTGAAGGGTAAGGGATATGCAGACCCTATGTTTAACAAGGTATTAAATGGGATAGCCTATAAAGATGGCAATTTAATATTAGGTGGTAAACAATGGCCATATTTTTATTAAATTGAATTATAATCATAATAATCATAATGAATTCTTAATAAAATATATACCAAAGTAGTATTAATAAGTATAATTGATATGTTATATAGATATATTAATAGGTTTCATTGCTAATGAGTTTTGTATCATTTATTGACTATCAATTAATTGAATATTTAATTATTTCTACTAGTGTCTAAAAGGTTTTATAATTTTTAGTTCCTTTACAAAATACTAGCAAATTATTGGAAGCTGAAAACATCAATAAGATGATGAATCAAAACAATTATTTCCCAAAGAGAAATAACTAAATAGAAGGAGTTGTGAATTATTTCTATAAGGTTTTTTATTTTATTTTATCATTAAATTGTTTTATGTAAAGGCCATTAACCAGCCTCACATCATCTCAATAATAATCGAAACTTTATGATAATAGTAGTACTTCATTTAGAATTAAGGAAAATAAGAAAAATAGGTAAGTGAAATCTCTATTTGCATAGGCAAATGCCCTAATAGATGCTTTATGATAAGGAGGGATTGTATGAGGAAAACCTGAAGTTGAAGAAGGAATTGCAACAGGTGAAATTTGAATTGAAGAAGGAGAGACAAGAACATGCCAATTTTGAGAAACAAGTGCAGAAAACTAATGAAACTTAAAAAGATGTAATAATGTGAATCATTTAGACAGTTTCAAGTAATCTTGTCTTAGAGAGTGAGAATCAAGGATTAGGATAAGCTAATCAAAGAACTTGAGGATTAGGTTTTTCAATTGAAGCGCAATCCTGAGAGGACTAAGAACAAAGAATTGGAAGCAGAATTAGAAGAATAAAAAGAAGCATATCAAAAATTATAGTTATACATTAGTAGCAAATGCAATCAAGATGCAAACGAAACCTTGATGGTTAATTAATCATTAAAGGATCAAATTCAAATTAATTTGGTTTAAGCCTACAAACAAGACAACTTGAATTTATCATAAATGATTCTCAGTTTGTAATAGGAGAATCACGGTTTACAATAGAATTAATTATCAATCAAGAATGAGAAGGATAGATTGACGAATAGGTTGAAGGAATTAGAGAAGCAATTCGAATCTGTGAATAAACATATGATGTATATGAGATAAGAGATGTAAAACACTAAAAAGTAAACTCCATCTGAAGATTATTTGAAAAAGATAGATGAATTGTAATAATAGGTCTAAAATTAAGCTAAATAATTACAATAAAATAAAAAACTAATAGAAGAATTGGAACAAAAAAATGGAGAGTTATAGCATAATTATGATGTATTTAAATCAATGGAGAGTAAAGAGAAGGAGAAATTGTAGGATAGATTAAACATGCTAAAAAAGTAGATAGAGGAATTGAATTAGAAGAGAGATGATCACGAGTAATCTTAAGAAGGTTCCCTCTAATCAATAGGACTTAAATAAGCAATGACAATTTATGGTAGTCCTAGGAGTAATAATAGTCCTTAGAAATTGCAATTACAATTGGGTTTTACGAATAAAAAACAATGTTCAAAAGTAAATTCTTATGACATCAAAGAGATCGTTAGCAATTTAAAAATAAAGTTGTTGAGCAATAATATTGATTATGAAACATAAGAATAAATTTTGTGTGAAGATGATGATGAGTTTTTAACTTTAGAGGAAATGTAATTACGATTGTAGAAAGCACCGTTTGAACTAACTGAGGACGAATCGAGTCTTTTAGCCAGATATTTGATTGAGGACAACACTGAAGATCATATTCTCTATGATTAGCAAAGAACATAAACGAAGATTATAATTAAATCTGTATATAAGAAATTATTGGGCGAATTCAATTTGTTTGATGCTTTAGAGAAACAATAGATGTATGAGTATTTTTGCCAATTGTTTCACAAATACAACTAGGGGATGGAATCTGCAATTAAATAATTCAACATTAAAAAAAAGTACTTGGGGAATAATCAATGTGAATATGAAGATTTTAATGTAATTCCACATATGTAATATAGGAAGCACTAAAATATTGCGATATCCTTTTAACTACCAGACAGAGACTTTATTTGGAATTGGAAATTTTTTCTGATTCTTAACAATTACAGCGATTTAATTTTTAGACTCTATTTTCAAAGTTTAAATTAAAGGTTTCTGATTTAGATAATAGTATTAATTGAATTAATTTTTCATTTTAATTTATGGACACAACTATTTTAGAAGCAATCAAACAACTTCCTCCAAAATAATAACCAACAGCCGTTGCAATCTAGCATCATCTTAACAAATGGGCAGATTCAGAGAAACAAGTTTCCAAGAAAGTACGACAACTCTAGACAGAGTATTTGAGAAGTGTGATTCCTTTATAAAATGAAATTAATGCCATCATCAAAGGTCTCAGAGCTCCTACAGAAGATGAAATTAAAGATGCAAATACATACTAAATAGAAGTCAAGGATATCTAAGCATCACCACTCTAAAATTATTGGGGACAAGTTTTGATGAATAATAGTTTGACAGGAAAATTAATCTCAGAAGCAGACAAAGAAATCTTTAAACATTTACAATCAGTGAATGTTGAATTAGGAGAAAATGGCAAAGATTTCACATTGAAATTTGAGTTTGGAGATAATGATCATTTTGAGGCATGCATCTTAACTAAAGCATATGTTTTCGAAGACTCTGATGATGAATTGCCTACTAAATAAAAGGGATCACAAATTAAATGGAAGGAAGGTAAAAACATCACCAAGAAGATTGTTAAACGCAAGTAAAAAAATAAGAAAACTGGATAAACTAGAGATATTGAAAAGGAAGAAAAAGCCCCAACCTTTTTCCATTTCTTTGAAGAAGTGGATTCAATTAACAACGAAGATGAAAAAATTGAGAGACAACAATTTGACTATGAATTGGGATCTTAATTTGTCAATTAAATCATTCCTAAAGCTTTATTCACCTATTTAGGATTAAAGGTTGATGATGAGGATGATGACTTTGAAGGAGATGAAGATGAATCTGAAGAAGAGGAGGACTCTTTAGAAGATGATTGAATTATTTTATGTTGTTATTAAATTTATATTAAAAATTTTGTACATTTTCAAATTTATGAGTCAATATATTTGTACGATAATACAAAATTTTTCAGAAGTTTTTACTAATGATATAAAAAGATAATTCATATGAGTGAGACATTTTTTTAGATTTTAATATAAAAAAGTGAGACAAATTTTTTCCTTTATGTTTTTAACTTAATAAGCTCGGAATATATTCAAAAAAGGCAATATAGTATTTCATAGCATATATTTGAGGATAATCTTATTATTGCTCTTCTAACCATTTTAATAGAAATACATATTGTCTGTTTAGAATAAAAAATTGGATTTTAGTATTAATTATTTGATTTAATTAAATAAATAAATTTCTTTAAATATAATTTTCCCTTTAAAGGCATAATTAAATTAATTCTGAACAAGAAATTTATTTTTGTATTAAATTATTAATTTCATTTCTGATAACAATTTCGTATTAGACACTTCGTACAATCGCCTATAAGAATTAGTTAAGCAATGTATTCATTTTTTTAAACCTATCAAAACTTATTTATATATTTAAAATGTTATAAACCATTGTTCACAACATGTATACTATCATTTAATTCTACATTAGAGTATTTCTAATACAAAATAAAATTTCATTTCCATTCTTTAATTCATATGAATTGAGAATATTTAATAAACAAATTTTTATATTAAATATGGGTAGCCATATAACAACTGTAAAAATGAATTCCTTCAGAAAAAACACAAGTCCTTTATTGAATGTAACGCTTTCCAAATTGAGGGATTATCATGCTTCTTTTAAATCAATATGTGACAACTTCTCAATGGACTTGTCAGAATTTGAACATATATTTGGAGCTAGTGAAAGTGCCTTTGTTATTTGGGATACAGATAATAATGGCTTAATAGATAGTTTAGAATTATTTAGTGGTATTTGTATATTTAGTGATACTAAATTCGATGATAAGATTAGATGTAAAATTGATAATTTATTCATTTCTAGTTCTCTTTGATTTGTTTGATTTCAATGAGTTGGAATCTTTATCACCTACTGACATTGAATTCATGATATACTGTTGCATGAGTGCCACTTTTAAAATATACTCTATTTCAAGTGAAATCAACAATGAAGAATTGACTGTGTTTGCCACTAAATATTTTGAAAAGGAGAATAGATTAACTGTGGTTGAATTGATCAAGTAAATATCTAAAATATGGCAGAGCATCGAAGAATTCTCCTGAAGTAAACGACTTTTTCTAAATCATCAAGAAGGATTTAATTGAGAAGGTTGATGATGTAAAAATCCAATAATAACAATAATAATAATAGTTTTGATATGAAGTATACTTATAAAATCATATACAGTATTCCACTATCATCATTTCTTAAATACACATAATAAAATATGTTTCAATTCTTATATATTTAAAGGCTTAGCCAATACTTCATGCATCCCTGCTTTCAAACAATTGTCAATATCCTTTGTACCAGTGAAAGCTGTCAATCCAACAATTTAAATATAAGGAATTTAAGATTTATTCATCATGCTTATCAATTATTTAGTAGCTTCAATCCCATTCATAATTGGCATCTAATAATCCATCAAAATTAAAGACAGCAAATTACATGAGGAACAGCATTTTTATAATCCTTACACTACTTAAATTGCTTATAACCCATTAAAAGCTAACACAACTTCAAATCCCATTTTGGATATCAAAACTTATAAAGACTTTTAATTGAAGATTTCATCATCAACACTCAAAATCCTCATACAATTACATTTTTTTAGACTATTCAATCCAGTCATAAAAAGCTCACTCTCTCTTTCCTCTAACTATTTAATTTACCTTAGATTTATAACTTTGGAGGATTTATCTTTTAGTTTGTTATAGACATTATTGATATCTGTTATTAAAAATGGACTTAAGCTTTCTAAATCATCCAATCTCCTTTCCAAATAGTCATCATTACTTTCGGAATAGAATGAGTCATTTTAAGATTTTTTTGAGGGAAATTGAGCGTATTAGGTCTTGATTTAAGTACTTGTTATATGAAATTCTGTAGCTTTGACTAAAGTGCCCATAACATTAAACAGAGAACTGTTAACTTGTAATTATTGGGAACATGATAATTTGAATTGACTTGATGCACTTCCAGCATTCATAAAATTAGAAGTACTGTTTTTGATATTCTATTAGGAAGCAGGGACTCGAAAAAAGTTTTTAATACAAAATGATATTAGTGTACCTTTATTTTCCCCTTCTGACTTAATATCGAAAAAAGTCATTTCTGGAGGAGCTAGATATTATAAAATGATAGAAGAAATTAATAAACCTATACCATGCCAATCTTTCACAAATTCTTTATTTTTATCTACGTTCTTTGTGATAACTTGTAATTTGTATAATACATCTTATTGAATACCTATTCCTTAATCAGCTATTTCAAATACCATATTCTGATTAGGTAATGATATAAGTCTAACAATGCAACCTCCTTTAAACGAATATTTTAAAGAATTTTATATGAGATTAACCAAAATTTAAAGGAGTTTCTTATAATCAGTACAAAACGAACTTAATTAGTTTTCTTTTAAATCAACATGGAATGCTAATTGTTTAGTATTGAATTGATAATAAAACATCGAACTAATTTCTGTAATGAGTTCAGAGATGGTGAATTCTCTGAGTTTAATTTTGATCTGATCTTGATAAAAGGAAGAAAAGTCAATGATGTCGTTTATCAGATATTGTTGTATTTTCAAGGAATTGATGGCTGGCTCTATCTAATTATCTTTGACTGATTGGGGCATCTTCTGTTCTTAGAGAGAGGATGATAAAAAATTCAAGGCTCCATTCAAGGGAGTTCTGAGTTCATGGGAGAATGATTGAAGGATCTAGATATATGTTAGATTTTACTTTGGATTTGAAATCATTAATAAGAATATTTTGTTACATTTCATTTTAGCCTGAAACATCATTCAAAAAAATTAATAATTCATTGTCTTTTTCATTTTATACGATTTATCCGAATAATTATAAATAGTATCCATCTTCCAGTTTTTATCTGCATGAGACTTCGTAATAGCCAGAATGATGAAGATTTATGAAGGAGGATTGGACTTTGCTCTTAAAGTTCAAAACAATATCATTCAAAGACTGATAACCTAAGGGTATATCTTGAAGTGTTTCTTAGTTTTTCTAATTAAACGTCATGGTGTGAGGTTTTCTTATTTGATTGATGAACTAATTGATCGAGGAGACATCTTATTCCTCAAGATTACTACTGGAAACATTAAAACTCAAATGATACATTACCATATTTTCCAACTCTTTTTCTGTTTTATTAAAGGAGGAGAAGAAATTATAAAAAGACTAGTTTTTATGGACAATTTACAGATTTTGCATGGATATGATAATGACAATAATGGGTATAGTTTGCATTCTATTCTTCCAGATCTCATCATTTTGTTTTTCGATATGAGAATACAACGAATTATTCTGATTTTGAATTACGCATGTTGCATTCAATTATTTTTTGGTTTATGTCATTTTTTAAAGCAAATCTTTAAGCAATTGCAACACCAAAATGGAACTCATAACTATAATGGATAGTAGGTTTCCGTTGATGCACACAATAACAAGTGAACACAGTTTGATAATCGTTTATTCCAAAGCATTCATGTGAGTGGGTTCTTGCATCAGGCTATCAATCAAGAGAGCTATGATAATTTGGTTTTCTTAATCTAAGAACAATAAGACCACTAAACTTATCAATTTGCTCAACAAGATCATTGCAAACGTCCATGCGTATTTAATTTTGGATGTCTTGAGGAATATTATAATAGTTATTATGATGTTATAAGATATGCTGCAAATCATTAATGGTGATGATGATTGCTCAATTCCTAATAGAACCGAATATATTATGATAAGCAAAACACAGAAACATATCGATATATATTATTATTTTGGTTGTCTAGATTCCTTTTCCTCTGCAGTTATAATTTCTATTTCAGGATATTTAAACTGGTTGCCATTCATCTCAATTTTCAATTATTTTATATAATACTTTTTGCTTAAATTAATAATAATGCAAGCTATTATTTCAACAAAGACTTGATATCACAATAATCCCTCACGAAAGCCACATCTCAAATTCTTAACCACTCCCTCTCCTTACTTTTCCATTATATATTTAATTAAAACCTAATAAAGGATTAATTAATAACTCAAAATGTGGTTCATTCTATAATTCCTATAAATTCACATCGTTTCATCATTAGAAACTGTGATTCAAATCTCAGAAAATGCAAAAACTTGGACAGACGTCCAAATGAGTTCCCCAAACAATACTTATATACTAAATATAGAGAATACAGTAACATTTCCCTATTATGCCATTAATGTTGAACTGCACAAGCAAGATGACACCTTTTCATTGCACTACGGAATCGGCAAACCCCCTGAATTTAGTTTAAATTTATCTGAAATTACAGAAGTGTAAGGATTTGATATATACGGGTATTGCAACTATACCAATACTTATTAGGTATCTTGAAAATAGGTTTACTCATTTCATCTTGTTGTCCAGTGAAGATTTCCATCAAAAATAAGTTTATATATCTACTTCTTCAGAATGGACCCAAAACTACAATATTACAGTTACTGCCACTTACGATAAACTGTGTCCAAACAACTGCACCAACCAAGGCAGTTGCTAAGTATTCAATAAATTATCTATGAAGGATGGAAAATGTTTATGCAACAAGAATTATATTGGAAATGATTGTCGTTAGCCGGCAACTTATATTGAATAAAATAAAGAGATGTTTCTTAACTTAGAGAACACTGTAAAGTATGCTTACGTAGATTTAGAAGAAAGTGAAAACCAAACCATGGTTCTAATAGTACAAGTATTTGAAATAATGAAATCAAGACTAACAGTTCTGAGGGAGTAGATCTATATAGAATGAAAACTAGAGTTCTTTACATTCCTGCTTTAGAGGATTTGAATGCGAAATATTACGATCAACTAGTATATGGCTATGAAGTCTCATCCATGTACCCAATCGAATTTGATTTAAAAGACAGAAATGATGTCAGCACTCAAATTCAAAAACGAGTCAGATTCATATTCAAATAGAAGTCTCTTAGAGAATAACACATCCAAATTTCTTTGGATCTTATTAATCAACGAACCCAAAATACAATCTCAACTAGTACAGTAATAATCATAGTTGCATCGACTGCTGGGATTATCATGTTCATAAGTATATCATTTGCTGTCGGCAGATACTTCAGAAATAAGAAAATTAAAGAAACCTTGGCTGCTTTGGCCGTGATAAGATAGATGCAACAGGAAAAAAAATACAGTGCAAAAAGCTTTGATGATGAAATCTTAGAGCAACTCCCCCAAATTCAAAATGATCATATCAAAAACACAGATGTCTGTCCAATTTGCCTAGATCTTTACATCAATAAACCAGATCTCAGATCTACTAAATGCAGGTATTGTATTAAACTATCTCAGACATTTATTTCATAGGGAATGCATTCTTTCTTGGATCTATATCAACAAAAACTGTCCCACCTGCAGGAGTGATCTAAAAATACATATGAATCACAATAGAAACCAATAACAGTGATAAATATTGTTTAAATATGTTTCATTAATCTATGAGTGCAAATTTCTTTAAATTTATCATTTATTATATCATAATTCCATTATGGGTGGTAGAAATTCTAAGGATAATAAAATATCTTAGGAAGGAACAAACACATAACACTCAACTCCTAATAGTAAAAATGTTTTAATCTTTAAAGCTAGCAATAGAGCCGATATCTCAGTTGAAAATAAAAAATCCAATCCTACACTGTTCAAAAAAAGTACTAACAATAATTATTCCTCAGTTATTTCACTAATAAGACAAGCCAACTATAGTGTGGCCTTGAAACAATTAGAAATTATGGAGGATCTGCATTCTTAGACTCCTGATTTTCATTATTGGAAGGGTAACCTCTTAAATTTACTTTCAGGTTTGGCATATCTAGGATTAAATGATCTCCAAAAGGCTTAAGAATCCTGTGAATAAGCAATTAAATACGATCCAAATCACATACTTGCCTTGGCAGAAATAGGTTAAAAAGAGATTTAACTCTTTTAGGGAATATTTATATATTGGCTTAAAAATACGAGGAGGCTCATTAAGTATTCACAGAACTCTTGAAAATAGACCAGAAGTCCTTTGAAGCCCATTTGGGACTAGGCTTTATTCGAACACAAATCAATGACTTTAAGACAGCATAATAGCATTACGAGTTTGTTTTAAATTGTGGTTTAGAGGAGAAAATAACCTCTCTGAATTATGGTACTATGTTTATTAAGTATTTTTAGGCCACATGTTGTTTAAATAAAAAAACTATGATATGGCCTTGAAATTTTATACAAAATCATTAGCCATTGATAAAGAATATCTGAGTGCCTTTCAAGCTATTGGAAACTTATATTATTAATAAAAAAAGTTCAATGAATTGCTAGAATTCTGTGATTAGAATAGCAGCAATTCATCTTGGAATATTCATGTTTTATAACTAAAAAGTATAATGAAACTCCTAATTCAATAGGTTAAGCTTACTTTGGATAAGAACAGTATGATAAAGCACAACAAATGTGTGAGTTGATCTTAAAGGAGGATAAAAATAATATTGAAGCTCTCTATAATATTTCAAAATGTCTCAAAGCATAAGGCAAATATTCGTAAGCTCTGAATTGCTTAGAGAAAGTTCTCTTACTTTCCCCAAAAAATAAAAAATTATTAAATTTTAAAGCAAATCTCTAAATATCCTTATAACGCTTCTAACAGGCTTTACAAACTTGTGATGAACTATTCGAATTGGATGCTAATGATTCATACTCATTTTATATAAGAGGTTTGGCGTATATGAATATGAAGGCATTTGGTAATGCAATTGATGATTTTGAGAAAGCAATAAATTTTGAACTTCACCATACTTTTAATCAAAAAGTGTATCAGTCTAAAAGTATTTATTTGATATTAAATTTTCAAGTTAAGTGTCATTTAGAATTTCAACAATTTCAATAGATCTAAGATTGCTACGACTTTCTACTGGCTTTTACTAATAATGATTAAGATAAAATCAAAATTCATATTGACAAAGGATACTATTATTTAATCTCGAAAAATATCGAAAATGCAGAGATAAATTTCAATAAAGCATTAAAATACTAATTTAATCTATTGAACACTTAAATTAAGATTGCTAATTGCTTTAGAGACACCAAGCATTTTAAACAAGCTATTATGTTATATGATAAGATAATCTAAGCAAATTCGAAATTTGTAGATGCTTATATCGAAAAGGCGATATTAATGGATCTATAATAAAATAACTCTTAAACGATTCATTTATGCAGCAGAGCCATTGATCTATAAAAAAACTAAGCCAAACCGTTTATGTTGAGAGGAAAAGCAAATATGTAAACTCAATAATATGATGAAGCCTTACAAGACTTTGAGCAAGTAATAAGACTGGAACCCAATAATCACCAAGCACTTTTTGAATCTGGCTAGGCTTAATACATGTCAAGCAATTTCGAGAAAGCATGCGAAATGTTTGGAAAGGCACTGGTAATAGCACCAGAAATTGAGTAATATCATATCAAGAGGGCAATCGCTCTTTCTTTGCAAGATTTTGATAAAGAAGCAATAGAGTATCTAAAAGATGCTATTAATTAATTTCCAGAGTTTGAGGATTGCTAAAATCTGATTGATAGTTTAGAGGCCAAACCTAAACATGTTAGAGAATATGCAAATGTATTTGTGTATCTGATAGTAATGTTCTTCGAAATTGGGGAATAATTATCTAAATAAGAATCACTAGTACCAACTATTGAAGTAGATTCAATTATTAAATTGCTGAATCTAAAAATGAAGGAGAATTTTCCAAAAATATCAAATCTATTTGAAATAGTTCGCTACTTTATCTTGAATAAGTTTGATTGTGAAGTTAAGATTAGCAATGAACAAATAATAAGAATTCTATTGTCTATATATTAAGCCAAGTATCATCCTGACAATGGCACAAAAGTAGTTATGATAATGGATATGATAGAATTAGGTAAAAAGATTGCGAGATTAAAAGATAGATAGATTAGGGCAGGTATTAAATTAGAGAATTAGAGAATTCAATCAGAATTCTTGAAATTCTTATCTAAATCTAATAATTCTATCTTTATCTCCTCTTCTGCTGGATTTGCTATAAAAGATTCAATTTAAGTTCTGCTATTTTTAATATTAAACTTTAATACTATAAACTCTGATTTAACAAATCTCAAGAACTCAATATATAGTAATGTAAAAAATGGGGTTTTAGATGCCATAAAACCTAAATGATATATAGAATTATTGTTAATTAGAAGTTTATTTTTATTGTATTTTATTAATAAAAACAATAATTTTTGTAATTGATTGGCATTATGAATGCAATCAAATTAAATCATTATATTCATGATCTTTGCTTGTTTTCATTTTTAACTTTAAAATTAGAAGACTTAAATTAAAAATATTCAATTTAATAATTTTATGAATTCTAAATAACTAAGACCATTCTAAGGACAAAAATATTATTAATTTAGTTTATATAAAATCAACCCAATTTTTAAAGCTGATGAGTTTTTTAACTGATAGTTTCTATCCATGTTGATCCTATTTGTCCAGGCTCAATAGAGTGTTTTAATTCAGCATAAGCAAAATTCTTTTCTTTAAAGTAGCCAACTACTTTCTGAAGAGCCTCTAATTTATATTTCTATTCAGTGCAGGCAACAAGTTCTATTTTTTATTTTTATTCTGGACTTAATTAATCAAATAAGCCTAATGCTGTTTAAGGGTAATCTGCTTATCCATCAGTATAAAAGAACATAGAATGCCTAAAATACAATAAATAATTACTAATGGAATTTATCAAAATCAGGCCTTTAAATAATTTTTTCATAAGCTTTAGTGAATGGTTCATCAAAATTTGTCCCAAGACCTTTAAATGTTATTTTTTATTCTTGCTCTTTTGAATCAATAACTTCAGAATCAACTACAACTCTTGCAAGATCATTAAATATGATAATTGTTACTCTTGAATCCTTATTTTTCATTTTATGAATTTCTGCGAGAAATGCTATGATGCCTGCCTTTGCGTTATCAAACTTTTCCCCTTGCATTGAGCCAGAGTCATCTAACATAATAACATAATGTATTGCTTTAGGGGCTCTTTAGAGTTATTCTTTATCAAAGTCTTCCTGTTTAATGAATTGAATTTCCTATCCAATCTCTTGTGTTAATTACTTACATATCATTTCTCCAACATGCAAATTCCAAATATCAGTAAACTTTTTTTTCAGAGAAGCCTTCTTCTCTGCAACATCTATGCAAGAGAATAACCAATCATTATAGATCTCTTTGATATCTCCCCAATATTTTATTGATTTAGTTTCCATTACCTACATCTTACAATAATCTTGAATTTCTTCACAAGTAAATAATGAAGGGTTGACACCTATCAAAACTCCACTCATTCCTAATATTGAATATTAATATATTACCTCTTAGTTAATGTCCGCTTCTGCATTAATGTTTGTGATTTCTATCAAGTTCTAAATCGCATTTTCTTTTGCAAATAGGGCATGATTCTTAGCATCCAATCTACTTTACTTGTAAAGCATCTAAATGAGATTAAACATCTAATTTTTCAAAATCAATTTTTAATTAATCCAATTATTTCATTTCTTCTTAGATTTTCTTATTAAAAGATTGCATAAAGTAATATAAGATCTATATTTCTTCATCAAATTTATTTTATAAATTATTCTTTAATGTAAATGGAAATTTATAACATCCTTGGATCTAAAATCCTTGTATCATATCAGGTTTAATTATATTGATTATATTTTAATCTAATGCTCCTTGCATGCAACCGAAAACAGCTGTATACAATAAGCTTGGAGCTTCATCTAAATTTTTTAGTTTAACAAAATAATCTTTGGCAGACAAATTTTAGTTAAAATCATTCAATTTTTTTGTGTTTTAAAAAATCCTTTTTAAAAATGATTTCATATCATCTATTAATTTCTTGGTTAATTGTGACTATATTTCAGTTTTAATTGTATTTAGATTGTATTTTACATATGACTCAATATAATCAGCATGATTTCTAATATATTATAACAACTAACTATTTGTTATGCTGCTATTCTACCTTTCAAGGATTTCTTTATCAAGTCGTTTTATGAGATCAAAACTTGTTTCCTTATCATAATTAGATATTAATCCTTTCACCTCTGTTTCATAACTTTAATATAACCGCTAATATTATAATTTTATTATCTCAGTCGCTTATTGTTTACCTCTAATTTCGCTTTACTCTTATCTATTTTAAAGAAGGTCAGCTTTAAATTTAATAAATAGATCTTTTTCTAGTTCTTATTATTCATTTTCATCATTTTTCTTTTTTTACTCCCAATATTTAAAGCATACTATTCTCCAAATCATAAACATAGCATAATTATAAATGCATTTTTCTCCTATTTCATTTAATAAAACACCGAATAGTGAAAATTATTTATTAAAATCTTTAATTTAAATTTCAAGTCTTTGTTACAATCTTTTTATCAAACCTGCAAAATTCTCTTAAGATGCTGTAACAGTATTCTTAACCAGCATATCATCATATACCATTTAAAAAATCTGCTCATACAACATATTCCAACCTTTTTGTTATTCATCATTCATTAACTCTGTAATTTTTTTTACAATGTTTTAATTAAATTTTGTTTCTAAATCTTGTGGTTGATTCATAATATAATTGAAAATATCAATTTCTATCCGACTCAATTTTTTTTATAATTATGGTTTTGTTTCAATTAAGTAGTTTTCTTGTATTTTTTGTTTATCTATTTCAGAATTATTATTAATTTGAATTTGTTCAAATTGACTCAGAACTTTATTTAATTATTAACAATTTTTTTGAATTTTATTTATAGAGTCTTCATTCAATATATTTAAGGTATCTTATTTTTGAATCGATTTCAAACATTACAAGAGAGACTACTATTTTTATTAACCTTAAATTCCATTTTAAATTGCTTAACAAAGTTAATCAACATTTTAATCTATAATCTCAAAATCGAATACAGTAAATTTTGCTAAAAAGCTTTATATTAACTATTTATCATTATTTTTAATTTCACTTTCAAAATCTGTCATCATTTCACCATTTTTCATATAATTATCAATATTTTATTTTTTGATGCATTTAATTATTTTTACATAAAACTTATTTAAATGCAAAATAGGTTTATCAGCACTACTGGCGAGTTTGTTTTTAATATTTTGAGTGAAAATTTCTAAATATTATTTTTTATCAGTTTTCTCAAGCACTTTAAATTATAATTACTATAATTCTGGTTAGAGTATATTATATTACACAACATGATCTTATTATTTTGGTTGATCTTTAATTAACTTTTCAAGGAAAGCTTATTTATAATTTTCTTATGAAGTAGATTATAATGAGGATCCTTTAATTTAAGATTGAATAATGTTGAAAAATTCGTTGCAGCGATCTTTTAACAAAGTTTCATCTTATTTTTCTTTTTTCAATTTGGCTTCATTTTAAACTTAATTATATACAGCCTTCAACTTATCTGGATTTTCCATTAATTCTTTTATCATATCAGGATTTTATTGCACTTCCTTTATTTTGACTTAATATAATTTTTGTTCTTAAGTCTTTGATAGGTTTACTTAAATATTTTTTGTTTCTGAAGAAATAGCAAGACTACAAGCCTACAATTCAACATGTTTTTACTCTTAAATTTTCACCTCATATTTTTAGATAATTTCTTCCTTTATATTATTTTCACGTTATAGGAGTGATATTTATTACTTTAATTCTTTCTCCTTTTAATCAAATATTTAACCAAGATATTCAATTTATTCTGTCTTGATTAATTCTACTTTTTCAGTGGTTATTTCTTAGTTATTTTCTTAAATTTATTATTAAATATTTGCTATAAATTCTGATTTTTCTGGAAACACTTAGCCACTCACTATTTAGTTAAATTTATCCCTCATAAGTGATTCTTACTAAATTTCCCTAATTTATTGAAACTAGTCCAAATGTTATAATTTAGAATTAATAATATTGATGGTCTATTACTTTTTCTGATTAATATTTTCAGTTATCATTTTTTGATACTTAGAAGATATTTTAAGTGATATATTATTATCATCTTATATGGACTTTAATTTTTCATTTACTTCTAATTAAATTTAATCATAGAATTTTACGTTTTCGAATTATTCATTGTAAATAGTATTTACTAATTCTATGGAGAGAATATGCTTATTTTAATTTAGACTCAAATCTATACTTTCAATAATTTAATCATCATTTGGAAAGTTAATATTAGATACAATTTCCTCATATTACTGCAACATAAAATCATTTTGTTAAAATTACTTTAATTTTTTCAATTCTGATAATTCTTCCATTTTGATAATTTCTTCATAAATTTGATCTATATTTTATAATTGCTATCCTATTGATTAACTTGAATTTTATCTCTTTTTTATAAAGGCTTAAATATTTTAAATCCCATAATTAATTGCGTCATTAAAGAAATCATCATTCTTTATTATTTGTCTCCAATTATATTTCATATCCAAATTCTTATTTTATTTCCAAAAATATTCAATTTGCATGTATCCCTACACTGTTTTGTATTAATTAACATCAAATATGTCCTCATAATATTGAGCTTTCTCCTCATCAACTTAATAAATAAATTCTTATTTCAAATCCTATTCTATAATCTACAAATGATTTAAAATTATCTCAGAATTCCGTTCTAAATTATTATTATTCAAATGGAAACACCATGTTATCTATTTAGGAGTATTTACTAATTTAGCCATATTATAAATGCTGGTCTCGACTAATTACTTGAACTCTGTTTTTATATCCACTTCAGTATTTATAATAATAATGTCACTTATAGACAAGACGAATAGAATGATTTTTTTATCTAATACCTAGTTATCTTAATTGTGATCTTGTAATATTTCAGTATCTAAAACGATAACTTATTTAAATAAATCTCCAAAGATGCTTTTATTGTATATATTGAATAATTAAAAATAATATCCTTCAGTATTAACATTGGAGTACCTCTATACTGGGGATCCAAAAATTTTATTTAAAATATTCGAGTTTCCAGAACCTGATCCTAAAATACTTATGAATATAGTTTCTCCTTAATCTTTTAATTTTTTTAGTATATTTTTGGAATAGTCAAATTAAATTTAAGAATCTATTAATTAAAAAGGTTCTCCTTTTAAAATCAATTCCTCAAGTTTTTAGTACATTAAACTCTAAATTTAATGACCAGGATCCATTTATTATATTTAGGAAATCTTATCCATTAGTTTTCCAATCGTTATCCTCTTCTCTTGGGAATTACTTTAATTAAATTGCTATAAAATATCCTTAAATTTAAGATGTAAAATAAAGAAATTTTATTACTATAATAAAAAACCAAAGGATTAAAGGAATGGGGCTTCTGATTAATTAATTTTAACTAAATTCTATTCAATTTAGGATAAGATTTGCCAAGTCGATCCAATTTCTTAAGTATATTATAGGTTTTAATTCTTTATTTTAGAGATTACATTAAAACATTAATTTGCATCAATCGTATTATCATTTTCATTTTTTTCTATTAAATCATATAAAAATTAGCTGACTTATTTAATTTCATTATCAATTATATATTTATTTAAATTATTATCAGTCAAATTAACTACTTGTTTGTATTCAATATTTAACTACTTTAATTTTATTACTTAAGCAGATTCTAATTATAAAGATGAATCTCTTATAAGAAAACACACAGTTTTATTTTTTAATTAAAAGGATTTTAGTTATTCCAAAATAGAAATTGTGGACTCAATTTCTTATTCCGTATCCAATTAAATAATCCATAATTTAAATAAGGGCAATATTTCATCTAATATTTCTAGCGGAATAAAATTATGGACATCTGCTATTGATAAATATCTTGTCCCTTAGAATTCTGAATCATACATTATATCAATGGAACAATTATTTAATTTATTATTGTCTAATATTTCGAATTTATCTTGTTAATAGAATATTTTATTTATTAATTAGGTTTTGCCTATTCTTTATTGTATCTACTATAAGCTTAGATTAATAATTGTAAAACTCATTTGGTGGATATAAAATATGTTTAAATTCAAAAAGAAGTGTTCTATTTTTTTTGTTTAATCGTCATAAGGAACTTTATAAAGGAAAGGTACAGGATAGTTCTAACTTATTTGCTTTAAAAGGAGGCATTACAATTCAGCATTTGAATTATTATACAATAACTAAAACATAGATTTAAAATTAAAATATCCATACTTGATGGATTATTCCTACTGGGTTTAGATAAGCTGGTTTATCATATTTAAAAATATTGTTGGAGACTCCCCTCTTTTAATAATATTCAAGTAAAATGGTAAAAGACTTTTGAACTTCTTATTATTTTTAATGTCTAAAACCCAAACATGGACTAATTGATATTAATCTTGTTGACTTAATTCAACTAAGGTTAAATTAAATTCGTCCACACTGATTTAAAGACCTCTGGGGTAAATGTCGTATTATTTCTTTTTTTCCATATATTCCAAATTATCAGCTGCCAATACCTAATTATCAAAAAAGTTCAATTTTGAAAATGTTTTCTTATATAATTGAGGATCATTTAAAAAAAAGGATTTTGCCTCTTATTCAAGATTGTTGTTTTTTTTAAAAGTCCAATAGTAAACTAATGTATAGATTTAATCTAAGACATTCTTGCTTATTTTATTTTATGCCTATTCGATTAAAAAATTAAGATGATAGGAAGTAAACTATTTGAATCCTTATTCAAGACTATTTTTAAATTGTTGTTAATCAGTATCATTTGAAAGAAAGCAAAAAACCTAAAATAAGATGTCCACGGATAAAAGATATGGCTATAAAGATATGTTCTATTTTTGATTTTCTATAAATAAACTGCATACTTATTCATCTTTTAGTCTTTATAATAAATGATAAAATAATTAAGCATTTTGAATTTACTATTAAAGCATTCTATTTTAAAGAAACTGATCTCTTAAAATTTGGATAACTTCTTTTGGATTTCCTGATTGGTTTGACATTGTATGTTAAATTAGAGAATTGAGAATTGTGCAATAATACTTAAGAAACTTCTTTTACATAATTTCCCAAAATTCCCTATCGAAAGTTTTGACTATTTAAACCATTTCTTATATTTTCATTTTTTCTTTTATATTTTAAATCTTTTTTAAATTTGGAATATGTTTTTTTTTAAAACTCTTATTCAAGGCATATCTATATATCCAAAATTCTTCAAAGGTTTTGTTTAACATTTCACATATAATTCTAAATATGACTTCTACTTATTCTTCATCATATTGATATTTTAGTTCATATATGTCATCAAGTATTTCAAAAATATCTTATGAATCCTAAATTACTTTTTTAATAATTGTTGCTATTTTTCTCTTGTCTTCATCATTTATTTCTGTAAGTAGATTCAAAATTTTGGCAAAACGTTTATTTTATTATCTTATATCCACAATGTGCTATTATTTGTTGGAATAGTAAAAATTTGTGTCAATAAAATATTATAATAGATCTTCATTGGATTTAAAAATTATGCCTTTTCCAGCAATTTTACTCATACTCTATTAAACTTAATAATTAACAAAGAATTTTTCTAATTAATTATCACAAAATTAACTATCTTAAAAAGCTTGTTTCTGAGAATTTTATTAGGTCTTTTCTTCAATATAGGAATTCAAAAGCCTATTCCTTTCATTTTCACAAAATCTCACGTTATTTTTATACTATTAATGATATACAGACAAGAAATAAAAGCAAATTTGATAATAGATTTTTTGTACTTCGAATAAAATAGGCATTTCTTTTGAAATGTAAAATTCCAAATCTCCTTATTATGAAATCATATGTTAGGCATTCAAAATCTTTCTAACTTCATCATCAATTATCTCCCTTTACTTTTAAGGAGTTTGAGTTAACATATTTGGTATAACTTTTAAAACTTCCAATTAACTTTTATTTTCATTATTCTAAATTAATTAATTTTAATGATATTCAAATTAGACCCAGCTTTAGCTTATCAATTCTCCTAACAATTACTCTATTTCTTAAGATTCACCCTATGTCAAATTTAAATCATTAGGCATATAGAAATAGAATAATAATTTTTTTAGTATTGATAAGTTTAATTAAAATTAGCAGTCTATAAAGTAATCTGCTAAATCTATTAGCATAAAGGCTTTTTCTTTGAGTTTCTCAACAAGAGGTATTAGTCTAAAGAAATTATTTGGATATTTGCCATCCATATAAAAATTATTTTAAGACATCATTTACTATAATTACACCCAATCTTAAGATCTTGCAACATTATCCAATTCTTCATAAAAAGAGAAATCCTAATTCCGAATATTTTTTTATTAGGGAGTACTGAAATTTATTCTTGATTAAGATCTTTCAGATTTTAATGGACTTTCACATATACTTGAATAGATCTATGGCTAACCCACAGTATTTTAAAGTTTCAATTCTGGAAAAAGTTGGTCTAATTTACCGATTGTTTACTTCCTTTCGTCATCTTTTAATTTATCCAAAAAATTATCTATAAGCTTAGTAAAACAGTTTTCATTGCTGAAATAGTTTTCTTACTTATCCTTTATTAAATAGTTAAGCTCTTTATTAAGTTTATAATCTGAGAGAGCGATTATATCCGACATCTTAGAATTAAAATAATATCTATATTTAAATTCATTTTTAAAAAGATTATTTATAATTCTATTAAATATCAACGAGTAGACTTTGATTTTTTTAATTTCTTATAAATCTTCATAATAGTAAAAACTGAATGTACCATCCTTTATTATGGTAGATCATTTTTAAGGTTATTAATTTCATCTAATTTTAAGGATAAGTATCTCTAATTTTTTTAAGCTATTTTAAAAAAAAATCAATTTTATAATCAAATGTTAATATATTCAATATCAATAACTATGGATATATAATGAGCATCTAATTAAACTGATATATCTTTAATTAAAGAAAGATTTCGGAATTTTTATAACAAAATATTGTTACAAATTATTTTACCTTTAATTATCAATAGGAGAAATATTTAATTAAAAATATAGCTTAATGCAATATTATGATTACATAATTTCACATAAAATTGATATAAGATTTAAGCACAACATTAATAAAATTAAATGTTTACTAATTTTTTTCTTATTAAAATGGCAGAATTTTACATTTTATTTATTTAATCTGAGGTAAGTATTATTTTTTTTATTCTAGTTGCTTGTTAATAATATCAATAATAACCAGCAAATTAATCATTTAATAATTTGATATTGTTCTGATTCAGAATAATTTATATATGGTTAGCCTTCAAATAAAATTTATGAATGAAACTAAATGCTAATTATAATCATTTGAATATGTAAAAGAATTCTTATAATTTCATTGCTTTTCTCAATAATGAAGTAGTAAGTATAGACTAATTCAGATTCCCTGATCACATAATTAATAAATTTTGAAGCTAGTAATAATATTTGCATGGTATGAAAATCTGCTAAAAGTCACATCAAGAATTCATGATTGATTACTATTATCAATAAAAGATATTAAACCATTTAACAGGTTAAGTTTAAATATATTGATGAGTATTCTAAATATTCTCTAAATTTGCTATTGTTTCTTGTAATTTCTGTATTACTTTTTTAGATTCTAATAACATCAAAAAAAGCTCTTTAATTCACATCAGGTTTACGATCATATATCAATATCATCCTATGTTTATACAAATATAAAGAAGAAAAGTGATAAATAATATATTTATAAAAATATTATTGATAAATATTAACAACAATTCTCAAAATCATAACATCGTTATAATAATCATACCAATAAATGATAGGATAGGTGTGTAATCATCTGGAAATGTACATTATTAACATTTAGATGAATTCCATGTACTAAGTCCATAGGATAAAGCATAGCACTCATCTTTGGTAAGGAGATCAGGATCTAAATCTTTGCAAGTGTCAAAGAGCATACAGTATTTCCAGGTTTTAGAATTTGGGGATGTTAAATAATGAGTACATTAATGTTCATTTAATAATTTGCACTCAATTTACTTACATTCTCCTTCCCAAAAACATGCTCCACTATATTCACAATATGTTGCCTATTTTTATTGGGAACATTGAGTCCAAACCTAACAAGAATTAAGTTTTTCATCCCAATAACATTATTCGCTTTTTGAATCTTTGCTACCATTACATTTGTCATCAGTTTTATGTGTTTTGCATTCTTAATATTTGGAAGTGCAAGTTTCTAAGGTGTCTGATAATAAGCACTTCTTATTTATTGATTAACATTCTAAATTTGAGAATGCTTTATAGTTTTCACATTAGGTGAATTCTACACAAGCATTAGCAAACCAAGCACAATGTTCCAATTAAATGCAAGCTTAAGGAGGGTCTATTTCAGCACATTTCCTTTCTTCACATGTTCCATCTCTCCATATGCATGTTTAATTCTGTTAGCAATCATTCTAAGAGGAAATCGATTTGCATAGACAATGTTTTGGAGAAGGTTTCTATACATTTGGTGATAAGCATTATTCACAGAATCCTTCACTTGCATTTGAACTAGACCAATGATACGCTAGTAAAGTGTTACTGGCACATGTATCAAATGTCAGAATATCTGGGATAGATGATTCACATTGTTTTAAGACATAATTCCATTCACACACTTCATATAAATGACTATTAGGTCCTTCTTATACTGCTACACAGTCATATTCGTGATCTATTTCTGAGCATTTTTTCTGCAAACAAATCTTTAATGTGGCTGACCAATCACAACTTTGGGGAAGCATTTCACATTAAATCTTTGAATTTGCTTAAGCGCATTAACTCCATAAAGTGCATTTTGAATCTGACCATAAACAAAATCCATCTTAACCTTGAATGCATTCACCTTCATTTGTGAACTGAGCACATAGCCTTTCTTGAGCATTAGGTAAACAATGCTCACCATTACTCTCTCTACAGTTTGTTGACATAAATCTACACTCATTAATAGTTTTGCCCTTCAGATCTTCACACTTTGTAAAATTCTCACATTTTCCATCCCTATATTGACAACCTTCATCAGCAGAACATATGGATTAACTTTTTATGCTTGAACATTCTTCTTATTCACAAGTTTTTGTATTACTATTCCATATGCAATCCTAATCATTAGCACACTCAAGAGCTAATTTCCATTGCTTACAAACGCATCTTGCATCTGTTCTAATTATTACATTGCAATTTATGCTGTATACTAACAGTGATATCAACAATACTCGATACGTCATGAAACAAAATAAATAATCTTAATTAAATATTTATTATATCAAACAATTATTTAATATTATTTAAAATGCATTTTTGGGATCATCCTAAAATTGCCATATCTATCCTTAAAATAAATAAAAATATATTTTGATTAATTATTATTTGTTTTGATTGGCTGATTGATTATAGTATCAAACAAATTGAATATAATTTCATGGAAATTGATTAGAATTAGAGATAATTTAGAATGAATTAAAGATTTTATAATAATAAATTATTAGAAATTAAGAGTCTAAAAATACTTCATATTACCTATAAATAATGATAGTTTTGAATATTACCAAGGAACTTATTTTCAAAACAGTTAAATATATAATATATTATTATTAGTTCAATAAATATATAAAATAAATTACCACTAATTTCATTTTCTAATGATTTTATAGTATTAGAATCCTAAATTCTGATAAATAGGGATAGTTATTTATTTTGATTAATGTATTATTAACTATTATTAGGCATAAAATTAGAATTTAGAGCCTCTATATAAGTCAAAACAAAGTTTTCATCATCAAGTATAAAGTAATAAAGCATAAGATCATATTTGAAAACAACTGGAATTTACAAGTAAAATTAACAATATTAATTAAATAGGGTTGCTATGCATCCTAGGTTATTTTGGATTTCTTTATTTATCCACTGAAATAAACAGTATTTTTTAAATCCTATTTAATTTATTGCTAACGTTGCTATGCTATATAAACCTCCTCATTCAAAGAAGTTTATTTAGAAGAGTTGTGCCTGTATTAATTCTTTGGTCTTATTTATTAGGAATAAAGTACAAACACATCAATTTTAATACCATTTATAGAGTATTTTAAGATTTTGAAAGATAGATAAATCAAATTTGATTACTCTAACATTTAATAATTCAAAATCCCCATTTAATTCTATTAATATGGAACTACCTTTCATTAAAACCAGCTTCCTTCTAATAAGAATTTTAAGATCCTGTTTATTATTAGATAGTGCTATGTCTTGGAGTTGGTACTTATTTTGGCATTTCTCTATGTTGATCGTTAACTTCTTCGATTTCGATTTACCTCCACAGTCTTTAGATTTCAGTATCTATCTCAAGCATTAACCTTTTGTTATTGGATCTCTCAGCATAGACTGCATCTTCAAAATATTCCGACAATTAATCCAATTTCTCTGTTGGTTTAGAACTTTGTTTAATGTCTGAGATTTGTCTATGATATTTTTCTTCAATTTTCTTTCTTATTGATAATTATTCCTAAACATCTTTGTCCAAATCGAAAAAGACCCTTTTGGCTTGCAGATTAAAATTGGTTTTGAGATAGTGTTTTTCAATGCTGATTTAACAATTTGGGACCGTGCATTTCATCTAAATAGAATGTTACATACTTCTTGAAATCTGCACAAGGGACATAATTTGAGATTGCAATCAATTTATGACACATAAAACTCCTAACCAAATTTTGATTCGCATTTTACAGGGCAATTTGAACCCATGCAATAGAGATCATACTTGGGTGGCCAATAAGCATTATAAGTTTTCTCAACTTCAATTTACATTTATATAAATAATGAATAATCATAGTACTTAATTTGAGATTTTACCAAAACTGATTACTAATCAACACAAGTTGCTAGATCCGATGTATATACGAAATACTCAACAGCGAAATTCTTAGTATCTAATTACATATAATAGTTGCAGAAACGAATCCAAAATCTTGCCTCACATACAAAGGAGATCCATGATGTAGGGTAACTCCAAGCAAATGGTAGTTTAAAGTATCAATTGAAATCTAATTGAAAGGGTTTATGTACAGCTTCGATTACAACACAAGACATTTTGGAACAACTTGTGATAGGGGTTTTCAGGGATTATCCAGTTATCATCTGTCCTAAAAATTTGGACATCTAGGTACAAGATTGTAGCCATTGGAGAAGAACATAGTGGCTGATATGACTGATGGTGAAGATGTGGAAGAAATCAAAAAAGATGAGAGATTGTTTTATAAGAAAATATACAAATATCATTAAATGCCTGTTTTGGCATTGATAAAATCTTTTGAAATAGAATGGATTAAAGAGAAAGATGCCTAAGTCAATAGGAAAGTATCAAAGAGTCTGATTCTAAATTTTCAAACAACACTTTAGATATTAAATACTCATCAAGATTTCATAGATTTTTTTATGAAAAATTTATAACTGTTAGAATTGAATACAGTAGCCTTAAAGCAGAAAGGATTGCATTAATTAAAAGAAAAAGTGGACAAATTTTCAAGTCAAGAATTTCCATCCCCTTATCTAATTATATCCAATCAGACAGGCCATGGATTTTTTAAGATTCACTTTCCAATTATTGAAATTTATTTTTAAGAGTACTAATATGTCGAAACTATTAAATTATCCCCTATGAAATTATATGAGTTGGTTAATAATAACTTCTTTTAAGTAAGTGAAATAGTTCAAGAGATGAATGTTGACCTTTCAGTCCTCAAATAAAATCTACTTATTTAATAAACAGAAAGTAAAAGTAAAGTACAGGAATAAATTGAAGAGAAAGTAAAACCTGAGGTATAAGTATCTGATTAACCTTAAACATAAACCCAACCTATAATAGAAACCTAATAAAAACTTGTGACTACTAAATCAAACAACTCCGATTTTGGATTAATTATTAATGAAAGTAAGATTAATTCTAATTATTAGAAATAAGTGAATTCCCTGATAAGATTTTGCATAAAAGAATGATTAAAGGTATTGTCTAAAAGGATGAGAAAAATTTCTTCTGTGTAGATTTTCTACCACTCTAATTTATCATCAAGGAAAAGGTTTCTTAGAAAACTGTTAAATTGTATTCTCCGACCTTCCAAGAATTTAATGACTTTCTAACTTAATTAGGATAAAAGCATATGAAATAAGTAATAGATGAGTGTTTGATTACTTAATTTGATCTTCAGCCAGAAGACTTTGATTATAAGGAGTTTAAGAAGGGAACTAAGATCAGTCTAAGTTTTCCAACAGTTTCGGAATTAAACTTGGAAATAACTGAGGAACATCTTAATAATGGATTGTTATCGGTGTTTGTAAAAGAGATAGAGATAAACAACAAGGATTTACAGATTATGGTGGAGTAATGAAATTGTAGCATTATTTAGGCCTTGCACTTTTGGGATATATAATCAATTAACTTGTATGACTGAGAAGAGAAACTGTACATCGAAAGAATTAACTAGTATTTTGCAGAAAAAATATTAAGTAAAATTTTAACTTGTTTGAAAATGGAATTATTTATATAATATATGGTTTTTTAAATTATGAACTTATTTTGAATGAGGATCTAAAATTATCGAATTTGAGGTGTGTAGATGTATCAGTATCCAATAAAACTGAGTAAGGTTGTATGTGTGTAGACTAAAATGGGAAAACATTTAAGTTGCGAATAACACAAGTTATTCAAATTTTAGCTCCAAAAGTTAATTTAAAAATATTAAATATATTTACATAAAATGCAGACTGAAAGTGAAGAGCCATCACAGTTGATCATTAACAGAATAATATTGGATAATTTTAAGAGTTATTATGGACATTTAGAGATCGGTCCATTTCATCATTAATTCACGAGCATAGTTGGGCCAAATGGTTCAGGAAAGTCAAACCTAATTGAATCATTGCTCTTTGTCTTTGGTAAAAAGGCTTCATGGATGCGTCTGTAGAAAATTCATTAATTGATACATAATTCGGCTGAGCATCGAGATGTGAAGAAAGCCTCTGTTGAAGTTTAATTTATTGAATAGAGCGGGAATAATAGAAACTATTTCAGTGTGAAGCGTACAGTTCACCATACTGGACAATCGAATTACGATATTAATAATAAACACGCTACTTTAGAAGAAGTCACCACTTTATTAAAATCAAAGGGAATAGATCTTACAAACAATAGATTTCTCATTTTATAGGGAGAGGTTGAATAGATTTCATTGATGAAACCAAAATCAGGTGATCCAGAGAAGCCAGGATTGCTTGAATATTTGGAAGACATCATAGGAAGCAATCAATACTAGGAGTAGATCGATAAGATGACTGAGGAATATTTGCAATTGGATGTGTAGAGAAGAGAGAAGGGTGAAATGATGAGAGTGGTGGAGATGGATCTTGAAAAATTGGAGCCAGGGAAAGACAAGGCTGTAGAATTAGTGAGAAATGAAATAAAGAATTCGTAATTGTAAAATGTTTAATAATAAATTGCCAATTACAAAGTGTAAACTTAAATTACTAAATGCAAAGAGAATCTCACTTAGATTGATGAGAATCTAAAAATTACAGCCTTAGAATCCAAAGAGAAAATGAAAGATCATTCTGATACGGTGAAATTAATGAAAACAGCCTCTGATAAATTTCAAAAGGCCAAATAGAAGAGACAATCAATCAAAGTTTAAATTGAAGAATTGTAGGCTAAAGACACTCAGAATAGAGATGAAGTGAACAATCTGACATCATAACAAAACAGGTTTTAAAAGAAACTAGATGAACTCATTTAGGAGAGGAATAAATGCATTGATGAAGTTGAAGATTTGAAAAAAGAAATACCAGCATATGAAAAATCTATTAAGACTTTGAGACAAGAGAAGGAAGAGTTGGAAGAGGTTGTTTAGAAAATGAATTAGCAACATTAATAGTAAGTGAGGAAATTAGTGGAGAAGAAATCAAGTTTATAGAACATAATATCTGAACCTCAATTATAGAGAAATCAGTATGCTAAAGATCAAGAAATCACCAAAAACAAATTGAATTAATTAAAGTTACCTGACACTGATGGAGGCAAGGGAATCCAAAATAGTATAAGTGAATGCAACAATAATATAGGGTAACTTTAGGAAATAGTTAAAACTCTAAATTAAACAATTGATGAAATTAAGAACAGAGAGAAGTTGCAAGTTGAGAAATAGAATCAATTGAAAAAGGAATTAAAATAGAATGAGGACTAATTATAAGAAGTTCAATAGTAGATAGATGGATTCTCAATTCAATAGAATCAATACAATGAACAGAATGCAACTATTAGAGCAATTATGGCAGCTGCATAACAAGGTCAATTAAAAGGAGTGATTGGTAGGATTGGAGATTTGGCATACATTGATCCCAAATATGACATTGCCATCTCTACAGCCTGTGGAAAAGGATTTGACTCAATTTTGGTAGAAAATTAGCAATCTGCTGAAGCATGTGTTAATTTCTTAAAATCAAATAGGATTGGAAGATATACTTTTGTGTCTTTGGATGTTGTAAATAAAATGATAACTCAAGACATGATGTAAAAGAGAGGACATAATCCTAATCACACTGAAAGACTATTTGATTTAATACAAGTTAAGAAATAGGAGTATTCGGGTGTCATATTTAAAATTGTGGGTTAGACTCTTGTCTGTGATAACATTGACTTAGCAAGAAAGTTGAAGTTTGAATAGAAGAATCCAAACAGATTTGTGACTTTAGATGGAAAGTTAATTGAAGCCAATGGTGTGATGAGTGGTGGTGGATAGTAAAGGAGAGGAGCATTGAGTGGTACTAATTCCAAGTAAGATCTGAATGCAAATAAAAATAATTAGAACTAATTGGAAGCTATGCTAAAGCAATATTAATAGAATAGATAATAAATTGAACAATAATTAATTAAGGTTGATCACGAATTGCAAACATTAATTAAGGATGGTAAAATAATATAAGAGAAATTAATATCGGCTACTTAGGACTTGAAGAATTAGTAGGATTTGAAATTGGACTTGTAATAGAAGTTGGAGAAGGTCAAGAATTTGGAATAAGAAAAGGCTGACATTGAAAAGTAAAGGAAGGAATACGAGAAGTAAATTTTGAGTCATTAAGCCAATATTGATAGTATTGATAAAAAGATATCTAAAGAAAAGAAATAATTAGAATAAATTGAATAGGAGATTACTGAATCTGAAAATAAGGAATTAAAGCAAAATAAGGAGAAATTGCAATAATTAACAACCAAATTTGATAAGGATGATGCAGAATTCAAAAAGATGCAAACAAGATTGGTTGTTCTTGATAAAAAATAAAAGACATTGGATAAGGATGAAGTGAAGATTAAAGATGACTTACAAAAAATACAATCTAAAATTGAATAAATGAATTAAGAATTTAAAAAAGCTGAAGTCTAAATGATCGAAACTATCGCCTTGTATAAAATTGCAAAGGAGGCTGAAGAAAATGCAGAAAAAGAATACAAGGAGACTCAAGCAAAGGATAAAGAATTTGATGAATTGATTTCTCGGTTGAAAGAGAAGACTAATAAATTAAAGTAGGAAAAGGAGGAATGTTAGTCACTATTTAAGAAAGCCTAAGAAGAATTGAGTGAAGGAGTAACCAAATTAGAATAAATTAGATTGAACTATAAAGAAATGTAAAACGATTATGAATTTTTGAATGAACTAGAAGAGATAGCTAATTGGAAACTCTAAGATTAATAACATTAATAGCAATATCCTTTGACCACTGCAAATTAGAATTAATCAATGTTAAATATCAGCGTATTATTTATTTCTATTCTAGTTTATTGACTAAGGAGATGAATCATTTGACGATGGTCGAAAGAGAGGAGCAACGTTGGCAATCGACTTAAAGGCAATTCTAGAGATAGCTGTTACATAGGAACTTACGGAAGAATAAACCATTTAATTCTGTCCAATTGAGAAAGAAATTGGAAGAGTTCATGCACATATCCAAGCCTAAATTAGAGAAATCACAAAAGATGCTAACATCAAAGATATCCAAGAATTCAAGATTAAGTATTTGGAATACAAGGCTAAAAAGAGTGACTTTGATTAGACAAAACAATAACTTCAATAATAGAAATAAAAGATCGATCAACTAAAAAAAGAGAGATATGATCTATTTATGCATGGATTCAATGTCATAGGATCAAAATTGAGAGAGACATATCAAACATTGACAAATGGAGGAGATGCTGAATTAGAACTAGTAGACACCATGGATCCATTTAGTGAAGGAATTAGTTTCAGTGTCAGACCTAAGAATAAATCTTGGAAGCAAATGTCTAAGTTATCAGGAGGAGAGAAGACACTCTCCTCATTATCATTAATATTTGCATTGCATTATTACAAACCTACTCCTTTGTATTTCTTCGATGAAGTTGATGCAGCACTGGATTATAAGAATGTGTCAATCGTTGCAAACTTTATCAAAGAGAGAACCAAAAATGCTTAATTTATTGTGATCAGTTTGCGTAACAACATGTTTGAATTAGCTAATAAATTGGTATATATTTTATATTAATTGTAAAGATTGGTATCTACAAGACATTTGACACAACCAAAACTGTTTAGATTTAGCCAGAATTAGTGCAGATGAAAATAAATTCTTCTGTTGAAAACAATGAAAACGTTAATTAAAATAGATGAAATGATTTTAAAATATTCATATTCCATTATTGTTTTCTAAATTTTTCTAATTCTCTTAAAAATTTATAATTACTGTTTTTTATTGTTATTCTTACTAGCTAATCGATTTAAAAATTGTAATTCTTGATTTTATTATAAAATAAAATCCTTAAATTATTATTTTTCTTTAATCTTTTAATTTGATCCTCTACTTAAATTATTTCAAGTTATCAAAATTCTTCTATTACTTTAAATATATACATTAACAGGCTCATTCGTATTTATATATTCAATGAATTTATTGATTATCTAGTCTTTTGTAATTCTATTAATAATAATTCAGAATAATCAAGAGAGTTGAAAAGAATGAAGAATTTAAAATTAATTATTCATGTTGATTTCTACTGAGTAATACAATTAATTGATATGCTATATAAAGAACTGATTATAAAATGATGACTCATTATAATAATTAATCAGCCTAAATTATTTTAAAAATGTCTAGAGATGTATATATGTTTTATAAAGCTAAAGTAACTTTTGAAAAGGTTCGATTTTGTGTCAAAGTCCTTAGAACAATTTGATTTATACGAATAAAACGAATTCGCCATTCCCATCTCTCAATAGTAAGTTCCAATTCATATAGATAGATATTCTGAGGAATGTTACGAAGCATTTTAGAAGATCTATTAGAAAAATTAAGATGATGAACTTCAGGTTATCCCAGAAGATGAAAAGGAGTTTTACATTTTAAATCGAGACACAGGATTGATGATTGATTGTAGGAAGTTAGACCACTACACGATTCCAAAATCAGATATGAAGGAGGTGGCTTGGAAGAATTACTGGAAGCTTAGCAGAGAGATTAGTGAATCTTTGTTATAATTGGTCCAATCGAATGAGATTACTAAAATATATGAACTACTAGCCCACCCTTAATTCTATATAGACATCAATATTAGGTATTGGTTGTGTTAATTTGATAGAGATTTAGATGATTGGACTCCCCTTCATTTTGCATGTCAATAAAATAACACTGAGATTGTTCATCTCTTATTATTGCAATAAGCAAATCCCAAGTTATTCTCTTTAGATAGGAAGTCGCCTTTGCATATTGCAGCTATGAAGAATAATTCGAGAATCTGCGAAATGTTAATAAACTACGGTGCTGACATCGAGGCTTAGGATTCAGATTAAAATACACCTTTACACATTGCTTCATTACATGGAAACGACGAGGTTTGTGCAATATTAATAGAGAAGAATGCAAATCACAATCTGAAGAATTATCAACATTTGACTCCTGTAGAAATGGCATCGGATATCAAAATCATTGAAGTCTTTAATAAATACGGAATCTCGCTTAATAATTTTACTTATACTCGAACTGTTGTGAAGGAATAAAATTTAGTTTTGCCTAACAGTCGAAGGGATCATGTCCAAAAGATATTAAAGTTAACTTAATAATAAGCTAAAGGGAGTGTAATTGAACAGGACATAAAAAAGGAATTGATAAATAATGAATAATAATAAAGGCAATCTCTCACCGCTCTTGACATTAATTAAACTAGATCTACTTGGGGTAAGATAATGGATTTTGCCATATCATTTTCTCGAATCTCAATTAAAGGCAATACTCAAACTACGAATTCAGAATCTCAAAACAATAAGATTGGCCCAGAATCTTTTCAATTTTATTAAAAATTGGGAGAAGGAGGGTTTGGTTAAGTTTATCTGGTTGAAAAAATTGGATAGGAGCCTAAAAAGTACTATGCCATGAAGATTTTGTAGAAGGAAGATATAGACACTTCAAATATTATTAAGTCAGCTTAAATTGAAAAGGATGTTCTAAAGATTATGAATCACCCATTTATAGTTAAATTAAATTACGCATTCTAAACTTTAGATCATTTGTATCTTGTTATGGATTTGTGTCCTGGTGGAGATTTGGCAACCCATTTAGAATTAGTTAACCAATTTCCAGAACATATAGTCAAAATATATGCAGCAGAGATTACGTTAGCTTTGGAAGCATTACATTAATAGGGAATAATTTTCAGAGATCTCAAACCTGAAAATGTTGTATTAGACAAAGATGGACATGCTCAGTTAACTGATTTTGGATTGTCGAAATAAGGTATTGATGAAGAGATGCTAAATTAATCATTCTGCGGGACTTTGGCCTATTTGGCACCTGAAATGCTAATGAAGAAAGGACATGGACGTTAGGTGGATTGGTATATGTTGGGAATATTCATTTATGAATTATTGGTAGGTGCTCCTCCTTATTATGATGCAGAGAAGGAGATTCTAAAAGAGAATATTAAGAGGGCTCCTCTCAAAATACCAAGACATCTTAGTCAAGAGGCTAAGGATATAATTATTTAATTATTGATTAGAGATCCTAAAAGAAGATTAGGATGTAAAGAAGATGCTAAGGAAATTAAAAGCCATCCCTGGTTTAATGATATCAATTGGCAAGATTGTTATAATAAAAAATTATAACCACCTAAACCTCTTATATGTCATGAACCAAAGGCAGCTAGAAAAGTTACTTTTAGTAAAGACAGTAAGAGAAATAAATTAAATGACTGGACTTTTTTTGAAAATTGAGTTAAATTGTATCCGACTTTCCTTATTATAAATATTGGAATAATTATTTATATATTTAAGAGTGTAATCACAATAATTATTATAAAATTGCTTCAATGGCATTACTTCAAAAAAATACATGTTATTCATTTATTAATATATTTTTATACATACAAATAAATTAAATAATGAATCAGTTTATGAATATCAATCGTTTTAATAGTGATATCATGATAACATATATAAAAATAATGATTTTTAATACAAAAAAGTCCAGGTTTTGGAGGAATTGGTAACTACGTACACAAGTATGCATGATCCAATTCATCATTACAATAATAGCAATCATATTGATTATTCTCTCCACATTGTTGATTCTTTTTTATATCTCAGACACTTAAATGTAATCATCACAACAAGCCTTTTAAAATTAATTTGGTAAATGGACGAAGATTATCATGTATCATCAAATTCAAAGAGTTCAACAAACCTTATTCAGAAGTTAAAACCAAATATAAAGAGTAAATAAATTATATCAACTATCCCAGTAATTATAATAACCTAATGTTTCAAAACCTTATCCATGTTTAAATGATTTAATACATTAGGATAAGTATGCCTATAGCGCATCATTTTGTTATTTAGCATATGGTAGTGATGAAAATGGAGAGATGTACAAAAAACTTAAAGATCTTTGCGGTATTTTAACTGAAACTGTCTAAATGATTGATCATGACTTTGATGTCATATTTGCTTCTACAAATGATGTTCATTTCTTTGCGGCTTGGCCAGGCTTCTATCTGGCCCAAGATTACAATCCTTAAAAACGAATTTGGTACACTAACCATTTGGAATAAGTGTCCAAAAATAATAAAAGCCAAACTTATTTTTGTGAACCTCATATTCATTGGACATGGAAAGTATTGATGATTGCTTAGACTGCAAGCTTATTGGATATTAATGGATCATTGGATGGAGTTATAGCATCTCATGTGAATTTTAGTTAATTTAAATATTAGGATGATGGAATAAGTTTTACAATTATGAATCCTGATGGAAGGATTCTTCTCAGTTAATTAAATATTTCAGAAGCCTCTTACATTTATGATTATAAATTAACTCAATTAGATTATAAAGATTATTAATAAATAATAAATTAAGCTAATAAAAGATAAACCAAAAGTGATTGTGATTCATAGAGGTGGAAAGATTTTGGCTATTTGTGTAGGAAGATCCACAATTCTACTGAGGAAGAATTAATTGACACAAAAATAATGGATAACGAAGGCTTGGTTTTAATAATGTAAATTAATTTATGATTTTAAATTAGTTAGTGCAAATTATCTCAATATTAGAAATTGCTTTAGTAGATGTTTGATAACTTTGAAAGTGGGATATCATAAATATTTTTAGGAACAATACTTGGTTCCTTCGGATACATGTTTTCCTCTGCTCTCATTACAAGCATCATCATAATCATCCTATTTAACCCAATTATCAAAATTATAAATTAAACATCTTAATATGTATTCAAGGAAAACTTTTCCATGTAACATAAATTATAAAACAAACCCCAATTGCTATTATTTAAAAGATCTAAATCCAATACATTAATTGAAAAACTACAGATTTCATTTAATCAATTAATCCATAGATCAATTAATCCAAATAAATCGCTACTATGTTTATTGATTGAGTAATTCAAATACCCTGTTAAAAGATGGTAATAAAGGAGAAAAGTATAAAAAATATTGAAATTTCTATCTTTTTTGGAAAACAACCTAGAAAATCAAGAAATAACAGATAAATAAATTTAATTTGTCCAACAACTAATTAAAACTTATCAAAGTACACTATTGTGATTTTGATTATATATTTAAAATTATACTCAATGCATATAACCATCATGATCAATAAAATAATGTGAGAAGAAGGCTCCAATAAAAATTGCTCCAAAAAGGAGACCACTTAGCTAATGATTTGGCAAGAAGTGTCCTGTGCTTATGAAGCCCAAGAACATAGCAAATAACATAGGGAAACTCCACCATCCAAACACAGGCCAAATAGCAATTGTTAGACTAATAAGCATAAACAACATATATATACGTTAAGAAACTCATAAATCCAGCAAAGGCACCTAATTGTATAGCCTTTGGGTTATAGATTTCGATATCCTCGGTCACTCCTTTTATGAAAGGCACATAAAATGCAACATATAATGATAAACTTATGCTCATGCCAATAAATAATAATGCAATTGTGAGAAATAATCTAATTTGATTGTTGTTGATTACTCATTGATATTTTCATTGTGAAACAATTATTTAAAAAAGTTTGAATAATATACTATTCCAATCGCCGCTGAAATCCACATCACAGCTTAGGCTTTAACCCATAGCCACTCTCCCCATTACTCGATTTTATCATAGATATCTAACTGCTTGACAGCTTTAGGTTATATAGTAGAATCTTCATCTGCACTTTACACCGGTACATACCTTCTCATTTTATTTTTAAATAAAAAAATCAACTTTTTTAGTAATTTATATCTAATTACATCCGTCATGAAAAAAAAAGTCATGTTTGTTGTGCCTCCATAGTAACATTCATATGCAATGAATAGTGAGGAGACTAAAGAAGGATGTTAATGTTAAAAAACGAAATGTCTAAAATTGTATTGCTAATGTTTTCATGAAGGCAAATGTTGTGGGGAATAATGTAGTTGTAGTGGTTGTAAAAATAGTTTAACCGATAATTTTGAAAGAAATAAGGCTATTGTTAAGATTATTCATAAGTATAAGGATGAATCTAAGTTAAAATTTTCAGGTGATAAGGGTTCAGGCTGTTGTTGCAAAAAAAGTAAATGCTAACTCAACTATTGCGAATGTTTTATCAAAGGTAGATCATGTGGGGATTAATGTCATTGCAAAAAATGTTAAAACGGAAAAAAATAGAATTAAAAAATATGCGCAAATCATGAGGATTAGATATAAATATGCCAAAAACATCAAGCAATCTGAAATAAGTCATAAATATTTATTAATTTAAATCTCTTTGTTTTAACATCTTTACGATATTCTATTCATGAGATAGTCTGCAGTAGCTATTGAGATATAGAACCAAAATTTAATTATAAAACAATTGTCACTATAGGATCAATTTAAGATTCATAATTTTAACAATATACTTTTTCAACGTTTATGAATATTGGTAAGTATAAATTTTATGATTATTAATACATTTTAAATTTGAATGAACCATAATAATACAACTCATAGAAGAACTTAATCTAATAATGATATCCAACAAATAATTTGTGCTAGAATTGCTGGTTTAGTTGAAGATGAATATTAACAATAGAAACTTGATCCCAAAAGAATCAATCTAGGATCAACTCTGTTTCAAATTCCTGAATAGAACGATCTCATTTCATCAGTTGAACAAACCAATGAATCATCTAAACAACATTCCTAATTGATCAAAGATGTAAATTTATCCAATCTGAAACCCAATCAACAATAAGACAAAGAAAATTTTAAAAACCTCTCCTCTTGTTCTGCTCTCATAAACCAAATCCAATAAATAGTCAAGTCTGGATCGAATAATAAAGAGTCTCTATCAAAAAAACCATTCACTTCAATTAATGAAGTCATAAACAAAAAATGTTCAACTCAAACTTAGATGAGTTTTACCTAAGAACTCTTGAAAAAATAAGGATCTAACTATCTACAACAGTAACAAGGATAAACACTTAAATAAAATGTTACTCCCGACAGAAAAAGAGGTCCTTCTTATAGTAATAAACCCACAAATCAAAAATAGCAGAATGACTCTACGCCAAATGAAATGTCAGGGACTGATTATCTTAAAAGCAACTGTTCCATTTCTACTTTCAATAACCTTATTAGATAAGACCAAAAGAACTCTAATTTTGAAGTCTGTGATTCTTATAGAAATCTTGAACTCAAAATGAAAAAAATTGAACAAGAAATTAGCACCATTAGATAAAGGCAGGATCATCTCGATGAAACCAATAGAAATATTCAAGATCAACTAAAAGAGTTTATAAATGATAACAAATAGTAATAAGAAGTATTTCAATCTCTATTTACAATTAGTATGATTCTAAACAATTAGAGAAAATAGAACAACTTGAACAAATCACAAGAAGAAATGAAGAATCAATAGCCTGTCTCAAGAATCTTTTGATAAACAATAATGCCAATCAAAAAAGAAATGATTAAAACAACATCAATCTTGGGTAAAATAATTTTGATCATTTAGAAATAAATAATAATTTGATAACACTGACTTATAGAAGAAATTTGTCGACTTTAGACCTCTGAATCATAAAGTATTTTGATAGAAGCAAACAAACATAAATTTTTGATTATTAAATTTACAATTATAACACTCACTTTGGTTTAAAGTAACTTCCAAGTTCATTGTTAATATACTCTGAATATGCTCTTATTGTATTAATTAGATGAATGTCCAATTAAGTGGTCTTCTTTCCTTTTTACTTTTTCTATGTTTCATCATTTTATTCACACCATTAAATCAACTTCTTGAAGATAGTAAAATTCTAATTAGAGATAAAATTTACTTCGTATAGTGTTTATCCGAGAAGTTTGAATTTTTATTGCTTATCTTTTGGAAATTTAAGTTTCAAAAGTGCTACTATGATAGATGTATTTCGTAATCTCTCTGAGATTGTTGTCAAAGTATTATCAGTCTAGCCCAATTAAACTATTTGTTGTGCCCATAAAATTACATTAATCAACTATAATTTACACATTCCTCTAAGCTAATAAGTGAATATTATTTAGGGTTTATGTAATTTACTCAATTGAATTCTATTTTTGCATGTTTGAAGAAAATTCAATCGCCATTTCATCAGGATCACTGTAATATTTCATTTTCTTATCATAGGAAACCTATAATAATCGAGTTATCACCTACTTTAAATAAATAAAATTTGATGACGAGTAGTATCAAAAAGCAAGTTCCAACAACTGCATATTCCCACATATATTTTAATAATTTTACTTAAAATATATTGGTTATAATAATTATTAATTTTTATATTAATAAATAACTTTTTTTTAAATAAATGTCATATCATCAAAGGATATAGAGTATCATTTATAATCACTATAAATATATTTAATTAGAAAGTAAGCAATAAACCTATTGCACTATTATTATTAAATGTATTATTTTTGATCGTTTTTACTAAATAAGTTAATCATTTCACTTTAATAAAGTATATAATTAAATGAATTTTTTTTATTTTAGTTTAAGTTTAATTATAAGAAACTATAAGAAACCCTTTGTTCCTCTTTTGATACTCAGAATCATTTGGATCCAAGAGAAGATATTGATTTATCTAAGATATATACAAAATAATTTATTCAATGCTAATTTCCTTTTGATTTCGAAATCAAATTTCTACTTTCTTACCAGTGAATGCATGTATGTTCAGATGCAATTTGAATGAATGAGAAGCATGATGAATCTGTTGGTTATGATGGTGATGATTATCACTATTAGTATTATCATTATTAATATCACATAATTTAACACTATGCGTGTGAAATAGAGATATTGGGCTTAGTGCCTCTCTAAGTGAAAAAGGAGAGGAAGGATCGCTGTCGCAGTGCTTATGTTCTAAATTAAGAATTTTGTGCTTTTTTGATTCATAAAAATCCTACTACTTTTGAGTAGGATCCGTCATTTGTAGTTTTAAGTTATCAAGATATTCAAGTATTCTCTCTTCCTTTTAATTCATATGGATTCTTTATATAAAATTATATTATAATACACAAATTCTGCCTTTTAAATTGTATAATTATAATGGAGTTAAAATTAAATCAAATCATTATTATAATTGTTATATCATATTTAGACAATGACTTTAGCTTTATAAAAATTCTTCAAAGAGCTAATCCGAAGGTACATTTTGTGTTTCTTCATAATATTACAGAGTTTTTTTCAGAATTGAAATTTATTCATTAGCATTGTCTAACTAATTTCTTAAAGTTTCATTCTGCTGATAAATTACTTTCAATTTTTTAAACTCCTCAGTACTAAATAATTATTGATTAAATAATTCCTAAGCCAATTATATATCAAAGTACTTATTTAATTTATTCGAGAATTCCCTAAGATAAATGGTTGGTGGATTAAAATTAACTAGTTGATCTACTCTGCTTTGTAGATTTTAATTTAGAATTTTCAGATTGCAAAGTTTCAATCAACAGAGTTAATTTATTATTCTCTTCAAGTAATTACCTTAATTTAAGTTCTAACTCTGGATTTTCCTCGATTTTCCTTTAACTCAACTTTTACCCATTATTATTATCACTAACCTTCTTTTTATGAAGCTAAAACTCTAGTTCTTATATTTTCATCTTGCTCTTCAATAATTCAGATTCATGACTCACTTGCTACTTAGAATTCTTTTCAAACTCTGTGAAATTCTCATGCCATTGTTTAATTTCTAGATAAAATAATTACTTTAATATACCTTCTTTTTGACTCTATATTGTTTTATCTGATATTTTGACTTTTTCTTTAAGCTTTTTAATTTCTTGATCCTATTATTAAATTAATTAATCCTTTTTATCTGTAGAATCCTGTATATTTTTCACCAAAATGTTCAATCTTTCATTTTCTTGAATTACCAACATGATTTAAGATTCCATCTACAACATCGAATCTTAAGGATCTTATGTGCAAATATTTTGATATTTCTATTTCCATTATTCAATTTCCAAAGCTTAATCGTCAATAACTTTTTCTAGACTCTCAATTTTAACCTTTATGAAATCTAATTATTGACTTTCATGCGTAGATTGTTGATACTGCTTTAATTCATTTTTTGTTTGTTCTAGTGCTTGGGATAAGTACATGTTATCATTCATTAACTATTGCATTCGTGTATTATCTTGAACTATAACTGATCTATTTTCTTAAAAGCATTTGCCTGCTTATTATTGTTTACCATTTGGGGTGAATGCATTTGATTATCTCACTTCAGCTTGATGATTATTAACTATCAATCTTAAGGCATTCTGAGAAACTATCTATCTTTAAGGCGTGCTTGGAGCATCTTAATAATGATTGCTCATCCTTATTGCACTATTAAAGGGACTCAGCGATTACACTTATCCATTCGAAAGCACAACTTATTTTGTTTTTTGGGTTGAGTTGGTTCTGATCATTCAAAATTAAATATAACGATAATTTTCAATAATTTAATATATACTAAAGATATTAGTTGAATCAAATAACAATTAAAAATAACTACTGCAATATGAATCTTTTCTATAAATATCCAAACAATTAAGTGCTATCCTCTAAAATAAATAAATTAAAGAATATCAACTAAAAGGCGTTGAATTCAAGATGATCAAAAAAGATAGCCAGATTTCTCATAAAAATATACTAAGAGCCACACTATATATGTTAGGCAATTTTCTATTAATTGAAATCATTCTGTCTCTAATAAGTAAGAGATAAAACTAAATGACTTTGAAAGCCTATGAATGGTTTTAAATGAAAAATATACAAGCATCAAAACTGTAAATACAAGTAGTTTAACTGCGATATATCCCATTTTAGATGTATGAATATGTTTGATATATTATTTATTATTAAATACAAATTGGTTACACTTAGTTTACAGATTTCTCTGCTAACTCCAAAGTAAGTGGGGTTGTGAATAAATATTTTGATAGAAATATAGAAGCAAATATTGCTGTTTGAAAGATTCATCATTATAAAAGAATAATAAAAAAACAATTTGTTTAATATCAAATGATTCAAAGCACTTTAAATATGTTTTAATTAGATTTAAGAGGACGAATAAGTATCTTAAATGATGCTAATATGTAGTTAGTTTTTTAATTAATTTACATGCTATCAATATATCATAAAATAATTAAATATGGCAGAATGCATTAAAAAATATGGGAAATCTTTTCTCCCTTATAATTCTCTGGTTCGAAAATCATAAAATTTAAAATCGGATGCTTCGTTTGATCCTGTTTAATCTTGTGTTGTTGAATCTAAAGTTCCAGACACACAAGGAGACGCAATCTAATTCATTACAAGTGATATCCCAACTATCTAAAAAATGATTCAATCCCAATAAAATTCAAAGGTAGCCTCGAAATTATCTTAAGATGGAGGAATCGAATTATCGTAGGATAGTCACAAATATTTAGAACTACTTATATCAAATTCTCTTGATAGCAAATTGCTTTAAAGACCTCTTCTCTTATCCCCAGCTTAACAGCAATACTTGAATTAACTTGGCACATTAATTAGCCAATCGCCTAATGGTTCATTTTGTCCATTCTTGAACATAAATTAAAAGGAAAAGCAGCTGTTGCAATTAAACCTTGAATAATAACAAAATATATCAAGTATCTATAACAACACATGTCAATCCAACTAATTCTGCAAACAATCAAACATTTTAAAGCCTAAAGCAATAAAATAAGATTTACATTTCAAAAAGGAAGAAATAAAATTTCTGAATTTAGAGGAATCTTGTCAAAGTGAGGTTATAAAATAGGAAGAAAGCAGTTGGAATGAACTCCCTTAACCACATAAGATGAAAAAACATAGTAAAAAACTCATGTCAATTGATAGTTCTGAATCCTTCAAAGTAATAAGGAAAAAAAAAGAAAAGAAAATAAATGATACCAAAAACATTACTAAGAATTTTTCAAAAGCAATAATCTCATATATCATGAATAATCCAGATTTACTTAAATAATTCTTCTCATCTAAGTAGTATGAAGACTTTCTGGTTTTGCTGAAAAATAAAAAAAATTAAATGACGAATATAAAATAGTTAAGAGATCTATGGATTGATGGGGGCAAGTCTTCCGAGTTTAACAAAGTCTTTCGAATTATAAGGTATTTGTTGTCCTTAATTATATTAGTTAATACTTTCTAAAGAATCAGTCAGTAGCTTATGTTTATAACTCTAGAATATCTAATACTATATGGCATCTTAAGTATAGACAAAATTTATTGAGAGCTTTAAAAGAACCTGAGAATTTTAGATTCATTAAGGATTTATGATTACATTGTTTGTTGTCAAATCAAAATATACCGAATTTTATAAAGATAAGATATTCATTATTTTTTTAATTCCTTAGACTATTTAATTGATTCAAAAACAATAATGAGATAAACGATTAAGGACCTGATCTAAATACAACCATCCTAGTCCTTTGTACAATCCTAAGAAGCCTTCTGACTAAAGATTATTTTAATAGCATGGAAACAACCTGTATAAACTGTAGATTCCACGCTAATTAAATTTATATTCTATTATTACATTATTAAATAAATAATTAAAATATCTAGTCAAGGCAACTTCCACAGAACATGTCAATAAACATAACTACTAAGTTGCATTAGCACTAGTTAACATATTTAATTTAGTTTAGTTTTTTATCCTTATTTTCCATGTTCTTTTCTGAAATCAAAAGCAGGCAATCAAATTGCAGACCCTAACCCAGTTCTGAATGCAATAATTGATGATCCAGCATAAACCCCTTTTAATCTATTATTCTATCAAATTTAATATGCCCTTCGATTTTGAAAATTTATGAAATGGCCTCAATTTTACCTGAATAATGATAAGCATTAATCTAGTTTTTATCATGTTAAATGGACGGGACACAAAACGTAATTTAAATATTAGATCACTTACGCACTACATTATTTGATAATACCTTTACATATCTATGAGAATTATCAAAATGGAATTACTAATTTACAATATCCCTTACAATCTCATAGGTTCCAAATCTTAATCCATTTTCATTATAATTTAAAATACTATAGCAGCTAACAGTCCTTTTTAGACTGCTTAGACCCTTTCAGATGAAGTTCTCTTTATTAATGTATTTAAAGTAGATAAACACTTCATTTTAACTATGTATATAGAATATATCAACATCATAAAATTATATGAAAAGATTTTAATTTTTTGTATCGCTCCAGAGTAAGCTTTCTTATAGTAACATTCAGCAACAAGTTCTCCCTAAGCTTACAATCATGTTTTTGCTAAATCAAGTGGGATTGTAATAACAACTGTAGTTGCTTCAGCTATTGCGCCATTTAATACTGCGTCCATTATTAAATTTAATAAAATTCGTTAATGAAAAGTGATAAGGAAATATTAAATATACTAAGACGATACAAAGAAGCAAAAGTTGAATTAAAAAAATATTTAAGTTGGATTGAACAAATTAAAGTAAGAATTAGGTTTTAGATTTAAGTTAGAAATGGTTTTGTCTGCATAATCAGAAAGATAATCGAATTATTATAGAATGCAGATTTAGGGTATAGATAATAAGCTCAAACATGGCAACTACCCTACTAGTGAATCTTTGACCGACGAAGTTTAAACTAAATGCAATTAAATGACTTTTTAATCCTAGCAATAAGAATTAAATTAAGACAATGTTAGGGAGTTTATTAATAAATACGAAAAAATGCTGGTCCAAAAAGAACAGTAACAGCATATCAATTAAAATTCAGGCTAAACTCTATTAATCAACAGAGATTCCAAATAACATTTTGGAACAAGCACTATAGAAGACATGTTTAAGCTATCTTAGTCTTAATAAGAATCACAATAAATAAATCAATTCAGTTATGACACTTCTAATTTTGGAAATGATCACATTGGTGGCAGAAGGCAAGGAGAGAACTACTTTAATAATTTGCAAAATTATTCAAAGGATTATGAATAAGAACAGAGCTTATAATCATCGAAATGTTTTAAAGATTATATGATAACTTAAGAAAAAGTGGATGTAAGCCATAATCAAAATAAACAAGAATAAAAAAAGTCGTTTGAATAGTTTTATCAAGAGCATGTAGAAGAAGAAATTAACAATATTCAAATGGAAATAGAAGAAATGCAAAGGTAATTTTTGAGTATACATATCTCTGTAGATTTCTACAAAGGGTTTAAACTGCAAAAGATAAATTAACAAATAGTTTTCAAGATCTTTAATAAATTCCTGTTATTAATAGAGAGAGCAGTGAGAAGTCTATCTAAAAAGTAACAGAAGATCTTAAGTTGATCGATATTATAAAATAAAATATGATAAAGTAGATGGAAAACAACATAGATTCAGATAAACTTAAAAAACTTAGAAACATGAAGCATTAAATTTAATTATACTTTAATAATGTAGAAGATGAATTACTCAAAATAAATGAAGAAGCATCTGTTGGTTAATGATTTATTTTTGAACTTACTATCTTTATTATAATATATTCTAAGATACAATTTAATATAAAATTTTAAATAATAAATTATAAAATATAATAATAAATTATAAAATTAATAATAAATCTATAACTTAAATAAATGCAGTTGCTTAGGCGATAAAAGCATAAAATGATAAGCTGCAAAATATGCTGATTTTTGTAGAACATCTGTGAAAATAGAGGAAATAATTAAATAAATATTCGCATAATTAATAGAATTATATATCTAATTAGGGTTTTATTGATAATAATTTATCAAAAATGTGAAAGTATGCAATAATGATATTCCTTAAAATATGCAATACTCATAAATTTAATTTCAATTTAATATCGATTGTCTTTTGGACTTTTACGCTGATGCTGATAATTTTCGATCTGACATGATTTTAGAATATTAAGGTTGTATTTCAGATTTGACTTATATCCTTGAATTGCCAACATTTTTTCCCTATTTTATATCTGATTTGTTTTCTTAATATTTGCTTTCAATAACATAACGAGTAAATTAAGACTTTTGCATCTATTCTATTTCACCCTCTTCTTAAATCAAAGTATCATTTTCAATGTTATTTTCATAACGCAATTAAGATTGAAAGATGAAAGGGATTTAGAATTTGAATAGGGGACTCTCTCCAAAATGACTAAATTTCATGTGTCTTAGTTATTCACAACTCACTATTCCATGTATACACAGCATCTGGGATAATACTTTCAAGAATTCATTTAAGCTCAAATGTTCACAGCATTATGTCATCAATTAAATGATATGGCTGCCTTCTCTATTTGTAAATTTTTGTGTTTTTACTAAGAAAATAACAAAATTTAAATAAAATAGTTTATTTTCTATTTAAATAACAAAAGATTACTTTAATCTCTGACTTTTTCAGCTGATCGATAACTTATTGACATTACTATATATGAAATAATAAGACCAAGCACTTTTATATAGGTTATGTTTTCAATCCAAATCATAGTTAAATAAATGATACCAAGTTCTAGGAATATACCACTAAAAAAGTATGTTTATACTTCCCATAAGATTATTAATTTATAGGCCCTAAGTAATTTAATGCTAAACATTACCCTATCTTTCCCAATTATAAAATTCCCAAAAAAACAGCAATCCACACATAATATTCTATTTTAGTCAAAGTGAGTCCAATATCATAGCCCTGTGAAAAATAATCAGACAATTATTCTTCATTAAAATATGCTGCTATGAGACAAAAGATTCCTTGAAAAAATTACATACTCAATGAAATAAATGGAGTTTCTTCATCCCAAATGTACTCATGAATGCCATAGTCTTGAAAAATGACTTCAAATGAAAGATTTTAATATTTGTCAATCCCAAATAACTCTTTAAATTATTGATGTTACAGTTGAATAGTAAAGATCCTTTGCTTAATCATTTTCCTTAATAAAGTATCTTTTTCTGCATAAGCATCTATGTCATCAAGGGCTTCTTTGTTGAAATTGAAGATATGAAACTATTCCATATATTAATAACTATAGGATAAATGATTATCGAAGTAACTATTTAGGAGTTCCAAAATAGCATCACTTTTTAACTAGTGAATCGGTATTGAGTTTTATTCGCAATGTACGATCAATTGTGCTTCCAAATATCGACTAAAGAGAGCATTCACAGCAGCTAGACTGTTCTAAATCTTTTCAGGTTCGTCGTTTATATAGTTGGCCCAGGATATCTTATCCACTAAACCTTTGTTTTTAAATAACTATTAAAATTGAATGTGTTTGAATATTTGAATTCCAAGAGTTCGACTGGCTGCTGCAGCTATAACCATGACTAATGGCTTCCATTCAAATTTTTCATTTATTCCGAGGAATCTTTTATCAAATGAAGCCCCATGAATAAAATATATCCAATCCTCCAATAAATAACCCAAACCCATCAGTAGATAGGAGGCCAAAGCTGTGATTGGAGTCACATTATTGATCCAACTCCTAAAGAAGGATTTAAAAATAGTGAAGAGAGCTGCAAAGTGAACGATACTATAATATTTCAACTAGTTATTAGGCAATAGAACTTACTGAATGAACTGCCATTGCTATTGAAACAAATTCCATGAGACTACAAAAGAAAACCAAAGAAAATGAAAATCTGAAAGGTCTGCCCAATTAATGTGGAGTATTCAATCGAGGGTGCTGCAAACGGAATATTTTACTTGGAATTACATAACTATTTACTTCAGGAACACTATCAAAAATAGTAGGATGCAAGCCAATCGAATTAAAAATTAGGATAAATAAAGTGCTTTGCTATTAACCAAAATAAGATATCTCAATAGTGATATGGCAATAATCTGTTATGATCCAGCCCATCCAATTGCCATCATAATATTATCAAGCATTAGACTTTTTATTTTTTAACAATATAATTTAATTCATATATATTATTATTTAAATTATGTAAAAATAAACAACTTTAACAGATTTTACTATTTTATAAAAATTAGGTGAAGGCTCCTTTGGATAGGTGTACAAAGTATTTATGATATTTATATGTTTTGGTTAAACGAAATAGTGATAATTAAGAATATGCCATGAAAAAAGTCCGAATGGGCAATCTAAAATTAAGAGAGAGGGAAAATGCATTAAACGAAATAAGAATCCTCGCTTCAATCTAAGATCAGAACATTATAGGATACAAAGAAGCCTTTTTTGATGAACAATCAAATTGCTTGTGTGTTATCATGGAATACGCATCTGGAGGAGACATTGCTAAATAAATCCAAAATTCAATTCGCAAACACACCCTAATTGAAGAAAAAGAAATATGGAGAGCCCTAATCCACATGACAAGAGGGTTGAAAGTGTTACACAAAGCAGGAATCTTGCACAGAGATTTAAAAAGTGCCAATGTTTTTAAATCATCCAATGGCACCTACAAATTGGGAGACATGAATGTGAGTAAAGTATCACATGGAGCCATGGCAAAGACATAAACAGGAACTCCATGTAATTTTATTGAATTTATTCAAGACTATGCCAGTCCAGAAGTCTGGAGAGATTAACCATATTCCAACCCATCAGATATATGGTCTCTTGGATGTGTGATTTATGAGATGGCAACTCTTAAACCACCCTTTAGAGCAACCGATCTCAAAGGATTGTTTAGAAAAATTTCAACTGGCATTTATGAAAAAATACCTAAACAATATTCTTCAGAATTAAACTTCATGATTGCTTCTCTTTTAAAAGTGCCTCCATAATTGAGACCCACTTGTGATCAAATCATAAATGATCCTACTGTTAAGAAATACATTGATGAATTCGAACCATAATCCCCATAATAATAATAACTAGCCAAAGCACAATTGTTATAAACAATTTTGTTGCCCAAAAACTTAAAATAGTTATAACAAAAATTACCTAAACCTATGTATGAAATTGATTAACCCGTCCAATAATTACCTAATTAACCTAAATCTACAAGGTCAGTTTCTGTAAATGAATAAAAATATACTGAAAGACCAAAGAGTTAGACACCTTAATGTTAAAAAAAACAACCCAATGTTGTTTCTAATTAACACATACCAAGACCTGTAATAATTTATCTCTTTTCTTAGAAAATCCCATTAGCACCTGTTAAGCAATAGTAGGCTGCCAAAATTTTGAAAGAACCTCAATCGCATAGACCAAAAGAAAGACCAGTTTCAGCTATGAGAGCTCAAAGTCCTTGTTCAGTTAGAAAAAGCGTCGATTAAAAATAGAATCGAAATCCAAGTCCTTTAGTTAGAAAGTCAAACCCTTATATTAAAAATAATGATGAGAACATTAATGCCAACATTATAAAGAAAAGAAACAATATTCCGTTAAAAAGATGATAATTATTATTGTATTTTTAATATATCTAATATAAATTTAAATATATACATATTTTCATCTATTTACATAGTAATCTACACTAAAAATAGGTTGAAATTCTTCAATAAAAGGTTGGTTGAATTAAATATATAACCTAATCTAAAAATGCTGAAAAAAATTCTTAGGTCTAAATTCTAAAAATTGTTCTTAATAGCTTAAAGTACCAATAATTCAATAATTGGAAATAGGTTTAAGGTAAAGATAAGGGTTATTACGCAGAAAAATAAATTTCTCAATAATAATTTATAGGTTATATTTGTTCTTTCTCATTAAATAATTAGAAAACATTATAATATAGAGTGAGAATTTTATAACTTCACAGAAAATTATGAAATTAAATAATAAGACTTTAATAAATGATGATTTAGTGGCAGTAATATAATGTTTCTCTAATTAAATTATTATTATTCTAATACCAAATCAGATTTAATATTAAATGAATGTATTATCTTTTATTCTTATCTTAATATCAACTTGTCAATTTTAATTATAATTAATTATCAATAATCAAAATGAAAAAAGAATTTGAAAAATCAAACAAGAAATATATTGGTCTGACAGAAATATTTAACAAAATGATATAGATTACATTGCAATCTTAAAAAAGCGTAACATTAAACTCAACTGTTTAATTGATCCTACTCTTTATGTGTAAATTTTAGTTGACATTCTTTTTATTTTACCTTAATTATGAGTGGTAGGTAGAAAAAAATTTATATATGTTTAACAAAGTCTTACTTTTAATATTTCGAATAGATATATTCTTGTAAACATTTGAAGTTATCAACAGGTTTGTTATATATTTGATACTGAGTGTTCTAATTATTGAAAAGCTGGTTTGTGGCTTTTTGTTATGGGACTTGAAAAATAAAACTAGATATCTATATTTAAATAAAATAGTGGGAGTTTATATTTAATTATATTATGGATGGCTTCACATCTTGCTTACAACTTTAACTTGTTTATTTTTAACTCATTAATATAATTAATTAGATGTAAACAGCCTTAATTATATTCATTTATTATTTGGAATTCTTTGTTTTATATTACTGTAATTAGAAGCAATTTTTAATTTATTAATCTGTGAGTAGTCAATAGATGGCAAGGTCATTTGTTTTGATCGATTAAGAATCACAGTTAAGGAATACATTATCTAATTTTTAAATTTGATCATCATCATATTATTTTCAGTTATGAAAACCTCTCAAGTGATCTCTTGGATAATTCACTTACTTATTTTATTAAGCACTTTGATAAATCTAATTAATTTATAAGAAAATTAAACAGTCATAGAGAACAGTAAAAAATTTATAATTTACTTATCCGATTCCTTTGCAATTGTCTATATTTTTTATTCCCTGGTCTAGTAAATTGTGTAAAGACAAGATTTTTAAGTCTTAATATATACAATCTTTTCATTTCCATTATTGCTAAAAATAGTATAAAAGTTTGATAATTTGATTAATACAAAATTAGATCACTTAGCATTTTCTAGATAAAAAGTTGATGTTTTTGCAATAACCCAATTTTTAATAAAAAAGTAAAACAATTAGTTCTAACCAGTATTATTCAAGCTATACATTTATAATTATCATTAAAAAAAATGTAAAAATACAAAATGCATTTGTAATCAATCAATTATGTACCTAGATCCAAAAGATGCAGCAGCACTCACACAAGATATAGATAGAGATTTCGTTCATCAAAAACTTAAACAGATTAGAAAATATCTTTTTAATTAAAACGTCAACAACATTGATGATATATAATATTATACAGTTTTGTATGGAGTCTTGTTAGCTAATAATGGATGGCCTATTTAATCAATAAAGCATTTAAATTAGTTAATCTATGGAAAATTAACCTCTAAAAGTTCAATGATAAGTGTCAACTAGAGTTTATAAAATCCTCATTCTTTTTCAGCCACTATAAGAAAAGATTCCTCATCGTAGACGTAAACAGATCCTGATAAATAGCTTGATGACATTAAAAAAAGCTATTAAGCCAAATCTTACAAGCAAGCCATACCCTACTAAATCAGCTTTGATTAAATATCATTGTCAAAAATAATGTATATTTAAAATGAAATCAAAGAAAACCTAAGATACTTGTTTGGTAATACATCTTTGACATCAGAAATGCACAATTTATCTGAACAAATACAAATATTTATGTAATAAGAAATGATGTTAGATAAGTATGTCAAGGAAATTAAGAAAATATTAAAATTGAAACTTAAATACTATGAGAATTTAATGGTATTAATAAAGGAGAAGAAAATGTCTGAACTTATGAAATCATTAATGCACATAACAAATAAAATGATTTTATTTAAAACAGCCTTATAATCCCAATATGAAATCCTTTAAAGTAAGAGATTACAATCACTATAAATTTTTTATGAAGCTGAAGTATTTAAAAACTACTTAGACGCGTTTAAAATGCACAATTAATCAACTCTATCTTAAGAATAGATATAAATCATTAATAAAAATCTAAATATTAATTTTAATTAAAATGATATGAGCTATATTATTTTAAAAATAGATGATGATCTGTAGAATGCTGAATTAATAAAATATTCATCAAATTTACTTCAATTAATCGAGTATAGTTCTAAAGAAGAATTAACTTTTGAAGAATTTTTGCTGCCTTTTATTTTGAGAGAGCATCCACTCCTTATTTCTAGATTTTTTAAAATTGGATAATCGAAATATTACAAGTAGTTTAGTCAAACATTTATTAGAACAAAAAATAACCTTGCTAAATCTATTGTGTTTAGTTTTGATAATGTTGTTTAACAAAAACAAGACAAAATTATCTTGGTTGGATTATTGCAAGAAATTGTAATCCAATCGGCTTTCATTATGATTGATGTAAATCAAATAGTAGGGGGTATTACAAATGCATTTTTCTCATTATTAGGATATAATTAATAATTGATTGATAACATTTTCGATTTTTCGATATTTTATTAATTAAAGATTTCATAGATTTTACCTAATTTTAATGAATTAACCTAAAATGAAGATGAATCAAAGGTTGTTAAGTTTAATAATGTTGATTTTTACTTCATAGACTTAGAAGTATTATTTAATGAATTTTCTGTTGAGAACTGCACTAATGTGAAATAATAATAAGTAATTTTAAATAAACTATGGGGTAAGCAAAATACTACAAAGTTCTATCTAACAAATATCACAATTTAATCCTATTACATTTATGGATTTTATTATTACATAATACATTTAGATTCATCATTTTAAAGAAATGAATATATAAATAGCAGTAAAACTTAAGATAGATTTAGTGATGATAGGGGAAAAACAGAGCAATCATAAAATTTTCAAATAAGTCGCTTAGAAATGTCTATAGAAGAGGCATAACCAGGAACAATCAATTAGATCTCAATTTAAAGTAGAGAAGGGTATTCAGAAATAACTCAAAATAAAAATAAAAATAAAAATATTGATTTATTTGCAGTTTAAGAGGTTCATTAAGAATATGTAGAGTAGAAAGTAGATTAATTTTAATCAATCCTTTCGCCAAATAAAAGCACAAGTCAGTTAATTGAAAATTAAAGAGATAAATTTATTTAATAAACATTACAGTAAGACTATTATACTGTAAACACAAGTTAAAAATTGAATAAGTTGAATCGAAGCAATGATAAGAAGGAATAAAATATTAAAGGAGAACAAATAATGGATAAACTTTTTCGAGACTCTTTGAAAAGTACTGAATTTGGGGTTGGTAATAGTGAAGTAATTAAGAAATTTGAATTGTTGAGTAGATTAACAAAAGAAAAAACACCTTCAATACTAAAATTAGCAATTAGTACAATAGTGATTTTTATCTTGATTTAAACTATTTCTATATCGCTAGTTGTCTCTATTCTTAACAATGATATACTATAATTTATATCAGATGTTGAGATTATTGCTCTACATGCTAGCATTTAAGGACCGCACGACTTATTTTTTTCAATGAGAAATACTATATCTGCATATCAGTAAATGGGAAGAGAAGGTTATATACCGAATTCAATAGTACCAAATCTAACTGCACCTTACGAAAAGAATTTAGGATATGGATATTATGAATTGAGGGACAGTTTATATAAACAACTTGATAATGAATATTTGAGAGGTTTTCTTGATGGAGAAAGCATGGAATTGCTTTTTATGAAGAATAATGATACTTAAAACTATGCTTTAGAAATTAAGACTTTTAGAGAATGTTTGTTCATCATATTATAATATCAATATGCATAAATGAGAGTGTTGTAAAATAAGTTGAGTGCCTCTGGAGCACCATTTCAGGTGTTTTTATTCTCTAATTACTATAACATACAAGATAAACTAGAAAACATAACCAATGATATTTTGCAGTATTCAAAGACAAGGAGTGTACAGGTTGGTTTAAAATGGAGTTCGATCAGCATTTGTTTTTCAATTTTAATCTTAATAATAGCCTTAACAATTGCATTTCAGCTTCATTAATATTACAAATTATATGATAGATTTTTATAGTTATTAAATTTTGTGGACAAATAGAAAGTGTAATTTGAAATTGAAAAGCTGAATTAATTGTTAAAAGTATTGATATCAAATCAGGATTGTGTTTACTCTTATGAATTTGATCTTTAGCATTAAGAATCATTGATGCAAAATTACATCGCTTTAAATAAAATATCAAATAGTAAGAAAAATGTGGAAAACAACTCTTAGCTCTAAATTCCAAGAAGATATTTCTTAATTGTTTGGACCTTTATTGCTTGTATATTTTAGGTTTATATAATTGTGACACAAATTAAGACTAATGATTACATCAATAAATATGATGATACTGCAGATTTCTATTTCATGATATAAAATTTAAAATTTAGAAGTGGGTCCATGTATATGTACAGGGAACATCTTTTTAGATTCAAGAATTTTACTTACTTAACAGAATACGATTTATACAGAGCGTATTTATTAATAGATAAAGCTTAAGCAAATATTTAGCAATATTTGGATTTTACGAGTTCGTTTTAAGAGAATAAATATTTAGTATCTGATCAATTTATCTCTTTCTTTAAGTACTAATAAACTAATGATTTGTGCGAATTCATTGACTAAGTAATTTAATTGATAATTAATGATAGATTTATATAGATTTTATGTCTTTGTATTGTGAAAAAGCTTTTGATGGCTTACTGAAATCTGGTTCAATAGCTGTTCTTAATTTTATGTCAAATCAAATAAGAAGTTAATAAGCTATTAACAATTTTACGAAAAGAGTTGATGTAAATCTTTATGAATTGGAAGGATCTTAAATAGTATTGAGATCCTTTTTTAGGATTTCAGATGAATTTCAGGTAGGATTAAAAGAAATAACAACAGCATAAAACTAATTCACACTCATAATTACAATTATTTTCATCGTATATTTGGCAATTTTCTTATATATCATATTATTTATATTCAAAAGACTGTTAACAAAGGAGTATGCATTGTTAAGGAGGATAGTTTATTTGATTCCACAATAGGTTGTATTAGGAGATGAGTCATTTGAAAGATTCCTCAAATAGTTAGCATTAACTTAAGAATTAAAATGATTGATATTATAAATTTTGTTATATTATACAACTATAAAATATTACGTATTTTGAATAATTAAGATATCAACATTAATCATATACATTAAATGAAAGTTGAAAAAGATGATCAAATCCTAAACTACTCAGACTCAGATATAAATTTCGAAACCAATCAATCAACTCTATGTGAGGATCAGTTGTTTTAGAATGTAAAAAATTCTTAGTTGGGCGCGGCTTTGATTTTATCATAAAAGCAATAGAAAGAAAGTATACAATATAATGAGTTAGGAATGCTAAAGAAGCAGAGCGAAAATTCATATCTCATAAATAATCGCACGTTTTAAGAATAAAGACAATTCATTTTGAGAACTTTGTGCTTGATTTAGTTCCATTTATTGGGACCATTGCTCCTTTGCGTTTTTTGCATGTTTACGACATTTGTTGTGGAATTGCTATACGACAAAGAAGAATAGAAATTTTCTTTTCTATTTTATATTAGTGTGGCTTTAGAGATATTTATATTATTTTCAGTTACTATTTCAAGGAAGAATGCTCGAAAAACTCCTTACGCTTAGAGTGCATATGTCTTTTTTGGGATTTTCCTGTCATTTATATTGGCTGGGTTGTACTCTTCCACGTATTATTCTGACAATTAAAACGTTGGATTTATAATTCTTGCCTTGATAAATATATTTTAAGGATCAAATGCTGGGGCACTATTTTACTTTGCCACTTTGAAACAAAAAAAATCAGCATTATGTACAAATTTATTTGAACATAGATTCACTACCATTTATTTGTATTTTTCCATTGCTTCTAAGTTTAATTTATATGTTCTTTATGTAAAATGAAATTTTAAAAATTGCTTGTTGGATGATTGCATTTGTTTCTATAGCATTGGCTATTTTATCAGTGAATGCCTTGTATCAAATAATTGATGGAGCTGTATGTGATATTTAATTATAATGTAGTTTAAATTGGAGAAGGAATAACACTGCATAGCTACGATATTCATTTATATAAAAATGATAGTGTTTTGCAAAGAATTTTGATTGAATTATTTATTTATATAATTTTTATTATAATATGGATAGCATTAGGGAACGACTTTTACAATTAGACTAACAAGCTCAACAATTCTAACAATAAAATAAATATTTGGAGGCATTGAATGTTTTTGAGGAAATGCTCATGATAAAAAAGTCGGCTTATGGTGAGGATTCTGAAGAATATTTCAAAACTAGTGATAAATTGTGCGAATTATGTAACTTAATCGCTATGATTTTCTTGTAAAAGGAAAAATTTGATGCTTCATTAGAATTCTTAAAGAAGGCAGACATGTTGGCCTAATCCAGCACTAGATATAAGTATTGATGTCTCATTATTAATTCTTTTTTTATTAGAGCCATTACTTACAATAACTTGGCTTGTTTCTACAGGAGAAATGGGAAATTAAGAAGTGCTCTGTAATATTTGTAATAAGCTTTGGAAATAGAAATTCGATAAGAAACAGCACCTTCTTTGGCTGATACCCATTTAAATATGTGTGCTGTGTTGTCACAATTGAATAGAGTAAGGAATGTTATATAATAGCACGCTGAAGCATTGGAACACGCTTTGATATCAGTAGTATTACTATAAGATGAATTTTTAATGAAACCACCAGATTAGAAAATGGAACAAAGCCAGAATTAGGATTAAAAGTCAGGAGAACAAAAGATGAAGGATCGAGTGGCTGTCTTAGCCATCGCCTATCATAATTTGGGCGTAGAATTTGAATATTTAAAGAGATTTGATGAGGCTATTTAAACATATTAAAAAGCTGTCAAATTTGGTGAGCTTCACCTACCACCAGATCATTAATTAGTAATAATGAATTAGACAATTTTAGATAGGAAATTTAAAGAATGTCTTAGGGAATGCTTAAGAATAAATTAACTAATAAAGAGCGAAGGATAGCAACAAGAGATAATAGAAGGAATTGCAAAGCAGAAATCAAAATAAAAGAAAACTAGTGGAGGTTGAAGCCACTTACAAATAGAATAATAAAAAGAAAACTGATAAAATTGTTCAACACTAATAATAATAATAAGTTATGGGATAGACCATGCGTTCTAACCCACAAAACAATAGTGTTAATATCAGAGAAGATGATTAAGAATAACAAGGGGGAGTCCAACAAGAATCCAGCTACAATGATCACGATGAATTGCAATAAGAAGCTTAAACTTAATTATAATAGCATCAATAATAATGAAATAACATTCATATAAATATATATATAATTATTTATTTTATTTGTATATGAAGTAAAAATAATAATCTGATTAAAAAAACACTAAAATGAAGACAGACATAAATGATATCAGATTCTTAATGAAACAAAACAACGAATTGATGTAGCAAATCTCGCATCGTCTAAATAATAGAAATTAAGTATTTTAATTAGAGGAGCAATTAAAGACGGAAAGAAAATAATTCATTAATACGACTAGAAAAGTGGGGCTTTTAAGTAATTAACTAGAAAAAATCTAATAAATTGTGTTATCTCAAAAGGAAAAGTTAAAATCACAATAACAATTAAGCAAATCCTAATTAAGATAGACTTAATAAATCCCTTAAAATTAAACTGTTGAAAAAGTGAGATCGAAGTCTTCAAACATTAAAAATGTTGATGTTGGTTTTATAAAATCTAAAATTAAGTAGGCATTGCAAGAAGTGATGTGTGAATATTTGGACTGATTTTAACTTTAATTCTCTTTATTTATATTAAAATAAAATAATACATAAATCATTTTTTAAGTTCATTTTTCATTATTCATAACTAAATCTATTGAAATTTCAACATTTTCAAGTTAATCATCCTAATTTGTTGAAGCACTTAAATTCTTTGAATTACTCTTATAAATTTAGAAATTTTAAGGCCAAATAATTTATTCTTTATTAAAAATTTAAATGTTCTATGAGAAATTTTCAAGTTATCCATTAAGAAAATATGAAATCTATCTATTGAACACATATAAGATAGCCTTAATAATAACTCATATTAATATATTACATCAATTATGCAACTGACAAATATAAATAAAATTATTCATATTAAATTGTATATAAATCCAATTCATTTTCCTAAAGTACTTTTTAAGTATTTTACAAATTCAATACAATTCTATTTGTCTTGAAATAGCTTATACCAAGTTCTAATTTTTTCATATTCTTTTTTTCAAAACAGCTTTAAGACACATTTCAAATCTAGTATTATCCTTATTTTCGCTCCACTTCCTTCATAGACTGTAAATGTATGTAATTATTCATTAATGGATTTAACATGCAAATAATTATAATATTAGTTAAGTTCGTCAAAATTATCTAAGTATTAACCTAAGATACCAAGATGAACTAAATGAAGTATAGAAGTGTCAATATTTTTGTTTTGGTAGATAGTTATTTGACAATATTGTGACCAATAAACATATAATAGGCTTTAAGAATTTTAGAATAGATTCTCGAGTTTTAGCAATCCTTAATAATAATACTATCTTTATTCTCCAGTTAAATATACTAAAATAGCATAGAGATGTCCAGAAGGATATTCATAATCTTTGAAAACCGTAGTATTATATGGAGTTGTTAGATGAATTAATTTTACTAAAACTTTATAGTTCAGATTTTATGCTATCTCCTCTACCATTTTATCATTCAACAGAACATATTTTTTCATTTAATAGAATTATTAGAATTAATATCTTTAATGTTTGCTAATTAAAAAAAATATTAAAATTATAAAATTTCAAAATCAGATAATATTACTTACTAACTGATAAATAAACACTTGTGTGATCATACTTAAGAACGAAGGTTTCCATATGAGAGAGTTACTATAAAAAATGGCTTATAGCTTTGGTCTAAAAATAACATATACTTTTAGTTACTAAATATAAAATTATTTAAAATTAATTTGCAATAGATTTGATAACATATACTTCAAATAAAAATTAACTATCAAGGAGTTTCAAAATACATTCAATTTGGAGTTTTTTAAGCAAGATTTAATGACTATAATAATTTAGACAATTTTATAAAAATGATTATTAAATGAGATATACATGTTCTTCTTATTTTTTCGATGTATTATGCAGCTATTTTAAATAATAAGATATATTTACCTGATATTTCTTCAGTGTTTAAATTTTCACTCAGATAAATACTATTCATCAACAGATTATCAGATATTTCAATCATATAAAATCATAAAATATCTGAAATTTATTTGAAAGGCATAAACACGTTGGTTGAATTTTTTCTGTTAAGTATTAATGAAGAAATAAATCAAAACAAGGATTGTTCCCAGCCATTTAGTTTGTCTATAATGAAATTTAACTATGTATTGAATCATAGAAGGCATGTTGATTAAAATAATTTTCTAGAAAATAAAATTCTAAAGAAATTATAATTTGTACATTTATAATCTTTATGTGAAGTTTTTAAAAACGGAGTTTGATAATTACATAGGGATACATCTATAATTCAATTATGACGATTAAATTTTAATGTAGTCTTTAATTGTATGTAAAATTAATCTGAATAATTGAGTATCATGTCTTTTGATAGTTCCTTATGAGTGATGAGGAATTAAGAATTGGTTTAGAAGAGGGTATTTGTACTGATCATTGTAAGAACTATTTTGTTATTGGATGGTCTCTATGAATATTGTGCTGGAAGGAATGGAACAAATGAGATTTACTGACATTTATAAAGATTTTTTAAGCAATTCATTATATTATTATTTTTAATTTTAAAGATGGGTTCATTTAAATATACAGTATTGATATTAATTTTACTTTCAACATACGGATGGGGATACAAATTAAGAAGTATAACAGCATATTAGAATTGTGATATGAAATGGGGTAAAGAATAAATAAACAATAATTCTTCAAAGACCATTTGCTCAAATGGTAGTTTATTAAGTTGTCTTGCCATGATTTTACAAACAAGCAGTAAGCCAATTAATAGTAGACCTGTAAACCCAGCAATTTTGAATACATACTTGATGAATAATAATGGGTATAAATAAGGAGATGAAATTAACTTTTCAGCTTTGAGCAATATAGGTGTAGTTTTTGTGAAAACAGTCTCCGACTTAAAGTAGGCCTAAGGTATAATTGAAGTTAAATGTAGATTATTTCAATTCCAACCACTACGTTGTATTGAATTTAAATTATGGAAAAAATTATGGTATGTTAATTGGATTTGATGATTCTGACAAATCAAATGTTGCCTATTACATCAACAATCCAATTGTTCCATCCTAAACCAAAGTTGAAGCCAAAGACATTAGTGTGGCCATAATTTTTAAAGCCCTTTGAAAATATAAGATAAATAAGAACAAATATTTAACATAATTTTTGAACATAATATCATTTAATACTCAATAATCATCTGGTGCAATAACATCATCTATTTTCAATATCATCTTGACGACTTAGGTGGCCAATTAGATTTATTGTTTCTTTGAGCTCAAGGTTTCATAAATTCTCTATTCTTTCATATCAGTTGTACCCTTTTATATTATAAATGATAATTACTAATTCCATGCAATCAATTCCGATTCTTGGATTGCTCTCTTGTAATTGTCTAGCCTTGGCTTGAGCAACAGATGTAATAGGATTAAGACCACAATTATCTGCTAAGCAACAAGGAATACCCTCTAAGGCATCTGCGAATGATCTGATGGCATATTATTCAACTGATGAGACCTAAACTATTATAAAATGATGTACCTCATCAGCATATTAGAGTACTTAGATAGAACAAGCTAATTCAGCAGAACCTCCTCCGTAGACGATTCTATTATCTTTGATTAAGTTTCTGATGACACAGATTGCATCATGGATAGACCTTTTGGCTTCATCAACTATCATTTGACTTCCTCCTCTAATAAGAATAGTGACAGCCTTGGTGCATTGACAATTCTCGATGACTAACATTCTTTCGTTGGAAGTTCCGAATTGTACTTCTTTGACTGAGCCAGCTTTTCCTAATTTTTCAGGTGTGATTTCTTAAAATCTGGGAATGATTCTAGCTCCAGTAGCCATAGCAATGAGTTCAACATCAGTTCCTGATACCCATCTAACAGCAGGGAGTTCATTTTATAACAATAAGTGATTGGCTTCATCATCAAAACCCCATTAACATAAGGCTATGTTGGCACCACTATCTTTGACTAACTTGACCATATCAACAAAGTATTGTTATTCCTATTAATATAATTTCTTGTAATCTTCTGCACTGGAGATGTTAATGTTGTGCTTGGTTTTGGGTTTGGGTGGTTCGAATGGACATGTTAATAAACAGATTTTGGCTTCCTTAACCTCCTTTGGCATTTGTGGATGACTCATGTCTTTGTCAATGAGAATTCCTGATATCAATCTGGTGTCTTCTACACTTCCTCCAGTTTTGGTTTGAATTTTAATCAAATCCAAATTCACATCTTTTCTGGCTAGGTCAGCCACATCCAAAACAGCAGTGACAGCAATCTTTCCGAGTTCTCTCTTTCTTTTAGACACAACCTTTGATCCAAGGGCTGTACATGCTGCTTAGATCAAAGCCTCATGTTCATTAGCTTGGATATCGATTTCTTCAGATATGGTTTCCAAATGTTCTAGACTTTTAGGATATGGAATTTGTACTTATTGCAACATCACATGCTCTGTCGAATCCATCACTAATTTTCAATGGATGGATTCCTTTGTCCAACAAAGTGAGTGCTTGCTCCAACAATTTTCCAGCCAAAACTACTACTCCTGTGGTACCATCTCCTATTTCAGCATCTTATGATTATGACAATTCCACTAATAATTTTGCGGTTGGATGCTATATTTCCTATAATTCATATTACAATGTTTCGATACCATCTTCTCGACAATTGTTGCTCCATCATTTGTCACTGATACGTCACCGTCTGGAGACACCAACATCTTATCCATGCCCTTTGGACCGAGAGAGGATTAAAGTGTATTTGCAACAGCTTTGGCAGCCAAAATATTGCTTTTATATGCTTCCAAACCCTTCATTCTCTTCTTTTGGCCTTGATCCCTTAAAATAATGTATGGTCTGCCATAGTCATCGAATGCTAAACTCATATTTTAAATAAATATTTTTAAAATTTAATCATCACCCCACAATTACTCATAATTAGAGTAACTTTGTATATATAATCAAATACAAATATAAATATATATTCCAATAGCTCTCTATTATAATTTATTAATTATTAATATGCGTAATCGACTCCAAGCTTGCTCCTTCAAGAACTCAACTTATTCACACTTATTCAATAATGCACTCACCTTAAATAAAACCAGATCATGTGAATCTCAGGAATGTGGATACGCTAACAAAAAAATGCTCTATGTCTCTACTATCCTCCCCACTTTTCAACCTTACTAGCATATCATCTCAAAACTAAAAGATCAGAATCTCAAATTGCAACAACGGAAACAAATCAAAATGAGAAATAAAAGACATTTGTAATAAAAAAAGACCCTCAATGAAATCATGTAAAAACAAGACCAACAACCAAAAAAAAGAACCAATAGACACCACAATACTGTATTTTACAATCACTAAGCAAGTATGCCCATTCAACCTAATATATGTTCTAATGAATCTAGTTAAAACCCCTCCAAAGAAAATTCAAGACACTCTATACAATTGCACAGGTACAATTCACTTTCACCTCGGAAACTTTACCTAGATAAAAGGACTACTAAATTATAAACCTTTTCACAAAGATTAAAAACTTTCTACTTACCAATTACCGCTCCCTTTGATTGTTAAACAATTATGAGATTGGAGATGATTGAAGATGGAAGAGCAAAAGTCATTAAGCAATAGGGTTCTCAGGACGATTTTGAAGTTAACTTAAGATTGTATAAATTTGAAGATGACGATAAAAATGCGGAAGATCAAGGAAAAGATCAACAAATAAAACTACCTACGTTGCATTAGGAAGAGGACGAAGAGGATGATTCCAGTAATGATGACAATCTTGGTAACTTAAAACAGATGACGAACAATAATTAAAAATCAGCTTATAAAAACATTTTAAAATTCAATAGACGCAGTCTCCAAAGCCTGATAGACAAGTAATAATTGGGAGAGAGCAGAATCAAGGAAATTTTGACGACTGGTAATCAAATTTAAATCACTTCTTTATAGAGTATAGTTAGAGAGCTATCACGGCTAATTTATCCCCCATCAGTAATTGCAATAATGGGTTTTCCCCATTGCCATCCCTCAAACTCTTAGATGAAAAAAGAAAAAGACCCCTTCATAAGCTGCTTCCCTTGGATCTCAAACCAGTCTGTCCATTTTCATTCAGAAATCTGATGCCCATTTCCAATATCTCTCCGTCTACATAATCCACAAAAAATAGTATTGCCAAAAAGACACTTTCGAGAAACATCATTAATGTGAAAGGGAAGAAACACAAGAAAAACATTACGTTTGGATAATTGCTGATTAAAGTTTGAAAACAAATCTCCTCCTAGAATAATGATTGACATATTGATATAATATTAACTAATTTAACAATTATATGAATTGAGGGAATGTTTATTGATAATTACAAAATGCGTTGAATAACTTATATGAACATTATAAATTTATAAAAAGAAATGACGAATCTTTATATAAATATAGTTATTTTAATTGATAATCTTAAATAATATTAATGCAAAATAATCCATATCCTACATCTGAACTCAAAATAGAAGGACAAACATTCAAATTTTACAATCTGGTTGAACTATTCGGAGATAAAGTAACAAGATTGCCATACTCAATAAGAATATTGTTGGAGTAAGCAGTCAGGAATTGTGATGGATTCAATGTGAAAAAGGAAGATGTCGAAAGAATATTGAATTGGGAAGAAACATCCAAAAAAGACACAGAAGTAGCCTTCAAACCTGCAAGAGTGATATTATAAGACTTTACAGGTATGGATGATAATTTATATACATCCTTTAGGGGTTCCCTTAGTTGTTGACTTGGCAGCCATGAGATCACAGGCTCAAGCCATGGGTAAAGATCCATAATTAATTAATCCTCTATGTCCAGTCGATCTAGTGATTGATCATTCTGTACAAGTTGATTTTCATGGAAATTAAAATGCTAGGGAATAGAATGAATAGACAGAATTTGAGAGAAATCTAGAGAGATTTAGATTCTTAAAATGGGGAAGTTCAGCTTTCAAGAATTTTGAAATAGTACCACCAGGAAGTGGAATAGTGCATTAAGTGAATTTAGAATACTTAGCAAGAGTAGTGTTTGAGAAGGACAGCCTCTTGTATCCAGACTCAGTAGTAGGAACAGACTCTCATACAACTATGATTAATGGATTGGGAGTCTTAGGTTGGGGAGTAGGTGGAATTGAAGCAGAAGCAAACATGTTAGGTGAATGCACGAGCATGGTACTTCCATAAGTAGTAGGATTTAAATTGACAGGATAATTGAGTGCTCATATTTCAGCAACAGATTTAGTATTGACATGCACAGAGATGCTGAGAAAGAAAAAAGGTATATCAAATTAATATATAATAAAGTTGTGGGAAAATTCGTTGAGTTTTATGGTCCAGGAGTATCCACTTTGTCTTTGGCTGATAGAGCAACTGTTTCAAATATGGCCCCAGAGTATGGAGCCACTATGGGATTCTTCCCAGTTGACAACAAAACTATCGATTACTTGAAATAAACAGGAAGAAGTGAAGAGAAATGCAGTTTAATCACCTAATATTTGAAGGCAGCCCATCTATTTTATGAGGAAAGTCAAACAACTTTTAGTGACACTTTAGAATTAGATTTATCAACTATCCAACCCTGTGTGGCTGGACCAAAGAGACCATAAGATAGAGTTAATCTAAGTTAATTGAAATAAGAATTTACCTAAGGTTTAACAGCTCCAGTTTCCTTTAAGGGATTCAATGTTAAAGCTGCTTAAGATGTTGAGTTTTAATATCAAGGATAGAAATATAGTTTGAATCACGGATCTGTTGTTATAGCTGCTATCACATCATGCACAAACACTTCAAATCCAGGAGTCATGTTGGCTGCTGGTTTAGTGGCTAAGAAGGCTGTCTAAGCAGGATTAGCAATAAGACCATACATTAAGACATCCTTAAGTCCTGGATCTTAATGTGTTACATAATATTATAAGGCAGCAGGATTGGATGTGTTTTTGGATTAATTGGGTTTCCATAATACAGGATATGGTTGTATGACTTGTATTGGTAACAGTGGACCAATCGATCAAGCTGTGAGTGAAACTGTTTCAAATAATGATTTGGTTGTAGCTGCAGTTCTGTCAGGAAACAGAAACTTTGAAGGAAGAGTACATCCAATCACAAGAGCTAACTATTTGGCATCTCCTCCTTTGGTTGTTGCATTTGCCTTGGCAGGAAGAATGGATATTGACTTTGAGAGTGAACCCATTGGAGTTGTGAATGGTTAAAGTGTATTTTTGAAAGACATTTGGCCAACTAGAGATGAAATCAAATAATTGGAAGACTAAGTTGTTTAACCATAAATGTTCATTCAAACTTATTAATAAATCAAATAAGGAACCAAAAATTGGAATGAATTATAAGTACCAAAGGATTAACTTTATTAATGGGATCAATAATCGACTTATATTCATCATCCACCATACTTCCAAGGATTAAGTTTAGAATTGCCAGTCATTAATCCAGTTACTAATGCTTATTGTTTAGCAGTTTTTGGAGATTCCATTACAACTGATCACATTCAGTCCAGCTGGTAATATTTCTGCAAAACAGTCCTGCTGGTAGATATCTTTAAAGAAAGAGGAGTTGCTTAGAAGGACTTCAATACATATGGTGCAAGAAGAGGAAATGATGAAATTATGGTCAGAGGAACATTTGCTAATGTTAGAATCAAGAACAAAATGTTGCAAGGAAAGGAGTGTCCAAATACTATTTATGTGCCTACAGGAGAAGTTGTGGCTATATATGATGCAGCTGAAAAGTATCTACATTCAAATCAATAAACTATTGTTATTGGAGGTGCTGAGTATGGATCTGGTTCATCCAGAGATTGGGCAGCCAAAGGACCCTATCTTCAAGGAGTCAAGGCTGTCATTGCTATTTCTTATGAAAGAATCCACAGAAGCAATCTTGCTGGAATGGGAGTATTACCTCTTGAATTCACAAATGGACAAACTCCTGAATCTTTGGGATTGACAGGACACGAACTCTTCACCTTGAATGTCAATAAGGACAACATTAAAGTATTTTATTAGTCTATTCTAGGTTAATCAAATTGTCGAGGTTGTTGTCAAGAAATCAGATGACACTACTTTCAATTTTAACACTCTCTTGAGATTAGATACTGATGTAGAGTTAGAGTATTATAAGCATGGAGGAATCCTATAATATGTGTTAAGAAAAATATTGAAATGAGTCTATGGTATCAAATATAAATTTCTATATGTTTTTATCTTATATAACTACTATTATTGTAGATTAATCGAAAGATCATTTATTCCTTAAGAATTTAATGGCAGTACAAGTGATATATATTATTTCTGAAGCTTTATTGCATTATTCTGTGTATTTGAATAGTATAAGGAATAATGCTTTAAAATTATTGTTTGCATCTTCATTAGTTGGAGAACTAATTATAAACTAACATTAGAGTTAGACTATAATCTTAATTACACGTAAATAATATAATAGATTATTTATTATTTATTTAAATATATCTATCTGTTGAAATTCCCATCTTCTTTCTTTCCCTATATATTACTTAAATATTCATATAGTTTAGACTAATCTACTATCTAACCAATCAAATATATTAGAATTTGATTACTAAACGAATTGATCATTCAAGGATGATAGATTTTAAAAAAGAGATGTAATTTTATTTAAAAATATTCAATTTAACGATCTCTATTCAAATAATATGAATGTTTAATTATTTTTAAAATAAATATTCAAATATTTTCAAACTTTCATTATTTTTATATTGACTTTTAAGAAATTTTAAAAAATTAAGTTTAAATTCAAATCAAAGTGCTTAATATTTAGATCAATAATATAATCTGAAAAATCATCATTAAATATAATTAATTTCTATAATGATAGTTTTAAGAAGCATTTTTGTTTTTGAATAGTGGGATTATCACAAATATATATATGTATATCTATCATTAATCAATTATCTTCAGCATTCTCTAATATACATGTATATCCGGGTTTGTATCTAGCATTTTTCATATAAAACAAAGAGATATTTTATTAATTCTGAGGTCCAAATCGTTGATCTTGTTATTGCTCATCCTATTAAAAGTTAGTATAATCCTAATCCTGCTATTGCTCAATATTATCTAATGAGGGAAGAATAGGAAGTGCAACAATAAAATAACGATGAGCTAAGGCCTAACTAGCATTGGGTCTTTTGAGAGGATTATAGCGAAGCATTTAAGAGATTAAATCAAGGGCATCATCACTCGCCTAAGTAATAACCTATGACAAAGGCTTAGGCTAAATGTTCTTTGGAAATCTGTGTTGTATTTTGGCTGCTAATTTATAACCTAATGGTTAGATAAACAATCTTGATACCATCTGGCTAATCCTATTCTGAAGGCGTGCCCATGATTTCGCAGATCTTCTGCAATTAATCAGTATCACAAGTGCCAGGGAAGAGAGGCCATAATCTGTATAACTCAGCCATGATGCAACCTATTGCAAAGATGTCAATGGGAGAGTTGTATTCATTCGATCGCAAAATTACTTCGGGAGCTCTGTACCACCTGGTGGAAACGTAATCTGTGAAAGGAGGAGAAGACCTGATGTCTCTTGCTAATCCAAAATCTGCTATTTTAATGGTGCCATTTGATTCTAACAAATTTTCTGGCTTTAAATCTCTGTGGAAGTAACCGATTTTATGCCTATTATTCTATTTGAGATTTACATGTATGCCAACCCCTGTAGAGTCTGATATATGATGTTTCGAATGTGAATCTCATTAAATGGCTTTTATCTATCTTTCATTAGATGGTAGACATTGCGTTCCATGAATTCGAATACAAAATGCAATTCGTCATTTTGCTTAATAATCTCGTACAGTTTCACGATGTTTGGATGGTGCAATTTCAAAAGTGATTTGATTTCCGGAAGACTAATACATTCATCCCATTTGTTATATTTGTGTTTCATTTTCTTGATAGCAACAATTTAACCAGTTGTTTCATCTACTGCTTTATAGACTGACCCAAAGGTTCCATCTCCTAATACCTTTCCAATTTAATATTTATCCATAGTTTTTGATAAATAATATATTAACGTAATAATTATTGAAATAATCAAAGTTTCCATCCCATGAAAAGTCTGCTAAAATATGTAGCCTGCACCACCTTTGATGAATCATTAAACCAGAAAGAGTAGAGGCCAAAGACCAAGAAAATATTGAGACAAAACAAAACCCTCTAGAATCAATAGAAGATTGCAAATAACTTAGATGACAAAATCAAAACAGAGTAGAGTGTGGAAGAGAATTCCAATTAAGAAAATTGTTAAAATGATGAAGATGAACTAGAATCATAAAAGAATTAAGAATTAGATGCAAATAACATTGTTTCTTAAGATTAAGAAAGCTTAACCGAGCAAACCAATACTCAATTGCTACAATAAGCCAATTTTACATTTAATCAGTAGCCCTTAATACATTTAAGTTTGAGTTACAAAGAACAAAACTTCATCGTTCCAATTTATAATTATTCAAGTGAATTGACAATCAAGTAATCATTAATATAATTGAATTTATCTCAATAAAACCTACAAAAGGTGTATTAGATTTGCATTAAACATCTATAATTTTATTTGAAAACTCTGGAATCCAATTTGGTTGAATAAAAAGAATGAAAATATAGAAAACATTTATTTCCTCTAAAACTTAATGAACGAGTAGTCGTTTGTATAAACCAGAAACCAGAATTCATTCTGGGTTAAGAAAAAGGAATTGAAAAATGGGTATATTTACAATATATTTAAGTTAGATTCAAATTGACATTGAAGACAACGAAAAGGAGTATAGGTTGGTATTTTCGAAGTTCAAAATATTGCAATTTATTCAGAGTTAAAAGTTATTGAACATTGGAAAAAAGTTCTCCATTGATTTGAGTAAAAGTGAGGACTTTTAAAAAATTATTGAAAGATTTTCTAATGACAATCAATTAACTTAAAAATCAAGAGACGAGTTGAAATGGCTAATTCATAATGAATTAATCAGTATGTTTGATTGAATTATTATATATTACCTTCCGTGAATATATATATAAAATCTAATAGAGGAAAATTATGATAACATTTCATTGAGGAGTCCTAGTTACAAGAAGAGTATATCCTTATTTCGTAGATAAGTATTTGGTTGTAGTATCAGTGCCTTTTTTGTTGAAAGTTAGAAAAGGAGATTTACGTAAAGGTTTGACAAGAATCGATTATGCAACATGGTCATTATTTTTAGTTCCTCTACTATTAGATCTGCTGCTTCTAAATGTAAGACTATTTTTACCTAAAAGTTTAAATGTCTTGAGTAATCTTGTATGTTTGAATGGTATTAATATGTTGGATTTATATGGTTGTGATAAAAGTTAATGCTTCATCATTAATATTGAGAGTTTGTTCCTAGAATATAACAACTTATTACTGAAGAATTCTAACGATTATTCTACTTCTTTTATGGAGTTTGTGATGATTTCTTTTTCGCATTCGAGCAGCAAAACATAATTAAAATTATATATATTTATTCAATATAAAATAATGAAATATAAATGCAACCACATTAAAGTATTCTGTCCTTTATTCAAATTGGATTTTGAAACAGGAAATAAGTCATGCATCTAGAATTATTTTACTAGAGATTTTTCGAATTTTTAGCATTCAACTTATAAGTGAATCTATTTGTATCTATATATATGGGTGATATGATGAATCATAGATTTTTGCCAAATATGAAGAAAATAATAACATTATTTATTAATTTTATATGTAAATCAACCATCTATTTCTAATTCATCTTCTTCTTCACATTCTTATATCCCTATAAATGCTTCCTTTATTACAGTCCACAAACCTTCATTGTAAAAGCAATACACAAGTCCTCCCCTTTCCCACTATGATGGCTGTCTATTTAAGTCACTGATACAAACGTATTTTTCATGAATCACCTTTGGTTTTTTGGATGATGTTTTACCATCTTCTCTTTTTCTCTTTCTACTTGTTGGTTCCTCAGAATCTTCATCTCTATTTCTTTTTCTACCGAGCAGTTTTCCATCATCCATTGTTTCATCATCACCTCCAATAAAAACTTATTCCTCTCTTTTTCTTGAATGTTGGTTACTTGCAAATATTTAACCCTTTAATGTGTGTTATGTATTTGTGATAAATGAGGCACCTGCTGAAGCAGAATCTCTAGGAAGTGTTATCCCATACTTTGAATGATCTTTAGTGTATCTATATTCAAACTCTATTAGTTCATCGTCTTAGTAACCTGTAAATTTTACTACCTCATTTGACAATGTTTTATATCTATTGTCGCAATCTGCTTCCTATAATCCTTTCACTTTATATTGTCTCACCCACGATTCTAACACAAAATCTTATTTTAAATAAGGTGCTACAACATTTGCATAGAAATCCTTCCTATAGTTCTCATTTTTTGAAAAAATTTCAAAAGTTTAACCACCTCTTGTTTCAAATGTCATTTACTTTTTCAACTCTCTCTTTAATATTCAGAATTTTATTACAGATTTTGTATAAACAGAAGAACCACTTGTCCTTTTGGAAGACTTTCTAGTTGCCCATAAATCAACCAAATTTCTAAATTCTCTAAATTTGGAAGCTTTATCAGGTGTTGAACTATGTTGATAAATACTAATTTCTGCTTCTATATATAATTTTGCTAAATATTCATCTATATCACTAGTTGTTGTAGATAAACACATGAAATGTTGTCCATTTCTATGAAAATTATCTTCAACTGTATCATCAATTCTAATTAATATAGTAACAATTTAATTACTCCCCCTCACTATTTAACTTTGGGAATCTAGGAGTTGAGTGAGATATTATAAATGCCTTATTATTTCCATTCAAACTTGCTCTCATTATACCCTTTGAATGAGCATTGTTAGGATAATCTAAACTATCATTAGGCTAATCACTCCATAACAAACTAAGGACATCTTTCTCCTTAAAATTAATAGGACGGATCGTCCTTATCAGAGGAGAATCCTCAGAATCTAAATCATCCTATTGGAGATCGAATTCATCACAATCGTTCACACTATCACAATAAAAGTAATCAAGACCTAAGTATATTAATCTCTAAGATACCTGACCATCCAAATTTTCTGCTACCTGGCATTTTTAAAATGAACCACCAATCTACTGCATTTCCATCCTAATCAAGGCAATCCTATGAAAGAGCGATAAGCAACAAAGATAAGAATACAAGGCACTACTAAATCATTTACATTTAGATTTAATATAATTGATTAATATACAAACACCTATTTTAATTTTACGATTTTACTTTGATAAAGTTAATCACTCCTATTTGTATTAATAGTTTAATAATATTTTAAATAGATACAAATTATCTTCCATAACTTAGTTAAATTATTTTTAATTTCTTTTCAACGCCATCATATACAACAAGAATTACTTAAGATTCAATTCAAATTCAAATTCAGATATTTTGAAGTTGAACTCTTAATAATCTATGTTCTTGAATTCGAATTAATATGATATATATATCTTCATAATCTATATATTAAATTAGATATTATAATTCAAACCATTGTATACAATATTACAAATATTAATTCATTGTTCATTATTCAAAATCATTCATCAGCATTTTGATCAACTATCCTAGCATTTTCATTGTCTACTATATGGCTTATTAATGATTAATCAGATTATAGTGTTTCGAACTGCTAATTTCTAAATTGTGAAAAATGATAAAACAAAATCTCTTCATAGAGCATATCTAGAATATTTTGTTGGAATAGCTACCTTTCAATTAGTCAATTCATATTTTTCAAACTCAAAATTCCAAGGGATTGACTGGAAGAGATGTTGGCTTATGTAAAATAAAGCTTACTCATATACATCATCTACTTCGCTGTGTAAAATCTGTAGATATGAATGTTATAATGCTTAAGCAGCCGTTAAACAGACTCGATGATCAAATTTTAAAAATAGATTCAATAGATCCAGATCTATTAATAATTACAAATTGCTTAATAAAATCTTAATTAAGATGTGCAATTGTTTAATCCAATCCTATTTTGATGACCATATATAAAGGCATGATTCAACCAATTATTGGGAATTCCTTTTATTTTGATTACCAAAAATTTCAAATGCTCTTCATTTCAATCTAAGTACATCTCAGTTTTAAAGGGTTTTTTAATCAAAAAGCCATAATTATAAAAACTATATAACCAGTTCTAATGGGAAGTCCAACAGTTTATTTAAGTTCTATAAAAAAGAAGTTGATTTGAATTTTCCTAAAAATTAAATATCTAACCATTACTGATTATTGCAAGGATATATTAAATATGAAATATTTAGGAAAATTCATGTAACTTAAATATTTTGATAAACTAAATAAATGCAACTATATTTTGATAAAAACAAGTATATTCTCCTAATAAATTTCATTGAGATTTAAAAATAAAAATGAATGAGAAATTAGTAAACATAGTATTTAAAAATAAATTGCGAAATAAAAAATTATTTTTTAGGTTTCATGGTACTTGTACTATGGTTTTGAGCTTTTGGATTTGAGGTTATATTCGTTCTAAGTAATTATTATTTCCAATATAATCATCTTTAAATTGAGGAAGCACTGGAAATAATTTTTTCATTTATTTAGGCATCTTCTAATTAGAATTTAAAATTAATGAATTTTAATTTAATTTTGAATAATTGTTATTGTTATTTATATACCCTTCTTGAGAACATAATTTTTTTCAATAAGAGAAATGATAATAATTTTGTCATCCCTATCATATGGCAAAGTTTAAAATTATAAAATAATGTATGAATCCTTGTTAAAATATCGTTTATAAATTTGTCCATCTACACTGTCGAACTTAATATGACCTTCATTACCGAAGAGGAAAGGGAAGAAAAACGCACCTGAACCTTGTAGTAAACCATAATTGTCTCATATCTAAAGTAATTGATTAGATGAGTCTCGCTTTAAATGCAGCAATATTCCTAGAAAAATTATTCAGTTTTTCCGATAATAATTAGAAAAATCTGAACAAAATAGTTTGATATAAAAAAGATGACTTAGAACAGTGTTCATGACATAGTATTTACAAAAAAGATTTATATATAAAATGTAATTAATCACATTGATGAAAGAAAATTAAGACTATTGATATTTAAAATGAACCTGTTGCTTAGTATTTAGATTTGATGTATACACACCTTTAAATATTTTAGTTCAAAAGAGTTATAATAAATGTCAATTTCATAAGATTTTATTTATGAGATGTAATTAATATACTTCAACTCTGATTCGATTTTTTATAAAAATCATATTCATTCACAAGCTTGCCCTTGATAAGAATTTTGACGGTGAGGTTTTGTTTTCTTGAATTCGAAATTGGCTATACTCCAGCTTACTTAGGAGGTCGATGTCTCAAAGTATACAGTATGGTTTTGGCTGTGGAATAATTTAAACTACAAATAACAGCTGCCTAATGTAAAGTATATGTATGGTTTAGTACATCTTTAATTCTAAGCTTTTTATCGAGCACGAGAGATATTAACTGATTCTTTCTATCAGGAGAAATATGACAGTATTTTCTTTTTGATTTTTGAATGGAAGGTTAAATTCCTTTTTGCTATTAACGGGTTTTAACTCTGTAAGTATGGAGTGAAGATAAAGAAGCATCATCGAAATTCATTACAATTCTTGAATTTGAAGTGTTAAAAAAAGATTTTTTAAATAATTTTCTAAAGGAATAAATTAAATTATCAACTCAGATACATGAAATCAAGGCTTGAGTATAATGAAATAAATTATAATTTATATTTTCCAGTTTATAAAATTCAGCTATTATATTAAAGTTGTCTAGAGGACATAAAAACACTGAATCAATTAATCGAAATTGATAATTATTAATATAAATTAAATCATAACTTTGGGTGTTGACTCTTCAACATCTCCACAACCTCAACAACCTCCTTACAAATACGCTGAATAGATTTCAAATCTGCATTCTGATGAATCGGTAGATACAAAATCTGATAGATATCAACTTAAATCAATTTACATTTTTAAAATATGACAAAGTACTGTTTGGATATTAGTAGGAACTACCAATAGGGCTTTCTACAATATCCAATTGTGTGACTCCCATGTAGGCATCTATTCCCCTCGAATTCAACACCTTATAAGTGGTTTCAGGATCCGCAACAACGACTGGATAAAGCCTTAGAAAAATAACTTAAATAATTCTTACCAAAATCTTCTATCTTCTACTGCATGTCCTGGTACAAGCAAGCCGCCTTTCTTCAAAATACTCTGACCAACCAATTATCGAGAGATTGACATATTGAATTGATCAGTATCAAAAGTTTTCATTCGCAAAGCCAACATAACCAACATGGGATCAGGAACTCTAAATCGATAAGTTTGCAGAATATCATCTGGGTTTTTTTGAAATCCTCTGATGCTATTGACCACAAATTCTTTGTAGTCCCAATTTGGAAAGAAGTTGATGAAAATCCATCTGGAACTCCTGTTGATTGTTCTACTATTTAACAAAATCATAGGGATTAGATTTTTTAAGGTTCTCTTGAAATAACTAAGACTGTTATGTTTAGATATTACTTTCTTTAAGACCATTTGGGATAGGTTTCTTGAATGGCTTTCATCTTCCTGTAAAGAGCCTCATTATTTCGAATGACACTTATAGAGCCTCCGAAAGCAGAACAAGTTTTTATGGAACCGAAACTAAAAGTGGAAAAATCCACATTAGGGTTTACTATATTTAGAATACAGTTGATTTTACATTTAGCATTAGGTGCACTAAAACTTTCAGCTTCATCTTCCATAATGAACAATCCTTTTGACTTGGCCCAATCAATAATTTCTGATGCATCAAATTTGGCCCCAAATACATAGGAAATCATAATGCCTTTGGTCTAATGATATGATCAATATATACTTTTTCGGTGTAAAATTTTTTAAATTGATCAAGTGTGCATCCTAATGTATGGGGATCTACTTCAATGGGCACAGGGATGAGACCATTTAACCTCAACACTTAAACCATGTCTGGTATGTTAATTCCTGTAATTATAACTTCAGACCCTGGTGGCCAATTTAAAGCCTTTTATAATGGAAAGAGTCTTTACTTGTAATACCAAATCTGTAGAGGCTCGGACACATAAGGTCACTAGTATTTTTTAATTTTTCAATCCTCCAAGCCAAACCTCTTCGATCTAGGAAATTAGATTAATCTTTACCTATTGAATGTACTTATCCTAATCTATTGGTTTCAAGTATGACCACAATGTGTTGAACAGGTGTCTGTACTACATATCAATATATAGTGCAGAATAGGGCACAATCTAATCCGCCTTAATCATATTATGTAATTAAATAATATATTGTTTATCAATTCACTATTTAATCATATTTGGTGTAATGATTCTTTGATCCCAGTTAGTTAATTCAATAGATGTGGTCTAATTAAGATTGCGCAAGGAAGCAGTAAGAAGAGGACTGTTTTAAATAAGTTGAAATCCCGAAATATGCTTAAAAAGACTTCGATTGAGAATTTCAAATTTTGCAATTATATATATAGTTTAATATGGGAGGAGTGGAAATTTAGATATACGATTAAATATTGTTATTATTATATCAAAGACACGTCAATTGTACTGAATATAAGTAAATGAATTACCTTATGAAATCCTATCAATTCGTAATTCTCTCTGAAACATCTTCTGCACACATTCATACCATATTTTCTAATCAAACCTTATCTGGCAGCACATACTCTGCATTCTATGAAATCTCAATCAGAATTACCTCTTGAATCCTTTCCGTAAGTTCTGGGGTGAGTTCTGAATAAATGGTTTGGCATGCTTTGTTTTATTTTATTTAAATATTTATTAAAATCATATTAAAAAAAATTACATTATAATCGGAATTATAATAGAATAGATGATGACCATAAACATAGAAACACCCAATCATACTCGATACAATGGACTACTTCACAAAATAGATACCACTGAAAATACAATTTTGTTACATTCCGTAGTAAACTATGGAAAGGCTCATAGACCCATTAAATAAATAATCTCAGATACCGAAAAACACAACTATTATGTACAATTTCCTTTGGATTATGTCAAAACAGAAACTGTGATCACTACGAATGATGGGAAATCATACAAAGCAAAATTAAGAAAAATAGACCTTCAGACTAAATTTCCAATTTTGCAGGATATCAGATTAATGTGTAAATAATGTGAAGAAAGAGAGAGAAAACCTTTCGACTTCAAGTCTCATAGAGTGATATCAATCGATAAAAAATAGTAGATCAAAATGAAATAATCGCTTCACAATTAAAACAAATCTGTTGATCTTAAATCATCCTACCCCCCTTGTATCACCAACAATTACAGGTAGATGGCAAAATTTAAAGAATTAACTGAACAAATAGGTTATAGACCAAAATTAAAGAGTAAAAATTGAGTCTGTGTTTTATAAATCTATATATAAAACCCAATCCCATTTTCATATGAATTCCAAAATTTATATAAATTATCTTCTGAAACCTTCATTATTCTAGCAAAATTACAGACTATATAATTTCTTACTACGAAAGAATCTAAACTATCAGTTTCACAAATTGCAAAAAACTACTACCATAAATATCTTTCTCTTTTTATACACAAGCTTTATTGCTGCATAAGATTCATTTATTTTGTTATGACATCCTTTGTTTCTTATAGACTTTTGATTTGCCCCTCAAATTTATCAAAAAGCCTGACAATAATTATTCTTTACAATCTGTATTGTTACCTTGGTATTCAAGTTTAAATGAATGATTTGAATTTATTAATTGAGTTATTAAATCGATTATCGACTCATTATTTGAAGAGTGATTATAATCGCATTTATAGATTAACATAATAATAAGGTAGTTTTCGCATTTTTGAATTTATACTTAAATTTTAACTGCAAAAGGGTGGATTCATTTTTATTGGCCAACTATTTCGTATGATCAATACCCTGTAAATGTTACACTTTTTTTTACTCTTCATAAACTTAGGAATGGTCACAACATCTTCCAAATCATTCTAAATCCATCCTTGATCTGCAAGCAATCCAATCATACTTGATATTTTTGCAGTTTTATCACAAGGAAATAAATTATGCATCATTGTTTCTATAATTCATAATCACATGGGTTGTGGATTTAGATTTGGTTGTTTTATTTATTCTTATGCTGTATAAATTATAAATTACAGTATAAAAAATATATTATTTAATCCAAATCTATTCGGAACATATTAATGAATTAACAATAAAAAAACTTTTTTATCAAATTACATGTCGCTTATAAAAGTACCCATAAATGACAATGGAAACAAACAACCAGGGTATAAACCTTTAGAAAAGGAGGATCAATAATTTACAAAAAGACAATACAAAATGATATCGAAGGAAAAAAAGAAATAGTTGATTCAAACTGTTCTTTAGTAGAAATGCAAAATTAAAAGAGTACTCTATATTATAATATCTCCTTTAGATTGCCAAGGATCTTAAGATCAATTATGCTACTGCTAAAACTATCCTGCATAATTACAGAAAAAAAAAAATTTAATTTGAACAAAATGAACAGTTTAAACAAGCATCCTACTCAAATGTTACAAAATTCTCTAAATTGAATCTCAAAATCATACTTAATGATAAAGTTTTAAAAGAATAAGAATACATAATCACTACACTTTGAAAACAAAATATATATATAGAAATATTTTTATCAAATACAACTTTGCATTTTATCCTTCTCCTCCGTTAAACAAGTTGTCGATCAACTAAAGTAGTATTTCTTTATTTTATTTCATACAAAAAAGTGTTCAGTAACATTTAATTAAAATATGTTATTTACTAACCATAATAATATAATATATAAGTGTATTATTAAAACATAGTTGTACATTCTGTTATTTCAAAGGTTTAATATCCATATTAATTAAATTCGAAGAACCTAAGGTTGAACAACTATATAAATTTGTATAATAATCGAAATCAATGAAAGTGAGTATAAACAAAACTGATAAAAAATTTGTAGATGTTGTGAACAATTTTAACAAGCGATTATTAAATATTGAAAGCTTTTATATTGCAAGACCAAAAATTAATTTATTTAGGTCATAGTAAAATCATAAAAAATCAAGAAAAATGTCAGCTAACTTTGAAATGAAATGAGGTAAGACAGGAAATAAAATTAATTTATTTTTTTATTATTAGTAAATATAAATTATAATACTCAAAATAAAATAAGTGAATGGCCATAATTATAACAATTCAGGATTACGTCATTTCTCTTAGGAAATCAGACTCGCAACTATCATGCATATCAGAATCAGATTTTGATATCTCAGTTTATTTTTAGGGTAGAAAATATTTTTAGTCAAAACTAACTATCAAGGGAGTTTATTGTTTCATACATAGTTCTTAGCTGGATCTGCTGGAAGAATAAAACTTGTCACTACTGGTCGAGGCACTTAATTCTGAGTGTTATGTTTCAATTTGCTTTTGATAATCCTTTATTGTTATGCATTGATTGAGTAGATTCTTGATCACGTCTTGATGATGTGAAGTCCATTCTTCAATAATGATGAGAGTAATTTTTTGAGACAATAAATCCTTTTTGTATTTTTATGTCATTTGGATTTCTTGATCGAATTGAGAGAGAATATTGTGAAAGGTATCGTCATCCACTTCTGATACAATTTCCTATCTATTACTGAGTATGTCATTTTAGATGTTATTGATTACAGATTGGATTTGAGTTACTTATTCAAGTAAATTTTTGAATGTTTTATCAATTTCCTATTCATGAGTACTTAATAAGGACATTAACTCCTTCTTTTTTTGTTCTAATAAAGTTTAGATGTATTTAAATTGATGTTCTATTCGGCATTTCTATTAAGCATAATGTTTCTTAATTGTTTTTATTTTTGAATTCAAACTCTTTATGCTTTTTTGATCCTCTTGGGATATATAATTGCAAATATTTATAAATTCTTCTAGAATTTCGTCTTTATTTAGAGAAGAACACAAACTCTCTTGCACACTCTGATGCATCTACCATTATTTAGACATATTAAAATATATATTATATATTAACTATGTAATGTAATACTTTCTTGATTATTAATTTCATTCTTCATCGGAATCAGTTTAATTATTTGAATTATTGTTGCCCTCCTCTGTATCATTGTCATGATCAGACTGATGTTCAATAACCATCTCATAACTCTGGTTATTGTACCCTAATTAAAGAATAGCAATTAAGAATACCAGGTATTTTATTGTTGCTAGATAGAGTATTAAATGGAGCCAGTCGTTCATTGTCTAATTCAATGTCCATATTTTGAGGTGCCATCTTTCCACTGAAGGTTAGATGAATGTAATCTCCCATCACTTTGCTGACAGTCGCAGTAATCCATTGGTTTTAGTCACTACACAAAATAAATATGGAGTATTTACTAGAAGTCAATCTTGTCATCCACCTTAACATTTTTTTCAGTCAAATCATCGTCAGTATCAAAATCATCATTTTATTTGAAAGGTTCTTTGGGCAAATTGACATATTATAATTTCTTCCAACTCAATAATTTTGCATATCCCTAGGAAGTGTTGGGTAGATAGATGTTATGTAATCTATGTTAACATTTCTAAGGGATCTGATTGTTGGCAATTAATCTGTCATTGGGAGGTGGTTGAGTATTGTGGTTTTCTAGTATCCATTGCCAAGCTCTTTAATTTTTGACCATCCATTGATGGACTGCTTAATTCTTGAAGACCATCTATAGATATTTGAGAATATATTTATACCCTTAAAATGTATTGCTAACAAACATCAGTTTCTAAAAAGTATTGACCCTATTTTTGCATGGTGTCCAATAACTTAGTCATTCCAGCATTGATCTAGAATATAATGATATACTTATACTCTTGTAGCAGTAATTTGATCCTTTATTTGAAACACTCTTTTGAGAACAACTAAATACTTTCTGTATTCTTTGTATTCCTTATCATTTATTTACTTAACGATTGAAGTGATAACTGCATCACTTTGTTTTTAATTATCCGTTGAAAAAGTGCACAGAATATCTGAAATCATTCTGATTGCCAATTTGCAATCTCCTTCTTCCAAAAGGATTGAGATAAATTGAATGTCAAATTGAAGTAGACTCTACTCCTCTGGAGATAGCAATTACTTGTACTCTCCTTTTATTAAATAGGCTATCACTCTCCACAAATACACTCTACTTGTTGAAGGACCAGAATTCATTGACTTTTCAAATTTCTTTTCCAATAACTCATCATAATAACTTGAAGCAACATCTACATTCTAATAGTTTTACTATCCTAAATAGTTGCTGGGATCATCGTTGAATTTCATGACTTTAATATCATCCATTCTTCTTACAACTTCTCTTTGAGGAATCAAATTTTTATTTGGGTTCACAAATAGCACTTCAATTGACAAATCCAACAATTTGCCCACCAATCTCTTTGAAATTAAGTATTGCGCATTAGATTAATGCAGTTTTGCAAATTTATAGAAAAGATCGTAAAATTCAACAGAATTCTTTAGACTTTTTTTCAATTCTGGAATCATTAAGATCCAAGCATTTATCAAGGAAGCCACTAATGATTTTGGCTTATCATCAACCATCTCAAATAGATCCTTGTAGCCTTCATGTTATTAAATAGTATCTATGGCTGTGATTATCATTGAAATCACAAATTTCCTAACCATCTTCTTTGAACAATCAAATTAAAATTCTCTTATGTATTATGGCTAATTGAAGCATTTTAATAGCCATTAACAAGTTTTAGGTGATTTTCTTAATAAATCCTACATATCTACAATGTTATTTGAGACAAATGTTTTATCATTCTCTCTAACAGCACATGTCAAATAAAAGAAAACTAGTGTTTTTACGATTTGATCTTAGACTTATTATTGCTATAATTAGAACTTAATCAAATTCTACATAAAAGTAAAGTATTCTGGACTAAAAATAAAGCGTTGAATTTAGAATTTCCTGTTTTCATCCTTGATTTCATCCAAAAAGTGCATTGTTTTCTAATCCATTTCAACATCGATTTTTTATGATTAATCAGCGACGTTTATTGGGTTAATTCTCTCATAAAACAACATGTAGGCACTTTTAGATTTGTCTTTCATTTGAGGAGGATATTTATTCTTCAAGAACTTATCTGCCCCACCGAATGCATCGTTCTTAAGATCCTTTATGTCAGCAGGAGACACAAGAATATCGTTGAATTCATACCATTTATTTAAATCATTCTTATCCTGAATAAATGAATAATAATGCCCACTATCTGCTGAACCCATATGAATAACAACCCCTGTTAATCTATATTAATAATACTCTTAAGGGTTGTCCTGTCCATTCGAATTATTAGATCTATTCTCCTATTGCCTTAATCCCTATTAAGAGTAAGGTTGCATATCCAATTCAAATGGGAATTCAATTCTATCGTTGATTTTTGCTTTTGCCATCAAATCGAAATCAAAATTGAATCGTTTCAATACAAGAATGAGATGATCTGGCAATTTCTTAATGCACATTCTCTTCAAAGCACTGACTTTTTTATTACATTGCTCACAATTGTAGGCATTATCTCCTTCAAGCAAATCCCCATGTACCAATGTTTGTAGACACTCCTCTAGATTCTTTTTATTTGCAACAGGAAGAGATATCGCAAAGAAGGGTTCTTCTCTTTCGGAATAATGAGGACATGTCTTACCTATTATTTCATTGGACATGACACCACCAAAGAAGCGTTTAACTAGATCTTCATCTGAGGTTGACTTAACATTCAATTCAATTCTATCCATAAGTAAATTACAAAATTCATCCACATCCATTTGTTCAAAAATATTTGTTGGATTCCCATCCAAATCCTTGAAAGCATGACAGAACTTCTTTGGGTTATGATATTATTTTTGTGAATTCTTCAATGCCAAGAACAGACATTTCAATTAATGAAGCAGATTCTCTTCCTAAACACAAGTGTTCTTGTCCTCTACCTTCAATAACTTTTCTCTGAAAGCAGGAACCATATATAATTGTTGGAGTAGAGAATTCATATAACAAATGCATGCTAAATTGTATAAACCAACATATCCGGTCGATGATTTCTCATGGAATTTACTTTAGATATTCCAATCATTTAAGTGTTTGGTTCTCCAAGTGTTTGTTGAGTGTAAAGGAGACACAATATTCAAAAACTTATTCATATTTTATTAGTTTTTCAAGAGAGTAGACAAGCAATTGAATCCAGCAGTTCTAGATTACTGAGACTTGCACTTGCATTTGGTTTCTCCCTCATTTTCAAATAAATAACTCAAAATCTACTCAAATAATTAGTTATTTAATGATAGCTGAGGCAGTTTATCAATAATGACATTTAAGAGTTTGAGTAACCCGATCAAAATTTAATCCTAATCTTTAACAGTGATTTCATTGTTTGGCAACTATTATAGTTATTATTTGATGTACGATAACAAATGTTCGAAATCAAATTTCTCAATGTTCAAGTCGTCTTCTTAGAGTAGTAGGTTACAAAAAAACTCAAAAATGTGTTCGCATTTTTATTTATTATTTGAAATCACATCCTTCAATACCTCATCAAGCATGATTTTAATCAACAATTTGCTCTCTTAAGTGTTCTTCAAATATAGCAATTGATTGCTGTATTCTTTTTTGAGTTCCTAATTTTCATGTTCCACAAAGTAATTATAGAGTTGTTGTTTTAATTCGTGATTTTATCTGATGTATTATTTACAACCAGGTTCTTCTAGATAATTGAAGCATCTCCTGAGAAGACGAGTCTCAATTTCATTCATTTCCTTTTATTATGGAGTTTTCTTTTAGCCTTGTTCTAGTTTTTTCTTGCTTTTTACATAATGAGAGAGTTCTTGAATAATTTCTATGATTTTCTGCTTGATTTACTGAATTATCTGAGGTTCCCTTATCTTAATATTCTGATGACTGAGAATTTCTAGATATGTGAAGCAAGATTTAATCTCAAGTGGTCTCTGTTAGAATTGCAAATTTTAACCTAAGAATTTTTATGTTACCAAATCCACTCCATCGAAATTATTAAATTATTCACACCATTATCCATTCACTAATAATGCTTATATGATTTATAATACATAAAACATATCAAAGAATGAGTGATCTAAGTACTTTTTCCAATCCTTACAATTTTCTACTTACTTTTTAATTTAAATATTAGTAGGCAATCTATTAATCAAATCCCAAACCTAACTCAAGAATTCAGTACTCTCTTGTTTATCAAGTAATTTGAACAGAATTTCAAAAGTGCGTTGGTCTTGAGAAAGATAATTTTTGGGGTGATTTTTGTTATTGATTCTCACCCTCACTGTAGCCATTTAGTAGAATACTTGATTGACATAAGTTTCCACAAAATCATATTATTATTCAATTAGCTTATTATCGACAGTTATATCTAATTGCGAATAAGCTACTTTTAAATCCTCAGCTAACTTTTATTTCCACTAATTCACTGTTGTTGTATCTCCTTCTTTAAATTCTTTAATAGATGTTTAATTGTTTGTGTTATAGATTTACACCTTAAATGATGTATAATTGGTTGGTTTTGGGGATTTCTTGGAAGGAGGACCACTTTAGAAGTGATTGAATAGAGATAGTAATAGATTGATGGATCTTGTGGTTAAACTAGGACACTATTGTTAGATCAATTCCAAACACTTGTCCATCAATTCCTGATATATTTTGTCGCATTTAGTGTCTAATGGTTGACTGAGTTAAGTATAGAGATTGAGTATGAAATTGGCAATTAGTTCAAGCAGAGCAAGGTCCTTAACCTTAGCAAAGATTTGCCAAATGGCATTCTTGCCTTCAAAATTATGATCATTCACAATGAAGCGCATGGAATTTCCATAATACTTCAACAGTTGCCTAGTTTGATTGAAGGATTTGAAAAACACTTAAAATAATTCGAAATCTTCGATTGTATAACTAAATTATTGATAAAACACTTTTACTTTTCATAATCATTCCTTTCAGAATTGCATAGGATTTAGGTGAAAAACTTTTATTCTCCATCCTTATCAAAGTATGTTTAATTAATTCTGAGTGAAGACACATCTGGATAATAATTATTGATAAGGATTTTGTTTAATTCCTTCTTCTAAATACCTCCCTTAGTTTTAGCAGCCAAAGCATCCCACAATCTGACACTCTGATCATAATTGATTTTGAGTTCAGTTTGTTGCAGCAAGTAATTCAACATCTGCAATCTGAAAAATACATTTTGGCTGAACTTCTAAACACCATTAATGATGATATCTTAAGTGACATCGTTCTTGAAATATTATCTCACTTTCTCCATATAGACTTCGATGTCTTTGACAAACAACTCTATGATGTTGTACTTTTCATCTGTCGATTGAATCAACTCCTTTTTGCCCTTGTCATCCTTAAATTGCTTATCGAGGAAGTAATGAACAAAACTTATAGCCTAATAGACTGATTTGTGACTTCCAATCAATTCAAAACATCTTCCAAAATATTAAGAGATGAATTATTTCGTCTATGGGATTTGTGAGATGATCATACGAGCAGCCTAAAAGCATTGCTCTTGGATATGACTACTGACTAAGGAGTCCTCTCTGTCTTGAAACAAGTCCCACAACTAGTTAAATGTCATGAATCTCTTGTCTGGTTTTAATTGTAACTATTGTTCATGGAATTTCTAAGATAAGGCTGCTTCTGTGAATGTTCTGATCATGCTCACAATGTTCTCATTATACTTGTTATAAGGGATAGCTAAAATGTGATTGTAAAGCTTTTCGATCCCTTGGAATGACAGAACTGGCGAGATTGCTTTGAAAAATTCGTATAATGCCAATTGGGTTGTCTCATGTTTGTCGTAATTGTTGAGCCAGATTTTATCCACATAGTCTGGCTGGAATGCCTGATTTTTACAGAGGAAAAAGGCTACATCACTGGCTCTCTTTATCAGTTCTGGATGTACCGAATCACCCAGGACTGTAAAATCCAGGATCCTATTATAAACTATCCATTTTATGAGTTCCTCCTTATTGATTGAAGTCTTCAATTTTATTTGACTACTTGTTTCAAACTTGAGCTTTTCAGTGAAATCCTTAATCTCACTTAAACCCTTGACTCGTTTCTCAAGGAAATTGGATTTCAGAAATTTCAATGCCATTTACAATTGAATTTCATCCACCAATTTGTTTAGTTGCTCCTATGAATATCCTTTCAAGAAATAATATTGCATCTCCAATGCATTTTCTCTTATTAAGTCAATATCAGTATCCTTTATGTCTTAGACTGTCAAATTGGCCACTCTGAACTAAAACCACTCTAAAGTCTTCCTAGCCATGTTGCCTTGCTCTTGCAATGGGAAGTATTGAGACATGTATTGTTATGTTAACACGATTTTTGTCATGGCTTTGAGAGGGATATAGTTGTACTCCCCTCCTTCACAGGGTTTCAACAAGTTCTCCCAACTCTGAAGACCACCAATAGACCGAAAGTAAGACATGGTCCTTAAATAATATTACCATGTTTTTTTGATGCATTTAATGACATCAGTGGCACCCTGATAGAGTCTCCAATCCTCTATATTCGGGTTATTTACGAAGCCTTGGTAAACTGGGGTCGTGAAGGTCTTATCTAGTTATTGCTGCAAAATTTCATAATTTAACTAATGTATTACAAAAAAGACATACATAAAAAAAGGAGTTCTCTTACTTTAGTAGTCTCCATATCGAACCAAACAACATGCAGAATGTTTCACACACCTCTTAGAGGCAACTTGCTATAGCGACTCGCTCATCTATTATATAGAGTTCGATATTGTTCAGGTATTTCATGTACTATTTTCAAAGATTGATTTTACGTCTGCAAAGTATTTGGGAAATTGATCAAAGTACCATTTGATAAAATTATAATAGGTCTTTATGTATTCCAATGCGAACGGAATCTCCTTTGCCTACAACTCGCTTGAAAGCACCATGTCCAAATATATGAACTATCTAACTCGCACACACTAAATGATTTCAATTGGGGTTAGTCCCTGAAAATTAGTCTACATTATTGTTATTAATTCCTTTGTGTATTTCTCGCAGTCTTCGCGCGAGTATTTTAAATAATCACGAGATGTTTTTTATTGTCTATAGTCATCACCCGTATAATCTTTATTTTAAATGATTCCTTACTTTAAGTAGATCTCCTCGCAAATTATATTCGATTTTACGATAATTTAATTATCTAAGCAACATGTAAACACACAAACATACCTCATTTTCTTTTTTCTGTAATCCATCATATGTGACTTCAATTTCCTTATCAGTTTTCTACAAAATGTATGCCAACTTAAATTGTTTGCTCCCTTGATGGTAAACATCCACGTAATTCCCAACGAACAACTGCTCACTTAATTCAGGTTTCTTTTTGGTTTTCTTTGTGTCCATATTTTATTTAAATTAATATTTATGAATACACAATAGGATACCATCATTTTATCGTTGTTTTAAATACATTAAGATATCTCTCTTACATTTATTACGCCTCTCCTTTTGTTCATGCTCAACTCCACACATCCATTTTCAAATGGATCTCCCATGCCCCTTCCCTTACATGATGGAACAAACAATCATAATATATGATAATTATATAAATCGAATAACCAATTGGTTTGCTCGTGACAGCCTCAACTCAATCACCAAATTTCACGGATTTACTATGTTATAAAATGAAAAATCTAATAATAAATTTAATAATCATTTATACTCACATCCATCCTATTTAAAATCAAAGTATCAAATCCAGATTTGATTTGCTACCATTTTACCTAATTTAAGACTACCTAGTTAAAGAGAGAGAGAGGGTTAATACTCACATTTCAATAAATAAATAATATTATAAATAACCTAATTGATTTTCTGTTTCACTAATAAGAATTTGTCAATTCTTGATTTGCAAAAGTTTATGTGGTTATCAAATTTTTACTTGGGTATTCTAATATAGCAGCTTTTTAATCGTAAAATTATTTAAATTCAATAAAAGTGTTATAAAATTAAAAATCCTATAAATTAAAATTGCTATCTTATGATTAATTATTGTATGAAGCTATAATTAATGAATCCTAAGCTTTTTTTTTGTGTACAATTCAAATCCACACTTCTTGCACTTTAGATTTATATTAATAAATATTAGACCTTTTTTGAATCAATAATGAACATTTAAATTAAAAATCAAATACTATTTTTAAAATAATAAAAAATGGGAGATATTTAAATTGTAACTAATTCCAGTAATTATGATAAAAAAGCAAAGTCCATACTTTTGATGATGATTTAGAGTTCCTTAGAGAAGATAAAAATTGCAGTATACGAGAAGGAACTTTGTTTGATGCATTAAAAATATTGTGTGATAGACGACCAAATTATTATGACCGGCTCTGCAAATTGGACGAACAATGCGTTTCGTAAGAATGTAGAGAGTGTAGTTATTTTGAACAATGTCAAAGAGGCTTAGTTGTATACTTGCGAATTTTGGAAGGTTTGGAATCAGTCCTAAATCTTAAGATTAAAAGGGTAGAATCTGGACTTCTCTCCCTTCATTAATGTGGAATCGATGATCTGTATGGAAAGGAGGAGATAGAAGAGCAAATTCAATAAGATAATCGATTTGGAGGATAGTCATCAGCAGGAGGAGGGGGATAAGGATGAGGAGGTCAAGGAGTAATCTGATGAAAGTGTACAGGGTTTTTAAAGTTAAAAGATTATGAAAATAGATGGCAATCCTAAAAGGAAAAGCAATTTATAGTAATAGAGACATAATTTATAACATAATGAGTTTCACGAGGGAAATCTAGTAATTTAAATAGATGCTCCGAATAAATAAAATTTAGATTAAATTGATGAATTTGAAATTATGCTTTGATTATTAATTATATTGAAAAATAAATATTGTAAATGTCAAATTAAGAAATAAATGAATTAAATCCTTGTAAGTGTTGGATTATGATATATTTGGCAAATGCAATGATTTGATGGTATGTAAAAATTCATTAATTTAAGTCTTTTATCAAAACAACACAACCTATTTTGAGTAACGATCCTTAAATTAAAGTAAAAATTGGAGCGGTGGCAAAATTAATTAATATGCTTCTGAAATTATTAAAGGACTCCGATAGCTCACTCTTATCAAATCAACCAGAGTATCACGAGATCATATACATAATCAATAATAACCTTTAATGGAAAATCAAGCAATATGAAGAATAAATAAAAAGATGAGCACAAGCGATGCTTAATCCAACAGTGAAATATCCTTTTTACAGAATAGTAGATGATCATAAAATCGAAGAAGTAGTTTGATATTTCTTATTTATCTTCTATAATATATTAGACTTAAAAATATTGTATTAAGAGAACTTAAAGGAAAGATTAAATTTTACTATAGTATCTCACAAATCAATTCTAGTTAGTTAGTTTTGAAATTACAAATGATATTGTTATTAGATAATTCGTTATTACTATTGGAGAATTTACTCACCATTATACCATCAGTCTATAACATTTTATAATCTCTTATTAATTCTAGTATAATATCATAAGTTATTACAAAATAACAATAAGACTATAATTTATCATTTAAAGATGGCATTTCCCTTCTATGCATATTTCCATATATCTTTTAGAGTTCAAAATGGCCCACTTGTATAATTCAATATAATCAAATGTATACAATATGAATGAAATATTATTATCATAATATATAAAATATAAAGTTTATCATAAAATGTTGAATTTTTATATTGACAGAGGTGGAACATTTACTGATGTATTTTATCAATTCAATGGAGAATCAAAAGTTCACAAGTTATTAAGTCAGTCGTATTATAAAGATGGAGTGTTTTAGGGAATAAAAGAAATATACGAGAAATATTCTCGTGATGGTTCGAATGTTCAGGTCAATCAAATTGTAATAGGTACAACAATAATAACGAATGCGATATTGGAAAAATAGGGTCATGATTGTGCACTGCTTATAACTGAGGGATTCAGAGATTTGCTCCAGATAGGTCAATAAACCCGACCTAAAATATTTGATTTGACAATGAAGAAGCCATCAGTGCTTTACAAGGAAGTGATTGAGATAAAAGAAAGAATAACTTATGAAGGGGAGATTGTGCAATCACTAGATTTAGAATAAGTTAGAATGGATTTACTAAAGTTGAAGCAATAAAAGATAAGTTCAATTGCAGTTGTGCTATTACACTCTGTCATCAACGATGTGCATGAGTAGCAAATAAAAGGCTTAGCAAAGGAAGTAGGCTTTTGTTCAATTTCAATCTCGAGTGAGGTGAGTAAAGTGATTAAAGTGGTTCCTCGAGGTTAAACAACAGTTTTAAATTCTTACGTGAATCCTTTGATATAGTTGTACATCTAAGAATTAGAATAAGAGATCAGATCGTTGTTAACAAATCAGAATCCCTAGATATTATTCATGTAGTCTGATGGAGGATTGACAGAAGCATAGGAATTCATAGGTAGTAAGGCTGTATTGAGTGGTCCAGCTGGCGGAGTGGTGGCATTGATGCAATCAACTAAGATTTTTAAACAGTTGAATAAGAAGGGAGTGGTTGGATTGGATATGGGAGGAACATCAACAGATGTTTGTGTGTATTATGATAGGTAAAATATCAAGGAGGAAAGCATTGTTGATGGAATCATAGTAAACACTCCATGCTTTGACATTAAGACAGTGGCAGCTGGAGGGGGAAGCTTGTTAAAGTTTGAGAATGGAATGTTTAAAGTGGGTCCGACAAGCAGTGGTTCATATCCTGGTCCAATTTGTTATGACAGGAATGGACTGTTAAGTTTGACTGATGCGAATTTATATTTAGGGAATATTGATGTGGATCATCTACCCAAAATATTCGGATTTGACAATAACTCAGGATTGAATTATGAGAAAGTTAAGGAGTAATTTGAGGCAATGAGTTAAGAATTGAGAATGAGTCCAATTGAAATCGCTGAGAGTTTTATTAAAGTAGCTGATGAACAGATGTGCAGACCTATAAGATAGATAACAAATGGAAGAGGACAATTAAGTTAAGATCATTTATTGGTGATTTATGGAGGAGCAGGAGGATAGCATTGTTGTTCAATCGCAGAATCTCTAATGATTGATTCAATCTTCATTCACAAATATGCTAGTATATTCTCAGCTTATGGATTGAGTTTAGCCAGATAGTAAAAGTATTAAAAAATCCCACTTATCGATAAGTTAACCAATTTCGATTCCATCACTAAGGTGATCAACACATTTCAATCTTAGTAATAATAGGACATTGAATAACTAATAGAGTTACATCTCAAATATGAAGGAAGTGATTTCCTGTTGAAGATAGAATATAGTTCAGATGTGAATGTGATCAAATAATAATTTGAGATATAACATCATGAACTTTTTGGATTTAAGTAAAACAGAGAAATTCTAATCGAGTATGTATCTGTCACTACGAAATATGGTCAATAGAAAGAAGAGAATGATGAATTACTTGAAATCGTAAAGGTTACAAATGGTAATAATATGAATATCAATTAATTGCAGAAACAAATCTAATATAAAGGACCCCTTTTGATTCACACTGGCAATACTACAATTAAAATTAATAGTGGGTGGTCGGCAGAATTAACTAAAAATGAGAATATTGTGATTCGAAAGATCACTGATTAATAAACTATCAGCCAATCAAAATATACTAATAGCAGTTTAGAATTAAGTATATTTGCTAATAAGTTTATGTCAATAGCTGAAGAGATGGGACTATAATTATAGAATACTGCTGTGAGTATCAATATCAAAGAGAGATTAGATTTCTCGTGTGCAATATTTGACAAAGATGGCAATTTAGTGGCAAATGCTCCTCATCTTCCTGTTCATTTAGGAAGCATGAGTGATGCAGTAAAGTGCTAAATCAACAATTTTAATGAAGGGGATATCATAATGAGCAATCATCCGGAAATGGGTGGATCTCATCTTCCAGATATCACCATCATAACTCCTTATTTCAAAGATCACTAAAAACTGTTCTATGTAGCTTCAAGAGGACATCATGCAGATATTGGAGGAATAAGTCCTGGGAGTATGCCAGCATTTAGTAAATACTTAAAGGATGAAGGAATTGCAGTGAGATCATTCAAAATAGTAGAAAATGGACTATTCCAGGAAGATAAACTTATTGAATTGTTGTAGGAGAGCAGAGAAAAACAGGATAATGTTTAAGATCTAAAGGCTTAGATTGCTGCTAATAACAAGGGAATATAGTTGATAGAGTAATTGATAACTTAAGAAGGATATGAGAAGGTGGATCAGAATATGAAAAGAATATAAGAAAATGGAGAAAATTGTGTTAGGCAGATGTTGTATGATATTTCCATAAAGAATAATTTAAAGGAAATTGATACAATTGAGTCTGATGAATACATGGATGATGGATCCAAAATTAACTTAAAGCTTACCATTAATAGACAAGATAGATCAGTCATTTTCGATTTTACTGGTACTTCTCAATAAGTCTTGGGTAATACAAATTGTCCAGTTTCAGTTACCAAAAGTGCTATTATTTACTGTTTAAGATGCTTAGTTGATATGGATATTCCATTAAATTAAGGCTGTTTGAATCCTACACAAATAATCATTCCTAAGAATTCACTGCTAAGTCCTAATCACCTATGTGCAATCGTTGGAGGAAATGTCTTGACTAGTCAAAGAATAACTGATCTCATTTTAAAGTGCTTTTAAGCTACTGCAGCATCTCAAGGCTGCATGAATAATTTTTCATTTGGAGGGTTTAATCAAAGATCATATTATGAGACCATTGGTGGAGGTAGTGGAGCAGGAGATGGATTCAATGGAGAATCTGGAGTCCAAGTTCACATGACTAATACTAGAATAACTGATGTAGAGATTATCGAAAGAAAACATCCAGTACGAATTTTATCATTCACTCTTCGACCAAATAGTCATGGCAAAGGAAAATATTGTGGTGGTGATGGAATTGTCAGATCATTCTTGTTCTTAACTAAGTTGAATGTCTCTTTATTAACAGAGAGAAGGGTCTTTCCACCTTTTGGTTTAAAGGGAGGACAAAATGGACAGAAAGGAATCAATCTGTACAAAACTCAAGGATAATCATTTCTACTTAGTGGAAAGGTTAATTTAGATGTTCTACCAGATGATGAGATTTGGATATATACTCCTGGGGGAGGAGGATATGGGTTTATATGATTCAATTATATTTATACAGTAATTAATAATCGATTTTTATGAGAAACATATATTCTTTTTGTTATCTTCCATTTATATGTTGGTTAATCATATAGATAAGGAGAAACGGGATTAAATTTAATGAAATTAAATATTTTCTAATGTATATTTAAATTAAAACAATTATTGAATAAATCCTCTAAGATTATTGATATAATATGAAGTTTCTTATATCTATACAATATTTATAATTATATAAAATAAAAATTAATATTCTATTAAATGATATATATATCTTATCATTTTATTTCACATCTCTTGATATACTACCTCTAATTTTCAAAGTCATTTACAATGAACTTTAAGCATGATTAATTCAATTACCCACAATAACCTAATTATCCATTTTTTAAAGTCTGTTTGCTTTTATCAATTTCCAGATTGAATGATGTGTATCCTTCTATGATAATTGGGCTATTGATATTTTAAACAGATGAAACCATTGATTTTGCGCAATTCGAATTAGTATTAACATATTCATTAGTCAAACTAATAACAACACTAACGCTTTAACTGGAGGTCAGTTTTTCGTGTAATATCAATTTGTAATGGATTTGTTTATTAGATTCTTTACATTCAATATCTATTAAATCATTGCAACAATGTTTGATGATGTCTTCTTAGCTGAGATGTTAAAATGGATTCAAAATCCCAACATTGCCACTAAATAGGTTCTTCCAAATCACCTTCAGATCTGGGTTGGTTAATTAATTTGATGGTAGTTTCCTAAGCTTTAATGCCTAAGTGTAATATTCACAATCTTCATTAAGAATTTCATTGAATTATCCATCTATTAAAATCTAAGACTGCAATTCCAGACTTATTAAGAAATCTTTCTTGACTATTTAAATGCTCAAAAAACAACTATCTTACAAATCATATATTTCTCTGATATTATCATTATTGCATCTATACTTGCTAACAAAATGACATTATTAAATCACAGTCCTTTATCGTATTGAAATCAAACGATTCAATTTGATTTCTCTTTAGTACAATGCATTGTTATACCATAAGAATAAAGTCAATGATATTTTCTTAATGAGATGAGTCTTGTGAGGTATTTTTGGAATCTGGATATGCACCTAATTATTTTGATTTTCGAGATCAAAATCACTTAGTAAAACATTTATGGAACTAAATCCATCTAAACTGAAATTTTGGATGACCTATTTGTATTCATAGATGGGAGGATCTTCAGACTCAACTATAATCTCAAATGCAACATTTTCTATTAATTGTTCTGATTTATTCTTAAGGATGAATTAGTATGTAAATAATTCACTGGGATCAAAATAAACAGCTTCTACCTCATTAATTAATGTAGAATCCCTATAGATTGAGGCTTAAACATTGGGAATGTCTTCAATTATTTGAATGTTATGCAGATTAAAGAGTTGTTGTTCTTGTTATTGGGTTTCTGATGAAAGGAGGGCAGAATAACCAAATTGATTTAATCTATGAACGTACTAGTAGTTCAAATATTGAATTCTGATCCCAACAATCTTTAATAATCCTACTGATTTGGGTCTAATTGTAAAACTCACAGGATGATTTTTAGCATTTGCCAGCAATGTGATACCTTTGGGATAAGAAACACAATCACTGCCTTCTATCTCTAATACCAACTTATCCAATTACAAATCGAAGGAGTATTCATTCGAAATGTATAACACCATTTCAATAAGTGAATTGAGTGGATATTTCAACTCATTCTTCTATTCCTTATTCGCCCAAGGATTTACAATAAAAATATCTTACCCTTCAGCTTATGCTTTAGCTTCTTTATTAATCAAGCTAAACTTTTCCTTAAAAGGTATGATTTGGAGTCTTTCAACTTTTGGAATCATCAGCATATAAGTTTATTTTAACTCATATTTGACCGATTCCTACTTTAGAATTTAGAGCATGGTTTCTAGTTGTTATTATGTAAAATCTGGTTTGAACATCTGTATTCTTTAAATTTAGGTGTTGTGTTGGAAATAGGGTCTAATAAGATGAAAATGAATACATTCCTTAAAAATTATGTTGGATCTCCTAAACAAAATTGTGCTAAAGGGAAGTCCAGAATATATTGCTCTAATCGTCGGAGAAGTAAGAATTGAGGCCATACATGGTGCTGGATATTTTGGTAAGTTCTAAAGACATGGATTTATTGATTATTGCCAACTAGAAGCTTGCTAAGCGAATGAAATAAGCTTATTTTCTTTTCATTTGTATTTAGCCGTAGAGTTCTGAGACAAAGAGATAAAATTTGCATTTTTCAATTGGGGATTCAGGATCAAAGGTTTTAGTAAACAAGTCAATTGTTTTATTGAGTCCCAACTTATCATTTTAGGCTTTTCGATATTGCATTAATTTAAAGAAGCATTCGATTTCTAGATTGATAAACTTGGTTTTCTTTAGAGATGTTAGTGATTCTCTAAAATGCTCTTCAATTTCTTCAAAGGAAGATTTGGATGCTGCCAAATGTTATTGAACAATTCCACACCACAGGTAATCATTATTCTTATTCAAGTTATCTAAAGCTTATTTGTAATACTCGATGGCATCGAAAGGATCATTGATCATGAGTGCAAGATCGCCCATAATTTTAATTTGTCTACCTTGTTTTCTCTTTTTCAATTTGGATTGATCACTAATCTTCTCTTCTTTCATATTAAAGACAACGAGTTGGGATTGATCATTCCTTTAATTAATTACATAGATATATACTTCAATCTCAAAATTTCTGATGCAAAATATTCGATGATTTAACACAAATACAGTTGTAATTGATCTTCTAAATAATAAACCATTTTATCATCACTCAAAGGTGGAATGATAATGAAAGTTTGTTCTTACTCTGTGTTTTAGAATGAATTCACTCCACAATTGAACAACAGAAATCTGATTAATTTATCGTCATTAACTTTTTTTTTTTATTTATTAATCTCATCTATAGGTATCAATCCTTCTTGCAAATCGATTACAAAAAACATCAAAAAAGGCTTCCTAATATGATTATCTCAATATCTACATGTAAATCATCAACTCAGGCCAATCTAATTAGAATTCCTAATCTATCACACTAATTGTAACAAAATCACTGTTCCAATCCTTCTTAGAAAATACTCCCATAGTATTTTTGTACAATTGATTCTGATAAAAATTACTAAAATAAATCTTTTAAGGCATAGATTAGAAGATCCTAATCATTCTGTCAAGCTGATCTTGTTTTGTGTCTCCCAGCTTCTTGCATAACAACTTGATAGATTTCATATCCTCTAACGTACGCTCAAAGGCATTCATATTATAAACAAAACAAAATTTATTATATTAATAAGTAGAGCAATCCAAAAACTTACAACTCAAAATACATACAAAGTATATAAACATCTTAAATCAATTTCAATGATTCAGTAACTGCTGCTAGATTAATTTGATTAGGTTCTCTTAAAGACTCTTGTCTATCTTATTTTTGTTAATGATGTAAGTAGCCAATTTAGAAGCAGTATCATTTTAATTTACAGCAATCCTCTCCTTCTTGTAATTGTCCACAATGACATCTATAAACATCAACGGCTATTTATGCCTCATCTCTTATTCATAAATTTATTCTTCTAAGTGTTGTCTCTTTTTGGAATTACAAGTTCTTTACTTAATTATTGCCTAGCTTAATTATCTTTGAACTCTTCCTTTAATCATCCTTTCAATAGCTACATTGCTATTTGCAGGTTTCATCTCAACTAGAGCCGGCCTAGTTTTAATTTTGTTCTGAGTAAATTAAGTTATATTAATTTAGGATTGATTTACTTCATTATTTACCTTCTGTGGCTTGGATTAGAGATATTTTGATTTCACTTGAGCCTCGTTGATTTTAAGATTAAAGGTGCATCGCTCTTAGTTGATTCTTTCTTATTGATCAATCAATTTTTATTTATTTTTGTTATAGATTTAGTCGTAATCATTCAAAGTGACATATGAATGTTAAATTTCAGAAGCCACTCTTTTTCGATGTTAAGTTGCCAACATTTAGGTTTATTTAGTAGTGCTAAAAGACGTGTATACATCTTAATGTTGATTACTGCTTTTTCTATAAACCAAGTGATTCACTTTTAAGATGCCATATTTCTATATTAATAGATCTAGATTATAGACTCTTAAATTTCCATGAATAAATTGAGTTATTCCACTGTTATTAAAACAGGAAAGTTAATTTTATAATAATTTTCATAATTTGGAATTTGCCCTATTTCATTATGATAACCTTGGACACATAATATGGATTTTATGGTACACTTTGTTTACTCTGACTAAATCTATCCCAAAAGTGTTTCTCTTTGTTTGATTTCTTCTTGATTTTCTATGAGGGGTATTATTGAGTCTAGAGTGGTTCTGAGCATTCTTGGATGTAAACCTTTTTAGCTAACAAATAACGTGGTTATGAGATATCTTTGGACTTCATCTCGATGCTTTTATGACTAATTCTTGGTTTGAATGGGCATTGCTGCAGTTATTGTTATTCGTAACCATTTCTTAATTGGTTCTTCTTCCTCTAGATTAGGTCTTGATGATCAGAATTTAATTTATAATGTAGATTTTTTTTAAGTGTCAAAATTGTTGGATTTAATTAATTGTTTTGATTTTATTATTTTTGGTGTATTAAATTATTTAATTGGCTAAGAGGACAAAATTACTCTTGATTATTATTGTCAGGTAAAAGTATGGACTTCTCAGTTAGGGGTGTGATTGGATTATCACCTTATAAGGATTTCATTTATTAACAGAAAATATTATTAATTAATTATGTTTAATTAAACAACTCAAATATAAATCCATCAATCAATTGACTATTTTTTAATGGCTTCATTCTCACTGCTTCTAAACAAATTTACTAGGATATCAGTTAATTGCTCGATTCTGAGGTCTAACAAAGTAAATTATTATTATTACTTTCAAAAAATTTATTATAACTTCTGAAGAACGATTATTCTCTGAATTCAGTTTGTGGGTTTTTCTTGCGTAATCTGAAGATCTTGAAGATGATAAATTTGACGATCTGTTTTTTGAAGATGATAACTACGATCATAACGATTCCCACACTGAACACTGAGTAGATTACCCAACTGAATCTCCAGAACAATCTTAGAAATAGATAAATGCTAAACGGTAAAACTACAATTTGATAACATTTGATTTAATGGCTGAATATATCAATGGTAAATCTCTTATCAATTTGATAATTGTGAGTGATAGCATACTTATCCCAGAAATAAATGTAGATCGTAAATCCAAGACAAAATAGCACAGCCACTGGACATATGTAAATTAAACAAAGAGCAGTGGTCAAAATAAAAAGCATGTTAAATTATCTTCCTCTTTGGGAAAGAAATGCCGGAGTCATGATAAAATTGAGTTACCCTTAAAAGAATCGTTTTGGATTAAAATTCTTTAAGGCTTTTCTTTTTCTCAACCAAAATCTTGTGTGTCTAATGTGAAATGTATGAAATATTTATTTGAAGATGATTCTGTGGATGGATAGAGTAACCAAATCATAACAAGCCACAATCTTGTTCCTTCCTCCCCAAATTTCAAAGGTTGCAATGTATGGGAAAAATTAGATTAAAAAATATTGAATGACAACAAAAAAGTGCATTATACTCTCTTCCACTTCAGTAAATGTGCTTCTCCTACTCTTAGCCATCTATCCCAAGATTGTTAAGGTTGTATAACTAGATAAGAAAGTAACCAAAACAGCTAAACAATTAGCGAGTATTTTCTCCCAAGTTGACAATTACCCATTACTTTTCCTCTCACTCTAGTTAGGATTGTTTTAATAAAAATAGATCAACTCAAAACTACCCATCAATAAACAACTTGCAATAGCAGCTGTAAAAATAGCCTTAAGTCTAAACTTTAATCTTTTGAAAGTGTCCATGCCAAGATTCTCCCAAAAGATTCCATTAATTCTGAACCCCCTCTTTACTCCTATTTGATAATGCACCTGTTCAACGTATTTATTGCTATAATCATATTATTGTTTAGCCAGTTGAGTGTTCTGATTGAAAACACTCACTCTTGCTTACTGCACAGTCTATGATTGGATCTACAGATCATCAACTGACACTGCTCTACTATCAGAGTATAAAGAAGATGTCAAATCAGACACTTGGGTTTTCTGTAACTTTTTCAACCGATTTTGCTCCTTCATCACTTCGTATCTGATTAGCAACTAGTGATACAATCATATATTTTATACATTCTAATACCACTTCTTTCTATAATGTAAATAAGCAGCATCTCTCTACTCCTTCGTCTCAAACTTGATAATGACTTTATTAGTGTATGGCAGTCCATTCTTGAGATATGATTTGATCTTCTACGTTTTAAACATGATGTCCTTTAATTGTTGTTTGAATAGGTTGTCTAGTGTCTCCAAATTAAATGATTTATAAGTCTTGATCTATTTATCCGAATAAGTTGTGATCATCCCTGTCTCCTTGAGTTCTCTCATCTACTCCAACGTAATCATGAAATCTAGCAATGAATTCTCCCTATCAATATTCATCTCATTAATTTCATGGATGTCATAGATATATACTAATTCTTAAATTGAATTTTTGTGCTCAAATAACACTGACTTCTTAGCCACTTAATCAAAGTTGTTCATTGAGATAGCCTTACAAATAGTCTAAGAGATCTCCTCGGCTGTCATCTTGTAAGGCAAATGTCTAACGTAAACTGACTTTTTATTTTCTGTTACATGATTTATGGGTTCCTTGTCCCAATATTTGATTTATTTGTATCGAATGATAATCTCGTATTCCAAAGGGAGCAGTATGTTCATCAAGAAGATGATGAAGACTGCTATTTAGATGTACACCTATTTGAATCCACTTCCACCCTTCTTAATGTCCTCTTCTGCTGAACATTCAATTTGGGATAGGAATGGATCTATTGCTACAAACATGTAAATTGTATTCAAATCACAAGCATCCTTGTACTCTTGAGCCAAGTGAGGATCGGTTAAGCAAAGGTTGTTTTGTAAATCACTGCAAGTCCAATTAACTTCAGTTATAAAGAAAATCCCATACACACAAAATATGATGACAAAGAGAATCATCTAAAATTTGAGGAATGTAAAGTAAAGGGGAGCAGCAATGCCATAATCCTAAACCAGCAATTGCCACATGTTCACTGTGAGGAAGTTTATGCGTTTTCGATTCAATTATTTGCTTGATGAATAATTATACAATTATAATACTTGCAACATGGACACTCTGTGGCTGTCGTTTTATCCAGAAAATCTTGATCTGGCTATATATAATGGCATTGTCTATGCAATTCCGCCAAATCGTAACTGCAAGGGTATGTGTAATAATTATTCTCAGGCATTTTTATATTTTTGGCCCATTCCAATGGATCAATTGAAGACAACCTTTCCCTAAATTTTGTCGATGAAAATCGATGTTATTAAGGAACATGACCCTATCTTTCGAGATTAAAATCCAAAGTCGCTGGCTAATTTGTGTACACTTATTAGTCATCCTCGAAATTTTCAATCAGATTTTCATTATCAGAATTATTCATTATAATTATAATATTAATTTAATAATGGTAAAACATTAAAACAAATCAAATAGGAAATCTAAAAAAGCTCTCCAACTCAAAAAACTCTCCGAATAAGTGCCTGAATAAAAATATTAAAAATACTAATAAGAGGAACTACTGCTATTTGAAAATGATAATTAAAATGAGAGTGACTAATCTGTCAAATAAGAGCAATCCAACCCCAAATAAGAAGAAGACGGAGACATCAATCAGCCTTAGTACTAAGAGGAAGATTCTGCATAATGGGTTGACGAGTTTGATGAAAAAATATAAGTGGATTTGAGCAAATAGACAAAATTGAGAAAACTGATCAAAAATGGATAAAACCTAGTTACAGGCAAGGAATACTAAAGAAAATTAAGAGAGTTTTATAAAACTTCATAGTAAAACAATGAATTCTTGAGTTGGGCTTAATCCAAGTAGTAAATTAAATAGGAAAAAGATAAGTTTGATTAAAATCAATTGAATGCCAATTTAAAAGAATTATTATCATAGAATATATAAAATTAAACAACCAAAAGCAGTTTGCTTCCAAATAGAATTCTCTAGATTGAATAAGCTGGAATTATTAAAGCTAAAATTAACACTGTCATTCAATCAATTAGTTTTCATAAGAAATTACCAATATTTGCAGAAGGAGGGTTTGATAAAATGGTCAGAATTTATCAATTCAATCCTAACAAATAGATACAAGTAAATTAGCATTTCTACATATTTAGCTTATCAAATCCATAGCCTTAGAGAAGTTTCCAATTTGCAAATTATAATTCATGAATGAAAACAACAACATCATAGTAGCATCTCCATTCAAAACATATCTGATTGAAGTGGACATCAATACTCAAAAGTATAAGCGAATACAATCAACCTTATTTGCTAAACATTTTAATTAATCTGGGAAATATAATAGACAAATCGAATTTGCAATTAGTGAGGATGACAAATATATTGCATTATTTAATGAATCTGGTTACATCCATATTTTAAGTGGGGATAGCAAAATTCTGTTGAATGAATTCAAATAGAATGAAGCATGCAAGGCAGTAACCTTTGCTGATGAGTTTTTGATATCAGCTGGACAAGGCGGTAAGATTTATTAATGGTCATTGTAAAAATAACAGATTTATAATGTCTTCCATAATCCAGGAGGATTTGAAGTGAATTGCTTAGATTTTAAGCTGGATCTTTTGGCTGTTGGGAGCAGAACTGGTATTGTCAATATCTTTAAATTAAACTCTGCTACAAAATAATTTAGTAAAGACCCAATAAAGGAAATATAGAATTTAACCACAAGTGTAAATGAAGTTTAATTTAATAAATTTTGTGAAATCTTATGCATAAGTTCGAAATGGAAGGATTCAGCAATAAAACTAGTACATGTTGATACTTTTACAGTATTTGAAAACTGGCCAACTGTGACTACATGTTTGAAAGTAACGATATAAATTAACAATAGAAAATCTCTGCAATTGGAATAAGCAATGATTCCAGATTCTTGGTGATAGGAAATGAAGATGGAGAATTGAGAGCTTTTCGTTTGCTACATTATTGATATTATTGTATATTAAGAACCATTAATTGAATAAATGATAAGTTTAATTTAAAGATAATATGTTTGGTATAATTACATATACTAATCATGCTCTTTGATCTGTTGTTAAGAATTTAGCATACAATAAAGTATCCTTTTAGATATCCATAGTGACCATTGCATAGATGATGCCAATCAAGACTACGACAAAGAACACTCCGAACCAAACATATATTTGATATGTGGTTGCATCCATAACATATCCAGAAGAGTTAGTTTACTATTGTAAGTATGATAGAAAATAATACAGTAACTTAGTTTAACATTCTTGTTCTTGTTTCCAATAGAATTCTTTAAATTTTGGCTGATTCTTTGGTTGTTGTAATTTGAGGATTCTTTTCTTACTCCACCAAAATGAGACCGAATAATTCTTCATTTTCAAAGGTATTTCTAAAGTTTTTGGAAAGCTGAACATATTATCATATGATACTTTCTTGTGAGTGATTCTCATCATGTCATAGATCATTTCTATTTCTGGTTCCTTCATGATTTTTTCTAATTTGGAAATAGACTTATTTATGATTGATAACATGTTGGGTTAATTAGCTACATATATGTTTTTGAATTGAAATACATTTTTTAAAAAGTGTGGATAATTTATTCATTGCACAAACATCTTTTAAGAATCCAATAATCTAATCTTCGTTGTCTTTAGTGATTTCAATCATTTCGTTTGTGTTGTATTTATATATTTTATTTTCTTTAGATGAATAATCGAATGTTGTTCCGAAGAAGGTATTTACACACTTTTCTAAACTGGAGTCGACTTTATAAGATTTATCTTTGTTTGGTTCATAAAAATAAACTTCATTCTATAAAATAAATTCCTATTTTTACATTTTTGCCCAAGTACAGTGTAATTGTCCATTATAAATAATTGATATCCAAGTCATCCTCATTCTAGTAGACTTTGAATCCCAAATTATTATTGTTGTAAATCTTGTATGCTCTCTAAATTAAAGTGTCACCTAAAATTTACTATGTTGAATTACTTTCTTGTCCAAAGAGGAAATCCATAATTGGTTTTGGATCTTTATCCAATACTTTAAAGCTTTAAGAGAATCCTTCTGTTATTCTCTATTATTTCAACTCTTATCCTTGATATAATTTCTCACTCTCAATTAGAATCATATAGTTCATATTTGCAGGTGATAAGATATTGCCTTTGCCAAAAGATCTATTTGATGAAGAAATTTGTACTTTATCAATTGTTCAAACACTTTTTGTTAGTCTGCTGAAATGTGTTCGACTAATCCGATATTGTATTTTATCAATTAAGCTATTTGCTTTTGATTTAGACCTTCTAAATCACTTACACTGTTGTCATTGAATGGGTACAAGTATGCATGTGATGCCAATGCAGATGCAACTATCAACAATCAAAATATACATACCACAAATGATGAAAAGAAGAGTTTTCATTATTTTATTTAATAAAATTTATGAATGATTGATAATATTATTGTTTATATGCATTTTTGAATTCTTTATTTATATATATATAAATTTTATCTGTTAACTCCTATGAGTTACGATATATCCCAGCAGTTCATCGAATTTCGTAAGCAAATTATGAACAAAACCTTGACCACTCCAGCAACAAACACCAGCAAAATACAAACCATTTCAACCCCATCGAAGAAACAAGAATTTTCAGTTGACATACTCAAATAATCAATCTGCAAAAACGTTAAACGTCTTAAAGTCAAATCCGCTATTTCAAGTACGCACATCAATTATTTATCCCCAGACATCCCCTTGAGTCCACAGAAGCAAAAAGCTACATCCCCAATTAAAAAATAACCTTACAAAAGTCCTTAAAGATTGAACCAAAATGAACCACTCAGAAGTCCAAATAAACAAATTTACAGCAGCACATCCAAAAGCTAATAGTCTCAACTGAACACTTTTCAAATGCCCCAAACTTATCGATAATCAGATTATATTGATCAACAAAGCCAAATCAAATTGTACTCTTCAAAATACTAGAAGATAATGAATGAAGAACAAGGACTCTATTATAGCCAATTGTAAACCAAATTAGATCAACTTTCCTCTATTATTGGCAATCAAGATGATAGACAAAGAAACCTACTTGAAATTGACAATATGATTAATCAATCCAAACAAATCAATGCTAAATCTAGAGTCTAAAAACACCTAGATAGTTTGCAATTTGAAAGCAAAGCATTGTAAAGCGATCTAAACACTATTAAGACTAAAATATCGAGATTTTCTGATTTTACTGATAATTGATATCCATATTAAATTAGAGATCATTGCATAATTTAAACTAAGCATCCTTATCTCAGTTTTCATTGTTTCTGATCCTCGAACCTTATGATTCCATAATTAAACTTTAATATTATAAATGATCCTTTATTATATATGTGCTGCTTGTTGATAATTCTTAAGAACTCCATTTCAAGCTGGCAATTATTTCCTAAATTAAAATTATAGGAAATTAACATTCACCACTTTACTAGAAATTCATTAAAAATTTATTAATTCTAAGATGTTATTATTTATCCTCATCTAATTTTAACGAATTCAACACTTACTTAATTATATTAGACTAAATATCTAAATATATGCTTTAAATTTAAACATTATTAATTATAATTCTTAAATTTGTTCTTAAAATTAACTAGATCTTATTAGAATAATAACTATTGCAAAAATATTTGATATTAAAATTAATAATTTGATAAATCATATTGTGGATGCTTTATTTAAATTAAACTCTTACGATAAATGGTCTATCCATTTAAAACTTCAATGTTTTCCTTCTTGATGGAGTGAAACCATTTTCAACATTTTTCAATTATATATTTTATTATATTTTCAAAAAGGACATTACCTTTTAATTCAATTTCACTAAAAGTCTTGTAATTCTTTTGAATTGATACAATTCATAATTACATTTCTTAATAGAATCAATTAAGAGTACTTCAGGGTAGTCGAAGTGTTTTAAAAAAGAGAATGATTAAATAATACTAGAACAAAAGTTAAGAATATTGGATTGACAATAATAATATTTGTGGATTATTTTCTTATTATTATTTTTAATTTAAATAATGTCGGAAAATAATATTAATTCAAATCATAATAATATTACACATCAGAGTTAAAGAAGGTCACCTTCACCATATAATCCAAGGAGATTCGATAAATTAGCTAGGGAAGAATGCTGGAATAATGTATCAGCTCTGTTATATTGTTTAAAAGGCTTAAATAATGGAAGGAAGGAATCCAGATCGATGGAGATTAGACGCGGTGGGAAATCCAGTTTGCAAAGCCCTAAATGCTTGCAGAGGGCCCTTATGTTATCAATTTGATCATATAGTACCATATTCTAAAGGAGGAGAAAGTATAAGCAAAAATTGTTAATTATTGTAATCATTTGTCAACATATACAAATCAAATAAAGAAAATATATCAAAGGATGAGTTGAAACAAGTATCTCCTTAATTAAATTTCACCTCTGAAGTATTTGATGCTATAGAGTATGCTATTTATGGTTGACATCAGAAGGAAGTCTGCTTGATTGTATTGCTTTTGTTTTACATTTTTATTTAACTGTTTTGTTTGTAAAAATAATTGTCTATGTCTATAAATGCCTTGTTGTTTTAAAATTACAGTAAAATTTATTCATTTTCTTGCCTTACTACTATTGTTTTCCCATCCCGATTTTCTTTTTGTCTCATATCGATTCTATCGATGTTTTCTATCATGATATTTTCTGTTATATAATTAATTATATATTTTAACTTAGAACTGTCACTTGAACTATGTCTTCTCTTTCTGGATTGTGATCTTGATCTTCTGCCTTTGTTTCTGCTTCCATTCTCATCTACATTAGTTTTACTATCTCAATACATTTATTATTATAATTATGATGATAATGACTGTGATAGGAATTTTGGTTCCTTTCAATAGATTTTTCTTATTTTTCATGAACTTTCCCACTATTAAATTCAACAGTAGTTAAGTTAATATCTTGATAATTTTTTTCTTGGAATAGTAGAAATATCATATACTTCCACTCTGTTGTTTCTCTTATTTTTCTCTTTCCTTCTCTCTATCTATTTTTTCATTTTTTTCTTTTTCAATTTTCTCTAATCTCTCCTTTTCTAATCTCTCTTGTTTTTCTTATCTTTCCAATTTTTCTAATCTTTCTTATTTTTCTATCTTTTCCTAAATTTCTTTATCTATTTCTTATTGAAGTATAAGTTTCATCTAATTTTCAGTATCGTAGTTGGTTGAGAGAGGGTTAATAAATTCTGAGGTATTAGAGATTTAAAGAACTTTTTTGCCTTCTTCATTCACCAAGATGATTTCTGGTTAAGATATTTTTCTCTCAAAAAAGTACCTAAGAATATGCTTGTTTTTACTTATTAAAAATGTCGACCAAACTTTAAGATTATTTTAGGTCATCGCAATAGATTACTCCATATTTACATCCTTCAACTAAGGTGCATTTATTATTTGTACATTCAAATAGCTCTTCGACTCTTAAGGATCGAATGTCAATAAAGTTTTTCTCATTTCTTCTCTCATAAATTATGCTTTCAATTTTTTCTTTATAAAATTAAATGGGCAGAAATCTCAGAATAATCTTATACTGGATTTTGACATCTCGGATTTTCTTCAAAATTCCAACCTTTGGAAGATAGAGGGGCAATTTATTACTTGAAAATTCTCACCAAGATATTTCTTGTGTTTTGGTTAATTTTTATTCATATTATAATAAAAAAATTAGGCTGATTTAACTTCATTTATTCTTATAACATATGCCTATTCTCCTGCCAAATATACTTTTTAGACCTCTTCAAAATTAATAAAATGATAATCTTTGAATCTATAAATTAATTTTAATAATATAAATAAATTTTACTTTTCCTTTAAATACTTTTTAATAGAATGCTTATCTTGACATGCTTCAAGTGAAGAATCATAATAAAAGAGAATTATATCTTTTTAGTCTTGCCACTCCAAAGGGATTCTAAGATTTATTTAAAATTTAAAACTTCTCGTATTTTCCTGTTTTTGTGGGTTCTAAAATTCGAATTTCATAGCAATTAGAATTAAGAACAGAATTACAAATATCACGAATTGATAATTTTGTACCTATGAATTCTATTTTAGCTTAATATTGATCATCATCACAAGGACTGGAATCACCAGAAGAAAACTCGCACATGGCTTTGGATGGTGATGGTGGCTAACTTGGAGACCAGACTACGCGAAACTCCTTCTCATGTGTATTTAGATGTTTCAAATCGTAGGTTGAGAGTTTTTACCTAAAATAAACAATCGCCTGACGTGTTATAGTATAAAGTATATAATCAATATTTTCAAAATATCTGTGTAAATTCAAACCTGCTGATTCTTTTCCATTGAGGATAATTTAGTCTCTTAATTAAATGCTTGCTCAATTCCAAATTCGTTACACCCTTTTCCGCTATCTCAATCATTTTAATTATATTTAAATTTAATATATGCTTTTAGATATTCAAAATTCTTTCTAATATTTTCCTTTATAAAAATTAATAAAAATAGATCATTTTATTTAATATTCTTAACATCGCTCTCCAAAACCACATCTCCAAACTAAGTAGACTTGTTTTCTGATATGTATCTAAAATAATATCTACATTTAGTTGAACAGTTATCCTTATTATAGTTCCAATTCTCCTCAAAATTTTTCTTCCCTTCCTTAATAGAACTCCTTTGATCTATGATTAACTGATTCAAAGATAATAAAATGCTAATAAAGAGTTCTCAAATAGTTGTTATCACATAGACTGCTGGTTGAATTCTCAGACATCCTCACGCTCTATATATCATCCTCGTATTTTGTGACAAATGCCTATACTAATTATCCTCAAAATATATTGGGATGTGTGAAAATTAACATTGATTGAATACCATTTTGTGTGTCGATTCATACTATAAGGCTAAAATTCATTAAGACTCTTTTATTTATATTCTTTAAACCTATAATTTTTAGAACTCGAGTATCATAATGGATATCCTTAGTTTGGTTTCTTATGTGTACAAGTACATTAAAATAGTGATTGTGATTATTAAAATACTACTGCATTAAGATATCCTTAATATTACAGAAATAAATTATATTTATTAAGAATCGAATTAAAAGTGAGTTAAAGGATATTCAACTAAAATGATTAATAAAATGTCCAATTTTCGACCCTACAAATACACACAAGAAGAACTCACAATTAGCAAGAAAATAAAGATAGAGGATCAATAAATTACTCTCCCTTTGACTGTGTTTTAATAATTGGTTGAGAAGGCAAAAGAAGAGAATTAAAAAAAAGAAGATACAAAAAATCTCTTAAGAAATTTTGGAAATGCCCTAAATAGATTCATATTGCATAATGAATAAGCCTTAAAAATCATTACATAATACATTCCTGAAAGTAATGTCTCTCATTTCAAGAAATGGGTTACAAATTAAAAATTAGAGAATTTTGAACAATTCAAAAGAATCTGGACTGTGGATGGAGACGTTTACAAAAAAATATTCTCAGAATTATCTTTCGAGTTTTATTCAAAACATGCGTATTCCTATGTGATGCATTCATAAATGAGATCAGAATCAACAAAATTAACTCATTTGAAATATATTACTCGTTTTTTAGAAGGGATTGTCTGCCCAGAAAGCTTCTATTATTTTAAAAAGTGAAAATCAATAATATTAATATGTTTTCATTTACCATTTATTTTTATTTTATTTAAAATAACTCCTAATTCAAGGGATCATAAAAATGGATGATTATGCACAGGCACATTTTAATATTGATTACTCTAAAATGATTGATTTTTAGATGAAAATAAAATAATATTATTGTTTCATTTAGGTATTTAATGATTTTCAATTATTCCCTTATCAATTCCATTCATAATTTTATTCATATAATTAATTTACAATCTCTTGATTTCTGTCACTCCAGAGTACTATTGCAAGGCTTCACAAGGTAAAGCATATTAAGTATTTCCAATTCCTTAATTGTACTATATGTGATTTTAAATGTTGCGACATTAATTTAAAATCTTTAATAATTAAATGTTGCTTCGAATCTCACTCAATTCTTATAATAATATTTGTTTTTTCAAAATTTTTGTCTTTGAATCATTACCTTCAATTTTGATCTCTTCCAATTGAATTGGCTTTTTGCATTTTGGACAAAATTGATTTGAATTTCCTGCTATCCAAGTTTTCAAACAACTCTTATGATATATATGACCGCAAGATAATTTTTTACCGTTTTCTAATTCATTCAGACATATTAAACAAGTGGAATCATGCGAATCTATTTTTTCTACATCTTATATCCTTTCAATCATTCTGATTAATTTAACTTAATTATAAAAGACTTTTATTTTATTAAACATAGCATATGCATTTTCAACGCCATCGACAAATAATATCAATAAAAATCCTTGACTGTTCAACACGTATTGAAAAAGCAGAATTTAAACACCCAATTTGAAAAGCGTTTTTAAGACATCAAGTCCACAGAAGATAATTGCCTTAGTGTCGAATTATGAAAGAGTAAGGATCTCAAATAGATTGACCACATGTTTTATAAATGGTAAAGCAATTCGAATTGGCAAAAGAATGAATTCAAAACCTAATAACATATTCTAAAATTTCTCTTCTGTTCCATAAAAAAAATATAGACTTATCTAACTAGAATATTTCAAATTGTTACTTTGATATCAATAACAAACAGCAAGATGAATGTTAATAATAGTTTAACATTGTCTCGAAAATTAATCTACGATTCTGCAATCAGGAACCCAGCTCTTTTTATTGCGATCCAATGAATTATTGATAATGCCATCAACCAAAAAATCAAAACTAAATTATCTATACACATCTTACATATAAACTACCAATCTAATGAATGATAAAAAAAGAATAATAAATATGCTACTTCCAAAATTTTCTTCTTTGTTTTATCTATCACAGACTATTCAATAGTTAATACAAATTCATACGATCTTTTCTATTTCCTTTAATTCTCCAAACATCATTCTTAAAAATGTCATAATAAACGTGGAAACAATCATTACAATAAAATTCAAAAGTATAGATCTATTTATCTTATTAGTGCTTAGATATAAAACCGATGGGTAAAATTGCTTATGTACATTAAAAGAATTGTAAATTGCTCCTAATGTAATGACAATGCTGAAAAAACAATAAAACTTTAACATTTTTAATATTTTATATAATTCATCAATCAAATTTAATATTGCACATAGAATATTCTAATATTTCTTTAAAAAATTGTCATCCAAAAATAAAGTTGATGATGGCAATAATAAAATATTTCTTTCACCAAATTATATTCCTCTGTTTAATACTTACGAATAAAAAATATTAGATTAAGAACACTACAAATTACAATAGAAAAAAGCTCTAATCTATAATTTAATCCATTTGAGAAAATGTGGCTTACAGCAAAGCTTCCTTTAAATAAGCTACCAACTCAATCAGGCCCTTTACCATAATGTACATGCCTTCAGCCTCATATCTAAAGTACTAAGCAATAGAGGTAAATTATTCAAAGCAAATGTTACTTTGTATTTATGTGCTGCATACATCATTACTTGACTAAGCCATATCTAATGCTCCTTCAAAAGATTTTGAACAGTAGAAAGCATAATCATTATATTAGTCCCCAAAAAAAACTTACATAGTGGACTTTTAACAATCAAATTTAATTTATCTATAAAACTTTGAGTTGTTAGGTAGTCCTCTTAATTGAATTTTTTATAGTCATTTATAAAACCCTGAGTTAACATGTTCATCAAATAATTTTAGACAATCAATACTCTTAAATAATCATTTTTGAAAGCTTGTCATAATTTTGATAACTCTTTTTCTTTTTAACTCATGTAATGATATTGTTTTACATTCTTTTTCATATTTTTCAGCCATCATAAGCTTTTCTTTTTGTTCTAAATTAAATAGATATTTAAATATGAGATCTTAATTCTTTGTCAAAATACTTATTAAGATTTTATAACTTTCCATATATATTTAGCCAAATTTCATCAATAAATTTAAAGAGGTTTAATAGTTTCATAAATTAACAAATAGTGTGTCTAATAGTGATAAGTAGCCAACATGAGGACAAAATCGAATACTAGAAATGAAATCAGATTACCAAATTATCTATAATATTTTATTATCTATGCTATTCATCTAATTGTCAATTATAAATCTGGTCTTATGAAGTATAATAAAACTAAAATTATGATATTTAGAGTTCTTATGTCCTTTTTAAAAAGAATCACATTTTTGAAAAATATAATAAACTGTCCTTACCCCTTAATCTAGAATTTCAATATAATCATAAAGTTTCAATTGATTTACAATATATTGAAGTTCTAAACTTCTCAATTCGGATCTATTGTTAGATTCTATTTATCCTGAGATACTTTATTTTGTTTGACAATGGTTTATAAAATATCAAAATAATAAGATAATAGTTATTGATATATGTAAGTAATGATAGATTTCTGAATTGTTTTAATTTATGTAAAACTTGTGCTGATATTTTATTTGATATTTATATAAAATACACAGAAATAAAAATTATTAATAATTTTAAGCAAAACCATGTCAGAAAATATCTAAAATAGAGTTTCATCAATTTTTGAAAAGCTTAATAACATTTCAACAAGTGTTTAGGACGAGTAAATAAGTTTTTTATATTTAATAGGAAAAATAATCGATTCCATGCTATCAGCCAATTAATAATGGCATTTGAAGCTTAATTATAACATTAATCTGACTAAAAAGAAGAGAAGTTTGCTTATATTGCCCAGAAAGTAAGACAATTAACAGAATTTTTGGAATAAGAATAAGAAGAGTATGGATGTTTAATATTTATTTTAGTCGTGAAAGATAAGAAAGTGAAACCTTTAAATTGATAACAGATCTTGAAAGACATGCCAGAAGATTGATTGAACAGAATTCCAAGGACAGAGTTGAACAAGAAAAAAAAATAGTTTATACTATAGGATAATAAATAGAAAGCTTATAATAGGAGGTTGTAAAGGAAGGATTGGTAAATTATTTAATTAATAGTTTAGGCTCAATCTACATCTCATGAATACATTGATTCTTATTTGAACGAAGATCTCCCAAAAATAGCTGATGAGTTATAAAATGAGATAACAGAAAGAAAAGATGTTGAAGAAAAAATATATCATTAATTTGTGGAATAATTAAATGATTTAAGAGAATTATTTGAAAGGTACATATTATTATTGATCTATTTATAGAGAAAAGAAGGAAAGAGAAGCTAAAGAGGAGGAAATTGTGGAAAGTCTGAGAGAAATCTCTGGAAGAATCCAAGAATAACTCAAAAAAACTAGAAATGAAAGAGAGAAAACAGAAGAAACTTTAGTCTAACTTGTCGAAAAAGTGATTGAAAAACTTAAGAGAGAAATGTTAGAAATGAACTTATGATATTGTCATCAAATATTATTATATAATTTGTGAATTTGATTTATCCAATAACACTCTGATTTTTAAGATTCGAAATTCATTAAATAAACAAAATATAGGATTTCATCAAAAATTCAGAATTTCGATCTCATCCTTTGGTTTCGAAACATAAACACAGGCATGTAAATTTTTTGTAGCTATTTTCATTTCTATTAGACATTAAGAATCATTGAGTTTTTCAAATATTATTACGCTATTCAGCGGATCATAACTAATTTTAATAATTTAATTTTGATTGAAGCAAAATCCATTTTTTTTGAAATTAAATTTCCAATCTTTTGAGTTATAGGTATCTATCAATAATTAAAAGTATTACATCCTCCACTTGATATTAGATAGCATCCATGTCCTAAGGAATTCCAATTACTTATTTGATATTATTATTATTTAATGATTTCTAATTCACAAAATCCAATTGCAATACTCTAACCTATATGCTTATTAATCATAAAGGAATTTGTTTACATTTATTTTAAAATAGATTGCACTCTCTTACTATTGATCTAATACTGGTTCAATAACTGCAAGGGAATTCATAATCACTTTATCTAATCAATGAATTATCATCCATAATACTTTGTTTTATTGTGAATTTATTCAATAATATAACAGATTCATTTTTATATTCTTGGCTGAAAGTAAACATTCTTTATAGTTAATCAATAGGTTGTGTATCTTGAAAAAATTATTGAGTAAGTGTTGCCTACACATCTCCATTGTTAATTCTATAAATTTTTTAAATATAATCTTAAACATTTTAAAATTAATAGATATCAATATCATCAATAACTTTACATAATTACTATTCTTTTTCCTTTAAAGAAATTAATGAATTTTAAATAATTCTAATTTTATTTTAATATTTCTCCTAATATTGCTTGATCTAAGTTATTCTAATAATAAATTACGCTTTTTAATTCATTTACAACCTTATCCCTAATTTTATCTATTCTTACTAATGTATTTTAAATGTTTTAACTTTTAATGCATTCCTCACAAAACAGATTGCATTTAGAATTTGCATGAAAATTTAGATATTCCATTAACTTCCCATGATCTGTACAAGTGACATTTTATTTCATAATTTAGAAAAATTTAATGTTTATTAAAAAATAATTATATTAAAATAAAATTATCAAAATAAGTTAGTCTTGCTATTTTTTTATGCCTCTCATATTAAATTCAAAGCAATAAGGTTAATATTCATATTTTTTATGAATGTTAGAGCTTTTTGAGATTATTTCCATTCTTATATGGAATTGATTATATGTTATGAAATAGTTCTCTTAAATCAATTTTTAAGGTCTTCTCAATAGAAATCCTAGGAATTTTTTATTAGAATATACTCTAAATATTAACGACTAAGTGAATTATAAATATAATATTAAATATTTTGCTTGTAAATGATAAAGTCAGTTATTTCTAATAAAGAAAACTAATTTCATCGTATTCATTAACAAAGAGTGGCAAGAAAAATTGTAAAGAATTGAAATTATTATCAGATTAACAAAATTGGGAAATCAACATTAAATCAATCGCCAATAAGAAAAAGAGTTGAAAACACTGCTTAATAAACTTTAGAAGCCCTTAGCTCCTATCAAACCTTATGTGACAATTAACAGAGAATTGATTTATGTAAGAATTTTGGTTATCAAAGTAAAGCAACCGAAAAGTAAAATCAACTTTACTTAATAAGACATCGTTGGTTGGGATGATTAAAATTAAAGTTTTGAGAAGCCATAAAAATTAACAACCGATTCAAGTGTGTAGACAAATATTAGTTAAGAAAAAGCACGAAAATCAATTTCACAATAAACCTAGAGAATTAAAATGATTCCAAGATTAATAGATATAAGATAAAAAACCTCAAAAACTCCTTTAAGAACTACAAAAATTACTAGCCCATTAATTGAATATCCAACAATGCAAAAGTTTAAATTGTTCTTTGATAAAAACATTTATAAATAAGGGATCCCTTAATTGATTATATGCGATAGATCATTGAATGCCGTTGATGGATTAAATTGTATTAGTTTCAACAATGTTACCTCAAAGCTAATGCCTCATAAAAGAAATCATAGTTTATGTGTAGGCAATAAAATAAATAAAGTTGACATTATTAAGGACATTACCCAAAACTAATGATTTTTTTAGGTGAATTATATATATACACTTAAACTATTATTATTTTGTTTCACTCCTCTTCATTAAGTTAGAAACTAAGATGTTTCTAAATTCAAATAAAAGTAATTAATAATCGTAAATAATATTTTGATGTCGTAAACAATTCAAAATACACAAGAATATTAAATTACTTTAGAACTAGTAGAAAAAGTATATTAGTATGTAAATAAAGATAATTAACTATTCTGAAAAAATAAATTCTTAATAGGACAAGAAGGAAATTAATAAACTATTCCAAAAATTAGAAAATGCAAGTGTTTGTTTCAATATCATTTGCAATTATATGGATTAACTAAAAGTTCAACATGAAATGAGAGAGTACTAACGGATAATAGATAAGAAAGATTTATCATTTTGATTTCCTACTGGAACTAGATGCATGGGATTCAATTAAAAAAAGATCTTTAGAATCCTTGAAGTAAAATTTACTATTTCTTTAAGATTTAGGATTTCATAGACTTAATATCAAGATAGATTATAAATGATTTGCAGTATATACTAAAAAAACCCTCCCTTCATATTAAGTAAAGATCAAGCACTATTCTTGTACAAATTAGAGGATGTTTTCTTAATTTAATTGTAAATTTCTATATTCAAATATCATTTTTTATAAATAATTTATATCACTTAGCTCTAACAGATTTTCCACCAAAATTAAAAAATTCTAAAAGTACAGAACTAACAATTGAATATATTCTTAATTTATAAATTTTGAATTAATATTTAATATTAACTCAAACTCGCAATTAAATAAGATAATTTATCAAATATCATTTTAATCATGTAATCAAATCCATTTAACTCTTTTACCATTAAGCCATTCTCCTTTCCTTGCTTATCCTGTCGAACTAGTATATTCTCCTATTCCATGCATTTTCCCGTTTAACCACTAACCTGAATAGCATCGAGAATCAGCTAATATGATGATAATAATATTACGCCACGTTATTGTTCCAAATCCATGTTTTTTATCTTCCAAATATGATCCCTCATATCGAGTTCCATCTTACCATATCATTATGCCTTACCCATTCATTTTGCTCTGTTGCCACTAACCAATATATTATTTTTTGCTAGGCCAAGTATATTTACTAGAAACAATTTATTCTTATAACAGTACCCCTTGCCTGAAAAATAGTTATTTTAAAATTGGCCTTCATATTAAGAACCATCTGGAAATATAAATAGTCCTTCTCCGAATTTTTTACCTTTTTAAAATTAACCTTTGAAAATTGAAGAATCTTTAAAAAATTCTTCTCCATATCCATGTTATTTGTCGAATTCCCAATTTCCTTTATACTTGGTTCCATCAGCATGAAAGTACTCTCCATATCCATGAACTAAAATTAAGAAAACTTATTACGTTAATCTTCCAACCATTCACCAACATAATAATCTCCATCCGTATATATCATTCTTCCCTTCCCATTAGATTTTCCTTTAACGAAATAGCCTTCATAAAGTGCTCCATTTTTCATAATCTGTGCTCCTAAAAGTATTAGATATGATTACCTTTTCCTTCCCTTTAGCCTTCAATCCAGGTGCCTTGGTATAAGGATCCATTTTTTAGTTCATAAACTCCATAAAAGTATCCTTCCCTATCCTCAAGTTCTAAAGGTGGCAATTCAGTCTATAATTCCTAGAAAGTTTAAACTTTTTTTTTACTCTAACTTTTTCAGAAATAGTTTCAAATAATTTGGATGTCTCCCAAGCTTCAGCCTTATTAGGTCTATGCAATTCCAATTCCTCCGAATCTTCCATTTACTTTGTTTTTGCTTGAGAAAATGCTTTGTCTACTTCTAAAGAATGTGTCGCCTAATTTATATTAACCTATTCTTCTGTAATCAATACTGGTTTCTGAAATAGATTTATCGGAGGAACTTCACTTACTAAGGGAATTTATTCCTGACATGAACATTACCCCATTTATGATTAAATAATTTCTCTAATTATGGAACAATTGAATTAAATATAATCAACAAACTATTTTACGTTGCTTTTCTTTTATATTTATTTTACATTATTTGTATGTCATTAGCCTAATTCATACAATACAACCAATAGACATTTTTAAATGAATTTTGGAAAACTCTTCGACCAGAATCACAAGTAAGCTTTCCATTCTCATATCTGCCTAGTTATTTTATGATAGAGGGAATGAAATTTTCATCTTTAGAGAATAAAATCAAATATTTATAATCCAAAAAAGTCAACCCACTACAGTTGTGCGCATCTAGATACCTTATAATCAAATGATACACAGTATGAATATACAACAAGATTACACCTACGTTGCTTATTAAGTATCTGAAAACTAATTAGTAATTTATTATTCAAGTATTAAATAGAAGTTGTTTTCAACCAGAGCAAACAGATAATTCACGTACCAAGTGCAATAAGAGAAGAATTCATACATTATTCAATTTGAATGGGCAAAAGGTTCGCTTGGAATATTTGACATAATGGTTGTAGAAAATCATGGAATACATCTGCTTAAAATTGATGATCAAGTTAAGAAAGTCAAGTTTTTATAATAAAAAATAACTTGCTGCTGGTATGAACTAAAAAATGAGGTTCTAGCAACTTGCTGTAGCAATCATAATGGATTAATATCTACTTACTTCTTTAAGGAAAAGAAAAAGGATTTCAAATACAAAGGGCCTGAAGTTTATTTAGATGATTTTGAATCAAAAGATGGGACTTCCCCTTTTGCTTCGATATTCAAATCAAAAAAAACAGACATCCCCTTATTTATTGTCCCTACGGACAAGAAAAACAAAGATTTATGTCAAGATGAATTGATATCGGATTCAATTTATAGAGTCTACTTAATTCACATATACGGCAAATCACTCTTAGCCTTTTCTAATTCCTATAGTGGCAAATTGTTATTTTATTAACTGCAATACGAAAAAATTACTAAGTAAAAATATCTGCTTAACTTTCCATCTGATATCACTGTAATTTATTTTTATTATTAGATAATAGATTAATCTATCAGTAATTGATAATCTTATTATCTTATCAACTTTCAATGAAAAATTCTCATAAGTGTTTGATGTCAAAAAATAAAGACCAGAATCCGCTCTTGGGGCACCTTAATCAATCTTTGAATAATAAGAAATTTCAACTATCAAATTTAAGGATGTAGAAAAGTAGCATGTAGTGCACTAACATGAATAGATTAATGAAGTTTAATAAAATGAATAAACCAAGAAAAGCTCAAGCAGGAGTTTAGAAGATAGTTAAAATGATCGGGATTAAGCTTAAAAAGGATAATCTTCAAACAAACAATTAGATTCTGATGAAAAAGCTGATGATAAAAATATAGAAGATAATAAGTTAATCAAACAAAATATTGATCACTAGGAGGTTGATGAAATTGAATAATAAGAGTAATCGAAATAAACTTAGCAAATATAAAAGAATGAGGAAAGTTAATAATTTAGCAATATGTATCTCGGATTTGATATTTAAACTTTGATCCAAGAAATTAAATTAGCTGACGAATATTATTAAACATTTTTAGTTAAAACGAAATGGTGTGCTCTAACTCAACATAATGTTTAAATTTAGAGTCGAATTTGTAAATAATATATGTATATTTTAGATGAGCAAAGTTGTAATTTTTTAGAGGATGATTTAATAATTAACTACAAAGAAAAATAAATTTACTAATTTACATTGAATTTAAAATACTTACCAAACACATTTGAGGATGAACCTGAAGAGGCTTTTTGTGGATTATTAAGGAGAAGCAATTGTAAAAATGCTGTTTTTGAATTTTTAATTTAATTGGCATTAAATAATAAACCAATTAAAATCTTTTAGAATATTTTTGAGATTTTTGTGAGAGTCTTCTCAGAACATGTTGGGCACGCTTAAAATGAAAGATAATATAGTGGATACACAGTCTTATATCCATTAGATATCAAATAACATTTCTTTTAGGTCCTAGCCGAAAATGAAAACATGAATAAATAATTCTTAATTGAGATTCTCATTGAATTTATAAGATAATTTTAGGAACTATTAAAGGATTATACATAAAGTATTATTGAAATCCAAAGGTTATTAATTAAATTATTAATTTAAACTCAAAGATTTACTCACTTGCAATTCCTAATTCAATATTAAGTTCTATTAGATAATTTAGAATTTGCAAAATAGTTAATTGAGATAAGTGGTAAGGAATCTCTCGCCTTATAGGAAAGCAAGTCTGAACCATATGAACCAGCTTATTAATTAGGATTAGATATGTTCTTTAGATTGTCAAAATACGAAGAACTATTAGAATGTCTATTAAAATATGGAAAAGTATTTGCATAAAGTTATTTAAGTTTCATGACGCTGCTTATTTGCTAAATAAGATACCTAATATTAGAATGAGATTACCACCAATCTAAGAAGGCATCAGGAATTCTGATTGTTAAAGAGAAGACTTGCTGCTCTTCTTAGAAGATGCTTATAAAAAATAAAAAACTTATTTTAGCGTTGCCGAAGTGAAAACTTTGTGATAAATTTAAATGTTAAATTTATATATCTATAGATATTTATAAAGATATTGACATTTAAAGTTATTGCAGATGACAAATCTATTCTATTTTTTCAATCTAATTTCCACTCTAAGAAATATGTAATATATTATTATGATAATGTAATAAAATTACACTTTTCAAAATTTGAGATTTAGAAGATCAAAAATTTCGAAATTCTAAAATTTGGCTGCTATTGCGATTAAACTTATATAGATTTTTTCCAACGTTTACCATGATTAAGGGTATATAAAAACAAAGGACAATTACAGAATTGAAATTTCGAGTAACTTCAATTTTTAGTATAAAGTAATTTTTGTTGGGTCATCTTATGCAAATCCAAGCTGATCATAATGGGGATACTGCTAAATCGATGTGATTTCTATGAATTATACTTCAAGGAATTCCATTTTGGAATATTTCTAATACATTTCAAAGATGGGTGATATAAGATGAAAAATATTTAATAATAATTTAACAATTAAGGTGTCATTCATCATTAGCGTATGAAGTTTTTAATAGATCTTTAAATTCTCCAAATTCGATTAGGCCTGAATTGTCCTTATCGACATCTCTGATGAGACTTTCTATATCAATTGTTAACTCGAATTCAGATTTAATAATTTATACTAGTTTATCTGTACTTATCTATTGATAACTAAAAATTGATACTGATCCTGTTTTATCCGGGTTTCCTCCCATGGCTACAAAAGCATCAATTGTGTCTTAGTCATCATCTAAAATGATGAAGATAATAACACTTACCATCTTAGTTGGAATATTTAAATTTCCAATACACTCCTAAGAAATCACTAAATCTAATGAGTCCTGTATTTGTTTCTTCCACTTCGCTTATGATTTTGTAGAGTTCATTTTCTGATGGTTTGAAACCGATTTTTTCTAAAGCAATTTTTAAATCCTGACCTCTAATGGCTCCAACACCATCCTAAATAAAATATTGAATTTACTTCATCCATTTCAGCAAATGCTCTTTAACACATATCGATGTCTTCCTCAGTTAAATTCATAATAAAATTTTTTGATAATTATTGAAAATATATAATTAAATATTTTTGCTAAAATTCTAAACCTATTTATATAATTTTTATTCAAATTAGGACTCACAACTGGATCCTAATATTTATACTCCTCTATATTTTTAGCGTAACTTTGGTTTTATTTTCTAGCAATACTTACTAAAAGGCTAATTAAGATTATTAAGTGATCTTATTAATAAAAAACTATTGACTTTTCTTAAATTTAGACTTATTATAAGTCTTCTATAATAATGAAATATAGAAATTAAACTTATATTATGGAAAAATACCTTTTTTCTTAATCAATATATTGTATTATTTTAGTTTTCTAATCTTTATTTTAGTTGCATCCCTTTGTATATATTTTTACTTAAGAATCTGCCTATTGTTTTAGTTTTACAAATTTGAAGGAATTCAATTAACTTTTTAAACTTAACTAATATAACAGCTTATGTTTTATTGTTATTCATTAGTAGATTATAATTTTCTGACAATAGTTTCTTATAAGGCTTTATCTAATCAGAACAAATGGGCTTTTATTTTTTGCTTTTTATACTCGAATTTCTTTAAGTTCATATAAGAATGAAATAGAATTTAAAAAGAGGTTTATATTACTGATCATAAATCCTATTTAATTATAAAATACGCATTTTGATAAAATTAGTATCAAACATTAATTATTATTATTACTTTTATCATTTTAAAAGTAATATCAATTATTTTTGTTTCTATGGCGAATTATGCTAATCAATTTGTAAGCTTTATGCTTTAATCCAACTAATTTTAAATAAAGTTCCAACTTATTGGTTTTAATCTTGCTAAAATAGATTGTTTTATTATATTTATAGTCAGTTAAAATAGCTAGCATTATTATATATCTTTTTCTAAATTCATGACATTTATGTATTATTTAATATTATGTTGTATTTAGATTCCATTTACATTATAGATGAACAATCATTCAACTAAGTTAAGCTTATTTTTTACAGATTTTGATGATTATATTCATTCAATATTTTAATTTATTATGATAAGAAAATAATTTAACCCAAACAGTTGTAATTAAGGTGGCAAATAACAAATTGAAACTTTACAAGAAAAGCATCTAATTGCTCTGATTAACACCAGGCCTCGAGTTGTAATAAAAGCGCCCCATCCGCATGTTGATGCAAACAAACCTTTTTCCATCAGTTTTTATTATTATCATAACTATCCTAGAAGAAAAGCAAGATTTTACAGAAATAAATGAAACTTATCGTAGGGTCTAAGCCTTAAAATCAGGCTATTCAGATTCTAAAATGCCAAAGACCTTTAAAATGAAAGAGGCTTTAAAGAGGAAAAATAAAGTGTCCCAGTTTATCTAAGAATAAGTATAAGAATACCTTAACTTAAGAATCATTTTAATAACATCAGAGCTCTGGAAAATAATATATAAGAGATCACAACAAGAACCCAAAAAAATATATAAAGAATCAAATCTAACTCGCGTATGCACAGTGTTGCCTCTTCCATTAAGGAAAACTCTAGAATTAGCAAAAGGGAATGGGAAGAGAAATCAACTCATCCTTTAGAATATGAATGGAAGTATATTTTCTATTGAGTTAATTTGAGCGAAAAAAAGACCAGATTCAGCTTTTAGTAAATCAAAATAAAGTAAAGGGGATACAATTTTAACTAATGTTTTTTCATTTGATCAAAGCCTTTAAAAATACTAAACTGCCTCAAAAAGAAACTAGCAAGATCTTCCATATGATCATGCTGATATTCCGTTATCTGAAGAAATTCAAGATGATGATTTTTTTATTTACACTGAAACACAAAAACTTCCAAATGATAATCAGATCTAATCACCTCATTCTACGATTATGGATAAGAAGACAAAATCGACAACCAATGTTGTTATTCCTTTGGTGAGACCCAATGAAAAGATGAATGACATTAAACGAAAAATTTATCAAACCTTGATGGAATATAAAGTATGTTTTGATATAATTTCTATTATTCTATTAGTTATTTTAAAGAGATTAGGTTTACTAAATTGGACTGGCTTATATCAACAAAAATTAATGGCTTGATGAAAACGAAATTCTATAAGAGTGCAATAGGATATCGAAGTAATTATATGGAGTTGAATGAATTCAAATCTTTGAAATTATTAATTTTAAATAATTTCTTATTCCTCTTTCTAATTTTCCGAAGCAATTTACTTTCTTTTTATTGGTGCTATTTTGTTTATGATTTCTGAACCATTTAGACTCTTCTTATTTTGAATCTATTATTGTAAGATTGAGATTTAATTATGCTTGCCAAATTATTTGCTATTTATCTTAATAAAAATTATAAAGTAAATCTTTAATTAATGGACATCGATCGTCATATTGCATCATTACTTTCAGGAGGATGCCTTCCAGAAAGAGATTTAAAGTTGATTTGCGAAAGAGCAAAGGAAATCTTCTTAGAGGAGTCAAATGTGTAGCCAGTGAAGGCCCCAGTGAATGTTTGTGGTGATATTCATGGTATGCTACTATTGCTTATTTTGTAGGTCAATTTTATGATTTGCAAGCATTAATTAAAGAAGGAGGAGATATTCCAGAGCATAATTATATTTTTATTGGTGATTTCGTTGATCGAGGATATAATAGTGTGGAAACCATGGAGTATTTACTTTGTTTGAAAGGTATGAATTGAAAGTAAGATTAATAGTGAAATATCCTGGTAACATCGTTCTGTTGAGAGGAAATCACGAATCCAGACAGTGCACTTAGGTTTACGGATTTTATGAAGAGTTGTTAAGAAAATATGGGAATAGCAGTCCTTGGAGATTGTTTATGGAAGTTTTTGATTGCTTACCATTAGCTGCTTTAATTGAAGGTTAAATACTCTGCGTGCATGGTGGATTGTCTCCAGATATGAGGACAATAGATTAGATCAGAACGATAGATAGAAAAGTAATAGAAATTCAAAAACTTTTAGATTGAAATTCCACATGAAGGTCCATTTTGTGATTTGATGTGGTCAGATCCTGAAGAAGTAGAATATTGGGCTGTTAATTCCAGAGGTGCAGGATATTTGTTTGGCGCTAAAGTAACAAAGGAATTTTGTAGACTTAATGATTTGACTTTAATATGTAGAGCACATCAATTAGTTATGGAAGGATATAAATACTGGTTCCCTGTATGATTTCCACATTAATCTTAGGACTAAAATTTAGTAACTGTGTGGTCTGCTCCTAATTATTGTTACAGATGTGGAAATATAGCTTCGATTTTATGCTTAGATGACTAACTGTAATAAACATGGAAAACATTCAAGGAAGTACCAGAGAGTGCGAAAAGTACAAATCCTAAAAATGTTCTTCCATATTTCTTATGAAGTATTTTTTTAAATATTAATACATTTTTATGTATAAATGATCTTCAATTAGTTGATCTAAATTCTGTTATTGAAGCTCAAACTTAAACACTTAAAGCATTCATCTAAGGTCTTTTGGATAAGTTGGAAATCTAGTTCAAACTTCTTAAATTGCCATTTTTAATACAAATAATTTTGAAAATTTATTTTTTTCTTATATAAAATTAAATTTAATTATTCCTAAAGCTAATTTTTGTCTAAGAATTATTGATTTAAATATTTGTAAATTTATTCTTACTTTTGGTCGACATGACATGATATTGTTAATTTATTCATCCTAATCTTTCAGTACAAGTCTATCCTTCAAATATTTCTATAAACATTAAAGTGATATAAAATTCTTCCCTTCTCCTTTACATCATTTTAATTAACATTATTATATTACAATTGATGAAGATGAGTGTTTATAACATATTAAAGAAGTATCTGAATTTGATACTAGCATATTAATTGTTAACAAGCCAATAAAAGAAATTGTCATCCAAAGATAATAAAAACTTCTATTTATTTTATAAAATAAGGATACAGTTATATTATATTGAGTAGTTATGGAAGAGGATATTGAAGAAAAAGAAATTGAAACATTAAGACATGTTTTTCGCTATCTTTTCTTAATGTAAATTGTTTGGATTAGAGAAAAAGTCTGTGACAAAATATTTAAGACTCCTACCAATAAAATAATAAGAATTTATAATTTATTTTTGAAGTTCCAACAATGACTGGTTAACATTTAGAATTTATAATAATTAAATATAATAAACAATTTTATTATATTATTTTATTGTTTTTTAGACTAGGTTGAAATAATAGCTATAAAACATTGTTTCTATAAACAAAGCAGAAGAACAAAATTTCTGATTCTGATATGTAATTTTCAGAATATAAATTTATTAAAAGAAGATATCCAATTGGAGAATAATATTTTAGATTCATGTTCTTTACAATAATCATATTCAAATTGATCAGGTTTTTTATAAATTTGACGCTTATCTAACATTAGTCTTATTTGTACAAGCTATTATTCTTAAAGGATTAATCATGTAAGAATAATTTATTTGATTTTAGTTATAATTAAAATAATAAAATTTGCAATTTAATACTAAAATTCAATAAAGAATCGATTATAATGACTAATGAGATCATAACAAAATTATATCTTTTTATATCACATCATTAACGTATTTACCTTCACTCTTAGCTTTCTTTCTAATAGTTATTACTCAGAAGGTAGAGAAGACTGATAAATTTTAGAGAAAAATTAACACTGTGGTGCGATAATATAATTATAATTCTAAAATTTAAAGGTAAGGTTTCTTGGTAAAAGGAGAACAAAATTTTTGATCTGAGTATTAATTAATGCGCTTTTAATTTAGAATTTATTAAAAAAAAAAAATATTTGATGAGAATATTATTTTGGATTTAAATTAAAAAAAGCAAATGAAATTAAAGAGCATTTTTTATATTTAATCTCTAACCTCCATATTATTCGAGCATTTAAATAAAATTTCCCAATAATATACATACTTCATGAAATTTAATTGATAATGGGATAATAATTCATGAAAAAATTCAAAAAATTATATTCTTTACTTTTAAAGGAATTCTCCAAGATCAGTATTTAAAGTAGAAATTAAAGTAACTTTTTTGGAAGATAATAAATATGTCTAATAAAAATGCAGGTTTTCTTAGGAAAATCTTATGACAAATCTAGGAATTTCAAGAAATCAATTTAACTTATCAATAAAGAAAGATTTCAAAAAATATAATTATTTAAAACTCTCTATAATATTTAAAGTCTGAAGGCATCAATTATTTGACATTTTGTGGTGTGATTTATTGTCTAAGATTTTCTGAAAATATAAAAATATGTTTACTTAAATCAATTGTGTTGAAAGCTTATGTGTACAATTAAAACATTTAATTTCTAAGCAATTTTCTTCTATTTGTTTTCTAATGTGTGTTTCATAACAATTTGTACAAGCATGTAAATTACAGACGTCATGTTTAATCAAGATATCTTCAAATACCAACAATGCATACCTTTAAATTATTCGCATTTCCCACATTTATATCCTCTTCCTTATTAATTCTAATGATTTTTTCTGTCAAATTCTCGAAGCTATATAATTTAATTTAAAATTTACAAGTTTTTTAATGATGAGTATTGTAACCCAATTAATAATATAAAGAATATCAAGTGTAAAGGCTTTTTTGTGAATATCCCAATAATTGTTGAGATTGATATTCTGCAATTATTATTAAAAAGGTGAGTTTTCTCGAAAGTCTTTGCAAGCCTTTAGATGCTATTTGATGCCTATTTAATTTTAGGTAACTTAGCTTGAATTACAGTCAGAGCAACTAAAAGGATCAAAGTTTAATAAAAATTCTTCATATTCCTCACTATAAAATTCCTAATTTAATTAGTTTTTTTAATTGATTTCATCGATCATGATTTCTGACATTGATTTTAGTCCAAGTAAATCAAAATAGGAATAATTTTCAATATCTGTTAGATTCTTAAACTCGCTTATAAATGGGGAACTCTCTTTGCATATTTGGCAAGCATGTATATGTGCAAAGTATTCCTAAGGGTGTAATTTAATTTTAGAGGAACAATTCGTAATATATCTGATGTCTCCAATATCGTAACCTAAAATTGTTTCTGCTTTCATGAAGAGTAATAGAATTTGAAAATTTTTAATTTTAATAATCCAATAAATGACTCAACATTGATAATTTTAGAAGAAAAACTTATTGTACAAATCAGTTATTGTTTTGCTCTTGACTAGGTATTTTATTGATTCGGAAACTAGTTAAGGATAAAATAGAGTTTGTTTGATTGAGATTACAGAAAAGGAGAATCACACTAATTAAGTGAATTTAACCTATAAATAATTCTTTAATTAAAATGCTAAAGCCTTAGAGATGAAGTACTCACTATATTTGCTTTCTTTTTGTAATAAGGTGTGTATTTTTATTATCATGAAAAGTAATTCGTATAAATAATAACATATAAATTCAAATAAAAATGTTAAAAAATACTCCCTCAAAGGTAACTCTAAATTATCAAGAAACTTAAGAAGAGACAGATCCTGAGGGTTATACTCTGATTTATGAATAAGAAATAGTATGTTAAATCATAGTAGATGAAGGAGATTAATAATAAACATAAGAAACTCTAAATGTGAGAGTATTTATTTTAGGAAGTGAGCAGATACTTGAGAGAATGAAAATTGAATTAAGTTGTGAAAATGATCTATTTTTTCATTTCATTCATGAGTAAATTTATTGAATAACATTTAGCATAAATGAAGCAGCATTTTTAAAAATTAAAGATGGATAGCAATTGACAGCATCATTTATTGATTATCCTGCAATTTGTATTAAGTGTCTAGATAAGGCTCACAAAGACCCCAATAAATACAGTGCAGTGCTAAGAATTACTTAAGAAGGCGATGCTGTTATTGAAATAATTTAACATACAGAATACAAAAATGTTGAATTAATTCAATTCTAATTTTTCTCTTTGCCTGAAGATGCTATTCGTATGGCAATAACAAAAAAATATTAAAAAGTCAAACAAAGGCTATCTTAGATGGAAAATAAACTTAAGGATGTAATGATTTTGTAGTGATTATCATTTTTAGATTAATGATGTTGTTAAGGTAAAAAATCCTCAACTGCTTTTACAAATGCAAAGAATGAACAGATGATATAAAATAAAAAATACCTATTCATTCGATTATAATAAATAAGAATAAACAAGAGCAACTGATAAACTAGAATATTTTCACAAAGCTCTTTAAGTAATTCTATATTGATAAATGTTATAATGGGTATTTCTGATGATCTTTATCTATTTTTGGCTAAAATTTCTCATCTCCTAAATAACATATATATTTCTAAATAATATTTACTACTCCATCACTAACATAAGAAAATATAATAGTTATTTAACCTTTTCAAAAATTAAATCATTTCCTACAATTTTACTAATCCTTTTAGAGATAGTAAAATGTTATTATAATTAATTTTAATTGAAAACTTGATCAAAAAGATTTTGGAAAAATAATTGCGAAATGGCTATTTTAATATGAAGAAGCATTTAGTAATTTATTCAAGAGAAGATTCAGTATTTGTTGGATTTGAAAAAAGGAATTTAGATTAAGATTTATTTAGAATAAATAATGTTACTAAAATTGTACAATGCAGATTTAGTTGAAAATTTCATTGTCACAACTAGAATGAAATTCTATTTTTCAAGTCTTCAGATTATTATTTCAGAATTTGGAATTAAGGCTTAAATTCCAAATTTTTCAATACTCATAGGAAGTATTTCCTTAATAAATTGAGTTTATTCATCTTTGTCATATAATTATTTGATTTCATTTCTATTTAATGTAAACACCCTCAATAACACATCAAATATAATTTATTCACCTTATATTATGAAGATATCTAAAATTTTTGCTGAAAATTCTAAAGGAGTTTTGTAACTCATCAATCCAAAAAAGTATTAATCCATAAAAAATATAAATGGTTAATCTAAATTACAAATTACTTTATAAACATCTGGAAGATTCTATTGTAATAATACCTCAACATGTTAAACCATCGATTTTAACTTTTTCATTGATTTATTGTATGTTTATGACCAATTCATTTTAACATTGATAAATAAAAACATTTAATAAGCTTTCATCTCTCCAGAAAATAAGCTGTTGCTATCATCCAATAAAAAGAGTAAAAGTCCCATAATATAATTCATTCCTTAAACATATCCAATACTTGGGTCTTAATTAGCATATGCTCTCAATAAATAAAATAATCTTCTTTAATTTAAAGAAAAAAAGTCATTTAATAGTTTTTCATCAATTATTGATTTTACGCTGTCTAATTATTAAGAAGCCCTTTAAACATGCTTTTTACTTGATTTTCTTTTACTTTTATAAAACTATAAATGGGAGTGAGTTCTTTCAATATCCCTAAAGATGATGTTATCTTAAGCACATGGATTTTAAGCAAACAACTTATAATCTATTGGGGAAGGTACTGTTTTATTTGCAATCCAAGGATATATAATTGATCTTAGAGATGGGTCGAAATTCTTTTTTAATTAACTTAACACTTAGTTTCTATCCATATATTAGAAGTCAACATTTTATATATACTCCTTCCATTAATCGTTTTCCCATTTCTTTTCATTAGGAATTATTCGTATAAATTAATCATTTGTAGCCAAATCCAAGTCATGATTGTCTTATTATAATAGTTACTTGAGTTTAGAATAATAGTTAAAAATCATAAAATATAAATAATTAAAGTCTGCTCAAACAACTTTATATTTTATGTAATAATCCAAGGAAATTTCTGAATACAGAAAGGCTTAACTGACTATATTATTTAATGTTTAATCTAAAAATTTGAGAAAAAATTAAGAATACTATCTCTATTTTGGAAAGATCATCAGTTTAAATTAAGATGAATTATAGTATAACAATTATCTAAGAGTTCGTTGTCTTGTTTTTCCATCCCATAAATGGACAGAATGGTCATAATTACTAGATGCTAATATTGTATTACCCAAACCCGTGCTTACAGGGAGAAGGATTCCACTAGAAATTAGGCCATAGGGAGAAGGTTTCCTCTGTATTTTACAAAATTCTGGTGGTAGGGATACGTTAAACACTCAGCTTGTAGAACAGGGCGATAAACTTTTGAATCAAAAACAAATACTCTACAAATAGTATTTAAATATCTAATTCTCAAAATATTTGAATTTTAATAACAATAATAAATTAGGAATTTAAATTTTTACTTTAGTTTAAGAAGAGTGAGAAATAATTAAATTTAATCGTTATTTTAAATTCGTATGTTTTATATTTATAATATGTAATTTTTTCAGATAATTTTTTCATACTCTTCATTTTCTTAAGATATTTCTAAGAATCAAAACAAGTTAAATAATGGTCTTAACAAAATACAAGATATTATTTTTTATTAAAATCTGAAGTATCTTAAAAAGTTGTAGTTTCAATTCTCAAAACTTTTTTTCATGTGCTTAGGTATGAATCTAACTCAAATCAAAAGATTTTTTGAAGTTTCATTTTATTTAATTAAATATAAAAGATATCAAATTCTTGGATAAAGACTATCAAATATCAGTTTAAAATTTCTATAATGAGTTTTAATTAAAATTGTACATTTACATTATCATTAGATTATCTAGGCTTTCTCATTAATTTATATGCTACTTTTTTCAAAACTTGAGGTATTATCTTTTTAAAGAATTCTTCCAAATCCAAAAGACTAAAATATGTTATCTCTAATATTGATAGTAAAAAATTCTTTAGTTTAAGCTTTAATAATGGTCAAAAAAATTTACAGCTAAATTACTTCCTTTTAAGACCAAAAAAAAAGAAAATTAAGAATTAAAATATTATTTACAATAACTCAAAAGATGTTGGATATGAAGGAATAAAAATTATTTAATTTCCCTTAATTTAGGATGATTTACCTTTTTACAAATAAATCTAACTAGCCCTTAAGTTTCTATGTATCTGATTGAACTAAAACCTCTTTTTAATTTATCTCTCAAACTCCAATAATATTATAAAGGTAAAACATGAAATTTCTCATCATTATTGACATAACAAAGATATCTCATTCAGGCATATTAATGAAAATCTAAAATCCAAATCTTAATTTTCACTAATATAGTAAGAACTTTATATCAATATAATCACTCAATTCTAATTTTTATCTTTTTTCATTAATTATTTTGGACAGCATTTTCATATAATAGCAACTATTGTAAGTTAATAAATTTTCTAAAAGTAATTTTTAGCATTTTTAATCAATCCTATTATTCAAAGCAATATGTTTCCTTAGCAGAATGAATATTTAAATCAGAAATAGAGAGTTGTATAAATTTCAATTGAATTGTGTTTATTTAAATATATAAAAATAAGTTATACTTAGGCTTTTGATTCATTAAGCTCAGAAAAATGTTTGTAAAACTCCTAATTAATTTAAATCTTAAATTAGAAGATATTTTTCTCAATCAAAATACAATAAATATTTTGTGAGTCTCATTTTCAAATCAACCTTTTGGACTACTAATTGAAAAATTAACTAAAAATGGAGTTGATGATTTATTATTAATTAAGTTTAATTTATTGTTTTCTAAGAATTGATATTAAAAAGATCAAATTTGAATAAAAAAATTTAATTTATAAGATTATGGTTTACTTTATTTTTTTGATGATAAAGTATTTTGTTCGAACACTAGAAAATATGATTCTCCATAAAATTTTTAATCAATAGAAATAAAAAAACAACTTATTAAAACAAAAGAGATTTTTTAAAGTAAAAAAAAAACTTATAAATTAAATTCTTTAATTGAATAAATTTACAAAAATAAACCAAATAAGAGGAATAAAGAATCTTAACATTATTGACCAAAGAAGAAGATTACTTTTAAGGTAAATTCTTCTAATTAAATGACCAAAAAGGAAATGAGTCAATTTATGCTGAAATTATTAAGTGTAACAGATATAATGAGGAAAACAAGTTATTTTTAGGTCAAATTATTGGAGTTAATAAAACATTTAAAATCGCAAAATTCGTGTAGTGCTAAAATAGAATTTTTTCAATAAGAAGAATTATGGATAGTAAAGCTAAGTTTAAATTTGGAATATATGATTTAATAATTTTTCAAATAATAAGAGAACCAATCCTTATTAGATTCACTTTTAAATAATTTAGCACTTAATAATTGTTAATTCATTTCAGAAAAAGTAAATACAAGTGTTATCATGGAAAATATGAATAAAATAAAATAATTAAATGCAGGAATTGAATATTGAGGAAAGTTAAGCAATCTTATTTTAACATAATGTAGTATTAGAAGCGAATTTATACTAAAGTGTGATACTAAAATGTAAATACACTTTAAGTTTTAAAAGTAATGGATCTATTAAAAGATTTATTTCACCATATTAAGTCTGTAAATTAAATGGATTTAATAATATTTTTAGGTAAAAGCATTTCCATTAATTAGTATTTAAGTCATGAATTAGAGGAGTATGAAAGGTATGGAAAAAAATTCCTTAGATTAAAACAGGAAAAGGATTTTACTCATGATCAGTTTGCAAAGGTAGGTCATTCAGTTGTTGTTTCAGAAACAACATTTATATAGAGGTATAAAGTGGATGATATGGATTAATTAATGTTATGTGATTGCCCTGGATTTGCTGACACCAGAGGAGATATTTATGATTTGACTACTCTAAGTTAAAAATTAAACTGAAATTAAAATTGTCAAATACAAAACCTTATATGATGATTTTTCACAACACAATACTATGATGAGCATTGATTAAACTATAAAAAACTGAAATTCAATAAAAGCTATTGTTTTAAGACTTTCATACGAAACGTTTTTTGTAAAGAGAAGTCGTGCAGTTGTAGTAATTAATTCCAGGAATTTTTCATGAGAATTATGTAAAAATTCAATTTACATACTAATTACAAAAGCCAAATGAAATAGTAGAAAACTTAACCATGTTAATACAAGATTTTGAATTAATTGGAAGGAAATAAAGATAAACAACATAATTTTGAAAAAAAAAAGTCTAGGAGAGATTAAAAATATGGAAATTCGTGTTGCATTTGATTTAAAGCAAGAAAGTGATAAGTTATGATATCAACAACCAAATGGAAGCAGAAGAATAATTCAAGGCATTTATAGTTACTTCAAAGAATTGATAAAATTTATTTTGCAAAGCTATAAATACATAGGATATATAAATTGCTTTTAGCAAATATATTCTATATTAAAATTGACACTGGTAAAGACAGATTTTTGAAAAATACTTAAAAGATATTCCAAAAGAAATAGAAGAAGCTGAAGCATAGATTAATTAAAAAAATAATGGCATCAAAGAAAAAGAGAAAGAAAATTAAGAGAAAGAATAATTAATATAAAATACAATAACAAAAATAGTAAAAATATAAAATTAAATCCAAATTCTTGAGGGACTAATTAAATAAAACAATTAAGAAAAAATTCTTGAAGAATTGAAAAAAAAGAAAGCTTTTCCTCTAATATTATAAATGATGCAGAAATTGGGATTGAAATTTGAAGAATGAATAAAAAAAAAAAATTTAATGTTGGATAAAAACAAAATAGATATAAATTCTTACAAATAAGAAATTTCAAATATAGAAGAGGCAATAAGTATATTAGATAAAGAGATAAAATATGATAAGAATGATGAGATGGAATTTATATCTTCAGATAACTAGAGAGATTAATTGCAAAATACATTTAATTAAGTTTCTGATTTTTAAGCTTAAGGTGAACAAAGTAAAGTTCTAGCTGGCTAATATTCAGGGGGTCTAATACATCATGTTTACATAGTGCAATATTTCTATCTAGTTCCTAAAGATGCAAAAAACCTTTAAGATATGTGTTAGAAAGACTTTATCAATAGTGATGGGAAAAAATACAGAGCAACAATAGAAGGGGAGAAGTGGTAATTTGATCTTGGTGTGAAGGCTTAGCCTCATAGAAAAAAAATGGTGTATTCGATTTTAACAAATTGGAATTCAGGATCTACTATTCTTTGGTTTAAAATCTAAATACTATACATTAACTGAAAAAAAGGGAAAAATTAGTGCTTGCCCAATCTTCTAGTCTAGACTTCCGTCCAGCTATTGTGACGTAGCCCAATTATTTTGCTTGACTTATTCTACTTGCTAGAGAGTTTACCCTATCTTTTAACTTAGACCTCCATCCAGCTGTTGCGGTTACATAATGACGTTATTTTTTAATCGAAGGACTTGTAGTTCGTACAAACCATAAATATGCAAGATTGAAAATCAATTATGTAACAATAAAGAACAATATATTTTTATAAAATCTCATACTAAATTGAAAGAAAATGAATGTAAATTCGTTCAATTACTTTATATTCTAATCATGAAAAAAATTATATCTTATTATGGTTATCATAACAAAAAATTAATTGAATTTGAAGCAAGAAAATTTGAGATTTATATTTTATGAGAAATGTATCTTTAGTAATTTCTAGAGTAATTTTATCATTATTTAACTTCTGTTTAATAAGATCATTCGTTAGCGATAAATTGTTTAATAAATTAATACAAATCATCCTCTTTCAATAGCCAATCCAAAATTTTCTTGAAATTTGATGTAGTGGACTTTTTTGCCACTCCAAACATTAATTAAGTAGTCTATTTTGGTAATATACATGGTTGAGTACCTATTTAAGAATATTATCTTTAAATAGATGGATTAAAATAAAAAAATAAAATGTTTACCCTTAGATAAAATAAATAATTTGGAATGAGAGAAATCAAGTTAAGAATGAAGAAATGTTCGAACTTGAGATAACTGAATTGCTAAAGGAAAATAAATTAGGGAGGAGAAATTTCTTAACTACTTTATATAATTTCACTAGAACTTTCAAAAATATGAGCTAATCTCTGATGTATTTCTTATCATTTATCAATTTACATAAACTATAAAGAAGGTTGCTTGTTTTAATTTATTTAAACCTTAATAAATTAGTTAAAAAAATGCTTTTTGATGATGAGTTTTCATTAGGGCGCAAAAAAATTTAGTTGTGTTAAAGATTTGGCTCAAACAATTAATTACTTCAAATATTATTTATTTAAGAGCATTTGAGTTTATTATCATTTTTAATAAAAGATGAATGTTATGTTTTTTGATATTTTCATAGTCCCAAACACCTCTTTATTTTCACTACTTAAACCTTTTCTTCATATCTATTAATATTTCTTAAAAATAATTCTGAACAATAGCCTCAAGAATTTTCATCATCTCTATTTTTACTTAATATTAATATCTTTTTATCCACATTTATAAAAATAAAATCAATTCCATTATTTATTTTTAGTTAAATAATTAGTGTCATTATCATCAATAAAAATTTCACATTAGATACATTTTCATATTTTCATCAAAAATTCGCATTTAAAGCAGAATATTGTATATCATAAACCTCAAAATAGACTATCGTACGAATATGTTTAATTTTTCAAAAATAAGAAAACAAAATTATCAATTCAAAATTATTTAATATTGATTATTATTTTGCTCATCTATTTAAAGAAAGCATGTGAATTCATCATAAATTCAAACCTGTCTTTCCGAGAAATTTATAGTTTTACAATTACTTATATATTTACATTTATAATTTTTTATGGTTCAAAATATGTTAAATCTCTCCAAGTAACAATTCTATTTAATAATGAATGTATTAATTGCTATCTTACTTTGAAATTCCATTTCAATTTTCGAAATTAAATTGTATTATTGTTATGATTCAATGTCAGATGCAATTAAATTCCAGTTTTCTTATTGAATAAATTTTGCAAAGTTTCTTTAATTTCGAATTCGTCAAGAGATTAATCAATAAATACAAATTATTTTCCATGTTCCTAAGAAATTTATTGACTTAAACTTTTTCCATAAATAATTCGAATTAAAATGATAAATTATTTTGTTCAATTTTAATTTTCACCAATGTAACATATAATTCAAATATGCATTTAGAATTAATAACAGAAAAGGGGTGTTTTTTGAAGAGAGATATGTGGGAGGAGTGCAAAGCAATTTAATTGTTCTAGATTTCTATTGAAATGTTTGATAAGATAATTAAAGATTTAAGTATTTGTTTATTCTAATTGTTTATTTAAATAAAATTAAATTATTGTTTCTTGATTTTAATCCTTATTGATATAAAATAATTAATACCTATTTTAAATTTTTATAGTTTTTTCTATTGAAGGGTAATAAATTTCAGTATTTGTCTCATTTTAATTCTTATACCTTTTCAACACATTTTTTCAAATCAGACCAAGAATTTATTTTTACTAAATCAAATTGATTTTAATAATAATTGAAAAACATATTTTAAGTTGATACTTAGATTCATTCGATAATGATTTATAACCTAACAGTAATATCTCCATATAAATTAACTTATAGTTTATCCTTATCAAGCCTTAAACCTTTTTTTTGTTGGAAAAACATAAAATGATTATTTAGCGGATTAGAAAGTTGAAAGAATAAATTATTATTATTTTCAATAATTAATTGTTCAAATACTATAATTAATATAAATTTAAGAACCCTTCATTTTATTGCTCCATACTCACATAATACTTTTTCAAAATTTACATTTTCAATTGTCTTAAATGTAGATTTTCTAATTTTGCAATATTAAGCCGTCAAAAGACGATTTTTGGCAAAAATGTGATAGCAAACAGGTATGTCATAAATTTTTGTTGTTTACTAATCGATCTTATAGAACAATATCTATCCATCTTCCATTCCAAGTACAAATTATTCTTAGGATGGAGCAAATGAGATTGCATTTATTTTGGAACTAAATTTATCCAATGTATATTTTAATTAACTTGTTTGAGAATCAAGAATCTCCAAAGTTCTATTATTAACTTTTCCACTATACTTGAACATATTTAATTGTTTTATTGAAGCTGTATAATCAAACTAATTTTCATCTTTGATAACAACTATTTCTTTATAATCTGAAATATTTTAATCAATTATTGTACCCAATTCAGTAAAAATCCTGATGCTGTATTAATTTAGAAGTGACATAGCCAAAGCTTGAATTGGATTCTTCAGATTAATTTTGACTTTTAATGAGTTTTAATCAGAGATATCGTACAATCTTAATGTTAAATCAATTCCTAATGATAAAAGAATTTTCCCATCAGATGAAAACATTAAATTATCAAGTGGATTGCCCTCTAAAGTTGCAACTACTCTTCGTTATCCTTAAGATATATCATATAATTTAAGTATTGTTTCAATTTATAAGGCAATTAGGCTATTTGATTCGTTAAATGCAGTTGTAAATTTTTCGTTCCAATTTTTAAAATCTTCAATAGGTATACATAATTCTTCTATATCATGGCCAATCTAAAAATAAAATTTATCAACCCAACACTGAGGTTAAATTTCAACCACTTCAGCCCAAATCAATATAAATTCCTCATCTTTAATAGGATGCAAATGCAAATCTAGAGAATATTTCTAGTGCAAATGATTGCTCAGATCTTATAACTTAATCAACTCAAATTTATCAGTTATCTTCCAACATCTTATTTTTTTATCAAAATGATATGAGAACAATATCTTACTATTACCAGAAAATGAAATAAATAAAAGCTAAGTATTTATATTTTTATTGGAATTTAATATCCCCATTCTTTACTTTTGTTAAATTGACCATATAATTATTGAATGATCTTCTTCTTCAAAAGCAAGCATCTTTGAATTAGCACAAAATGCAATATTTGATATTTAACTTGCTGAAATTCCATCTATCTATTCATTATTTAATTCTAATTTATCATTTATATGAATTATCTCTAATGGATTAGTTTTTATCAGCAAATTTGTTGAAAGAATAATCTTTCTTGCTTGATTTTTTAAATCAGATTAAAATTGTAATTAAATCTATTCACTAACATATTCTAAGTTCAATATGAATATTTTAGATTTACCATTCTTATAGATGACAAGATTCTAATCTACAAACAATTTTTTATCCAAAGCAGGCTCACACCAATATATTTTATGAAATTCAATTATATATTTTGTATTAAATTTCCATATATGAATTGATTATTCAGCTTGAGCAATAAAATACTGACTATTGGGTGAGAAGCAAAATTTTTGAGGAAGCCTTTTGCCCTTAATTAATATATCAAGTTTTTTTAATTCTATCAAATCCCATCTAATTATTTCTTCTTCAGATCCTGTAATTAATTAGAGACCATCTGAAGAAATACAGAGCTCTCTAACTGAAGAAGAATGACCATCTAATTCTAATTATTATTGTTTTAAGGCATTTAAATCCCATAATTTTATGATATCATTACTTGTTTAAGCTAATATTCCTTTAATAGAAATTGTAAGGATTTAGATTTAATTTGTATCTGTTTTAAAAGTAGAGAGTAATTTGTAAGATTTAGTATCCCAAAATTTAATTCTTAAGTCTGAATAACTAGTAACAAAGTTTTATCCATCTTAAGAAAAAACAATATTTACACAACTGAATTTGCTATCAGGTATCTTTTCTAAGATAGTCACTCTTTTTTTGGTTTCCATATCAATTAACATTATATTTTATTCTCCTTCTTACTTACTGACAATTAGTAAAGTTTGTTAATTATTTAATGCGATAGGCCTTCCACCAAAATTTTTCAATTCTACTGTTTTTAAAGTTTAATTAGATTTAATATCAAATTAATAATACAATAAATCGGTGTTAAATACTGATAAAATATTATTGTCTTATTAAAAGTAAGTATATAGGTATTCATGATCTTTGTTTTTATCATATGATTAGGGTAGTAATACTAGTGTAATAGGATTTGAAAGTGAGATAAATTAAATGTGGTTTCCTACTGCCATACCCACTTATTCTTAGGCAAAAATTACATCTCTTGATTTTACGCCTTCATCTAATTATATTAATTTGATTTATTATAATTCTTATAAGTTTATCAAAATAATGCTATTCTAACTATACAAACAAATCTCCTATTTTTTATCTAAAAATATCAGTTTCAACGGAGATGATTAGATGATAGGGATTTTTTGTTTTACTGAATACATATCTTTTGTTTCATATAAAACTAGTTCTCCCTATAGTAAAATTGATAATTTTTGTATCCCAATAAAACAAATCAAGAAACAGCAACTATCCTCTTGAAAATTCTACAATATTTCATTTTTTTTAATATCTTTAATAAATGCTCCCTTTTTTGTTGCAACTGCCAAAAGTGAAGAATCATTAGAAAATTAAAAGTCGTTGATTTAATCTTACTCTTCATAATAAATATTATTTTAACTGTTATGATTTTCTATAACTATTATCTCAATTACATTAAAATCCTTGGAATCTTTAATAGCAATAATTTTATTATTTTATGAAACTCTATTGCAACAACTCGTGTCCGAAAAGCGAAAACGACTTTTTTTTTAAATTTCTTCATCATTGATCTATAGTTGATATACGAAATGTCCAATATGAGCAATAATATTTTAATAATTTAAACAATACGCTTTATACAATTTTCCTTTTTCATCAATTAGTATTTTTTTTTTTTCAACATAAAAACATTACTCATTTCTTGTCCAAATTCTAAGATATCTATCATCATTTAAAGATACCATAATGTCTCCATTCTCATTAAAATTTATGTCTAGAACTTCTTCTTCGTAATTTTATATTGAAATTATATCAAGCCCAACAGAATCCCATTATATGATTTTATCTTAACTGTAACCACCGATTGACACTAAAAGTGGAGTATTTGGACAAAAAATCAACTTTTTAGTTCCTTCTTGTTGTTTTGGAGTATTTACAATTTACTGTTTATCTAATTTGGTGATATTCCAAAAAACGATAGTATCATCTTTACTGGAAGAGACCATTTGATTTCCATCTGATGAAAATGCTAGATCTAATATTTTATCCAAATGGGATGTTAATTTCACAAATAATTCTAGTTTTATTAAATTCCAAAGACAAATTGAATGATCAATGCTACCTGAACCTAAAATTATATTATCATTTCTAATTTTTAAAGTTGAAATATATTTTTAAGGGCCCTCAAAAACTGATTTTTTCTTAATTTACTATAAGTTTTTAATGTCCCATATAGTAATTTTAGGTTTAGATTCCAAAGATTATTAATGACTAGTAGCCAAAATTTAACTATCAGAAGAGATTTCAATTAAATCCACTTGAAGATTAGAATTTATTCTAAAAAAGTCTTATTGACAATGTAACTATTAAACCTCATATATTTTCAATGAAGAGAGTGATCTAGATGCAAATAGCTATCCGTCATTCGAATAAGCTATTTATTAAATCGTTTGTTATTAGTCAAAAGTATATTATAATGGAACTTGAGTTAGGTTTGAAATATTAAAAAATTCCAACTTCTTATTATCACTTGCTACAGCTATTACCTAATTATCCTTTGAAAATGAAATAGAAAGTATTGGATATTTTTATTCTGGAAGTTCTAAAATTAATTTAATATTTGAAATATTAGTATATTTCCAAATCTTAATTTGAGTATCACCTGTGGCTAAAAGCTAATAATCAGAAGAAATTGCTAAACATTTAACGATATTTTGTGTTGTCCAATAGTTTGATTATTACTCTTATTATTGAAGTAGATTTTTTACTTGTAAAATGATTATTTTACCATTTTTTAAAAATAAAGCTAAATATTTATCATTTGGGGATAATCTAATATCCTCAATATCTTTAAAATATTCACTTTTTTTTCGATACCCTTGCGATTCTTTTAACTCAAGTAAATTATAAAGGTATAAACACTCCCTTGAAAGGCAAGCAAGCCAATTTTCTCCTATTGATAATTTTTTTAATAGATCATCATTTAGTAGCTATGCTTTTTTAGGTTCTGAATCGGCTGACAAATCTGATTTAAAAATAACTCCATCTTAACTTCCTGATATTAAAAATTTTCCATCATCACTAAAAACAACTTATTTAATGGCTTCATTATGAGCTTTTATTGATGGTTTTTCTTTGCAAATCAAATTTTTCCAAGTAGCATGCTCTAATGTTGCGCAATTAAAATTACAAGAATCTATAGATACATTATTAAATTTAGAGTTACTCAAATTGCATTGATAAAAACTTATTCCATCCAATTTAGTATCTGCTATATTTAAATTTCTTAGATTAATATTATCAAGATGTTCTTTTAAAGAACCTAGAATATAAATTGAATTTGAAGCTGATCTAATAAGATTATATTTAGAATTTTTAGATTTTTTTCTAGATAATAATGCTATTTTAATTAATTTATTCTTTATATCTTCAATCTATTTTATCTTAGGTTTTAACAATTCTATTGTCCCAGAATAATGCTCCAATGATAAATTAAATAAACTTTTATTAAAACTGGTTTAATCTAAGAAATGTTAATCAACTGTTTGATTTTCTTTGAAAATGTTTTTCTCTAATAAATTTACGATATATTTAGCTACAAAAAACTCTTAAATAGATTTATGATTGAATGCATATACACTTCCTTTGGAATTAATCAACATACACTTTCGTAATAGTGTTTTGTACTCAAAATCATCTTAATTTTCACTAAAATATGAATCTTCCCAAGAGACATCAACATTTCTCTCTTTTTAAACTTATGAAATATATAATCTCCCTTTTTATTGATAATTTACTTATGTAAGTTATCTCATAGTCATATCGATTGCCAAAAATATTGAAAATTCTTATAAATCTGAAATCATAATTTCTTCTTTAATATTTTAACCAAATGCTTTAAATTTTTACCTTTGTTAATTGTGGTAAAAATTCACAAAGATTTCATAAAATTCAAATGCAGTATATTTATGGAGCTTGAAAGCTGAAACAATAAAATTCACATCAAAATCGACGTTGATGTTTTTATTTGAGAGGATTGTAGTATAGCTTTCATATTATAAAGAATCTGCCATTGAAAGTGATTTAAAAAAATTTTATTTATCTAAAATTTCTAAAATTTAAGCAAATTATTAATTTATTTCTATTTCTTTCATTCTACTTTTATTCATATTACTTTTGTATATCTCATCTTCTGCCTCAATTTAAAAATTATTGTTTCTCAATTTGGAATAAATTTCCATATTTTCCTCTGAGGTTTTAGCCTCCATTTTCAAAAACACATAATTTTTTTTCAGTAATTCTCTAATTATGTTCGTTTTAGAGGGAAGTGAATACATTTCAGGTAACACATAAACAATTATTTCCATCATAAATGGGGTACACAATAGGTTTGTTACATCTAAATTTATGATTACTGATTAATATTTTTTTTCTCCCCATAGCTAAAGAAGTTCTTTTTTTAGAGATTATATTTAATTCTATTAAATAAAACTAAAAAACTTAACATTTTAAATTGCTTTAATTAACCTTTCAACAGCTTAATTTTCAAATAACATATCAGATTTTTACATTTATATTATAGGATAAATTGTATTTTCTATTTGACTCCAAATTAATTTAAACTCATCTAATTAAAAGTTTTAACCCTTTAATTACTTGAGAAATTCATAAAACTTCTTAATTGTTCTTTTAAAGCTAATTTCAGTGTATATTTTAAGATACTAAGAACTCTGTTCTTTACTAAAAGGTAATATTTCTACTTCTTTAAAATTTTATAAATTTGAACCATAAAACCATGTTTAATATCCTATTGAGTTTAGTATTTCTTCTCTTGTTGTAATTATAAATTTTACTTTTTCTTAGGCTTAAAGGCATAGATCATAAGCTAATCGATTTGTCTAATACAGATTTGTTCCAATGCAATCAATTTTCATCTCATCATAGCTTTCAAGTATAATCACAATCCTTAATTTTCCATTCATCACAGCATCTTTAAATTCTCTTATTTAAATGCTATCAAAGTTGTAATTTTCAGACTCAAAAGCCTATTCAATCAAATTGTTGTTAGGATCTTTTATTGAAGGAAGTGACACATAAATTGGAATCCAATTTGGTGAAATTGAATCATTAATCCAAATAAATTCTTCAATATTACATGAAGCTCTACTTTTTCCTGAACCTGCTTTTCCCTTTATTAACATAACGTCCTTTTGCTTTTCATCTTCGCTCCATAAAAATTCATTAACTTCTCCATCATAATCATAATAATTCGATTTCATCAAAAAAGTTACAAATTCTCCATTTTTGTTTTGTTTCTTATTTCCAGAGATGGGGTCATATTCTTAAGTTTTAATTTCAATGTGAATTTAATCCAATTCATTTTCTAGCTTTGTATGTAAAACCTTCTATTTTCGGATGGTTAATAATTCCATAAAATTTTTACCTCTTAATCTTCTTATGTCATCCACAACGCTTTTTAAGCTTTTTAATATTGAATCTATTGATGATTTAATATTTTTCAAATCCTTACTAATTTCCCTTAAAAAAATTAAACTAATGTCTAGTCTTTATGACATATCTGTTATGTTGTCCAAATATATCTCAAAATCATCATATTTCTGTAATAATAATTTTTTTATTTCGTCTTAGTTGTCACTTAGAAGAGCTTAAGTTTTAAGATAATTAATCTATTCAAATCTTGTTTGCATCTCAATTTTGATTTTTTGAGAGAAATTTTATAAATCTTGAGAAAATAATCTTTTCTGCATACTTAACATTTCGTCATTCTTTAGAAGATTTCTAACACTTGGATGCTCTTCAATTATCCATATTTATTTCAATAAATCTTCACAAAACTCTTCTATTGGCTATTCTTAAATGGTTGATTGTATCTTAATTAAATTGAATACAACTTGTTCTCTAACTTTATAGGATGAATTTGAAAATATATCAATCTCTCCTCATAATTTACTTTCATATCGTTTTTTAATTTTCCTATCATATTTTATACTATATTAACTTTTTCGCCCTAATGTACTACTCCTTAATCTTAATAATTTAGGGAATCAAAGTTTAATATATAGAGCAATGTAGGAATTTATTCAAAATTGGTTTAATTTTTACGCTTCTCTAAAAATTCTTCATTAAAAATAATTTACTCAAGTGTTTTACAATTTGAATAAAACTCTAACGTTTATTTTTGTACATTATAAATCGATTTTTTGAAAATATATACCTAAGTATTTGGAAACAAATCTAACATGATTTATGAATTCTGAGATGTTTTGTTGCCGCAATTTTAACTGATTATATTTTTTATGTTTTTTGATTAAGTTATCAACATCTCTAAGTGATCCAAAAGTACTTCACAATCAAAAAAATCTGTTAATTTCAATTTCAAAAATTCATCATTAGTTTGCTTGATTTCCTTATTTATAGGTTAGTATTTTTTTGATTTTTCTTCTGAATTTATTTATTAAAGTTGTTGTTCATCCAATACTTATTTTAAATAGTTTATCTCATACTTTTCCAAATTAAGGAGATCTAATTGAAACTTAATTTTTGATAATAATAAAATACGAAAGGTTTTGGTTTCTTCTTGCCAATCCATCTTATTTTTTTACTAATTTCTTCTTTAATTTGATTCGATATTATATTGAAATCTAAGAGTTATTCTTTTTTAAGTTTTTAATTTTAGTATTTTTCAATTAATTGCAGCAGTTAATCCCTAATTCTTTTGATGAATATTGTATTTTATTCAATATCTATTTCCTAATTTTATTCATTTTTAATGTAAGCAGCAGCACCTATTTTTTCAAATACTCTCTAAAATTATGTTTATATTGACGATATGAGTTTTTAGTGCTATTTAAGAATCATTTATAATCCCTTACAAATATTTATGCTTGAATTAATGCTTATTAGTATTATCTGAATATCCCTAATATTTTCGATTTATATATTTTCAATTTAGATACCTTCAATTTCTTATTTTCTAATGAATAGATTTTCTTTTTGTATAATTTTTTTAAATTGTTTTTCATAATAATTATAACATTCGTTTATTAATTTTATAATCAATTGTGGATTAAACAACTATATAATAATTTATTCTAGATTTATTTATTTAAATGATTCTTTCAAAATACTATTGATCTCTTTCTTTTGTAATAGACTTAAGAAATTGCTCTTTATTTTAGAGATTTATGAAAGAAATTTATCGTCATTTATGATATAGTCTAATT